TCTCCTTCACAGCCGCCTTCTCCTCCCCCAACCGACTCGCAGTCTGGACCTCAATAGCTTCAAGCTTCTCGTTCTCGCGTAACAAAAAGACACGCAACAGGATCGTAGCAGCAACGCAAGCAAGGCAAAAACACGCATTCGCAATCATAGCCGCAAGATATCGCGGCCCGTCGGTCGAAGGATACATGTACGGACTGTAGATCTGGGCGAAGTTCCCCACCGTATTCACAAACGCAATAGCCGCGGCCCTTTTCTCAATAGGTCTCGGAAGCGTGCTCGAAATCCACGCCAACGCGACATTGTAGCTTCCGTACACCCCCGCCAGCATGAGAAAAAGAGAAAGATACCGTGCAGCGAAGTTTACCGTAGCGGCTGCAATGATGTACCCCACCATTCCGAGGAGAATGGGTACCACGATATGGACGCAGCGCTCGCCGACGCGGTCCGAGTTGTGGGATACAGCTAGAGCGACCAACGTGGCGAAGACGTAGGGGGGCGCTACGAGTAAAAGCGAGGCGACTTTGTTGTATCCAAGTGTGGATACGAGAGTCGGGATGAATTGCGTTACTGCTCCTGCGGAGGTTTTGGTGATGATTATTAGGGCTAGGATCCAGACTTTGTAGTCTAGAAAGGCCATTTTCATCCCGCTCATCATGGAACCGCGCTCAGTGTCGTTGCTACCTGAGTCGTCCTGTAGTCTACGCGTGGCGATGGCTCGCTCTTCGTTGGAGAGGAACTTGGTTGTGTGGGGGAAATCGGGTAGGATTACCAGGGAGAGCGCGGCGACGAAGACTGTAACGGCTGGAAATTTTGATGTTAGTTCTGGAACGTGACGAGGGACTGTAGTGCCTACCCGCTTCAATGATGAAAAGCCAACGCCACGATGGGAGACCTCTGACGCCATCAAGGCCGTATTGCACTCCAGCGCCAACCAATCCACCGAAGCCGCCAGACAGGAGAGACCCAGCGTACAAGATCGAAGTGCGAAGAGCCAGTTCCTTGCGCGTGTACCAAGAAGATAGCAGGAACAGCGCCCCTGGGAAGTAGGGGCTATGTATAATCAACAAGCCGTATTCACCTTCTTTTCGCTGAAAAGGAGACTTACGCTTCGACAAGACCAAGAAAGAAGCGAACAGCAACCAGTCCCGCATAATTATGCACCGTCGCAGTTAGACCGGACACAACCCCCCAGATAATCATGCACCCTGATAAATACAAAGAGGGTCGAACTCGGGTAATGATCATGTTAGAGGGAATCTGCAGAGCGATATACCCTGCGAATAGGACGCTGATGGCGGTATTGAACTCTGTTCCTTTCAGGCTTAAGCTCTTCTCAATTCCTTGCACACGTGCGTTTGCCAGTGCGTTTCGATCCAGGTAGCTTCATGATTATGTCAGTATTGAGTGGACCGCAGTTCAAGAGAGATACGAACTTTAGTACAATCATCGCAAACAGGAGAGGCATAAGCCGGATATCGATCTTGCGCACGAGTTTCTTCTCTTTGGCTGCATACTCTCTGGCATTGAGCAAGTCTAGAGCTTCGTATTGTTCCTGGAAGCCTGAAGTCCCATGGCTTCCCCTGTAGACTTGTGGGTGTGTTGCTGTGACTGCCATTATTTGTGACTAGAATCTAATGATCGCTATAGGTCGGATGGCTAAGAAAAAGGTTTCGGGCAACATATTATGAGGTGACGGAGAGAAACACTACCTCTTCCAAAACAGCTATGTAGCGGGGGTCAGATCATGTGCCGTCTTGAGGGCCCCGGATGTATATTCAATTCCGAGACAGTGTTGGCTCATAATATCTACCATAAGCTGGACGACGGGCTTCTCTCCGACTATGAACTCGAACCCCGCTTTGAAATGGTGCTTACTTTAAGCATAGTCTGACAATAGTACTTCACCGCTGTGCAGCCCTATCCGACATGTCAGTCGTAAAAGCAATGAGAGTCGGTCAAGCATCATGCCGAGGACTGCCGAGAAATGTCAATACGATGCAAGCCTTCTTGTTCAACGTCAGCCATTTGCAATGAATACTTCAAGCTGGGAGACGCTACTATAGCACCAAACCACCTCTCATGCTTTGAGTACAGCTGGATTTTCCCTGTAAAAGCCAATCTAACAAGTAGTTTCTTGGTAATGAAATACTGAGCTTTGGACTCCCACATTTCTCAATGGGAGTCCTCGGTCACCTTGTAAACCCCATGGGGAAATACCCTGTGTGGAGATGCTGTGGGGGTGCATGAGGGGTGAACTAGGTAGTAGCCTCGGTCATGATGTCAACTGGATTTCATTCGGCGCAGTCTTTGGGCACCAGTGTAAAACGGAAGCGAAAAAAGCTGGCCAACGAGACGTTCGGGGGAAAAAATTGAAGACAAACAAGAAAAGAAGATGAATTGGTCGGTTTTGAAGTCGAGCTGAGTTTCACAAGCGTCGAAGTATAAGAAGATTCGCATGCACCGAGATCTACGCGAAGTGTCAATTGGTCAATCTCATGAATCCAAACATTCCGAGCTATTCTTTGGCATCATGAAATTCGCTGCGCTTCGAAACCTCTTGTAACGGTATCTATTGAACTTTTCCAGGTCGACCCAGATCCTCTACTTCGCAACACCATTACGTCTCCTACCGCCCGACTTACTCCTACTAATATGATTATGTAGCACCTTCCGCGTATCCACAAGACTTCTCTTCTGCTTCGACTTGGCCTTGCCTAGCGTCATCAAGAAATTCTTCTTGCGTGCCTTCTCTTTGTTCGTCGTCGACTTGCCCTCAGCTTCCTTCTTGGATTTCCTGATGGCTTGTGTTGACTTGTGCTCCTCTCGTCCCGGCTTGCCGTCTTTGGCCATGGCTACCCGCTCTTCCTTGGTACTCTTGCGTAACTTCGCTGGTGCCTCAATCTGCTCGGCTGTCAAGCCTTCGTCGGTGTGCCGTGATTCATCCTGCTTCTTGCGGTTGCGGTTTCCCATCGCCTTGTCGATGCTTGCATCGATACGCAGCTCATGAAGCTTGGCCAGATCGGCAGGGGTGAGAATCTGAGTGGTTGCAAGCAACGAGAGTGCCTTGAGCTCTTCTTCTGCGTTTTCCGTGCTGTCGTCTCCGTTCAGGTTTTCGGAGCCGCGTCTCTGCTTCTTAGCGACCGGTTCAGCTTCGTCTTCTGAATCGCTGACCCTGATCCACTCGCCGGAGTCGCTGCTTTCAATTGATGCAACCTCCCAGCCATCAGAGTCCTCCTCATCATCTTCCACGTCGCCATCTTCTCCGTCTTCTGGCAACCCCTTTTCTGCCCGCTTTCGTTTTCTCTCGTCTTCTTTCCATTTCGCCAAAAGCTCCAAGCCCTCGATCCCGCCAACTTGCTCCTCTCCAAACTTCTGCTGCCTCTGTTCTCCGGTCTTCAAATTCATCGTTGCCTGCTTGCCACGATCCCTCTTGGCTAGTAGCTCTGCTGCTTGCTCCCGGTAAAGTGAAAGTAGACCCTTTGCGGCCATAGCTGTTCCCTTATCCTTGCTCTATTACGGCAATGTATCAGCGGCTAGTACCTCACAATAGCGCGGGGAAGCGGGGTCAAGCATACCTTGCGATATTGTACCAAATCCTGAAGTAGTGTATCAGTCATCGCCAGTGGTTGTCGCGCACACGTTTCTCTTATAGCATTCAAGCCAGCAGCTGCCACTTCGGGGGCAGACGCCTCGGATACGAACTCGTTGGCAATCTTGACGATCAGTGGCTCCAAAACATCCGGCGGCACAAGGTTGTGTGTCGCTTGTGCCAGCGAGGCCATGAATGATGTCACGGACTCTTGCCTAGGCGTAAGATATTTTGTGAACCAGGGATACAGCGCAATGACGGTCAACTTATGCAAACCGACCACTAAAGCAACATATGTTAGTGAAGGCTCAGGAAGCTCAAAGATATCCGAGTAATTTGTGTTTTCATGGTCTTGGGGCAATGTACCGCCCAACAGACGAGGTTGGACGTCATTTGGTCCTATAATCGACTGGGAATGGGACTTGTGGAGTTACGTACAGCGAGTTACCAGCTGCAGAATCAATAGCCTAGTCTCAAGCGTGAGCTTTGCTTTGGAGTTCAGAAGATGTTTCTGGAACAAGTTCTCGGCGAAGCCTTGAGGATCGTGTAACAAATGCAGAGCACTAAAATTGAGCGGATGCGGCGCATTCTTCTTGCGTTCTTGGCGCTTAACTTTGTCGACAGCTTTGTCGAGAGCCTTAGCCTTCTTTTTGCTCTTCTTGTTGATACCTCTACAAAGGCGAGTAAGCACTATCAGATCCGTCAGGTCCGAGGCACTTACATTTGATGTTTGACTTTCCTGACGTCGATATTGTCCTCGTCACTGCTGTCGTCTGCTATTTCCTCGCGCTCCTTGTCGCCTCCCACTGCAGCAAGTCAAGTCAGTAAATTGAGACAACGAGTGAGGAGGGAACTCCGAGCCCAGATGACTCTAGACGGCTGGCTCGACTGGGTGGATTACACGCCATGCTCGACTGCAGCAGTGGGCAATGAGTTTAGGATGTCACTTACGGAAGAATCTGACACCACCACCTACCACCTTTTCGTTATCTGCTAGACAAGCCTCTTTCATGATATCGACAGGCTTGGTATCAGTCCATAACTGCCGCTTCCACATCTCACGAGTTATTTTGACAGCCCAGACCGCCTTAGGCGACGAGCGATCCGACGCAACCAGGTTGTAGAGCACTTGTTGCATTGTGCGGTTGAGTTTGTGATTGGTGGCTTTCGTGTTGGCATTGCGCAGATCGCTCAAAATCTTGCTATACAATAGCGCTCGCAGGGTCTTCGAAGGCGTCGAAACGAGGATCGGGAACAGCGTGGTCAGGAGGTAGCTTGAATCGATCAACTCCTTGCGCCGTAACAGTACACTTTTGCTATAGGTTAGCAAGGTCGACGGAAAGAATACCACGACATATGCACGAACAGACTGCTGACTATCTTCTCACGCAATTCCGTTTCGAGAACGGCATGATGCCTTGTCAGGATTTCCTGGACGCGATAAACGTTAGCAACGGTTGGTAGAGGGGCTCCTGAACGCTGCTGTTCGTCTTACACGTAGGTCATTCGCAAAACCGGACGTAGCTTCGGGGTAGCAGTCAGAAACGTGCGCTATCAGGTCGATTTGTTCTCGGAAGCTGATGAGGGAGTTGGAGTCGCTGCCAATGGGCGAATCAAGAAATTGATCTCGCGACGATTCGTACTGTCCCCAGTGGGTCTCGAATTCCTTCTCGTAGGATCTTGGGTCCCCCCTGATCTTGTACTGCAGACTGGCCAAGTTAGCCTCGGTCTTCTCGAGCGCTGTGACCTTGCGTTTGCCCATCTTGTCGGTGGATGCTGGGATCCAATGTCACGAAGTTGAGTCGTTCTATTTCCACCTCTACGCCCGTAGTCGAACTTTTTTTTCGGCAAGGTTGGAAATTTTGGTGTTATCGGGCTTATCGCCGTTGCCAAGATATGCGGGGAGGTGGGGCGGTAGCTCATGTGGGTCAAATCAAGGGACCCCAGTCAACTCCTAACGCATTCCTGGAATGGATCATGTTGCTCCTTCCAACTCCAACGAAAATAGTAGGAACCTCCAGCAGAGACTCTATTAGACAGGATGTCAACAATCCACTGAGAAATTTTGCTCCTTAATATGACTTGCTACACCAGCTCCAGGTGGGCTGACAGTCTTTCGCGGGACCAAACTACCCGGCGTCATCACAAGTGTGACGGAAGCCTCATGAGTAGGGTGCAATTTCAGCCCGCTCTCAGTTCTGAAACCTACTAGCAAGCAAGGAAGGCTTCCTTTCACAATCTCATTTCAACAATATAACGATATTTCTCTTCAAGTCACGATGGTTCTGGGGGTTTTGAGAGGTTTGCAGAGTTGGTTCCGGCCTGCGATAGAGGCACTAACAATATTGAACCTACCATGGGAATACCGTTGGCGACTGCTTGCCTTCCAGCCCCTGACTCTCATAGCATACTCTATCATCTCACTGCCTTGGGCCTTCTCGCGTCCCTGGAAGGTGGAATGGCTGAAGATAGCTCCCGGGCGTACGCTCCGTGTGTTGGTCTTCGATGACCCATCCCAACGCCCCGCGAACCAAGGGAGGTTTCGCCCGCTGCACCTTTATATACATCAGGGTGCTTTCATCGGTGGCGTTCCCGAAGATGGTGCGTTGTTCTGTGTAAAATTGGCAAAGGAAACTGGCGCCGTGGTCATTTCGACATCATATCGCTACGCTCCTGCACACCACTTCCCAGCCGCCATTGACGATATCGATGTTGTCGTCAAGTATATCCAGATGCATGCAAGAGAGAGATGGGGTGCCGACCCTGAGCTCATGACGACTAGTGGTGCTTCCGCTGGTGGCAACCTGGCACTTGCTCTTTCGCAACAACCGAGCTGTCATCCGCCCGCTAAGACGGCTATTAAAGGCACCGTGACGTTTTATGGCGCAGTATGTCCCTTCCAGTGCTCGACATGTGATACCAACTGATAGAACCTCATAGATAGATCTCAGACTACCACCCCAGGATAAGCCCAAACCAGCAACTCTCCCAAAGAAGGACCCCTTCCAGTTCCTATTGCCGCTATATGATTCATATGCAGCACCGGTACGGGCAGAAAACATGGAAAATCCGCGAATGAGTCCCGCGATAGCATCAGCTAACACTCTACCGGCGAACATGTTGCTCGTCGTTGCTGGCATCGACATCCTAGTCCACGAAAACCTCACATTCGTGGAACGGATCAAAGGAGAAATTGCCCGAGATCCGAAACATGCGGGGCGACGAGTTGAAGCCCTGTACATCGAGAACGCATTTCATGGATACCTAAGCTGTAAGAAGCATATAAATCGTTGTCATTATCTTATGCGTGACTAACTGAGCAGTGCCTGCATCGGTTACTTCCCAGGCATTGAAGGACATGGCATTCAATGGAGGCATTGATTTCATCAAGGATGTGCATAGAAAGTTTGGCTGGAGTGATAACTGATATCCAGATATGTCAGCTATTTGCCAGCATCCTAGTTAGTGTAGACGTGGCTGACTCCCCCTTGAATATTTTACCCTGTCAGCACAATATGTGCCTTTTTCATGGTATAACTGTGATCAGGCGCCACCCTGAACACTTCGGGCCACTTTGAGAGCCTGTCTCATAACATAGGAGTCAAATATAGAAACACACGTGTATACTAGCATAAATCATAAGTGTGCGTTTGGCAATGTATGTAGATGCTACTTCAAGCCATCCCAAGCTTTGCATATATATGAAACGTTTCACTTGCCTCACCTGTCCATTCAAGCTTTGGCAGCCGCCAAAATAACCTCTGAAGCCTTCTCACTAATCATGAAAGTCGGACAAACCGGAAATGCCCCCGGTACCTTGGGAAAAGCCGAGGCATCCACAACCCTCAGATTCTTCACTCCCCGAACCCTAAACTCCGAGTCTAGCACTGCCATCTCATCATCAGCAGCCCCAATAGCACACGTACTAGTCGCATGATGACTATGCGCCTGCAACTTCAGCGTTTCCTTAATGGCGGCATCGGAGCAATCCTGGTTCTTCCCTGGACATGGGTGCAGCTCATCGAAGGGGCCAATGGGCGCCGTCACGCTCTGAAACGCCTTGCGGAATGTCTTGACGGCATCCAGCATCTCGGTGAGATCCTTGTCTTCCCCGGTCTCGAAGAACTTGAGGTTGATGTCGGGGGTGTCTCGCGGGTCGGCGCTCTTGAGGTGCACATAACCCGCCTGGCTCCTTGGGTTCATGTGCACAAAGGGGCATTCCCACTCGGTCGGGCCGTATTCGTGGGGGAAGCCGGGCCAGAAGCCCTCAAAGGAGAGGGGACCGCACCAGGCGTCTGGAGTAAACGTGTTGGTCAGTTATGCACTTGGATTATTTGAGGCGGGGTAGCCCCTTTTCAAAAATAACAAGGGCCCCTAGCGAAATAGGAGAATATTCATCATCTTGGGGAGGTGACCTACGTATGTTACGGTGCTTGGGAGCCGTTGGAGTCTTGAGGAATACTGAAACGGATGTCATGGATAGTCCAGTCAGCGGCTTGTCAGCCAGCCCCAGAACATAGCCTTCGTAGTTGTCCGCAAGGTTCTCGCCGACTCCGGGGAGGTCTTTGACGACAGGGATGTTGAACTTCTTGAGTTCAGCAGCAGGGCCAATGCCGCTCAATTTGAGGATCTGCGGCGAGTTGAATGCTCCGCCAGCGATGATGACCTCCTTCTTTGCGAAGACCTGCCCGACGGGTCCCTTGGCACTTGCCTTGTAGCGCGGATCTCCGCTATACAAGGATTTGCCTTTGAGGTATTCGACGCCGATTGCTTTCGGCTCCGCAGTGCCCTTGCTGAAGAGAATCTTGGTTGCCAATGACTCAAGCTGGATAGTCAGGGGATATTTGGCTGCGTCAGCCAGAGTAGCCTTCAAATAACTATTAGTTCCTGATCGGAGGCCCTGGCTCGTTGCGTGAATTGCCATGCCGTTGACACCTGTGTCTTGGTCCCTGTTGGGGTCCGGTGCGTTCACATCCTTCTTAGCCAGTTCTGGAAGCTGGGACGGGTCACCGCCAGTGGCGTTAACGATCTTTTTCATTATGGTTGTGACGTCCACGTCTTCGGTGGCCCAGTCTGTTCCGGCGAGGATCGTGCTAACCCATCCATCGAAACCATGTCCCGGCGCCCCTGGCTCAAGATATTCGTTCTTCTCCAATTTGACGAAGTGCTTTCTCATGTTCTCTGCTTTCCAAGATTTATCGCCAGTCAATTTGGCAATATCATTCCAGTCGTCATCTGAAGGAAGTGAACACACGCCTCCATTGTGCATGGCGCAACCGCCAAGTGTCCCTGTTCGAGGATACCAGATGCCGAGCTGCTCAGCGCCAGCCGGAGGGTCAAGACCAGTGTAAAATGAACCGTCCTTTTGGCGCCAAACCATGTGTTCATACTTCAGCTCACGCTCCGGATCGTCGGAATGCTTTGTCCAAAAGTCCCAACGCGTCGTTTCGTCGCTTGCTGCGGGGTTGAAATTGGCGATCTGTGAGATGTTGGGGTTGTTTGCTTGGTCGTCTCCGGCTTCAAGCAACAAAACCGAGTGACCAGCTCGAGCCAGGTTGGCGGCGAGGGGTGCTCCTCCAGGACCAGAACCAACCACAACATAGTCGTAGCTAGTGGTCGAGTTCTGCGCTGCTACTCCTGTAGCAGTCAGCAGGAATGATACGAAGGCGTGTCGAAGCATTGTATTTCCTCGCCCTGCCAGTGGATGGATTTTCTGTGAATGTAGTATCGATTCGAGCCCAAGGACGTCTGGCTTGAAGTCTTTGTGGCTCTTTATTCCACTGGGTCGCCGCATTTTTCCCTGTCAAAGGCAAAGAGACCTTCGGAACGACTCCAGCCATCGTCGATATTCCCCCGCAGGGCGTAAGCCGCAGAACGAATTATTCGCTTGGGGAATGTTACATTCCAAGATATAAGCGATTCCCGCCAATATGGATATGTTCAATATTGATAGCTTAGCCCAATTTCTCGGGGCTAAAATGCCTGCAGGATACACGGTGGCCGCATCACCAAGGCAGTCAGGCAGATCTCGGGCGTTCTCCAACATATTAAACTAGGGGAAAATGAGCAGCTTCACATCAGCAACGGTCTAAGATACGCCGCACCATTACGTTGGGAAAACAGACGCGAAGGCAGCTTGCTCTTCCACGCAGACGTTGATGGTGATGTACATGACAAGGCTAGGCTATCCAGACCTGTGCTACCGAAAATGATAGAAAGCTTAGCCAGGTCCAGAAGGTGTTGTGAGTTGCAGCGAACTGTTGCTGGCTTCAGGTAATGCTCTGGGACACCCACTCTTGGCCAGTCAGTTGCCAACTTAAAGGGCTTCTCGGTCCAAAGCCTTCTTCTATAATGCCAGATGGGCGTTACAGTGAGATTCCTCAGCCAGTGCTCCTAGTTTATCATTTGCGGTTGAAAGAAGGAACTGACTCGGACGCAAACCAGGAAATTGGTGGCAAGCCCAGCTTCAACCGCGCTATGGGTCTATAGGATAGACTTCCCATCTCCCGGGTAATAAAGTCAATGAGGGTAAGCGGAGATGCAGGATGCAACAACACTTTGGGCACACTCTAAGCGTTTACGGTGCCTGCATACCCGAGGCTGCAACGTCAAGGGAGATGACGGCGGTAATGATACATCTCAATCGTCCGGATACACTTCGCCCCTGGATTTCTTAGCGAATCAACGAGGTGCTCGTAATTTTCCGGATGTAAGCAGCAGTGCAGACGCAATACCAGACGACTAAACGAACGTCATATATTTGCCGAAATACTGATCAGGAAGGGAAGTAGTTGCCTTCAGCCTCAGGCCGAGGTTTATGGGTCGTTTCCAGGGTGTCTTTCCCTTCGCCGCCATGTGTGTGTATTCGTGAGGTCCGAGTCAGCACTGCCTGAAAATTCTACGTCATACTTTTTCGTATTGGGGTTCGTATTGGGGTTCGTATTACTGTAACTTTCTTTAGTCGAAGACTTCATCTTGTCGTTGCGCTTTAAACTCAACCCTCTCTCCGAACCATTAGACTGCCCTAGGCAATCTCCCCCAATCAAGACGAGCATGGCAAAAAGAATTACTCTTTATGGTCTATGATGCGATCCGTCGTACAGATGAAGATTTGAGAGACTCGTCCGAAAGAAATTCAGACTGAACTTCCGAGCTTTTCGTCCCGACTTCAAGATCATGGCAGCATGCTGAAAATCCTTGGCGGTTCCAGTGCGTTTCGAAGAGGCTGTGACTTACTAGGGATCCCTTCTCACAACACCCAATCGTGTCTCCGATCTTCCGATCCGTCTAAACTTGCTTTAGAGCTTCGAAAGCACATCCTTGGGTCTTGAGCACGATTTCGTATGCGACTAACCTGGCGGTGCGGTGCGGTGCGGTCAAGTCCTACACATTTTCAAATCTTTGGTCTCGATTATTAATGCATTCAAGGGCCTCGGCGTATCGCACCACCAAGCCACCACTGATATTTCCTTTTAGGGTCACTGTCGCGGGTTTAAGTGGGGAGTTTCTTCCTTCGTCAAGAAGTTCCTAGAATACGCAGGGTTTTCGTCTTGAACGTCATTCGAGGAACCTCTTGATTGCATAGATGTCAATGAAAGTTCTGGTAGGCTTGGGAAAAGTTGGCCAACGTATATATATTTTACTCATCTCAACCATATTACCCCATTATACCAACCGCTACGAGCAGCATCTCTATCAAACTGTGTTTTCCTTCTACTTCCTCTTCTTCTCGCTTTAGTTGAACACCATGATCAGTCTTAACGCAGGATTCCTATTTGCCCTGGTTGGCAGTGCCATCGGATCTCCAGTCGAAGTACGGCAGCAAAGTCTCGCCAGCTCTATCCAGAATGACTTGCAGGTTAAAGACTGCAAGGGAATGACAGTAATCTTCGCCAGAGGAACAACAGAGTCTGGAAATGTTGGAACACTCGCCGGTCCCCCTTTCTTCCAGGCACTGTCGAAAATGGTTGGTGGTGACCTAGCCGTCCAAGGCGTTGACTATCCGGCCGATATACCAGGCTTCCTCGCGGGGGGTGATGCCAACGGAAGCAAGTTGATGTATGCGAAGTCACCATCTTAGATGATGAGACCCACGAGAGCTAATGTACACCCAGGGCTCAACTCGTCCAGCAAGCCATGCAAGATTGCCCCAACACAAAAGTTGTCATGGCTGGTTACTCCCAAGGCGGGCAGCTTGTACACAACGCCGCACAGCAGCTTCCAACCGCCACAGCCCAGAAAGTTTCATCGGCTGTCATCTTTGGAGATCCAAGTATGCCGCACCACTTACAACCCTTCAAACCGCGTTACTGACATGTACATCACAGACAACGGCGATGCTGTCAAGGGTGTCTCTGCGGATCAGACTAAGGTCATCTGTCATACAGGAGACAACATCTGCGACGGTGGCACTCTCATCCTGACACCTCACTTGACCTATGGCTCCGATGCAAACGAAGCAGCAGCGTTCGCTGCGACAACTGCTGGAATGGCATAGATCGTTCAACACCTTCTATGTGCCGGTTGTCTTCTTTCTACCATTTTCTTTTCTTCCGTCATTTTTCAACTTTGTGCAGCAAGGCCCTCGCATGTTCTAGGAAAAGGGGGGCTAGGAAGAATTTACGAGATACCATACAGATAGCTTGTCGTTTATATTCTCAATTTACATCAATTTTCCTTGACCTGTCCCTTACACAGAAAATATGTTTTCTTTGGCCAGCGATTGAGTTGCGACCCTGGCTCTCCGAAACATGATTCACTACACAATCCAAAGTGCTTTCACTTCGTGATTGTTTTCGGTATAAAGGAGAAATTCACCAAGAGCCGGGGATACTATGGGGAGAGTCTCGAGTAATTACTTCTGCCATAAATGAACAGCTCCCAATGCGTTCGTTTAGCAGCCCCCATCTCCCTCTCAATACGCGACTCCCACACTGAAACCCAACAGTTCCTAATCAGGAACCCACGAAACCCGTGATTCCTCGTTCCTGAGTCAATCATCCTCGAACAACGTACTGACATCGACACATCGAAGTCTCACAAAACACTATGTCCCACTCCTACATCAAACTCCGGCCTTGCGGTCACTCCGCCCGAGGCTACTGTACGCGGGATCATTAATAATCATCCACAATTCTAAGCAGCGCCGACACGGCGGTCGAGTTCACAACGCGGCTAGAAGACGTGGACGGCCCATGTCTGGCCAAGGCCCGCAAATTCCAAGAGAAGGGGCGCGGTTGGACGACCTACGTCTGCGGCATTAGATCGGGTCGTGTACTAGGAGGGTGGGGGGACGCAGAAGTGTTTGCATGTGAGCTACAAGGATTGCACGCCGAAGGCGGGGCGTGCTTGAGGAGGTTGATTGCTTGATTGATGGATTGGAGGGTAGATAAAGTAGGTAGACGGTGTTGGCCGGTAGTACAATCTGTTCACGAAAAGGTGCTAGTTATAAATGTAGCCAAAACACAAAAGTCCAAGGCGATACCAATGACCCAGAGCAGTTTTTCATGCATTGTGGTATATTGAAATGAACATTCGACAATTCGCCCTCGCTAAACATGATGCGAATCCACCAAGTTCTGAACGCATTCAACGCCAGTGCCATGCGAGTGCCCCGCAAGTGCCCCCTGTTCATGCTTAGACCCAGTACTATAGAGTTGATGCGATAGCTTCCTCCAATATGCTACAGCCGCTTTCTATTTCTTCAACGCTGATAGTCAACGGAGGGACGAACCTCAAGGTATTAGTACCGCAAGTGATGACTAACAGTCCTCTCTCACGAGCGGCCTTGACAATAGGGGTGGGGTCTTGGGTCAACTGCAGACCAAGAATCAGACCTCGGCCGCGAACCTCTTTGATCAGGTCGGGGAAACGCTGGCGCATCTGATCAAACTTTTGGACCAAGATACTGGACTTCTCGACGACCTCCTTTTGCAGTGCAGGATCTGCTAGTCGGGACACGACGTAATGTGCAAGTCGAGAGGCCATGGGGTTGCCACCGAAGGTCGTGCCGTGGTCACCAATTTTGATCTTTTGACTGACATGGCCATTCACTATCGTCGCGCCAATGGGGAAACCGTTACCAAGTGCTTTGGCGGTGGTGATGATGTCTGGATGTGCCTCCTTTGGCAGATGACCGTGAGCCCAGAGCGTTCCCGTGCGGGCCATGCCACACTGGATCTCATCGTACGTGAGAACGGCACCGACTTCGCGGCAGCGCTTGGCTAGCGCAATCAAGAAGTCATCGCTAGCAACATTCACACCACCCTCGCCTTGGATCGGTTCAACGATGACACCACAAGTCTTCTCGTTAACGAGCTCGTTGATCGCAGCAATATCATTGTATGTTCCGTATTTGAAGCCCGGCAGCATCGGCGAGAACGGATCTTGGTATTTGGGGTTCGGCGTTGCAGACAGACTCCCCATAGTGCGACCATGGAAAGAGTTGTGGAAAGAGACGAACTCGTATTTGGTTCCAGAAGGCTCAAGCACCTTGCTGACCTTGCGGGAGAACTTGATGGCGGCTTCGTTGGCTTCCGAGCCGGAGTTGCAAACAAAAACGGTCGCGGCATCGTGCATTGCCCCTGACTCAAGAGTCTTCTCGACGAGCAATTGCGAAAGGGCTCCGGTCCAGGGGTTGTAGTACAGGTTCGAGGCGTGCCATAATGTCTTGGCCTGAGATGGGTCAGTACAGTTCACCTTTCGGAGCTCCGAAGGCTCTCGTAAATTGCTACCGAGTACACTTTTCCATAATGAGACCAAGTAGGATCAATTGGCTCAACGTGTACACCACAGCGTGTAGGGAAATCGTTCGACTAACCTGATCGGCAAGCACCTTCGTCAACCCCGGATCGCAATGCCCCAGTCCATTGACAGCAACCCCTGACGTGAAATCCAAGTACTTGCGATTCTCCAAATCCCACAAGTACGAGCCCTCACCCCTAACGAACACAGGAGGCGGCCGGGCGTACGTAGCCAGCATGTATTTCGCGTGCTCTTTCACCATAGCGGCGCTCGGAGAGTCATCTGCCGGGTCCGGGTTCGGGAGCGCCGCGATGGTCGATTGCCCATGTTGGGCGAGGCTCGACGTCGCTGTCGCTTGTGATGACAGGCTTCGGGCGCTGGTCGCTGCTAGGCGCCGCGCTGAGAGTCGGAAAGCCATTGAGGGATATTGGGGACGGCGGTGACAGGGTGCGCAATGAACTATGGGGATTGCGAGAGTAGGCAAACTTCTTTACGATGGGATGCGCGCGGCATAAAATGACTCCACGGGTTGCATTATCGATAAGAGGTCAACGTCCGACATCGGCATTTTTATGTTGACTCGAGTGGACTCAAATGTCAAGTAAACCCTCATCCTTTCTCATCACATGCCAATATGCAATGTGCGGTATTTGAAAATCAGATCCAAGCAAGCACAGAAAATCTCAGGTTGCAATGACTGGGCGGACATCAAATTCCGAGGTATCGAAAGTCTACCGCAGGCTACATTCTCGCCATATCACCCCTGCCCCCACCATAACACTCTCCAACATCCCACCAATCACACCTGACCATCCTTTGACGAAGTGAGGAATAGGTGCCAAAATGCAATGTATCAGGTCATAAAATATGATATGCCATGCAGTTCAATCAATACTCGCCGAGTCAGCGCCATAACTTGGAAACAGTCGTTACTGATGAAATACGTGGTCTACAACAGGCCATGATCGGCATGTTAACAAGTTTGTTTTTTTTGTCTTTATTCCCTTGAGCTTATGATGACAGGAAAGGTTTTCATTACCGTTTTCGTTTCTCTTCTTCTTTTTCTTGTATGGGTCTTGCTGATTACTTGCTCCATGTTCCGGTTTTATGCTGCCCCCTGTCTGGCGGCGGTTAATACCGCGGAGTAGTTCCGAATTTGCCTCTAAGAGGGCGGAAGGTTCATAGTGAAGGCGGTCTTGAATGAACATTATAATGATTACGGCCATTTATCCGTTGTTTCCCAGGATAACATACACTGACCTCCTACTCCAAAATTAACAGTGAGTCCCAAGTACTACGAATTCCCATCCCATGCAGGAAAAGCCGGTTGCAACCCGAAATTACCACAGAATATTCTTTGTCTCTTTCACTTGGATATGCCTGGTGTGTTGGTCGGGCAGGTGGGAAAAGACCAGGATGACGCAGTCAACAGCCGCGCATAGAAGTGAGCCGACCTCCTCTCCGTTTTCTCCGCCCTCGATGGCTTCTCGGAGTCTGTTCAAGGTATGGGCCTTCTCGACTCGGGAGAAGCACCGGGCGGCGCGTGCATAGGTGTAGGCTTTCTTGATGGGCGGTTCCTATGCCGTCAACAGAGCCAAGTGCCCATACCAGACGGAAGGGACTTCGGGGACTTCAATGACCTCCTCTTCAGTGCTGCCGCTGATCCTGTGGATGGTCTCGAACGCTGCCGCAATTTCCATCACTTTAGTATGCTGTTGTTGCGTCGTCGTCCCATCATAGCCGGCGGCATGGCAGCCACCTGTGTTGCCAGCGTCGTCGCGACTAGTCACAGATTCGACATCATCGCTCTTGAGGCTTAGCAAAATGTCTCGGTGGCCGTGGGTATTGTCAGGTGTGGTTACATATTTGCAAATCGTGCCCCCGGCCGACTCGGCGTTGGAGTTAACCAGTGTTTTATTCCTGCCACGGGCCGGGGAGCTATGGTTTTGGCGCATCATAGCTGTGGGTGCGCCTGGAGACGGAGGTAGCAAAAAGTTCGCGGGGAAAAGGAACAACACCCCAAATGCCGGTTCTCCCATTGAGATGTGATGAGATTGCTTGTCGTATCTTGCCAGCGGTCATGTTGTTGGTTAGTTCTTATCAAGGCAGGTGCTGCGCAAGTGGTGACAGGAACCCATGAAGAAACCGCAATGCAAGTTGGAATGGTGTTCCGCAACTAGAGGGTCCTTCCTACCAACGGCAGCCATCATAATAATACGGCTACCTTGCTGACTTCTTAAACATTCAACATTGGGGCGTGCTCCTTCATCTAGAGTATTATCCTGGATGCTCTTGTCCATACCGCAACGTTTCCTGTGAAACTCAATGAGTTCCGATCCTGCACCATCCTCACCTCTAAAGAACCTCCCCCACTCAAGACTCGTACCGTAGCCCTCGTTTCACAACATCCTGCTGAACTTGTAAATTATGCGCCTACTTAATGTGTGAGAACGCCGGTCGCGCCCATGTGCCTAAGTACTGGGGTAACGATGATTCGGGTGCTTCGTGGGGAGTCTGGGGACACGGAGTGCGATAGTGACATGACTCGCATCGGCTGGAAACACTACCGAAGGAGCAAAAGCCCTTAATGGCGGTGTTACCAGCTCAAGATAGCTCATTGGCGTTACAGGGAAGCGACAATAGCTCTACATAATGTTGCAAAGGGATATCACAGGGTTAGACCCATGATTGTGAGCCCGAACTCGAACTCCATGATGAGAAAAGTCGTCGGCTTTACCAAACACTAACCAGGAAACAGTGATGTGGGCCAACTGGAATCCGGGGTGAAGATGTATGCCCCAGCTTTAGTGGATCCCTGCCACAATCGCAAGGGACGGCATCTCATTGGACGTCACCCTCTGCGATCTCTTGACTTTCACATGTCAGGTCAGCCGCATTCGTCAGAAGGAATGCCGTCAATGCCCGCTTCATCTGACATCCAATAGCCAATAGGCCTAGCGACAATTTTCTGATGGATTACTCCGACCATGTGGTCACTGACAGGCACACACGGTGATGCCGCACCTTAAACCTCTCGGTCTCGGACTTGCGTAGCTCGTCCGCCCATATCTCTTTGCCTGGAACTCATTGGGTATTGACGCAACTTCTTCGTCTTTGCCCACCCCATTCTGCCTCTTGTCCCTCGCCCCATCAACCCGATGCCCTGACTCACGTATTGCTTCCGGAACCATGCTCGCAACCTGATAATTCGCTCCCAAGCCAGCAGTTCGGACGGGTTTGAACGACAGAAAAGGATTGCATGCGAACGCCGCCGAAGCCGAAGTCGACGCCGAGAATATTTTCCCTTATAGTTATGATAGTTCCCACTTAGTGCCTTGGGTGAATTGGTATACAAAGATGATAGACCACGTATTGGGTAGACCATCCAACAAGTCGCGGAGGCTTCAGGTGCTCGCCGTTTTGGCATTTTGGTCGGCCTATTTATATAGGCAAGTCTTGTTTCTTTTTGAGGTCAATTCCTTGGCTAATGGGCAGCAGAGGTGACCGGCATGGCCCTCCCCTCATCCGACGCCTGTCGAGGCTATCATCCAAGGTCACAACGTGGCAAACCGTCGTCATCACCATGATGTACTTGTACGCGGCTCGGAACTTCAGCACTTTGGTAGGACTGGCGAGCCCCGAGCCGATGGCCAACATGTACGACGCGGCATACTTCCGAGCAACATGGGTACTGACTGCGCTGGATGCGGGATTTTGGACAGCTATGAAGATCAAGAGGAAATGGCTGCGGGATATCGCGAGCACGGTTTTCTCCATCTTTTACATGGTGGCTGCGGAGCAAGCCGATGAGAAGGTCCGGAGGGTCAGAGGGATGCTCACTGTAGAGCACTTGCGGGTCAGTTGGAACAAGGGGACGACACCTTATCTTCAATTCTTCCAGAACTTGATCCGCCCCCGATTTACTCGCTGGCCACCCCGAGCTATTCGCATTCCGAGACCAAGCATGAGCGATTACAAGGAGCCTGTCTCTGGGTGGCTCTATTATGACGGGCCCATTTCGGATCTTGAACATATAAACAAGATGATACTCGACATCCCGGGTGGTGGCTTCGTTGCCATGGATCCGAGGTGCAACGACGACAAGTTGTTTGCGTGGGCAGGAAAGACCGGTTTGCCGGTCCTCAGTCTGGACTACAAGAAGGCCCCCGAGTTCCCTTACCCCTATGCGCTGAATGAGTGTTTTGATGTCTACACCACTATCGTCAAAAGCAAAGGTCGATGTGTCGGCATGTCTGGGCGCGAGATGCCCAAGGTGGTTGTTACTGGCGACAGTGCGGGCGGCAATCTCGCCACAGCTATGACATTGATGATCATCGAAACCAGGACAACCAAGAAACGTCCCGGTCTAACCCAAACGGAGCTTCCTGTTCCCGATGGGCTCATACTGCTCTATCCTGGACTGGACATGAATATTGGCAACTGGATGTCTGACGAGCAGATGTCACTAGTCCAAGATCGGAGGTTGCGCGGGACGAACAAGGACTACCTGCGCCGTAAAAGTCACCAGTTCAACGATCTTGTGGGTACTCCGCACCCGTCTGATGACGAGGATGATTCGCCGCCTCAAAATGGAACCCCCAAGTCTTCCAGCGATGTAGCCGCAAAACAATCCCCTGAAATAGCGGTGGTTGACGAGAATGGTGTGCGGAGTCCGCACCCAGAGTACTCTCATGCCAACCGCCAGTCATGGGCCAACGCTCAAGTAACACCGCCACCATCTACAAATCAAAATGGCAAGTCGATTTTGCACAAGCCCGGGCCGATGCGGACTCGTCTTGCCATGGCCTCAATGATCTCGTACTTCAACGATCGTGTCTTGACGCCCGAGATGATGCGAGCGATGATCATCCTCTACGTCGGCCCGCACAACCGACCGGATTTCTCGCAAGACTACTTATTATCTCCAATCCTCGCACCTGACATCCTCCTACAACAATTCCCCAAGACGCATTTCCTAACCGGCGAGCGCGACCCTCTCGTCGACGACACCGTCATCTTCGCTGGCCGCCTCCGCAAGGTGAAGCAAGCCTACTACTCGCAGCGCAAATCCCAGGGCATAGAAGGCCTAGACGACATCTCCGACTTCGACGAGAAGGACGTCGTGGAAGTGGTCCTCATTCCGGGTATCAGCCACGGCTTCACCCAGTTCCCGACCGTGTACCCGCCGGCGTGGAAGCTCATCAACCGTTGTGCCTTGTGGGCCACGGACCTACTCAACGCGGCGGAGAACCGTGAGAAGTACGAGCAGCAGATGCGGAGGCCGAGACACCACTTTCGCGTCGAATCGAGCGATGCTGAGGATAGGCCACTGGAGATGAGTATGACGAGGTCAAGGGTGCGAACTGTCAATGATGAGTCCAAGGCGAAGGAGGTGGTCGCGGGACAGAGCGGAAATTCGCACAATCCTGAAGCTGCTGAGAATGGCACTCATAGGAAGAAAAGGAGCGACAGGGCGAGATTGGGGGCGAAATCGAAGAGCATTATTAGGCTTAAGAGCTCAGATGATTTACTGGGGAGGCGCATGCAAGGTTTGGCGGGAGCGCTTACAGGGACGGGGGATGAAGACTGAAGGTTTGATTGAATGAACGAGCACTGGTAGATGGGCATCTGGTTGGTGTAATACAACTAGGCAGTATTGAGCATCAGTATGTAACAGGAACAGGCCGAGAGGATTCCATCCCTGTATGCTCATTCTCTAGAGTCGTTAGTCACTATATGTACCTTGACGTAGACATACCACACAGTCACCTATCGAAGAAAATATATGCATTATACGCTATATTGTTAAGGTTGAGATTAGACTTCGACTTATCAAGATCGACTATGTGTTAAATTGTTCGTTGAGATTCGACTTCGACTTATCAATATCGAATTGGGTTGGGTTGTCCCGGTAACGATCAGAATTGTCTCCTGAAAGTGCGGTATCGGGTAGCGCCGCTCGAGCTACTAATATGCAACACGCAAGGTCAGCAGCCTGTCGTCTAACTGAAAGTGTGAAATGACAGATGTGGACTATCAAGCATGCGTTTTCCTTCTGTCTCTTATATGTATCTGTTACCTCACACGACCGTCCCATGTAGTATATTATCAGTAGTTAATTGGTGTGGCCTTGGGGCCAACTGTCCAGATAGCCCTTCCGTAGCTGCATATTCTTGGGTGCTAGTCCCATCAGCCTCACCAATATAGCCCTCTTACCTGTGTTCAAGCAATTGTCGTTTCGCAAGCATACTCATAAAGGGAAACCTCCGGTCTTCGTACGAAGCCGCGCTAGGAGAAGCCGGGGATTGACAGAACTGCCTTGAATATCATGATCCGAAACCACGCCACGCATTTTACGAATCGCTCCTGGATCTGTCTGCTAGTACCAGCAATGGTCGGCATAAGCGCGCAAACGCACGTATGCAAGAGACGCATTTCGGTACTGAGACAGAAAAGCGCTTCATTGCTATACACAAGTAGCCTGCCGAGTACCAGAGAAGAAAAATATTCGTAGGGTACGGTGGGCTTTCTAATTACTGGAACGAATAAACGTAGTATACGGCCCTCGGTCCTCAGGATGATGTCTGAAATTTTCTGTACAAATAGTAGAGCAGAGGCCACCCCCGTACAAAGAGTGATTCTGACGCAATCAAACATCGACACTTACACACAGTCAGTTTAGGGAATGTGACGGTGACGAGTATCTTGTTTTGAAACTCCACACCAGACCGAGCCGGTCACTACGAACCAGAAATCCCCGCGGTTTCACATTGGCAAAATGGTATGCGTTGACTACATAAGCAGATCTAGTTTCTCCCTCGCCTTGTAACTTGGATCATTGCATTTGCTCATGAATGCCGCCATCGCCGCCGCCGTCAGTTTAATAAAAACGTTCCATTCATCCAGTAACATCATCAGAACAAGCCTCCCGTTCTTTGGGGTATTGCTGCCCATGCCTGCAACCAGTCCGAAAAAAGTCAGATGTATTGGCCCCAAGCTCATAATGCGATAGATGCATAAGACAGACCCAGACCGACCAACCACCAGCCAGTCCCATATCCAAAAAAAGAAAAGACATAGGATTGCCCCCTAGTTTAATAAGCCCGTCGAAACAGTCTTTGACATCCGATGTAAACATTAAAAGTTCATGATAAAAACATTGTCGATTTCGTTTGGTCATGCGGCGCGAAGAGAAGTGCTGAGAAAATGGCCCTGGGTATTCGAGATCACTTTCTTATAACGTGAAGTAGAATGCCGCTGAAAACTGAAGTTCGCTAGTCTCAAATGATGAAAGTTTAAGGAAATTGGTATCGTCGTGAAGCAGAATTGCCTGCGAAAACAAAACGGAAATGAAAATGAGAAATTGGCGCAAGGTGTTTCGAATTGGTTTTTCTTTTGCTTTCCCCAAAGACTACCCCGTCCCCCGCCCCCATTGCCTCCAGTGCGGATGTCTAATAACACCTTAAGGCTGCAACAGTATTCTACAGTGTAAATGCATCACGTAACCTCCACAGCGATCTTTCGGCATAGCCAAATAGGGAAATGAGGGTATTGAATCGGCTCGTTCGTTCGTAAGTGTCGTGGTCTCCTGGAGACATGCGTGTGCTGGGTGTATGTAGTATTATTCATCCATTATCCTGGCATTAGATGATGTTGGCGATGCTGATTCTTTCAGTGTTGCGCTTAGAAGATCCTGGTCTCGGACTATTCCCTGCGCTTTCAGGTCCGGCTGTGCCACTCCGAGGAATGGAACTTGGTCCCTGTTCCATCTTCATGGGCGGTAACGTATGTGGTGCGTAAGTAGCGACCGGTGTCGTTGATCCTGACGGTATTGCTCTGAGAAGACTGTCAAGTCTGTCCCAACCGCCCCATTCTTGTATTTCTTCGGCGGCAAGTCCAGTACGGTTCTCGGCTCGAGTCAGGCCACCACCAGCTGGAGCGGCCGGCATCACGACGTCGCGGTCAGCCCCGGCCCAGATCCAGCCGGTCTCTACCCCAGCTTGCAGATCAACGCTGAGGTACGCCAGGAGTTCTTCATCTTTGAGAAGTTGATCCTGTAGGGCCTGGCCAGTGACATGTGGTGGAGGGTATCCGTGAGTGGGAAACGATCGCGAGAGGAGCGCCGAGTATTCGGCTCGCTTGCTTGACACAGCCGAGACAAAGAAGGAAATATAGCGACCACAGGGCACCGCAACGTCTCGCCGGGCATCAATCGACTTCAGAGCCCGAATGCAAGTCGACGCTTGGTCGTAGCAGCCCGTCAGCACCAGAAATAGTGCCGAACGGAAGATGTGGGTCGTTAGCAGTGCGGTAGCAGTATCGGCAAGAGTAGCGTTGGTTCGCATGATCAGATGGGCCGTCTCCAGCGCCGTGTGCATACACTGTTCTATGGCAACACTGCGAACATCGGGAGGGCACGTCGGTGCGAGGTTATGTCGGTGCAGCATCAGACGAGCGTTCAAGAGGTAGGCGATGGGCGTAAGCATGTGAGGAGGAATCGGCAGGTTGCTCGAGGGATCGCAGGCCGCGGGGAAGGCACGTTGGCACGCCGCAAAATGTGCGTCAAAACTCGACAGCCGCGTAGGCGGAATGGGTGAAGAAGTGAAAGCCTGTGTCATGGCATGGAATGATCGCACTACATTAATGATGACGTGAAGGGAGTGGGTCAGGGGGTCCGCATTCAGGGGGTGTACTGGACCTTCGGAATGGAGGAAATGGTCATCGATAGGTTCAGGGAGGCTGACGTCGCAGTCAGCGTCGTTGATCATGGATGGTCGGCTCAGTTCCAGGGACAAGGTCCGGTCGAGGATGTAGATGGCCCACCACACTCTCCGACGCATGTCCGCCTCTACTCTTGAACGCGGCCCTGCTTCCAGGTGTAAACTCATGTCCTGAGCTGCTCTGACAGCCGTTGCTAACCACGACCAAGATGCCGACTTCAAGTTCAGCTCGTTCAAGCACAGAGAGATGAGAAACAATGTTCGGGCGTTGTCAAGCACAAAGTCGTTGTTCCAAGGATCTGTGAGGTTTCTAGACAATTCTAGAAACTCGGCCGCACGGTACGCGCGGTCTGGATGAGGATCACTGCTGAAGAGACTGCCGGCTGCCAGAACAGCAAAGAACATGGACAGCCACGATGTTGGGACGCGCTGCAGGCTTCCTCCGTGATAGAGTTCGTCGACTTCATGCCGTAAGGTAGGCCAATGTAATAACGGCATCATGATGTGCACTGCGCCATAGTAGGAATACAGCAACTTCTCCGTCACTGCTTTAGGCGGCAGCTGGGGCAGAGGCGGCTCAAATAAGACCGACACTGCCGAGGGACGATATTGCGCAGGTGGTTTTAGTAGTCCCTTGGAGTAAGTTCGTATATTGGCTCTTGCCCTCGCTGGATCTTGATGCGGCAACGTGCGATTTCGTCGTTTGGGTTCGGAGCCTATTTCTGGTATGTGAGTCGGTAACTGATCGACATTTTCCACATCGAGGTCCATCTGGCCATCTCTCTCGCTCAACATGCGCCTCAGACTGCTGTTCTCTCGGCGCACCCGGTCGATCTGCTTCTCGAGATCCTGGACCTGCTTGATGGAAGACATGCGCCGGTTCGTCTCCTTGGTAAATTGGCATTTGACATTGCGGCTCGAGCACTCGGAACAACTCGTCGTTTCGGTAGCATCGCACTTGACCTTCCTCTCCCGGCAAGCATCGCAGCTGGGATCTTTGCGCCTTTGGCGATAAGCACGTTTCTGTGCTTGGACATTGGCCGAAAGCTGCGCATTGGAGAGTCCCGGCGTGCTGACCACCGAGTCGTTGGATGGCAGAGAGTCACGTCCCATCACCGAAGTTGCCGTCACTGGGGTATATGGCTGAAAGGCCGACTGGCTAACCGGAGGCAGAGGGGGGATGCCTATGGGCTGGGGCGCATGGGCAGCGCCCGACCTCGCACTTGTGCTCATCAAGCTGCCGAGATACTGGGCTGACGGCTTCGGCGAGGTTGTTGACGAGACTGACGAAGAGTCGTATGACCTTGTGGAAGGATTGGGGGATCGAGGAAAGGGATTGTGCGACGACGTTGCCATCGTAGAGAATTTGAGACTCCAACAGTCCGCAGCCTGATTGGATAGCGTCTCCACAGGCTCCCCAATGGAATGGACGCTGGGGAGTTGCCGGTCAAGGAACATGCAGAACGGTGTTGCAGCTGTCTCTTTGGGAGTGACCAAGTATTTGAGCTGTTGCTGTTGCCCGCCGCGGGACAGAGCTACAGCCACAGCTATGCAACGTGCGTGGGCTGGAGCTACCCTCGTACCAATGCCACGAGAACCCGAGTCCCTTGGTTCCAGGCAAACCAGGTAACAGTCTCCTACTCGAGATGCTGACGAGCAGCGCTTCGCGGTGTTGCGTGTGGCAGCGCTGTGCTACTCCAATGCCGCTATGGTCCCTAGTTTCCTGCTGCCGTCTGGTCGTTTGACCGCACAAATGTCCCGCAGGGTTTCAGACGTTAATGAGAGGCCTGTAGGGTTGCAATGCCCGGGGGCGCTGGGACGATGGTCGCAGTTGCACTTCAGCATCTACGGTTGCGGCTCCGTCGTCAGTAGGCTGACTTGTCCGTCGTGCTAAAGATAGTACAACCAGTTTCGAAAGAGAGGCAGATGGAGTGAAGGAAAGAGGATTGCCTAAACAGGAAGCCAGGCAGACTGCGGCCGGTATGTACACACAAGATGGGGGGACTTGCCGCAGATGCAGCGTTTGGTAACAGCGTGCCTGCGTCAGGAGGATTTGGTGACGAAAGAAGAGAAAATATGGCTTGGGCTGTGATTTGAGGAGAGAGGAGATGTCTAGTCATCAGTCTAATCGGTTCGCGGATGGCCATGGTGGTTATTCACCTAGCACCCTGTACTTCGCACCCTGCAACTTGCACCAAGTCGACAACTGCCCTGGTCCATCGCCCCGGGGCTCTCCGTGCGCCAAAGCAGAAATCGGAAATATAATCTGGAGGGGTGAATCCTTCCAATGATCCCTGCAAATAACAAAGGGAAAAACCGAGCAGGGCTGTGAGTGATGTTCATCGACCAAAATCGCTAACGTGTTTCGAGCGGAGGTGGGCCGTCCTGGTTGTGACCTCGGACAAGTCACTAAACTAGCGAATCCTGGACCCCTGGCCCCAACCAAGGACCTAGGAAGTACGCCGGGCCATGCCATGGCGAATCGGCTACCACTCGAAAATAAGGTGCTGTGCCGTGACTAGCAGGCAACTGACATCTACCCATCTACCCACCCACCTACCCGTCCGGCCCCCCATTCCTTTGTCCTCAGAGTCGCCAGCCACTTTACGGTGGCAGCCGGCTAGTCCATACTGGCTAGGCTGAAGAGCTGGAGAGAGAGAGAGAGAGAGAGACAGAGAGCAAAGACAAGCCCTAGGCTTGGACCGCCCCCAGTAGCAACGCCAATGTCAATTCAACAGTTGTCATTGGCCTGGGCCAAACATGAGTGTGCAATGTAATGTGTATACGTATGAGGGTTGACTCGACGTACGCGGGCCTGGCACTGGCACCGGCAGTCGCAGATGCTCCGAGCTTGCACTGAGCCGTAGTTGCGGGATGGAACCTAGCAATATGCACCTCTACTATAGGGTATGATGAAGCTCAAGGCGTCTTGTACCGTATCTGCACATTAGCGCAGGACGGACGGTAAAAGCCTGTCGAGTCGGCATTGTATCGGTTGTGACATGACGACCATGCCCGTTCGGGAACATGATGTGCATTGGGAACCAAGCAACCAATTTCTGCGCGATTCCCGAGGCGCCATTTTAATTCCCAAGCTGTGAGGGCGTGAGTAAGTGTGAGTGTGAGGTGCCCAAAGACTCAAAGGGCGGCAGCAGCAGGCCAGGGCCAGTCATGTACTCCGGACAGTAGTAGGCACCGACCGCTAGGAAACCCTAGTGCTTTCAGCTCCCTGGATTAGCGGCGATTGGTGAGAGCCGCCACGAGGGGGGCTGTAAATCGGGCAATTCGCTCGCTGCCGGGTGCATGTGGTTTGTCGTTTCGAACGACCTGACAGGCATGGCTCTGACCAGAGAACGCTGGCCAAGGTGGACGGCAGGTAGACGGCAGCAGGTGGACCCAAACGGCTCCATCCATAGCAGCAAGCCCCCGGTGAATTATGGAAGATGGACCAGGTGTGTGTGCATTAGATGTCATAGTAGGAGAATTGTAAGATCACCGACGAGCAAAAAATAGCTTGAAACGTACCAGAGATCGGATTGCCGGTCTTGTTGCCGGCTGCTCGTCTCATCGTCAACGTCGAAAACGTAGAACTGAAAAAGCTGCTCCTTCGTTTGCACTTAGCACTATGTAGATGGGTAATAACGAAATCTCGGAGGCGTATCCGGAGAATCTTCCCTGGAAGCTGGTGGGTCGGCCTATCTCTTCTCGGTGTTGCTGCAGCGGCCATGGACGAAGCAAAGGTAAAAGTATTTTTATCTTTCTTCCCACCTCCTTCGCAGGAGGAATCCGTCTGATGAGCAGACGCACACATGGGAAAGACCCTGGTCCCCAGCTCATTCAAAGTTCAAACGTGGCTTAACAAAGTGACGCCCCGCAGCTTTTAGGGGCCCGCTACTGCGGTACTTGAGTGCATGTACCTTGTCGAAATTTCCCATCCATCCATCATCTGAAATGGCAGCTGCGACCATGCAGGCACTAAAACCTTGTGTACTGGTCGAGTTTCACAGCTTCGAAAGGCCGGAATACTCAAGGCTGAAGCACTCAATACTAAGAAAATTTTCATCCTTCGTTGCAGAGCCAACGGTTAGTGAGGCCAAGGGGAAAGCGAAACGGTTCAACGACTCGCAAGAAACGGGTAAAGTAGCAGGGCACGGAAAACTCCGTGTGGATATACTGCATTTGATTGACCATGCTTGCTACTCGTGTGCATCCTGGGCAGTATGGATCACGGAGGGTAAGTGAAAGTAGCCCGAATCTCGACACTAATTTCTACAGAGAGTGTTAGATCATGAGTGGTATTATCATCTGTGTTATGGTTTTGGTCCCTGCCAACGTCCTATCGCTGGTCGGGTCATAAAGTCTCTCATCACAAACGACGATCTACCTTATTAGATTAACAGCTGACTTTCCGCCGGTACTGAATCGAAATCTGGACCGTCTGAAACCTTGCAAGTGGTAGCAGAGGTGGAGATATGCGCTGTGTCTATAGGTAAAGTATGAGGCAAGAGATGATGCTTGACGGGATAAGCCGGTCGGCGTTTCTCTGGCAGTCACTTGTCTGGTACGTATAGCCGGTAGCTGCCGGTTACAGCGGTGGGGTAGAAATTCAGACGAGCCCTTCGGCTGTGGCAGGCTGTGGCAGCTTGTAAGATATATATGCTAGCTGTGCTCTACCCAGTGTCTCAACTTCAGCACAAGACATACTGCGAAAAACCAGGCCTCTAAGAACGCGGCTGGCATGGGATGATGGAAACGTTGACAGCTCAAATCTCCGATTCAGACGTTGAGTAAGGAACAAGGTAAACTTTCCGTAATAGGTAAACTATACATACGTATCCAGGTGAGAAATGGTCAAGCCGAGAAGTCACCGGCCCAGGGGAGATAACAGTTGAAATGAGACCCATAGGGACCAGGGCCTGTATATTCAAATCCGGAATATAGAGGCTAGTGTGACTGCCAGACGGGGATAGCACTGGCGACAGCGGCTAGACTTGTCATGATCACACGTCGTAGCGGGCAATAATCGATATTCATTGCAAGCATCCACGAGGATGCGGAAGATCTGGGATCCATTGACTGGCGCGCCGAATCGTGAGCGCAATATTGAGGCCCGAGATAGGCAAAGTCCGTCTGCAGTGCCAGGGATACGAAATGGCCCTGACGGCTTCCAGCTTGGCAGGAAGCTGATCATTGCAGCTTGCAGGACGTCAAGATCCCGGCATCGCGAGTGTTGATCAAAGTCAAATCCATAGCATTGCGCAAGCCGCACAACCCACCGTCCCCTAGGGCTCAAGGGCAGATGAGGCATGTCCAGTCCAGGCAAGGACAGGGCGGCACATCAAGTGGCCGTTGTTGAGCACCCGCGCGCCCCGGTGGCTTTTTTAATGAAGGTGTCCACTTGGGATAGCTCAAAGCCACGCGACAACGCAGCCAGACTCGTCGATGCGTGTACTGTAGCGACGGAACTCGGGAGGCTGATAACATGAGCGAGTTGGGATCAGGGGTTGTTCGCAAAAGTCCCCATACAGTAAATAAGTTCTGTCAAGGGTTCGGAACTGTCAAATCACATCCATAGTCAGCACCAGTCTGCTGACAGAATATAGACGGGACGTCGCCGAACCGCTTAATGAACCTAACGTCACTGTGTGCATGTATGCGTGTGTATGCTTGTGTGGCTCGGGGCAGATGCATGATCTATGTCGTGAATGCCATTTCGCGGTTGAACCTTAGTGGTAAGCTTATGAACTTGTGGAATCCTTCAGATTGTACATCTGCCCAGTTAACTTGCAGTCAAAACAGAGGACAACAGCTGCGTACTGTGCTCAGTTCATAGTTCGCAGTTCGCAATCTGATCCCCAAAAGGCCTTCACTACACAAGTACCGTCAGATGGACCCGACAGAGCGCCTCATGAGATGTCGTATAATAGGATCGCCAGGGGGGATTTGACAGGGGCATTTTTTGCGGCGCTGGGCCACATGTTGTTGAATGTTGCACGGGCATGGGCTGGAGCTGAGAGACATTGCGACAGAAATGCCCCGTCCAACTATCAGAGTAGCGCCCACACATTAGCCGTGGACATTGGCTGGCTCATCACCGTTACCGGAGGTTTCATGCAACGCCGCCGCACCCAGATCAGCGGGTCAGCGCCGAGCAAATGCATGGAATTTACCCTGTTCCATGGACCAAGGGTTCGCACGAGTGAATTGCCGAAGGAAGTAAGAAAAATAAGAGAAAAAGGAAACCCCACTATCATGAGGAACTTACCGGATGTGCATTCCTTTCCGGCTGGTAACATGTATATACACCTTGGCATATCCGCAAACACAGCGTGTGGAGTGCCTCAGGTGACTTCGTACCTTCTCCGTTGTACAGTAGGTAGCATGATCACGCATTAATTGCGTGCACGGGGGTGGTTACCCCAACCAAACCGAACCCAAGGACCAAAAAAATATGACCACTACCCTGGGAAAGGGCGATCTGGACCGCGCCCAACTTAATTAACCTAAGTTTTACCTCAGGTAACGTTTCCGAATTCCAAAATGTTTCCCTTGCAAGCAACACTTGCAAGCAAGCACCTTCATATATTTGCAACAAACTTTTGCAAATCTAGAGGCTCCATATCGCTTTTTAATTTGGATACGCACGCCTTGTCTTAATGATTCCGCGAGCCTGCCTCTTGCGGCTGCCGCCCGTCTGTTTCACTTTACATTTTGACTCGTTACTACGTTGAGATGATGACAGAAAGTGCAGCTCACTGCAACCAGTGTAACCTTAAGTCCGGTTGCAACCCGAAGCGCAACCTCCAATGGTTAAGCGAGGTGACGACGGTCCAAGTCGTCAGTTTGGCGCTGCATCTCGCTGCCGCATTTGATCTCTGGCATACTGTGGCGACGAGGCGGTCTGCCGACAATAGCTGCAAAAGCGAGTCAGAGACGGGAACAACATGCGATCTTTATGGCCCGGGCTCCGAAGATAAAGTCACGGCCAAACGGGAGAGAACACATGAACCGTAATTCCAGCCGGGAACGCCAGATAAATGACACTATGCGGAGCTAAAAGACGCTTCACATTAGCAGTATCAGCACTGCGAGCTGACCCTAGTGTACTACGGTATGAGGCCAAAGTCCCCCCCCCTACAAGTACCAGTGGACCACTGCTAAGGCAACGCTATAATAATCCTGGCCGAGCCTACTCATACTAAAGAAAAGGTACTTCCACCTCTGATTCCAACTTGCTGTTAATGCGTCCTTATTATCGCGTTTCAGTAACTATAATAGGGACTAAACACCTTACGGAAGCCGATCGCTAACGAATTCGAACCCTTTACTTCGACGGTAGTAAATCGAAAGCCGAAATTTATACTATTATAACGTTTTCTCTTAATTAGATTAAGACGGCTATTAGGGCCTCTTCAAGCTAGGTAGCTAAGAGATCTAGTAGACCTCGGACTTTATCTCGTAAGTAAGAAGGAGAGCTCGTTATATATATAACTAGTTCTAAGCAAGTGTGACAGGCTGTGCCTGATTCGCAGTGAGCCCGTCACAGCAAGGCCGTAGAGCCTTATTCCTCTAATTATTAATTCTCCTTTTCTAGTCCCTTTTCGGAGTTTACGTTATACGAACTACCCTCTGCCGGCTCGGGTTTAAGAGACATACTACGCGCCGAAAGCCCCCTATCTCAGAAGTTAACCGACAAAAGCGCCTCGCCTAGGCCCTCGAACATGTTAGCTAGACACTATAGTAATAGGCTTAGGTGCTTTAGACCGACGAGACATAGATTACAGGGGGATACTATCGAAAACAGTACGTTGCACGATAACTAGGAGAAGAATAGGACCCGACCTGTATTATCGAACGACACTACCGTAAATAAGGCTAGATGTTCTAGGGCTGTTTCCTAGGCCTTAGGAAAGGACCGGAAATATTCTAGGAAAAGGATTAGGGTTCTATTACTACCGAGATATATCGATTCTACATAATTCCTATTATCGATAGCTAGATATAACTCTGTTAACGGGACTTAGTATACACCTTATATTAATATAGGACGGCGCTCCCGCTTACTCGGTAATTAATATAATTATAGATCTTGCGGATAGGGGTATTAATATAGTCTAGTAGCTACCTTATTCCCTTGATCTAAACCCGATAGAGATATACTAGAACTAGATAAAGGACTATATTAAAGATAAATACGGTATTACTAAAAAGCCTAGCTATAATCGTATTCGGATATAGGTAAAGAAGGCTTAGGATGAACTACCTGAGAGCTACTTACAGGAGCTTTTGAAATTGATACTAGAGAGGTGCGAAGCGGTGATCGCGGCTAACGGATTGTATACAAAGTACTAGTAAAATATTGAATGCATATGCCAAGAGTTGGCGCGTGCTAAGGTGGGGCACGGTACAAACACACAATTGAAAACTTACCCATGACACCAGAGTATGTACCAACGGCGTGTTAATCATTCGGTTCCCTCCGAACGCATCAACGTCCAACTTCTTCATTGATATGAGCGCTTATGTCCAAGACAGCGGGGCTACATCCTGTAGCTTGTTACTGTTGATGAATGCAAGCGTAGGAACGATGCTGGTGGCCTACACGGGCTTATGTAAAAGCAAGCATGAGCAATCCAAAACCACGCGTATTTGCTTGCTTTGGGTACCGAGCTGCGGCGGCGGCTTCGGCGGCTCTCAGTGAGGCGGCTCCTAGGATCACTATATGCACATTTAAGGCGGCTATCTGGGCAAAGATCGCCATGAATTTACCAGCCAGTCGCTTGCACGGCAACTCGCATCAATCTGAGATCACAACAATGAAATACGAAGCTTCTGGAAGCTGCATCGATGCACGTCTTCAGCGGGCAGCCAGCTCGAATCCCGTATATCGTATCAATGCTGACTCATGCAGTCAACCATGCCGACCTCCTCCCACATCCCGGGTGCACACATTTATCCTAGCCCGTGATCTACACAACCAGCCGTTACATCCACTACCAAATTCGAGCCTCACAGGACCGAAGCCAGCAGATTCCCAGGATCATTCAAAACGACTGGCACAAATCAAGTCGCGATGCAGCAGCAAGCCGTCTTTTCCCCTTTTCGGTCTCGACATTACCATTTGTATGGCGACTGGTCGTACTCGTCCTCAATAGTCTACTCAAATGTCTTGTCATGTGCGGAGAGTTCGCACGTTTCAAGTTCCTTGCAGTGGGTTGTATGCATACCCGAGGCTGCGTTGGTCTTGGATCGCAGTCTGCACTGGCTTTATGCCATCAGTGCTTTCGAAGTCTCTCCTGATACCAACACCAGAAGAGGCAGAAAAAGAAACGAAAATTGGTGCCGAATTACCGAAGATCGCAACTGCAACTTGTGACAACGAGGCCCGGGACCTGACCTGTACAGTTGATGGACCGAGCACTACTGTGTACCTACATCAACCCAGTACTCCGAACAAAACGAGACACAGCCTAGGAAAGCATCGATTGGCACACAACTTTCCCGATTGTCGACAGTCATGGCCGGTCGAGGAAAACAAGTTCTCCCATCACATCGTCCTCTTTCCTCTTGACTCCTGACCAGGGCCCACCGCATTGACTATATCCGACTTGCTAAGCAGCAGTGCCTAATGGAGTGTGTGGAGCCGAGTGGCTCTTTGAGGAGTGAATGAGACCCCGTCCGATTGCCGAACGTGCGGGAAGACCAAATCGGCCCCGCAAAATTCCCCGTCTCCAGGCCTCAGGACAACGGACAAATCCAGTTCGAGCCTGGTGTGGTCTCAGGTAACAAGGCCACGCAACTTATGAACAGCGGTTCTATATCAGCTATGTGTATCGACCAGTAAACCAGAATGACCAGTAGCTTCAGTGCATGTTTACTGCGCCTGCGCGGAGGCCACCTGACCCTCTGTGCCTTGAACAGACCTACGCCTCTCACCAACTCGATATGTGCTCGGTATGCTACATGGTGCTTGAACTAGAACAAAAGGTACCTAAGCTGTGGGGCCAGTTTCTCAGATTCTTCAACATGATCTGATCTTTCCCAGAGCAATACTGTCTCGCAATTAATGAGACACATGCCAAGATCAGCATGATCCTCATTGCGACTCTTAGCCCTGAATGCTCACCTCGAGAGCGCCTGCGAATAACGTCCCCGGTCTTCTTTACCAGTTATTCTAGATGTTCAATTGTGACTTGTCCTACCAGACACATGTGTGTGTGACGGCACACGAGCAATGTGATCCTCTACCGCGCTCGTGAGGGGAGGCTCACCGAGTCAACTACTCCGCACAGTAGTCGAATTGGGGGGGGCGGCGGTCTGAGCTCGTTACCGATGTTACCATCCGAAAGGTAACGTCTGGGGAAGCGAGCCTGCGATCTGGGCAGCCTGGGATAGCGCCAAGTCTCTATCACCCTCTCTTTCTCTTTCTATCTCCCTCTGCCTCGAGAGATGCATGCCCCGGCAGTTGTCAATAGAAAGCTGTGCGTCGGCGAGTCTTCACCAAACCGTCATGACTGCGTAACATGACCTCCTTGGGTGCGGCCCTCCACCAATTGACTGTGTGCGCAACCGAGGACATGTGCTGGCGATTCTTCAGGTGCCACCAAGACATTTACCCATGCTCCTGGTAGGGCGAGACACGATGGTCTCGGAGATAGATGTGGTACAGCCATGTTTCTCGCTATACGGTGCAACGAACGACCCTTGTATCACCATCAACGACCGATGTTTCCAACGATATCACTTCTTGTCCGGAGAGGCCACAAGCCGTTCCGTACCCGGGTGGTGGTTCTTTACGGGCTTGCACCATTCGTGCAGTTTTCGATCAGAATGCCTGGATTCCTCAGGAGATTGCGTTTTGTTGCAAACAAATTGGACCGGTACGTTTGGAGACAGGCAGCCAAAAAAAAAAAAAAAAAAAAGGGGTGTAAATGAACCACACCCATGTCTGCAGGCATGAATCGCAGTCTATCCAGACGACATTTGAACACAAGATCCGATGATTTGGGATGGGCAGGCGGTGGCGCCCGGGGAGGATGGGATGGCTTCTCCGAATTTCGAAACCCAGCAAGGCGCTGCCTGCCCTTTTTTCACCATCACTTGCACACATGCGCAGGTGGAATGGAGCGTGCACAGTCTTCCTCTGATCTCATCACTATCATGGGACGGGGGACGGGGAAGGCGTCTGTTCGCGTCGCGATCGATCCTTCCCGTCCATCAAACCTGCCAAAAGTACTATTTTAAATCGTTCAAGCTTTTTGGTCCGATGCTTCGTGCCATTTTTCCGGAGAATTCTTGAAGGGGGTTCGGGGCAGGTGTGTGTCTCCTGTGACGATGCGTGCTCCAGAAACCAACTCTATTTCGCTGTCCCTTGTTTCTGGAAGGCTCGCATACTACAAATAGCAACGGATCGCTTGCTCCCGTCTTTTCCCACCTGGCTAATGTTTCCAAGTTTCCCCTTCCTTCCCTTGGAAAGGGTTGGGATAGGCTTGTGGATTGACTTTATATGATGTTCAGGAACCAGAGGGGGTTTGGAATTCCCTGCCCGAACGGACCTGCAAGCTGGGACTCCTTGCAGCGACAAGAAGCCACTAATGTTTTGACACGCTGAGAGCGATCAAGTTGCCGGGAACAATGTGGCAGCCCCGCCGTCATGTTTTCACAACAAGGCATCGTTGCCCGTTTGCTGCCGAATTGACCACGGCCAACGTTCTGCTTGTCATGCTTGTCTTGTCGGGTGGTCTAGGGCAAGTTTGATCTAAGCCTGATCGACTGGACGAACATTCGATTTGCGCTTTTCTTTTTCTCTCGTTTTTGCTGTTATTTTTAAATGCTGCTCCACTGCGCCGAATGCCAGTCAACCGTTGACTCAGATCCGGTACCGAAAGTGCGCGCGCCTCAGACTTGGCCATGATCGAGGCTTCTTTAGCACTTGACTTCGCTAGTACTTGCTAGTGGCTACTGTTTGGCAAGCCAGCCTCGCAGCGCATTTACAAGTGCCGGTTGAGGCTCTCACCGCTAGAGAAGTATCATGGCGATCTTGCATGGACAAGCGGCACTTCGCTAGATAACTCTACTTCAATGACAATGGCATCTGGGAAAAAGATGCAAGGGGCATTCTAAGAGCCCGTCTTTTAGCAGCGCGGACGTCGCCGAAACCCTCGCAGGTTGTTGAGAAGCAGAAAATTTGGAATCGCTATTGCTGGCGTTTTGGTCGGTGACGACTAGAATTTGCAGACTAGAATGCGCTCTTTTGCTGGCTCTTGACTCACCATCTCCACTTGCCTCGGCCGCATTCCGCTGAAATTTCCAAGTCTGCCTTCAATTAATACTGAGGATGGCGGCGCGGTGATCGAAATTGAGCTACTGCTCATCACGCCGACTGAGTCGAAGACGGTAAAGAGCAGTCAAACCTCCCAATCTTTACTTTGACTCGGTATTCCACCGCCCGCCGCGTAAAGACCGTTGCCAAGATGTGCCAATCACCGCTCCACCCCTTCCTAGCGGCGCTGCCCAAGTGCGAGCACCACATGCACATCGAGGGCTCGCTGGAGCCGTCGCTGCTGTTCGAGCTGGCGGCCAAGAACGGCATCGCGCTCCCCGTGGACAAGGACGCCGCCTTCGCCTCGGTGGAGTCGCTGCACGCCCGGTACCAGACGTTCCAGAATCTCGACGACTTTCTGGGCTATTATTACATCGCCATGTCGGCCCTCGTGGACGCGGCCGACTTCGAGGCCTTGGCTTATGCCTACTTCGCCAAGGCGGCCTCGCAGAATGTCCGTCACGCCGAGGTCTTCTTCGACCCCCAGGCCCACACGTCCCGCGGCGTTTCCTTTAGCACCATGGTCGCCGGGCTCAAAGCGGCGCAGCGGAGGGCCCAGGCCGAGTTCAACATGAGCACCGAGCTTATCATGTGTCTGCTTAAGCACCTGCCCCTGCCCGACGCCATGAAGACGTTCGAGGAGGCCAAGGGGGCGGGCTACTTCGCGGACGGCACGTTTGCGGCTATCGGGATGGATTCGTCCGAGAAGCCGTTCCCGCCTAAGATGTGGGAGGAGCTGTTCGTCGCGGCGAAGGAGGCGGGAATTCGCCGCACCACGCATGCGGGCGAGGAGGGGCCCGCAGATTATGTCGTGCAGGCGCTGGATGTGCTGGATGCGCAGCGGATCGATCACGGGCTGAGGTCCGTCGAGGATGAAGCGCTGTTGAAGAGATTGGTGGAGCAGAAGACGTTGTTGACGCTGTGTCCGCTGTCCAATGTGAAGTTGCAGTGCATTGGGTCCGTGGCCGAGTTCCCACTGAGGAAGTTGCTTGATGCGGGCGTCCGGTTTAGCATCAATAGTGATGATCCCGCGTACTTCGGCGGGTATATCCTGGAGAACTACTATGCGTTGCAAGATAACTTCGGGCTGACCATTCGCGAATGGGAGGGGATTGCCCAGGGCTCGGTGTTGGGGAGTTGGTGTAGCGAGGAGAGGAAGCAGGAGTTGCTAGCGGAGATCAAGACTGTTGTCGGCGAGTGGCTTGAGAAGTTGGGAGAGCAGTAGACGGTTGTGGTAATAGCAACCGTGTCCAAGTCTTGTTACACTTGGAATCGCAATATACCCGGGTAGGATTTGGTGTCCTTACCTTTCAATAGTGATACTCAAATATAGACAAACCCTTTGCAAGCATAATCCGGTTGCGTACCTGTCGGAACACTTAGAACCGTAGTAGCAACCCGATCTTGCGCAAGACAAGACACCTGGGATGAGCGTCGCAGAACCTGTTACTTTAAAGGAGTGGGACTAAGATGCACCCAATTTGCATACAACTATTTTCGCAATCTGAGGATTATGCCAGATCTCCGAGTGCTCAATTACTACGGTTTTCTCTGCCTAGGTTTATACGCTTGGTCCTCTCCGCAGTACATGTATCGAGTAGTGTTGTTTCGTCGTATGTCCGCTATATATATATATAGATATATATAATCCACGGCTGGAGGTATTTGCTATGTTCTTTATAGCAGCGGATACGAGTCTAACTATCGCCATAGGACTTCCTCAAGTGTAAGAGTAAATGAGGGTGGGAAGAACAAGCGCGACCATAATGTCTTCCTGGCCGTTCCTGGATCTTCGGTCAGACGAGTTCGACTGGATATGTTGCTCCCCAAATCATATTTCACTCGTCTCCAGCTTCGACTGATGTAGACGCAGCGACGATAGATACGGACATGGAGGTCGACTAGAATGGCTTCGAGCTCACAATTATGAGAAGCCATTCTCGAAACCCCAAATTATCACGTGGGGTGTTTTAAGCAGTATATAATCTTGAGCAGCATCAGGCCATATATATGCAATACACAGAGAGGTGTAAAGCACCTGGAGCGTCGTTACAAGTAGGCGTACGATGATTCGAAGAAGCGACCGAGACGAAGACGGAGTCGAGCATGTTTTGCTCCTTCGCCATCCGGGCGGCTTATTATAGATACTCAATTACGTGCAAAGTTAATCCAATCGAGCCTGGCTAGTCAGTCTTTCTTCCATATAGCAATAGTCCTGACATTCTTGAAAGATCCGCGAAGCAGCTTGGGCCGCCGAGGTGGGATGTCAACATGCCGGAAACGAACAATTGGAGAGAGCTTGCTCAATTTCTAGACTTGGTGTTGTTTTCCAGACCCAGGTGGTGTACACAGATTGCAGTGGTATCATATGCCGGTTCATGCGAGCAGCAAAAGAGTGTATTCATCGATCTGAAATCTCACCACGACTATATAAGGGGGGGAGGGGAGGTCCTTGAGAATCAATTCTTCCTCCCGCACGAAACCCAATTAAATAGAGTTAGATACGTACATGAAGTTGATTCGATTGAGGTGTTTGTACCAGGAGAGTGACAAATCCCCTCTCGTAGGCAGAACACAGAATTAAGGACGCACCCAGTGGACTGACTGAGATATTTCTATCTACTATACTGGGATACCGTCCTACCTCCATAAAATTCCATCCTTGGTGCGCCATTTCATCCGTTCTCCGCTTTTCTAGGTCTTGATAATGGATAGCGCAGAGCGGAAGGAAGGAGCTTGTGTCTGATCTTGCCGCGTCAGTCTATCCACAGCTCCGGCGTCGTCGTGATCCAACCAGGGGATCATTGACACTCACGACTTTGCAAGTGCCCCTCGACCGGACAATTTTGCCTCCTGATCTAATTGATTATGTATTGACATATCACGTTGAGCAGACTAAGACTTCATGTAAATTTTTTTCTTTTATAACTTGTTCTTTGTTCTTGAATTTAATCGAGATAATCGAGATTGAACAAGTCATCCATGTGATCCCAGTATTGCTAACAGGTCTAACGCAGCATGTGCTTTTTCGTCGATTCTACATGTTTACATCGTGTCTATAAGAGAAAGAGGTAGTCCCAAATAGCCGTCGAACTTGGCCAGTATACCTCGCAAATCTAGCAGATCGAGTGCGTCTTGCCGTGCTTGCCTTGGAGAGAGTGCTCCTCGTTCTGTGAGAGGAAAACGTGTTAGTCTCGGGGTTTGCGCGATGCTAAAACACGGAGCACTCGCCTTGTATTCGGGGTGATTGTGCTTTGAAACGGAGCTGCGCATGGTATGTCTGCGGACGAACTCGTCGTGTTTCTTGATGGAATCTTTGTCCATCGAATCAAGCAACCCACTGCAAAGCTTGATGTCGCAGATCAAGGCGTCACACCTGTTCTTGGTAAAATCCTCTCGCACGACGACTCGGAGCATCTTCATGTTTTCGGTGTGTGGTGCCATCGTGTAAGCCGGAACGACCTGTAAAAAGGGGCGTCAGGGCTTTTCCTGTTCTTCGGTTGCTCAGTGAGGAGACAGCTTACCCATCCTCTGGCCCGTAACTTATGAGCCAGGGCAAACTCGTCCCAATTGCGGTCCGCGTCTTCCTTCAAGCGGAAGGCGACTAGCGGTAGCCCTTCGCCAGACTTCTTGCTCATGATGGTGTAATCAAGCGCCTCAAGAGCTGATGAAAGGTAATCCGCCGTGCGAGTGAGGTTGCTCATGATGGCGCGGTAGCCCTTCTTGCCAAGTCGTATCAACTTTTTGAACGGTCAGTGGGGTTTTTTTTCTGACGTTGATGGAGGGGTTTGAGGGTAAACGTCAGGTATCCGGGTTCATACGGCGTATAGTCGCGTTCAAAAGGGGCAGAAGTTTTGTGTACTAACCTGATAATACTGCCCAATGACCTGGCTAGCTCCCTGTTCACATGACAATTAGTAAACCTAGATAAGCAAATCGATAGTGAAGACAAGATATTGGCTCTATCTTTACGTGTAGCGAGGCTGGAACATAAAGACTATACCCGCGATGGCACCAATCATCTGGCTCAACTGCACGGATATGGACAGCCAATTTGAGTACGAGTTGGTGAGATAAGCGGCAAACCGCCTACTCCACGCACGCAGTGAATGTAATAAATATACCGAGACCGGAAGACGTACCTTGGAAAAGTTCAGCGTGAAAGACGACTGTTCTGCCCCCAGGTAGTTAATGTTGAAAACGAGTTCCTTGGGGAGATACTCGGCACTTCGCCAAACTACCCAGCCAACGCCAGGGTAGACGAGTCCGTACTTGTGGCCAGAGACGTTGATGGAGACGACCCTCTCTAATCTGAAATCCCACTCGAGGTCGGGAATGACAAAAGGCGCTACGAAGCCACCGGAGGCAGCGTCGACGTGGATGGGCGTGTCCAGCCCCTTCTTAACGAGGAGGTCGTTGACACTCTTGACGTCCTCGTACTCGCCCGTGTATGTGGTGCCGAGGATGACGCAGATGCCAATCGTGTTCTCGTCGACGAGGTTGACCGTCTCCTCGGGGTCGATGACGAAACGGTCCTTTGTGCAGTAGACCAGCTTCTCCTCCACCTCGAAGTACCTCGCCGCCTTTTCCCAGCACACTTGAACTGCGGATGACATGATGATGTTGGGGTTCTCGGTGGACTTGCCGAGAGCCTTCATCTTGTTCTTCCAGCGCCTCTTCATGGCCAGTACGCCCAACATAATGGCCTCGGATGAACCCACACATGACGTGCCGATGCAGTTCTCGTCGCTGGTCGGCGCGTTGAACATGCGCGCAATCATGGAGACACATCGATTCTGGATGTCTGCAGACTGGGGGTACTCCTCGTAGTCGATGAAGTTCTTGGAGAAGGACTCCGTCATCAACTTCTCGGCCTCCTCCTCCATGTAGGTAGTGACGAACGAGGCCAGGCTGTGGAGAAGAACAGGTTAGAAAAACGACCACAAGTTGATGTCAAGGTGAGGCTACTGACTTGAGCATGGGATTTCCATCAAGACTCAGCTCATCCTTGATCATGCGGTAGGCAATGTCCCGGGGCATCTCGTTCTCGGGAATTTCGTGCCTCGGCAGGTCCTCGCCAGCAAATCGGCTGCCATAGATACTCGTTGTGAACTGATCTTCATCGTTACTAAGCTGCATGGAGATCTTCTTCACCGCCTCGGGCAGGGTGCCTGCGTTGATCTCGTGGTCCTGAGGGACGGAGGCGAGATGAACCATGACTACGGTGGTTGTCTTGCTGTTTAGGGCGTTCCGACGAATGCGGGAATATGGGCAGTAAGTCAGAGATTTTTTTGTTCAGCCGAGCCACCTGGGGAAGAGGAGCTCCAGGAAGGTAGGTCAGGTAGCTAGCAATGCTTTCCCAGCAAGCTCCCTTTAAATAGGGCAGGTCAGGTAGGCCGGTCGGTTGACCGTATCGCACACCGTTCTTTATGCGGGGTAGGGCCCAAGATGAGCTGTCAATGCCCCCAAGCCGCAGGGATATCACCAATCACATTAATTCCTAGTCCAGGTACCCAACTGTATTTGCATCCGACAGTTGGGAGACATGAGATGGACGGTTTGCCCCTTGCAACACACTCACGCAACGCTCTTGAATCGCAGGTTGTGTCTCCTGCTAGCGACTGATTGACGCATCGAAATAGCAGGGATCATCTTGAGTCGGGTTGGGGTAGCACCACCAAAAAACCGAACCAGCATTGGCAAGAAAGCTTGGCGCAGATTTGCAATGACGATGTACCGCTAGCAAGGGTAGCTGTGCGTACCGCCTGTCCAATGGTGTCGATCCTTAAAACAAGCCAGGTCAAGTGTCTGTCAGAACAACTCATCAGAAAGCAATAATGCTCACCCATCTATGATCAGCTTTCAGACTCAGGTGGGATCGAGTTACGCCTGGTCTACTGCACTGCAAAATCGGGGTATCCCATGTTATTACGCCCTTGGTGCGCCGTTATTCTTGTCACCTCCTCGAGATAGCACGCAATACGTAATGCTCTGCCGATGCTTCACGGCTACGATTGCCAGGATGTTCACACAGATTCGTCCGATAGTCAGACTAGACACTCTGATCCAGAGTGAATACACCAGTGACGAGCATTTCGTGATGTCTGATCGAGCGTGACGCAGATGAATCCGGCAGCTCCAGGTCGTGTTTCAATCTAGACTTGCTTGGCTGAGACGGGCCCGTTGGGCTGCAGGCCGCGTCCCGCAGGCTTGAAAATGACATCACCTTTGGCCCATCAGGAATCTCGTAGGTAAAGTATCCATGCCCGGCAGGGTGCCACATCTGGACCTGAGCCACGCCGCTTTAAGCCCGAGCCCGGCCGGAGTTTGGCCTGAGCTTGGTCCCTAATACCACATCGTGGAGAAGTAAAAACGTGCATATCACGGAGGGCTTCCGTCAATAACTTGTGGCTGGACATATCACTAGACTTTCGTCTATCTTCAGATTCAACCCACGTCGACTCATCGTTCAGGCAAAGAAAAATTGCGCACCAATAGCGCTATCATGCCGCCCCTACCTGGTTGTCCGGTCGCATGGGAGTCGTGGACAGCAAGTCGGTATTGTGGTGCGTAAAGAGCTAGACCGCGATATTACGTAGCAGCATCCATAGGGTAGGTGTAATACGAGTTGTTAGTATCACAAGCATTTAGCTTACTGCGGCTCGACATGGTTCATGCTGGCAGTAATTAATTGACTGTGGGCGGAAACGGTCAATGACGCAAGGCATAAGAATAGAACACAAATTTACCACCACAGCTTACACAGTTTTGCATATAATCGTATTAAACGTAGTTGTAAAGTATGCTCAAAAGCACTAGGAAGATCACCTTTTACGAGTATATATCCAACTCCTGTTTAGGACCCTCCTGCAAAGGTAATAAGAAGACTAGAACATACGACGTATATCAACGTTCCAAGGGAAAGCCATAATCCTGGATCTATTCTCGTGAAAAACACATAATGCTGATCTTACCTGAACCATACCCAGTGGTCACTGTCAACCGAAATATATTTGAGCATGATGGCCGGAAGTCTGGTGTCAGCCAGAGAATTCTCTGTCCACAGTGTGTGATCCAGCCTCGGTCTGTCCTGAGACCATACCCGAGGCGATCGCCTTGAATAGACTGGGATGAAAGGGTGGTATTCAATTGTTCGGTGGAGATGAGTTGGCGATATTACTATACAGACCGGATTCTTGCGAGCCGTTAACAGCGATGGCCCAGTATTAGTTGGCACATATTGGATATTTCTTTCGAATCAGATAGTTCCTGATACAAGAATAGTATCAACTGTTCTCTGCAGCGCACCTGCATTGGCCGCCCAGAGTTTGACGGTCTTGTCGTGCGAGAAGGCTGCCGAGTACACCGAGTTAGTATTGCCTTGAACCGTATGTGAACAGGCGCTCCAGCTGTCTTCTACTAGTGGTTTTGGGGTTATTCATCCCGGTTTTTCTTGTGGAGATAGGTTCCGTATAATGCTCTCATTAGGGCTGCATGTAAGTGCTGAAACGTATGCTTGAAGTGGGCTTCCTGTAACCACTACGCTATGAGATTGGACAAATCGCAGCGCCTCATATACTATTGCGGATCGCGCTTCACTGCCCAATCATGTATAGAGCCATCGGACGACTTCACATCCATTGCTTGGCATAGAGCCTTCCCCTGAACTCAAACGCGTTCTTATTTTGCTTCCTTCGTCCGTAGTAATTCGACTTTCGCGTTGTCTAATATGAACACCCCGAGCGATTTGAGACAGCTCTGGCCCTTGTCCACGGAGCGGGATTGACGCACCCAGACGGAGAGTTGCTTACAATTTTTCTGCAGATCTCTGTTGATCAAGACCAAGCTGCGCGCTATCTTTTGCGTGTCTGCAGCCTCAGCGGGAATAATGCAACTGGACTATCCTCTGTCTTGTGTTGAAAGATGCGAGCTCTTCATACACTCTTTACGAAAGTCTTATGGATGGATTCTGACATTTTACCTAGCTATTCAAGACCATCCTTGTCGCCCACTCTGTGACAAGGGCATCATTGGGTCCATAACTGCAAGAGATGGAATCTGTTACCTGACAGGTAGCCAAGGCTCATGGATAGATCCCCTCGTTGTGGCACACATATTTCCTCAGATCAGCATGAACTCTGATACTGTCAGTCCTTACTCAGCTTAAGCACTTCGAGTCCTTTTCATGACGAGATATGGAACTAATCATGTGCTCGATTCAGCCGCGAAAGGAGATGCTTGCGGCTTTTCCGAGTTCACCACACGAGGAATGGTTGAAGTCGTACTTTTCCGCTGTGGAAAGCCGGCAGCGAATGGCCCTTCAATCTATTGCTAGTCGAAAAATCTGCTACGGACGCATTTGCAAAAGGCTTCTTCCAGGTCAAGGTCGAGAGTCACGGTGTAGGCCCCCCACTCCAATCGTTCTGTGCTCATTCATCTTCTGTACATTTAATTACAACATTAGACCTGTGTTGCTACTACATCTGTGGATTGGCCAAATTACGCCCAGATCGTGCAACACGTCTTATCCAGAGTGTGACACGCAGACCTTTCTGCTCCAGATCCTTTCGCCCCAGATATTGTATCCCGCTTTGCAGAAGCAACCCGCTGGCTGCATCTAGCCCAACGCATCCGACAAGCAGACTCTTCCAGGCCCAAGACTGCTACCTACTAACATCGCGGTAGCCTGGAAGGCCGCTTAGGTTCTACATTAACACGTTGAGCGATGAGAAATTACGATCCCTCGTCTATGAATTACAGCTTTGTCTCAAGATGTTACGCGGGCTTCGAAGAGACTCGGCTCTACAAGGCACAATCACAAATACAGTCGAAGAACCATGCTGTGACGCTAGAATAAACACCGCTGTTGAATACGATGATACTCGAGGTGAAATTAGCGGGCCTTTCCGGACGGAGCACGAGTTCAACGAAACATCACGGAATCCCCACGTCCCAGATATTGTGCATCGGTCTGACCACAGAATCGTATTCACTTACGGCGACTTGAACATACGAAATATCTTGGGTAATAGGGTAAGTGGAAGATTGTCCGGAGTTGTGGATTGGGAGACTGCCGGGTGGTTCCCTGACTATGGGGACTACGGCGTGGAAAGATACAGTTTCTGTTCGGATCCGCTCTATCTGCATAACTGTGTATAAATTGTTATTACTCAGGCTCCTTAGGCTGTGTGACTAACATTGGACTGAGACGAGCCTGAGTAAAAGTGGCATTGACGCTAGGCCTGATGTCGCCGGAAAAAGATGCCATGAACCCTCAAGAAACCCCCCCTCCCCCACGTCATGTAGAAGTTTCAGACATCGCAGTCCTGCGACGATATCTACTTGTTTCCTGGCGAACAGAGATCAAGCTTTTGGCCCAGCTGAATCCCCCCACGTCGGCTTGTATAATGTCGGTAGGCCGCATTCTTTGTTTCCTCTTGTTGTATCCAACTATCTTTTGTATTTCAAACAAGGCATTTACGACAACACGCAAGGTATTTGGTGACCTAGTGTACGAAAGAGGGAACATCACAAAAGTCGTGGCATTCCTGATAATGCTCAGTATATTCGTTATTCTGCTGACTTTGTATGCCCGGTCGGCAACGCGTAGTGATGGATACGGCTACAATCGAGCTACAACCATGTCAAAGACGTTGAGCATTGATTAAGGAATCGTGTGCGGTAGTTTCGAATCCTGATAACTTGCTGACTGGCCGAGTTCACTGTTGGTCTTATCACTGGCGCACACTACTCGACGTGAGCAACTCTGGGCATCGACCCGTCTGTTCTTAGGGAAGAACCAAATGGCTCCGGTCAGAGGAGGTCGGTGGTATGTTGATTCAAAGCGGGACAATGGGAGCAGCTAGCGACCAGTCGACTTCTCTTTCACTTCCGCAGCATGCAGCTCACCGTACTCAATATGGAATGATATGGAATGATATGCAGCGTATAAAATCTAGACCTCATTGACTTGCACATCAGCATTCCAGCATAGTCCTCAAGGGTACTTTTTTCGCAAGATAAGATTACTCCCAAGTATTCAATCGTATAGTTTACAATGAGACGAGGTTCAACCCGCCTTGTTCCGTCACCAATTCTGAGATATTTCGTTCAAAGACGAACTTGAAACTATGAAGTACTACTCCACCCTTTCCGTGGTGATTGTGTCTTTCTTTCATCATCAATAGAAATTATTGCTGGTCCCCAATTACTGGAAACAACACTATTCGCCGTGCCCTTTATATATCTGCGCTCACTATCCTACGGAGGTAAGGGTCGAATCTTTGGGAGTACTGGAAGGAGGAATATATGGCCCAGGGTCGAGGCTGTTCAGACTTCTGGAAGGTGTATTTGGTCCCGGGAGAGGGCTGTTCTGTAATCGGAAAGGATCGTTCGGCCCTCGACGCTGTGAAGAAGGAGATCCTCGAAGGGGAGAAAGAGTTAGTCCAGGTGACGCCGTTGACAAATTCGGCCGTACTGGAAGAGCCGACCTCAGTTCTTCAACAGGGGGAAGCGTTGGCCTAGGTGGATACTATGACTTGGAGGTAGCCGTCGCTAGGTCATATGGAGGGTGGTTCAAGCCCACAACGATCGGCTTTTCTTCTGCCGGAGTAAAATTAAGGGATGGCTCTAGGACTGTGGGGGCCCTACCTGGTGAGATTGACGATACTGGTACGATTCTGACGTGACGATAATCCGTCTATTCTTGGCCATACTGACGTCGAATGCCTGTTAATCCGTGGCATCGGGCCAGAAGTCGCAGGTAACGACGGCAAGGGTCGGGATTGCTGGCTTTTTCTCAGACGCAACTCTTTTGAGCAGGTGACAAACACTTCTAGGCAATATTCGAGCCTCGCGACTTCTGGTGGCCAATCTGAAAATCTAAGGGTTGCACCGCCTTTTATTGGACGCAAGTCGTATTCACCGTGCATGCGGATGGCAACCTCATATCAGTCAATCGTGGCGACGTCGTCACATCTCGAGAGCATGCGATGTGGGCCCCTGTGTTCGCCATCTTCTGAGTCGCACAATACCTGCAGCACAAGCGGTAGCTGCTCCACGAAATTTTGAAGGCCCCATCTCGCATATCCGACAGCATAACCCTGGTGTACCTGGCTGATCACCATCTTCGTACAAATCGGCTGGAGGTTTGCTGTGTTGGAGGCTTCCAGCAGTGATCTCAGTCGATCGACCAGTAACAGCTGAGTTAGTGCACCGGCGGCTGTTACTGCATCTACCTTCCTCTTGGCAATCTGCTGCTTGCGCTTCTCGTTTTGCTACTTCCTTGGCCTCACGATCATGCTCGTCAGCCTTCTCTCGGGCCTCGTGAGACTCTTCCTCCTCTTGAGTTCTCCGTTTCTCCTCGCCTCATCTCTCGACTTGACAACTTGTTGGACTGCTCTGGGTTCGGATGGCTGCGGCTTGGCAAGCACAGAGCCGCACGGCTGATAAGTGAGAGGCGGCGGAGGTTGCTGGGGAGGTTGCGGGCGAGATTACCCATGGACGTATGAGGGCGGAGGGTAATACTGTGCAGGCCCTTGGTGTTGCGGGATCGGAAACTGCTGGGGGTGCTGAGGATGTGGTGTATACTGCGACAGACCAGACTACCAGTTTAGATCAGGTTGATCCGGCGGGTGAGGCAGCCCATATGCATAAGGCTGCTGGTTCTACTGGAAAGGTAATAGAGGCGGTGCGCGTACATAGTTATGAAGCTGATACTGCGGATAATGGCCGGGGTATGGCGGATAGGAACAGTTCTGATAGTATACTGGAGCAGGCGGTTGCTGAGATTGATGGGTTTACAGTGGTTGGTGGCCTTGCTGGCTTTGAGCATCCAGCTCCTGGTTCTGCCTGGGCTGGAATGTACTCGCTCCAGGGTTCAGCTTGGGTGAGGTTGCCATCCTCGAAAGAAAGCAATACTAGGAATAACATACGCTGGCGCCTGAGTTGTGTTGATCAGAATGTTAAAGTTCAACGTCTTCACGGGAAACTGTGTGGAAAACCCGCATGATAATGATCAAACTTTTCGGTTCCACCGTTGTCGTAACCATCTGTTTACAGAGTTATTAGTCACAATTGACTGGGTATCATGGTTGCTGAATTTGGATGCTTACTTTGGCGTAAGTGCAGGTACTGATAGCCAGCAGTGTAAGTGACACCGTATGTGCAATCCTCAATGTTGATGGACTTTTCAGTCAACCAGAATCTTTTAGTTGGTTGTTCCTCGTTTGCTTAGGAGGGATATGGATGGACCGCAGTCGCCGTTACCGGCATCCTAGAGCTCGACTGTTTGCTCCCGTGTTCCTAACGCCAGCCGTGCGCCGTTGCTCGAGAAGTCTACCAACGTGACCCCATGGCTATGGCTCGACATGGTCAAACCCTCTTTCCCTGCTGAGGACCCGGACTGAGCGTTCTTGGCAGAAGAAAGATAATTGCAGCTTTGTGGTTTGGTTTCGGCCTTTTTTCTCGCAATGGCATTTTCGTATGTTGGCAATGGGCGAATGGGTGTCACCTCTTGTTCCTCTAGTTGAGTGAACCTTGGGAGAGTTAAGCCGAGTCGAGATCGTTCGACGCGAAACTCCAACTCGTGTATTCCCTGTCCCCGAGCAACAACAAAAAGTCGTCATCACCATGGACACAAACGTATTCAGATCGAGGTTTCTGACTAAGCTCCTGCCATTCCCGCCCTTGACCCGGCCGTCCGCCTCCCGTTGCGCTCGTCTCAGATTTGAACTGGTATATGGTTGACAGCGCGCGTTCGTATCCGGCGGAATTCTCCTCGAAATGGTCAGGTTGGACGAACAGTTGATTATTCCAGACGTGCCAGGAAAAGTTGGACGTGCCTACGCCGATCTCCGGAATGTCAAAGTATTGAAGGGAAAACCGCTTCTTGTAGACGTTGAACTGGACGATGAGGAAGCGGGATATAGACCCCGTCTCGGACCGGTCGACAAAATATTTGAAGCCGCCCATTGTGAATAATCCGTAAGAGTCTGCACGAATAAACTTGTGCCCAAGATGGTCAAGTGGTTGGCCCCGAAGTAGCTTACCCTTCGGGTCTTCGCGCGGGAGATCAAAACAATAAGTTTGGGCCAGCTTTCTATCGCTGAATTCGTAGAGAGTGTAGCGAAGGGAACCCTGCACAGCAGTACTGGCATCCAAAGCATTCAAGAGTACCGTGCTGGAGTTTGGGTGAACCTGGCACTGGATATTGTCAAGACAGGTTGTCAACAGCGATTCAGGCAACGCGACAGGCAGTAAACTGCGCCCAAAATCCCAGATCAGCATCTCTTTGTTCGTCATCCAAACCACGACTTTGAATCCGATTGTGGCGGCGTCTTCAAGCTGACAGGGGAGAGTGACACGTTTATGCGTGCCGGTCTCGATGTCCCATCCGCACAAATAGTGATACATGCCAGCGACCACGAGCTTGTCTCCAAGGGCCAGTGGTACGAGGCCCGTATCAGCTAGGCGCATGCCGGAGGCAGCGAAGATCTGGCGTGACCTGGTTCGTAGGCAATCGAGGACGACAACACCATCCGTAGTCGTGCTCCAAGCTATTTTACCATAGCCATAGAGGGCCTTGACTGAGTCGAGAGCCCCGTCAGGGGATCCGGATACGTGGAGAGGAGCGCGATTCGACATGGACTCGAGTTCTGTGGCGGAATAAACCTCAGTATCCGCAACAAAGGAGGTTTCTGCGTCCCCACGATATTTCGTCATGGCTTTGATGCCGTATCTCCCCTCGGCTATCTTCGTCCATGTGCAGAGTGCCTTGACAACCGAATCAGAGTGAAGCCGAGTTTCTCCAGCATTGGGCTCGTTGTAGACAAGTGAAGGAAACACCCTGTCGGCAAGAGCGAAGATGACTTGTTCACTTTTGAAGCCGGCACGCCATGTCTTGGAAATAGCGAAGCAGGTCAGGATGTCTCTTGGGTCCAGGTAGTTTGATATCGACAGGACCAGTTCAAGAGGCAGTCGCGAGATGATGTCGGTTTGCAAGGTGACCTGAGAAAGGATTTGCTTCAGAAGGCGTATTTCGTTGCTGGTTAGATCCTTCATCAGGCGAGAGAGATTCTTTTTGCGAGCGTGGTAGTCAGGTTGATCATCTGCCAGCCTCAGGTTGCCCAAGGTCTGACAAAGTTGGTTGTCCATGATAGCTGCTCACGGGGAGTTCTCTTCCCAGTCTGAGAACCGGCAGAATGGCGCCAAGACAAAGCGTAGTGCCGTTCCTGCCCTGCCGACCTGGACTTTCGAAGTGAATCTTAGCCCTTCTATAGTCGGCTCCGTTTCCTTAACGAACTGGCATTTCCAGTTTTAATTAAATCGCCATCTACTCATCTCATGTGGCTCGAGTTGGCAAGAAACCTGTGGCGACCTTAGGCGGCGGCGGCTGAAAGGCGGGCATTGCGGCAGGTCTCCTACGAACCGGAACCCGAAGTTACCGATCTCGGGTGTGCTAGCTAGCGCTCCCGAGGCGTCGGAACTGCTGACGGTATCAGCTCGACAACCTAGCGTGGCAAGCCATTCATGTTTCCAATGTCAAAACCATCTTAATTAGCAACTATTTGCTGCATTTCGCGTCTTTCAGACGGGTTTACCGATGCGATCGCCAACTGCTAGCTCGCTTAACACCATCACTAAGCCCAGTGTCACTGGAAACAGTCCTTTTCGCATTCCCGTTCGCTCCGACGCCGGTCATTATGGCGAGCCAACAATCATCACCCGACCAGCCTGGTGCCCCCTTAATCCGATCTCCTTCCACGTCCACCTTGGGGCCCGCCAGTTCCCAAAGCTCTATCCGCGATAGCTCTTCGACGTCGAGCACGCGACGCACAGCACAGCTCCTCCGAACCATCTCCTTCGTATCCGCCATTCTCTCGTCCATGGGCGCCGGTTCCATCACCGTGTTCTCTCTCTATGGCCCACGATTCCAATCCCAGCTGCACTTTTCGCAGTTTGAGATCAATGGCATCGCGAGCGCCATGAGTATATCCATGTACATTCCGGTGCCCTTGCTCGGGTACATCTGCGATCGAGTCGGCCCCAGCCCTCTGTCATTGTTGGCCGTGGTTCTGCTTGGGACAGGCTATGGATTGGCAGCGGCTCTATACCACAAGGGGGAAATAGCATCGAGCGCAGGGGAGAGGAATAACCACGGGATTGTCCCGTACATGGTACTCGCGTTCGTGCTAATTGGGGTGGGTACCGTAGCGATGTATCTGAGTTCCATTACCACATGTGCGAAGAACTTCGGGAAGGGGAAACACCGGGGCTTGATGCTTGTGGCCCCGATCGCGTCGTTCGGCCTAAGCGGAATGGTCGTCAGTCAGATCGGGAGCCGGCTGCTGTACACAAGATTGCCGGATGGGTCAAAAGGCGAAGTCAACGTCTTCCACTTTTTCTTGTTTCTGGCTATACTGCTTGTTGTGGTAGGGCTATCTGGCGCATTTGCACTGCGCATCGTGGATGAGGACGAGCTCATAGACCAGGCCGTTGAAGAATTAGAGCGGAGTGGCTTTCTTGAAGGAAGCACCCTCTTGTCGCGAGGCAGATCTGAACGATCTTATGGCGCCACTGACAGTGCCGTCGAGGATCCCAGTGATGAGGCGATGCTGGACTCGGGAATAGACGGCGAGGATGAGGACAACTCCAAATTCAAGAAGACATATCTGCTGAATGCCGAAACACGAAGATTTCTCTCTGACCGTACCATGTGGTGGTTTGCTCTTGGATTTTGGCTTATCATTGGTCCAGGAGAGGCTTTCCTCAACAACCTTGGCACGGTCATCGGAACCTTGTACTCCCCGGGTTCAAACGATAATGTTACGTCGGCCGCAACTCACGTTTCCATTGTGGCCATCACGAGCACCGTTGCTCGTCTTCTATCAGGCTCTCTTAGCGACCTCCTGTCTCCGAGCCCCCATAGTTCTCACTACCAGGCCGGCCTCGACTCATCACTGCCGTCACTCCGACGGAAGCTTTCGGTTTCGCGGATTGCTCTAATCCTCGCGGCCGGCATTATCCTCTCTATTGGGACAATGGTGTTGGCGACTGGCTTCGTGCAGGATCACGGAGACCGGTTCTGGATCGTCTCGAGCTTGGTCGGCGCCGGGTATGGGGCCGTATTTAGCTTAACCCCGATCATTGTCACCATGATTTGGGGTGTGGAGAACTTCGGTACAAATTTTGGCATCATTGCCGTTTTTCCCGCGATTGGATCGACTATGTGGGGATTGACATACTCGGCTGTGTACCAGATGGGTGCGAAGAAACCGCCGTCAATGACAGATGGAGCTGATGATGATGTCTTCTGCTATGGAGAGCAGTGTTACTCCTCGACCTTCTGGGCAATGACATTCAGTATCTGGATAGGTTGTGGTATGATCTTGTGGACTTGGAAAGGCCGAGATGGCTGGACGAAGCGAGGGGTTGTCATATGAATTAACAGTCTTGTCTATATACTAAGACCGCAGTGGACTATACATAATCTCATATTTCAAAATTTCCATTTTCTTCTACCAAGCTGAGGCATAACATTGCGCCTAGGGTCGTCTTTGTCTGCTCAACATGACGGTCGTCTCGTGCCGGTGCATAGTTGAAATTTCGGGGTCGGTTCAGCTATATACTCTTATAGTCTTCTCCCGCGCTTCAGTTCATCTCGGCTTAGGATACGAAGAATGAAGTCAAGGATCAGTGTGTCTAAATCTGGATAATCACAGATAGAGCCGAGATAGGCGTATAGAAAAGCAAAATATTATTAAATACGCCGTAGGCTCGAAGCCCCCGGTACCTCTACAAGTACTCCCGTATGTCAAACTGTGCCCTAATGGCTGGACTAAATACATACGCTGTGATGCGTGCACCTAGGGGGGAGGATGCTATAATGCAGTAGTGCGCAACGTTATAGTATCTAATTGAATGGAATTCACCTAACCAGTGGGTTCCTCTACCTTTTCGTATCACGCTGCTACGTAGGTTCGCTCTATTAGCGACTGCGTTACGTCCGCCGCAATACTATGTTAGTTCTCACCCTACTAACAAAGTCCCCCTGAGAAGATCGATATTATTCGGGCCTAAGCGCTATCCAACCGGTCCTGAGTAGCCACCTTGTGATAGTCCCGCTGACTGCTGGTTTCCCTGTCGCCGTCGCCAGGTCTCTACGTGTGTGTAGCGGCCATGGTGCGATAGTGGCCCGTAGGCGCTCTCTCGATCCTTCCAGCAGGCCGCAAAGGAGGATTGCGTGCTCTGCCGTCTCGGGGGCCTCTCCACAGCGACATAGCGGCGAGTACACACCGAAGGCTCCTATCTTAAATAAGAAAGCTGATAGTCCTATTTTTCCGGTCCTGACCTGGCATAGGGTAGACGCCTCCGGTGGGTTTAGGCCTGAGTACTTACCCTGTTTCGGCATTCGCATCGAGGGGCCCTCCGGCTCCTCGGCGATAGCGCGTCGCTGGCGGTCGTGTTGTGCTGCCCCGGAGAGCCATCTCTTCTCCCAGTGGTCTAGGAGGGCGGCCGGGGCTTCCTTCTCCTTGCCCATCCACTCGGAGCCCTTAGCCTCCTTCTCCATCGTGTACCCCGCTGGTCTGAGCGATTGTGACGCCCGCTTCCGTCCCGCCGGCGTATCCTGTCGGAGTATGTGTGACGCTCTCGCGCTCGCGCTCCGAAGCAGGCTCCTTTTGCCGTTATTCCGTAGCTGTTCTTCAAATTTCGCCGCCCGGGCACTGAGATAGAGGTCTAGTGGCGGGATCGCTGCCTCTATTTCCAGGTGGCGGACCGGTGTCGCTTTGTAGGCGCCGCAGACTATTCGGAGGCACTCATTCTGTATCCCGACTAGGCTCTTAGCTGGTCCCGCTGGTTCCTCGCTTATAGTGTGCCACGCGGCCGCCCTGAAGGCAATCGCGCTGCGAATAACCGACGTGTATAGTAGTCTCGCCCGTATAAGATCGCAGCCCCACGCCATGTTCACTAGCTTTGTTAGGGCTAGCTTCTGAGTCGCCATTTTTGATTTAACCCGCTCGGTATGGGCGTGCCACGTTAATTTGCGGTCAAACCAGACCCCTAGGAACCTTGCCGAGACCGTCGGCGTTACTGTAGCGTTTCCAAGACGGATACTCTGCGGGGAGGGGTCTCGGGTTCTAGTGAAGTGCATCAGCTTGTCACGACCTGGGTTGCATCGCATTGGTAGAGACCTCGATTAGGTGCTATGGACGAAGATTCTACTCTAAGGAGCGAAGGAAAGAAGATCACAACTTAGGTTTGAGGGAGCGCGACTAAGTCGTCCACGCTTGGCGGGGCTCCTACAAGGGTTATGATTGGCTTCCCATCTGGCACTGCCATGGCAGGTGTTCCAGCTGTAAGTCACCTGGTTGTAGTGAGTCTGCGAGGGTTGACCTTCACACAGCTCACTCTTATCCGGAGCGAACTCCATCCCGTGCCTGGCGGCCCACCGTTGGCACGTAGCCCAAGCGTCCTCTAGTCGGCGGCAGGTCGTGCCCGTGTCTGTGCTAACGCTAAGTAGGTTCGTATCGTCCGCGAACCCCACGACTAAGAGTAGGGGGTGTTTCTCCGCTAGTTCCTCATATAGTGTCGAGATATATAGGATAAATAGTATCGGGGAGAGTGGCGACCCCTGGGGGACGCCAGCTCTTAGAGGGATTGGCTCTGACTCCTTACCGTCGAACTGGAGGCGTACTCTCCTATCCTCTACGAAGCTGTGTACCCGTTCCTGAACCCACTCCGGGTAGCCCTTCCGGGCTAGTATGGAAATCAAACGCCTATAGTTGACTGTGTCGAACGCCCCCTTGATGTCAAGTTGTAGTAGTGAGGCGATCCCTCCGCGCCTTCACGCTGTATGGGTTACGTTCTCAACTATACGTATCGCTAATTCGGTGGACCGCCCTTTTCGGTTACCCATTTGGCCGTTTGGTAGCAGACCGGCCGTCTCCGCGACGGTAGTGATACGCTGGCACATCACCGCCTCTATCACCTTCCTTATCGTACTAAGCAGCGCTATCGGTCGCCAGCCGCTAGGGGCCTGCTTTTGGGCTGTCGTTTTGTTCGGCTTAGGGATAACGACTACCTTTGCCGAGCGGAGGCGCTCCGGGTAGTATCCTAGCCTAAAGCTTGCGGTCGCTATATCCGCTAGGATCTCCCATAGGGGTTCACCACAGATTTTCAGCAGGCCCGTAGGGATCTGGTCGTCGCCGGGGGCCTTCCAAGCCGCTGTCTTCTTGATAATAGCCTCGATGTCCTCCGCGTTTACCTCCTTAGGGACGTCCAGGTCTGATTTTGTCCGTGGCGGGTTGTGATCGAGGTCCGACAGGTCTATATCCGGGTCTGGTGTCACGGGGCTAGGGCCGTGCACCGCATGTATATTGGTACTGCACGAGCTGGCTGATGTTCCATTCTTCGTGCTACAACAATAAACTACTGGTACCCCCATACACGACCCTGACATCTGGGAAGAACCTCTCAGCTAGTAGCTTTGACTTCTCGTCGTGGGTGCGCGCCGTGGGTGCACCGCTTGCGTTCCGTCGAAGATCCGGCATCCCATGGGTGTCAGGGGGTGTCCAGCTCCGCAGCCTAGCCCACCTCTGTAGTGCCCAAAGGCTTTTATGATCCTTCGCCGTCCTCTCGAGCTTCTCATACCAGCTCCGCCTGTGCCTCGCTGATTTCGAGCCGTTGTTTTTGGTTAGCTCTTAGGTATTCGTCCCAGTTAGTCTGCGACCTCACGTGGAGGTAATCTCGTCGTCGCCTCTTCGTCTCAGCGCAAGCCTTGCTGACCTGGGGGCACCACCACGGGGTCCCGGCGCCTCTACCAACAGTACATCTAGGGGCCGCTACGTCGGCGATCTCTTGGAGGTTTTGGATGACCCCATCGATCGCCTGGTCTAGCTCTGTTCTCGTCTCAACCGGTAAATAGTTCATGAATCTCTGGCCCGACTCGGCTACGATTAGCCACTTATCTGCCATCGTCCCATTCCACCCCTCGGTGTTACGGCGGCCTTCATTCGCTGCCTCCTCGTTAGATATTACCCTGATTACTTGCGCCCTATGGTCCGATCCTTCTAGGCCAGGGTCCCCTTCGTAGTCTATTACGGTCCCCTTCGTCGCTGATGCGTGCACCTAGGGGGGAGGATGCTATAATGCAGCAGTGCGCAACGTTATAGTATCTAATTGAATGGGATTCACCTAACCAGTGGGTCCCCCTACCTTTTCGTATCAGTCGCCCATGCAAGGTCAATAGTTGAGTCCCTTTGTAAAGCAAAATAAGTATCTCTACCTAGAGGTAAATATCAGTCAAACTAATGACTACTGGGCTCGCTTTGTCTGGAACTACCTAGTTAGGTAAGTAGTACATTCCGTGCGTAGATACGTGCCGCTCCCGATGCCTTTACGTCGTCGAGTTCATTACAAAGAATTAGGTTCCGTATCGCAAGGAATTCTAGGCGTACTTCATGCTGAACTCTGAACCCCTTTACGTAATAGTGTAGGCAGGTGTGGCCTCAGGTGTAGAGGGATACAAGGCACCGGCTTTAAACACTCTCCAGACACTCTAATGAAGTTGGTGCAGTAAGTTTGCTCTTTTATTATAGGTAAATAAGGCCCGAACTAGTGTATTTAGGGAGCTCCCGGGGGATGGTGATTGGGCAGTTCTCTCCACGTACCAATACAGTCCCTAATACTCGGATCCGGCAAACACTTGTGTTCCCTTGCTTTGGAACCACATTGGCGAACGGCATATTCGGATTGAGTTGTGGAGCATACTTTGATTGACCCGGTCTGAATAGCTTCGTCGAATTCATTGAGGTCGAAGATATTTACCACTGTCCGGATGATGAAAACCCTAATGCTAGAAAATGAGAGTAAATATGCTTATTTGGATAGAGAAGGCATTCGCAGGATAACCGGCGTCTATACTCATTATTCCACGGCTTGTGCAGTGAAGTTGAAGGCTGAGAAAACCTTCGAGCACGCAACGGACTTTTCTTTTCTGAGAACCGGGGTTCCATCCTCTGAACAGTCCAGGGTGCAATCCGCATGATTTGCGCACGTGTATGGCTCTTGGTATAATGGCTCTTGCTATAGCTGCTCGGTTTACTAGTCGGACTTATCCCGGCCCAGAAACTGAGCTTGAACCCAACACATTCCGGTGCTTCCCAGACAACTTATGAACCTTCCATAGATGAAAAACAATAATGTTGCCATACGGCGGTCCTTGGTCGCACGTGTGTCCATTGTTTGATACAATTATGTCGTATTTGGCTGGCTCTCGGGGGTGCCGCTTCTATTCGGTCCATTGTACACCCCCATATCAATAAAGAAGAAAAGCTGTAAGCGATCATGCGGCTGGAATTCGTATCCATATCGAGCAGGTTGGTTGGTGGCCCGAAAGGCGGTAGGGTATTGCGAACCCTTCACACATATCCAATGTGATGAGTTTGCATAGCAAGAGACAGCTATCGTGTTACGAAGTCGATTCCCCATTCGCGATGGGGTGTTGGGTGTTTTCCGGGGATGACCCTCGCTAGTGGATAGAACCACGGACGAAGTTCCAGTGAGGAAGAGATGAAGTCCCACCCAGCTGCATACAATCGGCACCGCCTTACACGATCATGCAAGTCACCGGCAGGACGATGGGTCCAAAAGGGAAATGTTCCGTGTATTCTGGTCTTGATATTGGTCAGTCGCTGGCACAACGCCACTTACGCACCTAAGTTTAGGTGCTTTTCCAACCCCGCGAAGGAAACAATTTAGTAGCGATGCCGGCAATTCCAACAGTCCTTGGCCATCTGAACATGCTACGATAGTACGCAACCCACACCACCACGTTGTGAATGCGGAGGAACGCGGGGTAATCTGCGCCTTCCCATTGGTTACACCAAGCCCTTATACCCGCCGTCGTGTGTACCACAAAGGACCAATCTCAACCCCCCCACCCCCCAAAGCTTCTACACCTTGTTCCTCCAAGACCTGGCATTAGCTGCACATCACGGCTAGGCTGCCTAATATTGGTGTGCCTGTTCAGCTATTGTTCGTGCGACAGTGTGGACGAGTGTGCACCTATCAAGGGCCGCTGCCTCGGCTTGGGGACCCAGGCACGCTTTGAAAAGGAAAAAACTTTCACGTGGGCCAGCTTCTCCATCGCGAAAGTGTGGTTTCCCATTCCAAAAGCTTGGCCCTCCCCATATCCCAGATGCTGGTTCCTCCGTCTTCATGATGGGGCAGGCAAAGTGGTCATACCGCCTGCATATCTTGCGCCCGTTAGCAAGTTTGCAGTCCAAGCACTATGGAGGAATTGCGGAAAGGGGAAATTCGCGCGAGTCTAGTCCCCGGACGCCGATGAGCCTGGTCACCATCTTGTTTATGTTCCACTGGGGTGGTCAGCTGGTTCGTCGTGATGGCACCGGCCGAGTCAATCATGCGCAACGTGTTCCAACCGTACGCCTTCCCAGATACACGGCAATTGGTTCAGATTCATCGAAGAACGAGTATACAAGCAAATACGACAGGTGAGTCTATAAAGCTTGTCATCGCTCCCCTTATTGACGTCGTCATGTACGCCCAACTTCCCATTCCTTGGCTCATCTGCAACGTATTCTTGGTTTGTTGTCTCTGCCATAACAGTAACGGCTCCCACCACTCGCTTTATCGAGTCTCGTCAAGCGGGCGTTTTTGGGGGTTTTTTTCCGTTGACAACATGGGGTGTTCGAGGCTGGCTCGCCTTGCTGCAGCGGCAGTTTTGTCTGGCCTGGCTGCAGCGCTTCCAGCTCCGAACCCCACCCTAGCCCTGGAAGATCGAGCAACAGACGTGACGCTCGTCATCCCGGCTGGAACTGTAGTGGGGTCGTCCATCGGCAGTATCGAAAACTTCGGTGGTATCCCGTTTGCTGAACCAGCGACCGGGCCTCTCCGCTTGAAGCCCCCTGTCCGACTCAACTCGTCCTTTGGGACTGTCGACGCGAGAGGGTTCGGCCCAGCATGCCCTCAGATGTTCTTCTCTACCGATGAGAGCAGCTTGTTGACTTCGGTTCTTGGCAACTTGCTCAATACGGGACTGTTCCAGACTGTCACGGATCAGACTGAGGATTGCTTGACGATGAGGGTGCAGCGCCCGGCTGGCACGGCCGCCGACGCAAAGCTGCCCGTCCTGTTTTGGATCTTCGGTGGAGGGTTTGAGCTTGGCAGCCCGCAAATGTACGACGGGTCTGGTCTCGTTGCTCAGGGGGTCAAAATCGGAAAGCCATTCATCTTCGTTTCTGTCAACTATCGAGTTGGTGGCTTCGGCTTCATGCCTGGTGCCGAGATTCTGGCTGACGGCTCGGCCAACTTGGGGCTCCTTGACCAGCGCATGGGTCTTGAGTGGACTGCCGACAACATCGCAGCTTTTGGGGGCGATCCAGACAAGGTCACCATCTGGGGTGAAAGCGCTGGGGCCATCAGTGTGTTTGATCAGATGGCACTATACAATGGCGATAATACGTACAACGGTAGCCCTTTGTTCCGCGCTGCCATCATGAATAGTGGGAGCCTTGCACCAGCTGATCCAGTGGACTGTCCCAAGGGGCAAATCATCTACGACACAGTGGTTGCTGAAGCGGGCTGTTCCTCGGCCACGGACACTCTCGAGTGCCTGCGCAGTGCCGACTATGACACGTTTTTGAATGCAGCCAACAGCGTGCCTGGCATCCTCAGCTACTCTTCAGTCGCTTTGTCGTACGTGCCGCGGCCCGATGGCACTGCTCTCACGCAGAGTCCGGATGTGCTTGCTTCGAACGGCCAGTACGCCGCGGTGCCTATGATTATTGGTAACCAGGAAGACGAGGGGACACTTTTTGCTTTGTTCCAACCCAATATCACCACGGGAGCTTTGATCGTCAGCTACTTGAGCGAATTTTTCTTCCACGGCGCCACCAATGACCAGCTGGAGACGTTAGTGGCTACATACGATGAATCGATCACAGCAGGTAGTCCCTTCAGAACCAGTATCTTCAACAACATCTATCCCCAGTTCAAGCGCCTCGCTGCTATCCTGGGCGATCTTGTCTTCACGCTAACCCGCCGCGCGTTCTTGAATGTGTGCACTTCAGTCAACCCCGATGTCCCCGCATGGTCGTACTTGTCTAGCTACGACTATGGAACGCCGATTCTGGGAACTTTCCACGGTTCGGATCTGCTGCAAGTGTTCTATGGACTCTTGCCCAACTACGCCAGTGCGGCTACGCAGACTTACTATATCAATTTCCTGTACGATCTGGATCCGAATGACGACGCGGACTCATACCCCAACTGGCCGCAGTGGACCGAGAGCAAGCAGCTGATGCAGTTCAACGCCGGGAGCAGCAGCTTGTTGTCGGATGACTTCAGGGCGGACAGCTATGACTGGATCGTGTCCAATATTGCGTCTCTATATTTGTGATCGATATATTAGGGACGATTATTCGGCGTTGCGGAGTAGGTATTTTTCGCTATTGGGAATACCGGCCGGTTGCGGTCCGCATGCGTAAAGTGAGTGCACAAAGCAGGTAAGCAGCTTGTACGTGTCAGCGTCTGTAGTACGGTAGCAGCACGAATGGGGACATACATCGGCATCGGGTGGAGCAACAGGGGGAAGCTTTGTGGATACTTGGTGTATGCATGTCGGCGGGTGGTTCGACGAATCAGAATCACGGCTCTGGACTCTTTGGGAAGTCGAATGTGTCACCTGTGACTTCGCAAGTCTTGGAAACGATTACATCGATAATAGAAATGGAATATACACCATCAATGCTGATTTATGGCAACCAATCCTGGCACGCAGCTGCCTGGAAGCTGACTTCGCTCAAGACGCGATGTCTGCACACGTTGTTGCTGTTAATCTACACGCCCAGCAGGGTGCCTCCTGGGGGTTAGTGCGTACCCAACCTCACTGATAGGTTTGGAAGTTGCCTCTCGTTGTTCGAACGACTCTAGGTTCACCAGAATGCATGGGATTGCCTCTAACGTGGATATGTAACCGGATGAGCGTGTAGCCGCAACAGTGATTGAACAAATATCAACGATAAAGGTTGGAATCTAATACACAACGGCAATGATCGACGTGTCCGCTGCTATGGCTTTTGTTCAACGCACTTGCCAATTTATGCGTTGGTTGTGAAGCCCTTCGTCCCATAATACCCATCATAGTGTGCCATCCGGGGCACCGCATGTAATGCGACCAAACCACAGACTATGAGATGAGCCAGGTTTCACAATTAAATTCCGTATGCGATCAAAAAGTGTCGTCAGTCTTCGGCAAGAAGGCCATCACAGTTGCAATTTGGACTTCTGAGCCAAGGTCGGATGGTTGCTTGCCGTCGTCTGATATATGCGAACAAGCGTCGCAACAGGAACGTCACCAGCATGCTCCTGACATCGAAGAAGCCAGGAATAGCCCTGGACGTCAAAAGCATCGAAAAACATGCGATAAACGTAGGTTTCCCGGCTGCGTACATACACGCCCCTCGGTCGGCCATTCCCGTGCTAGCTTACATTAGCATACACTAGGAGCAGTTGCGCAAGTAGCAACAAAGCTACCGATACCTTGGTCTTTCCTCGAAACATGCTTAACTTCTCAAAGCAAAATCGCCAATGGTTCGTGCTTGCCAGTTATTTTTGTCGTAGCCGGAGTGACGGTTGGGAAAGACCGGTCAGACGAACTGGATCTGCAGTCCAAGCCCGAGGACGTCGGGCCTAGATCGTTGGATGCGTCTGTGTGCACCTTTCGGCACTTGAAGTTCTCGTTGGATACTGATACCTCATGCTCCAATCTAGGAACGATCATTGGGAACTCGTCTTCGAACCACTGCAAAGCACCAATGCTAGATTCTGGTCGAAAGGCTTCCGAATCCGTTTATTCACCCACATCAAAAACCGGTAGCGCGGATCCAGCGGGGTGGATTTCGATTGGGTGGGGGATTCTTGCACACTACTATGAACAAGGTTCAGGCTCTCAAAACGTTCGTGACTAGAGTTTCTTGCCAACGGTCCTAGCAGGGAAATAAGAATAAAACAACACTGCTGTAAGCTCCAAGCTTGTTGCTCCCGCAGCTTCTATGAATGATGTTCGAGCGTTCGTCTGGTCCGCCGGCCGGAGTGAATGAATACATAACAGCCATGCTGCACAATGTCCAGGATGATCGACTCCGAAGTCTTGTTGCTCCCCTTTCCATTCGTTTCTCCATGTAACTAGTTTTGCTTCTTTTGTGATTGCTGGAGGCAGCAATTACCCTCCCACGTTTGCACCATGTCGGTTTGGCCCTATGAGGCAGAGCTGCAACGGCTCACGGTGGGCGTCGTGACAACATGTCTGGTCTGCTCCGTCATATCCTTCGTGTTGCGGCTGTACTGCCGTATGAACTCGGCGGCCAAGCTGTGGTGGGATGACTACTGGATGATGTTGGTCATGGTTGTCGTCATCGGGTTGGGTGCTGGAGGTTATATTGGTCAGTCGCCATCTTCCTTCAGAGAACCGGTCTACGTTGCGGCGTGTTCCTCTAATCATCAAAATGTATAGGACTCGTATTCGGTTCAGGGGTTCATCAAGACGTCTTGGACGACGAAACACTCCAGAGCTTCCGAAAGGTGAGTAAGTCCCGAGCCAATATTCAACTGTTCCCCTCTGAACCCCAGTTTCTAAAAGCCTTCCCTCTTGTCTAGAACCTGTACGCCCTAATGCTGCTCTGGGCCCTCGGCGTCTTTGGTGTCAAAATCGGCATCCTGCTCTTCTACTGGCGGGCCTTCACCACGAGCCGCTTCCGCATCGCTATCGTGGTCGTCGCACTCTTCTCGCTGTGCAGCTTCGTCGCCAATTTCTTCTCCTTCATGTTTCAGTGCACGCCCATGGGCAGTTTCTGGAAGGCCACCGACGGCCAGTGCTTCAACCAGGGCGCACTGTACCTCAGCTCGGGTATCATCAATGTGATTGGTGATGCTGTTGTGCTTTTTATGCCGTTGCCGATTATTTGGACTCTGCAGTGCAGCACGAGCCGGAAGGTGTCGTTGACGTTTTTATTTCTGTTGGGGTTTTTGTGAGTGTTTTTCCACTATGAAGTGAGGTGTTTTCCTGACGGCCAGTTATAGTGTCTGCATCGCTAGCGTATTCCGCATCATCGCCTTGACCCAGATCGTGTCCGAGGATATCACCCGTGAGTTCTGCACCTCCACACCCATGCTTCCACAGGATTACCTAACAGCGACGACAGACACTACCGTCGCCAGCGGCCTTTGGAGCGCTGTCGAAGTCCAAACCGGCTTCATCTGCGCCAATCTCCCGTTCACCCGCCCCCTAGTCTTTAAATGTCTCGGCCGCAGCGGTAGTACCGCATCCCCCACCACCAAAGCCGGCGGCACGAGCACCAAGACAATTAGCCGCCCCGTCCTCCTCACGCAGGTGGCCAGCCCGGGATTCAGTAACCTGACGGAATTAGACGATGCCCACCTGCTAGGCGGGAGGCTAGCCCGGGATCCTATGCTAACGCCCCCTCCACCCCTGGAGAATAACCTGCGCGAGGAGTTTTCGCTGAGCACTCGTGCCAGCGTGCGTAGTTCGCTAGGCGGAAACATCGGTATTACGGTACGCAGGGTGGTGGCGTCCAAGGTTGAGCAGTATAAACCGGGGCATAATCGAATACGGTCGTTTCAGACCTACATTACTACCACTGACCCGCTGAAGAATAATGAAATTAGTGGCAAAGGCAACCAATAACGAAAGTATTTGTTAATGTTAATGCTGTGTTCTTATTAACGATGAAATTCATGTACATTCATATATTCATTCTGAGCCCAAAGTTATACGCCAAATATCATATCAAACTATCGTGACAAAATTCACTTTTGATTGCCCTGTCTACTTGAACATCAAGTCGCACGTAATGCTGGTTAACGACACATGTAAAAATAAAATAAAAATCTGTGAAGTGAAGGGGGGTATCATGGTTCAAGTCCGATCTATAATATAGAACACCGTCCTGATAAAATTGCCGCGAGTGATTTGAGTGTGCAATCAAGGAAAGCCTTCCATCGCCCATCGACATCTCCAATCCTCGTCCGTTTCTCATCCAAGTCCAAACTACGCTTCTTCCTCGAGTGATGTCGGAGCCTTGACCGTAGCATTCCTGGTGTCCTCTTCCGAGTCGCCAGCGTTCAGGCTAATGATGCTGGCGGTTTCGCTATCGCTCATTTTCGGTACTGGACTATGAAGCGGACTGGGCACAGCCGAAGCACTCTCGGTGGTGACGACGGCGGGCACAGTCAGAGCCTTCTGCATGCGACGGAGCTGATTGTGTTCCTCGCGCTCCTTCATGAGCTGCTTTTCGGCTTCGATGGCCTTAGTACGTCTGTCTTCCACATCCTCTCGTTTGACAACCTTTCTCAACCCCTCTGATGCTTTGATCAAGCCGTCGATACTGATGGCGTGGTTGGTCATCTGGTGGCTAATGTACGTGTATGCAGCCGCCGGTGTGGTGCATTGAAGTATTTGTTGCTCGTTCAGCTTCAATAGAGCGAGGGCAACTTGGAACAGGAACGTGCTTCCATCGTTGGTGCAAAGTACCACATCCCATACTCGGAAAAGTGCTTCGGCGGAGAGACAGTCCGTGAAGACGCTGAGGAACCACTGAAATGTCAAGGTTTCCAATTCGATGCACAGCTCGTCGAGATGCTGTGAGAGCCTCGGTAGTACGTGTGTGACATACTGACGCAAGACCTGTTGATCTGCCCTAGAGGCCATCAAACTGTGGTCGTAATAGCCATCGGGAAGTATGTGCTCAATCATCGAGACCAAGATCCAGAATACGTCCTCGGTCGAGGGCATAATCAAGAGCAAATTTGCCGTAATAAGATTCATCCCCTGACAATATCCAACCTTGGGATTGCGTCGAGCATAGGCGCGCAGAACCTCGTTCAGCTTGGCTACGCCAGGCCCCTTGCGGAAAAAGATGTTGTCGGTAAGCGTACGAGTAATGTCGAGCTCAATCTGCTGAACCACCTGAGGGTCATCGCCTTCGGCTGACTGAGAGACAAGATCATCGTAGTAGCCAGGAATACGCATGAAGATTGTGCCCGAGCATTCAGACCAGATCTTTGGTCGCTGCGTCACGGGTATACCACCAAGTACCAGGTTGCGGAATTCGTTCCATTTAGCCCGGCCCACTTTGCCCTTCACGCCCAAATCAGCGATGCCAATGATCTCACCATCGGCCAACTTGGCTTCGGGGATCATCAATGGCGCCTGCTGGAACCGTGCTTCGGCGGCGGCAACAGCAGCTGCGGCGGCCGCTTCGCCTTCGCGCTTACGTTCCGCTCTCACTTTCCGCAAAAATTCGTTCCAGCGAGTAGACTTGTCTCGTTGCAACGCATCGTGCACATCGCTCAATTGCTTGAGCAAGAGTCTGACAGGCTCGACATCTTCTTTAACCAAGGTAGCCGCAGGTACATCTTCCTCCGGTTGTGCTGCCGCCTCACTGTTGACAGCTGCGGTGGTGCTGGCCGAGGGGAGAAATCCACGTTCCTCCGACGTGATCAGGCCAGGCGATTTTGGAACCTCGCCTCCCTCTAATACTTGCAATCCAGAGGCGGTAATGGAAGGTGTGTGGGACAACAATTCAGTGGGGAAAGTAGCGATCTTGAGGTAATCTTGCCATCGCTTGTGCTTGCTCTGGTCCAAAAGATCCTCAGCTGAGGTAGGGGTATCTGACCGATCATCGCTGCTGATTTCCTGGATGGAGCTGGCATTATCTTCCAGCAGATTCGGCGACATGCCCGGTCGACCACCCGTGAGCATCTCGGTCCGACTGCCTCGCTTGACCTGACGCGCAACTTGTGCTGCCTCTCGCTGCCTCTTCTTGCGTCGTTGGTCGTAAATGAAACCGAACCGATCCGTCAGGTCGCTACCCAGAAAATTGTTGTAAATGTGCGTCAAAGTGGGCGGCTGGCCTTCTGGAGAGAAGATGGTGTCCATCTCAACAGGACCGTAGTTATCGGGCCTTTTGGCTGTTGTCTCCGTTGGGCTGGTGCCCACGGTGTCCCCCCATCTTTCTCGTGGTTGCGTACGACCAGCGACAGCAAGTGGTGCTGGTGTCGCCCGCCGCATAGCCATAAGAGCTTTAGGCCCAACTTGGGTAGAGACAGCTCTGGTCGAAGCGCTGGTTTTCACACTTGCCGTCGAAGATGCCCTGAGGGACCCACCACCACCCTGACCTGTCGAATTCGACCTCCCTCTAATGGAGTCGTCATCACGGCCGTTGGCTCGGCCAGCAACAAGTTGCAGAGCCATGCTGGCCAGAGACGAAGGTTTCCTCGAGGCTTGCCCCGCCTGCCCAGAGTATATGCTTGAGGCCCTGCTCGAACTTCTGACCGACTCCGTGTCTGGAGGGGTGAATAGGTCTTCCTGTAGGGGTGCACGTCGATCACCAGATGCCGGGGATCGGACTCCGGTTTTGGCTACGTCGCCATTGATGCTGCTAGTCCTACTGTTCCTCTTACTTGACCCAGCCCCAAGGATCCAGTCCTTCCAGCCCTTCATGGTGCCCTGTGCCTCATTTTCCTTGGGCACGGACAAGGTACTAACCCGTATCGTGCTATCATTGATATCTCCCGATGCAAAGCCGCCGTAGGACACTGAATCGTGCATCGCATCATTCATCATATCGGACACTCCTCCGTCGCCCCCACGCTTCAACTGGTCCTGGGCCCTGAGCTCTGTTTCGACTGCGCGCAGCCTTGTTTCCAGGTCTAGATTGGAAAGACCACATTCCAGTATGATCTTTCTCAATGCCCTCTCCCTTTCATCAGACCTCCGTCGCAGATTGACAATCTGCACATCACGTTGTGCGATATCTTCTGCCACCTGGCGGATTAATTCAATCGCCCCGTGGCGGGCTATCAGCCGCCCGATATGGTTGTCGTCTGCCAGATGCAGGGTGCCGGGTATATTGCGGGTAGCCAGGGGAGTATCCTCAAATAACGCATTGCGCTGCTCGGCCTTCTGAGTGTCGGTGGAGGTCAAGCTATGCACTATCGAAGAGGCAGTCTGCGCATTCGAAGCTTTCCGGTCGTTGGGTGTCGCTAGGACATTCGTCTCGCGTGTAGGGGAACGACCGTAGCGCGGTGACTCAGGAGAGAAGGATGGGAATGAAGTCAGTGACTTGTCCGAAGCTGCGATCGAAGAAGCCGAGCTTGACGGCTGTGATTTTAATTTGACCCTGGATCTAGACCTGGCTTGCACACCATGTCCTCTGATACTCTGTGCTGAAGCTGTGGACAGTCGCGACACAGAGCGCTCAAGCAGTGCTGATGGATCGGGCTCCATTTCTCATCCTAGAGTCGGGCCAAGAGCATTGGCTTGTGAACTTGTCTCCCTTTGATTCGTCACTCTGTCCGTTGCTGTCCATACAGTGGCTCACAGCAAGCGATTGTGTTTTCGCATGGTCGTCAAGCGTAGATTCAGGAAGAGCAAATTCAATAGTGATGATGCATAGGTGACGATATCATGCATGGGAACTTAAGAACTTCGGAGCAAGTTGACTGGATCTCGGGAGATGGCATTCACCCTGTCATGCCAAGCTTTGGGTTAAAGTTCCATGCACCCTAGTGGTGATCTGCAGAGTGCATTATCGGCAATCAGCCGAGATTACTCCATTGATGGACTAGTACAAAGTACTCTATATGTGGACTGGACAGTTGACGGTCTGCAGCTGCAGCTGCAGTGCAGCCGCAGTAAGAACCACAACTCCTTCAGTTCTAGAAAACAATTGAACAACAAAGATGAACGAGCAAGTGACATTGGCAGCCAGAATATGCAAATACTTGAGCTTGTAAGTGCAAAGGATGGACATTCAAATCTCTTCAGTTTATCTGGTATTTCTTTGCATTGGTAAACTTGAGTCAGGAAATGAACTACTTATCCCTTGAAATAGTGTCTGAGTGATGACACTATCTTCTGTAAAATACGCTATATCACCGTGTATCAAGCAATAATTTGAACTGACATGGCTCTAACGAACATTCAGGTACAGCCACCGAACACTCTATAATGAACCAATCACTCGCACAGACTCTCTCACATCCCATCTTCCCCCTTCTCCTTGCCACATCTTCCTTCGCCACATTCTTGATGGTCAGGTCCACAGACAGCCACATCAAATCAGGTCGACTGTATGACCTGTACAGTCAGCAACATCTTGGCCTCGAGGATCAAATCCACAGCCAAGTTCGCATACATAATGCCCTCGGTTGCGCAATTAAGAGGATTCGTAAGCCGCCTGCCATCAGGCCTGAAGACGGCAGACCCACCGCCCCCTGGGGTGGAGAAGATAGGGCTACCGGTCGTGCCCCTTGCATAGACACTTTTTTCATATATCATGGGCGCGCAGTGTAGGATGAAGACACAGGCCTCGACTACGTGCGCTCTAGAGATTGTCTCACATCCTGAGTGGTATGGTAGTTTGGTTTCTTAGCAAATGACATCTCTGATATCCTCAAAGGATAAAGAAACAACCTTCGACAGGCATGGACCACACTATGTCTCCCCCAGGATGAGGGTCTAGTCTGGACCAGGCAGCGACGTGGATCTCCTCCTGCGCAATCGTGTTGAATTTCAGCAGCGGTTCCGTGTGCTCCCCGCATGATAAAGCGACGATGCGGGCGAGGGGTAATTGAGCAACGCTGCTCAGACAGTGGCCCGAGGTGTCGCCGAAGACGGTACGCTCCATGTGCATGGGCTTCATCTTCCGTCTGTGGCACTTGATCTCGCCGTCGGCCCCAATCGTTACCTGCGCGGTATATAGCGAGTGGTTGTTGTCTTCAGCGAACACCAAGGATACGGCGATTGCATTGTTCTTGGCCAAGTCTTAACTGTCTCTGTTTCTGGGGATGCCAGAGACAGCGAGTTCTTCTTCCTGATCAGACGGGTTCGTCTTACGTATCATCTGCGCAAGTGATATACATAGTAAATTCCCTGCTGGCGATATTCGATTTCATCCAATCAACGAAGACGGCCTACCATATCCAATACGGGGAACACAACGCTCCGGAAAGACAACCAGTCCAGCCTTATTCTTTGTGGCCCCCTCAATCAGAATGCATATCTTCTAAACTGCTCCGGTGAGACCGGGCCAAGCAGGCTCTGCTTGTGTAACTGCAACTTGTACATCTTGGAAACAAACGGTATTAAGTTCTGGCGTGAAACTTGAGCAAGCCAAATAAATAAAACATATTGGGCTTCTCATAAGTATCAGCTAACGTAAGCCATGATGAATCGTCCTTATCCAACAACCTTAAGTATAACCTACTTTGCGCACATCTTCACCACGCATATCTCAAAGAAAGGAAATCTTCTCCTCCCAACTCATATCCTATCAACTTGACTTGGTGTTTCAGTATCAATGTCAATCAAGGCAGGCATGGATTTCCGGGCAGCACAAGAGTCGGCTTTCCTCCCTTCACGGTGATGCCAGAAGCAACGCAGGCTGGAGGCTGCACCAATGCAACACACCAAGGCGGCCACATAAACTACGGTGGTCCACAGGCTAAATCTCTGTCAAAACTACAATTTCCCAAACTATGTATCCCTCTAACTCCAAACCTCTCACCCTTATTGCTATGAAGCTCAACATTCGCCTATGCAATGGATATCCATTCGCCAGTACAGTGCCGGGCTATTCGGCAGTGTAATCTTTCAAACAGGGCTGCTGTCTTTTGCAAATCAATTCACTTTTCGCACAGGATGTATTTTTTGATGAAAGGGTTGAGAATTGTGGATTGGGGGTTTTGACAGAAATTTAGCTACGGGCCGCCGTACAAGACGACTTTTTTCAACAAATGCGACTGCGATATAGCCACATGCGCCCCTATGTTGTTATGGGATAGTCAGATCAACACAAGTGACTGTGGGGAAACCTGCAGTTGCATCTCTAATACGAGCTTGGCGCCTGCCGATCCCGTTCCTGTGCCAATCTGCCTGCTATAAATTACATACTGCATACTTGAGTAGTAGAGAACGTAAACAACCCCTGTTTAAGTGACGTTGCGGTTCAGGAGCGATGGAACGTGCCTATATTAGTATTGGCACGTTCTTGCCTGCTTTTGCGTCACAAGGGACGGTTGGATACGAGCTGGTTGGTAAGTTGTCTCGAAAGATGACGATGAGCAACGTAATAGTGGAGGTATGGAGTAGTATATAGAATACTGTCGTGCTGGTGCTAAAGCTCTGAGCGACTTGAGTTAGAGCGATTCAACCTATACACAGCTCGTATTCCCACCAGTATTGAGTTAACTCAGGTTCAACTACTACCATTTCGAACCCGTTCAAACATCGTCCACCATCTCCAAGCCAAACAAAATGAAGCCTACAACCCCCTTCTTCCTCCTCGCAGGCCTTACCTCCACCATCGCGACCCCCGTCTCCATGGCAGCAGCCGAAACCTGGACCCTAGTCAACCTCACCCGCACCTGCGACGAAGCAGACACCCAATGTGACTGGACCTTCAGCATCAACGCGTCTCCTCCTGACGACACAGCCGTACCCTGCGACTACACCGTAGTCGCCTCGGGCGATACACCCGCGAGCCAGGCTAACGGCGGGCCGACGACCTGCGGCGCGTACAATCTGACTTCGGGATGGAGCGGGCAGTTTGGGCCGGACGCCGGCTTCACGACACTGTCGGTTGTAGATTATGCGCGGAAGCTGATTGCGTATGCAGGCTATACGGATGCGCAGCTTGCGAAGGGGGTGACGGTGGAGCCTGATCAGAGTTACCCTGTTCAGAACTTACCGTAAATGGAAATGAGAAAAAGGGATGGAAGGGAAGCAGAGGGGTGGTCGCATCGTTGTAGCTTCAGATCTGACGTTATAAAGACCGATAAAGGGGGTAATATCCTGACACAAACACGATATATCGTATCAACAAAACCCAATAATATTCAGGTGATACGAGACGACAAGAGTCCAGCGTCACTAAAATTTACTGATGATTGTAGTCTCAGAAAGTTGCCGTGATATTAAGCCGAGATCTAACACCGGTGTTTGTTTTTTTGCAGCCCGCCAAATCTATTTTGATGCCCACCTTTAGTTACCGTCCTCTGTCCTTAGCTCCTCCTCTACTTGCTTCTTCACGAGCTCACGCACGGCCTTCCAGTCGTTTTCAACAGTCGCAACCCTCTTCTCCTTAGTTTCAAGACCATGGAACTCAGGAGGTAGCACCTTCTCCTCAAAATTGAAGCCAGACTCATCCTTCAACGCCAACTCAACGGCACCTGCAAACTTGGCTGGATGCGCCGTCGACAGCGAGATGTGCGGAACCTGGCCTGCCCGCTCGATGGATCGCAACGAAGCAGCGACGCCAATAGCAGTATGGGGATCCAACACATAGTCGATCTTGTTGAAATACTGCTTGATGGTCTCCACAGTCTGCGAGTCGCTCACCCGCTCGCTTTCGAAATCGCGCTTCGCCGTCTCGTGCACTTCTTTAGGAACTGGCCCAAAGCCACTACTGCTCTTCAATTGCTTAAGCCACGCAGTAACTTCCTGGCCTGCTTGCTTCTTGTTCCACTCCTCATCCATCTTGGCTCCCTGTGCATATTCATATGCGAGGAACCACAGCAAGCGCTCGAAATTACTCGATACTAAAATGTCCATGGCTGGGCTGAGAGTCTCTTTGACACCCTCTTCGTGAGCTTTCACGCCGTCTTGAGGCAATCCACCTTCCGCTTCAGGGCCAGTAGCAGGCTTCTTCTCATACTTGCCCGTCTTCCAGAACCGATCCAGGATATCGTTCTCGTTTGTTGCCACGACGAGTTTCTCGATGGGCAGACCCATTCGCAGGGCAAAGTACCCTGCCAAGACATCGCCAAAGTTTCCGGTCGGGACCACGAAACGGACTTTGTCGCCCAGCTTGAAGTCTGAAGATGCTTTGCTGAGAGAGAAGTAAGAGTGGAAGTAGTAGACAATCTGAGCAAGAATCCTAGCCCAGTTGATAGAGTTAACCGCGCCGAGCTTGAGCGTCGAGTTGATGTCGGGATCCGCGAACAGGGCCTTGACGATATCCTGGCAGTCATCAAAAGTACCCGTAACTGCCAAGTTGTGGACGTTCTTGTCCAAAACTGTAGTCATTTGTGCTTCTTGAATGGGACTGACTCGGCCCTTTGGGTGTGTAATGAAGACAGAGACATCCTTCTTGCCCCGCAGGCCGTAGATGGCTGCTGATCCTGTGTCGCCACTGGTAGCCCCAACGACTGTGAGATGATGCCTATCTACAATATTGTAAGTCCACCGGGTCCATTTGAATCCTCAAAATTTTCTGCTCACCTCGCCCCGTCTTGCCAACATTCCTCCTCACCAAAAAGTACTCAAATAAGTTGCCCAAGAATTGGAGGGCCACATCCTTGAAGGCAAAGGTCGGGCCGTGGAAGAGTTCAAGCAGGTACAGTTGGTCGTGCAAATGCTTCAATGGGGTGGTTTCAGGGGCGCGGAAAGTCGAATAGCTGCGGTCGATGATACCCTTCAGGTCGTCGCGTGGGATCTCGGACGGCGAAATGTAGAGCGAAAGCACCTCGAGGGCAAGATCGGGAAACGACAGGTCCTTCCAACTTTGCCAATTACTGGCGTCAGGTATCGCTTCGGGAATATAGAGTCCTCCGTCAGATGCCAGACCCTTCAAGACTACATCTTCAAACGACAACTTTGCGTACGATCAGCGACTTTGTCTGGGTACCTTTATGGTGGGGTTGCTCCTACATCGTAATCGTCTCCCCTGGTGCTCAGATACCGCTGAGGTGACCCATTTGTGCTTTCTCCATTCGGGACGCCGTTCGACATTGTGACTAGGAATTTCCTTGTTTCAATTGGGCAGGTTTGACAGGTACTCGCGTGGAAACGAATGGCTATAGTTATTCAATCGACGAACTGGCGAGGGGCATTTGAAATGAGAGTCACCGATTGCGCTGTTCACACGAAAATTGGCCAGCCCGAACTCGGACACCCCGCACTAAGCCCTTTGCAGTAAGACATGAAGCCACCCACGCTTGCCGGTGCTATCAACACCATGCCTGCCCATCAATGATCTCGGGAGTCAAGCGGATGTAGAACTTAGAAGGTGATTTATTACATTTTTCGAGTTCGTGATGCTGGTATTTTGACTTTGTAGTAAAAGTAAAGTCTTTCACACGGTATCCAAGAGCCAAGCTCTGACTATGACTTGGAATTCAAGCAAATGGGGAGCCACATCTGCGCTTTAGGTCGCACAGCCACATCGTCAGGTGCAAAACAATTACTATGTAAGACCATTGTCGCACCAACTTCAGCTAAGTAGAGGAGACATCTATGTTTATCTCTACCTTGTTGAGCGTCGATTTGGCCCCAGCTGTTTGAGCGAGCGTCAACGCTTGTCAAATCAATTGCTTTAATCTTCTCTCACTTTGGTCGCCTACTGGAACAAGAGTGGTCCATTGCTGCGGCCGTGCCAGAGACGGCTTCGGGCGATCCGCTTGCTTCCTTTGCCTGTTTCAACGAACTGCCGCCGAAAATTCGGTACATGGTCTGGGAGTGGGCACTTCCAGGGGATGTCCCTGAAGTCTACATGCTTAAGCCATACCTTGTTCGACCAAATGTTGCACTTCCCACGGTGAACACCGGATTCTCTGCAACGGGTCATGTGTGTCGTGAAGCTCGGGAAATCGCGCTTAAACGAACTCAGATGTGTGGTTCGCAAGAAGCTGGTATGAATGTCCCGTGTCAAGACTTCAGGCCCGAGCATGAATTTAAGCAGTTAAGAGGCTATAACTCAATTGGAGCTTGATATCCTGTACATCGGCGCCTTGGACTTCTTCACTGTCTTTTCCCGCCCCGAGTTCTTCTACGGCGACCTGGTCCAGAAGCTCCAGCACATCGCCGTCGACATCGTGCTTATTTCAAACCACAATCAGATCCCAAACACGTTCAGGTTCCTTCATAGCTTGAAGACCCTGACCGTCCTCTTCAGTGAAGCCCGCGGTTTCGACACAGCCGGCGAAGAGTTGCACTTATCTCATCCGATACGCTGATGCCAGTTGCGGCCGTTCACCAAAAAGGAGCTAATACAAACCAAAGTTGGTAACACAGACCCGAGCATCTCTTCTTTCATGCTGGTATTGAATTTTAGTCATCTGCTGCATTCAAGCATGCAAGACCGTACCAAGGAACTCTTACCTAGTTGGGGCGAAGGTCAAATAGGGGTTTGGGACTACCACAAACAAGAGTCGAAGTTGCGGATTGATGCACAAGCCTTCGTCGAGTTTCGACGACTGCCCTCTGATCCCAGTTGGATTGAGCAAGGTGGGCGAAATACGAGGCAAGTTGTATGATATAATGCGAAAACTACTAGAAGATGTCTTGCAAAATTCTGCAGACTGGGGGTCACGGCAACAACTCATCAACTAATGGGAACAAAGACGATCGCTCGCCATATAATCAGAGACTTTATTACTATCCTTGAGTTCCCAACCGATCAAAACCCTTAATCATGCCTTCAATCCCACCGACTTCTACTACTACGATATGTCTCGTTCAAATTAACGCCGATTCGCACAAGGGTATCATCGACATATCCATCTATCATGCAACACGTTCCCGATTCTGACTGCGCCAACCAAAACAATCCCAAACGCTTCCTAACGGTAGTAACTGTCCCACTTTTGGTCACCACTCGGTCGTCCATCCATCGATCCATCCGTGCCGCGCTTAAGCTCGACTGCCTGCTCTTCCGTCACCTGGACACTCACCGTCTTAATAATACCTAATGGCCAAGACTCGGTGTCATATCCCACAATCGACTGTCCGTCGAAGCTCCCACGTTCTGGTCCTTCGACCACGAAACTCGAGCCTGTGCTTTGTCGCTTCAATGACCTGATTGATCTCGACGCCGTAGATTTAGACCGTGGTAGAATCGATATGGTGTCGGAGTTGGTTCGCCCGATCTCTGCCTGATTGAAGGCTTCGCTAATTGGACCAACGTTGGAGAATAATGACGCAGTCGGAAGGATATTGGCGGCGAGGATTCCCAGGTTCTGCTCTAGTCTGCAATAGCGCACATTAGAATCCAATAAGAGACAAAGCCATTGCACAGTACGTACACTTTTAAAATCGTACAGCTGAGTTGATACACATATCTGCTACTAGAACTGGTGAGAGATATGTTATATATCCTCGCGACGGCAAGCACCCCGATACTGAAAACAGTCAGTTCACGCTTGCTTGTCTGGTATCAGGGAGCAACGAACACAATACCCGTCGACGAGAGCACATAAAACGGATAACGCAGGTTCCGTCGAATGCCAAGATCTTGGATGATCATGATTGGGAAGAGTGTGATGAAGAATTCGGAGAAAACATCGAAACCTATCCATGGTCAGTACTCGCTTCCGGTTTGGATCCTGGGGAATTCGTACCACCCTGCACATAGCCAATGTTCTGCTGCACGGAGATGCTCCAGCATTCTCCGTTAGCAGAGGAGTTCCAAAGCTTCTCCAGCGGTCGACATTGCAACAGTATGGCCAGGCTATAGACCAGATTCACCACAAGCAGAAGCAGAATTTGAATCCCCAGCACAGCCCTCCACGCCTTAATTTTAGACACATGGCGCAAGAAAAAGAGGCAGATCGACACTTTGCTCAGTGTGGAGCCCATGCTGAGCCATGGCTGCGCCAGGTAGTTGAATTGTGTGGCTGTCTGCGTGTAGTCCTGGTTGAGGCACTCGACGATGGTGAAGAAGGACCCGACCATTCCCAACAACTACACCAGCGTGTGTTAATCTCTTACAAAGACACATGACAAGCGTGAATACTTACCATGGCCAGGCCTATGAAGTAATCATCCCAGACGATAGCCCGCCCGTCTCTCATTTTCACCCAACACCGGAGGCCGCATGTCGCCAGCGCAATTATCGTCGAGGTTACGGAGACCGCCAGTAGCGTCGAGCCTTGGGACATCTTAGTCCTATTCTATGCCAGCCCCAGGCCAGACAGATGCAATGGGAGCGACTATCTTCGACACGAGGACATTGAAACCGTCGTCTTACGCCTGAAGTTGACTGGTATCAAAAGTTTGTTCCACGGCTTTTGGTGGTGGTATGATCGTATGTCAGCGAATTTGACAAGAGAACTTTGAAGAGAGACGAGACCCCGGTCGACACGACGCTGCATCCGACGAACTCCCAATGATATACAATATGCTGAAGAAACCGAACGCTTCATTGTCCAAGACTTGACTAGGAGGATGACTCTGGCTCCGCCGGGACCCTAGTAGGTAACATGGGTTCAAAGCGAGACGAGTGCAGGCAGGGGCCTGATATGCAATAAGGTCCTCGCTCGCATAATAGGGAGGGAAATATGTCATCAGTCGCATTCGCTCCTCGGTCCAATCCGTAAATGAGGATGCACATCATGCTGGCTGATGCTGGCTAGAGGGCAATCCACCACGGCAGATCACGCCATGAATAAAGCGTTGGAAGGATCCCAAACACTGCCAACCAGAGAATCATATCTAGTCAGCACCGAACTCTGATCTCCGTTGAGGGGCTAGGGACCCAGTAGCCCCAACGAACTCCGGCGCTCCGTTGCAGTGGCACCATTGCCTCAAGGATTCATGCGCGAATATGGAAGATCTCTGGAAGGGAAGATGAGCATACCATAGTACATGAGTTGGAGCCTTGTCCGCACAGCAGAACGAGAGCGTTACTGCCGCGATGGAGTTTTCTTCGACGGGCCACAGCAAGTGGATAGGCATGTTTGACATGGACAGAGAGACCCAGTCACTGAGTTAATACCATGGCTATTATTCAGAAGACACAGTTCGAGCTGTCTCTCGTAAATTGGCCGTGTATCATAAACAGTTCAACTCAATCCACTAAATTCCCTAACCCCATCCCTCTCACCACGATGCAACGAACGACAACCATAAGACCGGACGAGCAGCCTCCACATAGCCAAAATTCGAGACGAGGGAGGCACAGTTTCCGGGACGAACTAGCCTCGCAGGTGCCACTGGGCGGCTGTGGCCCATTCTTAAGCATAAATATGCAGGGATCTGGCAGGCCTGGGTGCGTGTTTGAAGGATGACAAGCGTTTGATCGACGGATGGTGAGCGGGGGCCCGTAGAAGCATTCGTGGAAGCTGCGCACGGACGGTAGGCTACCTAACCAAAAATCCCACGGCTTGTTGACAATGAGTAGTTCATACTGCTTGAAGCCTCCCTCGCCTTTCCTTTCAGGGTATTGTCAACAGTCTGCCATGAACGCCTCGTGGCGTCACATGTTATTGTAGGGATCGTCTTATCCCGTATGCCTGTCGGTTACAGTTTAAAAGTTAAGACTTGAACCAAGTTTGGGTCTCTGGAGGCTCAATGCTTTACGTCTGCCCAGCTTAAACCAACGTCATCTGAACACACACAGGTCATAATATCATGGACAAGACTTCTCGTACACGTCGCATCGCATATTAATACATGACAAAAATAAGTACAATTTAGCCAGCGTCATCCAATCTGTTCAAAACCTCGCCTCGACCTTGTTCTCCGTGTCCTGCAACGCCCAAGCACTCGACTTGGACTTGCTCCTTACCGCTGCAACTTGCGCGGCCGTAAACCCCTTGGCCTCGACGGCCGGGTTGTATCCCAGATTGGTGATCTTAGCCACGGTGGCCGAGTCGACCTTGGGCGCCTCGCTCTTGTCGGGCCTGCTGTACACCGTCACGACGACGGCCCCTCCCAGCCCCAAGTTGTGCTGCAGCGCATACTTGGTGTGCGGCACGTCTCTGTTATTAGCCCAACCACGCAAGTGCCAAACTATCTCCGCACACTGGGCAATACCCGTCGCGCCGAGGGGGTGGCCCTTGGAAATGAGACCACCTGATGGGTTGATCACCATCTTGCCACCATAGGTGATGTCGCCGTTCCGGACCATCTCGTGGGCCTTGCCCTTCCCCGACAGGCCCATTGCGTCGATTGTGATCATCTCGTTCGCCGAAAAACAGTCATGCAGCTCGCAGACCTGGATATCGCTCGGCTTGACGCCCGCCTCGGCCATGGCGGTCTCAGCAGCGTACTTGGTCATCTCGTAGCCCATCAGGTCGATGGCGCTGCGGGAGAACAGGCTCGGCGCGTCGGTAGCGAAGCACTGGCCGGCGATGAGGACGGCCCGATCCTTGAGGTGCGGTCTAGCGTCGAGGAAGTCCTGCGAGACGAGGACGGCTGCCGCACCACCATCCGACGTCGGGCAGCACTGGAGCTTGGTCAGGGGTTCGTAGATCATGGGCGCCTGGAGGACCTGCTCGAGCGTGTAGACGTCCTGGAATTGCGAGTAGGGGTTTTTGATAGAGTGCGCGTGGTTGATGCGGCCGATTTCTGCGAAGTCCTCGATCTTGGCACCATATCTGGATAGTGGTCAGAAGGTAATGTTCCTATGAAAATTGGGTAGTCCCTACTTCTCCATGTACTCCCTCCCGGCATTCCCAAACATCTGAGCAGCACCCGGAGCATTGGTAAATCCTCGCGTCTCAGCCATCATAGAAATTGTCGTGCCCGTCGGCTTCTCCCTATCATTGAAGAAACTCTGCAGACTGCCGGGCATCATCTTCTCGAAGCCCACAACCAGGATACAGTCAGCGCCGCCATACGAGATGGTGTTCCTGGCCATAGCCAGACCGGTCGCGCCGGTCGAGCAGTTGTTGTTCACATTGACAATGGGTATCTGCGTCATGCCGAACTGGTAGAAGACCCTCTGTCCGCAGGTGGAGTCGCCATAGCAATAGCAGGCGATGCCCTGCTCGACGTCGTCGTAGTTGACCTGGGCGTCGAGCATAGCCTTGACGCCCGCTTCAAAGCCCAGCTCCGTGTAGTCGACCTTGCCGCGCGGTTTAATGAACTTGGTCATGCCCACGCCCAGGACGTAGACGGGTTGTCTTGGTTTAACCATGATGGGCTGATTTCTACCACCACTTGAATAGTTTCAGAACAGACTGGAGTGGCTCTCAAAGAAGGCCAATTCGACAGACAGCTTGACGGTTTCTGTATGAAGGCAGTGTCCGATGCCAAATGGATTTAACTTTGGATGATCAAGCAGGAGGAGAACAACTAGTTATGTCTTCCTCATACTTGTCAGGTTCCATAGACGACCCATAGCCGTACAAGTGCACCTCTGTGGCACTGTTATCGCCGTTTCTACGACAGAGTTCATTGCGGGGGAGCCGAAGCCAAAACGGTTGGGCCGAGGCAAGTCCCGAATGAGTTAACCTTTCGATAGCCCGTGCAGGGTGCACGGTTCTCCTGGCGGGGTTCGGCGAGGCAAGGGCCGTGCCGAGGCCATGTGTCCCGGATTGGACGCATTCTCACATTGTCAGTCGACCACCATTGAGATCACAACCACACTAACTTGCTTCTGAACGATTTGACCAACTTCCGCACTAACCAAGGCGTGGCTGCGCGATTTTCTCGGTCAAGCATGGGGAGTTTGTCATCCTGGGTACTTGATTATGGGACAGTATTGAAAAACGTTCGCAAAGCTTCATGTCGTTAGCGATTTCTTCGAAAACTCATAGGTTCAGCTGAGGGGTCTAGTAGTATAGCCCTTGGGATCATTAGGTAACTAGTCAAGTTCGTTGGATTTTATCACTTTAAATATGAGAGGCCCCATGTTTGATTTAACTGTTTCATTTGTTCCAGCGGGATCCGTAGCATCACCAACTCCTGTGAGAAGTTCGGGGAAACACTCTTTGCCTGTGCCTTAGTGACAGCCACGCTCTAAGAGATCCTAATAAACTCGACTGTGTCTTTTCACTCGAGCAGCCAAGAACGCTACGCGCTTATCAAATCAATCACTAGCAACTCACCACGAAGAAACAGACTGGACCCAGGACCTGCTTACAGGCAATGTGCCGAGTCTCGACCTCGGGGGGGAAACGACTGCACGATATTGACATCATCAGACGTTAATACGCTGCCTTACCGTCTGGCATTTCTCAACTTTAGAAACATGCAGATAGGTTCTGCTGGCAAAGACTAGGGTGCTGTATAGATGTACCAGCATCTGGGGTAGCAGTCTTCCATTTAGACCACGTTATCCCTCTGAGATCATTGACACAGCCATCCACGAGATTGATTGATTGATTGAAATTTAACGTCTCATCACGTGAGACGTGCCGGGCGCAGTGCCGGCATGGTCAATGCTAGTCGAATCTATGTTACAGGGGACTGTCTTCATCTAACATTCCTGTTCAGTGCGATGGGCAGATCTCAATAGCCATCCACGGGTTAAGTCCAAAGTAACCTCAAGTTGTGGAATTGGTGGCCTAGGGTCACGTGGGATACGGGCAAGATACTTAAGTGCCTTTGTGCGGCTTGGATCCCCCCCACCTGTACTTCCCTTCTTCACCTTCGTATGTAGCCGGAATGCCAGTAACAGTGCGATCCCACACAAGTAGCATAAATCAAAACTCATGACAATGTCTATTACTTTTGTCTTTGAACTCTTCTCTATTATGGAGACACCAATATCGGCGTATCAGCCACGCCGACTAACCCATAATTTGAGAAACTCCCCACAGCATCACTGTCTTTGTCTGTAGCGCTTCCTTCCCAATTCCCAGACAACAGCATATTATCGCCTCAAAAATCCACCTCAATCTAACATCACCGCTACCATCACCGCCACCATGTCCAGTTCTATCTCCCTCCAGCGTTATCGCGTCCACACTGCAGCACAGCCTGCAGCATCGTCGCCACCAGAATCATTCATAGACACAGGGGGGAGGGGCTAGCTTCGTGTTATTGCGTGCATGATGCAACAGTTCTCGAAGAATTAGTCCTGCAGATAGAAGTCCAAGTCATATACGAAGAGACACAGTCAATTTTATGCCTCTGCCGCCCCATTATTGACTGAGGAGCTGTCTACCGAGCTGAGTTTTGTTGACAATGGGTAGGGGGCCGGGTTCGTGCCGCCTCAGCTTAGCTAGGGCTAGTATCGCTTGGTTCGTACACAATGCCTACAAGGTGGACTTGTATGTCGGGAGGAGTTCAGGTATCGTGAATTAGAACATTTGGGTTTGTTCTGGTTGGGCAGATGTGGAGAACTTAATTTCGATTTCGAGATAGGTATATATGGCTTCGTTTCATTAAGGAGTCGCCGGATGCCGGGGTACAGGAATTTCGTCTAGTAACTTTTAGTGGCTAGTCTACCATTCCTGAAAAGCACACGAACGAAAGTCTGATTGGCTAATTTGAGCCTAGGTTTCAGACCGCTGCAGTACGTCTATAGCGATCCTCTGTAAAGGCATTTTTCCGAAAGAAGTGAGATCGTTGTGGCTTGCAGGCTTTGGTCGCGGTCGAACTTGTGTGAATCAACCATAGGACGGGAAAAAGCCATGCACTTGCTTGGAACTGTGATCGAGAGGAAACCTAACAAAAATCACTTTCTTGATCGGGGGATCCGATTGTACGTATGGTTACATGCCGATCGATATTCGGTATGTATGCACGAATAGAAGGAGCTATCACCTTCCATAATCAGCATAAATTTCTTCTGGGTTGCGTAGACATTCCCAAAGGGGATCCCGGAGTTGCGTGCATCTTGACATAACAATTGCTTGACAATTAAGAGGAGCAACGAATTTCGAGTAAAACTTACCAAGTGACCAGTTCGAGAGTTTGCGCACACTAGCCTTTGATTTGTCAGTTATTGGACAATGATAACGTCCGCAGAGAACATACTTCAGCTGCTTCAGTGAATTGCCTGTGCCCTGTGATTTCGTTGACCACAAGCGCTTCTTCGCGGGTCCCAGCCCAGGCGCACCTCATAGAACTAGATGATTCTGCGAGCCATTGTAGATTATCTTGCATTGCCGGGTTCTGTATAACGAAGTCGCGCAAGTACGGCCAGGCGACACATTCGACGACCTCAACATGAGGGATGACTAGTTGAAGCTCTGTGGGGCGCAACCAATCAGGTATCGCCTAAGCACAAATTAGAAGGAGTGTTCCATGTTGAATACAGGGGTGATGCCAACTTCTTCGAACCAACAAGGGTGAGGAGATTATCTCAGATGGGTAGGAGAGAAACCGTACAAATAATCAACGCCCCTAGGCACTTACAGCATATGTCTGTGGTTGAGGGTTGACCATCCATCTCATACTTCATATATACCGAGGTCAGTGATGGTGATAATATAGACATTACACCCGTGTAAGTTCTAAGTCATATCTTAGGAACAAAACAGATGTCGACAGGTTTGAAAGCCGGGTTTTGCTCCTACCGCAGACAGGCGAAATCCCGAAGGTTAATGAATCTAGGGGACTTACACGTGCCACGCTGCCCACATGGCAGCCATGGAGGTAAACGAGTTATCTTCGTGTCGGGAACTGTAGACAAACCGAGCTGCCCACTTCGATATCATGGAACACCTCTCGAACTCGTCTTGATCGAACAAAGCCGCCACGGTGGGGAATGTGCCCGTAATCTCCTCGGGAATCGCTCCTGCGCTGATCATAGCACGGCCTTGTTGTAAAGTCTCTGAAAATCTGCGATACTCGAAATTAATTCCCATGATCTATAGAAGAACCGAAATCCTCAGTTGAAACCACCAGAACAAGGGGCGACGAGCAGAGCGTCAGTGGGTGGGAGGATCACCACTGAAAAACACCCGAAAAGACACGCCCACAGCAAGGATCGACTCACGAAGTCGTAACGCTTGCAGCACCTCGGCAATCGTTGGCAGTCATCATATTCCACCTCTGCGCGAACAAGCTGTTAAACTGGTCTTGTTGTGTAGGGGTGGGACAATGGTTCGCCGTGATGCCTGAGCACAATTAGCCGATAACGTAAAGGACTTTCGAGACGAGACATAGCATTACTGCTGGAGAAAAGTAGATTTCCCAGAGACGTCGTTGATGTGTGCGGAGAAGGCGTCAGGCTTCCTGTGGAAAGTTGGTTGTTGTTGGTCTCATGGGCGTTGAGCCATTCGGTTCGGTCAAATAGGGGGTCGAGAAAAACGTTGGTGTATTGCGGGGCTAACCTCAAGAGCCTGTGCAGTAGATGAGTCAATGTTGCAAGACGAGCTGGCAAAGACGACTAGCCTTTGCGCGCTGGTTTCCGGGGTTCCGGATGAAATGTGCGAGACGATGGTTTCGAAGGGCTCCCCTACTCTAACATAAGCTAGAATTCCAGCGGCTTGCTCGTCGGTACCGTTCTGCAGGGCTTCGAAAATAGCCTCCAAGTCCTGGAGCCTGTCTTGCTGTCGATTTAGCTGCTCGCTGATTCGCTGTAACCTCGCTGCAAGCCGTCCATTTTCCTCATACTGGCAAACGTTTCCAGACAATCGGCAGCGACTACAAGAAGGTCGGCCCCCATCGCACTAAGAGGGTGTGAGTCTACTGTATATTCGACATGGTTTCCTCGTAAAGCAATACCGCACCTTGGCCTTTTTGAATCGGCAACTTATACAGGCATTCTTTGTCAGATTCTTCCGTGGAGGCAAGCTCGTCAGGCTGGAAGGGGGGATTGGATCTTTCGGGGGAGCTGGCGCAATGCTCTGGAGCTTCTGATTGTCCATGGCTCGGGACTACAGAGAATATGCCATACGTCCCGCAGAACAAGCGTCTCCTGCCAGTCTTGTACGAAGAACACTTTCACTCGAACCCGCGCGACTTTGCGTACGAAGTAACGTCGGGGCTTGAGATATGTAACGCAGTGTATGTACCGTCGGCGTCGGCAGGGTCCTGCTGAGAGGTTCGACCCCACGCTTCGACTTTCGACAACAGGCGGCTATTTGATGGAGCTGTGCGTCTGTTGGCCCAATCATTGGCACATGTGTTGCACGCAGAGCAGAAGCAGGCCCTGTTGACAATTTCTGCTTGTGGTGGGTGTATTGTTCAGAGCCGCCTCCTAGCCCCAACGATCCACCCCCACTGAATCCCACAAAAACCCCTATCATCTAGCCCTATTCGGCCATTGAGATGAAGTTTGTGTCCCACTGTGGATTGTACAGTCCAGGGAGTATTGACAGTCCTTGAGGCATTCACAGAAGTAAAGCCCCAGAACAAAGGCACCTGGAAACATGTATGGGACACCTAATGGAAGATCTCGACTGCTCAATAAGAGAGAAATGAAAAAGGACACAGCCTGGGAACTGAATGGACTCACAGAATGGCTACGGGTTAACGGCGCTACTGCGGTTTAAGAGTCGCACCAATCATAGACCGAGGAGCTACGTCCGAAGGGTTTTTGCCAATCAGCTCTCGAGGATGAGGGGAGCCGCAAATACCGAAGAATGAGGACACCTGCTGCGACTTCCAAGGTTTACATCATCCTCACTTCGATCTCTACTTCGATCTCTCCTTCTGCTATGGTCAAATGTTGCGTATTTCAGACTCGTTTGGGGACTCATAACACTGGCAAACGACGCTTGGACCCGGCTCCCCTACCGGACAACCTTCTGAATAGCGATCGAAAAGCCGGTACTTCGTTTAATCACTCGAAGGCTCTCAGGTCCGACAATCAACTTCCATTGAGGCCATTCGATGCCAAGTCCCAAGGTAATCTCGAGTCGCCACGAGTCAAAAGAGGTTCTTTACAGATGCGATAGCCTCGCCAGTGCCAACAGCGTTCGCCGCTGATTAGGATATTGACATAGCCATCGACAGAAAATTCTGGCCTGTGGGCAAGCCCGCGCAACAGGTCATTCCAGATGCTAAGGCACCATCTTCATATGAATTCGTGACCTGTCTTACGGTAGGCGATGACAATCAGCAGCTTTCGCATCCTAAGAAACTGCCTGGGCTGTCTTTTTCAGCTTTTCATCCAAATACCGGCAGTGTGAACGTTCCATCCTCTGAGCAGCCTCGAATTCCTGGCCCTGGAACTTGTCAGCATGAAGATGATACTGACGTCGATGATGGCGGCGACAGCAATAGTGACGGCCGTCACGGTTCGTGAGGTGGCAACTTACGCGCACAGCCGTATGGCTCTGACCTTTCCCAGCGATTGGCGTGGGGGTCCATTCCCCTCGACCACGTCAATAATTGCATCATCATCGCTAATTATGCGCACCGGGCAACTAGTTCCAAGCTGGCCTTGGCCTCGTTCGACGTGGTGCATATCAGCCACACGAAAGACAAAATCGAGAAAGGATTTGAAATAATACCGCGATAATGTTTCTTGCTGGCACGGGAACAACGCTGCGGCCACCCTGAACAGAATAGTACGCCAGTTGCAATGACAATGACAGACGCCCTCGAGAAAACTCGACGCACGGGAATAGCCTTTCTCTTCCACGAAACATACACATGCATATTGTGACACTCAACCGCTCCTCCACGATAGTGTCCCCAAATATTTTGGTCGATCAGAGCTAGGAGAAGGCCCAGTTCCAGAACAGCCGAGTGGAGGCTAGCAAAAGTTGCTGGAGGAAACGAACACATACAACACTCGAGGCTCGGTTGGTTGCATTTGCGGTCATTCGTCTTCTAACCCTCCGGGTTCGGGTTCAAAATTCGATGAAGCCATGCCAACTGGAAGGCGCCTTCTGCTTTTTCGGCCATGGCTGATAACTCGAGCAGCTCCAAAATGGCGGCACTAAGAATGCCAGGCTCGCAGGCAGCGAGTAACTCAATGCTCGACAAGCACATTTGTTTGTCCATGACTGATGTTCCAACGGCAAGTGCTGGCCCTGAAAAGTCATGCACTAAAGCCCACTTGGCATTGCCTCTCATGAGACTCAATCCCGCTCGAGGATAGACAGTGAGGCTGGGTTTGGTCCCTGGTACTGCCGCAAAGGGACTAAGCCTGTTTATCCAGCATGCTTCTATGAAAGTGCCATCACCCAAGTGCTGTCTATGAAAGCGCCAACAAAGTGCAAAATGGCACAATGGCATCTTGATGGCTGCCAGTACTTCTGCGTCGTGTTGAGGTCCGAGCGGGAGCCTTATCCGGTTCCTTCCTAGTTGCACTCTCGCCCAATGGCACGGTGGAATAGGCTGAGACAGCCTTGCCCTGAACTCGACCGACTCTGGCTTTTTGAGCGTGTTGGAACATCGGGAAACGGGATTGAAGCAATTCTGACTACAGGCCAAGTTACACAGAAGGGAGGGTGGGAGAAAGAAAATCGAACAATTCTTGGCACCTGTTCATGTTCAACTCTGTCGAAGACCATGATATGGCTTTTGATCCGATGCGACGAGGTTGGTCGATTGGAACTAGGAAGTCGCGATTCCGGTTTGCCACGACACCGGCTCCAGATGAGGTGAACCAACACCTTTACGAGAGTTATACTTCGTGGGACACACTCTGACGGGAATGGCGGGTTTGGCCTTGAATTTGGACGCATTCGACGGGACCATGGGAAACAGTTGTACCAGGAGATTCCAAGATGGAGAGGATGGAGGAAGAGCACCTAAAACTCATTGGATTTACCTCGACGCACTTCATGCGAGCGAACCGATCGCAAAAGGGTACGTGAAGTCGGCCTGGAGGTGACTCTCGCCTCTGCCCTCTGGCAACGATTGAGCTTTGATATTTCACAGCAGGACCAAGCCACAGAATAACTAACACACCGCCACAGGACACTAGCCTCACTTCACACATTTGCATTGTGGTTGCCGCGCTCCAAGCTTTGAACTCCAAGCTTTGAGCTCCCTCATTGTGAATTGTTCGAAAATTGTGTACATGCCTATGTGGCTAAGCTTGGGCGCCAAAACTCGATTAGTCGTGGCATCACTATTAGTTGTGTAGACGCTCTACTTGAAGTTCCCCAAATTCATATGTCCCATCCGCTTCGACAACTACTGCCAATGGGTCGAGGCAAACGCCAAATCCCTGAGTCCGAACATGAATTACCTGCAAACCCTGTTCCAAAGAGAACGTCAGCCAAAGCTGCCTGCGAGGCCTGCAGACGCCGTAAATCCAAGGTTCATTGTTCAGAAATTCTCTTTCGTCGCGACCATCGATGTGTCTTTGACACTGACCGAGTGCAGTGTAACGCGGAGCGCCCTAAATGCTCTTCTTGCATTGAGCGACTGACTCAATGCGAGTACAAGACGCTCCCAACAGAGACGCATCTTACGGCCCAAAAGCGCCGCCTGTCGGATCTTGAGGCTAAATGCAGAGCCTATGAGAACTTGTATTCCATTCTCAGGACTAGCCCTCCGGACGAAGCTAGCCTGGTTTTGCGAAGAGTCAGATCTGGAGTCGATGTCGAAACCGTCCTCCAGTCGATTCAAGAAGGTGATTTGCTGCTCCAGCTGGTTTTACGCCCCGAATGGCGTTACCGATATGACTTTCCCTATCTGAAAGAGATGCCCAGCTTCTTAGGGCTGTGGCCAAATCCCTATCTACGCTCGACTTTGCACGACAGAGCTCTAATTTCACCATCACAACATCGAATGCTGACGGAACAACTAATCACCAGCGAAGACGAGATGAACAGGATGTACCTGGTTCCCTATCACGCGGTTAGTATGACAGACTTTAGGCTCGGTTCGGTCGACGTCGCCAAGTGGACCACAGTATCCTCTGACAATGCCTTGCTGCGTGCGCTCGTGGAGATCTACTTTGTTTTCGAATTTCCATTCCACCCTTTCTTTCACAAGGAGCTCTTCTTAGATGATCTTCTCAATGACCGACATCGATTTTGTTCTCCGCTTCTCGTGAATGCTGTTCTCGCGGCGGCATGGGTATGATCCTCACAAACCCTCGCACGCCGAAGCTACCTGCGGGGCTGACCTTTTCCAAGCATGGTTATAGTGGCATCAAGACCCGGGCCGACTATTGGCATCCAGAGAACCAGGGCTATCGCTTCCTCTCCGAGGCGAAACGGCTACTAGATTTAGAACAGGGTCTTGGAAAGATTACCACGGTTCAGGCAGCCGCCATAATCAACCTTACCTGCAACATCAATGGTGTTGATGAGCTAAGCTGGTCATACCTTTACAAATCTATAGAAATGGCCCAGAGGCTCCAACTATTCACTGTTTCACCCGAGTCGAGCCGGGAATGGCAGGTTGCAGCCAATGTGAATCTTGTACCTCTGTATACTCCTATGATGGTGTAGCTGACGGGAGACAGACTACAGCTTGGTGTTTATTCAACTGGCAAGCGTAAGCACATCCAATTCGGCCCGTTAACTATATATAACATGTTGAATGCTGATTAGTGAGGATTAGCTTTGCATGTTTTCACAATTTCCGGAGCCCCCTTTTATCAGAGCCCCCGAACCATCCGTTACCCACCTACGGCGAGGCAGAAGCATGCTATGGCGAGATTTGGGTCAGTTACCCTGCCAGCAAGGCACCTATCGGTATTTGCAATGGGGAGGTTTTCGTTGCCGTTTGTATTTTCCGTGTCATACTCAATGATATGGCAAAGTCTTTCAAACACTCCAGCGATGCGGATCGCGTACCGCTAGACGATGCGTATAGTGCTCGGGGAAGATTGAGAGTGTGGTATGCAAATCTCCCGGAGCCTCTACGGCCCGATAGAATTGTCCTGCCGAATCACTTGAAGGTCCAGTGAGTTCATTTTTCGGCTTTTTAGGGCCCCGGAAGAGCAGTGGTAGAGTCATCAGAGGGTTCAAAACTGATGGGAGACAGTATGCACTATCATGTCCTCTTAATTTCCTTATTCGAACAATTTCAACATGTCGAGGTACCAGACAGGACCGACAGCCCGGCCAGCATCGTCGCTGAAGCAAAGGCATGCTTCGAGACATTGATACGATTGTACTATCTTCGTCATGGATTCGAGTCGTATGACGTTACTTTACTACAGTTCCTTCCCATGCTCGCATCGAGCTCGCTCCATGGTGTGACGGAAGCGAACGTCAGCTCTGATGTCAAAGAAGCCATACGCTCAACCATCCTGCTCTGCGCCAAGGGCCTTCGGGAGCAAGGGAAGAATTACTATATCTGCGAGGCGATATTTCGTCTCTTCCGGAATTCGCTAAGCCAACAAGATGCGCAACTTCTCATGCGGGAAGTCTCGGGGATAGAACAGGAGGATAGCAGGATGGTCACGATGATTTCGGAAATCCGGTCGCAGTGGCCTATTGGGGTCTTTAGCAAGACGAAGAAGAATGCCGATAATACGGTAGGGCATTTCTTGAATTGGTGGGAACGGATGATGCAGGATAAGCCACGACAGGCTAGCAAGACGCCGGACGTGGCTCAGCAAGACGTAGTTGAGCAGTGGACGAGGTACGAGCGATAGTCTAATGCAGGAGTCATCGACCATGGCCGGGGAAAGGGGTTAGACTGGGAGAAGGTATCTGCATTGATATAGAATTCCTATGGATATCGTGGGCCTACACGTTGGACACTAAGTACTATAGTCTCCTTAAGCATGTGCCTAGGAACTGGGTTTCATATACAGTAGACTGTTGATAGACATGATCTGATGGACATTGTTATTGATCCATGAACAAACGTGGATGTGCTGTGGATTCCTTCAGTGCTGATAAAACCTGCCGTTCTGCCGCTGTAAGAATACCCGGCAAGCATTGGGCATTATAAATAATAAAACCCAAGTGGCATAAATGGTATTTATACCCCTCTACTGCATTGTACTATCGGGCCATTCTATGATAGGGAACCTGCTTGCGCCAAATTCTTTTTTTTTTCTCTTTTTGGTTTGCTTGCCAGTGTAAATCGTCTACAGTAGACTAGGCTGGGCTATTCCTAACACTTAAGCAGTTGCTGTACCTATCCGATGCCGTTCCTGGCAGTCGCTGTTTGGAAGTCACTAACTGCAAATTAGTGCCCATATGAAACGGCCTCGAGTGGCATGAAGGGTTCGTTCACAAGTGGGTTGTTTCTGTTGAGTTTCGCTCTGCCTCGGCAATTCATTATGTCACGGGCAAAACAAAAGGTCTCGAAACCAGTAGCACAAAACCTACCGCGGAGAACGAAAAGGGCGAGTTGCTAAATTCTATGACGCAAGAGCTGATAGGCATCGTTCAGGACTCGGAAGGACATAGCCGGTTCACATGAGCTGGGTGTAGTGCAATCTTTCCCCTGCCAGTGCAATGTGCGATATACTTGCACAGGTCATATTGGATTTGATCATCTATAAAGGCAACGTCACAAACTTTACATAATACGTCCATATTAACCCGCCACGAGCCTGCTCCATCAAGCATCACGAATTGGACAGAACTACTGACAGCATTATCCCACTCGATTGCATTATTTCCTCTATGGGGATATCCATGTCAAGATCCAACCGCCGTAGTGGTAGTTGATGCCCCAGGAGCTTCCTATAGACCACCAGCGGAAGTATCGGGTGTGTTGACGCTCGCTCCGCCGTGAGGCTCTGGCAGCATGTGTGAATCATCAAGGGCTGTTGAAACAGCATGTCATTTTTGCTTCTAAATACAAAACCTACGGAATTTGGCGTTGTTTGAGGCGCCTCGATGCTCCTGCCTGTTTTAAGCATCATCGCCCCCTTGCGGATAATATATGGGGTAGTGCTTATCGCCGTCAAACAGCTGACCGTTGCCAGTCCCGTCATACGGAGTTTTCTCGCTACTATGCGATTGCCACATATATCGAATGGCATCCAGTATTGGCAAACCCCCAGCGCCGATCAGCTTGATATTCGGCGCGGACAGCGGCACATGCATTGTGGACTGATTGTTCAGAAACCCCTTGTAGGAGATGGAGTTGTTGACGTTCGCCACGTCTTTAGGATCCTTGTTCCTGTACCCCGTAACGTCGGCGACAAGCTTGTAAACGTTGGCCCCGACATCGAATCTACCCAAATTGGGCAGCTCCCAATTATTCTGCAGAGTGGACAATGTGGAATAGTGACTGTAGAAGGTGTCATCTTCCGATCCCTCCTTATTCTTTGGGACACCATTGCCGAGCAGCAGGGATACGATTTGATTCGGCTTCTTGTAGTCGTCAGCTTCGTCGTAGGTTAGCTGTATCACGGTACGCTCCGCAAAGGCTGAATCAGAAAGCAGGGGCAGCAGGAATTCACGCGCCCATTTTGTCGCATAGTCCAGGGTCGTGTTGTGGCCATCGTTGAGCATGTCTGGGGACATGGCCACAAATTGCGGTACGGTACCGGCAGCCAGATCGCGCTTGAAGTCTTCGAAAGACAGGAGTCTCGCCAGTCGGGTGCCGTTCATGTTGATGCTGTCGTAGGATACAAAGTGGCTGTTGCTGCTGTCAGGTTCTATTCAACTCGAAGCGCAAAACCGGGAATACCAACTTATGTTTTCTGACATAGTCCCAATTGCCCTCAGCTGTTCCTTTGCTGATGTTTACGCTTCCACTCGCCATGTAGCCCGGGCCTGGGTTGCCTTCGAAGTAACCAGCCCAGCTGATATCTCTGGTATCGAGCAAGTCCACCAAGGTCGAAACATTGGAGGGTATGCGCACGACTTCATCATGGTTGAGACCGAAGTAGTCGCCCCCCACTGCTGCGACGTAGTTCGGTTGCGAGGGGTGGGTGGCAGCGTAGAACCTCGTGTGAAGGATTCCGTAACGCTTGAGATCCACGAAATCGGGGTCAGCGATGACCTTGGCAAAATCCTGTGCCAGAAAATGGTTAATTGTGGTTCCAACACGTTGGAAGGAAGTGAGCGGCAAAGACAAACGATACTTGCCTGGTTCTCGAGCCAGATAGTGATGAACCTGTCGAACGCACGCCCAGGGACTATGGCAGCATGTGCCAGGCTCAGGTAGCCCAGCACCAGCAACGGGTACATAAATAGGGACAACATGCTCTTGTCCTCGATCGCATTCCTATATAGCTGTCGAATGAAGCATTGCGCTTGACAACTGCTGTTCTGGTGACCGTGGTGAGGCGTACAGCAAGATAGTTTCGAGCGGCTCGTCACCACCCGACGTGGTCTCTTGTCTACGATCGTGCGGCGTTTCGAATGTATGGCGCTTTGGGAACAGGGGTCCATCAATCCCCTTGCCTATCATCGCGTGTAGATGACGAGAGGCCTTTAAGCGCCATACCCGAAGGGAGTTAGTCTGGCAGTTGAGCTAACTGGGGAAATCATCTCAAGTCGATTCTAGCCTCAGATGTGGAGTACAGCCTAAACAGCCGCAAATTTACACCACGCAACTTGCCTGCAATTGCCATGCGAATTCCAGAACCGGCTCCTCGAAGGCCTTCTGCTCTTCATTTTAAATGACATCTTCCTCTTCAACAGTAGAAATGGTAGCGGCCCAGCCCAGCAAAATTTACAGTATGCTGCACCAGTCCCTGTTGCCCCAAATTATCTACGTAGCTCTGTCTTCGTGTAACTCATTAGAGATAGTCCGCGTCAAATCCGCTCCTTGCTGAATCATAAATCCGAGCTCGACGGAATCCGAGCGGAAATCCGAGCTGACTGCACTGCACTCATCGCGCGCGCTCCGGCTTCTTGGGCTACCTGATTTTTTCGATAAAAATTGCTTATCAGATTCTCCTATTTTTGTGTCCTTCCCCTCTGACGCAAAAAGCCCTTCGCCTTTCCTAACATCCGAGGGCCGTACTCCGAGGCGAGCAAACATGGCCGAAGCTGGCAGCACCCATTCAGACGATGAGTCTCACGACGGAAGCCATGCCCCGGCCCGCAAGCGTCAACGCGTTAGACTATCCTGTCTCGAATGCCGTCGGCGGAAGCTGTCATGCTCCAGAGAGCTGCCTTGCGATCGTTGTATCAAATCCGGCACACCTGAGGTAAATTATTGTATTTGCTTTCTCTACAGAGGCTATTGATGTAGGCTTCTTGTGTAACACAAGTTGTCTTGTAACCCCTGTCAACCTTTCAACATTCCCTATATGCTTGTCGACACCGAACCAATAAACACACTGTATGGGTATGGGATAAGCCTCTGTGTAGATGGTTCTTTACCTTGGAGGTGCACTAGTTCCCGAGGGCGGCTCCAGTAGGAGTGCATTGCCAGATAAACTGTCCGAGTCCACTTATACCATTTAATGTTACTATTATGCCATGTTGTTCCTGTTGTTCAAGAGTTACTTACCATTCTACCGTCTCGTATACCTCACTTACTGTGCACTAATCATGTCTCACAGAGGTGCAACTATGAGTCCAGGCCTGGTTCCACATCTGAATCAATCGGGGAGAGGACATCCCACATATTCCCGGCTTCAGTCCACCCGTCACAGACCGATATCCGCCGGACAGCAGTGGCCCTTTCAAGGGAGCTTCCACGTCGGGATATCGACACAGCCAGAGACCACGAACGGATTCGCAAACTGGAACTCGAAGTGGCCCATCTGAGAGGAGCTTTGGCCAAGCAAACGTCCCTCGACGGAAGCACCGTCATCGGCGCCTCGCCGTCCACACTCAGAGATGCCGCAAAAGAGACCCCCCCGGAACCCCTGGATGTCCAAGGGCCACCTTTCCTCCAGCCAGGTCGAGGAGATGGCCTGGAATTCAAGTTCATCCGGGGCAACAACTTCAAGACGAGATACTTTGGTCCTCATAATGCATGGTCTTCATTCAGAGAACTCACAGGCTTAACCCCTTTTATGAAAGACACGGCCGAGGAGTGGCTCCGGCCGTTGAACATCGCCAAGAAGGATCGAAAGAAGCGGAAACATGATCGAGAGATGCAGTTCCTGGAACCGGACCCCGAACTCGAGGCTTTGCTGCCCTCGAAAGTCGAAACAGACGCCCTGGTGGCCGTTTACTTGGACCAGTTCGAACAACTGCATCGCATCATCCACATACCGACGTTCAAGAAGCAGTACGAGAAGTTCTGGGACCTTTCGCAACCGAGGTGTGCCGCCATCACCGCCTTCATTCTCGCCATGATCGCCGTGTCGAGCTGCCTCGACATGCAAGCCTCGTCCAAGTTCGTGGGGCTCAAGTCCCGCTCGTACCAGACGGCGGAGAAATGGATCAAAGCTAGCGACGCTTGGCTTGAGCGACAGAGCCAGAAGCACCGTCGACTCCTTCATTACCAGCTCACATGCATGCTGTATCTCGCCAAGAGGGTTAATGTCGTCAAGAAGAAAAGGTACTGGACCTCGGCGGGTGCAATGATTAGGGATGCCATCATTGTTGGACTTCATCAGGACCCTGAGGCGGTTTCTTCCAGCATCACACCGTACAATCGGGAAATGCGGCGGCGACTCTGGGCCACTATGATTGAGTTTGATGTCCAGGCGTCCTTTGACCAGGGGGTTCCGACACTGCTGAGCCAAATCTACAATGAGGTGAGTACAAAGCAGAATTACCCTAATGCCATCGGAGTTGGCGATGACGCCCCAACCTAGTCTCATCTCCCTCGCCGGGATATTCGTCCTAATCTGACCGCGTATAGACCAAAACGCCGCGAAACATTGACGATGATGGATTCGATGAAGACTCTGAGGACCTACCACCATCGAAGCCATCTACAGAGTATACCTTCTCGTCGTATCAGCACATCGCCCGGCGAAGTCTCCAGCTACGGCTCGAGCTCAACCAGCTGCTAACTGGACCAGTCGTAAACCTCGATGTAAGTAACCACCCAAAACACAAGCTTGAGACGCCTGGTCACCCCGTGGTCTTCCCCAGCCTCTAACTATATTCTATTACAGTGGGAGCAGGTAACTCATTATGCCGACATGATAACACAGGAGATTGACGCTCTACCTGCTTGGGATCTCGGATCCGAGAAAGGATCCCATAAACCTCTGATGGCTTTGACTCTTCTCCATGTCCAACTGAAGCAGTATCTCCTTTCACTCCACCAGCCCTATCTTAAGCTCCGCCAGTACAACTCCAAGTATCAAATCGCCGAGTTCATCTACTTCAACGCAGCTCGCGACATGGTGCTCATGCACGATAAACTGTTCCAGATGGGCATCCGTGCTCTTTACTTTCTGCGAGAGGACACGATGAACGCCGCCATCAACCTCTGCAACGTGTCGCTACATCAACCCAGAGGTATGCAGCCCTTTCTCAGAATGTTTGGTTCAATACTAACAGCAAAAAATACAGGGTCAACCAGCTTGATCGGATCCTACGCGGGCGACACGCTCAAGATGATCGAGAAGTGCATCGCGATCAAAGAAGACCGCATCCTCCGATGCGGGAACAACGACCCCTGGGGCTACTCGTCTATGTGTGCCGCCTTCGGCCTCCTAGAGACCCACCTCGGCGTCAAGAACTCGGAAGCAGCCAGAGCCTCCGCAGCCGAGCGCTTCATTGGCCTGCATTACAAGCTGCTCGCCTACCAAATCCCGCCCTACCCCAGTACTGAACCGCAGCCTGAAGCCAACACACCCCAGGTGGGCGTGGCGCAGGACCCTATTAATAGACCGAAATCCGTCACGCCTTTCCCGCTGGATGCGAATACTGCCATGCAGCTCGGTAACACGCCGTTCCAGAGAGAAGGGCTGCCACTGTCGATGCCGTGGCTACTTCCGTCGACGGATCCGAGTCAGATGATGACGCCGAACCCGGATATGAACCTTGAGGGGCTGGGGATGGATCTAAACGAACTTTGGGGTGGCGGTTGGGACGGAGGAGAATTTTATTAGATGGCTTGACCGTTCAGCATGCTTGGAGATGGAGTTTGTCCTGTCGATGGTTCTTGTACTTTATTGTACCTTTGTACGACGCGGACACTGCCTTGACACGGCAAAGCCCAGGTTCTCTGTGCATTTGGCTGATAAAATAAAAACTCACTCACTTCGGAAAGGAAAGGGGTTCATGGGTTGGTATGCATTTGTTTTGGGGGGCTGTTGCTCGTTTAGTACGTACTTATACCACTTAGCCTCCTCAATCCTCTTGCCGTACTTCGGTCCAAATGGCGCCATCAGAATCGTCTGGTTGACTTTCAACAAGATCAGGGCTTGCTCGACACCAGAGACTGCCTTGGCTGCGTTTAAGACTTCCTCAACGGCGGCGTCTTTCACGCCGCTTCCGAGCTTGCTGCTAGGGTTTGGAGATGTTTGAGCTTGGAGCACCAGGGTAGGCTTTATGACGGCGGCAGCGGTACTGAGGATGATTTGCACCACTGGAAATGGATGATGTATATGAGAATAATAGAGTATGTGAATTAAATGTGCGCTTGGTTATGATGGTACCTCACCTTCGTCCTCCGGTTTGGGATTCTATACAACGATCACTGTATTCTCCGTCCTTTTGCGGCTGAGGTTGACGGAGATGGACTTGCCTTCGGCCATGTTGTGTGTTGGGTCGGCATTGGGGTATGAAACGACAGGAATTCGACGCCTAGAGGGGTGGGTTGGCTAGTTTATCTCTCTTGTATATACAAGTGTAACAAGTGATTGTTTTGTCCCTCTGACCAGCCGAGAAGAGCATGTTTAGGCAGAGACTATAAGGGGCTCAGCTGAGGTTGTGCAGGGTGGCGTTACAGTCTGACAAATGCGTGTGCTTCGTAGACTTGCTTACATTAAAGAGAGACAGCTCTAACTCGACGCCATAGGTACTTAGGTATTTACGAGAATTCGAAAGCACCAAAATATAAGCTGTGATTTAGGAGAAACAGATGGTTGATATTTCAGCTTAGTGTTAGTGTCTACTAGTTTCCTCTGTCATGAACAAACACCATTACAAGCAACAGCAACATCAACATAACTCAGCGAAGTAAAACAACCATAGTCTCAAAGAACCACCGGCTCATCCCTCGATGTTGATACCAATTCTCTGATTTCTCACGAGAGAAAAGGAAATCCTTCACTTCTTGGACTTTCCTTGTCCTGAGCACCCTGAGTGCTTCTCTAATTGGAGCTCCCGTTGCAGCTACCCGAGTTGGCGTTGCAGCTACCCGAGTTGGCGTTGCAGGCGTAGGCTGACTGGGCACGAGCTGATAAGCCTCTGGCAGACTCGTCAATCCCGTTTTGAGCCTGTACTCTGGTCAGGATCACATTCTCACAGTCTCATATGTGGCGGGGAGGGCAGACTTGGGCAGGCATTGGGATGTCTCGCGGTGAAAGAGGTTTCTTTTAACACAGGAGGAAGATATTCTCCTGGGATTGTTGTTGCGAGCTGTTGGTTGTCAAGTGTGGGTGATGAATTGAAGGCTGTCGAATTGATGAGAAAGGGACCCGAGGCTGGCTCTGGCTCTGGTTCAAATCAACACACTGGTTGATCTCACAGGGAATAGACACGATCGACATCAATATGCACTTTGCTGTTGACAAATATCGAGGTGCGGGCTTTCCATCAAAATTTCAGATGGTTAGTAGCATCTCTTTTCCTAAGCAGTGTGCCATTAATGTTGTATCAAGTCGCTATGCTCTGGGCTTCTCACACGGGAGACTACTTTAGATTCTTAACCAGATGAATCATTTCTCACGATAACGCTATGTAATATTGGTCAATTAATAAATATTAAGTCACATTAGATCCCGTAATCATTTGTCGATATTGACAGGTGGCCATCAGCATACAATAAATTGCAGTAGACAACATCAGATAGATGCACAATTCTCGGCTCACCCGAAGTAGCGGGAACCGGTGGGAACCGGTAAACATTGTCTTTGTGATCCCAGATGACTTGATGGGCCATTTTAATCTACTTACAACTCATACACACGATTGAAGCATGTAAGTTGGCAATAGATCTATAATTCTAGTAATGCTCCCCTCCTGCTATGAAACAGTGGTATTCCCAACGATCACGAGACTAGTACGAGGTGACGGAGGCAGATACCAACGGAAGGCATTGATCAAGAGAGTGAGTGTTTGCTGAATGCCTCTTCCGCGAGAAAGACTGGTCTGCCGTTGCCTGCAAGGCTTAGTGGTATTCCAGTGCAGAGGGAGGTTGAGCTCTAGAAATCGATCTATATAGAGTTAACCAATGTCAATATAACTCCAGCCTCTTATTTTCGTTGTCCCATTGCACACCGCCATGTCATAGACCTGGCTCTAGCGTTGGGGTTAGATAACCACATGATTACTAGCAGTAATACACGAGTCAGACAAGGAGGCGACCGCATAAAAGTACAATAATCCAGGACCTTACCAGCCACAACTCCACACACACAAATGGGTGGGGCTTCGTTCACCTACCTACCTGCCAGAAATACCAACAGTCCTCCACCCTCCCGTGACAAACATTGTTTGCTATGGAGCGATGTAACAGCTTATATGATTACCGAGGATCGGTGTCTCGCCCGAAGAGGTTAGCAGAAGCTGAGATCTCTTTCCGGCACCGGTACTCAGATCTAGACCACGCGAAGGAATACACACACAACTGGTCCAGTGCCTCGTCAATGCCAACTGATCCTAATTCCGGCCACCAATCAATCGTTGCCCGAGCCTCCAGCCGGCTATAGAGTGCGGAGAGAAACGTGAGTAGGGGTAGAAAAGCCAAAAGTGACGGGCTTGTCGATCTCGATGCGATATCCATCTCGGTACTGATGCTTAGGCTGCGTCCCGGCTTGGTTTATGTCACTATGCTGTCGACGGAGGGATCCTCAGTCCCCAGCCGTCAGAACGGGCAGGAAGACAAACCTGGCGTCCAGTGAACTCACATTGTTTCTTTTGGCCTTTTGCACGTAAATAATAAGGGACTTATCCGTCGGCAGAGACATGAGTGATAAGAATGGATCGGTGCTGTTGTTTGATATGAGGGTGTTGTGGCATACTACACGTAGAATGATGTATGCCTGACTGGCTGTCCTTCTCACATGTTGTTATCAACCACACACATACCCAGTGGCTGAAAAAATCGAAAATTACTGGATGTAATAAATCCTCGACGTGGCGACCGAAAAAGAAAAACAAGCCAAGAGGAAGAAGAAGGAAATCTGAAAGTCTATCCAAGAGAGACGCAGCCCCAGAATTGCCAGATACTGACTCCGTGTCGAACGGCATGTGTAGTAGGTATCCCGAACCAGTTCCGCAATCCATCGTTCGCTCTGATATCATTCGCTCATACCTGGCCTCCAACCAGTGTTACTCAAAAGAACACTGTCAACGTGATCCTTGCGATGAACTTGGAATCGATTTCTCAAAGCCGGGATGGCTCGCTTTCGCGGTTCGGTGGTCTGCAGCTGGATTGTTTAAGTATAACCAACGATGATCCCAGCAACCAAAGCAATATCAGACGACTTATAGATGAGAACTAACCATTGGGCCTCAACCACGCACCATTGCGTGAATTTTATAGCCAGTTTCAGAGACTAACTATCCTGTACTGAGTTTATGTTTGCGCCGGAGGAAGTCGACGTCATACGGGTTATTTCGCAAGCCTAACCCTACTTTGGGCATGAATGCAACCTGCGGTCCCTACGCACGCGGCTGAAGTACAGCCATATCTTCAGTGGTCATTCGTGGGTTTACCAGTTTAGTCCAATATCTGTGTTAATTGCCAACTGAACTAGTGCATAGTAGGCCAGCCGTCTCAATTCTATTTGGCAGCGTCAGCCTGAACCTGTCACTTGGTATCCCTGAAACTGCAGCACGACACCGGCATCTCCTTACCACGTCCCAGCAGTCAGATTGGAGTTATGTCAGTGGCTGAAAAGCAAAATCCAAGAAAACGAGGTCGAGTGTAATCAATGGGGTTCCTTAGGCGGTGAAAGGGGGTTGGAGGGGAGGACCGACGGCTAGTGGTTTCGACATAGGCCAGATAGAGGTGGAAGTGAGTAATATAATCGACGTGAGCTCCCTTATTTGAGACCACAGTACTTTGAGCGCTTTTCGACACCATCCCACATGTGTTTGCCGACTCGATATTCTCAGGAACTGCAACGCCATTCATCCGACGTTAGTTCATATGCAACGTCCATCTGCTCAGATATCTGGCACAATGGCTGAAGAGCAAACTGCTCGCCGTTCGGCAGAGGAGATCATCTCTCCCATGTCGGCCAAAGCCGCCCACTTTCCCGACGACCACTCCGATTCCGAAGTCGAAGGGATCAGCCCTCCAGCGGCAGCGGCGCCATCGACTTCCAAGCGAAGGTCAGAATGTAGAGACCGCAGTGGACGCACATCGGGCCAGCACCGACCATCAAGTCGAAAACCACCATCATCCCGAGGTGCCGGCGGCTACCCAACCGACTACGATCCGCCCACACGTACTCGCTCCATGAGATCCACCCGACCGCTCCGATATGATGACGAGTGGGAAGAAGACTACTATGGAGACCGCTACGTCGACCGAGTCCACGACTCGTACCGTGATCGAGACGATTCCCGCCAGCCCGACATGTATACCCGACGCTTGGTACGCAGCCGGGCCCCTCGCGCGTACCACAACCGCCCCTACGCCGACGAGGCAGACCCAGCACCTTCGCCTTCAAAGCCATGGTTCGAGGCAACCCAGTCGCACCGCGACCGGATTCCGGACGAAGAAATGGGCCACTACTCGCCTGCTGCCAACAATATCTGCGTCGACTGGAAACAGCTGAGCAGCCAGGAGAAGGCCGCGGCTCTGCGGCTGCCCGGGACTCATTGGGTGAACTCCAACTTCAAGAATCATTTCGTCGCCAGCATGGGCGAGTTCATTGGCACGACCCTCTTCCTTTTCTTCGCCTTCGCTGGGACCGAAGTGGCCAACATCCAATCCCGGGCCAACAACAGCAACAACTCCAGCGACAGCAACTCGACGACGGGCGGTGCCACTGGCTTCGATATATCCGTGCTCCTTTACATCTCGATCATTTTCGGGTTTTCCCTGATGGTCAATGTTTGGATTTTCTTTCGCATCAGTGGTGGTCTGTTTAACCCCGCCGTCACACTCGCCATGGTGATGGTGAAGGCCATCAGTGTCACCAGAGCCGCGTGTCTATTCATTGCTCAAATCCTGGGTTCCTTGCTCGCCTCGGTCATCGTCCGGTTCCTGTTCCCCGAGAACTTCAACGTCAGAACGACTCTCAGTGGTGGGGCCAGCGTCGCTCAAGGCGTCTTCATCGAGGCCATCCTGACGGCTGAGCTGGTTTTCACAATATTTATGCTGGCGAAGGAAAAGCATCGCGGCACCTTCATGGCACCCGTCGGCATTGGCCTGGCTTTGTTCATTGCCGAGATGGTTGGTGTTCAGTTTACCGGTGGCTCCCTCAATCCAGCAAGGAGTTTCGGTCCCTGTGTCATCACTTTGACTTTCGACCAGGAACATTGGATATACTGGGTCGGCCCTTTGATGGGTTCGTTGATTGCTGTCATGTTTTACAAGTTGATCAAGACTCTCGAATACGAGGTAAGCGCTCCATCCCCACCATGTCCTTTGTTCACTTGAAGAATGGTGCTGACAGTTTTAGATGGCAAATCCTGGCGCGGATGGCGATCCGTCGAACGACCCAACGGGGAACCTGAAAAGAGGGCAGAACGCCCCAGCGCAAAGAGAATAAGCACACGAGATGGATGAGAGCAGATATCGTTGGTGCGAATGAGGGTTATGACGATATGGAGATGGGAATAAGTTAACGATCGGCATTGGCGATGTATTTGGATATGCAAGGATGATGAATGACGACTTGAATATGTTGATGATGAAGGACGGAGTAGGTAGAAACGAAGTACTTCTCACCACCAAACCTTGGCTTCTCTGCTTCGACGTGACAGTAAGCAGTACAGCCCTGACAGAACGAACTTATTGTGATCGTGAATGCATCTGTATACCTAGGTAGAGATTACTCACGAGCACATGAGTCTGGCCAACCAGCTGCCCGCCAAGGAAGGCTTTTCACGCCTGTTGAACTCAGAAGCGTGGTTAAGGTGAGGTTTGTCCGGCGTGCCATGTGTGGTGGGCGCGAGATGCATACGAAAATTCAAGCTTTGGAATATTGTCTGGGATTCCCGTCGCTTTGGCCACTTCGGGATGCTACTCACTCAGGAACCCTGCTGGAGGTAGGCACTATGTGGAGGTCAACCAGCAGAACGACTTCCGCGGAACCCTACACCGTGATTTCAGATTCTTGAATGCGATAGAGATATGCTCAAAAATGGGCTTATATTGAAGTGTGCTTCGTGCATCAATAGAGTGCTATCGTTATCATTACTTTCCCTATGCTCGAACAGGGCCCCGATTGAAGCTTACCCCACATTCGGCGGCTGCAAGCAACATTTCTGTCGGATGCGTGTCATTCCCCTCCCTTCAGTGTCACTGCAGACAGGGTCATCAAGTCAGATAGATCTGCTGCCGAATCTGCTAATGGTTAGCACGTTGATAACAGCAACACAAACTCCCAGCCAACCTCCGAAGATCGCCGGGGCTCACCGGAGAATCCTACCAAGCCTGGCTCTCATTCGATAAGAGATGTCAATAAGATGGCACACACACCAGGCGGGCGTTTCCCCATTGTCCTCCCATCATCGTCAGTCTTGCTGCCGCATCCTCTCCCGATAGTTCCACCGCATTGAAACCCCCAAATCCAGTGTGCACGCAGGCGACGAGATCCAACCCCTTCTGACGGCAGCTGCATCCACCATGGCGACGGAGCCAAACCACCCCGTCGATTCCAAGCCCGGCGCGAGCGACGCAGCCATCTTGGCCGAGGCTGTTCAGCAAGAACACAGTCTGACGTTCACGCAAGCCGTGCAGCTGTACCCGACTGCTGTGGGATGGTCGGCATTCGTGTCGCTAGGGGTTATTGTAAGAAGCCTCGACGATGATCTGAAATGAAAACCGTTTACTCAGATTTGGCATTGCAGATGTTAGCATTTGACCCCCAGCTGCTGGGAAACTTGTACGCAACCCCGCAATTCCAAGCCGACTTTGGCTATGAGTTTGAAGGGTCGGTAAGTAGTATTCCCAACCTCCCAGACAGACTGAGTTTCAGTGCTGAACTAACTATTTCCCCAGTATATCATATCCGCGCCCTGGCAGACAGGCCTATCAATGGGCAACCCGGTAGGCCAAGTCGTCGGCGCCCTGGTCTCAGCGTACCCTATGGACATATTCGGCCGGAAGTACACCTTCGGCGTCTGTGTCATCCTCACCGCCGGGCTGGTCTTCATCCAATTCTTCGCGCGCTCGCTGGAAGTGCTTCTCGTAGGCGAGCTACTGGGCGGGCTCGTGCTCGGCTGCTACGTGGTCATTGCCCCGGCTTACGCGTCCGAGGTGTGTCCCCTGGCTTTGCGTGGGCATTTGACGAGCTATACGAATCTGTGTTTCGTTATGGGGCAGTTTCTTGCGAATGGGGTTACGGCCGGGACCTCCAAGTTGAATACGCATTGGGCATATAGCATCCCGTTTGCGCTGCAGTGGTTGTAAGTCGACTATTCGTGCCAAATTTGTGCACCCCTTTCAACTCAACGCAGTAGAAGTGAACTAATGACGGTTGTCCCTCATCTAGCTGGATTGCTGTCATCATCCCGGGCATGTTTTTCATACCCGAGAGTCCTTGGTGGCTTGTTCGTAAAGGACGGATGGTAAGTACACAGCCGAAACAAAAGTAATTCCAGAAGCACCTAATCTGTGATAAAGGGCTGGATACCTCTGGATACTTATTGGGTGCTGACTTGTGTCTTGTGCTAGAACGAAGCGGAAAACGCCTTGCGTGCATTGTCTTCGAAAGGGGTCAACGTAGAAGCAACATTAGCCGCCATCGCTGAGACGGATCGACTCGAGCAGGAAATTGAAGCTGGGAGCACTTATATTGACTGTGTGAAGGGCATAAACCTCAGACGAACCGAAATCTCCGTGGGCGTGTACTGCACCCAAGTTCTCAGTGGCATCTACCTCATCAACTACGGGACGTATTTCTTCCAGCTTGCTGGCCTACGCACCGAAGATGCTTTTTCCATGGGCATCGGCTTCTTAGGTGAGTATCCCCGATTCTTTCACGTTACAAGGCAGATCAAAGCCGGAAACTAACCAAGTCTAGCTGTGGGCTTCGTCGGAACCGTTTTATCCTGGTTTCTGCTTGTCCGATTCGGAAGACGATCCATCTACTTGAACGGCTTGTTGGTTTTGATCGTGTTGCAGCTCATCATTGGCATTCTCGACTGCATTCCTGGTCGCCCATCCGGTGTGACTTGGGCCGAATCCACGCTCATGTTGGTCTGGAACTTTGCGTACGATCTGAGCATTGGCCCCGTCTGCTTCACTCTCATCGGTGAATGCTCTGCGACGCGTGTCCGATCCAAGACGATTGCCATCGCTACAGCAGCCCAGGGCCTACTGGGCATTGTGATGACCGTAGCTATCCCATATATGATTAATCCTGATCAGGTGAGTTCCTACAATTTACCCGGCTGGATTTCGCTGACCCCTTTGTAGGCCAACATGCAGGGCAAACTGGGATTTTTCTTCGGTGGCCTGGCTTTCCTGTGCTATATCTGGGCGTTCTTTAGGATCCCTGAAACTAAGGGCCGGACGTATGAGGAGCTTGATCTTCTGTTCAACAAGAACTTACCGGCGCGGAAGTTCAAAGGCTATCAAATTGAGGGGCGCTATGACGACTGAGAATGGATTGTCAATACTGGTTACATGTAAGCCATGGACTTTAACATAACGAACTTCACCCATATTTCAACTCCACGGCCATGAACACATATGAGATTGACTACGCTGGAAATAGTCTAAGTAACGGCAGTGATGCAAACCGCAATCCTTATTCCCGATTGGAAATGAAATATATATTAAATACGCCGTAGGTGTTAACCCTCGGTACCTCTGCAAGTACTCCCTTAAGGGGCTATAGATGATATAGCGGGCCCTTAAGCCGCGTTGGGCGGTTATACAGGTAAACTTGTAGCCAAACGACTACTAAACCTCCTGTCCCTCCCTAAGTCTGTGCTACAACCCCTGCCTGAACTACCGATAAGTGTGGTAATGTGGCACTTAAATGCGTCCTCAGGGGTGGGATGCTACTGATGTGCAGAAGATGCTCGACTATTTTTTGTCGCGACAAGTCGTAGTATCTGCTAATTGGGGTTCTCGTCGAGCGTATACATCTCAACCATACGCTCAAGTGGATAGACCGTAACGTGGTCTAGACGCTCGCAAGAATCGCGGCGAGGGGGGGTCCGATAAGGGGTCGGATTAACGATTCGAATTCTGGACCGGCTGTCGAGTTATATTCCGCCGACGTAGTGCTTGACGGTCGACTGGCTAGGATGCTCGTAATCCTAAACTGCACCAATCTCCCTATTATCGCTAGGTAGGCGAAGTCAACAAGGTGGGCAGCGCGCCGTAAGGGTTGACTAAACCCCCTTGTATGTCAGCTGCGGGATTTGATGTCTCCTTATAAATAATCAATATACAGCACACCTTCCCTCCGATCTCAAGTAATCCAAGAACGCCTCCAATCATGATTTGAGATATGCAACAGGATCCCTTCCAACCCCTGACAGAACCTGACCTTTCCTACGGCTGCCTGCCTCTTTCCGGCTCTTTCGCCTACCTGATGCAGCGACAGTAGTAGTTGATTAAACCCTCGATGTACAATCATGAACAGTTAGCTCAACGAGGACCACCGTGTAGGAGAGGGTTCCAAAATTCCATATCCCACATGGCTAAATCTTCGGACCCGGGTATCTTCACCCCAGTTAGCGGACCGTAAGTTCATTCAAATGGCAGGGGATCGGAAGAAGGAATGCATGACCATTCGGTCGTCGACTTCGCGATTGCTTTACAGAACTTACCGTATGAGGAATATCGTGTGGCATCATAAACGGCTGCGCAGGAACCGGGTTCAAAAAGCTCCCCGAATGCCCCGAAGGCGAGTGTAGACTGTGCATCGACATCGTGTTTGGCGGTCCGGGTATTATCTTCGAATTCCAAGTCAGCACCACCTCCCCTTACCCCCATCTTTCTCAACACCTCCACTCATCAGTCCACTTACCGGTAGATTGAACGTTGTCTGACTATCCGGATCCGCCATCGTCTTCGCGCCCGGCTGCACCCCAGCCTGAAGGCCAGCTTCCATAATCGCCCGCATACCCCTCTTGACCCTCTCCTCCTTAGCGGCCCACGTTCCGCCCTGACATATGCTCAGGACGACCGTCAGCGACACGAGATCCTTCAGATCTGTACCAATCTCTCGGATCCGCTTAATCATGGCTTCAAGCGCCTTTTCTACGGCGTTGACTAGCCGTGGGAGAGAGAGCAGGGCCGAGCTTTCCGAAGCGAGAATGCATGCTTCCTCAATCGACTCGGCCTTGGAGCTCTTTGTTAGAGAGGAGGATGCGGGAGAGGGAAGACTATCCTTGGCGGCGGCATGTTTGATGTAGTAGCAGACACTGAAGGCAGCTTGTAAAATGTCCTGTTTCAGAATGAGATAGTGCATGTGCCATATGTGCCAGTAGGTCGCGGCGTTGGTGTCTAGGTCGTCGGGGTAAGAAAGGAGGATCACCGACGATCGCAAATACGCCGTGAGAATATAGTGGGGAGCGTCAGGTGTACTCAACGCAAACGGTCTGTAGAGCATGAGCTGGGTTCTTCGACACGTCATATCTAATATAGTCCGTATTCTCCATTGGCGGTTGGCGTCGGCCGGGTTCTCGGGGGGCGTTCGCGGCAAGATAAATCTCAAGTCTTCGAAACTCCTCTCCAATGCGTTGCCACAGTCGAGCACTTCCTGGAAGTCGGTGAGGCTGTCGATACGGTTGATGAGATCAACGGCTCGGAATCGGTACGCTAGCGTACTTGCCGAGTAGACTTGGATCTGCGAATCGGTGGGTTGATCGATAGACTTGCCATCGGGAAGCTCATGCAAGTCTGGGTCCAAATCGTCATCGTCGAGATTCTGTGGGGGCCTGGTGGTGTAATCTCCATCTCGGACGCAGGCGGGCATGTTGCACTGCATGGACATCTGCAGGTCGAGTTCCATCAGAGTGTACCATATCCTCCGGCGCAACTCGGACCAGAAGGGCGAGACTTTCTGAGGAAACTCGGACGGGTCTCGGTGCAGACCCATGCTCATGGCCATGCGTACAACCAACCCCAACCTCGTCCAAGACTCTTGGAACTTGGGGTTGATCATCCTCTGTGCCATCAAAAGAAGTACTTCGGTTTGCAGCGTCCCGAATTCAATCAGCTGCTTTCCTCTCAGGCCGTCTAACCAGTGTCTCACAAGGGCACAGGCGGTTGGTAAGTGAATGCCATCTCGGTCGGGATATAGCCCCTTTCCTAGACCGATGAAGCGGTAGCCAATGCATAAAATCGACAGCAGCTGCGGCAAGAAAGAGTCGGCTGGCATATGGCCCTCCCAATATGTGTCGTATTGCTCCCTAAAGGTGGGAATGTGAAGGGTTCGATAGAGGGCTGTCTCGGAGCCACCGAGGAAAACCTGGATCAACTGGTCGCAGACCGACTTCTTGGGCAAGATGTCGGCCATGCGCTTCTGAATAGGCGTCATCGAGTCCACGTAGACGGTGATGGGGGTGAGGGCCTTCCGGTGCTCTTCCTGGAGGGACTTGTGGATCCGCTGAATGTTGATGAAGGTCTCCTTTAGGTCCCCCGTCTTGGTCCTGTGGAACATGAAGGCCCTGGCTTCATCGAACAGGTTCAGGAGAACCCTGGTGCTGTTTTGGCCAAAGTATCGGGTTCTGGTCGTCCCCTTGATGGCCAAACCCCGTATGGTACAGGAAGAGGCGAGAAGCTTGATTTTTCTTCGAGGGTTAGCATGGTGATGACCGCTGGAGAAGTCTTTGCCGAACGCTCCGGCTGAAGGACTGTTGGATTTCAGAACGACATGCTCCAAACGCTCGAGACGGGCACCGTAATCGTCCAGAATCGAGGCAGAGACCTGCAGAGACCGACTCTTGTTTGGGTCATTGTGGCTGGGAAGGGTGCTCTGGCTCGTAGTAGAGCCATTCTGCACGTTGATTCTCTTGGGCGCTCTTTCAGTAGCAGCCTCAACGTCCGATCCTTCCGAATTCCCCCCTTCTCCGTCGGCCGCCACGCCATCGGCGGCGTACCGACAATTGCGCTGCGACTTCTGGCATTGCGAGCACGGCAGTAATCGGTCACAGCGGAGCTTCCGGGTTCTGCATTCTATGCAAGACTTGACAGGACGTGGCCTCTTGACGCTGCGCGGGGCGCCAGAGTTGGCGTTGCCGCCGCCGATCTCCTGCGATGATGGCGTGCCGTAACCGGCCATAGACATTATTAGGGGTAGTGGTGTGCCGGCAGTCAGTGCCGCCTGGGAGTTCAGCCTGGGGAAAGGTCGCGGGGCTGTGAGAAGAGTGACGAATTGGCCCTTTCAAAACTAAACATCACCAAAAGCAGAAGCAGAAGCAGAGACAGAAGCAGAGGCCGAAGAAGAGGCCGAACCAAATAATCAAGAAAAAAGATGCAAAGATGGCGACATGCCGCAGCGTCTCGCGGATTCCTGTTTCGTCAGGCCCAGAAGAATTGTGATGGGCTGCTGGCCAATTTCCTAGAAGGTGCCTGACCAGTGACCAACCGACGAGAGAACCCTTTCTTTCGCGTGGTTTGGTGGGGTCCGCCGGGGAGATAATTCTGAGAAGGGTCTAGTGCACAACCAAGACCCTGGTTCCTGTCCCCATAGCCGCCGGATCCATGAGAAAGTGAGCAATTCGGCCGAATGCTCCTGCATGGCCACCATGTCTTGTCCGTCCCCATCAGAATCGGGCTGCTCGACACACGGACAAGTGAGGCTCATGCAGCCTGGGGTGGACGGCGGCGGGGGGGAGGGGCTCTTGGCTTCTTGTTTCTGTGTCGTGGACCATACGGCCGGCCGTCGGCCATTGCCTGTCGATATGCAATGCTCAAACTGCTGTCTGCACGAGGGGAAGTCACGTACGGGGGTCACGTAGGGGCAATGTGTGACCCTTCGAGAAGACTTCTTGTCGTCATTCGTTTATTACCAGGAGCCCAACACCTGCCAGATTCCCGCTCACCCGACGCTAAGGGACCGAGGCTACACACAACGGCTGTGAGATCTTGTCCCGCTGCGAAGAAGTCGGAGATAAACCCTAGTTGACATCCCGTATCCCACTTTCTACGCAGTTTTAATATATCTGCGACAGCGGGTAGGCCTTCGGAACCCTGAAACCCATAGACAACCCCCTGCCTATATGTATATCAAGCAACGGCATCTTGATTAGAGCGTTTCGCGATATATAATTAGCAAATCGCGAGACCCGATAGGCTGGACACGCAGCGGCCTATGAGCAAGGGTGCCAATAGGTATCTAAAGTAGGCACTTGGCTCAGAAGCTGGTCAGTTCTGGTCCAATGCTACCAACTTTCACTTACTCTTATTCGAGTTCGCGCCTGCTCTTCCGGGAAAGAACCGGCTCAGATATGCTTGATTCCATATCCGTCCAGTGAGACCTCGGCCGGAGTATTCCCACTCCCCTGTCATGAGTCTACACTTCGTGTGACTTGTCCACCGCTTGGCCGTCCCGCGATCAACATAGCAGCCCGCAATCGGTGTAGAATACATCACTATGCAGTCGATTGTTCTGTCCACTTGCTGTCTGGTAGACCAATCGCACCGAGCCAAAATGCGAAGCCGAAGCTAATGAGGACAAACGGGGTAGATCCCGTAGGCCGTTCGATGATTGGCAGCCAGCCATTCTGGAGTGTGGAATCGCAATCTGGTGGGGTATCGGCCCGGGATCATCTTTTCTCTCGAAAGTTTCAAAATATCCCAAGCACCGGACCACGGCCCTGTTGAGGCAACCCGTTATATGCCATCTCATACCATCCCACGCCATCCCGCCGTTTACTTCTTATCCTGTCCGTCTGTGCGCGCATGCATCCTCGTTCGTCGGTGCATAGTAACGCACTCGTTTCTACTACGCGTATATTTCCTGCGTCTTCGAGTTGGGAGTTCAATGTTAGTCGCTAGGCTTCCATTCGCTTAAACGGTATGTTGCAGGTGAGCGGCGCACGTTTTGACCCGTCACATTAATACGAAGGCCGGGTAGTTTGTTCTCTGACGAACGACGTTGCATTCCGTGCGTTGCATTCTCACTAGTTGACACTAGGCAGTCCTTCTCCATCTGCCACGTCGGCTCCGAGTCCCTTATTCTATCCTTCCCCTCAATGCAACCCCCCTGCTTGCTCATCTAACGGCTACCAATGTCGACCCCGTTGCTGTGACTAGTAGCCGCAGCCATTTTCGGCGTAGGAGTATAGCCGTATACCCCAGTCGCCGTCGCCGTGATCTTTCCGGGCATAGTCTGATTAATCGACAGCGCTCCAGTATACAAAGGTGGCTGTTGTATTTCCCGTATTAGCAAACACTCGATCTCGTCCAAAGTCAAACTTGTGACACTGCGACTCACCCCAGGAATCACATAAATCGTCGGATGCGAGAATAAATCAAACTTAATGCCTGGATCGCTCGCCTTGTAAAATTCCGTTGCCGGTATACCCGTCGGAGTCGCCGTCCCACTGCTATCGATGGCCAGGTTATAGCAAAAGGGGTACGCCTGTGCGCCGTTGGTCTGCCCCGCCGCATGGAGGGCAATGATCTCGTGTCGAAGGACGTAGTTACCGGGCGCAATGTCGGAGGGTATCTTGACAAGCCAGCTATTGTTGTTGTTGGTGAGGACGTTGGCAGCCCAGAGGTCCGTGGCCGGGTCGATGAAGCCGACCTCCTGGATCTTGAAGAAGTTGAGCTTGGTTTTGTCTACCGTTTCCTGTTGGGACAAGACGTCTCGTTAGTGGAAGTTCGAACGTCTGAAAAGGCCAGCAGAGAGAAGAAAGGAGGGGGCTCTAGAGCACTTGTCTTATTGGCAATTCACTTACACATGCGCCGTTGCAGTTGGCAAGATAGTCGATAACGGGCCCCTTGTGAGAACTCGGCCACGGCGTCCACTGTACTTCGATCACTTCTCCTCCCTTGACGAAGGCAGCGGCCCCCGCCGGTTTTGCTCCCAGGTGGCAGATCATGTCTGCTGTGCCGAAGTTATTGGGCGCGATGAATGTGTTTCTAAACCAGACTTTCATTTGCACACGCCTCTGGTATGGACATCATGTTGTCTTACTGAAGATCGTCAGGTACAGACCACCCAACAACTACCGGCGCCGGATTATTCCACTGGTAGCTGGGATTGTAGCCATCGTAGCTTAATTTCCCAAGGTTAGTCGTCCAAACTGACAGCGGCATCATCGTGATTTCGACTTACAAGGTGCCGTCGACAACGAGAGCGGATGCTATACCATGGGGTCGCACTGGGACGGCCGAGTATAACACGACGACTAGAGTGGTTAGCAGGAAACTAAGAGGCGCCATGATTAGTCAAGAGCCAGCGCTATTTCGATAACCTGGTTGACCTGAAGGGGGTAACACAAAGGACGATCTTCAAGGCCGGCACTCAACAAACATATGTACTCAAGCCGACACGGGGACTTGCCACCTTGGCATCACGCAGTCGTGCGAATCCTAGCATGTATTAGATGCATCTTAGCATGTTCGATACCACTATATCATAACCATATCAAGCTTATGGGATTAAGAGACCCATTCCGTACAAAAGGGTGGAGTGAAATTTAATAGGTTCCGGCTACACCGGCTGTCATTATAGAGTTGATTTCATCTATCAGGTCCAATAAGGACAAACCTCAAGGCTTAACTTGCCCCTAGTTCATATACAACTCGGAATTATGCCGACAAACACTATATGAAGCCAATGAGTTGGGCTTCTTCATATATACAAAAGGCCCTTTATAGAAACCAGAGCTTTGGCAGGTGGGCATGGGAGCAACCTCGTCTGCTGATGAAACTGACCGTAGACATCGCTTACATTGATTTGGCCTATCTTTGCTTGCAGGCAACAGGATTTGGGGTCTTCGGGAGATTCCTGGTTACCGAAGTAACCTTCTTCATAAGATAGAGCCGTTGGGCCGCCGGCTATATTCATGAATAATAAAGCGGCGAATCATGTAGCTTCATTTATATCAGGTGACATGCCTGGGGTGGCATACTTGCATATACCAGACTTGTTTTCTGCGCCAGGTCATGTCGTGATCGTTCTGGGAAGGTCGACTTACCGTGGGCGTGCTGGCACAGAAACACCGATGTCCAGAGCATACATTCGGAGACTCGAAGGCCGCTTTCCAATTCACATCTATCCCTAAGGGCAACCTGAACGCCAGCAAGCCAGGCATTGTTGGTACATATAGTATCTTTCGTCTCAAGGACTGCCTGACAAGGCGGACGTATCGCGTGGAAGTAACCCAGGTTAACGGAACCTCAAGCTACTTCATCATGTTTGTGTCCGGTGAATGAGTGCATGTCATACATACAAGTGTATATCGTAGTGTATGCGGCAACGGCCCTTCATTACTTGCTAGTACGTGCATCGCGTGATGACGCTTGTATCAAACGAACCTAGACTCCGGGTTCTGCCCGTCAAAAATGCTCTTCTTACAATGCTCCAGAGACCCATCGTCATTCCGGTCGTAGTAGAAGTTAACCCTAAGCAATCCACTATTGCAACCCATCCAGCCACTGCTGCCCTCAAATCAGAATAACTATGTAGTATACTGCCGTCAATCCCTGCAGCAGCCAACAAAATGTTGGACACCACTACCTCCAAATACCTAACGAATCTTTTCGGAAGTCAGCTGGCTCAACTTCCGAATCGGTTTCAGCATGACAAGCAGAGCACCGCCAAGTGCCAGATGGGGTTAGCTCCTCCTCAGAAGCCATCTTGACCACGATCACCGTAGGTTGTATCTTTTTGGGGGACGATGACTTGGGGCAAGACATATTGCGCTCCTCGCAGGGACAGGGTGCTTTCGACACAAGAGTAGAATTCCCAGTGCTTTCGCCCGAAGTCCAAGGATATTCCCGGAAAGAATCCTCCTACGACGCCTCGGCAACCTCGATGCTCTTGCCGACACCATCCGCCTCGCCGCTGTTCACTGTCTTGCCCGTCTTCTTAATAGTTTTGAGGACGGTCTCATACGTGAGTTCGGGCTTGGCGATGACGACAGCCTCTTGCTTTTCGAGGGAGACTTCATAGCTTTCGACGCCTGTGTATACGGTGATGAGTTTGTGGATATGTATACTGGATGCCTGGATGGAATGCGGGCAGGAGCAGGTTGTGAGAGTGGGCGCTTACCATCGAGCTTCTTGAGGACTCTGTCGACAGCGCCAGAGCAGCCGCCGCAGCTCATGCTGATGTTGAACTTGTAGGTGTGTTGCTCGGCCATTGTGTATGTGTGTATGTGTGTGTAGTTGACGAATGCGGGGTACAGGACACGAGATGTGGAAGTCGTGAAAGTCGGTAGTATGGTACGTGGCAGTAACAGTGAGCGATGTGGAGGCAGAGGTTAAAAAGATTCGGAGCCGCGTCGACCTTTTTGTACAGAGAATTTTTGGGGTGTCAGATAGCTTGTCGCATTAATAATGCTGAAAGGTAGCTGCGGCGGGACCGTTGACAGTTAAGCAAGTTTAGAGTTCGGACGAGGGACACCAACAGCCACATACCCGAAGCCACGGGTACCGTCATGATAGGAGGAGCAGCTCGCGCCGCACTGTGTTTTGTCCTACCAAAACAGCTGCTGATTGGCTCAATAGGGACACTTTGCAGAAACGAAAAGCTGCCCACACGGTGCCCAGTAACAGTAAGATGCAGGTACGCCCAGGCCTATATGCAATGTGTCGCTTCACTGACGCCTTTCTTGAGTGGCAGCTGGGTACGCAAAGGACGCCCTGGACTCATGGAGATCCCCGCGGTGTGAAACATGAGCAAGTTTTCATTGGGACAAAGCAGGTGATAAGTGAAACCTTCGTCGTTATTTGCACAATCGGTGAAGCCTTATTCCACTTCCAATCTTCCAACCTGGCATCCAAATTGTTTGATGCCCAGACATTGTGCGCTTGTTTCATGTCAGGAGAGTGAAGCTTCGCGAAGACCGACCGTATCATGTAGGCTAGTTAGTGTATGCTTCAGGGTTCTCACGAATCATATTCTAGGAAACAACGACAATTGGCATTTGTTTGGGAGCGTGGCCACATTGGGGTCTCTTGATTTACATTGTCCTAGTCCCTGCATTGCAGACGCGTGTAACAATGCACAGCGATGGGGTCTAAACGCCCAGACTGCAAACCGCAGCTCTGGTTATTTGTTGTAGCCTCACTTAGTTATAGTTAGCCCTGGTCTTGTGACCCATTTCTAGGCGCCGGTTCCAATGGAGGCATCTCGTCATCCGAATCGTCATGCCCAGTTCCATTGGGAGCCCTGCTGGTTCCCAATACATCCGGTGGCAGCTCACATAACTCCTCAGGATCTGCATGTGTGGCATCTGCATCCGGTCCTGTGAGACCCAATAGCTCGTTATCCGAGTCACCCGTATCAGCATAGTCATGGTCGTAATCGCTGGGCCAACCGCCCGGTGCCGTCAGATCATACTCTCGATTATCGTCCCAGTCCGCATCAAATTGCGGGCTGCCGTCATCCCAATCGGCATGTCGAGGGTCAGCATCGGGTCCATCGGGTCTTACTGGCCAGATCATATCCATAAATGCGTCCCAAAGTCCTGGGTGCCCGTCCCCGTCATTTTGTGCATCTGCCTCTGGCCCGTCATGATCGTCTTCGTCTGGCCCGCCATGTCCACCCTGGTCAATGGCTTCCTCTAAGGCCCGGACTACCTCTTCAGGTGCGTTCTGCCGCGTGGCTTCTTCTAGCAAACGCCGCAGAGCCTGACCTCCGGCCAAACCGCCTAGGCCGCCTAGACCACCAAGACCACCAAAGGGATTCATGTGAGGCATACCGGGCACTCCACGCTCCGGATTCCATGGTGACTTCTGGGAGTCGTAGCTGAACACGTTGTTCTCCTCTGAAGGGGGTAATGGGTCGAAGTCCCAGTTTGGCGAGGTCTGGAGCATGCCGTCGGGCACAAGACTCATGACAGCAGGCGTGTTGTCTAGATAGACGAAGCGGCCCACATTGCGCCCCGCCGTAGGGGTTGATGGCAAGGAGGAAGGAGAAGGCTTGGTGGCTGATACAGCTGCTTCTTTCAAGATACCGGTAGCTTGCGCGTTGTCCCACAGTTGTTTGGTTTGGTGGATGTATAGCTCCGTAAACAACTCCTCGTGGGCATCACGCGGCACTGTCCCCCAAATTGCACGAGGTATATCCAGGTTGAGTGCTTTGAATAGAGAGCTGTAAAGCCAGGGCAAGCGTTCCATCCCCTCGATCAACAGTACCTTAGCGCCTGCTGTGTCATTCTGTTGGAGGCGGGCAAGCACAAGAGTTTGCCTGACGTAGTCCTGCGCTGTGTCACACTCATCCAGGACCTCCGAGTCGCAGAAGTCAATAAACCACCTTGACTCGTGTGCACGAATGGCAAGCGGGTGGATGAAGTGGATGATACCGTATGGATCGCTCAGATCCATACTGAAGAGCAGCTTCGACCATTCCAGAGCTGTCCTATACGTCCCTTTCATGATCAAGCTTTTGAGGTAGTGGTACCCGGCCAGCCAGAACTGCCTGTTTTCGGGACGCCTGAACTCGAGTCTTGCCTTGCCCTCTTCAATCTTCTGACGAAATGCAGATAAAGATACTCTTCCGAACGTGAACAAAGCACGCTCGCACAGGTCTCCTGCCAATGCCGAGTTCTGGTCCTGTTTGGCGACCTTGCTAACCTGGATCAGAGTCGAGATATGGTACGGATGTCTCTGTAAGAAGTAGACGAGCTGCATAGGATCCAACATTTGCACGAGACCAAAGAAGTTCCGTTCAAGGTTGTTATAGCCCTCATCATGAGCGAATCCAAACTCGACCGTCCCACATTTAGGTTCGACGGTACCCTCCTTGACCAGCTTCATGGTGAGACCTTCGGTCGAGGCACGAGGCCAAGTCTCCTTGCCTGGCAAGAACGGGTTTCGTCGTAGAGTGACCTCGGACAGGGTCTTGCCAGGTTGTCCTTTGAGAAACGTCTCAAGATCCACATTCTGCCTAAGTTGCTGTGCACCTCGGCCTCGCCGTCTGTTGCGAGCCTCTGCGTCTTCGGTTTCCTCGGACTCGGCAGCTGCGATGGCGTCGCGGCCGAAGAGGTTCCGCATCTCGTTCAGAACCTTCAGGTGGTAACTATTGATTCGCAATAATTCGCATATTCGCTCGTAAGCTTTTGTGCCTTGGTTGGCAATCTCGCGGGCCGCATTGTTGGAGGATTTTGCGGCGATGTTCAGCTCACGAAGCGCCCGGTCGATCTCGTCTGCGTCCTTGTTCGGTCCGAAGGCTCCCGTATCATTTTTCATCGATGTATCCGCAGCCTTCTTGGCCTTTTTCTTTTTCTTCTTGCTCTTCTTGGATGACGACTTCGGAGTCGCTTCCATAGGTTGGGAAACGTCGGCTTGTTCCTCGGTAGCTCCCGTTACCTCTTCCTCGTCTTCGTCTTGTTCGTCATCTTCGCCTCCCAGGCCTCCCAGTGCCGCAAACCCCGAGAATATACTCGGCTTCGATCTTGGGACTGGCGCATCATTTTCGCGCTCCGATTCTTCCTCGGGGGTTTGAGCCTGGAGGGCTTCGAGCTCTCTCTGCTTCTGCAGTTTCCGCAGCTGTCTGGTCGACATGATTGCTTGTTTTGAATTAATAATGCAGAACTTTGACGCCACTAGAACGAGTCCCTGCGACTGAATAAATAGGCAAGGCGGTTCTGCGATCGCCACGACGAATATAAATGTTCAGGATAAAAACCTTCCGGTGGTGGAATGGGAAGCGGGAAATAATGGTGGGGCAAATTCAATCTGCTCAATTGTGTCATACGGCGAGCCACAGCCTCACCTAGTTTATTATTATTAGTGTTTTCTGCTGAACCAGCATTTCTCGCAAATGGCTGAATTAAGATGGCACATCAGAAGAATTGGGATCTTCTAGAAAATAACCATAGAGATAACACGCCACTATCACGCTTACATTAGAATAACATCTACACTCGAGAGCATTCTTAGATGCTAGCATGTGGACTTGATTGCAGACTGGTTTATATGATAAGCTCTATCGATTGCACGAGCTCAACTTCAGTATCAAGCTGGGGTTTCCAAGTTTTTGTGACACCTGGCATCAATCATCCCAGCTTCCCTAGCGAAAAAGAGTTGGTATCGAAGCATCTCGCTTTTGCTCTGGTTGAGCTTCCTGAACTCCCCATGGTTTTGAGCCAACCCTGGCGCAACTTTCTTTTCATCCGACCATAACACTCCTCGTGACATCGTCAGAACCTGCCCTGTGTCCATGTTCTCATAATGCCTGACTACCAATCAAGTGGCCTCCAGTAGGCTTGTCTGGCAAGATCCGCCAAAACGCTTTCCGATGCCTCGGTGCATGATAACATCATTATCACGCTATGTCGTATTATACACACTGTACAATGAGACCGAAAAGTGGTCATCCGCTAGCAGTTGAAAAGGCCGGTCTCCAATGAGCCCTTCTCCAGCATGATTTTCAGACAAGTCATTAGTGACTATTCGTCGTCTGACTACTGAGGAACGCCTTGTGAGTCTCCTCTCGGTCGGAAGCCTCCGCCACGGGTCTGACCATACCCGCGGCCTCCCCGACCCCGGCCACGACCTCTTCCTCGATAGTTTGGCCGATATCCACCATCGACACTTCCTTGACCAAAGGTTTCCATGTTCTTGCGTTGCTCCTCGCCGCGCCATTCACGACCACCTGGCTTCTGACCACCACTATCAGCACGATCCTTAGCCTCGCTCGAAATGTTATCGAAGAAAGATTTCGTCTTGTTGTAAGCCTGAGGTGGCTGGGCAGGATCGACCAAGTCTTGGGGTTCCGATGGGGCACCATTTGGAGCTTCGCCCAGAGGAGAACCAGCAATGGCTTCCTTAACGAGATCTTGCTTGTTAAACTTGGCGTTCGCCCCTTGAAAGTCGAAATCGGAATCAGGAACATCAACCTTAGCCGGTCCTCCGGCCCGGTTGCCTCGACCACGGCCGCGATTACTTGGACCAGTCCTGGCAGCATTGACTCTCATCTCATTAACCTTCTTAGTCAAGTTATCCATGGCGCTTCCAGTACCATTGCCGGGTGGAGCAGACACTCCAGATGCAGTGGCGTCCAACTTGGCCATAGCAACAGCAACAGCTGCTTTGGCTTGCTGAGTCGCATCCCTTATTGTTGCAGCTGAGACAGGCCCATTGGGGGATTCTGTTGCTACAGGCTTAACCGCTGCCGCGGCGGCAGTGACTTGAGGCTGTTGTGCTGGTGCCGGCCTAGATAAAATAGCAGGGATTACGGGCACTGCAGGTGTTACGCGGTTGCTTCTGGGACCGGTAGGCATGTTCCTGGGCTGCTGAGGAGCCTTGGCAGGTGTGTTGTTGGAGAGCGACTGAGATGTAGCCTTGACCTCCTCTACAGATGGCTTTGATTCCACAGGGGCCACAGGCGGGGTAGGAGCGTGTGCAGAAGAAGGCTGCTGAACTGGAGGTTGCGCGAAAGGTTGCAGCTCAGCAGATTGCTCGGCCTGAGCAGGAGTACCGGCTGATCGGGGCTTATCACTGCCGGGCGCAGCGCCAGCACCGATGGGAGTGGGCTTCATATCTTGTTGTGGTGTTCCTCTCATGCCTTGGCCAGGAGCGCCAGGTCCACCGAGTCCACCGAGTCCACCAGGAGCATTTGGGGCACCAGGGTGACCATGTGGTCCAGGAGGATATCCAAAGTTATTCCATGGACCTGGTGCGCCAGGCGGGAAGCCTTGCCCAGGCGGAAACCAACCAGGTGGTGGAGGGTAAGGCATGCCGCCGAATCTTGGGTCTGGCCCTGGTCCAGGCCCACCACCGCGTCCCCATGGTCCGCCAGGGCCCGGAGGGTAGAAGTTCGACTGTGGGAAAGGTGGCTGGTTGAAACCAGGAGCACCAGGAGCGCCTTGAGGGTGATTCGGTCCGGGAGTAGCAGCACTAGGGCCGGTAGCTCGGGCACGAGCCTGGAAGAACGCAGTCTAAGTTAGCTTGGTGATCTCGAGTGCAATTGTCATCAGGCATAACAAGAGATGGCATGTCTTAGATCAGAAGGAAGGCAACGGAAAAATCAACACGGTGTTTTTTTGCGCAATTCAGTAAAGACAATCTTTACATCCGAAAATATTTCATCAGGAAGACACGGGGGATTTCCTCCGCTGGGGGGATGAATTGGGAATCAGCGACTTACGCCTACGATTGCAGGATCGTCGGGGACAGCAGGAGGCTTGTTTTCCTTGGCAGCAGGGCCTTCCTCGATGCGCAAGTCCTTCACATCACTGCCTCGAAATACGATGTATTCGTAGACTTGATCGGACGGCGGGAGTTCTTCGTCGGGCTTACCCCTCCGCCCTTCAGTGCCGTAGGATCTCACATTCTCGAGGGACACTGTCGACTCCTCGGAGTTGATCTCGTGCAACACGCCAGAGTAGCTGTCGCGTAGGAGTCAGCGATGAAATGGAAAGAGTAGTGATGAAGGAAGGAGGATACACACCGAATGTCGCTTTTGGAGATGAGAGATATGCGAGATCTAGTAAGGAGCTAGTCAGCAAAATTTTGCAAAGTGGATGGAAAAGGCTGAGCTGTTCCAAGGTCCACCACACAGAGAGACCTACCCGAGGAATTCGGACATTGTGGCAATTGACTTGCGCTGGATGCGCAAGGTAGACGGGGAAGGTAAATGCTAGAGGCAAAAGGAAGTAGAATGTAATCTGTTTGCGAAACGGGAAGGGGAAGGGAAAAGGGTTTGTTGGGGCGCTGGTACAGCGAAAGTGGTGTGAGAAAGTTCGTGTGGTCAAAAGAACCAAGACCTAGACCGACGAGGAGCTTGCGTGAAGGCTGAAAACCGCGGCGAAATTCAGACGGCTGGCACCGCCACGCTACGGAGTAGCTTGGGATTTTATCGTGGCGCAACCTCAGTCTTATCTGAATTGTTGGACTGGGACTATTCCCAATGACTAAGACTGAATTGCCGTATTTTGCTCAGTGACAGGCAATTGGTTTTCATTCGATTGTCTACTTTTATGACGCCTTAGGGCATGCACTCCGCTAGTGGCCAAAACATAGGCGCGAATCTCTAAGGAGTTGTAACACCAGAATAATCTCATCAAAGTTTCGTAGACTTGGAATAGGGTACTCAACAATTATCTCGAAACTCAATTACGACTTGATCAATGGTAGTCACCTCTTTCTTTGCGTATCATATCATCTAATGTGAATCGCACATCACAAACATCAGACACCTTAGATCAGACCGATGGACCTCGCACATAAGTCGCAGACAATAAGGCGCAAAACAAATGGCCTCGCATATAGTACGGAGGGGTATCTCTCCTATCCCTCTTAAATCGAAATCTCCTGGTGCCCGACCACCGCGATGATATTACACACTATTTCTAGTCACTGTCCAACCCAGAACTGCTGGTATCGTCGTCCTCAAGGAACGCCCTCACTGCCTTACCATCGTCAAATTCGAATCCAGGCTCGCTTTCTTCTCCTTGTCCCTCCACCACTTGCCCTTCCTCTTCATCACTAGAACCATATCCTACTAGCGTTGAGCCTTTCCGCTTCCTTGACTCCGAGCTGCCTTGTTTCCGGGGCTTCTGCTCGGGTGCTTTCTCGGGTTTCTTGGCCAGAATGTACCCATCCGGAAGCTTGACACCGATTGGCACCACATATATGGTTGGATACTCTAGTACTTCAAGTCCCGACAAGACAGTTCCCAGACTATCCGTCGGTTCTAACTCGATGAGTTTCTGGGGCTCTCTGGAAGGGGTGCCTGGAACGTGGAAGTAGAAGTGGTATTTGCGCTTCACCTGATCCGCAAGCTTCTCTCTGGGTGTCCTCCGGTCCGCATGCACTGCTCTTTCCCAGGTTCCGGTCACCGTATCTTGTATCGGCAGTGGTGCAGTTCGCCATACAGAATTCATGTTTTGGCCGGCAAATGTATCCTGGGTATCGTCGTTATCTCCGTCCTTGCGTCGCTGATGCCTTGTATGCCTCGAGTCTCTCTTCTTTTCCGTTTGACTTAGCTGCGTGCGACGATGTTCCTCTTGGCAGCCTGCAAACCCAACATTGAGTGGTATATGATCCAGGGTTTTGCATACTAACCTCAAGAGACTGAGTCCCTCGCCATCAGACCTGGGACACAGAAGCAGCCATTCGACTTGCCAGTTGACCGTATTGGTCCTCTTATTGTACGATGTCGTGTTCTCCCTCTCCCGAGTCATACCCATTGGAACATGCTTCACACTGATTCCCAGAGCTTTCAACCTTCGGATAGCAGATCTTGCCCATGGGCGCGATCCATCGCCCATTGTGACATTTCCTCTGCTCTGACCCTTGTTTAATCGGCGTAGCTTGTTCGGTGGCGGCGCATTCTGGCTTGGTAGTGCAATGCCTCGCTCTTCGGTTAAGGCTTTTTCGGCACGTTCGATGGTTCGCTCAATTTTGGTGAGAAAGTTGTAGTCATGATCGATGCCTGCGTCCGTTCGCAGTTTCACTGGCGGTATATACACGGTGGGGTCGCGTTCGCCATTACAGGATGACCAATTCTTGTGTTTCTTGACGCAAACTAGCGAACATGTTCGCGCGCCGCACCGAGGGCATTTGTACTGTGGAGGTTTGATGTGGCATATTACACAGAGAGACGTTAACAAGGGATCAGACATGGCTGTGGTATATGTAGTAAAGCTCGAAATGTTTTCAGGCACGTTGACGTGGATTCATCTTGGCCGATTCAATGTTGACATTAAATTTATCCGAGGCTTGAGCTTCGAGGCAATGAAATTTTTGGACATATCTGATCATTATCGGAATTTGTAACTGATATGTGCCCCACCTTCCCCTGTTTTTTTTAATAGCCCCTCTCCCCTCAAAGTGCCGATACCATCGAGCTTGTGGTTGAAAAGTGTGTATAACTGAAGCAATTGTCGTAATCCGATGTCATGTATGCATCATTAGAATTATCGTTTATACTGGCCTCGTCACGTAGTATCTAAAGTTCTGTGATCTAGTATGAATTAGGGAGTATCTAGCAGTTGTGCCGCCGGTTATTTAGTACACCCTGACGTGACTTAACACAAGCCACCAAGTTAACAAATTTGAGAATAGCAGAGAGAACAGTCGTTGCACGATGGCCTCTGTAATCTTGGAAACATGTCAGTTGGCATTTGTCATCTTGAATTATTCCAGTAATGTGCCGAGCTGTGGCATCAAAGTTTTAGACCTCAAACAATGAAGCAGAATATCGATACAAGCTTTGGCAGCCAGCCGCACGAGAATCTGAATGCGAAAACCGGAGCCACATTTTCAAAAGTATTACGGCACCGCCCATATCCTTGGAACTCACTTAAGCCCAGTATGACTCTTTCACCACCCGCAGATGACCAACTTTTAAACGTGCCGGACTTGTCGCCATGAGAAGTTGGTCCTAAAAAATATCCCTTCATTTCAGAAATCCAAATTCCACTGAGGCCATCCTTACCGTCCTCCATGGATCTTCCTGATCCCACGTGCGACCTACACTGGTCTGCCTTCAGAGGAGCAATTCAAGACATATTTTCTAAGAATGCCAAAAAGCACCCAGACCGCCTGTGTGTAGTTGAGACAGCCTCGTCCTTCTCGCCGAGGAGAGAATTTCTGTATCGTCAGATCGATGAGGCGTCAAACGTCTTGGCACACCACCTGGTTCAGGCCGGTGTTCAGCGCGATGAGGTGGTCATGTCATACAGCCACAGAGGCGTTGATCTCGTGGTTGCCGTCATGGGCATTTTGAAAGCTGGCGCTACATTTTCCGTCATTGACCCATCATATCCCCCAGATAGACAGATCATCTATCTCGACGTTGCCCGACCCCGGGCATTGGTGGTTATCGACAAGGCCACCCAGGAGGCTGGACAAATCTCGGACAAAGTTCGCGCATTCATCTCAGAAACTCTTGAATTACGCACCGAGGTCCCGGCTTTGGAACTGAAGGATGACGGAACGCTACTTGGAGGCAGTATAAATGGGAAGGACGTTCTCGCGGACCAGGCTAGCTTGAAAGAGAACGGGCCTGGTATCCTCGTCGGACCTGATTCGACTCCAACTTTGTCGTTTACTTCTGGATCAGAAGGTCGACCCAAAGGTGTGCGAGGGCGGCATTACTCTTTGGCCTACTACTTCGACTGGATGGCAGAGCGTTTCAAGCTTACGGCGGACGATAAGATCACCATGTTGAGCGGTATAGCCCATGACCCTATTCAACGAGATATCTTCACCCCCCTTTTTCTCGGTGCCCAGATTTTGGTGCCCTCAAAGGAGGATATTCAGCACGAGAGACTTGCGGAATGGATGCGGGAGCATGGTGCTACCGTTGCGCACTTGACCCCAGCCATGGGCCAGATCCTGGTTGGAGGTGCCAGTGCAGAGTTTCCAGCTCTCCATCATGCGTTCTTCGTTGGTGATATCCTCATTAAACGCGAGTGCAAGGCTTTGCAGAGACTAGCGGAGAATTGCTTTATTGTGAACATGTACGGAACTACCGAGGTCAGTTTTGGTCCCCTTTTACTTGGTTTTCTAAGGGGGTGTACCTTCTGAGACGTGACCACCCCTCCCAGTTCACTTCCTCAACGTCTAAAGGGATCATTTGCTAACTTAAACTTATGATCAGACGCAAAGAGTGAGGCCGTTATATATGCTACATAATACGCAATTACTGACAGTAACTTAGGCTGTCAGCTACTTTGAACTGCCGAGCCGTAAGGCGGACCCAGAGTATCTCGATAACATGGGCAACGTTATCCCAGCAGGAACAGGTATGAAGGATGTCCAATTGCTGGTTGTTGACCGTGAGAACCGCAACAGAATCTGCGGTGTGGGCGAAATTGGTGAGATCTATGTCCGCGCCGGTGGTCTAGCAGAAGGCTACCTGGGTGCTGACGAGCTCACAAAACAGCTCAACGAAACTAAGTTTGTCCAGAGCTGGTTTGTAGACAACTCACAATGGGTAGAGAAGGACAAGCAAACTGCAAAATCAGTCGAGGAGGAGCCATGGCGCCAGTTCTACAAGGGGCCCCGCGATCGGATGTACCGGTCTGGTGATCTCGGACGCTACATGCCTAGTGGAGACGTTGAATGTGTTGGCCGAGCAGACGATCAGGTCAAGATTCGCGGATTCCGTATCGAGCTGGGTGAAATCGACAAGTATCTGGCGGATCACGATATGGTCATGGATAACCTTACGCTCGTACGAAAGAAGGAGGACTTCTCCTCGTACTTGGTCAGTTACGTCGTCCCCGACATGCAGAAGTGGTCAGCCTGGCTGCAAGAGCATGGCAAGGAAGACGACACGTCCGGTGAAGGCATAGCTGGAAGGATTCGTCGGTTCTGGCCCCTTGCGGAGGAGATCAAGAAATACCTGAAGACGAAGCTACCAAGTTACGCGATTCCCGAGGCTCTTATCCCGCTCGAGAAGTTCCCCCTGAATCCAAATGGCAAGAAGGACAAACCTGCGCTTCCCTTGAAAGAGTCTGCGGACCTCGATGCGGCACTCAACGAGGCACACGTCAATGTAGATGTGCCCATGACGGAAACCGAGAAGGAAATGGCGGCAACTTGGAGGAATCTGGTCAAGCGGCCAATCGTTCCCACAGACAACTTCTTCGACATTGGCGGCCACAGTATTCTTGCCCAACAAATGCTCTTCCAGATCAACAAAAAGTGGCCTGGTATCAGCCTTACCATGAACAGCGTCTTCCGAAACCCAACACTGGGTGCTTTCGCCGCCGAGATCGAGCGAAAGGTGTCTACGCCACATGGCAGTAGTGAAGCAGAACAGGGCGAAGATTATGCTGCGGACGCGAAGTTATTGCTGCTGAATCTTCCTGCTCATTTCCCTAACGCTGGAGGGACCATCACGGGTTCAAACAACCTTACTGTGTTCCTTACTGGTGCCACTGGGTTCCTGGGAGCCTACCTCTTGCGGGACCTCCTAGCCCGTCCAAAGCTCCAAACACGAGTAATTGTCCATGTCCGGGCAAAGAACAAGGCGGAAGCCATGGATCGAGTTCAAAGATCTTGTGCGGCCTACGGCGTGTGGGAGGATTCATGGAAGACAAGAATATCTGCAGTCACTGGAAGTCTTGGCGAGCCTAGGTTGGGCCTTTCGGAAGAAAGATTTGATCGACTTGCGAATGAAGTCGACGTAGTCATTCACAACGGTGCACAAGTACACTGGGTTCTTCCTTACTCCAGCCTCAAGCCGGCAAATGTCCAGGGTACGCTGGACATTCTGACGCTTTGCGCCCTGGGCAAGCCCAAGCAACTGGCTTTTGTGTCGTCTACGTCTGTTCTCGACACACCGCACTATGTCAAGCTATCGCAAGAATCGGTCAAGCAAGGTGGCACTGGTGTGCAGGAGGAGGATGAACTTTCCGGTAGTGCCACGGGTTTGGGCACTGGTTATGGTCAGTCGAAGTGGGTAGGAGAGTACCTTGTGCGGACAGCAGGCCTCCGAGGTCTGGCCGGTACCATCATCCGCCCTGGATATATCCTGGGTGATTCAAGATCCGGTGTCACCAACACGGACGATTTCCTTATTCGCATGGCCAAGGGCTGCATCCAGCTGGGATCCCGACCTCAGATCCAGAACACTGTCAATATGGTACCTGTTGACCATGTTGCTAGAGTGATTGTTGCCTCGGCATTTAGCCCCCCTCAAACCCCTCTTGGCGTGGCACAAGTCACCGGTCACCCTCGCTTGACCTTCCAAGAATACCTGGGAACTCTTGAGACCTACGGTTACAATGTGCCAGAGACACAATACAGTGAATGGAGCGAAAGCATGCAGAAGTACGTCGGCGATACGAGCAAGGAACAACACGCATTGTAAGTTTTGATGCCCCACGATACGTGTCCGGAACGAATTTCTAACATAGTGTAGGCTTGGTCTTTTCCACTTCGCTACCACCGATCTGCCCGCCGAGACGATCGCTCCCGAGATGGATGATAAAAACGCAGTGCAGGCATTGAAGTCGGATTCCGAGTTCACGGGACAGGACTTGTCAAGGGGAGCAGGGGTTACTGAGGAAATTATGGGACAGTATCTGGCATATTTGGTTGCCATTGGCTTCTTAGAGGCGCCAGCTGCGTCGGGTAAGAAGCAACTGCCGAAGGTTGACATCAACCCAGAGCAGAAGAATGCGCTACGTAGTGTTGGTGGACGAGGTTCTTTGGTGTAAAGGAAAATAGGGAACTGCCATAGAAAGATAAGACAAAATAGTAAAATTCAACGTCTTTGAGCTTTTAACGGTACAAAATTCTTACCGGCCTCAGAATAGGGGTTTGCCATGACACCTTATTGTTGTTGGCACTTCGGTAAAAGCAGCTGGCATCCACAGATTTCTTCGGCCTGGCCAGCGCAGCCGTACAGTGTGCACTGTACGGCCCCGCCAGCACCAAAAGTTCGGACTTCGCCTGAGGCCCAGTCTCATGACGACTTGCATTTCTCTCTCCCAATCTAATTTTCCGGACCTCTCATCTTCGGATATCTTTTGAAAATGAGTGATGAACCGGAAATGAAAATCGAACCTACCAGAGCCGCGGCTCTAATCTCACAGCTTGCTGGCGTCAGTGAGCGGGCTGCCGCCGCTGCCAAGGGCAGAAATGTATGCCATCTCACTTGCCATTGGGAACACTATGCACGCACTGTCTCCATGTCGCGCGCATAATGTTATATGTTGTCGAATTATGCTCATTTTATATACAGGTCCGCCTTGTCGCGGTTTCCAAGTTGAAGCCGGCAAATGATATCTTGGCTTTGAGTCAGCCTCCGACGTCGCATTTGCACTTTGGCGAGAACTATGCCCAGGAGCTGAGCCAGAAGGCGGAGTTGCTGCCGAAGAGTATCCAGTGGCACTTTATCGGAGGGCTTCAGTCTGGTATGCTTTTTTGCCAGTTTAATGACAGTTGTTGCAATGCGGTCAAGCTTGAGCTTGGGAAGCCTTGACACCGCAGGACGCTCATCTTGAGTGACACTTTCAGTAACCTGGAGCGCGATGGGAGTGATTGGTCCCCGGGGTGTTTAAGTCAAATCACTACTAGCCGCCTTGAATTCCTCCATCACCTTGTCCGAGAATCTCGTCCCCTAACCCAACAAGAAACCACTTCATATGCACATTTCATTTACACACAATCACAGGCCACTGCAAATCCCTCGCCAAAATTCCCAACCTCTTCTGTGTCTCCAGCGTTGACACCCCCAAAAAAGCCCAACTCCTCGACGAGTACCGGGGCAAACTCCTATCCACCTCCCCCGACGTCCCTAAACTCAACATCCACGTACAAGTCAACACATCCGGCGAGGAATCTAAATCCGGCTGTTCCCCCGGCGCGGAAACCGTATCCCTCTGCCGCATCATCGAGCAGGCGCCCAATCTGCACCTTTTAGGTTTGATGACCATCGGCGCCATTGCACGGAGCGTGGCTACAACCCCCGAGAACGAGAATGAGGATTTTGTGTGTTTGAGGGAGCAGCGGGATTTGGTGGTTAAAGAGTTGAGGTTGGATGGGAGGGAACTGGAGTTGAGCATGGGGATGAGTGAAGATTTTGAGGGGGCGATTGCGTTGGGAAGTGGGGAGGTTAGGGTTGGAAGTACGATTTTTGGAGTTAGGGGGCCGAAGAGTGAAGCCAAGATTACGGTTTAGACTAGGGAGCGAAACAAGTATTACTTATGTGCATGCTGCTCTACACGGGTCGTGGTGGGTATGTTGAGAGTGAAGGATACCGGGATCAGTTGAGGACAGTTGAATTTCCAAGATAAGACCGAGCCAGGCGTCGTCAAAGTCTCATGGGCCAGCTTACTTTGTAGGAGACGTGCAACCCAACGTGAGTTTGGTGCGATGAGTGGCTTTGCACCTGTAACACATTTAGGAGGGACGACCAATATGCCGGTTTCATTACAAGGCTGCCATAGACACGCTGGGGTGGCACAACTCATACATACTCAGAGAACAAAACGGGATAAAGAAAGGACGTATATACGGTATACATCATCATAGACGGGCAAGTACGATAATTGACCAAATTACCGTCTAATTGCATCAATTTCTCATTGCGTATCACCTGGGTAGGTACTGCAGCTCCTTGCATTCACGTAAGCCGTCAGATAGGCCAAAGTCGCTATGCCAACTAATCCACCATCTTGACTCAAATCCAGGAGATGCAATACCAGTCCACTTGCATCCACCCGTAGGTCATCCGCATCCACACATCTACATGAGCAAAAGCACATCCTGCCATAGCATCTCGACATCTCCAACCACTCGCTCAGCTTACGCCTCAACAGCCTCATGCTTTCTGGTGTTGCAGCCCTCGCTTTTGTCGAGGCGCTTGCTGCAGCAACTCCAGCGGAACAGGTGCGGCCAGTTCTCGAGGTCCTCCACGTGGTAGTGACCATCGGGTCCCGTGTGGAAGTGGGGAGCGCCGATCTCCCAACTCAATCGCTTGATCGTGCCTATATATGGAGTAAATCGGCTGCCAACGTGTTGACTTGTTACTTTAATGCTGCACTTACCAGGGTGATATCGGCAAGCCAAATCGTCGTTCTCGCTAGTGCAGAACAAGCTATCGCAGTTGCGGCACGACTTGGTCTTGGGCTGGCTTTGGGAAAGTCTGCGAGACTCCTTGTCGCGTGTCCACTTGGGCATTGTTAGAGCCTCTTACTTGCAAAAAGCCTGGGAAGGCTGACTTACCTTGCGTCTCAAGAGGAGCCACTTGGTCAAGCTGGCCTGCTTGTGAGCAAGGTCCTCAACGCAGACGTTCTCAACAGTCTTCTTAGTCTCATCACCATTGTCGGCATCTTCAGCCTGCTTTGCCCCTGGGACCGGGACGCGGACCCAATTGAGCTTCCGCGCCTCCACGGGTATAATCGCCTGATTCTGGTCCTCTTGAACGTTCTGCATGTGCTCAGAGTCGGCTGCCTGCTTCGCCTTCTTGACACCTCTGGCCTTCTTCCCCTTGCGAGTTTCTCCAACCTGCTTCGCCTTCTTGGGCTCGTCGTTCTCCTTGGTCTTCCCAGGCGAGTCGTTGGTCGGCTCCTCTTTGATGGTTTCGGCGTCGTTCACCTTGTTGTACTCTTTGGACTTCTTGTAGTACTTGGCTGGCTTGGTCTTCCCCTTCCCCTTCTCTTCATGCTCGGGCTGCGACGCATCCTTAGCCTGTTTCGCCTCATTGGTCTGACGCATAGACTGGATGAGGGCCTACATGACGTTAGTTTGGACATGTTTTCGGATTCAATAATGATCGACTCGAGCTTACCTTGACCCACTGGACTTGCTCCGGGTTGAGGCCGGTGAAAGCGGTTGTTGGTTTGACCATTTTGAACCAGGATAGTGGTGATCAAAGCTGACGAGGAGCGGACGATCAAAATTTATGGATCGTCGTGTTTAGAAGATAGGTGAGCAGGTGAAAGTGTGCCCTGAGATGGTCCCCAATACGATGCCTAATGTCGCGTTGCTCGGCGAAGGGGGGGGAATCGCAGGAACGAACCAGTGCTGTAGCTGGTAAGTGAGAAGTTGAGTTGTTAGTAGTAACAAGTTTGGCAGAAGAATACCGAATGCTATCCATGTACATTCTTAAGATGGGTCTGCCAATATTTGCATGAAGGTCCTGATACGAATGTTTCTACCTGCCTGCAAGGTGGCATGCTGTGTTGAGCGCGTGACTAAATTGTCTTCCTCAGTCGCGTCTGGACGCGTCTTGCTAAAGTCACTTGGATTTCACCGTCTTATAAGCAGCTACATATCTGGGTTGGCAACAAGGCTTCTCACTGCTAAGGCAGGCGCCGTTTGCTGGTGTCGCGCGTACCTTTATTCACCTGTGTTGTCAAAGGGTTGACTAAGGGGAAAAGGAGGCGACATGGTCTGATGAGGCAGGTGGCAGGTTGAGCAGGAACATAGACCAAGCATTGCAGTATTCCACCAAAGGGAGTCATCCTTATTGAACCAAATTCTCGACCGAGTTGTCCCATTATTATCAGTGAGAATCTCACAGGATGGTCACTGAGGTTTCACTTCAAGCATATTAGGAAACGCTCTTCCGTCAAGTACGCTTCACATAGCAGTCGACACCATGAGACTTATCTTCTATTATTCTTGATACTTAGGTGAATATCATATGACCCCTGGGCATGCATTGGATGGTCTAGCTGGTTACGGAGCTCTAGCCTTGACGTAATATCACTCTACAATGTGCGGATTTGAGCTTGAAGTATGCTACTTTATCTACAAGGCCAAGATATTCCTCTTTTCCCGCCGATTCTTGAGAATTGCAACATTCTTCTTCTATTTTGGCCTCCTTTGGAGCTAGAAAGATGGCATTCTCGAATATCAGATGACAAGTGTTAACGACCTCGATAAGCTTTTATAAGTGGATGATATTCGAATAGCGCCAAACATACTATTGCGGCCGTTTCCCTGAGTTGCCGTGAGCCCACAAAGGTCCCGTGAAGGATTCCATCTGTGTCGCGGTCCGCATTCCGTATATATCTTAGCTATGAATGTCATTCGGACCCTTCGTTAGACCTTTCTACTAACAACGAATGTCGGTCCTCAATATTGCGTTGAAATCAACCTCCTTGTCCTTGGTGTTGTGCCTGCGGGGAGAGCTCATCTTTTCCATTCGCGCTGGTCACGGCATCTGGCGAATAACGCGCTTCAACGGCAATCACTTCAAAGAAAGGCTGACCTGTTCCAACATTAAACCTTGACGGATGAGATCTACAGAGTCACTGGAATACTCCGTCTGCTAATTATATTTAATACTCGCATTCCCCAGTCTCATCATCTCATTAACGTTACCATGCCACGCATGCCTTCTAATCCTACAGGTCAAACAATGTAGCCAACACCAACCGGGGCTCTTTTAAGAAGGCCATTTCCAGTTTCCGAACCAGTCCAACAATGCAAATCAAGACTCCGACACAAGCGCAAAATTCCATACTAATACACACGCGAAACCTCCTAGCGGCCCTCGACACGACACCGCCTCCACATATTAACTCCTCCTCACATGAAGACTCGCTCGGCTCACCCGAAGTCTTATTCGCCTTTGACGCTCTGCTTTGAATCACTCTCACTTCTCTGCTTCTCCGAGACAGCACCAGACTCCACCAGTGTCTCCCAAACTGCATCCTTTCTCTTGATCTTCTGTCTATCCACAGGGAGTCCGTCCAACACCTTTAGTTTTTGGCAGCGTTGCGTGAGCATGATCTCATACAAGCGCCTCCTCTTCTTGGTTCCGAGATCCAACCTTGCTGCATATATCTCGTCTCGTTCTGTGTTCGCCTCCGGCAATACGAAGGGATTGTAATCTGCATCCTGCTCAAGAGGAACAAGGCTCTGAAGGGGCGGATAAAACCCCAATGTGGACGGGTTGTCCCTAGTATCCAATTTGCTTAGATGTGGAAACTCTGCCAGAATATCGATCACCCCTGTCGATACGTCCAGTCGGTTGCCTGTCACGAGTAGCTTCTTCAGTCTCGGGATGTAGCGCAATGGGGAGAGATCTTCAATCGCATTGAAGTTCAGGTTCAGAGTCCGCAGGTTCGGCATCAACTGGCCGAAGTTGTCGGACAGAGACTGCAAACCACAGTTTGCAAGCTCCAGATATTGGAGGTTAAGGAAGTCGACGAGTGGATTGAAGGTCGTGAGTAAGTTGCCCGAGAGGTATAGCTTACGAACTTCGTACGCTGAAGTCAGGAAGGAGGGGTCGAGCGGAACGCTGCCTTTTTGTTCCCGCAGAGACAGGCTGTCCAGCCGTTGCGCACGGCGAAACCCCGTGAGAGCTGTGATGTGGTTGCGATCTGCATGCAGTAGGCGAATGGCAGGGAACGCAGAGAGGTCAAGAGTAGTGAGGGCATTATGAGACAACTTGAGATACTTGAGACATGTCATGGTTTGGTTCATTGTGGGTCCGAAAGACGAAAGTTGGTTGTGTTCGACATTCAAGGTTGACAGAGAAGGCAGTTGCTCGATGTTCCGGATTGTGCTAATCTGGTTTCCTTCCAAGTCAAGCTCAGTTAGCCGCTCCATTCTCGTCCCATCCAAATCAACGTGCTCAATCAAATTGGCTCGAACCCGGAGGACTTGCAAGCTGTCATGAAATTTGATGCCATCCAAGCTAGTGATCTGGTTGTTGTCGGCACGGAGACTGCGCAGGTGAACTAGCTCCTTGAAGGCATGCAGACTGGTAATCTGGTTGTCCGATATGTCGAGGTATTGCAGATTCATCAGGTGGCCCCACGCCGCCAGCTCTGAGATGTGGTTGTGCGACAACTTCAAGTTGCGAACGCTTTCAGGCACACCGTCCAAGTGACGGATTGAGTTGTTCGACGCGTCAAGGGTGATTATGTTGCCACAGAACTCATCCAGCTTGTGCAGGCTCTTCAGTTGCTTGTCGTTGATTTCCAATACTGGCATCGCATCCCAGTCTGGTTCATAAGGCTCCACCTCGGTAATCTTCTCAACCAAATTCCGAATCGCCTGTGACATGATGTTCTTTGATCCATCACCAGTGACGAGATAGTTGTCTCCTACAACGTAGCTGACTTCCAGACCACATGACTGGTCGGCTTGATTCATAGTGAAGTCTGACAAGGGGCTCAGGGAATAAGTCCCTACATGGCGCCCGATCGTGGGAGTCGCAGTAGGGGGCGGCAGATGTCTTGTTGGACCTGGGGTGGTAATGATGAAGCTCACGCTTGTCTTGCACTTTTCATGCTCGTCTGGCCCAACGATGGTGGATTCGCCACGTATGCTGACCTGGCGTTGCTTCGGTGAGCCTCGCTCTGAAGCCCCTTCTTCGTCCTGTTCGTCGATCCGAGAAATCGGACGAGGCATGAACGCGCGTCCCCTGACAGACAGACTTCTCCTGGCAGCACCCTCAGAGCGACTTCTTGACCTGGACTTGTTTGAATTCGTACCCACTGCCCGTGCCACATTGACACGTCGTCCCCTTCTTAGAGATTCAGCAGTAATATCACCAACTGATTGGTCCATCACGCTGGACTCGTCACCTGCATTGGTCTCGTCTGACTGCTGAGGCATCACATCCTGGATAATTGAGGCGATTGGCGACGAGAAGGTAATGGTTAGATTTCTCCGCCGACTAGGACTGGATCTCTGCATTCGGTCCTCGTGAATTGTTATTTCATGCTCGATATCTTCGTCGTCCCCACCGCCACTTGCCCTCAGAGTTTGCTGGATCCTTGTGAAAGTCTCCTTGGTATGGCTCATAATGCTCTTAGCATCCCGAGACTTTTTCACTGAAGATGGAGCTGGAGAGAACTCATCTTGCACGAATTGCTCCAGGTCGTCGAGTGGCGCTGTTTTCAGTCCAAGGTTCTCATTTTCTCTGTTGACGTCGACTGAAAGATCAGGTATACTGGCGAAGGGATCTTCCTCGCTGTCTTCTGAGGGAAGGAAGTTCCTTGATTTTGACGCCGGCTTGGGCGTCTTCATCTTCATCCAGACCTTGTTCTCCTTGTCCAACACCATGTTACCGACCTTTTCTCCAATGAGACCTGTCACCAAGTCGGGCACAATAAGTCTTCTCGAGTCGGAACCCTGCGATGACACCGTGGGCATAGAATGACTAGAGGAGGAGCCGGAATAGCGAGACCCTTGCGAAGGAAAGTCAGCGTGTGCTGAACTTGCAGGGGCGTCCGGGTTGCGCGAAATTCTGACGTTGGATAGATCACTGATGATTTCGTCGACGGCTTGGGTGCTGTGGCGCATCTCACTGCTTCTTATACTCTCCTGCACAGATTGAGCGAGCTTGGTCTCCTCTTCAACAGCTTCCCTGGCTAGTCCCATAGATCGTATAGAGTAGGCAATGAGATCTCCCATCTCGCTATCTTCCTCATACTTCCTCAAGCGATTGATGAGTTCTGGGTCCTCCTGTCGCGCAGGCATTCGGGGCACAGGTCGACCTTCCCGGCTTGGCGGCCGCGAAAAGGGCTCCCTGGTCGATTCCTGGTATGAATCCTCCAGTTCATCCGGAGTAACGACGTTCCCTTCGGCCTCTGATTCTTCGACACTGTTGAGTCCATTCGGTCGTGCTTTGTTTCTGATCATTGCCATAATCTTGTTTGCCTCGATGAAAAAATCCTCAGTCTTGATAGATGTTTTCCGTGATCCCTCGATGGCAAAGTCTTGTACGAGAATCTGGGAACCCTCCAAGGATGATCCATTTTCGAGACTGTCAGCACTGAAATTGATATCTGCAAGCGGCGCCCTTTCGCGCTGAGTTGATGATCTTTGACTCGGCGTTGGCGTGCGTGGGCGGAGGATTTGGCGCATAGACATAACCGTTGGGTGAGCTGGCGGTTGGGCGTCACCTAGACGTGCGTCCATTCGCTTTTTGGCCATTGCGGACTGCATCTGGTAATGAGATGACAGAACCGACTCGATAGCCGCAGGCCGTTCTTCCATTCCGTATGCGATGTCAGATCGATGGAGGGTTCGCCTTCGTTTTGGCGTTGGATCTTTTGAAGGCGAGGTGCGCGGTCTTTTGGCCTCCGAAATATCTCTCTGGGGAGTTGCTTGGACTCTATAGCCCGCAGAGCTTGTTTCCGATGAGTTGCCGGGCCGGGAATTTAAGTGTGATGCGGAACTTATGAATGAGGGCCTCGAAGAAGGGGCTGTAGCGCTCGACTTCTGCCGACTGCGTCTAACCATGAGATATCCTCCGTTAGAGGTAGCGGAATGGTGACTGATGTCGAATTTGATGGGTTTACTCGGGGGCAAGGGGTTTTCCTCTGGTGCCACATTCTCCTTATCGTTGTCCATTTGAGACCGTTCGCTGGAATACAGCGAGATGTCTTCGTTGAAAGTGTAATCATCCAGTTCACCGGAGCCAAACTTGTTCACAGCTCCCAGAGTTTCGTAATGAGCCTGACTGACTTCTTGGGCTCTCCTGGAACTGGAGCCTGACGGGAGTCCATGTTTGAACTCGGGCCTGGTGGAGGGAATTTCTTCATTTGAACGCTGGGCTGATTGGTCGATTGAGCGCTCGGGGCTGTCAGCCATCTGGTCCTCAAACTGACTGATTCGTCGTAGTAAAGTCTGGTTTGTGAATGTATCGTACGGCCCGAAAAGCTTCAGAGGACTTCCGCTCTTGGCTTGCGGTGGCTGGAGCTGCTTCTCTGGGCTAGGGTTGGGCCCCCGTGGTTGGACAGGGCTTGGAGGTGTGTTCGGTCTCTCCTTTCTGTTGACAGACGCAAAGCGCTCTGTGCGAATCGTAGGGAACTGCTTCGGTGTACTAGCCTGAAGCGATGACTCGGGTAGCATTTCTGAAGTATCCGTGTTCAACGGAGGACTCAATAGTCGGTGTTGGAAAGAATCTTCAGCGGAGCGACCACCCCGACGCACGTTGAGGAAGCCGCCGTGCCTCGCATAATCGTCCGTGTCTTCAGGATCCTGGTCATCGCCAGCAGTGCTGAGCCCCTGGTCCAGGCTACTGTCAGGCTCAGAGTCGAGTAGCATCTGGTTTTGCCTCAACTTCTCTAGCTTTTTTTGAAGTTGATCTGCGGGAAGATCAACGGGAGCAAAGCTGACTCTACCATCCTCGGCGTTGCGGCGCGATATCAATATGGGGCTGAAGTGCTCATTACGCACGTCACTTTTCCCACTGGCTTTACGCGACGCTTCCATTCGAAACTTTGCGCTCATCGAGGTGAAAGATGTTTCACTGGCCTCTCTACTGGCAGTCTCCTGCGCGTGGAGACTGCGCTCCGCGGTCGAGCCGTCAGGTCGGTTAAATTGCGCGAAAGATTCATCATTCCTCTTGTACTTCATTTCTCTAACGCGAGGGGCCGGTATTGCCGAGAAATCATTGCCTGATGACTCAAATGTGATATCGGGGTCATGATCGTCGAACTGGCGTCTTCGGTATGGAGGGGGACTTGAAGGTAAGGTCGTCTCGTTCACCGTGTCGTCTGGTGGCGTGTCTGCCTCAGGCGCCACCGGTGCAGGTGGTCGAAACATGTTCTCCAGTCCCGTTCCGGCTGAGCTGAACAGATCTTTGGATTCGCCATATGCGATCTCGCCATATAGTAATCTTCTCTTCCACTCCGGCACCTGATCTCTGCTCTTCAGAGGAGACGCGCTCAAAGACTTGTGTTGCACTGTATTATGGATCACGGACGCCGTGGTTGAGGCAGACACAGACCGACTGAGATGGCGTCCCCGCTGAGAGGCCTTGATCCCTTGCGACAGTTTCGATGGAGCGCATTGTGATCCGGGGATGTTGATCTCGTTGGAGCTCCTTTCGCTCAGTGCATGCGGGCCATCGTCGTGATTGGTGGGTCGCAACCTGCTACTGTTTGGGTTTGGTCGTGGCATTTTGCTGAGCTGCTCTCGTACGCTTGCGCGTCGCGAGCTGCTCGGCGAAGAAAAGGTTGGAAGTTGGGCATGTGAATTGTCGGATCTGGGCTGGGAAACCCAATCCTCAGACAATGAATCAAGCCATGCGTGATCCATTGTTGACGAAGAGATAGGAAATAGTATACAATGATAATCTAACCCTCGGACCGTGCCATACAGGATGTTATAAGGTGAGGGATCTCAAAATGCGGAGCACTGGGATAGGGTAGGACCTGGTTGGGTAGGGCGATGTTTATTGCGGCGCGAACAATCTTTTGTTGGCGAAGAGGCGCATGGACGAGGACTGGCTAGAGAAGAATAAAGTTGAACCGAAAGAGTCTGGCAAATGATACCAAAACACAAGATGCTGTAGAAGTTGGCTGACAATTGAGCGGCTCGTCAGTGATGCGCATCAATATGGTCTTTATGAGCCACAAATCAAGCACTGCGACACAGACGCGATCGTCCCTAACTAAATTGAAAACAGAACCCACTTTCCTTGCAATTGGACGGAAATTCCCCGGTTGCTATAACGACGGCAAGAACGAAGGTGGGAGAAAAGGCGGGTTTCCAGGTGCAGCCATGATGGGGCCGCCGAGCGCACTGAATTCAATAGCGCCTTTGGGGACAATCTTACGAGACACTCGTTGTTCGCATAGGAAGGGTACTTGGATTCCAGCCACGCTCTGTTATTTATACAAACAATTGAACTATTGCGACCTTTCAAACGAGAAGCACCTTCCTGTTACATTGTACATTAGTCTCCTTCGGGTGATATCGTGGTCCGTGCGCCTCTTTACGCGGTACGCGTCTAGACTACTTTAGGTTGTAACCGCGTTGCTCTGGTACCGTTTTAGAGATGCCAGCTTCGGCTTGAAGTGGATCTGCAACAACTCGAGCACAGCTGAGCACATTCAAAAGTGCAAGCCTCCCTAGTCGTCGGTCAATGCTTGCCCCCCTGAACAATCCTGCGGTTACTATTCAGCCCTACGACGTTCCGAAAATGTCAGACAAGCATCGTCGTCACTGCATCTAACAATGGCGAAGCAAGGTGGCAGCTTGCACGAGCAGAAGGAGAGATGTTTGCTGGGCGAGGAATCGAGATATCGTGCCACCCCTCAGCAGACCGATGGGATCCTATGCTTTGGGTCTGACGACGAAGATGGCACTGCAAGGAATGCGAGAATGCTGCGATACGAGAACCAAACAATCCGATACCTGAACGGCGAACCCCCCCGGATTCTCTCGGCATCTCTCCGCGGGCCGTTCGATGCAGCCTCCGGTTGGGAGAACCCGTGGCGAAACAATGGTCAACCCAAGGCTCGGAACTTGATAACCACCCTCGACCACCATTTCGACACGGAAAAGCAAGCTCGAATAGAGGCATGGACGAGGAACATCACAATAACTTCTATGGAAATGGGAGAGTTCTGGGCACCGGACCATGGGGTCGATGAACTTTCGGATGAAACCAGCCGGAAGAGGCCTGCAGGAAAGGGTTGGTTGAAGAGCAAGATTGCGAAGCGCAGGCGGGCCAACTTTGGTATACCGACTACTGTGATATCAACACCAACGCCGGCTCCTGTGCCCAAGCCGATTGCAAAGACCAAATCGGCACTTGTTTCCACGACTGTGATGAGTGCATCAGACAAGAGCTCCGGGCCTGCTAATCGTAGTCTCGACATGCCAACTCCTTCAAGCTCACCCCCGAAAAGTATAAGCGCTTCGACACGACAAACCATTGGCATTTCCTCGGAATGCGCAACATCAGGAGACGAGTTGTCAAACGTGAACTTGCCGGGAACGGCCAGCCAGCCCCGACAAAGGATCTTGCCCTTGTCACGTGCCCCGAGTCAACGTTTTGAGATGGTCACCTATGATGGAATCAATGAGCCTACGAGCGAACTGTCCTCACTTGATAGTTCTCAAATGCATCGGGGGGAAGAACCGGGCTCGCATGAGGAGCTCCCACCCGGGGGAAAAGCAGATGCCAGCTTCCAGTTTCATATTGACCAAAGTTTTTACTATAGAGCTCGTTCCACACGATCTGGGGGTGTTGCCAGGACGAAGGACAGTAACGATCCCCAATTCCAGCCCGTACAAGCCGGAACACCACCTTCCGAGACCTTTGAAGACCAAATCGATATCGACATGGGACAAGATTCACCCCCAAGAGAGGCTTTACAACAGGATCAGCCAGCGTCCGGTGTATCTTCTCCGCCGAGTCAAGTGGACGACGCAGAGGATGAAGATCCGCACATGGTTATACATCGCCCTCCACCGAGAAGCATGGAGTCCGCTTCTCTCAGCGATGATGATCTCGAGTACCAGTCTGTTTCCTCCGAAAGTCCTGATCGTCCGCAAAGTATGCCGCAGACTGCTGGACATCGATCAGACGCCGTACATACACAGCCGTCCTGTGATATCCCGAAAGCTGTGGAACAAAGCGTCGGCCCTCAGCTTGTGGCGGTTCCCACAACGAGTCCTACGAAAAAGCTAAGAAATAAAGATGGCATTGACCACGAGCAACGGATAATACCACATGAAGCTGCTTGCAGACGCATGCCGGCGGTCCAGGAATTCTTTTCAGAACCTATGATGGATGAAGGGTCCACTTTGGTCGGAGATGTAATGGACGTCGATGATCAACCATCAAGATGCATATACAACGCCTCAGAAAGGCTAGAAATGGCGAAAAGCTCTGCTCGCGTTACATTGGTGACGATGCGCGAAAAGACCTTGCATCTGGTCCAAGAGAGGGAAACCCTGAGGCAGCGCTTGAACGCTGACGTTGACGCCTTGGACTTCGCCGAAGCCGACAGACTAGCTCCTTCTGCTGAAATCACGGAGGATGGCTCAGTTTCTGATAACTCTGAAGTCATGGTTCCTATCTCGAAGACCAAGTGGGGAGTTGTAGAAGTGGCCAGCTCACCAATCCATCCACCGCCGAATGTCGGAGGCGCGCAGAAGACGGCTTTCATCAAGATTGAGCCCGTCGATGAAGGAGAGGACGAACGAGTTCTTCAGCTTCCCAAGGCCGAGCCGCAACGCCCTGAGGCACCTGCCGTTGAGCCGATCGCCAATCTTGATGGCCCGCATGTCAAGTCTGAGCCAGCTCAGGAGCAGTGGACCCCCGGCCCTCCCGTCAGTTTGTTGAGTACTCCGGGTAGCGATTTCCAGCACCGCGGCATAGGGCCTTCACAACAGACACCTTGGGCGACGCCAATCGTCGAACCGATTAGGACTGATCGACTAGCACAGCCCATCATGACTCCCAGGCTGTCAATTTCTGAGGCACCTGCACCTGAGGTCTTCTACCAATCACCTGGAACTGGACAAAGCCCATGGGCCAACCTCAATGTCCAAATCATGCCAGCCTCTGCGACCCGTTTGTCGAATTCTACCGGAAGCGAGCCTGGTTCTCAAATGTCTTCAATGGATGGACACCAACCTGTGGACACTCGAGGTAAACAGGCATCGAGCTCTGTTCAGAGCCAGCCACAAGATCCGCTAAGCCCTTACGGGCTTGAGCAACGCGCGTCGACTCCCGACCTTGACCTCTCGATAAAGTCCTTTGCGAAATTTAACACTCCGTCACCTGAACGCAAATCACGACAGCAGTCAAAATTTCCGCGCCTGTCAGGGGACCGATTGCCGAGTACACAAGTTCTTATTGATGTGGCGAATTTGAATCCTTGGCAAAGTGCACGGAGGAGTGCTCGGGGAAGTACTCATTTGCGTTCGAGCTGTCGTGTGTCCTTTGCTCCTCTACCCGGTAAGAATACAGACAACGATGAACTGCCCCCGCCGCACAGTGTCGCAAGACCTGCCTCCCCTCCGCCCCAGACCGCGGTTGAGATTGGCGCTGAAGATGTGGACGACAATTTCCTGGGGCATTTCGATGCAATGAGACGACGTAGCGAAAAGGCAAGCGAGGATAGCAGTCCACTTGTGCCCATGCCGAAGTTCCGATTGAAAGAGCGACTACTTCCCGACTCCCAGCAACTACCCCAAAGCCCCGATGTGCGTGCCATGGCGGAAGCTTTCAAGGAAGCAGACGCGCAGCTACGAGCCATAAGTCTTGAGACACCGTCAGCACATGATGAATGTGTCGAGGATGCCAATGAAGCGCCACAATCACCATGGCAAGTCGAGAGTCAGAACCAGGGCATAGATGACGTAGCAGAAGTACTACAGAACTTGGATGATTTTCTGAACCCCCGCTGGGATGTGGACGCGGAGCTAGAGAAGGCTAAATCTGGGAATGGAAGCCAAAGTCAGGGCAGGAGTAGAGAGTCCAACATGTTGGAAATGGGTATCTGGGATGTGGTATGATGATGTTGAATGGCGAACTGAGCTTAGAGCAGTGCGTTTTGATACCCATATGCATTTACAGGGCGAGCGGAGTTTGTCGGCGGGAAGCATGATTTATTAGAGTGGACATAGGCTGATGACATGCGCGCCCTTCGCTGTTACTTAATGAATTAACTCGATGAACGGCCTTGGCATGTCCAAACTTGGCGGTTTTGCTTTTTAAATGATCAGCAAGCGTGACTTCAAGATTGTAAGCTTTCCATGAGGTGTGCAGTTGAGGTTCCCGAAAGGCAGCCTCGCCACATCATTCGCCATAATAGAGGGGGAGGTCGGGTTGAGAAGATGCTTAAATCCAAACTTAACTGAGTTGGCGATTGATCAATGTGCTTAGGCGTTGAACTCCTTGATCAGGAGCTCCCTCACTGAACTGGTGTGCAGCTTGCAGAGCTTACTACCCAACGACGATGATATCTTGGCGGAAACCAACAGTATGTCCGTCTCCTGAACGAGGTCAACTTGGCGAATTTTATGGCAAAGCCCATCAGATTCTGTCCCGTTCCTTAGCGGTGGAACATCTCTAGCTCATGCCACAGCCTTGGAAAGTCACCTGTCAATCCCCGAGCCGGTCAGAGGCCTGCTTTATTGCATAGACCAACCCCCTTACGTGAATATACCCCTGAAATCAGATACCAGGTAGGTTCCTCCTAAGCAACAGGAGTCTGGTGCAACCAAGTCTTTTTCGCAAGTTAGCATGTACACGCGAAACACGATGTGATAAACTACTGGAAAACTTGAGGGCCATATAAGGCATGAGAGATTGCGGGAGGTCCCCCAGCTTATACGACGTTGGTTATTTCCTGGCGATTTCCCTGTGTAAGAGCCTTCATGCAAACTATCCTAGTCTAATGGCTGGGCATAGGCTCCAATCTCCACAGCTTCGAGGTACAGCAGGATGCCAATACAGGGCTGTGAAATAAGCCAAGGGCATAGTCGTATTTGACGGACATCGCTTCCAGGGTAGCCTTTTGCCCTTCTGGTGCTTCGGTTGATACTATTGGTTGATGTTTAATAGAACTTTTTCATTTTATATCAGTAGTTCTGCGAAAGGAGCCCAGGTTCAAGTGCTGTATATATTTTGACCACTGCCACATTCCTTGAATTGTTATTGATATCCTTTTCATCGGCTCAACTCCTTGTCTCTCTTTTTCAACTGAGTTTGCCTTGATACCTTTCTATTCAATAGCACATTCACTCTTTAAGCCTCCTCATTATGAGAGTTCTTCTTTTAGCAGGCCTACTCGCCGGCCTCTTAATCAACCATGGAAGAGCAGCGAAGTGCTCCTCCAACCTCCTCATCGATGACTTCTCCGAGTTCTCTTCGCAGACTAATAGTCTGGGCACTCGTGCCAGCGGTGAGCTACCTTGCGCAATAAACCTCTCTTATACCCCCGTTACCATACTAAACCTTACCCAGACGACGACTCCATGGTCAAACTCACCGCAAGTGACAACTCGATTATCTTCACGCCGGAGAAGATGTCGTACTTCTACGAGACGCTGCCATGCACGCAAGCCGCCATGTCAGGCTACGACGCCATCTCCTTCACAATGACGGCGCCCAAGGGCGCCTCCTTCATGTTGGAGATTCAGACCCGCGAGTCTTGCTCTGCTCCGATACTCGATAGTGCATGGCACACTGTTGGCAACTTTACGGGCCAGGAGCAGACGATTGTTGTCCCGTTGGAGTCGTTTAAGGATGCAAACCTGGAGGCTATTACGGCGTTCAACTGGGCAACTTGGTCGAAGGTGTGCAAGAAGAATCAGGACTGTAAACTGAGTAATATTCAGTTGACTTGCGGTGGTTCCTGATCGACTTAGGCGCTTCTGGAGACTTAATACGATTCTCCCCTGAAAACTGGCCAGGTTTCGCGTTCAGTCGCCGTTGCTATATCGGTTGAGGGCAGATTTTCTCGGCGTCCATGAGACTCAGGTTATAATCGCTTACACTTGTCGAATCGTTATCGGCCGTGGGGGGTTGGCATATGGTTCCCCTAGATGCAACAATTTGATGAACCAACAACCGTGATACAAACATCCTGAAACGTGCCCCCTGTTCGCATTCCTCGCGAACTACTAGTAACACCAACAGCGGTTAAAACTCAAGTTCACTAATCATATTTCTCTAGATTGAGGTTTTCAATCACTCCATCAGCTTCATTAACATTTGGTTTTATGAATTGTTACAATGTAGCATTCAAGCGCATCAAAACAACGGTACGCGCTTTACACAATCGAGGAGACTCCATTGCTCGACAAAAAGCACGCGATCAGCTCATCATAGCAAGGTCATCAGTGCCTTGCCGAATATCATTCACATAAATTTCGATTCCGGGTCCGTCATTGTAGAACTTAACGTGATCGCCAAGCTCGTCGAAGCAACACTCAAATATAAACTCATTCCTCCCGTCGTCATGGAACCCCAAGGTCTGACTGTTGGAGGCTGATACTCTGGATCTGCTGGAGAAAGCAGCTCCTTCAAATATGGGTATCTAAGCGAATCAGTAAACTGGGTTGAGATTGTGCTTGCCAATGGTGAAATCATCTGAGCATCGAAATCCGAGAACCCCAACCTTTTCAAAGGGGCCACCAGAGCCGCCGGGACACTGGTTATGGCGACATTGTTGGAATTTGCACTAATTCCAAGGGAAGTTGTGAAAACCACTCATTGAAGAGCGAGCTAGGTACTGCAGTCAGTAGAGTTGACTCAGAAAGACACTGCGAATAAGATGAACAATTTCGTGGATGGCATCATCTTCTCCAAGGCCACGGTTCCATCACGACTTGGTCAAATGAAAGATGAGAAACCAGCTGTTACAAGACGTATGCCCGTCCCAAACCCTAGTACAAACTCCCATCACGAACTCGAGCTCTTCATCCGTGTGTTTCAGGGCGGTGATGAGCGAAGGGGGATTTCTTTTGAGAATCCTTCGTCTTTTTCGGGTTTGGACTTGATCGTAATAGCTAACATCGTTGTTGGATTCTCCAGGTTGCTTGCACTCCTCGGCGTCAAGCTCGAAGTGCTGGGGCGATAGGGCCCGCTCTAAATTTTGGGAACCCGCGCATAGGAGATTGACGTAGTATTTTCCGGGAAGCTGGCTGAGATTTATATTGGTACTTCGGAGGCCAAGGTTGTCAAGTGCATATCTGCAAACTGCACGATGTTATTCGATGAATTGAGTAGGATGCCTGTTGTATCATTTCCTTTTAGGAAGAGCTACGAAGTCCTCCAAGATAAACGTGTGTTGCTGGTGTGGATTTCCATCTTATACCTTTCCAAAAAAAACCTCGGAAGCCGCATTACCCAGGATCAATGTCAGCTTCGTGATGACAACGCAATTTGGGTGACAATGCACTCGCCGAGTCGCTGGATAAGGTATGGGTGGATAATCCACATCGTGAGCTTTGCTCAGCATCTTCATATTCAACTCCAAGGATCGAGGTCTTTGGACCGATATTTGACTGCGCGCTATTGGCACTTGTCAACTCCGTCTTCTTTGTTCGCATACGGCACGCTCTGTAGCCTATCGCCGCCATGGCTGGCTCATCTGTGAGTCGCATCGCACTAGTTGTGGACGAGTGGTCTACGAGAACATCATTGATTCCTTGCGGGATATCTACCGTGCAGCGGGCTATCGTTCTCCCTGGTGACAAGTATTTTCAAGACAGACACACACACACACGCTTTCAAACAAGGCAGGATAACTCCAGCTTGTACTAGGCATCTCAGACAAAAATTAAATCAAATCCTACAATCAAACGAACAAATGACCGCTCGCTCAAGATGACTAGCGCCAAGCCCAACGGCGGATCTTGCAAGTTGTCAAGTACGCAGCTCCTCGCCAAACAGCTAAACCAACGTGCCTGCCAACAATAGTTTTTATCTTCCTAATTCCAGCGTGCTTGATTCTCGGCCTCGTACTCTCTCTCGTTGTACCCATCCCACTCGTTCTCCAGAATTCTAGCATCAATCTCGCTCTTGGTACCCTGACCAGGCGCCCGTTTGCCCCTGAAATCGATGCATTGGTAGTCAAACTCGCCCTCGACTCGTCCATCGCCCAGGAATTTGATCCAGCCCGAGTTATGGTTACCATACAGCATTGGGCCCTGGTCTTCGCGGCCTCGCCACTTGAAGTGAATGGGCTCGTGGGAAGATTGGTACGGGCGTCTCTCTATGAACAGCACACCTTCGATAACGCCAAGGTCAAAGCTTCCCCACATGCTAGAGCCCGCGAGGGTCAAGATGAGACCGAAGTCTTGTCCATAATGGGTCCATTGTTCGGAGACTTCGGTAGACTTGATTTCGTAGCGGCCATTGAGGAGACCCAAGGGGGCCAGTGGGGCATCTTCTTCGTAATCGTCATAGTCGTCGTCGGCATACTCGGAGTAAGGCGGGGGAGATTCTTCGTAGCACATGCCGCCAGTGGGAATCCGTCCTCTTGCCACGAACGAGCCGCTCCGTCGGGCTGTTTGTTTGGTTCTTGCTGGCTTTTCAGGGCTTGAAGAGGAAGCCGCAGCAGACTTTCTGCCTGGACCTTGTGAAATGCCACCTCGAAGAGTCTGCGTACCGCGTCGATGAGCTGTCTGCTTGGCAGGGGACGATTTGGCAGAGGCGGAAGGTTTCGAAGCTGGCTTTTCCTTCTCCGGCTTCACTGCTTTCACTTTGGGTGCGGGTGTAGCCTTGGTAGCTTTGGATGCACTGGTCGCTGAGGCTTTCGCTTTGGGGGTGGAACTCTTAGCAGTCATAGCAGCAGTTGTAGTCTTCGCCTTCTTGGCAGCCGTCTCTCTTGCTCCGTTGTTGGTCGACAGCTTGACCTGAATACCGCCAACATCGACTGTGAGGTCAACGTTTTCGGCTTTGCGCTTGGTCCCAGCAGCCTTCGTCGTCGTCGTGGCCGTCTTCGCAACTGTCGTAGAGCCTTTGAGCGCCTTCTTGGCTTCGCGATCCTTCTTGGTCCACTCCTTCTTCAGCTCTGTCTCAAGCTTCTGGACGCTCGCGGGAACTGACAAGCTTCCCCCCTTGACGGCATCGTACAGCCTCATGCGCGCCACAGCTTTGGTCTTGGACGGCGGAAGTCCATAATGGAGGCACTGGGCTTCAAACCAGTGTGCTGGGTGGTCCTTATCATTGCCAGACTTGAAATGAGTCTTAAGTTCGGCAGCAGTTGCTCGACGGTGGCGATTACCACCCGAAGCTTCGGCGAAGAGATCGCCATTCGCGAAGGCGAAGTTGTCTTTCGCGATTGGTGCCGTCAGTGACATTGCGGTATGTGGATGATGAAATGAGGAAGTAGCGAAACAAAGTCGAATAAGCAGACGCTGCGAGTTGTGAGGGGGGTGGCAGTGGGCGTTTCAGCGTACAAGGTTTGTACACCAAATCCCTTGACTGCCAGGCAATGGGTGTGCCGCTGGCAAGTGACGTTTCGGTGAATTTGATAAAAGTTGCCGAGTAAAAAAAGCAATTAGGTCGACGGAAATTGGCAGCTGCCTTGGTCAACAGACGCGACTTATTGCCGAAGCCAATTCGGAATTTGAAGCCGAGCCTGTAGAAGTATTCCAACGTGGACAATTTCCCCATTGGCTCACTTGGCGCAACCTGCAACAGTCGAGACTAATTCTGACCGCGTTCAGCTGGGAATCTATCAAGCACGTCAATATGCACACATTATTCCAAAATCCAGCACAAAATTTATACACTCGTGCATGCCACGCCAAGACATTGAGCCCATGGCCCGTGTAGAAACAAGTCTTTTCTCCGAGGGTGTGAATGGTGCCCCCAACGCAGGGGGTATATATTTCATGATTAGATAATTCCTAGGTCGTCGGTGGAGTTATAATACACACAATCCCAGTCCGGAGGTCTACCTATCGAACAGCGCTGTTTGCGTAGCCCAAGCAGCTTCGCCATTAAGGAGTCGTCCAGTCGTCTTCATGAGAGGAGCATTTTTTGTACATAAACCAACGCCGGTCGTATGGTGCATCCGCAATAGTAATACAAGTCTACTCGCACATTGATCTCGTTCCGTCATATCTATTGGCTCTTGACGACACCAACCTTAGCAGCTCTGAGCACCCGCCCGTTGAGCTTGAATCCCTTTTGTTGGACGTGGAAGACGGTGTTATCCTCCTTGCCGGGCATAGGCGTCATGAATGTTGCTTCGTGCTCGTTAGGGTTGAACTTCTCGCCATCGGGGTCGAATCGCTCTAAGCCATGCTTGGTCAAGGTCTGCAGCATCAAGCCCTCGGTCATTTTGACACCCTCGTAGAATGCGGCCAGATCCTCGTTCTTCTCGGCCCCTTCGGCTTCAGCAGCCTTCAGCTTCTCTTGGCCCATAATTAGGGCACGGTCGAGGTTGTCAACACTATCAACCAGGTCCTTGGCGAACTTCTGGATGGCAAAATCTCGGGCAGCCTTCATTTCTCGCTGTGTACGGCCCTGGAGGTTTCGGAAGTCGGCAACCGAGCGTAGGGCTTTGTCCTGTAGAATTTGTGAGCATTCATGCATGTTGCATGGGCAAAATGCTGACCTTCCAGTCCAAAGCCTCCTTCTCCTTTGCCTCCAGCTTCATCTTCAGCTCAGCTTCGACGTCGGATGGCGCATTCTCTGCAGCTTCTACTACAGGTTTTGTGTCTTTCCCTTCCTTTTTTTCTGCCGGTTCTGCTTGATCACTGTACCACCTAGAGCTCGGTATTTGTGACCTTACAGAGCTTAATGACGCGGGGGAGAACTGTGACCGCACAAACGGCTGTTTCGCATAGGCCTTAGCGGTGAAGTGAAGCGCCCTCGAAGATGTGGCAAGTGCTTGTCTGAGCATAGTGGCGGCGTTGTGAAGATGTCAGGGAAGATGGGAAAGGCGCGTGATGAACTCGATAATGGTAACCGTGAGAGCTCAATTCAACTCTGAATTTTTTGGAAGGCGGCATCAATTGGTCCACATGACAGACTACTTCGCACCGCGGAGTTTCATCGGCGCCCCAACCCTGCGGCTGATTCGTTGCTACAAGGATAATTCAGTGTCGATTTCCGCCGTATTTCGCATTTGGACTTGTTTCATTAACCAGCTGATCCAACCTCGATATACTCCAGCACAGAGGTACTCAATATATGTTCTCCCACAGCTGAGCTTGATTCATGTCATGAATGTCATGAATTCGACAAAGCTGATGAAATGCTTTCATCAGTCCTCTTGGAGACACCGACGTCATACATAGGCCCGAGCTTGCTACATCCGAGATTGACTGGGACTTGGAGTCTATAGTGCTCCAGTCCTGCCCCAGCCTCATCCGTCACCAGCCTCACCTTTTGCACCGCCATAGCGGAACTTCCCGTGGAGGGTCCTTATGGGTGGATCGCTCTTGCTCTAGCCCGTATCCTTGTTCAACCTGCTTGCCTTGTGCACTGCTTGCATTTCGATCTTCAGCCTCGAGGAATTTCACATCCCGCCTGCCCCGACGTCCACCCCCTTTCAAGCATCGTTTGCAACCACACAACTGCGTGAATTACTGACCTCTAAACTGCATTCTGCCGTAAACCAAGCATCGCGACCGCCTCGAAGGCTGATTGCAGTGCGGCCCGCTGCCTCACCTGCCAAAATGGAGTACGACACGATGATGATGGACAACGAGTCCCTGGGCCCGTCTGTCAAGATCTCGGAAGTACGTTCCATCGCAGAGGGCGCGATTGCTCTACCGTGACTCTAATGTTTGTTTTTACAGGCGGACAACATGCATGTCAACTTCGAACTCACAAATGTGGACATTTCCTTTGCAAACTCGTTGCGCCGCGTGATCCAAGCAGAAGTGCCGACCATAGCCATTGATCTCGTCGAGTTCGCAGTCAACTCCTCCGTCCTGGCTGATGAATTCATTGCTCACAGACTGGGACTCATTCCTCTCGATTCGCGACAAATCGATGACCTGAACTACTCCCGCGACTGCGATTGCGACCAGTACTGTGAACGATGCAGTGTCACACTCACGCTGCATGCCAAGTGCACATCCGACGAGGTCATGAAGGTGTACGCTCGAGACTTGATCGTGAGTCACGACAGACCGAACAATCAGATTGGCAACCCAGTCATCATGGACCCCGATGGCCTTGGACCGTTGATCTGCAAGCTGCGCAAGGACCAAGAGCTGCAGATTAACTGTATAGCAAAGAAAGGTATTGCGAAGGAGCATGCGAAGTGGGCACCTACTGCTGCTGTTGGGTTTGAATACGACCCGCATAACAAATTGCGTCACCTGGACCTGTGGTACGAAATAGATGCTGAAAAGGAATGGTAAGAGTGTACGACCGCTGGATTCGGTTCTTGGGATACTAACTTCGCCATAGGCCAAAGAGTCAGTATGCGGCATGGGAGGAACCACCCCAGGAAGGCGAAGTGTTTGACTACGATGCTGTTCCGTCACGATTCTACTTCGAAGTCGAAAGCGCTGGCAACATCGAGCCCGACACTATCATTCAGGAGGGAATCAAAGAGCTGCAGCGCAAGTTGGCCGGCCTGATTCACGGCTTGGGCGAGACCGATGGCATGAACGGAGACTATGACGGGCCACGAAGTCCGGATCAAAATATGGACGGAGGGTCTGGATGGCAGGATCAGGGTTTCACCACGCCCTATGGTAATGCCGGTAATCAGAGTTCTTGGGGTGGGTCTGCCACTGCGTATGGCACGACGCCGTATGGAAACTCTGGCCAGGGTGGTTGGTAAACCGGAGAGACATCGTTGCGAATCAGGTAGATGGCGGGTGGGACCATCGTCAAGCGACATTAAGAGGGCGTCGGGTGAGGCCTACGTGTACACTACGACACACAGGCATACTCCGTGGTGAAGTGAAACTTCGTGCTGCGGTCGGCGGAAAAGAAGCCTCAAGGAATTCACAAAAACTGGGACACGAGCGTAAGCAATGCTTCCGCATTGATCATCTCAGATGCGACGCCGAGGAAAATAGACTTGGCATTTATGCTTTCAGGTTCACCACTATAAACGATGGTTAGGACCGCTGAAGGCAATATTGCGTCTGGTCAAACTTGCAAGACTAGACACGAATGCTACTGGAGCTATTACTGTTCTACCTTGCCCAACGCCTGCAATGCACATAAAACAAACATCAAAACGCCTTGAGAACAAAGAAATCATTCCCGGTATATCCTTCACGTCTACAGCCCGCCAGTCTCTATCATCTCCCGGGGTATTACACAAATGCCAAGTTACGAACTGTCCCCTTAATCCTCAATACCCATGAATCGTCTATAGCCTTTGCGGTGCGCCTCCAAAAACAGGAATGTACAGATCGTTTGCCTATTAGCGGTTAGCAAATCTCATTCGTCTTATTCATCTCATTCGAATGGGGGAGGGTCAACTTACGGTCCCAAACGTAGGAACGCGGGCACCCAGCCCTTGAACATCCAAGTTACTCCCTCCTTCGCGTATATATCCTTCAACAGGCTAACGAGACCCTGCTTGCCTGATTGGCTCATGACTCTGCTCTTGATGACATCAACAGGGGAGCACACAGTGGTCGCCACGAACCCAGCCCAAAGACTTGCCGCAAAGTGCGTCGTCGTTGTATCCCCCATGGGCGTGTTCTGGATCAGGAAAACCTTGAACGTGTCGTAACTGGCAAGCTGACTGGCATTCATGAGCGCAGCTCTTACACTGTTAGGCCACACGCCACGGAACCAACTCCGGGGGCCCTCCTCGCGGAGCAACCGAAACATGCCGTCGAGGCCATGCTTGTAATGGCGCTGCTGGGCGGGAGGCAGGGCGCGATCCTGCTGCATGCGCACGTTGGTTACGTCAGCGGCGTTGCCCGAGATACCGCCTAGGAAGCCGGAGAAGGTGCTGAGCCCGATGAGGAGCGGAAGCGATGGTTTCTCGCCCTCCTTGGTGGCTCGCTGCTTGAGCTCCTCGTACACGCCGAATCGCACTGTCGAGTAGGTCATCTGGCGCAGAAGCGAGGCCGAGAGCCCGCTGTACAGCCCGCGCACGGCCTCATTGCGCAAGATGAAGCCGAAGGTGCCCAACATGGTTTTGGGTGCGTTGCCCGAGCGGAGCTGAAGACGCACTTTCACTGCGCGGAGGATGTGTTAGTTACACGTGAGGTTCAAGACACTTGCTGTTTGTGACTGGGTACCGTACCGAGGTCGAGGGGATGCGTAACACAAGCCGCCAGACTGCTGGCGCTGCCGCCGAACCAGAAAGGATAATGCACGGCCTTGGGTAGGGGCTTCTTTTCCTTCTTCGGCTTGTTGTTCATCGCCGCCGGCGCCGCCGGCGCCGCGACGGGAGCGGCCGGGTCTTGTGAGGTCATCTTGGTTGTCATGCCGATGATTGGTTGTATGCCAGTTTCCGACGACTGACTGTCGACGTTGGTCTTTTTAGGAAAAAAAATCCCGAAAAATAAATGGGAAGAAGGACCTCGACCCGGATTCTCTGTCTCGTAGTTTCAACACTAGTTGCCCAATTGAATCATTCTTGAACTAGTATTACTACTACTATTTCCTCCGCCAGTGACGAAGCTACCTTAAAAAATATATGGAAGCGCAAGCGAAGGACAGGCGGGCAATCGAAGAAATGGACCAAAGAAGTGCAACCGGCGGACGACTGCGGTTGCGCCGGTGGTAAATTTTTGAGCGTTGTTTTGCCGATGGAAGTAGCATGCTAAGAGAGACCGAAATCAACACTATGCAGCAAGATCCCAAACGTCGGCCCTTTGACCTCATTGTACAGTTTCCCAGCGACCGACAGGGGTCAGCTGCAAACTTTGGGAAAGCTAACCAGGGGCGCTAATAATTCTCCGATGTTCCGCGGCGGCTAATGATCGGACCCTACATGCGGGAGAGGGTTGAGCGGAATGAGGCATCCAATTTTTTGACTTGCAACGACTGTGCTGGAATCTGGGGACGGTGCTCAATATGTGGGCGACCCGGTTTACTGCAGCTTACGGCTGTGTGGGGAGAAGGACTGCAATAATCTTCCGGGACCTGACAGATGGCAGCGTCACCAGGGGCGTACGAATTGGCTGCAGGAGCTTGTCTTCAGGTCAGTTCAGTCGGCGATGCGACAGACAGTAGCAGTCTGTAATCCTGACAGCATCCAGCTCCCAGTTCAGCAGCCACCACCGAATCATCTGCGGATAAGAAGTCGGTCCAGATCAACGGCAAAAACTATCAGACAGATTCATGGTTCAACACGCCCTCGCATATACTCGCCAATGTCCCGCGCCGTCTCCATCTCCAAAAAGACCACCCCGTGTACATCACCCGCCAGATCATCGAATCGGTCTTCCCAGCTCCCACCTACAAATACCACAACACTTTCGATCCTGTCGTTACGGCATACCAAAACTTCGACTCACTCGGCTTTCCAGAGGACCACCCCGGACGCGCAAAGTCGGACACCTATTATATTAATGAAGGGACGCTGTTGCGCACGCACACATCCGCGCATCAGGCGGAAACCTTCCGCGCCAACCTGTCCCCCGGCTACCTTATCAGCGCCGATGTCTACCGTCGTGATGAGGTCGATCGTAGCCATTATCCTATATTTCATCAAATGGAAGGAGCACGCAGCTGGGATCGCGCTAGTGTGCCCAATGAAGACATTGCCGTTGCCGTCTGGTCGGACGTAGAACAATTGCCGACCCACGATATGAAGGTTGATGACCCCAATCCGCCTTTCCATGCTGACCGAAACCCCCTGCAGACGGATCATCATTCGGCTGCTGAGGCAGAGGCCATTGGCGCACATTTAAAGCGAAGCTTAGAACTCATGGTGGTCGAGATCTTCACCCGCGCAAAGGCTGCTGCCAAGAGAGCCGATCCTGACTTCGTGGACGACCCGCTACAGGTACGATGGGTGGAGGCTTACTTTCCCTTTACAAGTCCGTCCTGGGAGCTCGAGGTCTACTACGGTGGGAATTGGCTAGAGGTGCTGGGCTGTGGAGTGGTCAAGCAGGATCTCTACATCAACGCCGGTGTTCCAAACCAGCTTGGTTGGGCTTTTGGCATAGGACTGGAGCGTATTGCCATGCTGCTCTTCCAGATTACGGATATTCGCCTCTTCTGGTCCCAGGACAAGCGCTTCCTGCGTCAGTTCCACGGAGTCTCTGACAACTTGGACTCACTGAAGCGGTTCGTCCCGTTTTCCAAGTACCCGGGATGCGCCAAAGATGTCTCTTTCTGGCTCAAGTGCACCTCGGCCGCTGGAGGTAATGTGAAACCCAATGCGCATAACTTCCACGAGAACGACTTCATGGAAATTGTACGTAACCTGGCCGGGGACGTGGTTGAGGACGTGAAGCTTGTGGATGACTTCACACATCCCAAGACGGGCCGCAAGAGTTTGTGCTACCGCGTCAACTACCGCAGCCTGGAACGGACATTGACAAATTTCGAAGTGAATGATCTCCACGAGAAGGTGAGGAACACCATGGTGGAGCAGCTTGGCGTCGAGCTCCGCTGATGAGGTCGTGGCTTTGCATTCGAGCACATGACATGATTACTTGTTGACCGCAGTGGTGCGGGAGAATGGAAGCCACATCAAACTAAATGAAAAAGAGATTTTAGACTGCACGATACTTGCTTAGGTTTTTCGGATGTTATATGCCTAAACGTCCCGGCGCGCCGACTATGTAAGTTGTGAGGCGGAGCAACGGCTGGGCGGCTTGGCCCGGACTTTTCGATGATGGCGTTAAGATGGATACCTTCTGGGGTACCCTCTACTTGGTGGCCCAAGCATTCTGGCAAGCCACCACTCTCTCTCCATGGAGAGGTGGAGAAAATGAACTGGACAAACCGAACAAGAGTCGTGACACTTCTGAACTCGATCGGCCTCCTTTTATCGGATTTGAATATCGAAAAAGCAAATCGATTCCATTACACTCGCGATACTTAGAACTATTATAGAAATTTACGACAAGATGTAGTTGTGGAGTATTTGTCGAATTTATTCTCTCTAATGTAAAATCACCAACAGTGTCTTTAGTCCCAGATACTTTTCTCCGCTTACTCTTTGCCATGAAAGGATCCTAGCTCCGCCGACATGGCTTTTGAGATTACAACACAATTCAAGAGGATGGAGGATCGAAGCAGTTGATAAGGCCTTTCGCCAAGGCTATCCATTGCTTGGGCAACTTGCTTGCGACTGGTGTATCATGCATGGTGTTGGAGGTTTACCTTGGAGGGTGCCGCTTAAGTGGGCCATATCCTGTAGCGCTCTACCATTGCGAGATCACGCTTACGGCAAGGTTCAACATACCAACTGTGAAATATCCAATTCCTACTCGGTGTTGCAAACTTACGTAGGATTTTGCGGCGAAAAAGCTGCAGAGTTGGAGTCTGTTGAATCAGTATTGCCGGATCAGGAAGGTGTTTGAATCAGTCAATTTGCATTCGGCCTCTCGTAGATTAGTTTTGGTTGGGATTGCGGCTATGCACTTCAAGACTGTAATGGTGGGGACTGGCTAAGTGAACAAGAGTTATCGACATGAGGGATTTCGACTGCGCTAGCCTAATGACTTGGCGATTCGCTATCGGACCAGAGCTTCTGCCTTGTGAACTGGCATTCAGAGCCATAGGCGAATCGTCGGTAGGACGTTGACTACGAAGAGCTCGAAAGCCGTAATTACAAACTGCAACGTGACCGAATCAAGTTCCTGGCGTAGGCCGTGACCGCCTCGGCCGTCGGGGAAGGCTATGATGCAGATCGCCATTACAGGGACTTTGCGTCAACCCGGCTCTACTAATTAGTAGAGATGGGTGGCTGTTCTGGAACCAGCAAGAGCTTTCTCTCTCTCCATGCTTGCAGCGGGCCAGCGGTAAATCGATCATTCATTGATGAATGGGAGAGATGAAAGCTTAGCCAGCCGCAGGAAGTGGAGAAAACCGTCGCGGATCACTGACTCTGCAGAGTGATTTTTAGTGGAGTTGGCATCGAGAGCCAACGAGGCTGTGCAAAATGTTGCAGACACTTGTGAGCACGGCAACGACGTAATTCGTGGGCGGTCATTTGATGAGGGGCCTCTCGGAGGCGGGTAATGCTGTTCTGGTCGCCCTTCTCCACCAAAGTCACCGTTGATGGTGCACTGGAAGATAAACACATCGTAGATATGTAACACTGAGTGGGTTGCCGCCGACTGAACTAGTTAGTTGATGCAGAATGAACAACAACTTATGGTTGAGTGGTGAATATCATTTACTAGTTACTAGGCTTAATCATCTGATATGCTGTGCCTGATGTAAGAAGTACGCAATTACGGTTGCTGATGGAGATCCAAGACTTCCTAATGGCATTTGTGAGACAAGGACAAGCAAAATGAGGCTTACAAAAAGTTGTCGTACACCTCGGGAGTTTCTGTTGTGAATATGGGGACTGACCATGCCAACAGATACCGCTGCGCCTTCGGAATGGTGGCGAGTGACATGGGCAAGACAAAGAGCCACGAGCAAAGCCATTCGAAATTACGGAGGCAACTGTTTTCCACCAGCCGAGAAATTGGACTTGACACGAGCCATGAGTGATGAATACGTCGTGAACAGTCAAGGTTCAACCAACTCCGGCCACCTGCAGCGCCTCAACTCTCCCCGCAGGAGTGATGGAAGCAATCCTCAGAGGTCCAAGTCATCGTTCATGGTTGTTGGTGCATGGGATCCCATCGTGAAAGGGCTTGGTTGCGTAGGTGAGGGGACAATAGCCAGCGGGGCAAATTCATGATTTTCCTGCGCGCACCCACTTGCCCACAGCCCCCCTGGTAGTTGCAAATCCACAGTACTGGGAGCTGCTGAGAGGTTGCGAGCCAAGCCGATTCGACAGCGCAGTAGCACAGGGTCTGGGCCTGCAATGGTGCTGCGTGCATCTCTCTCTTGTTTCCGTGGGCCAAAACTCCAAACGGTTCGGCTAGCCGACGGCCGTCTTCATTGTTTCAACGCAGCCACCATTGGACGGATACATAATCGCACTCGATCCTCCTCCGAATCCGATTTTTCTGTATTCCATCTTCCACTTTCACCCACCAGACTACTACTCTTTCTGCGATCAACAAGAACAAGCTTCTCTGCATCACTACTACGTTGAAGTGCTTGCACGCACCACTGTTTGCTAGCTTGACGGTAGCGCAACTACAGCATATATCACACAACCATAAGAGCGAGCAGTTGCCACTCTCCGGTTGGCACCAAACACCGCACTTTCCCCACGCTTTCCACATAACCAGACACTTCCCACACATCATGTCGACGTCGCCGACCTCGTTGCCCTCGCGGCCATCGTCCACCCGGGCATCCTCCAGGTCATCGCTCAAGCTCGACCTTTCCAACCTCCCGCCGTTGACACAACCCACCCCGCCAACCAACACTCTCCTCATCACCAATCTCTCAGACCTCGAGATTTTCCGCCCAGACAACCTACAGACGATACGCGATCTGATATCCGTCACCGCACCCGTCTACACATGGGCCCCGCTCAAGTCGTTCCGGCGCATCGTGGTATCCTTCGCGGACGAGCAGGCAGCTATCAAAGTGCGCTCAGTATGGGATGGCGAAGCCATCATGGGCGAGCGTTGCCGCGTCTACTTCGGGCAGCAAACTCCCCTCAACCTCAATGAAGACCAACACCTCGCGCTGCCCGATGCCGGCAAGCTCTTCTTCATCAGCCCGCCGCCCTCGCCTCCACACGGCTGGGAGATGAAGCTCGAGGATGCGCCGAACAAACAGGTGCACGCTGAGGACCTGGCAGATGCATTGGCCAAGCTGCACCATCGCCCGGCCGCGGGCTTAGACTCTCCTATCTCTCCCGTTGATGGCGGGTCAGTGAGGACAAGGAGCCGTAGCAGCACTCTGATCTTCAAGCCAGACCAGCACAGCGCCAGCCCGGACCTGCCCAGTATTGCGGTCGATGACATGACGGATTCGCCTATGGACATCAACCCCAGCCCGATTGGCCAGGAGAAGCCCATCATGGCGCATACCTCGCGGCCACCGGTGGAGCTGATGGAATGATGTGAGGTATGGCATGGCGGGTTGCGAAAAGGACTTTGATTTCTACATTGTTATTCTTACTGTTTCAGGCGTCGGGAGAGGGATAAACATGGATTTTGGACGTGGGAAGAGCATTGCATATTAGTATTCACTGATCTCAGGAGTCTGGCGGCGTTGATAAAGAGAGAGAGAGAGAGATGAAGTTAGATAGGACCGCAAGGAGAATCCTTTGCCCAATCGGACATCTCCATAAGTAGCCATGTGCTAGCTGATACAGAGCGAGTACAGAGCCCACTGGTTTCTCCAGAGCTCTGCAATATACCAAATTGTATAAAATATCTGACTATATCTTATATTCAAACGTGACTCTGTCCCGATTGGCGGAATATATCCTTAGTCGTGTTTACACGAGCTATTACGGACAGACTAGTTCGCCTGGCGAATCAACTCTTAGTCAAAACCGAACTGTCAAGCGCCGGTCTGTATTATCGACAACGCAGCGGTCTGCGAAATAACTGCACAGACGTATTATAGACGTATTATAGACGTATTATAGAACTGTCGATCAGCACTATAACATGACATTTAGCTCGCATGCTTGTATATCAAGCGGTGGGCAAAATAGGTTGAAGTTACACCACCACGCTGGGTGGAGCATGAAATACTACAACCATTCTGAAGATGGTCCTGACGGTGTCGCAAAGGAACAGACGGACCTATAACCATGACCCTATTCAATAGTTGGTGGAAATGGAATAGTCAGTGCAACTTCACCGTCTACATTGGCACCAGCTTGCCAAGTAAGCAAGTCTAAGAAACTGGTCCGTATTGCCCACGCTTGGATGTTTCATATCAGGCCACCTACAGTAGCCAAGTTCTTGTCTGAGCGAATTTGCACGCGCTATAACTAAATACTAAACGTAGCATGGTCGGATGAGCAGAATCCAAGCTGGGATTATACTAACATGTGTGTTTGAAGCCATCGTACTGTGTCTGTCCCAAGCAAGTAGATACTGGCGGTAAGTGGAGAGGGGGGAAGATGGACTTTGATACCGATACTGTTCTTGAAGACGGTTCCCCACCTTTGTTCTACACTACTGTTGTAACTAAAGGTATATTTGCGGCGGCTCTTGAGGTATACAGTGATGACACTCCAAGACATGACGGCACGTATAGTGTAACGGATGTCTAGCATGCTGGAACCAGAAATTCGAGGACTGGAATCTCAATCTAGCATATGTGTGACCTGAAGAAAAGTTCCCTCGGTTATGTCTAAGACGAGCTCCAAGGTCCTTTCTACATCTCCGTGCGGTGCTTAGTCAGGGGAGAAAGAGAGTTTCAACTCATATAGTCCGCAGGTTAGTATCAGCTCTGAAACTGAACACAAACGATGGCTAGCAAGTCGAATGTTTCTCGCAGCTGGAACTCGGGTTATGTTTCAGTTATACGCTAACTCAGTCTTGGGTGCGGGCGAGGGAACCTATCCCCTCTCTTGACATATGCCAGGATAAACTACTATTGATAATGCTGATATCTCGTTGACTAACTTCGCGCAATAATAAGCTCAGCAAATGTACCGAGCCTTCACTTGTGCCTATAGGATGATGTGCCGTATTGGACGTGCTGCTCTACCACGACGCTAGAAAATGGAGAACGGCAATATGTATGGACATTCAGTATCGTAGTGATATCTATCTTGACTGGAAGCCTGCAGAGAGAATGTCCATTGCTCATGGTCGTAAGACTAGGGTGGATTCGAATGCGCAGTATCGTCAAAACTGTCACGTCCCAAATGCGACAAGTGAATGTTTTCAGATTGGATGTTAAAACAAAGGCACCGAATGAACCATCTCCGTCATACTTTACCACCGTTACAGACTAGCGACACCTAACCAGTCATATGATCAGCCAGTCTAACCAAGGTGCTCTTCGCCCTCCCCAAGTCCACCCCACTCGTTAGGGCCAATAACCTGGCGACACTGACACCAACCCACGCGCCTGCAACGACCACAGCACAAGCAAAGATCAAGACGAAGAGGGCACTCCTCTCAATTCCCGGTTTCGAAATTCCCGATTTATTGCGCTGCGAAGCTACCTGGATTCCCAAGGGTGTTGTCATGTTGACTAGGTTAGGAACCCACTTCAAGCTGAATCTCGCCTCGTACCCAAGAGCACCCCTGGATTTGTTGCGGACGAGGAACTCGTACAGTAACTTGCGGGTGAACTGTAGATGTAGCATTAGGATACAAAGCGACTAAATATGTTTTGAAGGCGGGTGGGCAGGAAAATAGACCCTATGCCAAACGTACCCTGATGTTGCGTTCGTCCCAAGACGGAATGCTCCGATTGACATAACTCGTCACCATGAACAGCAGACATTGCCCAGCCGCCAAGCAGTTGTAATATAGAGTCGGCTTCTCAATACCCAAGTCCCGCGCCAGTTCGCGGCCGAGCAACCAGTACGTCACAGTCTCTTGAAACCCCCTCGACGAATACGTCGGCGGATGGCCTTCGAGTCCCGTGATGATGTTATGCGCCAGCGTGACAGATTTCCTCGTCGGCTTAATCTCTGATACGAGAAGAGACTCCATCATCTTCTTGGCCTCGTTTGGGGTGGCCAACCAGTCGTGCGGCGTGCCCATCAGATAGGCGACGTAGCGCCACAGAGCCAGATAATCGACAATCTCCTGCTCGCGGAGGTAGATGCCCTGTCGTGGCCAGCCTATCCAGATCAATGTGGCGCTGAAGGTATTGATGGTGCCAATGCAGTCGAGGTCGTTGATGGGGACGCCGTAGGCCTCGACATCGTAGTACCCGGGGTTGGCTTTGGACAGGGCGAGTATTCGTCGGCGAACTGAGGTATGGAGTAGGCGTACGCGGATGGAGGACATATAGCCTTGGCCGCCGGGCTTAATAGAGTCGAGGTCTCTATGTACGCTGAGGGTGTGCTGGGTTGTTTCGAGCAGCCGCCGCCGGACTACTTTGATTGCGAAACCGCCGGTGCGGTCAAGGGTCTCGACGGTTCTTCCACTGCCCATGCCCCCGAGCAAGGACAAGTACGTGAGCTGCGAGGCGTTAGTGAAGAAGCTCCAATAATGTTTGGTAACTGGGGAGTAGGTTAGGTGTCACAGGTGCCTACTCGGATACTCACCGCAGTGATGCCTGCTCCTCCATAACGCCAGAAGACTTTCTGTCCGCGTTCGATTTGATCCCAATCAACCCATTCCGGGATGGTTTCCAACTGGGCCCTCAATTTGCCAACAGTTTCGTCTGTTTTGGCATATTCTTGTATTAACTTGTAAGTGTCTCGATGGGGTTTCGACTCCATTGGTTCATCTGTGTCTTGTCTGCGCTTGCTGAGATCAACCGGTCTAGGAGGGACCAATTCATCAAGTCTCTCTACCGCTTCTGTTGTCAACCTGTCGTATGTGTAGATCAAGGGGTGTAAGTCCTCGGGTGTAAGATGCTCGGGTGTCCACTTGAACTTTATCCCGTAGACGTTCCTGTCATTGGGATCTTTAGTGAATATCCCCATGGTCTCGTCTAGCTTGCAGGCAGAGAAAGAGAAAGGTGCAGAAACCGTGATATCCACGAGATATGAGCCACCTAACCGTACTGTACAACAAACAGTTGACTGGAAAAAAGTGTTAAACCGGAGCTAAGAAGTCCGGAGAAGCCAAGAGCCGGTATATTTTCGAGACGAATGTATTGCAATAGTCATGGTCACTTGCTCATTAAATGGACAAAAGTCGTCAAAGCAGGGCATCCACGGGTGTGATATACGTTGAGGATTCATGGAGATCACTATGTCTCGCGTGTCGACACATGAGAGATCATCTTCGCTAGCTGCCGTCCGATACAACTCGAAATCTTACCGAGGTGTTTTGTTGCCCAAATGGGAGTTTAATGAGGCTCTTCTGGGCTATCCTACAGATTGCGGATGATCATGAAGCTTGTAGGACAGCAGATCAGGGGACCGCGCTTTTTGTGGCTGGAAATCGCCTTGACATCCTTGATAGACAAGTCACTTGCCTATTGGTCTGACATTGGCATCATGCCTGCTGAAAACCTGTTGAACTCGAGTTGAAGAGCCTGTAAGAAGTGACTTGGTGACGTCTGATTAAGGTCGGCTGCTCCATCTTCCTCCCATCATCCCTGCAACTGATGTTCAGATACTACCAAAGTAATTTAATGCAACGTTGAACGAGTTGGCCGCCGGCCGGGACCCACTTTGGCCCGTTCTCAGTGACATCAAGTAAGGATATGCACGGGATATGCACGTACCACTATACGAGCCCGTCACCTGAGCGCTCTATCGGCGTCCGAAGCCACTTCCGAGTTGCGTCCGGTTTTCTGACGCGCCCAGGCTAGCTAAGGCGAAATTCTTTAGCCCAAAACTCTCCAGAAGCCATCAAGCTCCGTCATTCAAAAAACGGCATGCGCTTCGCAAATCTCAATATCTTATGAAGACTGCCATGAATTGCTCCTGCTGGACATCCTCGTTACGAATATTTGTCCAGAGTCTGACACAGGTGCAATTGTCTGCATCTGCTGCCTCGAAGCCCGCCCATCGGGCCCTCAGTTCTTATCAACCCAATGGTACCGTGAGGCCGTTCAGCGCTGCCTCAGCAGCATACTATCCGAGACAGCCATGGCGAAGGGCCTCCCTTTACCATAATTCCACCCAAGATTTGGAAGAGCGATCGCAGTACTTGTCGGACGAACCAAATAGCCGAAGCGAATCCGAGCCAGCCGGAATTCCGGCCCTTCGAGCCTCAAGTACCGACTTGGAGAAGGCAAGAAACGATGGGGCTATCTTTGAGTGCTCACCAGAGGCAGTGGCCACCCTCGCAGCTGAAGTTGAACAACATAGAAGCGACAGCCCGGCTTTCGCTGAACACGGTGATGCCGAGGCTGCTTTTGGGGCTCCGAGGAACCCCAAGCCAGTTTTCACGGGATCCAGCAGACTGAAGAGATCCAAGATCATGCCAAGAAATCTCAAAGTCTCTGACGAAGAGACCAAACAACCCCCACGAAAGAAGGAACACTGGCAGATACAGAAGGAGGCTTTAAAGGAGAAGTTTCCGGAAGGATGGATGCCGCGCAAGCGCTTGTCACCCGATGCCGTCGAAGGTATTCGAGCTCTGCACACCCAATTCCCCGAACAGTATACCACACAATCCCTGGCGGCCCAGTTTGAGGTCTCTCCGGAAGCCATTCGTCGTATTCTGAGAACCAAATGGACACCACGTACAGAGGAGGAAATGGAGCGCCAAGCACGGTGGTTCAGTCGCGGCAAGAATATCTGGGCGCAGATGGCAGCGCTTGGGAAGAAGCCCCCGAGGAAGTGGCGCGAGGAGGGTGTCGTCCGCGAGCCACACTTTAACAAGAAGAGGGGCCCGCGGACAGAGTGGCCTTATGTACCGCGGTGGCATGAACAAAGCTCCCAGCGCAAGCTGGGAGAGAAACTCCTGTGATCGCCGAGAAAGATGGATGACAATGAAGCTCTGAACCGAACCCCGGCGACTGATGGATATCATGGCATCGGGGAGGCCAGGACAGGACCAAGCACGTGTACCATATTACAGAAACGGGAAGACTTGCCATCCATCTTTGTGGATCTCTAAGTCTTCAATACGTCGCGATGCGCTGTAATAGAATCAGAACGTATCGAGGTGCGACCGAATTAATTACGCCTGGCAGTCCCGTTTAGTATCACTGGGAGATCATCGGTGATTTTCCAATTGTAGTGGATGTAAGCAACATCGGCCAGGTTTCGTCATATGACGATATCTAATAAGTCCCATGTTGTCTGAGTATCGAGGCGTTGTGAGTACAAGGGGCAACCGAACGGAGACTGCATATAAAAACTGGCTGATCATGGTCAAAATATTCGGGGCACGGCTAACAGATGTCGAACCAGTCCTGACCAGTCTGGATGATCCAACAGATACTTGTGACCAAAGTATTTGAATAGCCCTGGTGAGATCATTTGAACCTGTCTCGCACCGTTTAACCGAGCGGTGCTAGCTTCAGATCCGGGTCTGTGTACTTGTGCATACGAAATTCCAGTATCCTTAGGAATCCGTACGTTTTACCGTACGCCGTAGCAGGGACATGGGTCGAACCGAATCCACGAGACGGGGTTGAAGAGCATCGCGTTAGACAATGATAGAAACACCAAAATCGACTGATAACCAGCAAAGGAGCTGCTTGGAGCATTCAAGATTCCGCATTCGGCCGCCATCTCACGAGTAGGCTACGTGATGGCGAGCCTGCCAGATTGATGTGACGGCAGCGTCTGTGCATTTGCGATTAGACTGCTGCTAACCGAATGCGACGAGCTACCAGCCTGATGCAGCGACGATGGCCAGGAACCCGCCAATCCTAACCGAGTCCCCTCGCAGCTCCCCTCATCATTTGCCCAAATGGCAAGGATTGCCCTCCCAGAAAACAAAGCATCAAAGTGAGCTAAACCCGAGTTGACGACTCTCAGACCCAAATCCTCGCTCAGCTTTCGAAGCATGGGCCATGGGGGAAGAGAGGTTCATCACAACTTTGCCCTTTTTCCAGACCGAGTTTTCCTTGCAGCAATCGAAGCTTCATCGTAGTTGCAGAGAAGCTAATCTGTTCTTGCACCAAATGCGTATCGGTTAGCTAGAGATCTTGGGACTCTACACAGTCTTGCTCTGGTTCTTCATCAATCGGTGCCTTCTCTCCCTCATGGCCCCCTCTTTAAGGCTATACATGTAGCTAACTCTTTTACCTGGGGGTTTTCCTTTTGCGTCACTGTAAGTCAACCGCGACAATGGCTCGATTCGCAGCTTCCAACTAACCTATGAGACAGCTTTTGGATCCTTTCAAAGCACTTTCCCCGTCTTCATTATACACCCGTCCTCCTGAACTACCACACTCTCTAATTAGACTCTTGGTCTCAATCACACCGCCAGGTATCAATTGACCTACAATTCACATCGTATTCCGCCGATACCACTTTGCTGGATCGGTCTAATCCCATTACCACCATTGAGTTTGAAATATAGCTTTTGACGCGTCCCCAAACTTTATTGGTAGATGTTCAGCACGTCAATGGCGGCAGGATGTCCTCTACTCCTTCGTCTCGGCTCAGGCTGACACCGTCAAATTCACCATTCCTCCCACGACCGGGGAGGTCTTCTCATCGCGGCCGACATTCTCTAGAGTCTCGTCTGTCCTTGAAGAGAGTAATAGGTACTACTTGCGCTTCGCCGACGGGGTTCGACGCCGCAGAATCTTCCTTTGCCTACATAGCCGGCGGAGCCGTCGTAGTCGTGGACGTAGAAGGCGAAATTCACAATCAGCGGTTCTTCAGGGCTCGACCAAACGCAATACCCACCTTGAGTCCTGGAAACCCAACCTATTCTCCTTCTACTTCAACATCTACGACACCCAAGGCCAACGACAGCAGAAACAGGGTTTCCATACCGGCACGGGACTCGTCGTATGGCGTTGGCGACTGGTCTGAGTCCCCATCATCCAAGACCTGGACGAGTCGGGAACGCATCAAGGCGGCAACAAGTCTGGCGCTCAGTCGGGACGGCAGGTTTCTGGCAGTTGGCGAGACAGGATACGCCCCCCGCGTTCTCATCTACAGCCTTGAAGATACTTCGTCTGACACGCCGCTTGTGAGCATAAGTGAACACATGTATGGCGTGAAGGCTGTGGCATGGTCGCCTGATACCAAGTTCCTGGCCTCCCTCGGGGCAGCAAACGACGGGTTTCTCTATCTGTGGAGGATCGATCCGAGGACGGGCGCGGCGAAATTGTTCCAGCAGAATCGATGTACCTCCTACATTCGAGGCATGATCTGGATGGGCAACAGTTTGATCACTCTAGGCGTGCGTCATGTGAAGCTGTGGAGGGTGGAAGAGTTCGCGCCTAGTTCTCCCCTGAAGCAGAGATTTACTGGAGAGATGAGCTCACCTTCCGGCCCTCAGAAGTCGTTGCCTGGTCGCAACATATTACTTGGAGGCCTGCTGGAAGCAACCTTTTCATGCGCCGTTGCAATCGATGAGACGCGGGCCATCGTATGCTCGGAAACGGGTGATATCTGCCTCCTTGACGACACAGGCAAGCAGATGAAGTTGACCAAAGTCCTAGAGATAGGCTTTATGACAGCATGCATCACGATTAGGGAGCAAGTTGTTTATGTTGGCGGCAAACCAGGCAGTTTCTGTACTCTTGATCTGAAAATGTTCATGGAGTGCAACCCGGATTGCGTCCTGAAGACCTCGGAGTCTCCTTCTGGTCTCCTCGCTCTGGGATTCCTCAAAAATAACCTGGTGACAGTCGACGCACAGCATTCTATAGATATATGGAGCACCACCTATATCCCTGGCCGAAAGGACACGACCATATCCCGAATTCAAATACCCGGACATGGAGACGCGATCCTAGGAGTAGAGGTTCTGTGTCAACCCAGCAACGCCGACGCCGCCTTCTTTACCTGGACTGGGTCTGGGAATATTGTTCTGTGGGACGTTGATGGCAGAATTAGGGACTCATTCAACGTGGAACTTGAGGACGCATACTTCGAGAACGAGTCTGACCCAGTGAATCAGCTGACGGTGGTGAAGGCGACCAGAGGAGGGAAGTTCTTTGTCACCGGCGACAGATTGGGTGTTATGAAGGTCATCGAATATGGATCGAAGGATTGCGTATCGGAAACGAAGGCCCATTCATCAAACTGCCAGTCTATCGCCACCTACGAGGACAACTCCAAGTTCTTGATCGCTTCTTGTGGTCGAGATCGAACTGCACAACTCTTTCACCGGACATCCGACGGCAGTTTTGAACATTTCCAGACACTCGAGTTCGCTGCCAAAGTGGTGCAAGTCCTCATTCCCTCTTCCGACAGGGTCATTACTTGCTCTATGGACAGAACGCTGCAGATCCACGACATGGTTACGAAAGATGGAGAGCCGGATTCCATCGCGGCAATTCCGGCACGGTCCCTCACGTTGAAGGCATCGCCGGCGTCAATGGCCATGGTCACGGGCGGGAGATCGATTTTCGTCTCGCTTTTGGATCGATCGGTCTGCCTCTATGATACCGAGACGGGCAGGCTCACAAATACTTTCAAATGCACCGATGAAGTCGGGGTTGAAAACGTTGTTCTCGATTCACTCATAACTCGCCCTCCGACTGACAAGGAACCTGCTCTCCTTCTGGGAATATCAAATACCGACAAGTCCATTAGACTTTACGATGCACAAAATGGCAACTTCCTCGACCGTGAATGGGGCCACACCGAGGCGATCAACGGAGTGGCTTTGATCGAGGATGCCGAGGGCCCCAAAAAGGTTGTGAGTGCAGGGTCAGATGGAACGATCATGATCTGGGGCTTGGACTCGCAGGAGCAGGCGCCGTCCAGTCGCGATCCTTCACCCATGAAGGACAACTTTACATCTGCCCGACCTCCCTTGAGGCGCGTGCTCTCAAAAGCCGAGCTCGCTGAGTTCCAGCGACCATCCCGAAGTGCTGGACGGCGATCGCCTCCAAGACCGGTTTCCAAGCGTCGTTCATTATTTAATCTTTCTTCGGCGAGGTCATCCGTCACCGCGATTCCGTCGAGTCCAGCATCTGTCATCGCCGAGGATACGCCTTCTCGGAGACCATCAGGGGGCAGCCGCTCAGGAAGTCCACCAGTGAGCCCGAGAACGCGCGTGGCTAGGCGCCCATCGATGCCGATATTGAAATTACCAAAGACTAAGAGTACATCGAATCTGAGGGCGTTCGGCTCCCTGAACATGGCGACCGAGCAGGCATGCCGGACGCTCAAAGCATACCGAAAAAAATTGTCGTCAACGGAGCCGATCAGCCAAGACGTGCTTGCCGAGCTGGATCAAGAGCTTCGTCTGACATCCCTTGCTCTGGGGGATAGAGCCAAGCAGAGCAGGGAACTCAGTGATTCCATGCTCAACGGCATTCTTGATCAGTACTCGTCGCGACTGATGGCCATGCTCGATGAGAAGTTGCGCTTGGGCAATCAGTCTTCAGCGAGAGGCGAGTCATATTCTCCTCCGGGGAAGAGGCCCAACTCCTCGGGATCTGGGTCGACTAGGGAGTCGATCTAGACTCTTCACATTCATTCTACAATGTGTGTTACTATTCATCATGTAATATGGAGGAAAGAGAGGGGGGGGGGTTCGGTGTGGAGATGGTCATTGGACCGTGTAGCACCACTGCTTGGTCAGGCGTTCAGGATACGACTTTACGCAGTTTTGAAGGGCCTTGGGGGCGCCGGGGGCAGACAGTGACAGCGTTGCAGAATCTGAAGAGCTTTCTTGCAGTCGATAACCGACATGATACCACATGGGAACGGGAATGGGAGTTTAGGGGATGCGCGGCACTGTGCCAGACTTATTATCTTAATGGACTTGCTTTGTTTAGACGCAAATGTTACCACGATGTGGACACTTCACGTTCTATGTACACCCGCTGCATTCGAGACATAGTTGTTTGAACTGACAGAGTCAAAGTTGATATGACATACGTGAGTACGATCACTTTTATCGGCCCGCCATTTTCTTATTTCTCGACACTGGATTGCTACTATGGTAGTACGTACCTGTATGTTTCTTGTTAAAAGGCCACTGTGGATAATTGCAAGACTGCAACCTTCAATGAGGCGTAACTGAGATATTGAATAAAAGCAAGGGTCGATGCAGCAAAAAGATATATGCGCGCGCTTAAGCACAATAAGCTGGGCTAAAGCGGCCGAAAGCCGGCACCCCGGATCTTAGCTCGACGTAATCCCTGACCTTAGCTTGGGCCATGCTGAACTCTCGAGCTGAGATCGTACATCGAACCACTTCTTCAATTCATCCATCAGAGCAACCGGTCGATCATTTCATCGGCCAATGTCTCACCAGTGGCTCCTTTGAGGTGCACTTGATTGACGGCAATGTGGCCACGACGCGTATGATTCCAAGGTTTCTTTCCGCTGCTGCCCCAATGCTCCAGTGGCTCCATCTCTTCTTAGGTATAGCTCTTCCGCCTTGAGGAAGAGGTGTTACTTCGACCATGACGCCCGACGGGCCAAGCAACATTCGAGTCTTCATACACTGGAGCGATCAGACGGTTTTCGCGGGCGAAGACATCCAGTGCCGAATCACCTTCAAGAACGTCGCGAGGCCACCCAACCAATCATACGAGCGATCGAGACAACCCTCGCCCCTGCTGGGCACACCGCGACACAAATCAGTTGCGAATAACAGCCTCACACCTCCGGTAGTTGGCAGAGGTAGGGGCCATCGGTCGACGCTGTCCTTGAACGTGCCATCCAGCAGCTCTCGTGTAAAGAGTGGCACTACACAATGGATTCAGCCCCGAGACCAGCCCCCGAGTCGGCCAGGACATGCGCATAAGCGCTCTCTCTCAATAGTATCGATTGGTTCGGCTGCTACCGTGGAAGATGCCGGTCGCGGACATGCTCAACGACCGACGCATGGTCATGGGCGCTCTTCGAGTCTACAAATAAACTCGCGAGGTAGTCTCTCGAATGGCCCACATTCGGCCGTCTTGCCCCAGCGACCCTACGGCGGCTCGTCGCAAAACTCTCCGTTATTCAACAATCACTCCTTCCCTCCATCTCGACATGCATTTGGCCGGCCGTCAGGGGCCTCTACGGTGCCGAATACGCCACGCGGAGCAACGCACTCTCCTAAGACGGGCGGCGCTCAGATACCCGATTTCAAGTTTCCTATGGTGTTTTCGGCATTGTCCGGAGCTGGGGACAGCACCCCAGGCGCGCAAGGTGAAGATTACGTCACAACGTCGACGTCTGCCACAGGAGGGACGGTGAACCTTCCAGTACGGTCCAGAGATTCGATACCAATCATCGCGGAGCACGCGGCTCTCCCGGCGGCTCGGATATTGTCCACGACCAGTATGACAGGGGGTACGCCTAGGAGCAGCGGCGAATTCTACTCTCTGAGCAATAACTCGAGTGAGACTTTGGCGTCGGAATACGTCACGCAACCACTCCGAAATGGCGGAAGACCACCCCATAACCGACGAAGCTCGGGTCTTTCTGGTTTGGGTCATCTTAAAGCACCGGAAGCTCTAATGATGGGATATGCCCAAGTCCAGGGTTTCTTCACCCTTGACGGATCCTTGATCAACCTGGGGCCTTTCGAGCAAGTAAAGCGGAAAGCAGTCTTGGGCGGTCAAGGAGGAGGTGTTATAGGACTTGAGTCATCAAAACGAGACAGCGGACTGCTGAAAACCTTCGGCTGGGGCTCTTGGGGCAATTCCATTGGCGAACTTCTTGGCGGAGGCGAAATGAGCAGCATCAAAGAGATGCGGGGCGTTGCGAGCACAAAATCTATACCACTGCTTTCCACGCCTCAGTCGATTCTGTTTGTGGACCTACAACTTGCTCCAGGAGAGAGCAGAACATACGAATACTCGTTCAAACTGCCTAAGGGGCTCCCTCCGACCCATCGCGGTAAAGCTATGAAAATATCCTATAGTCTGGTTATAGGAACCCAAAGACCGGGCGGCTCAAAAGAGCAGCAAGTTCGCTCAGTTGAGATACCTTTTCGCGTACTTGGCAGTGTCAACAGCCATGGAGAAATCTTGGGCCATGATCTTATGTCCCCTTACATCATTCTACGGGATCTAGCCCACGTCCAGCTAGCAAACAACAGTGATGTCCCGAAAATGGGCAAACCGGCCCAACCAAACTCGACACTGAACGGTTTTATAGGATACGTCGAAGAGCTCCTCGCACAGCCCCACAATGGCCACGGTCTCCTATCTCCCACTGCGGTAGGGCCATCCTCTAGGCGTCCCTCCATGTTCGAAGACGCGTCGACCGCCAAAGAAGCCATCGACCTAGCCATCCTGCGCTCTAACATGTCCTCCTCGGAAACGGGCCAGAGCTCCAATCGTTTCGAGATAGCCCGGAACGGCCAGCGCGTGGGTGTCATCATGCTAGCTCGGCCGGCGTACCGCCTCGGCGAGGCGGTCAGTATGGTCATCGACTTCACCGACGCCGAGATACCCTGCTACGCCGTGCACAGCGCCCTCGAGACGGCCGAGCGCGTTGAGCCCACGCTAGCACTGCGAAGTGAGGCGAGCGTGCATCGTGTGACGCGCAAGGTCTACGGTAGCTCCAGCGAGGCGACGCTATTTGCGAGACGCGTCGTCTTCAGCCCTACTATACCGATCACTGCAACGCCCGAGTTTGTAACTAGCGGCTTGAGCCTGGAGTGGAAGATCAGGATCGAGTTTGTGGTCCCCTCGTCGACTGCGGCCGAGGATGAGGAGTCGGAGAAGCAGGCGAATGGGCCGCATCCGTTGCTAGAGGAGATATCGAGGGATGAGCGGGGTGGCTTGGTATTGGTAGGGGCGGAGACTCTTGAATGCGAGAGCTTCGAGGTTGCGGTGCCCTTGAGGGTTTATGGCGCGGTTTGCAATGGGCTTGAGAGGTTGGAGAGGGATGAGGCGGAGGAGGGCTTGGTGGTATAACATTCAGGCTCATTACCGTGAAGGGACGAAACTGAGCAAGGGTTTATATAAATTACAGGCTTGGCGATGTGCATGGGCTGGAAAGTTTGAGGGTGAACACGGGTTGGTTGGTTGGTCTTGTTGGACAACTGGTGGTGGATGGTTACTTAGAAAGACAGGGCTTCGTATAGGGCACTCACTAGGCATACCTAGTTACATAAGATGAGTCGAATAGGTTAGACTATATTACTCGTAAGTAAAGCACATTCTTGCATCATGAATAGGCAAATGAGTGTCAGTTTAAAAAGCCGTTCTTATTTAATAGTTAGGTGCATGCGAGCTGGCAGTTTCGTCTTTTGAATAGATTGGGCCCTTGAAAAGATGCGACGGCGCCCCCGGCGAAAAGGCTATCATCACAGGGGTACTACCATGTATCTAGTCGCAATCAAAAACTACAGTTCAGGGGTTAGATTGTTTTTCAGCACTGTTAAGATCCGGTAAGGCGATCAACGATAGGAAGTTGTTTGCTGGCTGCATCACGATCACGCACGGGGCCAGTTAGCCGATTTCCAATGTCTCAATAGAAAACTAAAACATATTCCGTATCGTCAGGCCATCTCACCAAAATTTGATCAACCATTGTTGAAGTTAAGTTCTATTTTTATGTAACTCTCCTTCCTAGGTATCAAATATGACTGAACAGCTTGCATATGTCATGCCTGCCCAGGTTCGTCCGGACCGCCATTGAAAGGTTCTGTATCACTTTCCACGGAGTAGTGAAGACATGATTCGTGAGCTTCGTGTCAGTGACAACCTGTTATGCCAAACGATCTGTTGTTATATATAGTGCTTCAAAACTAGACTCTGCTAGATTGCCGGAGAACCTGCCATGGAAATAGCGCTTTATTTAGTCCATCTACTAAATTAAGTAAGCCCGGTCAAACTCACTCTTTTCTTCCTCCTTATTCATGAAAGCCTGAATGCGCATCTATCACTTTGTGTGCCCGTTAACTTGGTTGGCATACCAGAAACCAAGAATCCAGTTCCGAATGTACGCCAGAACACATCTATTCCCACTCGGCACCAGTCTGATCAATCACTACCTTGCCGTCACGACGCTTCGCAGTCTTGAACTCGCGCTTCGGCTGTCGTCTTCCGTTGGGATTGGCAGCAGCAACAGCAGAAGAAGAAGAATCAGTAACAGGGGCAGAGGCAGCAAGTCGTCTGACAGGAAATTGCTCGCGCCTGAGGGCCTTTTTCTCCTAGTTGGCAGAGGTGATTTTCTCGATGGCGAGCTTCTTGATCTGGCTATAGCTGTATTCGCCTAGATCTACTGGGACGGCCCGGTTTATTCATTTTTGCGTCGGATTCTTTTCTGCACTGCAGGCAGCTAGAATGAAAAAGGGAAAGAAGAAAAACTGTGACTACGAGAAGCGGAGAAAACAAAACAAAACCTATAGTAAAACTCACCTGGCCTCTCTCTAAGATGCTCTAGAGCGAGCTGCTCGAGTGCGTTGCGCGTAATGTCGTCCAGCTGATCGATGGGAATGGATTGCGACTTTCTGTCAGGGGTTCGGGGGATGAGGCCCTCATCCTGGAGGGCCTCTGTTTGGGTGGTTAGTATGAAATACATCAGGTTCAGGGGAAAGGAGAACTTGATTTGCAACTAGTATAGGAACTCGAAGATGATGATGGGCTCCTTGTAGTCCAGGTACTCACAATCATTGACGTTAATGGGCTTCTCTCTGCTGATGACAATGCTAAACCCAGTTGTCAGAGCATGTCAGTGTATATTTGAATCCAGTGAGATCGCATCAGACAAAAGGGACAAGCAAGCACTTGCACGAGCCATAACCCTGAATCCAATGGAATATATCAGGCGAAAGAAACAGGCAGGCACTTACACGAGCTGTCCGGCAGCTGTCTAAAACCATGCTGCTAGGGAGGTTGAGCAGGATTCTACATTTGATGAATGCGACCAGGAAGGAGAGGAAAAATACTCGTTCGTGTTAGTAATAAAAGACTTGAACGTTAGAGGATTGGATAGGGGCTTTTGACTATACCAAACGTTCTTGGTTTACAAACACAATCGTTCACTCAGAGGGAGGCTAGATTTGTCCACATTGGGAAAGCTTTTCTCAATTTAATTCCAGTATCATGTGTCTGAACACACTTAACAACGCTCACGAAAGCATTGAACCGTTGTGATATGCAAATCTGTAAGCTTCCTTTTCACTTCATCACGGCCAGCTATGTCCAACGCACACCTCGCGACTTCCCATCACAAGTGCCCATCGTTGTCTAGCAATAAAGGCAGTGTATGAAGAAACTCAGGGCATCATGTATCCAAAAAGAAAGCTAACTCTTGCGAATCTTGTAGTACGCGGCTTCAGCAGCCTTCGTCTTGATCTCCTCCTTATTGACACCACCACCAACTTCAACAACAAATTCGTCATCAATAAAGACCTTGCAAGCAAGGTCGCCCGTATCGGGATATCTCAGTATCTCGTATTTCACAACTTTTGTGGCTTCCAGCTCGCCCAGCTTGTTCTTGGGGTGCATGATATCGACCTTATCATCCACCATCCGTCTCATGTAGGCTAGGATCCCTGCGCGCTCAACAAATCCCCTGCATACATCCATTGAGCCTGAATCCATCCAGACAGCACCCAATACGCTCTCAAACAGGTCCGAGAAGAACTTTGGAATGTTGAGGTGCGCGAGCAGAGACCAGGGGTAAGTCGGGCTGTGATGGAGGGCATCGAGGATGACCTTCCGTTCCTCAGCGTGGCGTTTCTCAGTCGCTTGCTGCCTGGCAACAATTTCTGGCGATGAAAAACGCATGAATTTCCACATGGGCTTCTCTTTGATGGACTCGATCACACTGCCGTCAATGACATGTGCGGTAGTCTGTGGGATGCTCCACTCCATGACCAGGAAGCCTAACAAATCCGCATTGACGAGTGCAGTACGGAGAAGGTGCATGTCTTGTTCCGACAACTTCAATTCCCAAAGAGCCGACATGACGATGTTGTCTAGAATCGCATCGCCTAGGAATTCGAGTCGCTCCATGCATAAATCAGTGGATGTTCCTAAACTGAAAGACCCATGTGTTACCGCTTCAAGCAGCAGTTTCTTGTTCTGGAATGAGTGTCCGATCGACTTTTCAAGCGAGATCAAGTAGTCTGGAAGATGGGTGGACTTTGAACTTCGCGAAGCCAATACTTTTCGGCCGGTGTCGAGATCATACCACTTGACCTCGGGAATGAACACTCGAATGCAATGCAGGGCTTTCATCATGCCGCCTTCCAGAAAACAGGTGCCAATTAGAGCTTCGACAACATCCGCCATAACCTTGGTAGACTCTTGACGAGAGCTAGTTTGCTCTTCGCTACCCTCGGATAGCAGGTCCTGGATATACAACGGACGCCATTTTTTGCCCGTGAATTGAGTGGTGAGGATGAACTGAGTTAGGCCCGTCGTCTCGGCTGCGCGGCAGAGCCTCGAGTTTGATACAATCAGGTCCTTCTTTTTCGAGAGATAGCCTTCAGGGAACAATGGATCTGGACCAATGTTTCAGTATTAGTCGTTTGGAGTTCAAGGCTGACTTACGGATAACAGCCACATTAACTGTAGCAAGGAGTTTGAGGATGGAGTCGCCAAGGAACTCGACTCTCTCATAATTGCTAGCTTCTCTCGCTGCAGGTGAGCTGATGGCACTCACGATTGCATCGATGTTTGTGATAGCAAGGTCCTTCAAGATCGTTGCGGACAGTTGACTGGCGACGAGGTATATCTCAACCATATGCGTGATTGAGGGTATCAATGAGCCAAATTGGAGATCTCGAATGTCAGAAGTATCAATAGTGCAGAGAGAGGCTGGCCAGATGCGCTTGTATGGCTTGGAAGAAATTACTCCGGGATTGTCAGGGATGGGATGCAGGAAGTCCTGACGCCGAGACCACTTGCGAAGTGATAGCCATGGAACGTCAGTTGGATGTTCCATCAAGCATTTGTCAAAATTCTGGACTAGATCGAGAGGCGGCCGGGAGCACAGCCAGTCCTCGAAGAAGTATGGGTTTCGAAAGGTATCTCGAATCAGATATGGGAAATTACTGCCAAAACTCGTAACTAGCTCTTGAGTGAGCTGCTGGTTTCCAAGGTGGTCCACGTCCATAGCTTGAGATCGAGAACGAAATTGCACGACATGCTGGTCATTCTCTTTCAACGCAATGCGGTGTCCGTATGCCAGATCAATCAGTCTCATTGTCTGGTCCTCTTTACTTGTGGCAGCTCTGCTCAATTCGCCGAACTCTACCTTCCATGATGAGTGTTTTTCCCTGTAAACATTGAAAGCTGGGATATGAGGAATCGCAAGGGGTAGCACCATATCGAACTCGCATAGTATCTGTCCCTGATCTAGGACCTTGATCGGACGTTGATAAAGGAGCGAGTCTACCCCAGCTTCGGTCCAGCCCTGTGCAACTTGAGGCCACGGCATCCACAGGGGCCTGAAAAAAGCCATGGGTGGTCTCGTTTCGACTCCCTCGAGCAGCTCGCTATCATCCAAAGGCAGAAGATAGTCATTGACAAGACCGGCTTTGTGAAGAGAAACGTAAGCCTGAAACGCCGCATCCTTGCTTGCATTCTTCTCAGAATACCAAAAATTTTCTCCGTCCACCCGGCGAAGCTCTCTCGGTAAAGATATGGGCAACACGACGGTTGCCTTCATCTGAGGAAGCCTGGACTTCGGGTGCCAGACCTTATGCATCACATAGTACGGTCTCCAGTCAACAAATTGCCGTGATCCAAGCACAGCACAAAAGTGTTCCAGGTGAGGCTTTGCCTGGTCCATGTCCAGTTTCGCTCCGGTTCGTGGAACGTAATAGGGACCGACGTAAGATTCCTCATTGGAATCATCCAGGCTGTCCAGTTCCTTAATTTCCCTCAATTCGTCCTCATATTTTCTCTTCATACCTTGTTCGAGTTCTTGCCATTGGGTATGACGGCTAGAATCTGGATCGTCCATTAATAGGACGAGATTCGACTTTTGCATCCTGGCTCTTCCACGGCGTTGGATAAAAGACTTCAGGTTCGCTGGCTCATCGAAGCAGATCACCAGGTTGCATGCTGGCACATCAATGCCTTCTTCAAGCACATTTGTAGCTATAAGGAGATTGATCTTGCCAGAACGGAAGTCCCGAAGGTCATCATCGTCTCCACGGATCAACTCTCCGACATTTCTTCGTCGTTGAGCGTGCCGAGAAGTCCCACACACAGATCCGACTCGGAAACGGTCTCGTGTGAGAGGGTGGACCGACAATAGGCGAGCCAGGACAGCGACGGTGGCTGTCTCTTTCACAAAAACAATACCAAGCGCATCTTGCTGGCGAGAGAGGAGAACCTCCAAGAGCATGGCCACCTTGGGAGACACCTTCATATCATCAGGTGATGAAGGAACAGTTGTCTCAACTTTCTGCAAAAGGCTTGCTAGATAAGTTTTCTCCTTGACCGGCCATGTCGCGAACGTTGCGTCTTCCTTGCCGACCGAATCAAGAAACTGAGCCACTGCGGTCGAGAGGAAGAAATCTACTGCCCACTCTCCGAGCTCGCGTCGGACAGTCGCGCTTTTCCGTTGGAGTCTCCTCACCTGATTGAAAATATTTGTATCTTCCTTTTCGAGGGCTTTTGCGAGAGCTATCCGACTGCGTTCCGTGTTCTCCACCATCAAATGTATGATATAAGGATCTTGAAAAATGTCGAGACCCAGAGCAACGCAGTCCAAGCTTTTCATAGTTGGCGTATAGCTCTCATCCATTTGGGGGCCGTATTTTACGCAGGAGATGGATGGATGATTCACGTGAGACAGCAATTCCGTCTTGTGCATGGCGGGAGTTTTGCACACAGAGTCCAGTGTCCTCTCTATAACCTCCAGATAGTCAAGAGAAGATCTCATGATTGGGCTCGCGGTTAGGCCCAGTATTGCGGGGATCGGAAGGCCAGCATCCTTGGAGTCTCTGTAAAAGGCCATCACTTTACTGCCGGGATGTCTTCCAACACAATTGTGTGCTACTCGTGATGAGTTGCTGACCACCACTATGCTCACAAGATGGCAACGTACCTTCATCGAACACTATCAGGGAGAGTTTTTCCATCCGTACAAAAGTGTGAGACAGGGCGTCAAGCAGCACTTGGTGTGGGGAGACGACAATACTTGTGTCTTTCAGGAATGCATCCCATAGTGTTTGGTTAGTCCAGGTGTCCACACCATCATCGCCGCTGATAAACTTGGTTTGCACAGCAGGGATTGCTTTCTCGAGGACTGAGAATTGCTGAGAACAGAGGGCAACCGTTGAAGCCAAGAACCAAACGATCTGGTAAGTATCAGTAAAGCAACTCCGTATGAACTGCCAATTCATTATACCTTGCCGGGAGGGGAGCGTTCAAGCTCGGCTTGTATTCGACGTACAGCACTACAGCAGCATTAACATATTGCATAGCAGGCCATGCAAGTTCATTTTGCTGCGACCGTTCTTTCGGAGTCATGGAGGCCATGACGTGGAGTGAACTCAACTGAAGCACTTACACTCGTGTCTTGCCACTACCTGTGTCCATCTTCAGGATTGTAAGTGCAAGCCCTTGTGTGAAAAGAGAGGGGGGATCGCACCGTTACAATAATATTCTGCTTGAGGCTTACTTCCAACATCTCAAGCTGGTAAGCTCGATCAGGACTCGTTGGTTCATAAACCACTTGCTCAGTCGATGACAATACGGTATGGTCGACTTCTACCGTTGACGGAGAATCGGAATCATTGTGACCCCGTGGTATGACCGTAGGCTCTGGGTCGGTGCCAGTATTTCCAGAACTAGAGCCGGCGGTTGAGTCATCATCGAGGGTTGCCATCGTTACGCTGCTTTTTTTCGATTGCACGGCAACGGGCGTTTATGGGTCTGTTGTTGGTGTTCGTGAGAAAATGGGAGGCTACTCAGACCTTGAAGACACAAAAATACTCCGATGTTGCGATTGGGGATCTCTTATGTTCTGCAAGTTGGTCATCAGCTCAAACTGTGCAGGAGGCCCATGGGAAGATGGTGAAAGTCTGCAGGAGGCCAGCCACAGCGAACGAAATGAATTGCAAGTAGAGACAAGCAAACGGAGAGCCCAGCTTTGACGGGTAGCTGCGTCACTGGCACCCGGTTGAGGACGGAGTTGGGTTGAGTCTTTGAAGAAAAAACGTAAGAACAATATTCACAGTAACGTACCCCACAAGCAAGTTGGCCACTTTTTCTTGGCACCGTACGAACAACCTTTTAATTAACATCTTTACACATACCAAGATGGGATCGAATTGGAAAGAAAGCGACATGATTCTAGCGTGTCAGGCGCTTCAATCGAAACCCGAATTAAGCATCCGACGCCCTGCCCAACTCTACAATGTCCCTCGTACAACTCTAGCTAACCGAAAACGCGGACTACTATCTCGACGCGATACTCGACAATCTAGTCATAAGCTTACGGAATCAGAAGAGTTAGCGGTCGTACAATACATACTTGACCTAGATTCGCCATCATTTCCTCCCCGGCTCCATGGTGTTGGAGCTATGGCTAACCGACTGTTCCGTGACCGTGGCGCTGGATGCGTCGGCTTCAACTGGGCCTCGAACTTCGCACGACGACAACCAGACCTTCGGACGCGTTTTAATCGAAGAATCGACTACCAACGAGCCTATTGCGAAGATCCTGACGCGTATCGCGCGTGGTTTACGCTCGTACGAAATACAATTGCGAAATATGGTATCCAAGAGGCGGATATCTATAACTTCGACGAGACAGGGTTCGCGATGGGCTTAATCTCATCCGAGATGGTAGTTACAAGTGCCGAACGACGCGGAAGGCCTCGTACAGTCCAACAAGGCAATCGAGAATGGGCTACAGTAATCCAGGGTATTAATTCGTCCGGCTGGGCTATCCCGCCGTATATTATTGTCGCGGGTCAAAACCACCTCTTATCCTGGTACGAGAATAGCCCATTCCCGTCCGATTGGGTAATCGCTGTAACCAAAAACGGTTGGACAACAAATGAGTGAGGCGTAGACTGGATTCAGCACTTTGATCGCTATACGAAGGATCGTACGAAGGGTGTTTATCGTCTTCTTATCCTCGACGGGCATGAGAGCCACCACTCGACTGACTTCGAGCTATATTGCAAAGAGCATACTATTATTACACTTAGTATGCCTGCTCATTCGTCACATAAGCTCCAGCCTCTCGATGTAGGCTGTTTTAGGGCTTTGAAAAGGTCGTACGGCAAAGAAATTGAAGACCTAATACGGGCGCATATAACCCATATCTCGAAGGAGGATTTCTTTTCGGCATTCTATAGGGCGTATCGTACGACTATAACTAAGTCGAATATCCAGGCAGGTTTCAGGGGGACAGGACTTATTCCGTACGACCCGGAATACGTGATTTCACAGCTGGATATTAAGCTACATACGCCTACACCTCCCGGGAGCTCGTGTGGCGCCCCCTTAATCTGGGAATCAAAGACTCCAAATAACCCAACCGAGGCGCAATCCCAGTCTGAATACGTTAAAACCAGAATCGTACAGCATCAGAATAGCTCCCCGACGACAATACTTACGGCTATTGACCAATTTTCACGTGGTGCGACGGCTGTTATGCATCGGTTAGTTTTACTTGAGGATGAGGTTACTACACTTCGGAAGGCCAATCAAGAGCTAAGCCGTCGTCGAAGGACTAAAAATCGACAGCTACAAGATGGGGGATCTCTTAGTTTACGTGACGCTCAGGACTTACAGTCTCAACGGGATATTGAACAGCAGCTACAGGATGATATACATGTAAGTCGTCGTCGTACGAGACCGGCCGAACCACGCCGACGGCGCTGTAGGATCTGCGGAGAGCCCGGACATAATGCTCGTACTTGTGAGAATGATAAAGATACGTACGAGGAAGAGGATTCCGATTAGTTTGAATTATTATTTTTTAGTTTATTTAAGTTATTGAAGTTATTCATACCGTGCCAAGAAAAAGTGGCCAACTTGCTTGTGGGGTACGTTAGATGGCTTTGAGCCATTAATGTTTCTGTCAAAGAATGGTTCAGTTGAAGCGGAAATCCGAATGTTGAGAAAGGCAAGTGTGGAGAACCACACTATACGATTTCCCTGTCAATATCCATTGAGAATAACTTTGAAGAACACAAAGAGTTACCACAAAGAGTTATCGCTCCAAATGTAGGCATCAATATATCTGGTGCGTCTAAAGGTCCTGGCTATTACTATATATATTTGGGGAAAGAGGGATTTTTGGGGGGGACGAGGGGGGTCGGCGAGGGGGGCCTTTAAATTTCAAGGCTGGAGGGGACAAATGGTGAGAGCACCAATCTGATCAACGGAGAATAGCAGGTTTGGCAAACCAACAGAACCTCCACGCAACGACCAATTTGGCGGAATGGAGCTATATGCCACGGGTTTCAATGCCTGGAATCAACTCCGATTTGGGGGACCCGATGCTTCGCCCGAGTCGCAAGATCCAGATGATTTACATGGCTTCAAACTTGTGCTGAGAAATAGCTCCTTTGAGCCCCCACATGCTTCCCTTTCCTGCACTCTAGGTGCGGCACCTCTTTATCAAGGCAGGTGGCCCCAAAGCTGATTTGTGTATGTAGTAAAGACTCCTTCCAGCGTCCTGTTTGCAGGGTATCCTGATGACTGGGTAAAGCTTCATGATCTCAGGGACAAGATGATTCAATGTCTTGCCGCTATTGCCGGGAATGGCATCATTGCCGTCTATAGTGAGGGGAGCGTCCAACAGTACCAGTCATTAGCCCATTACAAAGCAATGAAGGGCCGAACAGTACTTTCAGACTGTGAAATTAACCAGATCGTTGCGTACGAGACAGGCTTCGCAGCCCTGTCGGCGGGCCAGGTATGGACGTGGGGAGACGAACGGTATTGCGCATGCCTTGGACGTGAAGTGTCGGAATCCAGGTAACCCATGCTCGAAGAAGGTCGAGTTCGTACGAATAAGCTAACGACGCATCGCAATGCTGTAGCCCGGCAGAAAAGCCATGTTTAGTGATACAGCTGGAAGGCCTGCCTACAGGGAGGATAAGAAAGCTGGCCGCGGCAGGCTATCTCCTCACGGCAATAACAGAAGGTGATGATCTATATGCTTGGGGTGGTCATCCTGGACGGCCTGTTATCATCGAAGGTATTTCTGGAAGTCCATCGCCCGTCTTGGTCGAAGAGAATGACATACGAGATTGTGCAGTTGGGGAATTTCACGTCATCGTCCTCACCTCGCATGGAGATATCTTCGTTATTGGGGACAATGTCAATGGTCAGCTTGGCTATCCAATCGAGAAGGCATCGTCATGGACCAGAGTACCTGGAATAGCAACAGGCTCAACCATCTCAGCCGTCGTGGCCGGCCTAAGGAGTTCGTTCATAGTAGTCGTTATTGCCAAATGATCTAGAGAAATAGTTTGCCTTATTGGCCCTCTATCATCCTCTATAGTACAAGTGGGTGCCGTCCTTCCGCAAGCAATCCATAACGCCTATGATCACAGATTTGTCAAGTAGTCCTCAATCTCTTGAGGAGTCAGCTTTCTGAACCGGGGGCCAGTAGCTCCCTCCACACCCTCAACACCGAGGAGGTGGTCGGCTGGTGGGCCCACAATGCCTGTAACCAAGTTAGTAGTGATTTCGTAACTGAAGCGAGTGTTTTGAACAATCTGAACCTACCAATCTCAATGGTCTCTCCATTCATCTCGCCCTCGATGGTCTCCTTCAACGTCAACAACGCAATGTGCACTGCATCCTCGAGCTCCAAGCCCTCGGTGTATCTCTTCTCCAGGAAGGTCTTGGCCGTCGTTGCGCTCTTGCCAATGGCCGTCGCCTTCCATGGGAAGTAACTTCCGGACGGGTCGACTTGGTACAACATCGGCCCACCCTTGAGAATGCCGCCAGTCTTACCATTGGGCTTTTTGGAAGGCTCCACGTCTTCTCCCTCGCCCAGGACTTCGGCCTCTTCTTCCGGCATGATGCCTTCGTCCCATCCCGCGATCAACAAGCTGACACCGTACGGTCGAACACCACCAGATTGTGTGGCCTCTTGCATCACTCGGGCAACGTCTTGCACCAATATCCTGGTCGGGGGATACTCGTTGTAGACTCGCTTGTAGCCAGTGTGGGAGACTTTGCGCGCTCTGTCGACGAGAACTCTGTAGTCGGGGCCCATGCCTGAATAAACCATGCCAATGTTGGGGGTGATGAGGCTGATCTTGGACAAGGAGGAGGGGTCGGCGAGCGGGGATGATGACTTCTTCTCGGTGGCTAGGACTATTCCATTCGTAGCTATAACATGTCAGAGGTGGTCCATAGACGGCAAGTGCAATGGCAGAGGTCTTCAGGAGCCGACCTTTAATTCCAAGCGCCGTGACACCCTGGTTGACTGCGTTCAAGGCGTACTCTGTCCATCATCAAGTCAGTAAACACAGGTTTCGTTGATTATTGTCAAACTTGACATCGCATGTGGCAAGATGTGCCATACCAATCTGCACCAGTTTCCCGCTGTCATCATCAACATTAGTGATACAGTAGAAGCTAGAGGATCGTTAGAGGAGCTTACCTGGGGGAGAAGGTCGTCAAGGAGAACGAGTACCGGTCCGCCATAGCTTCGGATGTGATGGTTCTGATGGGATGTACGAGGCTTGAAGCAAAAATTCGGGTGTTTGGCCGGTTATTTGGGGGAAATCGTGAGAAGCGTAAATGAGGCTGTCAAATCATGGAAGCTTGCCAAACAGCTGCAAGTCCACGCATCGCGACTTCAGCCTGGTGCCGCCCGGGCCACCTATCCCGAGTAAGTACCCAGGTACTCAGATGCTTGGTCGGAAGCCGGCGTCCTAGAGCTCCGTGCTTTCGGTTCGGGGTTTCCACTTAGCTGGGCAACATTTTCCAAAGTCTTCATTTCCCACGAATACACCTAGCCTCGCCCTGTTTTCTTCGTCAAAAAACACCAGATTGTACTGAAGCCATTCGACCGCACCGGCGGTGATTGGGCTATTCTGCTCTTGTTTTGGTCCAGAATCATGATGTCAACGGTGGAGGGCAAGTGACGCAGGTACACTTGTATTCGTTCCATGGATTAGTCCGCTCAGTTTCTATTGATTTCGGCATTTCCTTGTTACGTTTTGCCGTTTCCGGGGGCTCTACACAGACGTGTCCTGGGCAGTCATCACGGAACAACAGCTTTGCCAGCTCAGCAATACAGTCTGTCACGCTAAGGCCCTTTGTCTACCCCTTCAGCTTCCCCCCCCCATGAACTGTCCAAAGTCGGTCGTCTCATGAAGGAGACTTTTTCTCAGACTTGAGAAACAATACAATGGTGAGGAGCCGCCCGTCGTGTTCTATACAAAGCTTCTTTTAGTCCCTCCCCGCCACTCCATTTCCTTGAAAACTGTCTTTTATACTACACCCTTCTTCTACCACCAATCGGACTCGCTTTGGATCTGCTGTACGGTGATTCTTAGGATTGCCACGCAACCCAATCATAGCCAACTGCTTCCAAGAACTGGTCCACCACTTCCGCAAAATAATTGCGAATATCTTAACACCAAGCATGGACCATTACGCAGCAGATGAGGACATTGGCCTTGGAGCCGCCGCTGAACAGCCTCAACAAGCTGAGGCGAACCAACAAGGAGATCAATACGGAGAGTCGGCTAAGCAAGATGTCCGGGAGTGTCGGATATGCCGCGAGGAAGTGAGACCAACCTATGAGGAGCAGGGCTTCGCCAATCTGGACCGAGCTCGAGGAAAACCTCCGAGGAAGACATACTACAGCGAGGAAGACGGATACCTGATTAATCCTTGCCTGTGCAAGGGATCTGCGAAATGGATCCACGAAAACTGCTTACAGCAAACAAGATATTCAGGCCTCAACCCCGATCACATGTATCGGTGCCCTACATGTAAATATGAGTACAAGCTTCAAAACTTGACCTGGGCTCGTTGGCTTCGAAGTCCAATCCTAGCCTTTGTTCTTGCTGTACTCATCCTGGCTGTTTCTATCTTCCTGCTTGGATTCGTGGCGGACCCGATCTTGAACCTCTGGATCGACCCAGTTGGCGCAATCACAGAGGGTATAGGAATCCAACTTGACCCGGAGGAGCAGGCAATATTCGATGAACTAGGCATCAAGGAAGGCTGGCTTACGCACTTTGGGAAGGGCACGATGTCTCTTGGCGTGCTTGGATTTGTCAAAGCCTTTCTGGCAATGACACCTTGGCAGTGGTGGAATCTTCGAGCCTCCGGTGTCGTTGGTGGACCTGCCCGCCGTGGAGGCACGGGGCGTGATCGTCTGGAAAACATGAGTTTGGCTTTAGTCGTGATCGGAGTAGCCACCTTCTTTTGGGTAAGTCCATGCCCCAGCTTTTCTCCTTGACTATGCTAACTTGAAAATAGGCCGTCTGGAAGGGCACCCGAGCCTGGACACAAAGAACGCTTGATCGAGCCAGCGAAAAGGTGATGAACGTCCAGTCGGATGACGACGATGACGACGCAGACGATGGTGAAGAGTCTAGAAAGGATCAATGATGAGACTGATGTGTGTAGGTAGTGACGAAACAACATTCCTGTGACGTTTTCCTCCTCAGATCATGTGTTTACAAGCATGGCCTGCGTGACCATTGCACACTCTTAAGTTGCCTCGAAGATGCTCCTCCATATCTTGTCAACTAGTCTGTGTGCAGATATCAATGCCTTGCAACTGTCTTCGAGCTTGGGCGTCTTGCACTTGTTCATTACAGACTCGGTTCAAGGCTGTCAACCACTAAGCTAGCGTCGGTCACTCTCTGGAGTTTCTGACTTTCATTTACTGCCAATTAGCCCATCGGGGAAGTTGGTGAGATGGTAGTTTGCTAGGTTTGACACATTTTGGCATCCATTGGGTATCTAGATGCGTATGTAGCTACTCAATTTCAGGCAAATTTTGTTCGTATGTTCGTATACCTGATTAAATATTTATATTAGAAGCTGAATGTTGATGGCCGAGTTCGTTGGTCACAGGAGCTTAATACTTGTGAGATTCTGATCACGTCGTATAGTGCATTTGAGAGGATTGATCAATCAAAGCAAGATGACGGCTCTGAGTGAACGTACATAATCCGTATGAAGTTTATCCTCGGCGTTTCAGCACAGAAGAACAGAAGAGGACCGGATTGTGGACTGGATAACCGACGAAACACATGCAGTACTGTAATGACTATAGAAATACTGATAATGCTTGAAATAAATGTGTGAGAACAAAGGATAACTTCGACCGAGGCTATACAATTCATGGGATTTTTTTGAGTTGCCAGTACTGCATATTTGTAGTCTAAGACTCCCAGATGTGCTACGGAGACTAACAACAGCTAGGTCTCAAAGCGATTTGAACACAATAGCATCGAACTTCTGAAAATTGTACATTACAATGTCTTCGGATCTTATTTGAGTCCCAAGGGAACTACTTGTTAGCTATCTGCTTAATCCCTCTGCATCAACAAAACCACGTTTTATTCGTAATACGGACCTCACTCGGGACCAGCAGACGAGATTCCAGCCCTTCGAAATGGGCTAATTGGACGTATGAAGAGATCGCGACAAAGAACCTCTACTCAAACAAACAAGCTCAATTAGTCTGTAACGGGCGCATTAGTCCTCAGGAGAAGAGACCTAAGTGAGGACTAAATAGGACACTGAGAAAGAAAAACTTCAAGCTCTGGCTTCTCGAAGATGAGGTTAATCGCCAGATTCCTTGGTGACATCCGATTCTTTCTCCCTCCCGAGCTTTTGATGTATAGATAGGCAGCGATCACAATCACTTTAAACCCAATCGTTTATCGAAGGGCTAGAGTTACCTTTACTCGCTTGTTACTTCAACTTCGACCACGGCTAGAGAACTAGGAGGGTATAATATTCTCTGATGAGCTGTAGGCAACGAACAACACTTTGTGGAAGAAATGGTTAGCTATTCACGATCCCGAATCCCTTACCCTATTAAGGAGGAACCCTCACGACTGGAAACCTCGTATTCTAGGGCCAATTTGCTGGTAAACAGGACGGAGCTTCTTTCTTCTGGGCGGATTGATGGGTGGACAACAGCACGCAAGTATACATATTTCAGCCTACCTGTAGTATACTGTTTCTTCCGCGCGACCCCGACTCGGCTGTCTTCCAGCAGGACAATGCTCCATCTTATCAAGCAAAGGATACACAAGCTACCTTGCAGGCCCTAGGTGTCCCGATTCTAAGGTGGCCTGCTCATTCTCCTAACCTAACCTCGACCGAGAATGTATGGTTCTAGATGAAGAATTGGATCGAGTCTCGATACGATGTTCGGAGCCTTCCAATCGCATGTAGTTCAAGAGGCGTGGGGTGCAGTCCCGGGGGATTGGGTTTTACAATCGGCCCACTCAATGGTGCGAAGACTCGAGCTGCACAGAAATGGAGACAATATCGAGTAATCAAGATTGCTCTGTTTTTTTCGCAGAAGACTGTGCATAGTGACTCAATCTCCTACGGCATGGCACGACGGAAGCAGTTGCTGCACTAACGTCTGTGACGCTGGTGGAGTCTTAGCGGTGTTGACTGACTTGCATGGTTCGAAGACTGCAAGTTATGCACAATGGGATCCGAGTTCCAATGGGGTCCAGAACAATTGACCCCACAAAGCCAAGAATCCCTTGTGAGCGAATGCATGGAATTGCTTTGTACAGGGGTTGGATTCTACATCTTGCCGGGTCTAAAGTTTAAATCTGCAGAGAAGGTGATAAGAGCAAGGATGCCACGGGGCCGCCCTCAAATTGCTTCTCAAAGCGCCGCAATGTGTCTGGCTGCTGAGCAGCTTGAACACCGAAGTTCAATCTTGTATGAAGAAGATGCGTGTCTAACAACGCCCAGGGAGATGAAGAGAGGCGCGCACATATTCGTTGGTTGAACGAAAGGCTCTCTGCAACTGTGTTATCAGCTGTTCAAGCCACGCCCATCGCCAGCGCCAGCTGATTCTTGTCCCACCACATCATTCCTTCCACTGCTGTCGTGATTATTCATTGCTTCCCAGAGTCGCAACCACGTTGGCCTTCTCGCAGCCGCCGCCAGTCATCATTGGCAGCTTACTTTCCTCTCGGCACTGTCTCCCGGTGGCTCTTTTATATTCGGTCTCACTCGCCTTCGGGAGCGGTGACGCGATCGTTTGCACCCGTCGCTGACACAGATCGCACCGCTACCGACTAAGACCCTCTAAACGACGCCTGCCGACACGAGGGTGTGAAACCGCCTCGAAGATATCCGCCGTGGCCATCTCGAGCTTGATACTCTACCCAACACTAGCGACCGGGTGCTAGCCATCCCACCCAATTCCCGTCGCTAGCTGTGCCGACTCAAATCCTCTGATCCTCCGACCAATTTCTGGAACCACCCATCCCAATGCATTTCGCATATCCTCCCCGAAAGAAGTCGGGCCCGCCACCCTACCTGCCGCGCTCGACGAGAATACCCACGTTGCGGAAGAGTCGCCTCAAAACCATCGCAATTACATGCGTTGCAATTCTATTCGTGATATGGCTGTTCTCTGGTAGCAGCAGCACGAAGAGCAGCACGAGAAGCAGCTCACGGCACGTAATAACAGGGGAGCCGCCAGTTGTCATTGTGACTGTGTTTGACTCGAAGAGTGTCAAGGGCGATTCAGATTATAATTATATCAAGGATGTGATGGAGAACAGAGTTGCGTACGCGGAAAAACATGGTAAGTGTCCACTACCCTTGAAGGAACCATTGGATGCCGGCATTAACGTGGATAAAATAGGATACAAGACACATCTGGTCGAATTCACAGATTACGAGCTGAACGACACCCCCCGATCATGGGCGAAAGTGGTGGCCGTGAGACACGCCATGGCCAAATTTCCCGACTGCAGATACCTTTGGTTCCTCGAACAAAATGCCCTGATCATGAATCCCAACTTGAAGATCGAAGACCATGTCTTTGCTGCGAGCAAGCTCGAAGCCAACATGATCAAGGACCTCCCCGTCGTACCGCCAGACAGCATCATTAAAACATTCTCCCATCTGACGGCGGACGATGTCGAGCTTGTCGTCACCCAGGACAAGGAGGGTCTGTCGACAGGCAGTTTCTTGATACGGAATGGGGAGTGGGCCAAGTTCTTCCTCGATACATGGTTCGATCCATTGTACAGGAGCTATAACTTCCAAAGAGCAGAGACCCATGCTTTGGTATGTTTATAAGACTGTAATGTGAGCGAGTGACGAGGCCTAACTAACACTGAACCAGGAACACATTGTTCAATGGCACCCCACGATTCTTTCCAAATTGGCCGTCATTCCCCAGGATCTGATCAACTCGTACGGCACGGCCACCAAGGGCAAGGCGTACGAGAATGGAGATCTCGCCATAAGATTTGCCGGCTGCACGAGAAGTAGCTCGTCGGGCTGTGCGGAGCAGGCGAAACCATACCAATCCAAATGGCGGGAAACCTTTGCATGACAACACGGCGACGACCACCGCCAGCCAGGTAGCGATTCGCGATTCCTCCGTTCGAATATACCCTTGCGGACAGGTGCGGAACAGAAGGTGAGAAAGCGATGGGGAATACCCTCAATGAAGTCATGGGCGTTTTTTTTCTCCCCACGAAGGGTCACATGGTGCATTATCTTGGTTACAAATGAATCTAGACTAGTAGGGCGTTTTGAAACCTCGGGGGACGGTTTTGGCAACGGCTGACCGTGGCATTTACGGGTGTTCTGTGAGTGATGAGCATTATTGGTAATTCGCTACACTTAATGAGCAAAATTTTGGCATCCTGAATTACGTGAGAAGGCCGCATGTATGTGTGTGTGAGAGAAACTCGCGTCGGGTTCGTACGGGAAACAATCATATGTCGACGTGTTTAGGTTAGACTTCATATGATGGTATGAGTCCTTGGTTTAGCATCCTGGATTTTGGATGCTTTGAACTATTGAGCCTTGCTTGTTTGACTTATATGCCGGCAGCGAAATAGTTGGCCCAGAACGGCGCGATAAATAGCCAGAAGTTCGATACAATCACTATTGTGAGTTTTTGCTGGGCACTACCGGTCCGGGCAAGGAAATCATCCACAAGCCGCAGCCAGTCCACCAAGGGGATGCGGATGACATCCAATGGAGATTCTCAACTCATATAATTAACACTCATTAGTCACAGCAGGAAGAGTCGGTGCCTCATGTGACGCTCGGAATAAAGTACAGTTTCATAACGTTTTGATTATGCATTGGCTATTGATCTAAGCAGTCTTACCAGAGACAATATACACAGTACTTCACACTACCTCAAAACAATGCCCGATGGTCCTTGTTTCGACCGCTTTTGGAATACTTCTTTACACACCTCGTCTTTCCCACCGATATTTACATCAGTCAACGAGTGCGATTTGGGCCACCATGTGATCCCCCGTCAGGTAGACGACGCCCTTTATCCTATCAACACAACTCTACACCTAGACAACTAGGCCTTGTACAAAATATCCAAGAACCCCGTCGCCAGGTCGACCACGACACTCTTGTTGGGCAGGCTGCCGGCGACACCGTACAGCGCCGCGCTATCTCCCATAACCTTGCCCCTCGACTGCTTGCCCTCTACGGCCCTGACACGCTCCTTCTCCCGCTCTTCCTCGACGACGGCCTCAAGGTCAGCCACCAACTTCTCCCAGATCTTGGCGATGGGCATGGTGACAGCCACGTGGATGGCGGGCGGGCTCTGCAGCGAATTCAAATGCCAACCCTTGGCGCTCATGCCGTCGGCCAGATCGTAGATGTTGAGGTTACGGGCCGTGAAGGCGACGACGGAAACGAGCGGTCGGCCGATGATCTGTAGTTCCGCCGCAAGCGGGGGCGACGAGGTGATGTGCTCGGCGATCTTCTTGGCGGCGCCGACAATCTTCACGCAGGCGTCGATGTAGCCGGTCTCGCCCACGCGCATCATGCTGGTCCAGCACCCGGCGATGAGGGCACCTGGTCGGGAGCCGGCGATTCCGGGTGATGCGTACACACCACCGCTCCAGTCGGCGCTGACGAAGTACTGGTATGTGCGCAGCTCTTGGTTGCGGTAGAGCACGGTCGAGTTGCCCTTGGGAGCAAAGCCGTACTTGTGCGTGTCGCACGAGATGGATGTCACCCCTTTGAGACGGAAGTCGAAGAGTTCCGTCTCGAAGCCAGCTCTTTCGAGGAAGGGTACGAGGAAAGATCCCAGACAGCAGTCAACGTGCAGGGGAATGCGTCGCTTCAGGGCAAGCTTGGAGAGCGCGGTGATATCGTCTATTATGCCGTGGGGGAAGTTAGGGGCGGATCCCACGAGGAGGACGGTGTTGCTGTTGATAAGACGAGAGACGCGGTGCACGTCTACTTGATGCGAGGGTGCTGGACAGGACACGAGGTGGACTTTGATCTTGAAGTATTCGCCGGCTTTGCGGAAAGCTGTGTGCGCTGTCTCGGGGAGGATCCTGAGAGCTGAGTTAGCATTTACACAATGGTGTTGAGGGAGGCCAATGAAGTACTTACATCTCAGGCTCTGTGATGCCCCTCTCCACGTAAGCCTTCTGGCGTGCACTCAAGCAAGCCATGAGAATACTCTCGGTTCCTCCGCTGGTCGAGACGCCGGCCGCGTTGGGCGGCGCGTTGAACATCGATAGCACCATGGCCACAACCTCGGCCTCCATCTTCCTCACGCCAGGGAAGACATCAGGATGGATCGGGTTCGCGACGGTAAATTTGCCGTATGCCTCGGTCTGCAACTTCAAAAGCTCGTCCTCGCCGTGGTACACTGCGCCTGACACGAAGCCATCCTCCCATCGCGTATGGTCCATGTTGGCCAGTTCGTCGAGCTCTTTCCTCAGCACCTCCTCGTCCCAACCGTCCTTGGGGAGGGCCAGATACCTCGTACCGCCGGGCGTTATTAGCTTTCCTTGCATCTTGGAGAGCGCGTCGGTGACCTGTTTGCGCACTTGGGTCCGCACGCCGGGCGCCCGGAGGAAATACCCATAGAGAATTCGGCGGACATCGGTGTAGAGCTCGACGATAGTGCCGATCAGGCCGCGGCCTTTGAGTTTCCAGTACGATCGTCGGAGGAGGCGGAGGACGAAGAAGAAGAAGACTACATTTCGGAACCTACATTGAGGGAAAAGCACAAACCCAGTTAGCAGATGAAATGAACCTGAAACCAGCAGGCTTGGCTATCTGTGTTGAATTGGTCATGGTTATACTTACAAATCGAGGTTGAGCACCTGCAGCGGGTTGTTTGGCCGGTTTCTCTTAACACTGTTGAAGCTCTCCCGCAGGCTGATGGGCATGCGCGAGGAGCCCGGCATGATGGCGAGGAGTTTTGTCTTCATGTGATGCCTTATCAACTGCGCTCATTTGGGTCAACCCAATTGCTGTTGTGGAGAAAATGTTGGTCGTCGGGACCTCAGGGACGTTGGAGGTTTAGGAAGAGAGCTACGACGATCCTCGGCAGGAGTTCTGGGCGGGCACCTGCACCGTTTTAAGTGTTGCAATGACGGCCTCCGTCACGCGATTAGTACCCCCAAGGTCAGGGACCAGCGTTGACTAACGTTGATGGACAACAACGCCAATGGCAAAAAGAGTCCCGCATCTTTCTAACACAAAGCTACCCCATGCTCGTATTGCAATTACTAACAACCAATGCGAGTGCGATCGCGGGAGCCGAGGTTCCCAGGAAGTATATCCATGTACTAGTAGCAGACGTCCGAATCGATGCTAACTCGACCGCAATTACGTCAATTCGTCGCAGGCCACGGCTAGCGAGTCCGAGTTATCTGTTCTTATCTGATGCTTCGCTTCAGACCGCTGACAATCGTCTTCGCCATGACTGGCTAGAGGCCTGATTTCACTAAGACGCGGATGCGAGGTTCTTAATTGAAGCACAGTCGGTACGGGAGGCGACCAGGTACCACCCTGGCCAGCTTCTCCCAACAATCTGATAGGATGCGCCAAAGAGTCCTCACTCCAAGGCCCATTGTTCCACACTGGTCTGCTGTAGCACAGTTGCGTTTCCCACCTCCCATTCTCATCCAGATTCTCAACTGGATCTGGGATGCAACCGCTTGGGATCGGGAGAGCGTTGTGTTTTGTGAGGACTGTCTGCGCTCATGTCAATAAGTGAACGGTGATCAGCAAATGCCAGTAGCATTGTGTTCTTTAGTCTGTCATGGCTGCTCTCGTGAATAGAACACCAGCAGGCTGGGAGCCCCGGACTGTCGTTGCCCAGTTTGGCCATTTGCCGGTGTCAACATTGAAGTCGAACACTTCACAGCCCATATCTCCCAGCAGATACGCCGATAGACCTCCACCGTCGTGTGGGTCATCTCCTGATGCCAGGCCTATATTGTCGTTTTCACTATTTACAATGGTCCCCCTCCTGGGATCCCCCTTTTACACTTCTCTCTCACAGACGGCTTCAGCGAGAGGGCCACCAAATCGCAGACTTGGAATCAAACCCAGTAGATTCATCCCACAACTCGCGAGGAAGATGACATCCGCCGGCGCCGACGCCTTGTCGATACTGGGCCTTCGGACTGAATACACAGATGTCACAGCACGTGCATCGTGACGTGGTACTACCGATAAGCCTTCCGCGCTCACGCAAACTGCTTCAGCAAGCAGGCGTCGCTAGATAGTGCGGGCCCCAGGATCTCCGGTGCCTTGAAGAAGTTCTCGGTTGCAAAGTCAGCACGCAGACCCGAACGCTGCGATGACGTTGACTGTTGCCTCGTGCCGAAGTCGAGATTCCCGAGGCCAACCTCAACCTAAGGTCTCATCACGCTCCCCACTTACAATTGCTTGTCAAAACCTAACTCCTCAAGCCCTGAACGGAGCTTAATTTCCTCCCCACCGTGGGTTTGGTCTGCTTCGGCTGCGAGTACTTCATCCCTATCCACTACCTCCCTATCCAAGCCCTCGCCGCCGGCATGGATTCACCCTAGCGCAATAGCTCCTCCTCCTCCTGACACTGAATGCCGGCTTCCTGTTAGGTCGTCTCTTTTCCGGCGTTGTGGGTGATACAATAGGCCAGTACGACGTCGTCATCGTCGTATGGTACCTGTCCAGCTTGTAGGTCCCAGCGCTATGTGTCCCCGGTTCAACAGATGCGACGCTCATCACTTTCTCTGTGTTATTTGGTTTCTTTTCAATGCTTGCGTGTTACTTATCACGAAGTTGGTTGTGTAGATCTCGTCTATGTCGATTGTGATGTTTCTTACTACTACTGGAGGGTCGACGGCGAACCTTATCAATGGCGTTATATTGAACAGTCCGGTTAGTGGGGCGAGTCCTAAGGTGTTCTGGGGCTTGTTTTGTGTGGTTGGCACTACCTGGTTGCTGGTGGCAAGGGGCAGACGGATGGGGTGGGTGGAAGCCGTTTGTCTACTTTTAGAGAGGCTCAGGGGATCCCTCCCAGGTGAGAAACGCAGAAACCAACTGCGGTTTGAAAGGAGGATGTTTTGCTACCGCAACTATTATGATTTACTTTATTATGTGCCAGGCTGTGGTATAAATAGATGAGATGCCTTCAAATGATAGAATACCTGAATAAACTGGTCACATATACATTACATGCGCAATGTCGTCAAGACGACCGAAAGATGCATGGAGCGAAAGACTCTCATTACTCCTCCACATCATTCGTGTGAGGGACTTCCGTGACGCCTCACATGATTTCGTCAATATGCGGAAAAACAATGGTAGCACATGGACTTCCAGAGCGCACCCTTCGACAAATCCCAATTACACCCCCTCCTCCTGCTGGTGCTCAAGCTCGAGGCGAGACGTATCAGTCACCCGCCTCAAGCAAGCAACGGCACAGCTACACTCTCGCAGGAGGATCATGCTCCCTCTCTTGGGTAAATTGCTTCTCATGATACTCAATCGTGTCGCGCGTGCTCGGGGACTTAGGCGCGGGTATGTCCCGACGCAGGATGTAGTGGCCCCAGAAGTAGAAGAACTGCTTGACGCCGAAGGAGACGAAACTCCGCAAGGGAACATTGAAAACCGAATCCAGCTCTTCGAGGGTTTTCTCTTTTGTCTCAGGTACAAATAGAAGGACGAGCAGCCAGCCGATCAAATTCCAGACAGCATACCAAGAGAAGGCGCCTTGGGGCCTCCAGGATTGTACCATCGAGGGCCAGGTCAGGCTGATTACGCTCTGTAGTAGAATGGGATGTTAGTATTTGTGGTTTTGTTTGAAGAGCTAAAGTAAATGGTGGTAAGGTCGGAAGTTAGAAAGACAAGAAAAAAAAGAGGTTATGTCTCGTGGGTAGATACTCTTCATTCTGGCCCCTGTAGGGAAATTTTCACCACGGAGATAGGTTGAAAAGGAGGAATATGACTCTGGAGCAGACGATACGTACGTTGAAGAACCAGGTCGTTGCCGTGGCGAGCGACATGCCGATGGGGCGGATGTACAGCGGGTATGCTTCTGCTGAATACGTGAACGGCACCGGCTAAGAAGAAATGTTAGTAACTTGTTTGAATTTAACGCAACCTCTCGTGCTTTGGATTCTTACTCCTTCACCCGGGGAATACACCATGCCATAGAGGTATAAGCCCAGTGCGATACAAGCGACGTGTGCTTTCGAATCCTCGGGAATGTAGAAACTAAACGCCGTGAAGAACATAAACAAGGACATGAGCGGAAATGTGGTGAGCAGAAGATTTCTCCTCCCGAAGGTGTCGATAGTGTAGAAAGCCGGAAGTGCAAACAGCCAGTTGATGATGCCGAATCCGAGAGATGCGGACAGGGCCGAGATCTCGTCGAAGTTGGATTCGAGGAAGATCTCGGTGGAGTAGTAGGCAATGGCGTTGACGCCGCAGAATTGTTGCATGAACATGACTATCTCAGACGCGAGCATGGCGTTGCGGTTGCGGCGGACCGTCAGTATCTCTTTGATCTTGCTGTGACCAATGTTCATGGCCTCCTTCTCGACCTGGAGTAGGGTGTCCATGTAGAACAAGTCGCGAGCGGCCTGAACCTTTTCGTAACGCAGCTTGCAGATGGCCTCGTAGGCTTTGGAGTGACGGTTCTTGGTGAGGTACCAACGGGGAGACTCCGGGGTGAAGAAGACAATGCAGCAGACGATAACAGCGGGGATCATGGCAGAGCCCATCATAAGACGCCAGTTTAACCCGGGCACATGCGCCGGCACTTTATAGAAAGCCAGATCGGCAACGTAACCAACCATGATACCGAAGGCTGTCCACATTTGCCATTGCTGCAAATTGAACCAATTAGCTTATTTTCCATTTAATTCTCAAGTGACACCAGGACATGATTAAACCCAGGATCTCAATGTTCAGACCAACGGACTCACCATAACCAATGCTCCTCGCAGCTTTGGCGGGGAACATTCAGCAGCAAATATGGCTGTACAGAAATCAGCAATCTCAACCTCACAAAACCACGCAACATGCACAGCTCACGCGTAGTAGCCGATTTTGGACCAATTCCAAAGCCCAGAAAGAAACGAGCGATGAACATATGCCACCACGTATTGGTAAACGCTTGCCAAAAACAGGCCAACCCGGAAATAGCGCAGGATACAAAGACGGTTCCTCGACGGCCGAATACTTTGTTCATGGGTTCAGTAAGCCAGCAACCTATAAAGGCGCAGCAAATATAGGGGGCAGCTATAAGTATGTTAGTTTTGCGGACCAGCTGGTTAAAGTGGGGCTAAAACTGACCATTGACAAGGCCGACAAGCCACGAGTCTGGTAATTGTTCTTGTGTTAGCTCCCTACTACTAATTGTGGGCTGTGCTGCTGTAGCTTGTAGCCTATAGTAGGTTTGCCTCACCTCTCTGGGATTCCGCGTTGCCAATACCGAAGTCCTTTTTGTAAAATGATTGAGCACCATTGACGACCGTCTCGTCCATACCCTGCACGGCAGCGCAGAGAGAACAGATGACAATGACGGCGTACAGCATGGACGGATTGGACCACTTATGTGTGATCTCCCTATCAAGCACCTCGCGCTCGCGTTCCGTCAGGTCCGACACGGTATCGTACTTGTTCATGTTGCCGGCGATCATGGCGCCGACTCGGAAGGCTCGAATGTCGTCTTCGGCGGTAATGCCGTGCTTGCGGCAGAACTCCTCGCCCCTTTCGGCCAGCTGGTGCTGGCTGAGGCCGGCCAAGGGGTTCTCCAGCTTGGCGGAGGCTTCAAGTCGTTTTCGCTCTTCGGGATCCATTCTGGAGTCGAATAAAACTGACGGCCCGCCGGCGTCGGCGGTGTTGTCGCTGCTCAGGCGATGCTCGATTTCAGTTCGAGAAACGTCGGATTGATCTGAGTTCTTTCGCCGTGCGGGTTTCTCACCCCCAGTGGGACCGTTGTCTGGGTTCGACGCCATTTTGTAGCCAGACTGGTATTGGACCAATTATGTTGTACCTGAAGCCCCTGTAAGCTGCAGATGTTTGCCCTGGAACGGCGGTAAAACAAGCAATGCGTGAGGAATGAAGAGAGGCATGAGGTCTAGAGAAACGACGCCCAGCGTACGGCGGCGGGCGTGCGAAGCAACGTTATTTCTAGTCTTTTACACCAAAGACGAGAGAAGCGTGTTCCTTCCCCGCGGTTCATACATGCGAATAATCCTTGGGGTCAGCCTTGTAGTCAGACCATCCTCAATAATGCCGATCATCGTAATGAAGGACCAATAAGGTGAAATTCCAAGCCGTCGGTTGCGGAAATGGTAATCTCTGGTGAAGAGATGTGAGGGCTAATCGACTGGAAGGATTCCATCGACGTCATCTGTTCAGGATCCAACGCCGAGATGCCAGGGTATTTGCGGCAGAGCATCCTTTCTAGCGAATGATATTCTCAATTACCAACGGCACTGTCGAATAGAGAATTGCGCCCATGCTTAGTGGAGGGAAGGGATGACGTAAATTGTTGCGAGACGTGCTTTACCGATCACGCGACATTCAAGCTATGGCCGCAGGTTGGGCGTTCTCGCAATATGGTAACATCCCGTCAGCAAGCTGCGGTCTGCGGTCTGCAGAACTTGCAAGTCGCATGAGGTTGTTTGTCAAAAGAATGGCAGATCGAGTCCTCCATCAGGAATTAAAGATGCCATTTGATGTTTGAAAAATATATGTAGTTACCAAGCGTTATCTGCCGTGCCGTCAACATTGCCAACGCTTTCAAGCTCTTCGAAGCTTCACTAAGCCCTCGGGGTTCCTACTATAGTATTGTCGAACAGGTTTGTTCTAGCCCCATTTCTCCGGCAAACCGCGGCAAACCGACCAACTGTCTGGGCATTCGCATGTTGGCCAAGAATAGGAGTCATGCGCTATGACATATGACCCCCAGTATTTCTGTCCGCAGCTCTCTGCGATAGGAGTGATGTCGCGACAACTGTAGAAGATACGTTATACGGATAATGCCGCATTTTCCGGGCGAGGCAAGAACAAGCAGCAAAGCAGGTTGAAAAGGGTTGGAAATAGTTGCGCGTATTTGATCCTGAGGAATATGCAGTCACCACAAATCAGATCGTCGATCTAAAACTGTTTGCTTGTTTGCTTGAAATGATCGGCTTGTGCCTCACAAACCCAACGAGGTGCCTTGCGAGTACTACGTCGAGCCAGTGTCCCGATCTTGGCAGTCCCGCCACGGGCGCGGTCAACCTCACCAGAGCTGTGATGCATGCAAGCCGACGGGAGCCCCTTGGTGATAGGAAAATACAATGTGCAAATTAGTTGGCTGGCCTTGATGGTCAACGTCGGAGGAGGAGGAGGATTGACGGTGGTGAAATGCGGAAGCAAGTGCGTATGAGTTGGACCAATAGAGGGTACTTTGTGCTTTGTCGCCAACTGTTCTACCAAGAATAGAAGTTAGATGAGGCCATCTCTTGTTCCACCCTGGGACTGGAGGCCGCAAGCTCTTTGTCGTTTCATCAGCATCTTCTCATCTGTAGGGTCGCTGATGATTTCAACTCACCCGTTGCTTTGCAATCGACATACACATATAATCAGTCTTCGAATTCTCAGTGTCATAGTCGCTATGTCCAAACTTCAAAAGGTCGAGCTTGACTCATCCAATCGCAGTATTGTGTAACAGCTTGATTGGGTACCCTGATCCGCCCAGTTCCAAATGTGCATTCTTACATCATGCAAATCTTGGTTGTCGTAAGCACTGCCATAAATCCGATGAACGCGGTCGCCCCTCGGGGCAGGTCGTTGCGAAGTAGGCTCATGAGAAGAATCAGCCTGGGGTTATCTTACTCCTTGTGATGTGTGTTCGCGTCGCTTTGGGTGTAGGCGTATTGAGCATTTCGGTGTCTTGCCTCCTTGCTCTCTTGCGCTTCAGAGCAGACCAGTCGGCCTTCCAGCTCTCAATGCTGTTGAGCAGTTCCGGATCCGCATCCTCGGGCACATAATTGAGACATTGAACCTCGATCGCCTTGAGCTGGATTTGAAGGTTCAAGATTTCCATTTCGCCATCGTTACGTTCGCACTCACTTCCAGGAGTCAATAATAATGTAACAGGGGCTTTCTCTAGAGTCGATGCTTACAGTTCATTCACCCGCCCCTCGAGATAAATGATTCTCTGGGCTGCTCGCTCAAGCCTGGTGATCAAGAGGTCGTGGATATGCTGAATTTGAGTTAGCACGTGCTAAGTAAATGCAGTGGGGAAATACTTGCGTCCCGCTCCTCCTGTCGCGCTTTCAAGCAGGAAACAACTGTCTTTAGTCCTTCGTTTAGCTTTTGAGATTCACCTAAAACTTGCTGCATGCGCCGGCTCGACGTGCTGGAGACTGGATTACTCTTTGGCTCTGTTGCCTTCCCCTTAAGTTGCGGGCTCAATGAGTTCTGGGCGGACGGGTTGCGGTGCCCCGTTGAAATGCCAGAAAGGCACGATTGGGTCTTGGACATGTTTGGCGGCCCAAGTGACAGACCATGACCATTGACGCGGTTGTTGATGGAAGGTGAGGTAGGCCAATGTTTCAGCGATTTTGTGCTTGACGTTTGGCCCAGGACTTTCTCCATCTCATCTACAGTCGCATGTAACGAGTCCAACCTGTCGTCTTGCACGCCGTCATCATCTGCTGCTATCCTGGCAGTAAGATCATTGAGCCTTTGAATGAGTACGTCCTTGCTATACTGCGTGCTGTCTTGATATTCACTGTTATCGGCAGCTGAGCGGGGAGAAATGGAAGACATGACGCGAGGCGCAGAGACTTGGCGGCGCAGGGGCGACGACGGAGACATGCCCATTGAATACAGACTCAATGAAGGAGAAGCCGGTGGGGAGGGGGTTGGTGTTGCATCTCCATGATATTGTGGCCTGGTTGGGTTTTGAGGCGTTTGTGGTGTGGCGGCATGTCGCGAATTCTCGAGCATTAGATTAGATGGATTAGATGTAGCTCCTGGATTGAGCAAACGACTTTGAGATATACTGAATGAGGCACAAAGGCTCGCAGCTGGACGTCAATGTGTGGACTGTGACTAGTCAAGGATGATCTCTCGATTGGCTTGTGGAGGTACCCAGGATGTCGCAAGATGTGGGAATATGCACAGTGTCGGAGCATAGTCATGTATCAGGTTTACGCCTGATAAAGGGAACACAATTGGTGCATATACGGTTTAATACTATATAAGATGGAGCAACAGCAGTACCTACGGACAATGGTGTTTTCTTACCATGCTTCAGTACCGAGCCTTATGATGATTTAAAATGTTGTCACGCGATCCAGTAGCAGAACATACCTCACGCGCTTCATCTCAATAGTGTTTTATCTGCATTCATAGGTACTATGAAAGTGGACAAGCTGGGCGTTCTCTTGAGTTTCAATGAGGAAAGTGTGGGGAAGTGCAGGGACCCCGCGCCTAGAACAGCGTGAACTGCGTCACAAGTTAGGCCCAAAAAGGCCTCTCAGTACCCCGGCAAGTGTCCGGTAAAGCAATCATGTGCTTCCCATTCGCCCTTGACCCATAAGTACCGGGTGCGTTCATTCAATGTCCCGCACATCCATCACGAGTGTCCTGGTTCCATATTAAGGTTACTTAAGTACTCTGCATGTGGACAATCGCTGTAGAAGATTTGGCCTTTGCTATAGTGATTGCATAGAGTGATTGTGCTCGAGAAGTCATTGTGAAGTCGACAGCTCGGTATAGCCTCGGCATTGTTGCTGTAACCGTTCTCTGTCATAATACCGCGGGGTTCAGATCATCAACTGCACTCGGCAGCTTGTAACTGGCTTTGTGCTCTTCTCGCTTTTTATCTTCCTTGTTGCCGAACTCTTGCACCATTCCCACGACCACAGCCACCACCACGACCACCTGCAATTTATAACAGATGGCCGCCAACGTCGATTGCAACTGTATCCCTATTCATCAGTAGGACCGACCGACGAGCTTCTCGCAACCGCTGTTCCAGTGACGAGAGCGTCGACGTTCGCCCACCATGTCGTGGAAGGCGTCGGAGCGCTTGATGGACACCATCAGGCACTATGCCAACTTCCCAGCAACAGGAGTCAGCTTGCGGCAGATGGTGCAATTTGGAGAGAGGCCTTCAACGGGTATGCAGCGTCCGTAACAATGTCTCTATTGTCACTGTCACCTTGCACTGCGTTTCTAACCATGCCTTTCTTCACATGCAGGGACCCTCTTCCGAGCCTCGCAATTCCTTGCTGAAGAGCTGCCAATTCGACTTGCGCACCGAGTGCAAGAGCTCAACGATCTTCCTGATGGGCTTAATGAGATGCCATCAGTCAAGAAGGTGAAGGACTGGTATGCGCAGTCGTTTGAGGTATAGAATATTCATCCAATGTGCTTGTCTCGACTTGCAATGGAAGTGACTCAGCTATCTGACATGTGAACACAGGAGATCACAACTCTACCGCGACCCGACCTAGCCAAAGAAGTACGACAACGTCTCCTCAGACCTGGCAAATTCAATGGCAGAAACTTGTTGTCCGAAGCGACGCCAAACCCCAGTATTGAGGAGGGCCAGTACGCGTCCTTGCCCGTCGGTAGCGCCACCCTCACCAAGAAACAACAAGCTACGAGGAGATATTTTGCCATGGTTGACGACAGTAGTGACTGGCCGCCAGATTTGCAAGCATACAACCACAAATTCTCCCACACGCTCAACAAGATCAAGAGGCGGCACGATGGCGTCGTCACGACGATGGCCCAGGGCATCCTCGAATACAAGCGCAAAAGGCAACGAATGCAGATTGACAATAACATTCAGTCCTTCTTGGACCGCTTCTACATGTCGCGCATCGGCATCCGGATGCTTATTGGGCAACACATCGCCTTGACTGACCAGAGCCATCACCGAGATCCGACCTACGTCGGCATTATTTGCACCAAAACGAATGTTCGGGATCTCGCGCAAGAGGCCATCGAGAACGCTCGCTTCGTCTGTGAGGACCACTACGGTCTGTTCGAAGCGCCCAAGATCCAGCTTGTCTGTAACCCCAACCTCAACTTCATGTATGTGCCAGGCCACCTGTCACACATGCTCTTCGAAACCCTCAAGAACTCTCTGCGGGCTGTGGTCGAGACTCACGGCCAGGAGAAGCAGGAATTTCCAGTGACCAAAGTCATAGTCGCCGAGGGCAGAGAGGATATCACCATCAAGATCACAGACGAAGGCGGCGGGATTCCCCGAAGCGCCATACCCCTGGTCTGGACTTACATGTATACTACGGTCGACCGCACGCCCAATCTCGATCCGGACTTTGACAAATCGGACTTCAAGGCACCCATGGCTGGATTTGGCTATGGTCTACCTATTTCACGGCTGTATGCTCGGTACTTTGGTGGTGATCTGAAGCTAATCAGTATGGAAGGGTAAGTCTCAAATCGCGTTCTACTGGCTTCACAAACTAACCTGGCTTGCAGTTACGGCACAGATGTCTACCTTCACCTCAACCGACTTTCGAGCTCGTCAGAACCGCTCCAATAGCAATCAGCAGTCATGAGGGAGTGGTTATCCCAAGGATTGGCGTCTAAGGTTAAGAAGCGGCTGAAGGGTGTGGAGATTTCTGAGCGGAAGCAAGTTGGCGATACTGCATCTATGGTGAATTGCAACAGCTCGAGGTTTAGCCTCGATGAAAGTGGTGGCCAGCTCTGATGTTAGAAGACCTATCGTCGAGCCAAGTGGGCCATTGTCGAATCTTGACGTCGTAATGACAACCTCAGAGGCAATTGTATCAGTTGCAAGTTGGATGACTATACGCCGGTCATGACAGGCAATGGAAATAGCGTGATGGCGGCGGGAAGAGAAGATCCGGTTGGACACGAAGTCCTGCATTATCTGACGACTAGACGGTTTAAGCGGCGACTCACTATGGCAAGCAGGATTGCAATAACGAAACACTATTGTAGCATGGCTACTTGTCCCTACACAAGTGGGAATCTAACACAAATATTGGGATAGGGAGCAGCTTTGAATTGAGCATGGTTACTATTACCAGCATCGCATCAGCCCTGTTGGACGAACAGGAGGAAATGATACGTACATTGCGCCAATCAACAGGCCACTCATTACCAAGTTCTGCTCTGGTAAGTCTTGTTTCGAACCCGACAGATAGATCAATTGACAGGAGTAAATGTATAATCCCATGTCACCAGTAGCTACTTCACTTACCCTGCCCGTGATATTCGGATAAGCAGTCGGGCACAAGAAAGTGGTCAACTAAGTTACCGAAATCGTTTTACGATTTGACTGGCATTCAAAGGAGCGCGTATATAGTTTTCTGTTTCACATTGCCCTTGAGTTTTTCTTTCCACCATTGCTCACCCAGATTCCTTGGAAAGTCGAAAATACATGCGACGAGCAATCGCGTACAATTAAGTCAGTCTCATAACCTCATACTCGTTAAGCCGTAATCCATAACCCCTAACCTATGCACCGTATCCCATCAGCAAACATTCCAGTCATTTTTAATGTCACAGAACCTCCCAGCATGCAGACTAACACGATCCAACATGGCAACGGTATACTTTACCTCTGAACCCCTATCGCCCTGAATCAGTAAGCCCCATGACATCCACCTCCAAACCCCCTCGTCCCCGCCCCCGCCTTCTGGCTCCTCAAAAACTCCTCCCAAGTCGGCCCCCGATCACCCTCTCCACCTCCCATATCCCGACGTTTCTCTCGTTCCCGCAGCAACTGTTGTCTCTCAAGCCTCTTCTCTAACCCGGTCCCAATCCCCGGCGACATGACGGCTCCACCACCACTGGTCCAGTGAGCATTGGATACTTCCGAGAAGCCCCCTACAGCCGCACTGCTTGACCACTTCTCCTCCGATGTCATCGCCGTGGATGGCTCGCGGTGTACCTGTCCCGTCCCATGGTCGAGAGAGGGTGAAACGGAGGCAGATGAGAAGGTCGACGGGGTGAAAATCACCGTTGAGGAGGGACTGCTCGTCCTCACGTCTGGGACCGAGGAGCTGAGAGCCCTCAGGACGGGACTGCGGTTTGCCAGGGGTGGAGGGGGAGGGATGGACGACACTGAACCGCGGGCGCCCATTGGTGGCGGCGGCTGCATGGCGCTGTTTGCCGACGGCGTGCTTGGCTGGGAAAAGGAGTTGCGGTGATGGTGGTGATAATATGAGTGCGAATGCGGGTATGATTGTGTGCGGGACTGGCCTGGGCGGGCTGCTAGGCGGTCGGGGGGGACCTTAAGGTCGATGGGTGGGACGTAGTCGTAGTCGTCGTGTCGGTGGCGGACGGGTTTTGAGTCACTGGGGGGACCTTGGTTGGGATTAAATGCCGATGATGTTCTTCTGTCGGGTTCTCTGTCCCGGTCTCTCTCTTGTTCTTGGTCCTTTTCTTGACGCCGCTCTCGAGATGATTCATCGCCGATGGTATGCAGTGCGCCCGGCGTAAATCGTTTCCGACCTGTCTTGGAATCGTATCCCTGGTGTGACAATTCGTCTCCGATAGTATGCAACATCGGCGGCACGTACTTTCGTCGATTGTGTCGGGTACTCGAAGCGATAACCCTTTTATCCACTGTGGCAGGTTGCAGACCGGCTGGCCCACCACCACCGGCAGCGGACAATTTCATATCTTCCACGAGATCGTCGATGGCGCTATATAACAGCTTCCTTGAGTTTGCATCGTGTTTGGCCGGTAGGAAACTACGTGTGATAGATTTCGGAAGCCGATCCGAGGTGCCATCATCCGCTGTGAGATCCACGTCCTGGACGATCTTCTCAAGCCGACGAGATTCTTCGTTTGGATATGCTAGTATGCATAGCGTGATGTACTGGGCAAACCCAGCTGGTGTCAGAGCTGGTACCAGTGGTTTGTACCTCGCTTCGTGGACAAGGTGGTGTTCGCAGTCGAGATCAGAGTAGAAATCAGAAATGCGGTCGTTTGCATCCTTTGCTTTCGACTTGAAGATGTCTACGGTAATTTGAATTCAGCTACCAGATACTTGTTAGAGGGTGTACGCAGCAGCATACCATGGAAGGGAAAGACTTCCGAATCCAATCTATAGTTTGAGTAGAACAAGCCGAGCTTATCCGGGGTGATGACCAGGCTGTTCTTTGGCGGGTATTCTTCAATCTAGAAAGACAGTCAGCCACCTTTATCACCGGCATTATACCTGTGCGGGAGACTTCACCTACCATATACTTGGCGAGACCTCTCAGGACTTGTCCTAGCCTGTGAGTAGCATACCCATTCTCATCAAATAGCTCACCCCACTGTGATGGCAATTCAGCACTAGAACTAGTTCTTCTCCAGCCCCCAACCGGACGCTTAGAAAAAGTCCGGGAAAAGTGTACACCTTTATGGGGTACAGGAATAGAAGCTTCAGCAGTCGTGTTTGTAGAGCTCGTAAAGGCAAAGGCACTGACAGGGCTGGCGGCCGCCGAAGAAACCACAGAGCCCGATGTACTCGAGACTGCATGTTGGACAACGGCAGAGCCCGGAGCGCTCGATATCGACGAAGGGAAAACGTTGTGTCCATGCAGTTGATAGTATCGCTGAAAACTATCGCCGACTATCCCTTACTTAGTATCAAAGTGGTGAACCCTTCTGACGCAACTTGCCTTCTTCACGGACAACCAAACGTATTTGTTCCAACACATCCAACGACAATCTAGTGGTCCCAAACATCGGCTTCAATGAAGGAACCGGAGTTGTTTCATTCGAACCATCCCCTTTATCCCTTGCCGAGGATGATGGGACTTCCGTCTCGACGGGTGAAACTTGGGTATCAACAGTTCCCTCGCCTCTGGACTGTGGAGAGATATCTTCTTCCACGGCTTTGGGCTGGGTATGATGAGAGCTTGGATTATTCCAGTCCATGATTTGTAATTTAGGACGGGTAACTCTCTGCGAGCTGTGGTCGTGGTCCTCGGTCATATTCGCCAAAGGGTAAATTGGGGTTCAGTTCGAATAATTACAAAAGGAATCAACCAAAAAAGACGCGAAATATTGCAAACAAAGGGGAGCCCCTGCCTGACTAAAAAGAAAGCGAGAGAGAGAAAGAGGAGCATGTTGGTGTTTTGTATCCACCGATCTAGAGCTCTAAAGCAGATTTTGCACAAATATCTCTGTTTGATTCGCTGGGTGCGATATGAGCTGGCGTCGAATAATCGAAAAGCAATCAATATCCGTTGCAACCAAAACTCATATAAGTCGGGCAACAAAAAATGGCACCTCGTGAGGATCATCCCTGCACCTTGGCCCGTGAGATTCGGGAAGAAAGGTGTGCACGACAGCTTTCCGTGTTACGTTATCGGGGACAGACCTGGTTGGTGAGACTACTTGCCCTCTTAAGTGCATGTTCCGCTATCACACGAGATTGGGCAGGAATCGCTCTCAAAGATCACCCAACATGCGAGGTTGTTTCGTGCCGATCATCCCATTGTCGATTCATCATCAATTATACGTTGGCACTTGATGCACTCGAGAGCCCAGCTGTCAACAAAGGAGATCTATTATCATGCATCTGCATTTGTGCTTCCCTATTGTCGGATATCTCGTGACTGCAGAATAGCCATGGGCGGCCTCGAAACATGGCGAGATGGCGAAAATCCATCGAGGAAAGCACCCAATTTGTATTCTGAAGTTGGCACCAGGTCAACAAAGGAAAATTTTGGGGGAAGTGTAATGAACTAGAAGATCTGATGAAACGAGATCGACTAGTACCAAAGACATGGTAGAGAGAGGGGGGAAGTGCCTCTTCGGGCGATTGATGCATGACGGGTGATGTAAGTCGGGGTCGCTCAACTGCTGCTGTCTAGCAGTAGTCTTCGTCACTGTCATAGGGGTCATGGGGGTCATGATCCAGGATGCGCTCCCCAGTCGTGCTGCCGAAGTTGCGATTCTCGTGGAACGTCTTGCGCTGATCCTGTAGACATAGTGAGAACTGATGATTTGGGGATGTTTGAAAGCAAGTTTCAACAAAACACTTACAGGTCTTGCCCAGCCATTCTTTTCAGGCCTTGATTTGATGTTGTATCCACCGCCCGTGGTTCTAGTGGAAGATGTGCCTGCTTGGGATGGAGCCGTGGTCTTTTCCATGGCATTGCCGTCAGGGCCATAACCGATGAAGGTCTTAGAGGCTGATTCGCCGACGCCACGCTTGCCTTTGACTGACTGGGAGTAAGTAGACATTGAGTCGATACCGGCTCGAGAGTCACTAGAAGCCACCGAACGGGAACCTATCTGACCAGAAGTTCGTGAGGGAGCATGCTGATGGGGGAGGACAACCGAGCTGATGCTTCCAGGTCGAAAATTCTGTTGCGGCATGTTAAAATCTACCGACGCCGCTACGGAGCTTCTATCGGATACCTGACCAGCTGTGCTGGGTTGACCACCCGAATGTCTGAGGTGAGGAGGCACCCAGTTCTCTTTGCTCTCATATTCGACTGACGACGTCTCGGTCATCATCGCCGAGCCGGCAACACTGGGCACACGATTGCCGTCATCAATTGAGAGTGACGCAATAGACTCATTCATATTTTCAGTTGGCTTGACCTGGGTGATTCTGATGGCGTCCTAAAAGAATTAGCCAAACTTCATATGGGCAGTGTCGGGTATGACTTTACATCACTGTCATCACTATCGAACCCAAAGTCGTGCTCATCGTAATCGTAGCCGCGAGTGTTGTGAATAGCCTCGGGACCACCCTCGTCCTCATAATCGGTGTCTTCGTCATCGAAATCTTGGTGATCAGCAGCGTTTTCGTCCTTCTCAAATCCGATCGCCTTCTCAACCTGAGCGTGCACCGAAACTCCGACCATCTCATCAGGGGAGACCTGGCCGTTGGGGGCAGGCAGAGGAACGGAATCATAGTCCTGCTGCTCCTTCCATCTTACGCAGCCGGCACACCACTAATACATCGTGAGTTAAAGGAGACATCGATTTGTCAGAAATAACCTACCCGAAGCTTGTTGCGTCTTTGTGAGTGGCTGAATTTGTCTCTGGCCTTCCAAAGGCCGCAGGGGCCATGACACTTCAGCTCTCGGGCAGGTTCACCGGAGTGCTTGCGGCAAGTCAACTTAATATTGAAAGGAGTGATGCCATCATTGTTGCTTTTCTTAGTGTTGTGCCACTTTGCCAGTTGGTTGTTGGAGAACGCGGTCGGGGGCTCCATTTTCCCATCAACGGCGCATCGGAACCTGCGTGGTGTCAGTTTTTGATCGGGTAGAAGAGGCTGAGCAAACTTACCTCTCCGGCAGAGGGAAATTGCGGCCGCTATTTCCTGGTCAATACATTATTCCATAATCCCAGACGTGCTAAAATACTCACCGTTTCACACCAAAGTTTTGGAATTTGGACTTGCCCGCCATCTTGTTCAGTGTTGACGGTAAAGATGGGTCTCGAGACGTGGACGGATGGTAGCCTAAACAATGTGGGTTATGAAACTCACATTCGAGCGCAACGCTGTCCCAATGTACGGAGATTACGCGTTGTTCCCAATTTAAGAAGTGACGCGAGAGAGAAGTAAGGACCCTTGAGCTTGAGACCCGATCACGGTAGAAAGGAGCCGCGATCTGGAAGGCAGAATGGAGGTGGGGAAATATGTGTTCTTCGTACAAATTCCAGGACTGTTTAGGGAAGGGAAAACTGTTAGTCGGTATTGGTCATAGAAATTAAAGGTGTGCAAAAAGTGGCAAAAAAACAAAAAGAGCCTACTGATCGGCCAGACAGACGTGAGGAAAGGCTGATCTAGGGGGGGGCTCAACGTGACTTGCTGGGGTAATTGAAGCTTGACCAGGAGAGGCTGGAAATTGTCGATTTTAGTATTAGGAGATAATGGGCCAAAGGGGCGTATTTGTTGATGTGGTTTGCAGTCCACGGGTCATATCAGAGCAGGACACCTTGCTTCGAGATGAGGTGAAGGTTAAGGTATTGCTGCAAATATGGCCAGAAACGCTTGAGAAGGGTATACTACTTCTGGGGAGACTGAGTGCTTTGAGTACTCTAAAGGTCAGGTAGACAGAGATTGCAGGTGTGGAGTTTTGAACTGCTCTGTTAGAGTGCCCAAGCATTGTCTGAGGCGAGGTGGTCTTAGGTTAATGGCGGGTTGGGAAGGAACAACCAGCTGCGTGCAAAGTACCGTTTGGATCGTTTGTGTTGCGGCGGCGGCCATTTTCTTCGCCCGCACCTGTCTTGCCAGCTTTTTCCAGCTTTGAAGGTAATGTAGGGAAGGCACTGTAGCTACATACAATGCGCCAAAATATTGCTGCGGGCTTCGAAGTAGTCGCAATGTCTTGCTTGCATTACGCTAGAGAGGACGAGGGTGAACATTCAGCCCAATATGCTGACCGAAGAACGCTTTGGAGTTGGCAAATAAGCCATTCAAACCAGCACCATTTTAAGGCAGCTTGACTCTGTTGGCATTCAGAACCTTGAAAGAATACTTCACATTAGGAAGGCGACAGACAGAAGGAGAAGCTGCAAGTGTTCAAATGCGGCCCTTCCTAGCCTCTATGCTGCTCCCCTTGTTCGCGACAATCCCTTTCTATACCATCATTATGCAGCAATACCACATTAGGCTGCGCAGGTTTAAGTGAAATCATGTATATCTTCAGGGTATTTGTTCTCGATATCTTCCAAGTTATGCAATACTTCAAAACAAACATATGAGCGGAGCATAATCAGAGCGATGGGACGTATTGACATCTACGATGCTAACCAAGAGGACAACAAACTCATTGATATGCGTATTGCCATTGCATGCTCCCGATGACAGTGCCCATATGGCCCTACACTGTTGCAACCAAACGAGACGGAGCCTTTCCATCTGGCATCCGTGGATTTCCGGAGATCCAAGCCGAGCGAGAGGGTAGCACGACTCGAGTGAAGCTGTGCGGTATCGTGGGCCTGACTTGCTTGTCCCCTTTCGAGAGAAGCCGGGACCCTAGGGGTGACTGCACAAACCGACTTAAGTGAAACCTAGAGACCAAAGTGTAGACTTTGACTTGACAGACGAATCTCCCGCTGGTGCTGTGTTCGCAATTTGTTAATACAGTCCGATAACATATGAGGTTTCTACAATATCTAAGCAACTGCATCCAACCACCCCATCAAGATCTCTATATTCGTTACATCAACAGCTCTTAGTGCAGCCCCAGCTTACCCAACCCACCATGAGTCATTAATCTTTATGTACAGATTTCTCTCCGCTTTTGTACAAATATATGTGGAAGGTATGTTTCGCGTATCGGGATAAAGCCTCTCCATCAATCCGGTCAGATCAGCAGAGTCTCTATCGATATCATACTCCCATCCAATCCTTTCCCCAGTCGCCGCCCTCTTCTCCCGGGATACTCTGCGCGTCCCAGTCCTTTTCGAGTTTCCATGCATCTTTACCTTCGATGCCCAATTCGAGTAGGTTGCACCCCCGGTGACCCCATTTCTCCGCGAAAACTCGTCGTCCCGCATCGATGAGCATGTTAATGCCTTGTTCAAATCCCTCGGGGTGGTGGTGGAATGGTTCACCCTCGCCGCCGCTTTGGCGTGCTTGCTGTGAAGAGTCAGTACGCCACAAAGCCATGGAAATGGAGCATAGCAGGAAGCTGATAGCGCATTTCTGAGGCTACCAAATGTATGTTGCTTTTGTTTTTTTTTGTTTTTTTCTTCTTTTGGAAATGCCCAGGAGAAAGAGGGCTAAGGGAGTGACGGCTGTGCTTACCCAAGAATTTCTGAATGCACCACGGCCAACCCATTTGGCTTCTTGCATCCTGCCAGCAACTTGCACGAGATGCTGGTACGTCTCTCCCTCCTTGTCCACCCACGACTTCATCTCTTGTTCTTGTCTTAATTCGACCTCCTTGCCGGGTCGCTCTGGAATCAATGCCTCAAGAGCTGCGTCACCACCAAAGGTGGCATGCGAACCAGGCAATCTGAAGAGCGCACCCACGTCATCCAACGACACACTGACGTCGAAAATCAGGCCCGCCTCACTTTGCGGCTGCCAGTATCCTGCCCAATGGAGCCGCAGGTACATATCGCAGTCACTGGCGTAGAAAGGTATATGGGTGTCCCAGGCGCCGACGTCAAGCATCGCATCCCGGTTGACCAGCGTCAGATGGTCATACGCAAAGAAATGCGTCGCCCATGCCGGCATGTCTGGCCCGTTGAGATACCTCAACAGCCCCACCGCTCTCTCGTAAATCGTCGCGTAGGGGTCGTGATCGTGATCGTGGTCTCGGTCTTTCTTCCTGACCTCCTCGTCAGAGAAGACGATGACATCCTGGTGGCTCCAAAAGAAGTGCTCCCAGCCTCGCTGTAATGATGTATGCAAGTAGAAATTCTGCAGCTGGGCGAAGTTCAGCAATGTCGGTGTCATCAAGACGTGTACGCCCAGTGTCCTCAGCTGGGTGTGGTTAAGGAAGAAGGGGTTTTGTAAACTCAGTTCGGCGTCCTTGTTGGAGCGGAAGGTTCCTGTGTTCTCAACGACGTAGATGTCGGACGCAGGCCACCCGGCCGCGATATAACTGCAGACACACTGCAGCAACATCGGCCAGTTCCGTGTGAAGCCGATGAAAAGAGGCGTGTGTTCTGGCACATGAGGGTTCGGTGGTAGATTGTTGGGCAGTATCGGTGGCATTTTGTTGTGTTTCGTCAACCAAGGGAATGGGTCCTCAATCGGCGCATACCGCTCTCCAGGCTTCTTATAGATTTTCGCCTTGGGCTTCTGTTCTTGCAATGGCGTCTGTCCCTGACGAATGCCCGCTGCTGCACCCACCAAGCCGCCGTTGCCAGCAGCAGCACCTCCATTACCCTCTTCTCCTTGTGCTGCGGGGATTTTGTTTGGGCCGAGTGCATCTTCGCCTTTCCCCAGGGCGACGTTGGAGTGCGAGAAACGGGATGCGACAGGTGAGCGCACGATGAAGTAAACCACTAGAGCCGCAAGAAGGACGACGCCGTAGCGCGAAAAGAGCGGCACGAGCCGACCGCTTCTCATTAACATGTTCCTCGTCCAGTATTTATGTCGCCAATGACATGGCCGTCAAGGGGTAATTTCTGGCTGAATACGGGACCGCAGTGGACCTTGGGGTACCAGTTACAAGAAAACGGGACAGAAAATAACCGGAGGCAGACTATCAAAGGGCGTCGTCGCTAACGAAAGGACAGCATGGTTTGAGAGACCTTCCAGCTCAGCAACAACTGGGACCGCGCAAAAGACAGGCGGGAGAAAATGTAACGAAAGAAAAGTGAACAGGGCCCCCCTAAATTCGAAACAGCACTGACTTATCTACCAAGGTGGATGTGGTCGCCAAGCCGGTAGATCGCTGTTCTCCAACTGCAGGTGCGTCAATGATTCGTCCGCGAGCAATCTCAGGTATGAGCAACATGACATTGTTGGTCCGCCCAGGGATAGATTGCAGCTCCAGTACAGGCTGATTTCGCATTCCACCTGCGGATGCTTCAGGTTCTGCCACGGGCGGAAAAGCGCGAAAAGGGCTGGCTTGGGGTTAGATTCTTAGCGGGCCATTACGAATCCACCGTTGGCTGGCTGTACCCACTATGGTGTGATTAAACCCCCCAAAGACCAACAAGCAACGTGGGATGATCTGCCAGGGGGCCCCCCGAATCTCCGGGTTACAGAATTACAGGCCAAAAAAAAAAACCAAAAAAAAAAAAAGAGGCGACGTTGCAACTCGCCTTTCATCGGACGGTCTGACGAATAGATTTACATTTTCGCGCTGCAGGTCCGTGAGTTTTTGCGCCAATCCTATCAGCACTTGACCGCCGCCGCCGCCGCCGCAAGAAACGCATCTTAGAATGGCGGGAACCCCTGTTCCTGGTGGAAATTGCATACACCCGGGCGAGATCTCCTGCTTCAAACGGGTCAAGCGCATAAATAGGACTTGGGGAAACTCGACATTGCAAGGGAAAAATGTCGAATCGATACGAACTGATGCCAAAGATGATGAAGCTAACAAGATGTCGACAAGGCCAAGAAAGCTTGAATTTCGAGATCTGGTTGTCCCTGAATGGCTATGAGGGATCCTGGCTTTGTGGGCCTTGTTTCTTGCCAGTAGGCTGCGTTGCCGTCGTCGTGGAATTGGAATAGCTTATTTGAGGATCTGCCATCCCATACTGAAATAAAGTTAAGCTACAACCTTCACATCACGAAGGGCCATGGCTTGGGTCTGAGAAGGAGACACAGCATCCGAAAATCCCGACGGTTCGGCCATATCCCCTTATTACTTGCGCCAGTGGGCTGATGCCGCCTTTTAGCCACTCGGGTCGGAAGTGGTCATCTAGTTTTACCTAGATAGGAAATTGTTGAGCACCTGAATTAGTAAGTGCATTTCACCGCAGTCAAGCTCAGATTCCTTGGTTAGTGCATGCACATGTGGAACTACCTTTGCTTGAGCATTCTAAACCACATTCGACATGACCTATCAGTACCGCCCAGATGCTCAGGGCAGTTCATGAACGAGGACAGTCTGGGGGAAATTGGAGGGACTACAGAGTGCATGATGTATAATATCATGTTATATATGTGAAGGCAGTTCCCGCGGTAGTATCCCGTCAGCCTGCCTAGCTCCTTGGGGTCTGCCCTGCTGGTATACATTGAGTATTGCCTTTAAGACCGCCAATGAACACCAACTCGTTACTCGCCCACGTTGGTAAAGGCCATCGGCGTCATTAAATGACATGGAAACACCCGCTGTATGTAGGCACAACATCCCTCTTACATCCATCTGGACCGATCACAGGAATACGCGAAATGCATGGTCGCACATCTTGGCGATCTACCCCCACGGGCAAGGCTTGCGGGACTGCCATAATTACGATCGGCTCTCCTGCAAGATGAACATGGGGGTAGTCTTTGTTTCTTTAACCCATTTGGAGCGCAATGAAATGGTTAGCACGAGGGCTGTTTCGTCGAGGGCTGAGTTGATACCAGCCAAGGTGGAATAGGTTGACATAGATGCCGTTTCATTGTATCAACGAACTTGACAGCCATGAATGCAGACATTCATGAGCATGCCTCGAATTTCGGACCACGGGCTCTTAATTTCAAGAAGGAGATTTGAACCTTCGTAGGGTCTTGAAGGGCGCAGGAAAGATTACTAATTCCCTTGATGTCTTCCGTACAGAGTCTTCGGCCAAAATTGCTTGAACTGGCAGGAACCCCTTCGGCCGTGCATGCAATCAGTGTTAACTGTGATAACACGAACTAAGATACTTAGGGTAATTTCGGCGCTCAAGGGGGCCCTTGTACCTTATAGGGGATTGTTCCAAGTGTGGCAGGCCCGAAGTATCTCAGACAGTGCAACCGCGAGAATTCCATATGGCTGAAGGTGGCCCGCTAGTTCACACACTTTTGGCCGGGGGCCGGAGACGATGTTAAGCATCTTTGCAAGACACTTTACGTAGGCCTCATTGGCTGCATTGTGCACTACTCGTTCCCGGCGTGTGCAAGAAGACGCAACGAGCAGCTCGCCTAGCTCAACACCTTGCATTTACTGTATATGAAAATTCGCCACGCTGGACGGGCTGTTGGTTGTCGTCCGGACCGTCTAGTGATGACCAGGAATCTGACGCGGCGGGCCGATTTAGCTGCGGCTGTTACCCCAGGAACAGGAATTACAGTGCCATTGCTAGACCCGACAATGAGTTTCACGATGGAGCAAGGGGCCCCCAATAAATCAGGGGCAAAAGATTTAAATACCCTGCACAACCCCTGTAAAGATCTATTTACCCTGCCATTTTCTGCCGCTTTTCTCTCCACATTTCCGCCATGCTTTCTGACTTCATGCCTCTGGAATTAGCATACGACTACTATTCCTCAGCTCAACATGACGTCGCTACCCCTATTATCTATTCCTATTGATGGACAAGAGTTCCTTGACCTTGATACTCTATCGCTTGCCCTCGACAACTGGGCTGTAAAGGAGAAATTCTCTTATCGGGTTGAGCGGCGAGATAAGACCCGTGGCTCCTGGGTGTGTGCCTCTGCGTTAAGCGGCTGTTTATGGCGCTGCCGAGCAACCTATTCCCCTAGTGAGGATATCTGGCAGATTCATATTCTCGAAACGGAGCATAGTTGTAGCGGAGCTGCAAGGCAAAAAATCTCCTCTGCGTCTAAGAAAGACTGGTTAGACCGTATTGTCGCTGCCAATATAGCAGTAACACAGCAGACCCCCCCCCACAACAAATACTCGACCTCCTCCGTATCCAATTCGCTGAAGATATCGACTATAAGAGAGCTCAAGAGTGCCGGTTGCGACTACTCGACGGAGATATTGGCAAGCAACGACATAGCTTCCAGTTACTACCCGCTTATAAGGAGCTCTTAGAGACCATCTCTTCTGCTATCCATATCGACTTACTTCGAGACCGCCATCAACGTTTTGAACGAATATTCATTTGCCCTGCTGAGAGCCGCTCTACTTATACCCGTTGCTGACGTCTCCTCGTTATCGACGGATCCTTCTTAAAGGGTCGTTTCATCCTTACTCTATTGCTTGCCGTCACGATCGATGCGAATGGCGAGACTATTATCTTGGCCTGGGCGGTAGTCGAGTCAGAAAATAAGTCTTCTTGGACATGGGTTTTACAGCACCTTCGTTGGGCTATCCCAGAGGTCTCAACAGAGCAGAGCACAGTTCTATCAGACCGAGATAAAGGACTCCTTGACTCGGAGAAGGTCCTCGGTCCGTTAGCTACAGGGGCGTGGTGCTGTCATCATATTAAGGAGAATTTCACGGGAAAGTTCGGGAGAGGGCTTGCCTCTTTATTTTGGACTATCGCCCGAGCACCAACTCTAGCCCAATACGAGGCAGCTTTAGAGAAGCTTCGACAACAAAAGCCTGAAGCTGCGGCATATCTAGAGGCGGCAAACCCTTCGCTTTGGGCCGAGGCGCTATTCTCTGGGCGTCGATATGGCCACGATACAAGTAATATCGTCGAGTCGCAAAACGGAGTATTAAAGCTTGATCGGGAACTTCCAATTATTGCTCTCCTCGACTCAATATGGCACCGGGTTATGGAGAAGAGGGCAGCTCGGCTTCAATCTGCTTTACGGTTGATGGAGGCAGGGAAGACAGCTACCCCATTCGTTGAAGGGAAATTACGAGAAGGGAGGCAATGGGCGTCTAGTAATCGTGCTCAGTTTTCGTCACCAACGGAAGCAAGAGTAGTACAGCCTGACGGCCTTATTTGCATTGTAAATTTGACAGCAGGGACATGTTCATGCCGTCGGTATCAAAGGAATGGAATCCGTTGCGGGCGTGCCATTACCGTAATACTAGCAGGAGGGGACGGTATAACCCCTTATCTACCAGAATCTCTCTCTCCGACAGTTTGGGCTGCCACGTATAGTAGCCCGATGCCAGCTATCAACGTCTCTGAGCTCAAGCTCAAGCCAGAGGACCCTTGTAACCCTCTAATTACTAGAGTACCTCGAGGACGCCCTGTCAAAGAGAGGATTCGAAAGGGGGATTCTCGCCGCCCTCCCCAGAGCTCACAATCGCGATGCTCTAGTTGTGGGGAGACTGGACATAATATGAGAAGGTGCCGACGCCCCCATGGATAGCTTGATAGGCCCGATCGGTGGGTCTGATGGATTGGGAAGGCGGTGGGCGGTCTGGGAAATTGCAGGGTAAATAGATCTTTACAGGGGTTGTGCAGGGTATTTAAATCTTTTGCCCATAAATCAGAAATCCCGTTGCGCTTTGACCCCATGCTAACAACACTAATATATACCCCCTTTCCCCCCTCAGAGGGTTCATGATTGCTAAAGGGGTATAAATGTTTCAACATGGAGGGAATTACTGTCCTGCTATTCTGGAAAGATATTCAACCAAGACTTGGGTGTACAGGGCCAATCTAATAGCAAGCTTCCAAAGCTGTCGTATTCAGCCCCCCCCCTGACTAGAGGCCATGCTCGGCCAATGATCATATTCGAGGCTCAAACGCGTTTCTGTTGCCCTACAAGCAGATAGATGTGGTCCCTGTTCGTCCGGGAGTGCATGATTAGCCTACCCCTCTGGACTAGCCGGTGCTAATGCGATCCTCCCCACCTCATCATCTGGCCTAGTATCCGCGACTCTGACTTCCACCTGTCCCCACCCTGCCACCGTCTTCAGACCACCCTCAGCGCTGTGTACGACAGAGCCAATCTTCTCAAAGTATGCAGAATTCCTGGCGAGGCTACCCATGTACTCTACGATCTGCGGCACGCCAGACAGGAGGTACGACGGTGGGTATCGCTGCTAGGAACATGACTGCGGCCGCCAGCAGGTATATCGCGGGTTCCCCCATGAGTTGGCGGCAGTAGCAGCTCCCGCAGCAGCAGGCCCTCCTAATCTCTCAGTAACTCCCGTTGCAGTACTGAGTTCCGGCGTTAACCTCGCACAAGGCGCCTAGTTAAAGTGCTGTCCTAGCTGGATCCTGGTTATCATCCACTTGGGTAAAAGTCGACGTCAAAAGCTGACTAGTCATGTTGGGACTGCACCGTGTGACGTTGGCGCTGCCGGTCGCTTCGGCGTGAACTGCCCTCAAAGAAGTTTGCGAGCCGAGAGTGGATTAAAGAACCAGAAGGCGAAGAGCATCAGAGTAGACAACCTGAAAAATAACAGACTAAAAGCTGCTATGACGGTGCTTCTCATGGTCGCAAAACCAATCAATTGTTCCACGTCCTGTCACCATGGATAATTGGTATTGGTGTTACTTTGAGTGGAGTCATGAATTCAGTCTTAGTCCATACCACGAGCGGAGTGCCTCTTTCAACTCACCAGTATGCACACACGTTACTTATGTTTCCCAGAACAGCTAATAATATGATAAGCCACCATATAGTAGTGAGCTCTGTGAATCTAACGAGACATTTGAACTCTTGACATTCTTGTTAGCCGTGTAGGGCCAGTATGAATACATCGAGGGCTTAAGGGGGGAAGTGAGCAAGCAGTACTTGGAAAGCCGATAGAAAGAGTCAAACTAACATATCCCATATAAGTACAAGCCGACTTTAGCCCTTCCAGTTAACAGACATAGGCAGGTCTAGGGCCCTATACAGGGTTTAGACGTTGATAGCCTTGGCTAAAAAGAGTAGGTATCGCCTGGCCCTACCTGTCAATGCCAGCTTAATAGATGTACATAAGAGTTTTCAAAAGGATTTTGTAGTCCACTTATCGTAGCTAAACCAGGCTCATTTAATGACTAGAGCGATTACAGCTAAAACACATTGCCGTCATTGTCGTGCAAGAACGGTGTTTCTTGATGCAGTCGAAGTATGTCAAGCTACGTTATCCGAATCGGCATCATCCTGAGCCCACAGCTGGTCAAGTGGTCGCAAAGTTGGCGGGCGGTGCCGCGGCGGGGTGTAGGCTGATGAAAGGAATTCGTCAGTGACGAGGATTGTCTAGCAAATGAGTAGCATAGGCTCAATGCGCGACCACTTGGTTATGGACATGTTCAATCTAGATTCTTCAGCTGCGTCGTCGGGAACTGACTCTAATGGCAGATGTCCTCGTTCTAAAAAGGATCCTGAACAGTATGGTAACAAAAAGCTGCCAGGTTCTCCGTCATCCAATGACCTGCGATGGATACGTCCTAGGTGTACAGCTAGTTACACATTGAGGGAGAAGTCTGGCTACACCTCAGGTAAAATGCCTTAGGGAAGGTTGTGAATGCAACCCCCAAGCTACACAGGATAGGGGTAGTCTGGTAGTCATACTATCTACAATATAAATGGACCACAAAACGACCGGCTCAGAAATGCAATTGATGGAGTACGCCAGTGTCACTCAGTTGCTTGGAATAGATTCCAGGCTCGAGCCGGGCTGGGTAGAAGGCCGCAGGTGTACCGAAAAGCACAGGGACTATATTAAAAGTTAAGTACTGCTGCTGCGTCTCCCCTACCCTTACCTAAAACCTGACTCCTAACCTCGTCTGAAAGAAAACTTTGATGGCCATCACCGACTCGTCCACAGCTCTATCCAATTTCACTATTCGTGGCATTCACTCCTTCCACCCCTGATCCCCATCCATCATCTCGCGACACCCCTCCAACTCCTCCCTCGTAATAAACCCTCCCGTCTACCTCTCATCCCTCAGCCCCTCTTCAAACAACGGCTTCATCACCATCTCACACAAATATGCCAACAACCACAACTCCTCCAACTCAACAGCGTCCCTGTCCCCCCTAACCACCAAAACATTCCCAATGGGATTCTACCACTTAGGCCAGGGTGTCGCCAGTGCGGGAGCTTGTTCCATTTGTCGACGTCGACGTCCTTGATTAACTTGAGGGGCGTGCAGAGAATTCTGGAGATGGAGGTGATGTCCAGCTGTTTTGGCCTGGTCCTTGGTTAGACGTGCAATGGATGGGGTCGTTGGGGGCACCACGACGGGGATGAAGCGGTTGGAGCCGTGGCCGACTATTGCGCCGCGGCAGCTGATTCAGACTCCGAAAACTTTGTGGTCGCGCTTTTTCAGATTGTTTTTGTTGTTGCTGCCGCCATGATTGTGCAACAGACCGACGGGTCCCCGGCCTGGGCGGCAATAGTCGGGGAAGTAGTCGATGATGTGTCTGAGATCACCCAGAGTGACATCTCTCCCGTGGTCGCGAATCACAAGAGACGGGTCTCTCAAGTCATAAGAGACAACATTAAATGATTTTCCAACCATGTAAATAATGCTACAATTCAAATCAGAGCTATCGGCGAGATACCTATCTCGGAAGTAGAGGTTGACGTTGTGACCGAAGCAGACGTGTTAGGTCAATGTAAAAGAGTTCCGTGCCAGGGGCGTCATCTCCGAGGAAATTTCCCCTATCTTCCAAGTCTGCTCTCGCCCAGACCGGGCTACGGGATCTAATCCCGATTAGAAATAGGATGCAGCATCGATGGGAGTAGCTGGGCCGCGGCGACTGCTGTTTAGTAGTTTGTGACTGGGCCGATCCTCGCGCTGGCACTCAGCCAAGCAGTAGCGACCGCTTTGGCATTGGCTGCAAAGCTCAACTTCAGGTGTGAATCACATGATACAGATTGAAGCTGCCATCTCGTCGTGTTGGTAGGATGGAGTGTGGTGGTAGAGTTGGTTCTGGTTTGTATCGAATAGTTCTTGGCTGGATCGATTGTCAGACCACACAGAAGTGGCAAATGCGATGACGGGATTAAGCACGAGTCTCCTGTATTCTTAGTTGGTGAAGAATAGGTATTGCTACGTTGCGGTCCAAGGTGGTTATGTCTTCGGATACTCAAGTAGGTGATGGGTCTGTTAGCTTTGTTCACAAGTACACTTGGCGCTCGGATCAAAGAGATCAATTTCGTGAGCTCAAGGATAAAGAAAATGATCATTAGTGGGGAGGCTGGTGAGAAGACTCAAGGCACTTTTTGGGCCAGGTACCACCACTGCACTCTTGGCCTTCGTCTTCCCGACATGACCCTCGGACAAGCCAAATCAAAAGCCCCAAGGCAGCCAACTGATGACGCGATGAAGCAAACCGTCACCGCACATATATGCTCTGCCACCCACAAGACTTCGTCACCCATGGTCTCTATGGCTTAGGTTGAAGGAGCAAATGGCCCACAGTTTAGTGGTTGTATTGGCAGCGACGTCTTAATTGCGATGCCTATCTCACCAACTCCGCATCCATACTATCTACACATGAGAGAGTGCTGCTCGCTACTCAATATAATATTTTGTATCCTCGGTTTCCCACCCACACTCACTCCATTCCCTCCACTCCTTTTATTCTTCTTTCAAAAAACAAATGATAATGGTATAATGAAGGTTTTCCGTTTACGACCATACAGACAGACAAGAGAGATTCTTGAAGAAACGAATAGAGCTTTCATCGCATATTAGAAAAACACGTACAAACCCCCATCCAAGTAAATAGGGGCGAAAAAAAAACCTGGCTCTGGCTTGCTGCCTGCTGCCTGCCTATTGCCTGTCTTTCTACCTTCGGCAGCTCGCTCTCCTTGTATATCCTGAACACCTGGAAGCGAGTTTCGTATCCTGCCCGTGCTCCTCCATATTTGGTATCTTAGAGCGAATATAACCAAATGGAAGAAGGAAAATGCGTTTGTTGGGGGTGTACCGGAACTTCCACTTGTCGCACCTGCGAGCTGGGGTTTGCAAACCTATCACTCCAATTATTCCTTTCAACTCGAACCGAATTAAAAAAAAGTTAAGTCCGTTCATTCCTCCTCCATGCCTTCTATAAAACCGCCATTCTGGCGGCTCGGCTTCTTGCCGAGCTTGAGCAAACTCAGTCTCTTGCGTACAGAGCCTACCCTGGGCGCACCGCCTAAAGCCCTGTCTTGACCCTTCTCGGCCACGCCTACTATTTCGGTGCTCTTGCGTGGCGCGCTATCAAGTGTTGGCTGGCTACCGTAGTGCTGGTGATTGAACATAGAGACACTGTTGTGGTTGTCGTTTGGCAGCGGACGGAAGAAGCTTTTCCTATTCTCTTTGCTGCGGCTGTGCTGACTGGTCGTATCAGTATCGGCGCTGGCATTCGCTTGACTGCTATCCTCGTTGGAATCTCTAGATTCTTTTTTTCTACCCCCTAAAAAGCTCAGTCGTGTCCCGCGCTGCTTTAGTGACACGTGCTGCGCAGCAGAGGCTTCTTCTACAACGCTGTTGCCATTAGCAAACGCAGCGCCGAGGCTCCGGTTTTGTACAGGGGATTGTTCCGTTATGGGAGATGAGCGTCGCCATGAGGGAGATGGTGTGGCCGAGACAGGCTCGCGATTGGACTGAGGTGGAGTAAAGACGGCGATTTCTGGTGCGAAAGTCGACTCGAAATCTTTTTTGACAGTTAGCAGGTGGAAGCCACGATAAACGCATCGATGGTACTTACGTTGGTACAGATCCCCATAGGCCTTGCTGAGGATCTTGTTCGAGCTTCGCGAAAAGCTCGTCAAACACCTCTTGACCATGATGGCATGGTCAACAAGAGCCATCTTGATTGCCGTCTCTTGCTCATCCAGCTCAATTTCCTCTTCCTCGTCTTCGTCCGAGGTGCCGGTAGGAATCAATTGTCGATAGAAAACGACACTGTTCTCGGAATTCGGGTTCACGGATATGCTGATGGCATCCACGAGGAGCTGCGCAACCTCTTCGTCGCCGTCGTTCAGCCGCTTCTCCACAGCCGTCATCTCCTGAGTCTTGCGCACAACACGCTCGAGAGCCGTCTCTTTCGGACTCAGCCTGATTTCATGAACGTCCACGATCTCGCTACGGCGCAGAATGGTTGGGAACGGTTCGGCAGTGGTATACACGATCTTCTCCGCATAGTGCTCAATAACCAGACCTGATGTGTTGCGTTTGGACGACATGGAGAACAACTGGGGGTTTGTTGACAGCAGGTAGTCGCGAATAACTTGCGGCACTCTGGCCCGCTGGAAGACATGGTGGCTTAAATCGCGATGAGGATGGATGGCCGTGATGATCAAGAACTGGCCTTCAGCCTCACTGTCGATGTCGCCCGAAGTGACAATCTGGGCAGACTGATACTGCTCCTGCATGCGATCCGTGAAAGCAGACGTCCTCTCAGTGGGCGAACCCTCGTATACGAATTCCTTATCCCGCACGCTCGCGGGGAAGCCCAGACCTTTGAACACGACCTTGAAGTATTTCGGCACCAGCTTGTCGCTCTTGGCCAAGGTTTCGTAAATGGTGGCAATAGCTCGCTGAGTCCGAGCGAGCTTAGCGAAGTCGAAAACGTTGCTCTCGTACTGGTTCTGCAGTTCCTTGTACGCCGCAAGAGCACTGCTCCAAGCTTCACCATCCTCAAAATGTTTGATCATGTCAAAGTAGATACGTTCCTTGCGCTCAAAGTGCGACTGTGCGGGTAGATCTGGATCTATCAATGCGGCGGTAGCCCTAACCGGGTTCCATTCGTACAGATCTGCGTGAAGGCGTAATGCCAAGCCGGCTTCGGTATGATTACCTGCCGCAGCTTGGAGTACGGCCAGTTGATGTACATAACGAATAAAGATCTCCTCCTTTTGCATATCGCGTAGGAACTCCATAAGCCGCAAGCGATTGATGAGCTGAGACGCCGCGGTACTGCTGTCCCCACTGTGAACAGCAACGAGAAGATCTAAAAACTCATCGACAGTACTGATGAGCTCTTGCAGCGCATTGTACAACGGTTCGTTACTGATTTGTGACAGGGGCTCAAATCGCTCAAGCAGCTCGCTGATGAAGAGTTTCTGCAAAATACTCTCCGTCATCTGCTTGTCTTTGAAGAACAGATCTAGGTAATCGATCATCTCGGTTTGGATGACTGAAAGATCCTCGCTCAACGTCCACTCGCTTACGATCATGGTCTGTAAGACCTCGACGGCCATTTTCCTCAATCCCTCGTGCACGCTCAAACAGAGTTCGACGATAGGACCGACAAGCGTGGGCACGTATTGCACCTGGTAACCTCCCATCTTGGTGAGACCGTATCTCGATCGCTCATCAGGACTTGTCTCCCAGCCAATCGCCTCCCACGATCGTCTGAGCAGCTCGGCGCCATGTTCTCTGACATCGCCGGCAATTTTCCAGACAGCTCTGCGCTTCTGCTCAGGGAACGTCTCCAGCGCCAAGCTGCTGCTGCCAACGAGCTTGAGCAGTGTGGTAAAGAACATTTTCCAGAGTTCGGTGTTGAAGCTCTCAGCTTCGTCTGGGTGGGGCAGGAAGGATTCCAGCAGGATACTAGCGAGGTACTGCAAAATTTTCATGGTCGACTTGTGGTGGAAAATGTGTACGCTCAGCCAAGTCGCAGGGAACGCATCCCCCCGAAGTATGCTCATATGCACTTGTAGTGTGTTCTGTATCAGAGATGCCAAATCGTCGTCGGCTAGCTCAAGTTGCATTCCGCTAGGGGAATTTGACAGTTCCGACATGATCGCGGATAGCTCGATGAGGGCCTCATCGAACAACACGGACTCGTTGGCCGGCTTGCTTGGGAAGGGGTACGTGGAAGGGAACAAAAGCGACAGACGGGATTTCGGGTCGACTTCCGTTTGCTGAATGGCAAGATACGAGTCAATGATCTTGGGAATGTAGTCCGGGATCTCGGGTCCCAGTTCCTTCACTTGACTTGCTAGCACGGAGCAGCATAGTCGTACTTGCTCCTTCCATTGTTCGGAGACCTCATCCGTCTGTCCCCAGTGAGGGGCAATCCACCGGACAGTATTGGCGCTGAGGGCAGATCGTTGTTCCGGGTTGGAGAATAGATCCAGTTTGGAGTAGTTGATGATCAAAACGAGCTTGTATAGAACCAGCTTGCCCTTGACCGTGGCACACGAGTCCATGAAATCAATGGCGATGTGCAAGATCTCCTCAGTGGTGAGCAAACCCGTTAGTTCGGGGAGCCAGGTGTGGAAATGTTGCACGGCCAGCGTCTGGCTGCCGACAAGTACTGGGGCTTGACTGCGCATCATAGAATCCAGAGCCTTAAAGATGGTTTGCAAATGTCGAGTGAAGCCCGGAGTGCTGCCAGTAATGCCAATGCCTGCTTCCTTCAGCTTTTGTTGGCCTCTCGCATGCGTAATGAACTTCAAGATGTGACGGACAACCTTTAATGTTGCCCGCAACTTTCTTGCAGTCTCCGGCTCCGTCGGTTTGGAGAGCAGTCGCGTGAATGACCTGACGAGGCAAGGCGTTGCGAACGGGTAGTTGAACTTGTTTTCCGCATATTGATCTACTGCCGGCCCCAGATTGAACCTTCGATCATGGGTTATGCCAAGTACTCGGACGAGGGCGGTAAAGACAAGGTCTTCATACTCATCGTTGCCTTGATACTCAACCAGGATGCCGAAGAGCGCATCGAGGACGTCGCTGAGGAGCTTCACCACCTCGATCTCTGGCACGAAAATGGATTGACGCAGTAAATCCGGGACATCGTCCTTGGGCTGATCCTTCCATCGGAGCAACCCAAGGACTATTCTATCTTGGGAAAATCTTGTACTGCACAAGAAACTCTCTATCCGTAGCATTGCGAGTGGTCCAGTAACGTCACTCGCATCACTGCGGGGTCCGGAGGGAAGCGAGAGATATCCGCCTCGACCAGAGTGACCAGGCAGGGCGGTTTGGGTGAATTCATCAAGTTTGTAGAGAAGGAGAGAGTGCGTCCCGTCTCTCATGAACGCCTGTTGGTCCCACAACGGAATATAAGAAACGGCGAATGGAGCGTTCGGCAGGTCCGCCACGGTCATCACCAGATGAGCTGTTTGTACGTCGGTTGGCAACAGCAACAGCCGTAATGTCTGGTTCCAGGGTTCTCCACGCTCTACCGCGAATGATTTCCACGTAGTCAAGCCGTCGGCGTTGGAGGAAGGATATATGCAACCTTCAATTCTCTCTCCTGACTGTCGTCGAACTTCCACAGTTACGATCAGATTGGCTCCCAACATACTGCTCGATATGGTTGTGGCGCTACCCCCAAAGCGGGACATCAAGCTCTGCCGGGAAAGAACGGCCTCGTTGATGGTGACGTAGATGTCAGATCTGGGCTTGGTCGGCGCGCCAGAGATGCCCATCTTGTGAGTTTTGGAAATGCCGGATAGCAACGTTGGTGTTGCCTTGATGAGCGCGTCTGGGTCGGGATGATTGAACGATTTTAGATGTACTTGCAAGCGTTCTGCCCGTTTCGATTTCTCATACTGTCCGGACTTGCTGTCCAGGAGGTGGTTGATCAGGTCGTCCCAGTTTTCGCCATTGTCCTGCTTCTCAGACGACGGTGCCCAAACCGTCATGACGTGTTCCGACTCTTCCTCCTGCTTCATGATGGGATTTAGCCTCAAGACCCCCATGCCCACCATCCTGTCTGCCATCACAGTCTGCGGACCGTCCAGCGATGAGCGAGGTCCTCTCGATCCTGCCGTGCTGGGGGGCGCGGGGCCGTCTCTGCTGCTATCCGTCCGGTTCGTCGTCGGTCGTTCCTCTGATTGTTCAGAAAGGGCATCAAGTTTTGTTCCGCCTCTAGAAAACGCAGATCTCGTAGTCCCCCACATCAGACTCCTCCTAGAAGTCTTACTTCCGCTAGAAGATGGTGGCTTCTCCTTGGAAAATCCGGTAATGGCTTGGGTGACCGTTCCAGATCGCGATTCTGGCTTGCCAACAACGACTTGTTGGGGAGCGCGAACTTTGACAACCAGGTACAGTTCTGTGTCGGAAGAGGGGGCATCGCCAATTTCCGCCGATGTCAAGTCGGTGAACAATGTGCGCATCTGGTGTCGGGCCAAATGCCCCATTGTACCACCTGCTGGAACCTCGATTATGTAGCTTTCCGACAATGCTGCCGGAAAGCCTCCCACGGGCTTACTGACCAGGTATACTACCAAAGTTGTCGCCTCGTTGGTGGAACCGGCAAAACTTCTTACATCGACCAGTAGATGGTGCAAAGCGGTAAGTTCTATGTGAGGCTGTGGAGGCTCATCCAAAAGACTCATGGTAGACTGCAACTTGGTTATCTCCACCACCGAGTCCTCTCCAGTCAAGACTCGCCCCTTGGCATTTGGATCCCGCACTATGACCTCTCCTCCACAGAGCTTGTTGCCTTTAACCAGGTCCCAGACCGTCTTCTCGCGCAAGGCATCGTATTCATGTGACGTGAGCACATTGTGCAAGAATTGGCGTCGCGACAGGTCCAGAGAGTGAACCAGCTGGGAGAGCTTATCCAGTTTGGAGTATTGGCGTGAGAGGAGCAGCTCATGCAGATTCGTCGAGTGCCACTCGCGTAGACACGAGGCAATCTCGTCTATCAGCGGCTCGGATGCCGATGTTGGCGTCTCGTCGCCAATTTTGAGCATCGGCACAGGTGCAGCGGGTTTCGGCTCGCCAGGTTCACGCTTCGGTATAGAGTATCTGCCATGGGCACTGTCTGGCCCGCTGGAGCCGGATGTCGAGCGCAGTCCATCTGATTTGCCTGATTTCTCTGATTTCTTCGACTTGCTTCCCGGACTGACGACGCTAGTTTTGTTCCTCTTCTTCTCGCTCGACACAATCCCACTCTTGCCTGAATCGCTGCCGACTCGCTGCGTGTCCCCTTCCCCTTCCTCGCTTATGCCGTCGTCTGAGGAGCTGTCATCGGCCTCGCCTAGCACTTCGCGTATCTCAACACAGCTGCGTGGGAATATGCCGGAGAAGACACGAGCCTCAAGGGTTTGGCCTTTGGACGAGGTCAGACCTGCCAGTAGCGAGGGAGGTGCTAACAGGTATCCGCGCAGCCATTGCCCGTCGGGGGTCTCTTCAATGATGTAGAGGTCATCGCCAATCTCGAGAGGGAGCTCGTTGTCGGCCTGTGTGCTGAAAGGGTAGGTCGCGACGGCGAAGGCGATGCGGGGCAACGGTTGCCAGGGCATTGGATCAGATTAAAGGTGTGATCGGTTGCACCGTGGCTGCAGGTTCGAATCGCATGAGCGGGTGGTTGGCCGTGGGGAGAGTCGAGTGTTGTGCAGCACACACTGCACCTTCGTCCGGGTAGGGGCCGCGGGGAACGGCGCGTGGGAATTGCGATAGGATGCCCAGCCCGGAGACTCCAAAGTGCGACGCGAAGTAAGAGCTTGAATGGCTTCGCTGAAGCTCAATTGGGTACCGGATTGGAGGAGCTGGTATACTTTCCGAGCGTCAGACCGTATCAGTTGTGGTACGTCGTGATTTGCAATGATTAAGGGTTGAGGTCGGTTTTTTTTTGCCTTTGGGCTGGCAAACAAGGCCGCGTACCAGGATTGGATTATCACCACGTCAAAGGAAAAAAAAAAAAAGAGACGTGCAGCAGCTGGTTCACTCACTGCAAAATCACAAGGAAGCAAGCAAGCAGGCGATTGAGCGGGGGTATCAAAAATTCACCAAAAAGGATTATTTTCCAAGAGAAAAGTCAATAGAGACAGAGTAGGCGCAATGGCATCCCGGCACAACGCAGTCAAGAGAGGAATCTCCAAACTCTGCTCTGCAAATTATGATAAGAGGCACAACACACGACTGTCCCCCTGAACCGACCTCGGGGTAACATGAAAAGCCAGACTTCACTTGATTGGGACAACTTTAGAAATGAGGCTTGATCGATATTTAGTCTTAGCGTTGAAGGACCCCGGCTATGTTGGTGAAGGGTTGAGTGCTCTTTTTGTTACAGCGCATCACATCTCACTTTTGTCCATACGTTCCGCGTCGATCAATTCTTTATCATGCCCAGCATTAGTTCTGCCAAATAATGCCACCTCAAGATCCTCGTAACGTAACCTACGACTCTGACCAGAAGAGAGCTTTGAATTCCAGATTTATCCTAAGCTCCCAATAAAGCACATGCTGTCGGCGCTTAGACAAAATAGGAGATGAAAATGGGACATCTGGGATGTGACTGAATGATTGGGGCCAATCCTTGGGTATCCACCGCCCCAGGGCTCCATTAGACTTTGGATCTAGTTCTACCAGAATAGGAGGATACAAAGTACATTTTCAATATTCGCCCTCATCTAGTAAACCACGTCTCGCGGCAGAATCACTCAATGGCATATTCACATTATCTCCAGAGGTTGGCTTTGCCTTTCAGATCCTATCGTCGAACCTGAAGCCCTCTCCGCTAATAGAAGCACAATCGGTTCCACAACAATACCCAAGGCAAATGCCGACAGATCATCGACGAAGACACTACTGGCCCCTGGGACAGCCTGTATCTCTGTATCCCAGGGCCTCAGGAGTGATGAGATTTGGTATGTTCAACGGCAATCGCATGATATTTCGGTTTCTGTGACTCTCATTCAACCAGTCTTCCAAATCTTCTTCCATGCCAAGCTTGAGGAACATCCAATGTGATATGTACAAAATGGCCCAGCGGTCGAATCCATTGGTGCGTTCCCCCACGTCAACAAGGCCCTAGTGGTTTCACTGAGAGTACAGAGTACATGGGCCCTCAGTTTGTGGCCGACTAATTGGTCCGAGCTCTTTGGGATACTAAGGAATTGAGCAACCAAAATAGTTTAGGCACTCGACCTCTTCAATCTATATGTTCGTTTGCCATCTAGACCAGATGACGACAACGATTCGGCCTTCGCGATTCGCCAAGGCCGAACCCAGTCGTTACTAAAAGTTGAGACAAATGGCTTTCAAGTTCTGGTCAAATGCCATCTCTGCCGGTTGAGCGCCGCAGATGGCATCAAAGTCGTGAAGGGTGTTCATCACTTGGGTCCCATGCACGCATACATTAACTCCACTGCCCACCACATCCACTTGTGGTACATCAAAATCTCCGCAGCCGTTCAGGTCAACAACATCCACTTAAAAGGGTGTGATCAGTAATATATCCTTTCATAACTTGCCAGTGACCACATTTAACCTTATGGTGCAGCCGCTGGACGCAGTCTGGCTTCCGGGATAGGCATGTAGGGTTCCCAGCCCAAAGTGAACCTTCTTCCTGCGCTGTTACTTTCAGCTTCTACGGACACTACCGACTCATCAAGGACATACATTCTACAGCTGGTGGTCTGACTAAGACGCTGCAATCTACGATTCCAGTCCATCTTCAGAAGACTTACAGGTTTGATGTCCTTGCGATTAACCCAAATGCTCGGAAACCCACGCATATATGAGTAAGTGGAAATGGCTGACTTTTGCTAGAACTACTTATCGGTGTAGAATATCCATTGCCCACAGTTGTGAAAGCCAACAGACTGACACCTGCAACAGAGCCCTAGAGCTTTGCAATGGAAACAAGCTGGAATACATAAGGATTGTTATGGTGGCCACGGATGTCCATGTCCAGAAACAGAATACCGGGCCGAGTCCCAGCAGCGCATCACCTAGACTCAACCTAATTACGACATCCAATGAAGCTTGCCTCCTGACAACAAACCAAGACAGGGATCGAAACGGACCAAGAGCGACTGAGAATTTCAAAAATCCATGGGCAACAAAGAACCAATTTGCTACACCATCCAGCAGCTGGTCAATCAAACCAGTTGACAACCTTAGTAACCGTCTGGTGGAGTAATTGAACCGTACTCCGAATCCAGACCACTACCGAAGCTTGTGGAGGGCTGATGATAGTCGGACGCACAGAACTGCAACGACGCTTCCTCATAGGGCTGGAAGCTGTAGAGATCAGGAGACCAGAAGCTGTCCACGACGTCTGAAGGCAGCTCAACCAATTGAGCAGTTTCCAGCCGACGTGACTGATTCGGGGACTTCGCTGCACCTCGTCCCTGACGGTATTCCTGGTACAAGTTTCCAAAGACGCTTCGAACGATGTCAACGAAGGCATCCTTGATCTTTTCTTCGAATCGATCATAACGGCGTTCGAGTTCTTCGCGGACTCTAGGCGCAAGCTCATCTTGCAGATATTGGTCGTACTGCTCAATTTCCTTGGGTACGGGGAGCATGGGCTTTCCCTCGTCGTAGTCATAATCTGCAAAAGGGTAAGCTTTGGTCGAGGCTTGGGGTTTGCAGACTTACACGGTGTAGGTATTTCCTGCGCAAGTGGGAAGATAATTCGGTAGACCTCTTCCCACCTCTTTCCGGCGGGTTTGTTAGGCGACGATTTCTTTTTGAGTTTCTGGTACTGTGCCTCGCTAATGTCATCGAGAGCTTTCAAGCGGCGCAGCAGTTTGCAAGGTTCCTCAGCTCGGAGGTGGTTGTCCAAAGCCTCGCGGTCGGGAAAGGCCTCACGGCATCGAGCACAACTATGTTCGGGCTGCTTGTGGCACCGATAAATATGCTCCCTGCGGTGGCTCGGTTAGAGAATTGCCCCACAAAAGGTGGCGAAACCACGACTTACTTCAGCCTTGCGATTGTGGTGTATCCAGGACCCGTACACGAGCCTTTCTGGTACCTGGCTGGATCATGCTTGAAGTACGGACAAGCGAGCTTTCGAATACGTGGAAAGTCCTTCTTGGGTCGCTTTGTGTCCCTTCGACCTTTGCCGTTGCCATCATCACTATGGTCCGAGCCGTCTGAGCCGTCGCTTTGCAGCGACCGTTTCTGACCGGCAAGTCGCCGTGACGAAGAGTTGTTTTCCCCACTGCTACTGCTGTGTGCAGTGCTCTTAGCGGGTGAACCATTGCTCGGCGAGCAAGCGTGATGGGCGTAGACAGCCGTGTCTATCTTAGAGTTCGTCCATTCGTCCAATATCTCCATCAGGTTATTGATGGACTTGAGCTTGCGGAGAGCAATATATTCTCTACTTGAGTAGGGGCGTGGTGACTTTGGACCACCTTCAGGAGAAATTGAGTTGGCGATTTTTGCTGCCTTGGAATTCATTTCAGGGGACTTGAGAAAGCCGTTGGACTTATCCTCATCCCTGGTCTGAGACAATGTTGGACGGGACTCTCGAACGGCGAAACCTGAGGTGCTGTCTGGTACCTGCGCTTTTGTGAGCTACTGACTTTTCGCGGGACCGGACGAACGCACGGTTTCGGTTGTGGTCAGGAAATTCTCCTGCTGGAACTGTTGCGGTGAGCTGTAGTCCGTAGCCCTTCTAGCTACCCAGCTCATAAGTATGCTCCGAATGACCGGATGCGGAACACGAGCTTGCTTCAGTCTACACTGCCGCTTGCAATGTTCCCAACAATCTGCCACTGGAGCAAGACGCTTCAAATGGAATGAAGATGCGCTAGAGTTCCGGGTGAAGATGTCAACTTGTCCTGTGGAAATCGTGGATATCCTGAGCATTTTGCGGCAAACGGCGAGTTCATGGAAATGGGTACTCCTAGACGCCTAGATTGGTATGAGGCATCATCAGAGGGTGTTCACACGGAGTATCAAAATATAATAAGCATTGACTTGGTTGCGTATGCACATTGACTTGCTTCCCCGCGAAGTTCCAGGAACCAAAGCCTGGTGGAGAGGAAAGGATCTCTTTCCAGAATGTCAGACGGCTGGAGGGACATATTTATGCACGACCACGTGGAAGTCGCATTTGCGCACAGCGAATTTGAGAAACCCGCGATATGGCGTTTCTCTCCAATCACGCTTGCAGTCAGGCTCTCCAAGAATGACGATTGATTGGATTTGCTCATATGCGCGTCTTCTGATGCGGTGGAGTCCCCGAAGCGACAGCAGCAGCCTTCTCGCTTTTGCGCGCTGCGTTCGGTGTCGTCAGAGCATCTGCGGAGAGCAACGGAAGTGTTCATCGTCGAAGTCATCGAATTTCGGGAGTCGCCAGCGCGCACATCATGAAGGCAAGACCAAATCTCAAGGACGACTTCGCGCTTCGCCGTGGGCTTGTAATGATGGCCATGAAAGTCATTATAAGGTCAGCATGTATGTTAGTTATGTTCGAACGATAATAAAGAAAAACACGAAGCATTCAAGACACCTAGAGTTGAATCGAGAACTTCACATCACCTTGATAGAGTACGAGGTTCATTCACCAAGACCAGCTTAATCGAACCTCTCCAAACCCATTGAGGAAAGTCGGATAAGCATCATCAGCTCCATCATGTCTCAAGTTTCGGGAAACGCTAGCAACGCTACTGGGAAAGGGTGAGTCGTCCTCAATCATGAGATGGAGATTCGAGTTGACTTGCTTCCCAGCAACGGTTGCACCGCGCCATCCGAAATGTTGAAGGAGTGGTTGGCAAGCGACTCGGTGACAGAGCGGCTGTTCTCAGGAGGGAACAGCCCCCAAAATGTCATCAATGACCGATTCAAGCAACAGAGTAGCCATGTCAATGACCTGGTGAAGAAATGCAATGGAAGGGGAAAATGAAGGAGAGGCCTGGGCGTCGGGGTGAAGATAAACATGACCGTATCCTCTGGGTTTATTGGGCTAGCTGTACAATAAGAAAGTCACAAGACAGAAACAGAGAATGTGGGAGGTTCTGTAGAATGTGTGTCAGGACTAGACGTCTATATAAGCATTTGCGTTCCCTTTCCCATATACACACTCCTTGCTCGCTCACCGCCACGACATTGCATATTGATGTGACCACCCTTGTAAGCCAGCACAAATAGACATGAGACTGCTCCATGATTAGCGCCCAATGCTACACAAGTATGGTTGACTTGTTGATACGTCGTTTGAGGAGAACAACAACTCCCTCTTGGGGAATTGGGATCGGGACTATGCATTTAGTGGATCTTAGTACCCACTGTTGACAGCCAGAACATTGGACAACTACAGATTGGGCACTAAGAGACCTACCTGATAAGGACCCTGATACTGGACACTCGCACCTCAACCGCTGGATGTTGTTTGGTGCTTGAGAGAGGCTACCTATCGGGTAGTGACACTTGTCTACACGACGATTGGGAAAAGTTCAGGTTATAGTGAAAGGTGCACTTGACTGGCGGAAGGTAGGGTAACAACAAGGAAGCCCAACCCAGGAGCATAGCGGCTACAGCACTGTGTGATATTATTGTAAGAACAGTAAGGTAGGAGCATTGTACTTCAAAGCACGTTGTAGATGAGTACGTATTGACGTGATCCATATGCATGAGAAATTCTAGGGGTTAACTGCCAGGAACCGATTGCGAGTCCTCATTCGGAAGGATTGGTCGCTCCAAGCAAACATCATTTATCATGTATTAACAGCCTTAAGAGTAGCCTGAGAAGTGACGTTTCTTCACTTTCTGTCTTGTGACAGTACCGAGGCCTAGCTGGTCTCAGTACACTGCACTTCGATCGATCTGGTCGAGGACAGTTGAACGCAAAAGAATGCAAAGGGATAAACTATCGCGATACTTCATTCTCAGTTTCAATATCTTCTGACTTTTTCTTCCGCTTCTGAATTTTGTTGTTTTGGGAAGAGCCTGAGTCCTATCATGTGAGCCTCATAACACCAGACAGATCAGAATATATCCAGAACTGTGCTTGCCATAAACCCCTAAAAATGATACACAAGGTATAGTAGCGGCAATTAAATAGCAACTTTCATACCTGGGTATATTTGATCCAGATACTTGTTCAACTCCGACGCCATGGGACCAAGCTCTTTGACAAGGAAGACGGGCATTCTCTCTGGCGCCGTCATACTTCTCCCCCTACTGCTGGACATCAAGCAGCTATCATTGGTGGTGACGAGACCTTCAACTTGAAGCTTCCAGTACTTATCCCAGTCCTTAATGGTGGATGCGCCATCGTCCAACGCAGATTCATCTTATCCAAATACTTGGTCCCTTCCAGACATGGCACAAGCTTGCATGGGCCCGTAGAGCCCACCGCGAGGCTACGAGTTCTAGCAGTGGCTCGAAAAAAGATTGAGCTTATGACCATATACACCATCTTGAGAAGAGGCATCCATTCGGGACTTCCAGCTTCTTCATCACTTCGGGGCCGAACCTCCGCGTCAGGTCGATGCTGATCTCGCGAATGAGATGGGTGGAACTCGGGGCTGCTATCTGTCGGCTTGGCTGTGGAATAGTGCTCATTACCTAGATTATGGTGTATCTCGCAGCCCCTATCCCACTTCCTGCCGAAATGAAGAACTAGCAAATGATCTGATACGGCGAAGCCCAATATCAAGGTCCGTATCTATAATGAGAATTCGTCGAATTGAGGGAGATAACTCCCTTCAGACGTTGTGTGATGGACATTTTGTCGCACTTTTGAATAGTGATGAGATAGATGTGGGTTTGCGTTTGGCTGTGACAGATATGGACAGTAGGAATCTACGTGTACTTGAATGGTCATTACTTAATCATAGGAGCTGACATGTGAGCATGATGGCTGATCCAATGATTTGAAAAAGTATAGGATTCACTGTGTTGAGGTAGGTTTGGTTCAACCGTACTCCCCATGTAAAATCCAGCCGCACATACTATATGTACTCGAGCATCCAGGTTCGTTACAAGGATTTCATTCTCTTTAAACTATTTAAAATTATCTTGTGTAACCTCCGGATACAGGTGGATACCAGCACATTATCGTCTGCAACTTGTTGTTAATGGATTAGTCAACTAGTCAGTCAATCTAAGGGGAAGCTCAACCTCGGCCACCCCAAGCTCACAAAGTGGATTGAACAAAAACACCTTACAACCGGTCGTTGTCCAAATAACCATTGAAATCATCAGAATCATTAATACTAGGTATCTACCACTCTTTATTTATCACTGCTTATCTCGGATTGGATTGATGGAGGAGACAGGAACCAACGGTTTCACAATACCAGGTATACTCTAGACTCAACGAATCCATTTGGAACCCGTCCCCTGTGTTCAAATTTTCCGTTTGCCAGCATCTCCCACCACTGCAAATTTCTGCTACATCCATAGTCAACTTCATTGCCAACCAGTATTTCTCTTTTCAACCCGCGTACTTTGTCCATCTATCATTTATTTTATACCTGCAATTCCTCTTCCATGCCCATTATATTGGACATTTCCGACATATCGGAACCACGTAGTCAAGAGGTGACATGAATTCCTTTGCACCCTTCAATCATCTTCCCACGGAGCTGCGAATTCTCCTATGGGAACCATCTCTGCTACATATAGGCCCGAGGTTTCAAAGTATCCCGGCGATGGGAGGATACGCCACTGTTACCCTCCATCTCCAACGCTACTTCTGACATGAAAGGCACGTATGTACCACGCAATGCTTCCAAACAGTCTGAATGATAGCGATGAGCAAGCACGAAGTCTTCCCATTCAGTGGCGTGTCAAGCCCGCTTTTCCAAAGCATCTTCGAGCCAAGAATGTCTCCCAAGCTGGAATGTGTCATCACAATTGTCATCTATCAAGTAGATGACGTGAACCCGTCCGAGGAATCATGTATACGCCCACATGTCCCTTCCGGAATGATTATGGACCTTTTTGAAGAAGAGGACCGGAAGGAAACAGGTACGCTAAAAGACATAGTTACCAAATATGTACGGTATCGAGGCAGTGCACCAAGATCTCCAAAAAAAAGAAAAGCGGCTGCCGCAATCTACAAAGCCTTGCAGCTTCACTACCAACGGCTTGTGCAAACATCGGGGGGCGTAGGTAGCTTAACGCTCCTGGGTTGCCCGTATGCGATGTAGGGGTGCAAAAAGAGCGAGAACGTTTACCATAAATTCGGCCAGCATTTTTGGTCGACACAGTCTGCTGCCGGCACTGGCCATAAGTAGCAGCTCGTGATGGGCCAAGACTGCAAAGTCACGCAATAAATTGGTCTGATCAGACGAAGATCGTGGTGCTGGCTCTAGGAGCTTCGCTTCTACAGGTCTTGTGCGCAAGTTGGTCGGATGTGCCTCTGTAACTGGCGATGGGACAATTCACAGAATAGGACGCCTGCCTCTGGGAGTCAAATTGAAGCTGTAACTGGCACTGGATTGGTCTGATCAGGACAAGATGGAGGCTGCTGTAGTTGTCAAGGCTAAGATAAAGGCAAAATAATGGATTGTTGAAAGCTACGTCTGAATGCATGCATATATGAAATGAATAAGCTCAAGATTGACTGACTAACTGAAAAAAACGAAGGTTAAGAAAAAGATGATGATGATGATATTGGTGATCAAGGGGAAGATGGTTATCAGTCCCTGCGTACGTCTTGAAGCGAAGAAAAGGGAGTCCTCCCTGCCCCCTGTCACCCATTTTCCCTGATGTCCGGTCTGGCCCCACTACAGTAACTATTTCTCGACTTCATATTGTTTCTCCTCGAGCTTTCAAGATGTTGGAAAACAGTAAAAGTCATCATGGAAAGCAACAGAAAGTTAGCCTTGACAGAATAATACAAGAAATCTAATCTTCACTACCTCCACAATCGTCATCAAAGCAACGGATCCATGGTCATCACTATTCCGCTGGAGTACGTTCGCAACCTGTAACTGTGTAGAGGCCAATCATCTTCTAGCAGGAAATAGTGTCTTCCAGGATGAGGTTGGAAAAGGAGAAAAGAGCAAGATACACAAGGAAGAGGGTTTGAAAGCAGCCTTTGAGCGCCCACTGCTACGGGAAACTCGAGACTGAGTAAGCTCTATTCCCGCAACATCATGACTTAGGTAATGCCAATCCCATTGGTAATTTGCTCATCCCAAACTGATAGCCAGTACATCTCGCAGGGGTTGCTCTCTTCGCGGATACTGCAGGAAACTCCCACCAATCCTTGACCGAAGTCGACACTGCCAGTTCCCAAACCTTCGCAACGAACCCACCCAGGCAGAGCTTTCCAATGCCAATACTGAAATGCCGTGCAAGTTCCGCATAGTATCTGTGTGGCGTACGCAGTCCTCAATATTAGCTGGTAAAGCTGAGGTGAGAGGTGTTGTAATTACTATTTCCGGCGAACGGGCGCAATGTCAGCAAGCCACAGTGTTGCACCGCATGTTACAGTCTTCATATCTAGCATGGGGAAATCGGGCATCAAAATCGTCAATTTACTAGCAAAGAGTATGCGTTCTCGCAACTTATGATTGTCATCCACTGTACCACCTGCCCAGAGCTCGTGGCTCTGTCATCCAATGCTTCGTGGACTTCCCTATAGACATTGTTCGTCCACGAACTCAATATTCCTAGCAAAAAAAGGCAAAATCATCATCAAGTTCTGTGTGGGTCGTTTTCATCCTGAAATCATCTCGTAGAGCATGGCTCTAGTTGAGGAATACGCGTCGTTTACTCCTAGCCGTGTCGAGCCACGAGTTCCTCGAATTCGGCCACGAACCCCTCGGTCTGAGCCAGCATATCCTCGTCAATATATCGGACATATCCGGTCTCCCGCCACTCACGCCACTCATTCCACTTGCGCATGATGGGGTCCACGGCGTAAAGGAACATGCTGGCAATGCCAAAGATGATGAGGGGGATCAAGGTGTAGATTATGAAGAACGGGCCGCCAGCAATGCGCTTGGTGACATTGTACAGCTCGCCTCGTATGATATCCAAGGCCTCGTCGTCCTTCCAGGGGCCGACTAATCGGAACTTCGTGTTGAAGTTGCTGCCCATGGCCCAGGTCCAGAGCACTTTGAAGCCCTGCTTGCGGATGAACGTGAACGTGGGCGCCGAACCAATGTCCAGAGCGAGCTGGTAGGCGTAGCTCTCGTGGTCGACTCCTCCTCGCTCCTTAGAGAGGTCTCGATCTGCGCGCTCATGCAGACGATAGTCGACATCATAGGCTGCCACTGCGTTTGGGTCGCGGGCCGTAAGTGCGGGATCGTGGCGGTTCCCTGATTGGATGAGGCGAAGAACCCACAGTTGGGCCTGCATCTCAGCCAGGGGAGGAATGGCGCCAATCGACGGTCTGACGAATCCGATAAATCCAACCGAGGGAGTGAAGATGTCCCAGATGCCTCGACCCTCACCGAAGTCGGGGTAATGGTAAGAGTCATCGAGGAAGAGGAAGCGTCGCATGTATCCGGTGGCCATGACTATAACGTCAGGCTTGACGACCATGTTCTTCATCTTATCCGACTCGGGTCGTCCGGTGTCCTCGAAATGCATGATGCCATTGAGATCAATGAACTCCGGCCAGGGTGCGAGGTCAATGTGACGGCCTTCGGTGTCCTTGATTGGCATGTTGACGATTGCAGCGCGGAGGCGGTTCCAGAAGGATGCGCGGTTGCGGTGCGGAGCTGAGATGTAGGGCATTGCTCTATCAGACTTGCAGAAGAAGACTGTAGGTAGTACGTATGCATTAGTAAACGGGCGCATCAAGACTGTTTGGAATCCGCAGTAGCTTGAAAAGGGGGTCCACTCGGGCTGATGCTTTCACTGGGCGCAGCTCAGAGTAGCCTTGAATGAGATATTATTCCAGGATACTTTGAGACCCCCCCAATGGCATCACCATCGGAGTGATCGTGCTCTTCCCGAGAAACTTAAATTATCAGGTCACTTACTCGAATCTGTGTGTCGTCTCTCCTTGGGAATCTGGCCAACCCACTGGTCCAGGCCTCCATGCGTGCCGGTCACAGCGAAGAGGAGAGAATTGATGGCCCAGTTGTAGTAATTCCAGAGGCCCATACCTCGCTGCAGGATGGGGTGGACATAGGCCGTGTCAAACAGGCTTGCGACACTTGTGTCAATGGGCTTGGAGGGTCGCTTTTGGTCCTTCCCCCAGAAGCCAAGGACAACAGGCTCGGGAACTCTCTAGACAGGACGTCAACAGTGACCGCTGCCATGTCTCGGCAGATCGCTTTGACAGGTAGTACGACATACCTTGGGAACGCAATAGAAGCCGCCTTTGTGGCACATGATCACTGAGCCAATCTCCGGGGTGGTGATGGCAAGATGTCCAATATCCATGCCCGTTTCGCCGGCGCCCATGATGACGACCGTGGGATTGTCTCGGATCAGGAACTGCTTACGTACCTTGAACTCGGAGGAATGGATCACGATGGGCACACGCTCCATGCCTTGGACATACGTGATGTTAGCCTCGACATTGAGACCGGTGCAGACGGCAATGGCGTCAAACTGGATATCCTTGGACACGCCGCTAGTCTTCACAGTGACAAGGTGCCCACCGCCGGGTTTGCGCCTAATCTGTGTGACTTCGGTCGAGCAGTGGATGTACATCCCAAGTTCAAACTTGGTGACATAATCCTGCAGGTAGCGGACGTACGTCTCTGGTACGACAAACTCCGGGGCATCCTCAGGGAAGCGGTGGTCTGAGAAAGCCGTGAGGTACTTCGACGAAACAAGCTGTTCCAGTCAGTCAGGGTTAAGCGCCATCTTGACGCACGTGGGCCACCCACCTCGGCTTCCTCGTAGACACGGTACTTGAAGGTGCCGCCGATGTCGTCCTCTGCCTCGAACAGGAAAGGATCGAAGGGCTCAATGTTAGGGAATTGGCGATGCGCATGCGCCAGGTATTTCAGAGTGACCAGGCCAGAGGGGCCTCCGCCAATGACAGCCACCTTCATCTTGAGATTTGCTTGGTCGATTCAGATGGGAGATGGGAAGTAGGAAACCGACTGCGAAAGGTTCTGCTCAAGTGCTCAAGTGCTCAAGTGCTCAAGTTCTCAAGTAAAGGTACTTGTGCGGTAGAAATGTCAGGTGCCTACTTCACGAGACTTGACAATGGACGAGGAAGGAGCACCAGTTGGACCATCTGATAATGCAAGAATGCTTAAATGCGTAAAAAGCGGATCTCAACCGGCAGAAATCCTCTGGATGGGAGCTCCTTGAGCGTTGGTTCAGTCTTGATTTAAAACCGCAACCCACTGACCGAACTTGGCTTGGTCTTTGCTGTGTTTTACTAGTAGAGACTTTCTAGTGCGAGTGATGGACTGTGACGGGGAAGAACGCAGCTGTCTTCACGGAAACCGAACAATAGATATGAGTGATGACCGGGGTGAATAAAACATTGAAAAGAACACCTGCGCCGAGAATAGAACCTAGGGGCATGTGCGATAACTCCACTGGATGTTTTCCTTTGTGTCCTTCTTGCTGCATTGTATGATCTAGCCTGGGCTCTCGCCCCAAAGGATGACTGATCGTGCATATGGAATGTCATGGCTTTATCCAAATGCTACCACACTCTGGCCGTCGCTTACATAAACTCCCAATGGCAATTTTTCTTACTCTTGGGAATTCCCTGTGATCCCTTGTGTTCTGTGAGGACTGCTTCAGTGGGCAATACAAGTGCTGCAAAGTATCACGCAAGGTAGCACTACAGAATCATGCGGTGACTGTAGCCATTTTCTGGGACTTCCCAGAGAGCTGGTGGGGTGTTCAGGAGGGAATAGGAGTGACCGCCATGCCAAAAAATCAGTTTGAATGATGTTTGCCTTGAGATGATCAAAGCAGCGCGCGTCCTTGATTTCTGTTGAACTCAAGGCATGCGTATGATTCAGGGAGTTTTATCCATCCGGAATATTCCAGCTTCGTATTCCACATACAGGCTACACTCTCTGCGAAACGTGGATGTAGCACCTAATCTTGATGGGAGAACTGGACCCCATAACTTGCTTGATACAAGACGCACCGACCTGAGCGAGAGATCGCAGGGGACTGCCATCAAGTGGACCGTCGTCTTCAATGGGAAATGCAGCCAGACGACCTATGAGCAATGAACATGAACCATAACCCAAATGTGGTCACGGAGCAGCTGGCTCCCGTATTGCTGTAGAATGGCCTGGTGCGGCATAGACTGCCGACGGGGTAAGTTACTTGGAACTTTTAGAGAGTAAAGGGGCACGTACCAATGTGCCTGGTCGTTATGCGGCAATGTAGGTAAAGTAGCTGGCTTACACTACGAGACTGCATTGTAACGTCTCATTGCTGGTATTCGGGAGTCGCCGAGGAGCCAGAGAATGATGATACTGTATCGCCTAACAGAATTGGGATCCGCGCGAGTGGTTCACAGTTGGTGGTCACTGATCGACCGGCGGGTTCAAGGGTGGGTCAGACTTCGAATGCTGCGGCTTCAATGGCTTCTGGAAACCTGGACGGAGAAACCCAGTGGAGGGTACCAACAAACCATCGAGCTCAGATCTGGCCCCGTATAGCGTGACGTAAGACCTAGTATTCCTACTGGCGGACTACGGATTGTCAGGTTGGGCCGTTCGAAGATTTGATTAACTCTGCCAAGTTGTTTCCACGATGCTGGGGATGACTGGGCGATGATGAATTGGATTGAATGAGCTGGGGAAATCCGAGGCTATGAAGTGGCTATGCCGCTGTTGGTTGGTCTGGGAGTATCATCATCGACACTGCCACAGCTTTCTTGGTGATCCAATTCGTCCAAAGCTTCTCTTGGTAGAGACAAATACACAACAGGTCCAGATTGAGATGTATAATAGGGTCCACTCTGTTGGAACAAGAAGTCAAGTCGCCGAGAATTTGTATCTGGAAGTCGGATCAGCTACCACCTCGTCCTGAGAGAGCTGCAAACGGGCTGACAGGTATGGTCCACTTTTATGTGCTATCTCAGGGCTGGGAACGAACTCTGCACGCAGGCGAGCCACGGAGAAATCTTCATGTATGATCCCACTTGGGACCCTCGGTCTGTGAGGCGAAGAGCCTCTCATTTCGCAAGACCTTGGGCGGTGTGCTTCCATCCTTGGGACATGTCGGCATCGGACTCCATTGGCAGCGATTGTTTGCTCTCTGCCTGTCCATAGACCGACATTTTCTTATTTTCCCAGACCGCATTCTCAATCGTAGGAAGCGACCGACTTCACATCAATCCTGGAGCGTTATCGGAACTCGGTGCAGTCTGTTTGGCCATGCCAGAAACGGCAAAAAGGCATAGAATTCGATAACGCTATTGGCTCATCAATTCCAGAGTCAAGAGAGCGTTTGCAGGGGATCGACGGCACTAGCAATACCATCCATCCACAATCCCACTTCCGACTGGGCTTGTGTCCCGACTTTCCGGATACCACTACGTACGAAAGGGCATCTATGCTAGCCGACACTCTGCCGGTTTTCTTTGCCCATGGTGTTCCGTTTCGAACGAGTCGCTCCATCAGATACTCCCAAAAGAAGTCAACCAGAACCATCGTCGCAGATCGTTCTCCACAAGATCCGCCAAATGCGATCTATCAGATCCTTGCGGGTCGGGTCACTTGTGAAACCGGCCAGTTTTGTTACAAGGATATATGGATCTCAGATATAGATATCGACGATCTGAAGCTGGGGTATCCCAGTAATAATTCGGATGCGTACCCGCAGCGGCATTGCAAAGCGTGAATGCGCATACACTGATGAATACTTCCGCCACCATGGTTAAGGGTACCATCTACCAACGAGACAACCGGACTAAATGTAGTACCGTCATCGCCAAATATGCACTGCGTCGCCGAAGGCACACCCTTCCTGAAGCTAGAGCCGATTGCGATGCTCATCCGATGAAGGCATCCGTGGCTACTGCAGCTATTAAGGCAAGACTAGGTTTGTAGATTTCACACGTTCCCGTCTCAGCCGCAAATGCTGATGCGCCTGTTGTTTGGATCTTTCATCTGACATAAGCTGGGCAAAGTTTCCTTGGTATGTCATGTACTCGCCAAAACCGTCCAAGATATTTCTTTGGGGTAATTCAAGTCTTACTTGTCCTGAAGCAGCTTACGTAGAAACTCGGGATCGGATGAGTCTGTTTTATTGTACTCGGTGTTGAATGCCCCATCTACCTGAAGCATATGGCATGAACTGATCACGGTACGTGGCCATGTCCACTCTGGGATCTCCACCACCACAATCTAGTCGAACCCAAGCCTTGTCCGGCATCGTTCGGGAGGAAGTGGTCTTCAATGTCCCTGTTATCCATGATCGCTTGACTTGGTGAAAAGATCGTGGCAAGGATGAAACAAGATGGCGTCTGCATTCAGTCCCCTTTCGTTGAAATCCAGACGCATGGCTTTGAAGATCATCGAAGCTTTCTACCAAAGAGCTGTAATGGCTATCAGCTCTACTGGTTCTTCATTGGTTCATGCTGGCAGAGTCCGGCTCTTCTGGAAGCTTGCTTTTCGCTTTCATTTCCATCTTCATCTCTATTCCCCACCTCATGCCTTGTTGTATACAGCCAACTCGATATGGTTCAGCTGCTTAACGAAGTCGTGGGCACTGCAGTTGGCGTACTGATTTATTCCTTTTGCTGCGCAATATGCTCTTTGCTCTTGATATGGCTGGTTTGGGTCCACCATGAGCGAGACAGTTGTAAGTCGCTCCTCTGTACCTCATACTGGATCGTAGCTGATGTCTGCTGCCTCCAGTTGTTGCACTGCTGTCCTATTCAACCCTCCTTAGCACCATAACGAGTATCATCCAGCAGATACACACAATCATCGATTGGAGGGATATCAGAATTGAACAATACAATAACTCGGTTTCCCACAATAGGAACGCCCAGATCATCGTAGCTAGCCCAGCCGTTGGCTTAGACCTCATACTCTTCTACATCCGTAAGCACTCAACTAGCTTTTCTTCAGCATGGCTAAAACTTGTCACAGAATATTACTGCTACAATGTTGAGGGGCTACTTACGCTCTTCTGGTGCGTCCTGTCGTGCCTCTACCTCTCCATGGCTACAGCTTACGTGGATATTGCAGGGCCACCGCTCTCACCCATTCAATTTATGGCTTTGCAAACCCGCCATCATTCAAGGCGATACGGCATGCGGTAAGCCCAGTAGCAAAAGTCATAGCCGTGCTGTTACCGGCACTTTTCATCGGTCTCCTTCAGATAAAAACTCTGCAAACCTCACTTGTGGCTTTCTTGGTGGTAGCAAATATCAACAGTCAGCCAAGAACACCCCGAATCAAGTCTTGTCATTATGTTGCTAATATCTGTTTTAGTGATGGCTACTATGCTCTTCGGGAGTATAATCTTACTGGTCATACTTGGAAAGTACGTACACACCCGACGGCAGCTGCTCTCCTGGGACGTATACGGCGCGTCAGCCACGTCCCAAACAACAGCCGTGGGCTCCAGACACACATCAAGGTCCAGATACCGAAAGAAAAGTATCTATGACCGATGGTTGATCGTGCGCTTCACCGTTGCGTTTGCGGTTCTGGCCGGCTTCCAGCTGGCCACCATCTTCTTTGAGGTGGAATCAATTTACAGAAACAGCAGCGAAGCTATCACCAAGGGCCCAGACCTCACTGTGGCAACAGCCAAAGCCGATTTTCTCTTTTTCTTGCCCGGCGTCTCACCGAGTATCCTCGTGTTTGTGGTCTTTGGCACTACGAAACCTTTTTGCGACACGATGAGATATACGTTTATACCAAAACGATTCCGACGGGACCCAAGACAGATCGACCAAAGCACGTTAGCATGCTCGAGCCGGAGCCAGCGGTCTCGGATGCCCAACCTGCAGCAGGACGATGACTTGTGGTCGCCGACTATGTATGAAGCGCCCTCCATCGTACGGCTGCGAGAGATGGAGGTTGAACGTTCGGAACAGAAGACAGATGACTATGAGTGGCCCATCTTATCCTCCGATAGTGTCACGCGAGTCAACGACAACCTGGTCTGATCTGGGACACTGCAGTATACGATTTTCATGCTACGGTTCCTATGATACAAATTAACGGCTTATCGATGGCTTCCCCATCTCATCTATGATAGGGACTTACTGTAGGAAGTTGGGCACGTTCTGATGTGTGGCCTCTGGATCAAACGGGTGTGCTTAAGGGAATGTATAGTGCCGGACGACAGAAACACAGCTGGGTTTAGTAGCGATGCCCCGTTTACGATTTCATTATTCACATCTTGTCAAAAATATATCATGATTTCTATAACCAAAGCTTCGCGATGCAGAGTCAGAGAGGACTAGTCTGTAATCTGGATAAGTTCTCTTCTATTCTATGGCCTCTCTGTCCTACAATGGTGTCGATATAACCCCCCTCCCTTGACGCCTACAGAGCTATCATCAGCTTCTCTGCAAGAAGAGGCCATATATACTCCCGAAATGCTCTGAAACATATTTGCTAACAAAAAAAAACGCTAGTCATCTAGCCGTGAACTCAATCACTGGCAGCCTCTTGCTTCATACGAGACAGATAGCTGCCGTCTTATATTTGGTTCGTCAACCCTGTTCGACGTATTTTACTCGGCAGCTCTACAATGTGGGGTAAAAATCACACATTCAACAGCTTCAATAGCTCTATGATAAATTGTTAGGTTCTGTCGAGCTACTCAAAAACGCTGCCGCCTAACATCGACTTTCTGTAACACCTAGACCCGCCCGCTACGAGTACGTTGCTTCTTAGGGAATATTTTCAAGATCACACACTCCATCAAACTTGAACCTACCTGCATGAACACAGTCAATTCCGAATGAGAAATCATTGGATGGCAGATCATCTAGAGTGTATTCCATAGTTACGGGGGCTGCAACTGTAGATGCAGTTGACTTTCAGCCATTGAGTGTCTATTAAAACAAGCACACTTGGTAAGAAAAGGCCCATAGTACGAGTTTGAAGATCACCCAGGTTCATACATCCATTACTCCATGGAAGAAAACCTTTACGAGCTGCTTGATCTCGTTGAAATTTCGTTCTGCAATGTGAAGAAATTGGGAATCAGGGGCAGAGCCCGATAACTTTAGTCTAGTGCCCTCCAAGTCGCCCCACCTTGCCAAGATCTTGTCTTAACCACAGCAATGGAAGTTGAACCATCAACGTCAGCAATCACTTCGCGTTGACATCATCTTGATGGCTTCGTTGAACCGGCTCTTAGCCCGAAGTCGCGTGCCGAGACTCGCAAATATCCGCCGATTCTCAGAGGCCGTGTCGCACCCCTCAAACCGGGTGCAGGCCTACGTGTCGCGCAGCTCAGATCCGTACCTCAATCTATCAGTTGAGCACTATCTGCTGCAAAAATCTGCGCCAGAGTCCGTGGTCCTGTTTCTCTACACAAACAGCCCCTGCGTGGTCATTGGGAGGAACCAGAATCCGTGGCTGGAGGTCAACCTCGGCCTTTTGAACCGCGCCGGTCTCCTGGCCAAAACTCAGGGAAGCAGCGACGATGCAGATGAAGGCGTAGCTCTGGTGCGCCGGCGTTCCGGCGGCGGCACCGTCTTCCACGATGAGGGAAACGTCAACTATAGCGTCATCTGCCCGTCAGCGGCCTTCGACCGGAACAAACACGCCGAGATGGTGGTGCGGGCGCTGCGAAGCCTGGGCGCGGAGTCCACGCGCGTCAACGAGCGGCACGACATTGTCCTGGACGTGTCCGCACTGGCCTCTTCGTCCGGTGGCGGAGCCGAGACGTACAAGATCTCAGGGTCGGCGTACAAGCTGACGCGGCTACGGTCGCTGCACCACGGAACTTGCCTGCTTTCGACGCCGAACCTGAGCCGGATATCGCAGTTTTTGCGGTCGCCGGCGGAGCCGTTCTTGAAATCGAGGGGTGTGGACAGTGTGAGGTCCAAGATACAGAATGTGAGGGTTGCGAATCGCGATTTTGAGGAGGCAGTCGTGGCGGAGTTTGGGGGCATGTATGGGGATGTTGATGCGGAGATCATCACTGCTGGGGAGGCGAGGCATGTCCCGGACGTTATGAAGGGTTATGAAGAGCTGAAGGTAGAATCTCTTGAGATTGCCTGTGGAAGGGTTGCGCTGACCTGCTATTTCCAGTCGCCGAAGTGGATATACGAACAAACCCCTCGATTCACCTTCGCAACGCATCCTACGGAGGAAGACCCGAGGGAACGACCAGATCTGCCCGACTATCTCCCAAAGGATGTAAGTTTGACGAGCCAACTTGGAATTTTGCATAGCTAATCTGGCTGTAGTTCAAAGCATCTCTAGTGGTACGCCACGGCGAGATCGTTGAGGCAAACCTGTCAGGCATCTCCTCGTCGTCCATAGAGTCGGTGCAAGTTCACGAGGTGGGGGACTGGCGGGCTATGATCGGAGACTCGGCCGGGAGATGGTTCAACGGCATATTTGGCGCCCAACCGGACCAAGATAGAACCTTGGTGTGTACTCATGATGTACTAACAAGCTGATAGACATAGACCAAAGATACCCCTGTACCAATGGAAGCAGACGAGCTGGTCTCATCAAAACCCATCTGTTCTCTTGCGGATGACTCCCTCCACAACTGAGCGGTTACCGAAAGCAACCGGGGAGAATGCGCGCTGGTCCGGCATCCGATACAGGGCTTCGAGTCACGCATCGAGCGACTTGGGTCCCAGTGGCCAATCCTAGGAACCCCTTGACCGCAAGTGCTTGCTCCACCATCGAGGCTGATGTCGGAAATGAGCCTGCCTTTGAAAACCCAAGGACGGAAACTCCAAGTGTCATTATCTGTGGTTCCTTCTATGGCCACCCTCTTTCTATCACTTCAAAGCAGCCCAGTGTTGCCCCCGAAACCTTTCAAAATCTCATACCTGATTGCTTTCTCTCACAACTTCGAAATCAACTAGACAAGTCACCTTCTTGCAGTCTCGAACTCCCTAAAACTCAAAAGTCTGTTCAGATTATCTAGAAAGTGCAATAGTTTTGACACGATACAGACTATCCGAAGACTAGCCTAGAGATGGATACATCAGGCGTACCTGACTTACCTGACCTAATCCCTGTATGGTCTGTGCGCTTCGCGGGGGACGATCGGAGGGACTTTTCAAGACCCCGCCAAAAAATATGCATTCCACTTGCGCCGACATTCGAGTCATTATCGAACCAGCGCATTTTTCGACCCGAATTCTGAGGTCGAGTTGAATCCGTGGAACTCAATTCAGCTGTCCCCTACGCATTTTGTGACCTGGTATAATTAGCGGCACATTATAGCGTCCTGAATCTCCCTTCGGCCCATTTCCTCTACGCTTATCCCTCCGTCGCTTCTACAGTATCCTGGTTACTTCCACCGCCATTCCATTGAAGATGTCGACCTTTGGGCACGCCTTCCGGGTGACCACCTACGGCGAATCGCACTGCCGCTCTGTTGGCTGCATTATCGATGGCTGTCCTCCGGGGATGGAGCTTACCGAGAGCGATATCCAACCCCAAATGACCCGAAGACGGCCGGGACAATCGAGCATCACCACGCCGCGAAACGAGAAGGACCGCGTCATGATTCAGTCCGGGACCGAGTTTGGTATTACACTGGGCACGCCGATTGGCCTCATAGTGCTCAACGAAGACCAGCGACCGAGGGACTATGGCAATAAGACTATGGACATGTACCCGCGACCGAGCCACGCCGACTGGACTTACCTCGAGAAGTATGGTGTCAAGGCCAGCAGCGGTGGCGGCAGAAGTTCTGCCCGTGAGACTATAGGCCGTGTTGCGGCCGGTGCTGTTGCTGAGAAGTACCTTAAGTTGGCTTATGGGGTGGAGATCACAGCCTTTGTCTCCTCCGTTGGTAACATCCACATGTTCCCCCCTACGACCGAAGCCCCGACACCGAGCCAGAACCCCGACTTCCTCAAGCTTTTGGAAACCATCGACCGCAAGACCGTCGACCAGTTCCTGCCGGTTCGATGCCCGGACGAAAAGAAATCGGAGGAGATGGCCGACTACATCGCTGAGTACAAGGAGCGGGAAGATAGTATTGGTGGGACAGTCACCTGCGTCATCAGGAACGTGCCGAGTGGGCTGGGCGAGCCTTGCTTTGACAAGATGGAGGCCGAGTTGGCACACGCCATGATGAGCATACCGGCTACCAAGGGCTTCGAGGTTGGATCTGGATTTGGCGGCTGCGAGATTCCGGGTTCTATTCACAACGATGCCTTTATCAGAGCCCCCGAATCGGACAAGTCATCAAAGTCGGGCATTCCTAGACCCAAGCTCACGACGAAGACGAATAATTCGGGCGGTATCCAAGGTGGTATCACCAATGGTGCCCCGATTTATTTCCGAGTTGCTTTCAAGCCTCCCGCGACTATTGGACAGGCACAAAACACGGCAACGTACGATGGTGATGGTGAAGGTGTTCTGGCGGCGAAGGGTCGACATGATCCCTGTGTGGTGCCCAGGGCGGTGCCGATTGTTGAATCGATGGCAGCGCTTGTTATCATGGACAACCTGATGCAACAAATTGCTCGGCATGGAGCCAGAACACATCTGGCGTCGTTGCAAAATAGAGCGGTTTCTACCGAGAATAGCGTGGATCGGCAGTAGAGATATACCCGAACAGACAAAACAAGCGAAAAACGGAGATCTTGGGCCAATGCTGCTAATTATTTTGCAGAATACTGTGATATAATCGACCTTCGCGCCTTGCTTATTCCGTCAGATGATACGGGATGACGTGGGTCATTTGATACTGTTGCATTCGGGGAATAAAAGACGATAAGTGAAACTAGTCATAGGAAATGTATCTTCTTAAGTTCCTACGGTTTGGGTCACACCGTTTGTACAGGTTATGGTCGTCTTGACGTCCGGTGAGATGTTCAAAATAAGCCTCGAAACCTCGCAGCTTTATTTTCTGTTAAGAACAATTATCTAACCTTTGTGGGATTGAGCGCCATATGTGTGCCTGAGGTGGTGCCTAAGGCAGTGAAATCGCTTGTGTAGATAAAAAGGTCGGCACCTGCCTACCTACCTTAGATGTAACTTCTTACAGAGCACTCCGAGCAGTCAATACACACATCACACTGCGCATCGAGCATCGTAACCAATACAGGATCTGTACAGAGTCATCATCTGAGGGTTGAATCCCTCAACCTTTACCTCTAAACTCATAACACTGTAAAAGACACCCTGCTTTACTCAAATCAACAAGTAGCTCTTATCATCAATGATACCAAGGTCAGAGATTTCATGCACGGGATACACTCTAAAATACCACGTTCGGCCTTTTGGTTCAATACAATACTTTGATAAGAAGACGAACCATCAGATTGGCATCGTCCATAAGCCCTTCCATGCGTACTCGGTCTTTCTCTGATTGATCAATCCCCACTGCCTACTCGCTCTTCACATGAGATAGTCGACCAGTGATGCCACTTTTCTCAAGAGGGAAGGATGGATGTCAGAATCGTCCCCCCGCTTCCCCCCCCCCCAAACCGCGCCACCTTTCATCAGCCCGTTCCGATCTCCTTTCCTCAGTGCGAAGTCCCCTGATTTGCTTCCGTTCATCCTGGAGAGAAAACATTTAGCATTCATTGATCCAGAATAGACTAGAATCTGCGCGAAAGGTTTGGTGATATACGTACAGTGGTCAGCTTCCGGGGAAGCTCGAGGATGAAATACCCATCGATATCCTGGTTTGGATCAGCATGAGCAGTCTGGCTGTGTAGAATGAAGATATCACGTTACATGACAAGACTTCGAGCGTATGGACTCACTTTTACTTTGATCGTCGTCCCGGGAAACTGTTGACGTAGATACTGCTCTAGGTGGTCCTTGGGTAGTCTGTACGTCGGTATGATCTGGATATTATCATCAGACATAGGCACATCCATGATTGCAACTCTCAATTAACGTTGCGGCTATTTTAACAATGCTTGAATGTTGAGTGATTGATTTCAAAATTCTGGATTCCTTCTGTGTAGTTGCGGCGCGAGGCTGTCAGCGTTGAAGAGCAAGAGTAACTCCAAGAGCGTCAGCCGCCCCCAGGCTAGATTTTTCCCACAGCCTCACAGGGAAAAATGGGTGTGGAGGCAGTTTTCGTGACTTCATTGTCTCGCATGATGGCGCATGCCAAATCGAGCCAATGGGGAACCAGTGTCACCGCACCTTGCCGAAATCCCTTCATCAAAAATGCCTTGTTCAGGGCACAATTACACGAACACTCCTCAACATCATGGCAAGTATCCAAAACACATGCCTGCGCCCAAGCACAAGGGATGTGATGCTTCTGTGGCCTTCGCGCCTTTTCCCATTTTCCCCGTGACCTTGATAGCTGATCAAGACCAGCATTTGGACTCCTTTTAAGTTTGGGCATCAGTCGACAGCAAATTTTTGCTTGGCATCAGAGGTATTCATGCCAGCCTTTGGGGTTTTAACACGTTGATGAGTTCAATTCCTATCCCGTGCTTAATCTTCAATCCATCCCAGTAGACGTGGCAGGTTATAGCCCACTGCGGCTTTCTATTCTGACGTTCTCGTGCCTCCGTGCCATTTTCTGAGATCTGGTGGCTGCATGATGCCCTGTCCGCACCTAGAGATGAGCTAGATGCTCTACGAGTTTCTAACTTCATCCGTCTCTAATTACAGCCTGGCTAGGCCCGCCGTCCCTGCTGTGAGGCCACTGTGTATTCAGGGATGCTGGTTGCCGCATGCTTGCATCCCGAGAAGTCTGGGTATAACGTAGACGACGACGCAGGATTGTGACCACGTCATCCGTGCATTTTGAACAAGAAGCATTTGTCTGCGGACTGCTCGCTGTAAGCATCATTTTCAAGTCTTTACACATAGGCATATACTCACGAGACATCGTGTGGATAGCGAAACACGGGGGTATTGCACATTCGCATAATCCTCTGCATTCCGTGATCCAGTCCCCGGTACTGGATGAAGTGAACTGACACCCAAGATTCGTCAAATTTCATCTCACGCAATACCTCATATAACTTTTTGATTGGTTCCTCGAGCCCCTCCTCATGTACATCACCTTCTCCGTCTGTGAAAATGTACAGACTCTGGCGATCAGGCCGCCGGTCACGCAACATTTTGATGGTATCATCAGCCCAATACCCCAAAGTCTCCCGCAATTGTGTATTGGAAGCTTCAAATGAGTTCACACGCACTGCTGCTTCTAGTTTCTTACTTTTCCTCGTAGGGTTGGTGACCAGACCGGAGCTGAACCAGATTTTCATTCCCTGGCCATTGGGTGTGATGTCCTTTAGAATCTTCCCCAAAACGCGGATACCTTGGGACACAGCAATTTGGTTAACCCTCATCGATTCAGAGTTGTCGACTAGAAAAACCTGGCTCAAAGTTAGGCTGCTGTTAGATTCACGAAGGTGATAATCTGATTCCCTACCTGCGTGCGACCGCTTGAGCGTCGCAAGTCTTCCAACTCTTTTCCAATTGACGGTATGTTCTCCAGCCGAGCTCGCCGGCGCGGCGATTCATGGCGTATGCGCTCATATAGTTTCTCAATAGTAAGAGACATGTCTGGGATAGGCTTCTCATTGTTGGCTGCTGATGCAGGGTTGTCTGGAGGTTTGTCCCTTGTTTCATTTCCCGCGATGACGCCAAGGGTCATCAAATCACCACTTGACACGATATCTGATGGTGGAATTCTCGACTGCGCAGTCCCAGGCCTGGTGCTGTTTAGTTTTTGTGCGGACATGGACTTTATCTTCTTGTTTTCCCAGTCCGTGTGGACATCTCCAGCTTCCAAGCGCTCGTCGAGACGAACAAGCATATCAACCAGCACAATTTCGCTCACAAGCTCCAAGACGCCATCTGAGCCCGATCTTTTCAGTACATCCTGGTGCATTTCATCAACTTCTGGTAGTCTCTTTATGCCGTTGTGGAAGGATGCATCGCTGCCTGTTCCATTAGCAGATGATTGTTTGATGGCGTCTCGTCGTTGACACCTGTATTTTTCTCGGCCGTACTCTCCGCGTATTGACCACACGAGCGCCTCACTATAAACAGTGCCTAGATTCCAAACATCACCACGGGTGGAGATCTTTGCATTGACGAGATAGTGAATTTCACGAGCTTGGAATGCTTCCGGTGGGCCTTTATTATGTTACGAAAATGAGCATTAATCCGACGGTGATCTCAAACGAAGCAAAAACTTACCATACATTTTGTTTCCATACTCATTAACAAACGGGTTGTCTGCTGCTTCCTTAACTTGTACACAGCTGCGTCCGAAGTCGGCAAGCTTGAATGTGCAATTATATGGGTCTTCTTCAGGACCAGGAAAAACCAGTATGTTCTGCGGTTTGATGTCTTGATGTATACTGATTAGTACACGTCAGCAACCTGAGAGCCCTAGTGTCAACTTGATCACAACCCACCCGACGAACTTCCATTCCATGCCATTTTCACGGCTTATTTTGGAGTCATGCTGTGAGGAGACTTGACCATGGAGTGCTACCAAGCCGTCACACATGACAAACATAGCATCCCAGAATGCTTTTCTGCGGTCTGCAGGAAGTCCTTCTCTGTGCTTCTGGTAATAGTTGACGAGGTTCCCACCACGGGCGTATTCGAGGATTATGGTCCGGGTGTTCCCTTGTTCTATCGACCCGTAGTAACGAACGATGCAATTGAATGGTAAATTTTCAGAGAGCCGGTGTTTTTCGAGTTTCCGAAGTAAGTTGTAGGCGGTAACTTCATTCCTGTACATCTGAAGCTCTTGATTTGACATCTTGCTGGTGAATTTGATTTCCTTGAAGACAAAGGTGTTCCTGAGATGGTCGACATCCTGATCAGTTACAAACTTGGCATCTGAGGTCAGGTCGTTGTAGTTCTCGTCAATCTCAACTTTGTAGATGCAACTTCCGTCTCCGACTTCGTTATTCACCAGCGTTTTTGATACCAGGGGAAGTATTTGGTCTTGGGAGACCTCGGGTTGGTGCATGAGCTTCGAAATCTTCTGGGGGCAGAAGCACCATTGGTCCTGCATGAACCGCTCCCACAGAGGCCCGTTACCAGAGCTCCAGCCTGGGACACGTTTGAGTGGCAGGTTATTATCATCTTGCTCATTGGCGACAAAGACATCGAAGTGATCGATTAGATCAAGATGTACCAATATATACAGAACTTGAACGTAATTTTCCTCGATGGCGTCCTCCTTTACATTTTTACGTATGCGCGGGTTGCTATTGACGATCTCTTTAATGCGTTCGGAATTCCAGAAGGCCTCCAGCTGATCGCGACGTATGTAGTTGGCTTGATCTCCCCGACCGTTGTAGCCGGTGCTTGAATGTTTTTCAATATACTGATTGAATTCGCTGCATAAGTTAGAGTGAAATTGCACTTGTCTTGTCGCATTGGAGTCTGTGGATGGAAGGCTTGTAGTGGCTGGCCTCATGGTAAGGAAACGGATATTTCCACAGTGCTCAATGACGCCTCAGCTCCAGGCTTTTGGTATGAATTGATTCCATTAAAGGGTTATTGGTAATGTAGACACAAGTCATCTTCGTGAGAAGAAATGAGGTAGGCAGCCACCCATTCGGCGCCCGCACTTGCCTGAAGAGGACGAGCAGGTAAGTAACCTGGATTGGTTGCGCCCCGACCTTACGTCCTGTATTGTTGTATTTGGATCGCATGCAGGCAACTTGATCACCAGCGTTAGCTTCGAGTGTGGGCCCTTGGCAATATTGAAAAACAAATGAGAAGCTTGGAAAGAGTGGTTTGGAAATGTTCTTCCACTAGCGACTCGAGCCTGCCCACGCCACTGTCACTGATTTTCATCTTGAGGTCTATGCAGACCTTGCTCGAATTCGCCCGACCAGTATGTCAGTAAAGTAAGCACAGCTCTGGTGAACCGCCTTAGGCATCGAAAAAGGTCTGGGGTTTGGGCCGACTAAGGTCAATTGAGATGTCAACCCGCACCTTCTCAGCCATGAATCTTTCGCCGCAACTTGGAGCCTCTTGGGAGTTAAGCACCTCGGTTCGACGGTTCGAGCAAGATGGGAAAAGTTGTTATTTACTTTTACATGCTAAGGGTCCCAAAAAAGATGAAACAGAAAAAAGAAAACCTTCTTTCGACCAGGTAACAGTCATGGAACGTGCGACTCCTTCATGCGAATAGCTTCCTGGAGCTCGAGCCTAGCCTTACGCTCGATGTTCCAATGTACCAACAGCCAAATCAATGCGATTCCCACCATCAAGGGAACGCACACCTCTACAAACAAGGCAAAAGCGTCCCCGCGGAACTGCCAAGTACTGTCAATGCTGATGCCGTCATTCCACTGAAGTACGCCGCTCCCAAAGAAGGTATACGCAAACCGTCAGCAATGCGCGCGCATGGAACCAATGTCTGGGACTTACAGATACGAAAGTTCCAGGCAGGAACACAAGCGTGACGACCGTGATAATATGCATCGAACTCGTCTCGTTTGCTGCTATCAGCTCCGTGTTCTTGGCTGACATTTGCGCCTTTTCGGCAAATATTTGGCTGACCTGGAGATTCCGGTACTGCAAGATACTCTCCAACTGTTCAATATCAGAACATGCGCCGACAGTCACTAGAGCTCGATCTAGGTTCTACTTGCCAGCTTTTTTCCTTCGTCCAATCTGCGCAGAAGAGACTCAAGTTGCGTTTGACGAGTTTCCAGGCTCCTAACCAGGTACTGCAATTGTCTGAAGAACGTCCCAGTGCGTTGAGCGAAGGAGTCGGGGCCGGGTGCTAGGTTACTGCACGGCATACTTCCATAATACGCGCGGCAGTCTTGAATAACGCCAACGTCTAGCTTGATGGTGAGGATGGCTTCTTCGACCCTTTCGGCAATCACGTTGAGCTTCTGCAAGTCAGATAAGTTGAACATCTCGAGAACCAGCATCTTCCCAGGGGGCTTGGCTTTCATCTTATTCGGGGGCGAGTTCTCTGACGATAATGAAGGCGGCTCTCGCTTCAGAAGAGACAGCACAGAAGACATGGTCGACTGCTTCTGCGGTGGCAGAAACCGTTCAGCTTGGCTTGGTTGATTTCCTGGATCCAGATTGAAAGCGTCATTCACGCTCGGCTGAGTAAACTGATGCCTCCTAGAATACAATGCCCATTGCTGGGAATGTTGCTGCTCGGGCCGGAAAGGCTCGAAGTGAGGCACCCGCCCAATAGGGGCCGTTTTGGCCTTGGTCGAAATTCTGCGGACAGCGTCCTCTACATCACGAACGAGCCATCGCCAATTCTCTTCACACCACCTGAAATACACAAGATGAGTCTTCAGAGTGGCCTCAAAGGCATCGTTAATATCCCCACCGTTCTTGTCATCGGATCCTGAAGATCTTGACGGTGAAGGCTCCAGATTGGGCGCTTCTTCGCAAATATGCTCACGCAGTAGATTATTGCCCTTGATTGTGATCCACAACGTGCGGCCAGTTTTTATGTCGAACGACAAATAGACTGCGGCTTGTCGAATAGACCACTTCCACTCAGCCTCTGGGACATGTTCTGGGGCTCTCAGCAAATACGAGAGACGCATTGATGAACCAGAACGGCCTAGTGTTGGTATGGCCAACGCTGAGGATCCAAGTGAGTCGTCGGATTGGAAGTGGCACAAGCAGGCGTCTATCGGTTCCTCCTGGTCTCCAAAGGTGTGGAGGTAGTCTAGAAAAGATGGTTCTACCTGCTGAAACGTGAACAAACTCTGAAGCATCCGCAAAGAGCAGTTCAGAGGCGCCCTGGAGTTATTCGCTTCGATGAAACTGGGTAAAATCTAGCTGCAGCACCTGTACATCTCGGGACGTTGTCACAACTTACACGTGCCTGCAACCAGGGTCTTTGGTGTCTGGATAGAGGTGGTCATCTAGAATTTTGGGTGCTCGGATAGCTTTCAATTGGAATTCTGTTCTGGGTCAGGTTTGCCACAATTGGAGAATTGGAGGGCTCATTCTTTTCCGCGTGTGAACTTACTTCCTTCCGCTCTCCAGGCTTCCCAGAACACCAGTTGTGGTTGCGATTCTTTGAATAGTCTCCCACTCTCATCCTTCAGTCGTTTTCGATATCCTTTAAGGACTCTCTCTGGCCGGGATTGCCGCAGAATATTTTCCGGGTATTCCTCCCATCTCCTGTAAGCATCGTCCAGCTGGTCGTACACATAGTCGGTCATTTTGAGGCAGCATGAGGGGGATCATCCCACCAACCGAGTACAGGGCCAGAGTGACTTAAATACAAACCCCACGCCTTGGTCCGAACCATTACAGCCTCTTGCCATGGAATTCGAACAGAATAAAGCCCCGGGGAAGTGAAAGCCTGGGAGAGCCTCGTTGCACGGTGAATACTCTGGACATCATCATTGCCTGAGGCACTCACACATTGATATGCTGCTGTGGCTATGATTGGACACCTAAATAAGCAACCCACCCTTCCAAATGACCGTCCGACCAGATTGACGTGGTCACGCATGAATTGAGGCTCTTTGTGGGTCAACGCACTTGCTTAGTGCTCATCTCAGGCATGAAGAAATCCTTGTTGTCCGAAACGCCATGGGTTATAGCCTCAAAGGAGGCGTCCTTGTTTCCATGGAACCCTGTCATTCAGCTGGAAGGAATCTTGTAAGGTGCATTTGATCAACAGCCTCGGTATTATTGTCGGTCACTTCGGGTATTTATTTCCCGGGGAAAGATGGGCGCCTATGGAAAAAGCTCGACAGAGTAATGCTATCTGCAAGCAACGTTGGGGTTTGGCGGTCTCAGTGCATATTATTTTGGCAAAAAAAACTTGCTTCAGTCCTATCTCGCGGCAGAATATCATTACGGTCGGGTGATCGTGGTAAATAGAAGTATTCAACAAGTCATCTTAGCATAAGACTGTAGGGGTTCCTCATTATGCCCACCCCTGTAATAACTATCCTTGGAGCAAATTACATTACCACGTGCAAAACAGATGTACCACTTTGCTTCAGACAAGGCTCGAAGCTCAACCATCCTGCGCTTGTGGGGGGTTCCATCGTCTCAAGTCCCGCAGCTCGGTCCGTATTGTCTGCCTCTCTTCCTGTGCCTCGTCAGCGGGTTTTACCATTCTCCAAGCGGCGCGTAGTTCCATACCTCGGTCAGCTTTCGTGGGAGCAGAACATTGTAGTTCGCATCGACGGCATACCTAACATCAGAAAGAAATAGATAAATAAAAGAAACAAACTGTAAAATTCCAGAGCGAAAATCTGGCTGCGGCGAGGCTTACTTCAACGCGTACTTGTGTACTCTGGAAAAAGTACTGTAGCCACGCTGTCAAGACGTCACTCCTGAGGTGATAGCTTGAGACTGTGTCCCAAAGCCAAGGTCGAACGGGCTGGACGGAGTGTCCTTCATACCAGTCATAGTGGTACGGACCCGACATTATGTATATCTGTCGTGATGGATATCGTGTTCAGCAACAAGCCAACGGTATGCTTCGCCGTTAGATCAAGAAAGCAAAATCCAGGCGAGATTTGGGGGGCGATTCAGCACTTAATATCTAACCTGTATCCGATGCGAGATGGATGGAAGTCAGACGTCTTCAAGTCTTACATACCCAGAGCCTCTATTGACATCATGTATGTCGTGTTGGGCGGCGAAGAAGACGCACGCAGTATTGGACGTCGTACGACATGAAGAATGAGATGCGGGTAGACCACATCCTGCGGGTTGTGAAGCGACCTAAACTACCGAAGGCTTCATCTTACCGAAATTGAGTCACGCAAATATGCAGTTCTTCCAGGATCAGTTGAGCCGCAATCGTCTCGAGGTGCTGTTAGATGGTTCGTATCATTGGCTTCTACTGCATGAAGGAAGCCCAAACTATACCAGGGCAACATCATGGCCACCACAATCTTCGAAGTTCACCAATCAGCAGGTTGACCGGCTGGACAGTCATCAGTTGTATCCAATCGCAATATCCTATTACTTTCTGCATGAAGTGTTGACAGGGTTGACAATCGATCTGCTCAGTCAGAGCAGGCTGGGGAAAACGCTGCGGCCCCAGATTGGGAATATCGGCGCCAGAATCATGCAAGAGATCACTTGTCAGGCAAAGTACGCTCAACTCAGTCATGTCTTTCCATATACCCAACCAGGATCAAGTTCCAGTTTCCAAGTTCACATCGCCTGTAAGGGGGGAGGGCTCCGTTGTCCCAGCAAGCATGTAAACAGGCTCGAACCAGGCGAAACAATTGGAGAACCAGGAAGTAAACCATCCTTGTACCAAGCGGTGTGCTGAAAAATAGTATGAGATGCTCTCACAAAGTGGAGGGTACGCGGGCTCCGTGGCCTCCATAACTTGGCAATCCTGAACCAAAGCAGCGGAACTCATCAAGAAGACGAAACATGACATAACAGGATGCTCCGGGAAAACAAAGGAGAGCTTCTATCAGAATATTTAGCTAGAAAGCCAAATTCCAAGTAATATAATATCAACAAATATCATGAGGTACAAGATTACTTGAATATATTAGCCAGGACCAGCAATACCTAACACTAGACGTTACCATCCGTAAGACACAAGCCCATCCACGAAGAGAGAATCAACAGAGAGGAGTCCAAAAATATCAGGTCAACCCCCGTCTACACTAAAGAACGAAATAGTTACGAAGGAAAAATAAAAGTGCAAAGAGCTCAGGGGCAGGCTTGACCTGCACCCTATGAAAGGGTTTGGGTATTCATAGTACATCCTCTACGCGGCGGAACATTCTAGGCTACGCAATTTGTGCCATGTCAACTAGTCTACCAGACCGACTGGTCGGTTCCGTAGGATGATTGGGAAGCTGGATGCATCTTTGTGCCATATGAATCCAACACAAGAGGGCGATGAAGACCAGGTACCCAAGCTTCGTCCGCAACCAGAGTGCAACAAATGAACCGCCAACGTTTCCAAGTCTATCTGCCATCTGTGGAGGGCGACAAGCTTGACCTCCACCACGCCGTCGCCACCTCCTTTTGCCTCAAGGCCTTCGACTTCACCAGCGAGTAAGGAGATTAGATTGCATAACTGCCACAACAATCTTCACGGTCGACCTCAACACATCGTACGCAGCGACACAAACATCAATGTCCAAGCATGCGCACGGCCAACACAGTCAACAACTTCAAATTGATCTGTCCACACATGCACTCGGCCACTTTCCCTGCCACGCGCCAACCCTACATGCACTATTCAAATATGATCTCGACGCGTCTTGTTCCGCATCCTGGAATGCCAATTTGATAATCTATAACTGCGGGTTGGATTCGTTTTACATATGGGATACAAATACACAACATTCCGGTGTTCCGAGCTGATGATGGATGATCCCCCTCTAATGCTAACCCCTGAAGTCGGTTAGGCCCTCGTCCTCCTCCAACATGGTGGCGTAAGACAACGGCGTAAACATGTGGCCGGCGAACTCGGCGTACTTCGACTGCGCTTCGACCCATTGCAGACGGAGGGAGTGCAACTACAAATTTTCGTAAGCATGGTTCCATGGTGACATGACAGAGGGGTGACGAGGAGTAGTTGGAGGGGTGAACTTACCATGGCACTGCAGCCTTCCATGGCAATCAGAACAGCGCAGCTGAGGAAGAACCACAAGTAGAACCCGATGACAATCATGATAACGCCAATAACACCAGTTTTGTTAATTGTCCCGCCGAGAGTCATGTCCCACAGGACGACACTGAGTTGCTGATGTGCGAGGGATAGAGCCCATAGACGCAAATAGGAAGCAGTGTGGGAAACACAGTTCAAGCAGAATTCTGCACAAAGAATTAGCACCGTGCAGCAACGTGGACCACCAAGATCACAGAACATGCGAAAGAAACTTGCCTATAGTGTGGATAACCTGGTGGATCATGACCTCACTGAACTCAAACTCCCCATGGCCTTCGTCGTCGTCATCGTGGTCCTGGGCGATCATAGTGACACCCTCACCACCATCGCTCTCTCCACTGGGTCGGCCATTGGCTCCGGCGTGTCCGTTTTCGTCCTCGTCGTCCAAAGCCGACACTCTCGAGTTCTCACCGATACCGTGATAGCCCTTAGCGCGCGCCCGATTGTGCTCCCAACGAAGGTAAAAGGGCTTCAGGAATAGCAGGATAGGAACTTGGACAACGGCTAGAAGCAGCAGGAATACCTGCAGGGGTGCTTGCCCAGGGTAGAGCTCTTCATCCAGTTCACCAGGTTGCAAGAACATGTAGATCAACATGTTCAGAAGTCCGGGAGGGTTCTTGCCAATTGCGTTCCAGTCCACTGACCACTTGTAGATGATACACACGACAAGGTAGCCGAAAATAGACTGGAAGAAGATCATGCCCGGGATGAAGTTGCCCCAGATGTCGATTGGCTTCTTGAAGTGTCGAGCATTCAGGTACGAGAAACACAGCGAGTAGGTCATGTGAGCCCAACCGAGGATGATACTCATCTTCATCTTGTAACTGTTTGTGAAGAGAAGATCATTCTCAGTGCCGTGCCATCTCCAATCTAGACCAAATGGATACCGGTATGAACTCTTCAGTTGGCCGGTGAGCGCCTGACCCTCCTTCCAGCCGTCTGGAACTTTCCACTCCCACTGACTGTCAAAGAGCGTCAGGGATTTGGAGAAGGCATCGTTGTACATGAGACCAGTGTAGACGGAGAAGATAGCCATGACGAGCGCAATGTAACGACCGTAATAGATCATGGCGAAGAGCTCGAACGTGACTTTCTTCAAGGGTCGTTCCCAGTAGATCATGGCCAAAGAGGCGCAAAGCATGATGATGGCATGTCCGAGGTCACCGAACATGACAGCGAACAAGAAAGGAAAGGTAACGATGGCAGGGAGGGCAGGATTAACCTCTTGATAAGTGGCCGTGCCGTAAGCGTTGATGATGGTTTGGAAAGCCTCGGTGAATTTGTTGGTCTTAAGATAAGTCGGAGGCGTCTTGTTGGTTCGAATCTCATTGATAATGGATGGAACGGAGAGACCGGCTCGGTTGGTCACATCCTGAAGGGTTGTTCGGATCAGAGCTAGATCATTGGTGGGACACCATCCCTCGGCAATGAGAGTTCTCCGTTGTCGATCGAACGAAAAGAGGTTGAGGGTCTGGTATGCGGCCTTCTCCTTGGTGATGAGAACCATCCAGGCAGACAAGGACTGGCCGATCTGGGTCAACTCAGCCTCGAGAGTCTGCTGGGTGTTCCTAAGCACGTTTTGGACGTCGTTTAAGCGAGCGTTGACCTCATGGATTTGATCCCGGCGGAGATCGCTGTTCTCGTCCACGTTGTAGATCTCGGCTCCCATGGACTCGGAAATCTTTCGAATCTTGGCCAGAATCTCTTTGCCGTGCGCAAAGATGACGAAGACGTTCTTGTTGACGGCCTCATTGGTAGTCGGATCGACCAAGGCGTCGGGGATCTCGGACTGGTTCATGTAGAGATTTCCACGCAGGGTACGCCAGAGGATGCGCTCGAAAGCAGCAACTCGATCGCGAGAGATGACACCGGCGACGAAGCCAATGTTCATTCCGGAGAAGGATCGCTCGACATCAGGGGCGGAATGGTGCTGCTCAACATCCTGCAGGAGGGGAGCATCGTCGTCCTCGGTCGAAGCTCGGATCTCCTCGACGTTGCCGTGCGCACGGTCAAAGAAGCCGCCTGCCTCGCGCAGAACCCATCGCCACTCGGTCAACTCGACCTCTCGCCTCTTCAACGTCTCATAGCTTTCGTTGAGGTCATGGACGCGCGTCTCCAGGCCCTGGCTTCTATCTGCCAGCTCGTCGATTTCGTTGGTGGTGGGAGGGGCGAGGCTGTCGACATCAAGATCCATCTTTCTAAGGGGGATATTGGCCTTCTCCATCTGCCCGTAAAAGTAGCCTGCTGAGTTAGCAGCTGAGCGTCTTTTGACGACGTTGATCGGGATGACTTACGAAGTTGACGTTCCACATTATCAAGTCGTCGGATCTCCTGGGTGAAGGTACGTTGGAAAGCGCTGGTGTCGCCATTGAGCTGCATCATGTGTCAGTATTGCTGGCTGCGTCGGAGCTGTTCCAGTGGTTGATGGGCGTGACGTACATCGCGGAACTGGACCAGGCCAAGCTCTCCCAGAGCGTTGACGACCTCTCTGCCGATTTCATTGGAGATGTAGAGCTGCACCATGCTCATATCCGCCGAGCGGAACATGGATGTCTTTGATGGAGCCATGATGGCGGTTGGCTCCGAGGTGCGAAGTGCGAGCGCGTTTAAGGGATGCAACAAGCGATGAAGCTCAATGGAAGATGGACCTCCAGAAGTCGTCGAACTTCCAGGTGTCCACCCCCGACTAAAGTGATTATCCGAGACTTTGCCGACGTAAGTAATGGTCTGTGCTGTATCCTACGCATTGATGAACCTTGGCAGGCGCCTACTACAAAGAAATGACACACCGGCCAAAACTCACCGGACTACACTACAACGCTACAACGATTAACCACAATTACGCTACTATAATTCTGAATATATATCAATAAAATATATAGCTTTACAGAGTACCTAGAGTATCTGTGGATTTGGTGGCGTGAGGTCATGGTAAGGTACATCTGAGATACTTAAGTGTCCTTGTGCGGCTTGGGCCCCCCACCTGTACTGCCCTTCTTCACATTCGTATGTAGCCGGAATGACAGTACCAGTGCCATTCCACAGTATCCAGTACTATATGGAAGTGTACCTTTTTATACTTTCTCTTAGTAATATGTTAAGGATTCGGTCCTTCCTCAATACTCTGGTTTCTCAAGGTATAAATCGCTACTTGGTCGTACTTGCGAGGTCCCAATTGGACCAAAATCTATTTTATAGCACTCAGTATGTTCACGCTTTGCAAGCGTGTAGGCCTCTACATCTAATCTAATCATTTGTATGGTGCCCGCGTATGTCCGACACATATTAGCCTTTAAGTGTAGCTAGATTAGAAAATGGTACTGAAATACCCTCCTATTAGCTTAGTATGCCGCCACTTCACATGGTACGTCTAAAGGTAGACAAGTTTTCAACAACGTTTGAGTTTCAGAAGTGTTATTAAGTGACATCAGATAACTTGTCCTATGATAAGCAAGACGAACTAAGCTTCCAGGGCGGGAAGGCACATCATTCACTCTTACCTCGGGCAACGGGATTAGTCCCATCTTAACCGTGTTTCTTGAAGTGGTACCATATCTTGATAAACTTACACGGCAGCCAGCCAGGTTCCTCTACCCTTTACTTTTTATCTTTGTCTACCTATTTTATGGATAGTTGTATAATCCTCCGTCGCATGGCAACCTTGGTGTGACCATCACGACTAACAGTACTACAGTATTTATAGCCATGTACTTGTCTCGTAGTCAACACCATTGTGTTGGCTGCATATTGATTGGGTGATTTCATTCTACAAACCTCACGATTCATCACTTGATCCCCTTGACGTCAATACTGTACCGCTTTATTAATCAAGCACTGCTGATGAAAGCTTTCGTATATCATCATATTCATAAATGGTATTTCCCGATCTAATGACAATGCCTGGTATACTTTGCTTTTCTCAAACCACCCCCTCCTCCTCCTCCTCCTCCTCCTCCTCCACAGTAGGAAGTACTTTCCAATGCCGTGCAATCCAGGTACAAAGAAGAACGAGCCAATTCCCACAACACCAAACAGGCTTGCCCAGGAAGTTGTGACGATAAAGAACCCTGATTCCGCCAGCCAACAGACCGCCCCCGCACGGACGACCAAAAATGCAAGAACAAAGCCCTTTACAACTTCCTTTTGAACATGTAGGACCCATACATGCCACCCACGTCGGACCTAGCGACGGGAAGCTTTCGCATGCCCCAGAACGAAGCGCCCATCTTCCAGGAACGCATTCCCGAGTCCCGAGGGCCGTCCTTGGCGGTAAATCGTCTGACAAGCCACGCCCTGCTTCCGAACTCCTTGACCGCCCACCCGGATTTCTCCACGGCCGGCGATTTCGCGAGGCGCATGTATAGCTCGTCGGCAACTTCGACTACCTCCAGCGGGGCCGACGACTTCTTCATGATCGATATGCTGCTTCCAAACAAGGCACTCAGGTCCAACTCTGTCCGCATGTAGTCCGATAGGTCGAGATACTTGAGCGTGTGAGGTTCCCAATCCACCTCCATCGCCTCCTGATCGTCGTCGTTCCTGTTGGGTCTGAATAGCTGATCGATGTCGCTTACTTGGAGCCGTCGTCCCAGTGCCAGTTCCTCTAAATGCTTCGTCAACGGTCGAAGAAGGTCGATGTGTGTAGAATCCATTTTGCTCCCCTTCAGGCTAAGAGATCGCAGGCTCTTAGGAAGGATTGGAATCAACCTGCTCACGTCGTCTACATCCAAAAGCTGGTGGCTCCGCGCATCTGTAGCAAGGCTCAGATATATGAGTGAGTGCTTCACCGCCGGGTGGTTCTCCAAAAAGTCGATGACATTCTCTGGTGTCAGCGCTTTGCATTTGGCCAGGTTGAGGTGTGTAACCCTGGCGGTGTGCGGTATCGACTGAAGTGCCTTGTTTGTGATCTGCGTTCCACTAACATCTAAATATGTGAGTCTGCCTAATCGTGGGAGTAAAGTGTCGAACACCCTCGAAGGGAGGTTGATGCACCTGTGCAGAGATAGGCGAGTGATGGCCAAGTTTTCAGGCCATTCGGAGTCCACAATCGCTGACATGGCATTCTTGAAGTTTGCCGAGGAAATGCCCGTGAAATCCAAAGCCTCCAGTCTTTCAAGCCCAAAGAAGAGTTTGCGTAGTACATTTTCGTCGATCTCCGTGTCGATGTACTCCTGAGCCAAGAACTCCCTCAGGTACGGCGTCAGCTGAAGACACTGCAGCAAGGTCTCAGGGGTCAAGTTGCGAGTTGTAGCTCGCTCAGCAGCAGTCTCGAAGAGAGTCATTGGGTTGAAGTGGCTGAAATCCAGCCGCCGCACAATCGTGCCAAGTTCCTTATTCTCGGTAATGTGGGTCAAGAACTTGCGGAAAATTCGTGAATGGGGAATAGTGATGTTCTTATAGAGTGCATTTATAGTTGCTGTGTGCAATCTTCTTGACGTTAAGAGTAGCGACATCAGATCAACGTTACGCGCAGTAACTCCATTTGGAGGTACATCGATGACCAAATGGTCGATTATTGGATCTGGTATCGTAGTTCAGTTTTTCGTTCTCACAAATCCAGCCACAGTCGCGAACTCACCAAGCAGCTCCAGGGGTAGTCTTTCAATAGGTGACATGCCAGGCGCCGGCCTGTCCGGACCCTTAGTCTTGTTTGGCGTGACGGGAGTCGACCATACGATCTTCAATGACCGTAAGTCCCCATAGCTCCTGCTGGCCTGTCTACCTCTTACACCGATTTGTTTCCAACCTTGGAAGCCATCTGCGGCGACAGCAGGAACCCACGAGCCATGTAGCCTGCTTTGCGGTTGCGTGATAGGAGGTACGAATTGCGTCATAGTAGCCATTTCCAGCCGCGATGGAGGCAAATCGTCTACAGCCTCCTCGTCTTGCCGGGAGTAAGAAGAAACCTTCGTGCTAGTAAAAGTCTGGGCAACGTCAGAATCGTTCTCGCGGACGGACGAGAAGGATGACCGGACAGACTTTTCGGGAGAGATTCCTCGTCGACTGTGATGCCCGGCCCCGTCCATGGCGTAGGGCAAAGGTTTGTCTTTAATAATATCTTTCGAGGTGTGCAGCCCTCCGCCAGGGAGGGTAGGTGAGAGAGGAGAAGACATGGCGGGCGCGTGTGTTCGCGAATGAATGCCTTTGGTTTAATAAGCTCCTTGCTCGCTCAACTCGGTTCGACTGCGCAATCGCAAGGGGGAATGCGCCAGTCCTTGCACTTTCCTGCTCCAGGCTCGAGGCTGGCAACTGGACCTTTGCACCGGATGGATTGTACTAAGTCTCGGGTTTCACAAAGGTAGGCAGGCATAGACAACCCCAGGTGGGCTTTCTCTTAGTCAAGGTGTCCAGCTCTTAGGTAAAAGTTTGGTGGCGCGATGCGGGGAACGACTGATGAGATGGATCCGTGTTTAAGAAAAAGCTGTGACACGTAGCAGCAAGATGGAGTTGTTGTGTCTTTGCGGTGCGTTGGTGTCAGGGCAATGGGTGATGGGGAGAGAGTTGTCGAAGCAGGTTACTGCGGTTGGGTTGTTAATACGTAACAGACGAGCCAACGGGGAAGCGAGGCTAGAGTGTCTTCGTGTAAGTGGTCGACAGTCGATGGTGAAGATGACGGTGAATGAATGTTGACCCTGCAGCGACCTGGGACCAACCGTACCGTACCCTAGCTGTCAATTCCCGGCGCGCTGGTCAAATTGATTTTCCTAAAGAAGTAGCAATTTAAATAGCAAAGTTTGCTTACAGCCGGGGATCTATTGGTGTAAGTGTACGGATGACGAGCAAGCTTGCCATGGATAACGATTTCAATTGCTCAAAATTGAGTAATGGAAACAAAGCACTGGAAGACTGCTGGGTTCCTCTTTGTCACCTGAGCAGGCCTTGACCGGCTATCCGCGAGGGGCTGGGCCCTGGCCATGATTCGGTTGACATACATTAGAATGAGTAATAGGAACTCATCGATATCCGAGCTGGTTACTTTGGACCAGATGATGCGTTGCAATTGATGCCAAGTACCAACGATTGTGAGACAGACTTAACAACCTTGTAAGTGCATTGGGCATTGGGTGCCGCAAAGCGGAGGGTGGCTAAACCGGAATCGGATGGCAGCCGGACCCCGTTTTGGCAGTCGAAAATCCGGGGTAAGGCGTTACACTGGATTGCAAAAAAGGTATGTCTTATTAAGAATTTGAACGTCATCAAGAGCCTCCTTGCCTCTCCGTTAAACGACAAACCCGACAAGTATCCCAACGACGTGAATCGTAACACACCAGCTGATATGAAGGATCGATGTCATATTGAGGCAAGTATCCACTTCCTCACAGTCCGCCTGCCACAGCACCGCATGGTTCTCTCTAGCTGTCCATTGGAGCCAAAAATTTTGTCCCTGAAATATCCACCAGCTGCGATATCGCACGACAGTCCAAGGTCAGCACGAAACTATGGACGCCAAGACACCTGTCAGAGATAAAGCCATTCTCTCGGACTCGAGCCATAGGCAAGCAAAGAAACTGCGAGGCTGAGGGCTCTGGTTCCCACTCAAGGACCCCTGGCCGGTCATTCAGGAACCACTATGCAGACCGACAGCGCTGATGAAAGGGTCTTTGAGCTTAGAGCCGCCAAACCTGCAGCACATTGCATTGGCCGATCCCCGCCGAGCATGAACTACGGCGGTAGGAGGTTATGTCCACGTGGACAAGATAAGGTCATTCAGCACCGCAAACTCCGCTTTCGCTCTAGACTAATTTCTGTAATGCTGCTGCGGTTCATCACATAGACGCGAGCCTCGTAGCATAGAGGTGGCATGGACTCTCTTGGATCGCTCATCGCATCGGCCGCTGTAAATTGCCTGGCCCGGGCAAAGAGTCCTGGACTGATACGCCATCCTGCAGCGTTGGTGCGCCATTGATCTACTTTGAGACCTGCATACCCGAACGACCAATTTTACGGACAAGGCTTGCGAGGCGCCTTCATCGCAGACGGCACCTGCCAATCCGCACATGCGATTTCCTAGTGTGCACAACCAACATTTGCGGCTGGCGTCATTGGCGTTCCCCGAAAGGCACAGAGTTGAGTTACATAACGCGTGATGAGCATCTCCGCGGGCTCGGCAGGCATCTCCTTGCCTTGCTTTTTCCTACTCATGCAGGCTGTGTTACTTGAATGTTTGAGGACTGTTTACCCTTCGTATCACCAGGCCCCTAAGCAACCTGCCCTGAATCGCGAAGTGCTGATATTTTGTACAGAGCACCGGACTACAGCGTCCGGCGCAATGCTCTAAGTACTACTGTACCTTAACCATCACGGCTAACTACTTAGGTACACCCAAGACATCTGGAGCTCTTCCCTCTCTAGATGACCCGATATCTGCATCCCCCGTACCGGTTCTAAATGTTCTCCGTGCCGCGTGCCGGTGTAAAGACCCGAGTCACCACTTTCATGTTCATTCATCAATGCCGGCTTATATTCTCCAGCATCGTAATTATGCCTTATCCAGTATTCCAGATATCCGAGATGCCGATTTCAAACCAATCAGCGACCAGTCATTATAGAAGCAGTCCAGACGCCGTGGTCCGTGGGTGACAGCCATCGTGTGGCTCCTGCAAACTCCGTAAACTCCATAGATGTTGAACAATCGCTTGAACGCCGCCGAGAGAAGCAAATGCGGTAGGAAGAACATTTCGTTACCGACCATTCAGCTTTTTCCCGTTCTTCATGCGATTCTTACAATTGTCACAGTACCATTTGGCTACGTCCTTGTTAGCTCAAGTGCTACGATCGATTCAGTCTCGCCGTAGAGATCCAACTTACTACTTGGGCCCGGGGCCGACTTCAACCCAACACAGCCAAGGTGGAACCACTCCTTCTCACAGTCATCAGCGTCGCAAGCAACCATCTCGCCATATGAGACACCATTGCAGTAGCAGTAGCGCAGTTCGTCGGCGTCAATTTCGTCGACATCGTCTCCTTGAGCACTGCTGGCTGCATCTTCATTGTTGACGGCTTGTGCGGCCAGTGCGGCCTGGGCGGCAGCACCCTTCTTGTGACTTCGTTTGGCTGTTCCCGTCTGTGCATTTCGCGACGATCGGGATCTGATAGCCTCCGGAAACCCGCCAAGGGCAGGGGTTGATGGCTTGCTGGCACGGCCACTCTTGGTCGTGACCACCGTGGTCACAGTTGGCGGTGTCGGTTGTACTGATTCTGGCCTGGGCTCGACATCTTCTGGCTTTGCGACCGAGTTCTTTCTGCTCCTGATGATCGTATTCCCGCTTACAGTTGGTTGTGGTGTGGCTTCCTTGATCGTCTCGGTCTTGACAGGTATCGGCGTCTCCTTGAACGGCTTGATGTCGTTGATGACCCGCGAAGCAGTTTGGACGGCGCCGGCATCCGCAATTGGCGGCAAAACGCCGTTGGGTCGATTAGATGCGGAGGAAGCCGGACGTTGCCGGGAATTTTCAGTGTTCGCTGCCGTGGAATTCTGCCTGGCCCGGGACGATGCTGGACGAGCCGCAGTAGCAGAGGGTGCTGGTGCGCTGTGGGCGATGTTCTTCGTATCAACCAAGTTGGGTTGTATCGGGGATGATGCAATAGAAGGAGAAAGAGCTGTAGGGAGACCGTTCCTGCTACGCCAAGGGTCAGCTGTAAAGTAGACTTGATTCAAGAATGAGTACGAACCTCTTCTTTGATTGGCCATTGGCAGTCGGCAAAGCCTTTCGCTTCTTAGTCGGCACTACTCCTGCCTCCGGGACTGGAGTAGCCCGTGGGCTTGAGTTCTTCGATTTGGGTGCACTGTTGCCAAACACACTGCTCATGGCACGTTCCATAGGCTGGCCCCCGTTGATCGGCTTGTCCTTGCTATTGTCCACCTTACGTTTCTTGGGTGCAGGAGTATTGCCGTTAACGGGAGCACCTGCAGTAATGCCCAGCCCCACCAGCGCACTCGCTTCCGCATTCTTTCGTGACTTGGAGCCGTTACCCGATTTCTTTGAGGATTCGCCTTTTTGCTGCTTGTTGTTCTCGTGGTCTGCATCTAAGTCCGAGTCTTGATGATGGTTCTTGAGTCCCTTCTTAGCAGCTACCGCCTGTTTTCGCAGTTCGCTCCTAGCGGCTGCCTCTTCTGCGAGCTGTTGGGCGGCGGCGGTGATGGCAGACGCGCCATCCCGTCGCGATCGCTCGGCGGCGCTAGCTCGTTGAGCTCGGTTCTCTGGGTAGGCCCAATGTGTGGTGCTGCCCCATTTGGCCTCGTCGCTGAACTCACCCTCGAGGTGTGGCCACACGTCATCGATGCGGGCAAGTTGCCGGGAGAGGGCATCATTGGCAGTCGAAATGACGTGGTTCTTCTCTTCGAGCGCAACTAGCATCTCCTGTATTTTGAATGCCGTCTGGCGGAACAGCTGTCGACGGGGTAGATTGGCAGGGTCGAAGACGGTGGCGTTGTAGTTATCGTCGGTTGAGGAAGCTGGAGGCAAGTTGCCGTTAGTGCCCATCACGAAGCCGACGGAGCTATTCCGAGCGCTCATGGGCGCCGAGACCGGCGCTGTACTGCTAGTGGCATCGTTGGCAGGTCGTGATTCGGAACGGTTCGTCTTGAGGGCGGCGTCGACGAGCTGGAAGAGGGTGTCTTCTGGGGCGAAGATTTTGGCGTCGACCTCTTTGAGTAATGTAAAATGTCGAACTAGGTCTTTCGGCAGCGATGTAATTGCGTCGGTAAAGTGTGTAATCGCAGGAAAGATATCGATCGGTTGATCGTGACTGGCATCTGGCCCGTTCAGAGACCGAGTCAAGCCAGATGACCGAGGGGGATTTGTGCGAGTCTGGCGGAATGGCTGGGCCCTGCGACTTGAGGGAGCAGGTCCAGCCTCTGCTTGAGGCGGTTTTGCAGTTTTCATGGCAGTATGAGTGTAGGGGGCAACAGGAAGGTATGACCGTTCCGGAGAAAAGTTCGTGTCGTGACTTGTGCGGGCGAGCGAGGGTGTGGAATTCTGTTGTTCAGGATGATGGCGCTGAGGAAAGCTTTTGTCAGGGAAAACAGATAGACTTGAAGCTTCAAATCATGAAGCTCAAGTCATTTTGGGATATTGAGCAGAGAAGACCGGTCGAGATTACAAGGGAAATTGGCGTGCCAGAACTGGGCGCAAAAGGTGCTGTTGCTGCTACGAAAGATGGGAGATGGGGAAGCGACCGCATCTCTCTGACGGTTCACAGTGCTGGTGACTATCCGGGAGCCCCCCAGCTTCAATTGCAAATGGCCCACCAAAGCACAGAAAGAGCGCCAGACAGTTCACCTCGGAGCCAGTTAATCCGCCGTTCTGCCGCAACTGATAAGATAAGATGCGTCTCGGCTCGGCAAGCAGACTTGATGTCATTGTGTCTGGTCTTGGTCTCATTGCAAAAATGTGAAAGCCACCTGAGTGCTTCGAGCTGAGATAAGGAAACGATGCAGAGTACCACGCAAACCTTGACATCTGACCGGGGATAGGTTGGAGGCTCTGGACTGCCTGTTGAATGCTGTGCGATCTGGGGCGTGTAGACGTTGACATTCAACGGCACGACGTAAAAGCATGCAATGTTCTCCACAAGCTGTTCTTGTTGTCTTCAAAGTCTGTTTGGTGCATGGTTTGCTAATGCAAGGAAGGCTGCGTATTCGGTCCATTATTGATTTAATTACTATCTCGCCATGCCATTGCAACGAGACGGATACCGAAATGGTGCTCTCTATCCCTGAAATTGGGAATTCAAAATTTGTAGCGAGTTATAAGCTCAGGTAAGCCAAAAGACCAGACTTCGTATTTTTGAGACGTTTTCTCCTTGGCCAATTCAACAACTCAAACTACTCTTGGGTATAATGCAGTTCTACATTACACGATGCCATCCGTGCTTTTGTAATACCAGAACGCCTGCCTTATGTACACTGGACAAAATGCCCGGATTGTTACAACCGTCACATCGACTTACACTGGATCAGCGTCTACTCTGCCTTGACGCGTTTCCCGAGCTTGTCCTCGCTTCCCTGTTTCTTCTGTCGCCACTGCCACTCCAATAAAACCGGCAAGAAGTGCCAGAGGTCAAACTCGGGCCAGTAACATTTCAGGAAGAAAATGTGCGTGTCTTCATGGCACTGCCACAGCATGAAATCACTCAACCGCTTGACGCCACTAGTTCGAATGAAGATATCAAGCGGCGGACAATCCCCGGTGTACATGTGGCTGTTGATCGTTTCGGCGGTAATAGTCTCTGCATTTAGCAAGGGCGCCTCCTTGGCTTTCCCCTTCCCCTTATCCTTTGGCCGGGGTCGTGGGGAGTCTTGGTTCAGCGTCGTTGTGGAAGATACCGAATCATCCACGTCTGATCTCGCCGTTGACTCTGTAGACGATTCTTGTAGCGACGAGGACGAGCTTGACCGCTTCAGTTGATTAGACCGGATCTTCTCTGTGATCCTCGCCTGCGAAAACGGAGTGACCGGCGACTGTGGGGGGTTCGAGAACTCTTCCACGGTTGCCTTGATCGCGGCTGTCATTTCGGCTCTCGAGGTGTAAGGGAAGCAAATGTTGAGGATTGCGCTGGAGCGTTGTAAGCCAAAACCTCCCTGTATGGCTACAAATAATCACCTACTTTTTGTTGTGCTTCGTCATATCGATAGCTTTGTCGACAAAAGGCAACACATCGTCAGGAATCAAGTCTCGTTCTCCCAACACTCGAATGCCAGCGCCGTATCGATCGAGAATGTCCCCATGTTGGCAAAGTTGTTCCAGTTTCACCTTGGCCATCTTCATCAGTCCTGACACCTCGGATCGTGGTCTGTTAAAGTTCTCGATGCTGAAGGCATATACGGTAACCACCTTGACGCCGCATTTGTAGCAAATCTCGAGAACCTAGATTGTGTCAGCATGAAGACAGGGATGGCGCGTTCTGGGGACTGACGAACTCTTGCAAGAGCCTCAAACCCCAGGTTGTGGCCTTCAATAGGTTCGATGTGGCGATTCTTTGCAAAGCGCCGGTTTCCATCCATCTCGAAGGCGACGTGTAGAGGGATGGGACCCTGGCGCAATGTCCCAATCAACAACTCGCGGAGATTCTTAAGTGCCCATTCTATCGGTGGTGAAGTCATAAGCCATTTGCTCAGCGATGCTTCTGTGCCTGACGCCATGATGTGATCGAATTATGATTGCTTGGCTTGTGGTGTGGAGTTCTCGAGATGCTGCGTTGTGGTTGATGACACGACGGAAAGACGTCTATGGTTGTTGGCATGGATGAAATTACGGATGGCGCCCAAAAACAAATGAAAATGATACCGAGGCAGCAGTGAGGTTATGCAGACTCTACTAACACAACATCATGAAGAGAATTACGACGACCGAGGCAAATCACTACGAAATCAAAAGCTGGAGTATCGGAAGTCATCACTGCTGGCAGGCGCAGCCGTGGTAAGAGTGAATGCACGGGCCATGCTAGCTCAATCCCGGCCGGCCGAGATAATATGCGGTGAAGTTTCCTCCCATTGATCTATTGATGAATTGATGACCAAATGAATTCTTCCATATTGCACCTTCTGAATTTCTCCCTTTTTGTATATCTGCTGTGCAGACTGGAGCAATCGGGTTGTTTTTGCTAATGCATCCCCCAAAGCAAGGGAGAGTGGCTTTTGATGGACCTCCAAAGTGGAACAGACAATTTTGTAGCCTTGCATTGATTTACATGTAAGGCTGAATTAACCACCTGTCTTGTTTCGCCATCTGAGTCTTCGGGTTCTTTTAAGTTTTAATGAAGTCAAGTTCGACTAGAACTCAATTGGCTGGCTACACACCTGTGAACCCGAGGAGCTGACGGATTGGTCTGCAAGGGACCAGATTGGTGATCGATTTCTTCAACCTGCATTGGCGATCTTTCTCCTCACCTCCAACCGACCGCTGATACTTCAACCCCACCATGATCCTGTCGTAGCAATAACAAAATGTCCTTCACAAATGCACCGGTGACGCGCAGCCTGGTCTATGGACTTGTCGCCTTCTCCATCGGGGCCAGTCTTCTCGACATCAAGCACTACTTCTACATACTTATCGACATACATATATGGCGATTCCATCAGGCATGGCGAGCTTTCATCTATCAGCTCTGCTACACCAATTCGTCCGAGGTACTATTCGCGGCTATGACGCTGTACAATATGAGGACGGTTGAACACTTGTGGGGCTCGAGGAAGTATGCGGTAAGTTTAACCTACTGGCGATGCTTTCTGCATTGGCATACTTGACTGTTACTAAAATAACTCTAGTCCTTCATCATCGTAACGTTCCTGATCACGAGCATATGTACGCCAACCTTCTTGACCCTTGGACTGAGACCATTGACCTTCGGATTCTTCAACTACCTTCCTGCCGGACCGACGCCTACAATTTTCGGTATACTGGCACAATACCATGCCATGATACCACACATGTACAAGTACAGGTTGGCCACGTCGGCTTCTCCGCCAACAAACGAACAGTTCCAGGGTCTCACATTCTCGAACAAGTCCTACATATATCTGTTGGCGGTTCAATTGGCACTCTTCCAGTGGCCTGGTTCTTTGCTGGGAGCATTGATGGGCTGGATCTTGGGCTATGCGTGGAGAGTGGAGGCACTGCCCCCATCGCTGACAAAATGGCGCCTTCCTGGCTGGATGGTTGGAATCCGTACCCAGAGACGCAGCGAAGAGTTTGAGGGCCTTAGGAGAAGGTTGGAAGGGGAGGGTACATCTTCAGCGACTGCAACTGGGGTCCAAAGTCAGTCTGATGGTGACGTAGGCCGCCGCAGGACAATGGGTCAGCAGATCATGGACCAGTTCCGAGGGGCATTTTAAATAGCAGAGAAACCGGTCGATCCCATACGTTTCAGGCATTTTACAATACATCGTAACTTAGGTTTCATGAGTGAAGAGTGGCCGAGCCGGCGAGCCAGAGAATCGTAACCAATAAAGTCACCAATCAGTGAGCTTGATGCTCCAGGCTGGAAGTCGTTGCCGTGACAGCATCCTACTCCCCATGTTCCAATTTTTTGACTTTGGGCCACGGACTTTTTGGGCGTTCATCGGGATTCCAGACTACTATGATATGTGTACAACAACACTGTGTTAGCCCGTGATGCCGGGGCTAGCGGCTATGTAGCACAGCCCGGATAAGGAAATGGCGAGATGGAGACCCCGGCAATCACAGACATTGCGAAATTACCATGCCAATTTTCGCGGACGGAAAGACGATGAGCAGGGAGCGCGACGCGTATGCACAGTGTTCGCGATGCACAAATCTCATCACAACCAACGAAAAATTGTTCATTATGTCGAGTCAGCGTATTGATTCACAGCCCTCTTTTGCTTGCGACAGCTTTCAAATTCGGGCCTTGACGGACCTGGCAGTGCAGGGTTTATATTTAGCGGGAGGGAATGGGGAACCCTTATTTTAACTAGCTGACAGCAAACCAGAGAGCCCAAACGCTCGAGGGAATTCCGGACAAGCCACTTTTAGCACACTTTTGGCAACCGTTGTAATTACTGCCCAAAGAGGCTTAGCATCCAGCCCCAAGCAGCAGGTGCAGAGAATCGGACGAGGATCGTCCTCAGTGTCCGCTTCCATTTCCTTTACGGTGTCAGCGATGCCCCATCACGAATTGGCGCTGAGACTCCTTTTCTCACAAGCATAGCAAGCCCGCGCCCAGCCTAGCCCATCCTACGAAGTACGGACTTTTGCAAACCTTGAAGCTTGCTTTCGGGCATGACACTCATTCACTTTCCGTAATCTTGCCCCCGCCTGTTGCTTCTGGCTAATTGCTCAATTTTTGTTTAATTTCTTATTGGATACCCGCGGGCGCGTTCCCGGTAATACTTGCGTGTCTTGTTAACCGTGCTATACTTGCATCACTTCGTACACTTTCATTTTGCGCGCGACATTTGTCCTCTTTCGAATAGCGACCGTGTGCCCAACCACTGAACCAACGACGACAACCCAATCAAGCGAACGGAACACTGCATGGACGGCCCCAGCCTTCGGTCATAGGCGAAAAACTGTTGTATAATGTCTTTGTGACGCAGGCGCCGATTTGCCCCGGAATAGTCGATCATGAACGGCATCGCGAGCAGGTTGAATGGTTCTGCTGGGGGGCGGCCCGGGTTGCAGTTGCAGAAGCCCATGGACACGCCGCGAGGACCTGTGCTGGTTGAGGGTTACCGGCAAGATGCTGCGAATAACTTCCAGCAGGAAACGTCGCGCTTCAATCCCGTAGGAATCCGTCTTCGATCTGGTTGTGAAGCAAGCCAGGTCGTCAAAAATGAGAGTAATGCTGATGATGTGAATAGATGAATACCGAAAGAGTCCAAAGTTCGGTGCTGGTAGACCTCAAGGACCCCGTTCAAGTACACCTGCTCACCGAGACGGCATTGTTGGACAGCAAGGAGTATGAGATTCTCTCCCAGGAAGAGGTGGACGACCTCAAGAAGCTATGTCAAGGTCTCAATCAGCGAATAGACCAAATCCGATCGAACCTGGCTATCCAGTCGAAATACCGCGATGCCGCGATATCTATGTCGAAGCTATATTCACCAACGCAGGGAAAGAGAAGGAGTTTATTGGGAAACCGTAATAGTATGGGTGATGCTGCGCGCGAAGCCGAGGCGGAACGCAAGGCGATACAACAGAAGTGTGAAGATCTGGCTGCGGAGCTCTGGGTTCTCGAGAAGCGAGTCATGGAACCGCAAAGGAAATTACTGGAACACACGGCCGGTATCTTGCAGTTGACACACAAGTCAGGCAAGAAAGCCGAAACACCAATCCCGAGAGCGCCACTTGTCAACGGAGTGCCTGCTAGCCCCGAGAGCATGTACACGGCGAATGGGCGCAACAGCATGGAGCCTCCGGATGATATGCTCTTCTTCGACGAAGGAAGCCTCTACAGGTCATTTGACGATGTTGGATTCGGTGGTCATCTACCGTCCAATGTTCCCATCGAAATTCCCTTGAAGTCGCCTGTCCGCGGACAGACTAAGGCACTTGCCGAAGAAACCGAGAAGTTGCGGGAAGACAACTACCAACTACGGGAGGAGAAGTCCCAGCTGATGCAAAAGGTGGAGGCTCTCACATCGCAAACTCGGTCCTTGAGCTCAGAACTTGATAATGTGAAAAGTCAAGGTTCTGGGCAAGGGGCTTTGATAACCGATACGGGAAGGAAGTTGGAAATGTTCAACAATCAAATACGCGAGATGATTGTGAAGTCGGATCCTGCGAAGAACGGAAACTACAACGTGCCGCCATCCGGTCAGTTCGAACCCGGAGATATGATCGGAAGCCATCTGGAGTATCTCCAAAATGCTTTGTTCGTCGTTGCCAGCAGCCAGAGCGACAGCTCGGGTGCTGCTGTGAAGATCCAGGCCCTGAACATGCGGGTTCGAGATCTCTTGAGTGGTAATCCAGATCTTCCACCGCCGCCAGAGGCCGACGCAGACTTCGACGCGCAAGTAGGCTACCTACAGAACTCGCTCAATGTGATTGAGGGTGAACTCCAGAAGGCGGTCGATTTGTCGAGCGCAGGCTCCGAGAGTAGGATGAAAGAACAACAAGCAGAAACTGTTCTCATGGGTCTCTGGGAGATTATACAATCAGGCTATGCTGATATCCGGCAACGTAAGCAAGATCGCAGGAGGACTCGTATGGAGAAGGGTCTCGATGACGACGAAGGCGATACGTCAGACAGTGAGTCTTTCGATCCAAACGAGAAGTACTCGCTCTCGGCCTTCTCGACCAAGGTGCAATGGCTCTATGCGCAAGCCACAAGCCTGAAGGAACAAAAGTCCGTCTTGAAGCGACAGATCAAGCAGCAGCGAGATCTCGCTGGAAGATCGGATGGCGAGAAAGACTTGGCACTGAAGTCCAAGGTGGAGGAGCTGGAGCAGACACGCGCTATCATTGACACTTTGGAGAAGGAGGTAGACGATGTTCGTAAGCAGCTTTCGCAGGCACTCTCAGACCTCGAGCAGGCGCAGGATGGCGCGCAGAGGAGTATCTCGGAGCAGTCCGCCGCTGTGCAACAGGCGCATGAACAGCTCAAGGAGCGCAATGCTCAGATCACTACACTGCAGACCAGCAGTAAGGACGCGGAAACGCGGCTGGCTACTGCTGAAGCAAACATCGCGTCCATCACCACTCAGCTCCAAAATGCCAATGGTGCTAAGGGCGCAGCGGAGAAGGAAGCGGAGGAAATGAGCAAACAGATCAAAGCCAAGGAGGAGGAACTCGACCAGACGATGGGTATGTTGGCTGAGTTCAAGATGAGGGCTACGATGGCCGAGGCTGAACTTGACGGCGCGTATGGCAGCCGGAAGGAGAGGGCTGCCGAGGTGGCGGCGCTGGCCAACACATCAGAGAATTCCAAGTTGCAGACTAAGCTCGAAAGGCTCGAACCGCAGGTGGAGAAGTTGAAGAACGAGCTTGAAGCGACGCTTAAAGACCTCGAGGGAATCACCAAACAGGCTCTGGAGAGCGAGTCCAAGATCAGTGACCTCGAAGTCGAGCTCGACAAAGCCAAGGATGCCGCTCAGAAGGAGAAGTCACAGCTCCAGGATGAACTTGACCGCGAGCGCTTACGGCATAGTAACGGAGCGGGCTCACCAAACCCAACGAGCAAGGCGACGGAGATCGTTACCGAGAGGTACAGGGAGCAGTTGAGGAGCACGCGGCAGAAGCACGCCGAGGAGATGAAGGTATGTCTTTTGTAACCCGGTGAACCCTCAACAGCGATATTTGCAGCTTACTAACCCGAATTTCAGGAGGCACTCATGCTGCGGCGCAGACTGGAGGACGAACTCAAAGCTCTGAAGAGGGCGGGCGGACCGGGCAGGAGTCCACTGAGTCCGCGATGATAATGATGAAGAAGCTGTTGATGAGCCCTGCTAGCACGTTTGAAGAGCCATTGCCTGTTCATTATGTTCTGGATACCACATATTGGAATACCGCGTTTTTCTCTTTCTTTCTTTTTGAGCTTGGCTGTATAAAATCTCTTCTTTTTTAACCTTTCTGGATTGAACCAAGTTGGCTGGTGTTTTCTGTATATAGAGCCGCACAGCGGCCGGGTGGGCTGCATTGGGAGGCGATCAAGGAGTTCTTTCACAACACACTGATATATAGCCCTTCACCTTCCGCTTCTTACTTTGCGAAGATACAGAAATTGGAGGACAATTAAGCCAAATGGCAATGAGTCATTACGGATTCGATCACGGTAGCGTTACCTTTATTTCTACGTCTGGGCTGTGGATCGTGTCTAGGTGCTTGAATCTGTGCACTTGATTGCTTTATGTAAAGCTACAGTACTGGGAATAATTATAATACTTCCAGGCACTACTCGATTATTTGATTTTACCACGTAGGTACACTGTTTTCTTGACGATGGAAGTCCGTATCAGTATTCCTATTCTCAGATGTGTAGACCCTGTCAGTGCTTCGTTACTGCTGTAAACAAAGGCTCAAACGGTACTGAAATATAAAGGTTCTAGACCTTCAAATAATCATGCTTCTGCGAGCCCTGGAACCTGCAATATCTACAGTTCACTTTGTAACTAGTAGTAGTTGCAATCTAATATAGATCTCAACATTGCAGAACTTTGCATTTGATTCAATACACTCTGACCAAAGCGATAGCACTACTATGTAAGTAGGTTGCCATACAATAGGGACATCGCACTACAGGCCAGCTAAAATATCAGTGTCGAGCCTCCCACAACTAAATTGTGCTCTGAAGCATCAAGTGATAATGCTGGTAATATTCAGCTACTTCATCTATTAGTAGTGTCTGGTATAATTTGCGCTGCTAGTCCTTTCATTCAACAAATTCTGCATGAAGTCTTGAAGAGGCTAAGCGTCCTTGATCCCTACTACTTACGCAGTGCATAGTATTGTTTATTTGCTAATCCTATAAATAAGCAAGGAAAGTTGGTATAGAGTTTCTTCCTCCGCGTTTCAGGGCTGAGAGTAGCTAGATTAGGATCAGGATACTACTAACAGCAAATGCAGTACCGAACTCAAACAATTGCTGTCAATAAGCTCAGCATTCTAGTAAGTTAAGAAAACTAGGTGTGGGAAGTTGTGGCCTCGGGTGTGGAGGGGTACGAGGCAGGCAGGTAGTATGTAGGGACCCCTCGGGACCAACTTGGGATTGGTCCTCATACACCTTCATAGTACCAGTACAGCCAGCCCCTAGTACTTGGATTCCAACACTAGGATTATAATTTTGCACAACAACTAGACCTCGTCCGATTTTATTTCGAAGTATAGTGTATTCGTAAATAGGTTAAGTTTTGGTAGGAACATGGGGGCGTATGGAGACCCGTTGGGGGTCACTCTCCCTATGTGCAGTGTGAACGTAGTCGCATGCCGATATGTCTTAATTTCTCCTGCCTGGATTCACGAGCAGATCCTAAACCTCGAAAAGATATCGTCGTTTGCGCGGTCTAAAGGCCTGTATGCTGTACGTTCACCCCATGGCATTGTTTACTTCGACCCGTTTCCCACATTTTCAACAACAGCAATGAGAACAACGAAGGAGCTTGTCTCATCCAAGTTTTCCCTATTCTCCTCATTTCCCAAACCTCCGTCCCCCAACACAAATCGACACTTCCTAATCCCTCGTCAAAACTCAAATATGAAAACAAAACAAAAGTACTCAGTTAATCCTATCTCCCACGATGCAGCACCTGCCTGCGTCCCAGCCAAGCCCCGAAGTTCTCGGACTGCATCCGAACGGACCCCCGCGGCCGAGATGGCCGTGAGGCTTTCATGCGCTTCTGCGTTGACTGCTATATAAAGTCCATCGACGGAGTGGCGCCGCACTATTCCAACCGCACCTTGATCATGGTCAACGGTGAGTTGTACCATATTTACGTAGCCGCCGGTAAGGTCCTCGTCGTGCGCCCAATCTCCCCGGAGGAGTGTCTGAGTACGACCTTTTGTTGGGCCAACTGGGATTTTGGGACTGAAGCAGCTTTGAAAGAGGGGGCGAGGTGAACAAGTCAACGGTTACACCCGCCAAAATCTGCCTACACGTCCCAAAAGCCTCGACAACTATCCGCCATGGACACTTTCCACCTCCTGTTTCCACCTCCTGAAAGCGGCACCATACCCTATCCCCTCGTTCTTTTCATACTCCTGAATCGGATCATCGCCCAGATCTATCAAAGGAACCATTGATGGCCTTCCATGAGCACATTGGAAAGGAAACACACAGTCGGCGAGCCGTTTTAGAAGACTCTTGCACTCGTCAACAGACAGGACGTCGTTGAACATGATGGCACTGCGACAGGCTCTCGAGTTAATCATATCCAGAATTCCTTCTGGGCAGCCGTGGAATCTCGCCAACCAGTGTAGCTCCGGCTCACTGACGGGGTCTGTGTGCTCAGTGTGTAGCAGAGCTGTACCGGCCGGGCCCCAGCCTTCCTCATCGAGCTTCCAGACTTCTTTCCTCAGCAATTCAATGAGGAGACTAGGTTCAGCGCGGCACCTTTCTGCAATACTGGGGGGAAGACGAAGGACTTTGAGGTGCGACAAGCGCTTTTCGTTCGGCCGAGGGGCTGCGGTCTGGATGGGTGACAGCTGGTACACGATGCCCCAGTGTTCGAAATGCGACAAGTATCGCTCGAAAAGGGAATGCTCCGGGCTTGAGATATCGTATCGCAATGGTTTGTCCAGGAGCTCAGTTCGGGCTCTGACATCTGATGAGGATTCTGATCGAAGGGGCTCCAAATAGTCTCTCATCAATGCCTCGACTTTACCCCGTTCGTCGGCCGCATGTTGATCGATGATGATCAGTAGAGATGACCGTATATCATGCCGTTTGGAAGACGTTGCCATTTCCCCGACGGATGAAATCCTCGCGAGTATGAATTTGCGGTCCACTTGAGCGATGATTTCGGCATCTCGCAAGGATTTCTTTGAGACTTTGCCCCGAACGCCCGAAACGTCCCCGTATGATGAGAAATGGCATCCGTGACACGCATTGGCTGTTCCACTTCCACTAGAGTTAAGTATTTTGGTTTCATCTATTGCCACAGGAATTGGTGGCTCCGCCGGCTGGAACACCGGGTTCTCCCAGGACGAGAAGATATCCTTCAGCCAGACCCCGGTCTCTTCTTTTAGTGTTGGCTCCTGAAGTCGACGCCTTTTTCCCGATGATAGACGAGATGTTTGGTTTCTAGGCCGTGACATGCCCATCGTTGCATCTGTTGGTGCGATGATAAATCCGGTACGAGAATCGACTATGGACCTTTGCTTTGTCACGGGATTTAACCATATGATTTCGCCACTATTCCTAGGCTGCGTATTCTCTTCTGGTTGGTGTAGAGTACCTTGAGCCTGTTTATCACACACTGGAGTAGAAAGAGTCTCAACTTCCATAAAGGGTGGACGTAAAAGGTTGCCAGACGGATCAATAAGCGGTGATGGCGACGCCCGCCCTCTTGTCTCGCTCGAATTGTGACTTCCATCCGATGACACCGTTTCCGGTAGCGTTATTTCTGTTTCCTTGGAGAATTTGAAGCTCCCTCGCCCGTGTTTTATTCTAGACCACATGTCGAAGGGCGATTCTGATCTTGGTCGTGATTCATTGGCCGGAGGCAGGCGGAGCCTCGTCGTCGCCAGGTCTCGAACGGCGGATTTAGTGTCGGAGACGAGCCTTCTACTTGACCGTGGAGCCAGTGCTGAAGATGGTCGAGACATTACCAGCCGAGTGTCACTACTTGATGTTGTTCCAGAGCTAGTACCTCGGGAGTCTGAGCGGGCTGCTGTCCCGTCCCCTTTTCCTGTGAATTGCTTTGGACGAAAATGATGTTTCTTGAGAAACTCGAAAACCATGGCGTTTAGCACGTCGATGATTACTCTTAAGTTTTGTCGTTGTTCGTCCAGGACTTCATCAACATCATGGATCTTGGATTGCTTGCCTGACGCAGCAAAGCAAATCCTGATGTAGAACATGGGCCATCTCTCGACATCCTTCTTGCCTCGGAGCTCTTTAGCAGTATACCCATCTGTTTTGTACCGGCGGTCTTCCTTTCGTCGGCTTTTCTCAGCCTCGTCGACATCGTTGGCTTCCTCTTCCATCCCGAAGCTGGAATTCGCAAATAAGCGGTTGATTTCTTCATATAGGACATTTGAGCCATGTTCATTAGGCACTGGCTGAATACCAACACTAATGAACTGTATCCGCTTTGTGGCAACGGGTGTGAGAGACACAGCGCCGCTCATGAAGAGCTGATCAGTTGATGCCTTGAGGTGAACCCATGAATCCAGGTAGCTTTCTTCCGACAACCCGGCTTGACAGAGAATCTTGCAGACGCGAGAGAGAAGTTCTGGGCGTCGCTTCTTATCTGAACAGCCCTTGTGGAGTTCATCACCCCGTATCACGACAGTCTGCTGATTTACGGAATCACGAATGGAAATACTGCATTGTGACGGCCAAGCGAGTAATAAAGCTGCAACAGCACGCTTCATACGGTCCCAATCTCTACTAGTTGTCACTTTGTCATCCCGAGCAGCGCGTCGTTTGACCCTCACGGGCATAGACCCGAACAGGTCACGAACTGTCACTCGGGTTCCATGGCTAAAGCCGAGAAACTGCTGCTCTGGTGGAGTTGGGGTATGACGTGCCAAAACCTCTGAATTGTGGATCTTGATGGAGTTGTGCGAACGATATTCATGGTGATGCGAGGTTACGGCCAAGAGAGACAGAGCAGCCAGAGACGCAAGAAAGGTACCAGATCTGCCATGGACTTCAGGGCGCGTTGGAAACTTGGATGTGTCTAGTATGAAGATTAGCCTTAAAGCTAAGTCGACGTCATTTCCACACGTACAGTGAAGCTTGCCAAGGCTGCCACCTTGACCGAATTCGACGGGAAGGATTCCGCTTCCATTGTCTTCAACACAGCAGTTCCCGCGGGAATAGTCGATGGTAGCGGTGATTTTGGTAGCGCCTGCGTCGAGAGAGTTCTTGACCAACCCACATATCACCTCGTTCAGCGACGTTATTGTGGTGGAGGACTTGATCTGCGCAATGACATGTTCGGGCAGCTGCTGGATCGACATGGCCTTGTGGGCTTGGTTGACGATGGCTCATATCAGCTAACATCAACTACCGAGTTGCATGTTTGCAGTTCCCGGACTGGCTTCGTTAGGAGGTGGTTGGAGGTTGGAAAGCTGTTGGGTCCAGTAGCTGCGCAGCTTCACCGCAAACTACCGCCTTTAGCATCCTGTTATAACCTCCAAATCGATACGATTTGCGATTGCAAACTCAAAGGCTTCATGAGCTCATCAACAGTGACAATCAATAATACGCAGTTGCGAACTGACCGTCACTTTGACATTAGGCGTGACCTAAATCTAGATGTTGAAGATCACGTGTTTAATAAGTGCTGCCAAGAGCTCGACCCTAGAGCCCTGTCTTGCTGATCCTTATGACGTCTGTAGTGGTTCTGTGCTCTGCGCCGAAGTTGGGGTACGGGAATTGGGGCTCTGCTGGGTGCTAAATCCTCGCTGAGCTGAATCAACCCCCCAGGTTCAATGTTTCCGATGAGGCATTGGCGATAGAAACATGATGTGATTTTGATGCGCCGAACAATTAGACCATACTCCCTGTCCCGTCCCACTGTTTGTTGTATTTCGTTTGCACTTTGTTGGTTGTCCTTTATAAACTCCGCGGCGGCCGCCTTCCTCCCTCAATACCACACTTCCCCATTTCGATTTCGGCAAGAACGCTAAGTCCGGCCGTCGCTTGCCTTTGGGCTCTGGCACTGACGACCTAACCTTTTAAGTTTCATGTCCCATTGTTGAAGACCCTCGTTCCCCGTCATTTCGACAGCTTATCGCCTTGTCCCTGTCTGGACCAACCTTACCGCCGCCCTTATCGAGTTCATTGCTCGAGCCTGCCTTGCCGCTGCGCGCGTCATTGCCATTATCTCTCTCTTCCGAAGATACACCACTCGCGCCCCTTAGACAAACAATGGCCCTGTCTGAATCCTCACCACCTCTTCCTACCGGTAAACACTCCTCTTCTTGAATTCCTAGCCTTCTCTCGTTACCATCGGCCATGCCAAGATGCGCCGCCTCGCCCGCCATTCAACATCCCAACCATCATCGTCCTGCCGTTCTAATGAGACTTCTAGACCGACATGAGCGTTCCGGCCGCCGACGACCGTTCTCAACTTGGGTCAAGAAGCTCGCCAACTTCAAAAATGGCTCCTCATCTGCTGAGGGAGCTCGCCCCAGCACTTCGAAGCGAGAAAGCACACCCAAAGCGTCTAAGAAACGCATCTCGAAGCAGAACAACCCCTACCCTCAGTCTGGACGAGTCGGCACCGGTCACAGCCAGCCCTCCATGTCGACAAACCATACAGGCATGACGTCGGATGGCTCGTATCGCTCTGTCCATTCATCGGTAGAGGGCATGGCCCCTCCTACCGTTGGTGGCTTGTCAGTGGCTGCTACCGTATCGACCGATCACGAAGCATCACATTCCATCAATGCGCCATCACACATGGCATCCTCCGTCGCGGGCACCAGCAGAACAGCAAATGGCGGATTGGATTCGAGAAGAGGAGGCGACAGCACCTTCTCCTCACCAGCCCCATCAGTGCGATCTCTGACCACCACCCTCACCACCATTCAGTCCATGGCTGTCCCGGGCCCTGCAAATCAGGGACAGCCACCCACTCAGAATACCACAACCCAGGCGATCCAGTTTAGCCAGCCCTTTCCTACAGCATCGCCTGCGTCTGCAATACCGCCACACCTCGTACTGCACACGGGCGCGGTTCCAGGTTCAGGTCAACCCACCACCTACAATCAGGCCACTGCCAACAACCTCCTCACGGATAACGCCTCTATACTCACTCTTGCATCTTCTAGTAAGAGACGTCGACGGAGATCGTTTGATACCGATGCTTCGGTACGCGCTCTTGCGCCTTCATCCTTATGGGGCGGTAGTCGCGAAAGTCTGCCTCTGAGTGTCCTCAGCGCAAATGTCGATGGAGGCGCTAACATACCCGCAACCCCCAGCTTGCATCAGACCACCCCACGAATCGGACCGGGGAATGAGAGAACCAGCATCTATTCTAACACTGGCATTGCACCAACTTTGCCAAGTGAGAGGAATAGCTTCTATGGTAAACCCAGCGTGACTGGGGATGCCGCCAGTGTGCGCAGCGGTCTCCTCGGCCACGGACGACCAGACAGTATGAGTGGGAGCCCCGGAGGAGTCGCCAGCCCTCTGGTCAGCCCACTCGAGATTCCCGAAAAGGATTCGCTCGCGGAGAAGGATGAGAATACCGTTCCCGTTCGCAAGGAGTAGATCACCGTCTGAAATATATAATTATGCCAGACATCAGCCTGTGTTGTAGGATGCGAAGTAAGAGCCCCTGAGACATTTTCGCGCAACCGCTCAAGATACGAATAAACTACGTCAAGGCGGTGATGTTCGGGCTCCTTTCGGGCAAGTGTTATGGGGGATTTGAGGAATATCAGCAGCATGAACATTACGGAGACTATGATGAGTCCAATCGAGGAAACCTGCTACAGGACAATGGGATAATTCTTGAATGAGCCAGCTGGATACGTGGAGGCTGAAGCTCACCAAGTTTGTTGTTATATTCGGACCGAGGACTTTACAAGGGCAGGATTGGGGTAAGGAGGAGACTGGAACTGGGAGTACCGTTTATTGGCAATGATTATAAAGAGAACCAAAATAGATACCCTTTATACCGTTCTTTCATTCACAACCTTACATCAATCCACACAAAATGATAGTTTGCTTTGATCCAGAGTTGAGAGAGAATTATCGGGTATAGCTTCAATGTTTCATTTCACGTATGTGCCAACATAGAAGTTTTGGTTGACACTTAAACATGAAGAGTACCATATGCTCCGGTAACCCTTAGCAATCTCCATATGCCCCCTAATTCCCCCCAAAATTCGACCTATTTGCGAATAATGTCGAATTCCAAGTATTGAAGCTGTATTGGTATTACGAAGGTGCGTGAGGGACCAATCCCAGGTAGCCCCCGAGGGGTACTTAAATACTGCAATCCGTGCCTGCCTGCCTAGTACTCCTTCATATCCAAGGCCGTACGTAGCTGCCCATGAATATGCTCTAATTTGAAATGAAATAGGATAATTATATAAAAAGAATATATGTAACGTGGTTCATAAGCTAGTCGCGCACTTTTCAGTATACTATAACTTTCAAGTATAATTACGTGAATATAACGCTATAAATTAATTTAAATTAATCGGTATCTAAATAATTAATTAATTATATATCTTCTTTATAGATTCGCGTATTATAACCGGGATTTCCGTTGTTATTATAGTAGCGTGTACGTGATTCGGTCCTCTTTACGTAACTACCCTGCTACCACATTTCTTACCTTAGCTCTATATGTATATCTTTCTAATTAAGTAAATCGTCTCCCTCGGCTACTATAAGAGCCCCTTTAAGCCTTATATATATCTCTACGGAGACTCATTCAGGCACTGCACTAAACCCACTATTCTTTTGAAACTACAGACATTCTGATATTCTAAGATTGTAACATCTCCATCCCCGTCTATGGAGTCCAATATTGTGTCGCCTACACGATAGACTCGATATTCATAGTTACGAAAATAGCATTGCAAAAAGGCTCGATTTACAAAACGCAAATATTAGAACCGGTTATTTCCCAAAATACAGACAATATGACGTGGCACTCCGACATTCTGAAATCCTCTGAAATGCTGCCTTCCAATTCTCTTGCCCAAAGTCACATATCGTACTATTCTCAATAATACGGCAACGGATCGAGATCGAGCCCCTCAACCGAGAATTTAAAAGAATCGTTCCTAAACATCTTGTCAGTATGTTACCCCTGAAACCCTATTTCCGTTTCCGAGAAGGGACAATGGATGAAATACACACCTCGAATAACTCCCCGCAGCATCAAGGTCCAACCTGCCCCGAATACAATTATCAAAATCCACATCAGCGTAAATTAACCCTTGCGCATCTTCCCACTGTGGCCCGGCCACGACGTCGCCAAAAGGCGAGACGATGCAGGAGCCGCCACGGGACACGAAATTGGCGCTCTGTTTATTAGACGATGCCCCATTCACCTTAGCCGTAACAGCTCTGCCATGGCTCGTCTTGGCAGCTGCTGCCGCATTGTCCACCTCGCTCTCCTCGTCGATAGCGGCGGCGGAGTAGTGACTACCAGTGCAAGTACACGAAATAATAATCTCGTTCCCGTCCTCATCGAAAATGGACTTTCTCCTCACCTTCTTGGGCTTTACTGCCCCTGCCCCTGTCCCGGGGAGGGCGATTTCGAAGCCCTCTTCCGTCATACACGAGTTCCGTCTAACCCTTTCCCTCCCTTCTCCAGAAACCGCATAACTTTCCCCATAGCCTTCGACGATGGGGTGGCCGTTGTCATGCCCAACCTGAATCTGGTCGTCGCCAGGGATACACATGTTCGAACTGACTACGAAACAGCGTCCCTCAAGCGCCACCGTACGCATGAGTCCCAGCCAAGCGTCACGATTGTCTGCTGTGGGCGTGAGGTAGAGGTTGATATTCTGCGCGTAGAGTGCCTGGCGTAAAAGGGGCATATAGTTCTCCCAGCAGATAGCAGCGGCTAGATTGATGCGTACGCCGCGTATGGTGGTGCTGACGGCTTTGAGGGTTGCTGTCGAGCCTTGAGCCCAGATTAGTCGTTCAGTGCCGGTCTGTTGTTTGTTAGCTTTCTTTTCTTGTTTTCTTTTTTTGTTGAAAGAGCGTAGTGTTCTTAGTCCTATCAGGGCTATTATGGTGAGTGGTGCTCCAAGTGTTGTAGTTCGAGTTTCTGGCCATGCGATACCAGGCTTAAAGGAAACAAATGTCCTAATGCCCATTGCCAAGATCGCTGATCAGGTCACGCCGAACTTCTGCCGCCCGTTCAAACTGGTCTGTATCGTGATAGAAGGTGTAAAGTTGTCTCAGATAGTACAATTTATTAGACCCTTCTATGCTTGAAATCTGCACGGCATGTTGGAAGTCGAGTCCTGCTCCGCGCAAATCGTTTTGGGCCAGCTTAGTCAAAGCAATCTTAAACGATATTTGGGCATGAACCATGGGAGTCTCAGAAACCAGTGCCCGAAGGCGTGGTGTATATTCAATCACACTGAGTGATTTCTCGGCTTCATAAAGTCGATCTTCACGGTAATGTTTCACCCACAGGAGCTAGGCCAGGTGGACTTCGACACGGCGAATTTGCGACATCGGGTCGGCCTTCATTCGAAGATCTTCGAGCCAGGTGGCTACTCTCCTCTGCTTAGCCTCCAGCCCGAGGGTTATGGAAGGAATGACAGAGTTCAGTAGAAACCTCACTGTCCACTTGTGTCCGGGGCCAAGCCGAATAAGCATTTCGGAATGAACCAGCTCCAGGACCTTTGCTAACGCGTCCAAGTGCCCATCCTCTGAGTATTCCAAAAGCCTATTCCAGATGATGGAGATAGGATGGTTGATACCGAGGACAATAGGGGCCAGCTGGGCGACATACTTCTGAAATATCTTTGACATGCCCCGCCCAATTTCAGCTAGCAGGCGGTTCAAATTGAAAATATCTGCCATGAGATCGGGTGAGTCTTGTTTTATAACGCGAGTGAGCTGGTCAAACGCGCGATCCAGGTGACCAAAAAAAAGCCAGTGGCGGGTTCTTGGTTCGTTGCAGCAGCCTGGAAGTGTCCACATACATCTTCGATCCCATGGGAAGTTGAGATGATACTTTCTACTGAAAGGTCACCCGGTTCGGGAACACAAGCTCGAATATGATCTCGGGCAGCAGTCAATATGATCTCCAATCTGCGTATGCTTGGAGGCGGACTCAGCGAGGCTCGCAAAGGTGGCGATGGTGTTTAGACTGAAATGAGAGATGGCCGAGTCTCACCCTCGGGCAGTTGAATGAGCAATCAGGAAAGAGTTTTCTCGCTACGTTCCAGATATCGTTGTATCCTCTCCGCCTCTATGACCCTTCCTCTGATGACAGTTTCAGACACTTTCCCTGCAGCACGTGTGTGGAGTAAGCGACTGTATATTTGAAGGACTTCTGGCTCTTTCAACTGCTTATCGATGCTCCAGGCTTTGATTCTTTTTTTATACATGCTCGTCCTATTTATGGTTAGTCGCAATGAAAATCTAGATTCAAAACAGGCTCTTGATTTGACTTACGTCGCATTGAAGTCCTAATAGCAGGACATGATGTCGATAACTTGGCGGAGCGTTTTGTTCTCTTCAACGTATAGTCTTTCGATGGTGGTTTTGTGTATTTCCCAATCTGATGAGGTTGCATAACGCTTGCCCGTATTCCCGGAGAAAGCTGTAGCTGAAGGTCGCAGGGAGTCTGGGGAGCCGTCCATTGTATGCAAACAGCTGACCAAGGAAGTTCGAAAGACCCTATCGTCGCCAGTTCCAAATATTTCGTTACATGAGTGGTTGTTGACTATCAAAGAAGATGTCGTTACTGATATTCGACGTGGCTGTCATCATGCAAGAACCTCTTGTCCTGCAGGCTTGATTGGTGGAGGCGGCGCGCCGGCGGCACAACAAGTGGTAAATAGTTCCTCATGATCCAACGATGCAGTACCGTTGTTAATGAGCCCGGGGCCCACCGTAATATGGCTTCCGTTTTGACCAGGCAAAAATTAAACAGCACCGCCAGCACTTGGAGCAAGACGGAGCAAGACAGAACAAGACAAACTTGTACTTACAGGTTGGACCTTCCTCCTCTTCCCAATGATACCCAACTTGGGGCATACGTAAACCGCGGCACAGTACAGACTCCCGCCCGCCTTCTCGACAAGCCCGACGACAATGAAAACCCCCGTCTCCCTCGCAATACGTTCCAATTCCTCCCTGGTACCATCTCCTCGCTGCGATGCGGTCTCACCCTTCGCGTTGATCGCTTCTGAATAGTTCCCAGTCTCGCTGCTGCTCCCGCCTCCAAGTCGTCTCTTCACCCAGGCATCGCCGGCCCCGGCTCCATTACCCACAGTGTCACCCAAGTCGACGGCGGCCTTGAAGTACTGCAGAAACTCATCGCGCCCATCTGCGGTGCGAGCGCCGACTTTACATCCGAAGTCTGATCCTCGTGGGTAACCTCCTAGGTAAGCTTCGGGCAGGAGCAAGATATCGGCATTGTTTGCTGCTGCTCGTTTGGCGATTTGTTGCAGTTGAGCGACGGTCTCTTTAGTGGTAGCCTGAGTCCCTGGCGAGGCAGTCGCGAGACGAATCTTTTGGTTTGCCATTCCGAATCATGAGGGTTGAATGAGTCTTGAGTTTTGAGGTTAAATTTCTAAGTGAGGGGTTTCGAACGTTCGGGATTTGAATAGGGTCGGCGCGTGAGGGCTCCACAAATGACTGGTAAGCAAGTATAATAAGGCAAGCACGAGGGAAGACTGGATAACATTAATCAACCAAGTTCCGATACCCCGCAGTATGGCGTATTGGGTTTCGGCGGGCTCTCTGCAGCAGTCACAAGGCTTCACGCACTGCGTGCATGGAGATAGATCACTTGAGATGAAACCAGCCCTCATGTGTATGAATAGGCTCGGCTAATGAGAAATAATCGTGTGTCCTAATTTGTCTAGCTCGCGGTTTTGAACCAGAATGAAACGAGGGTAATTCCTTATATGAGAATCTCTAAACGCTTGCCCGTATATAAATAGAGTAAGACTCATTTGTATTAAGTAGTAACTTATGAGTGAAAAGTTGTGCATGTGTGAAACACCCTGTATATCTTCTCGGGCTGATATTTTGACACTCGGTGTTTTGAATTTGTACTATACCTCAAGTCACTAATCATATAATAGGGAACAGGATGGCACTTATTAATCTCCCTCCTCTGAGCTTGCCCAAGAGCAATCAGTTGGTCTCTTTAGAAGCCATAATCGGATCTGACAGCAGTCCATCAACTACGATGCCAGGTTGCAAATCAGGAAAAGGACTGTATCCCTGGATTTAGGAAACTCAACGCTTGGAACCCCATCCGCAATAAATGCGGCATGCCACCCAAGCGTACCAAAGCCCAGGTTACGGAGCATACTTAACCAGATTACTCAAATCCGCCCTCTTCACCCTTTCCAGACTTGGCTTCAATTCGGCCGGAAACCAGTCCACCACCTTCCCGGGAAGGCGTCCGGGAGCATCAGGCAAATCCTCCCTCTCACTCCCCATTATCATGACCCCCAGCGCCGTCCCGGACAACCATGCCCAAACCATGCCATCACCACAATACCCAGCCGAGACTCACTCTCCTGGCTCAACACCATTCCCCGTCGATTTTCTCCCGGGACGCCACCCTGTCAGCTCTGGGTCCAACCTCCCCACAAATGGCATCCCATCCCCCGTAAACGCAATGCACCCAACCCACGCCTTCTTTACCCTCCACCCTTCACGATCATCCCCCCATCTCGGCTCAAAAATCGTAGGAAATATCCCACTAATATGACTAACCGACAAGCGTCCATGCTCACCTGACTGTCATCCCAACGGCCTATGTGATCCAACCCCTGATCCCGTCCGCGGTTGAATCCCCCGCCCAACATGATATCCCCTGGCATCCCATACGTCGTCATTGGGCGCTGTGTAACGTAATCATACGCCTTCTCATAGATTACAGACCAAGACAATCTCCCGTCGAAATTGGGGAACCTGGTACCGGGGTGCTGGGCAGTCATGTGGCCGAGGACGCTGGTCATTTTTTTCGCGCAGACCGGGGATGAACTGGCTTGCGAAGGCGTTGGTGGCGTGGACGACGTGGTCGCAGTGGATGGTGCCGCGGGTCGTGACAACTTCGTAGGCATATCCCTCTGTGCTACTTGGGTATATGGAGAGGACGGGTGTTACCATCTCAAGCGATATGGACTTGAGAAACTTGGTTAGCAGATCGTTCCACGCGCTTGAGACGAGGCGGTACGGCCACAGGGCGCCAGTGGGATAGGATATGGCGCCTTGGACGTAGTCGTTGACACCGAATTTCTGGGCATAGTACTTGGTAACTCCACCTGCAATGCCTCTGGAAACAAAGAACTAACCTCCCTCGCCTCCTCAGCCCCCAAAACATCCATCCTCAACTCGGGCACCCACCTCCTCAATTCCTCCACCTCCTCCATCCGCTTCTCCCTTCCCTCGTCATCCAAAAACAAATCCGCCGTCGTTACCTCCCTACGCTCGACCGCCTCCCACCCCTCCTGCCTACAGAGTCTCGTCAAAACCCCCACGTGCACCAACTGAAACCGCGTAGTGGCCGCTGCCCTCTCCTCCCCGTGCCTGCCCCTCATATCCGCGAATAGTTCCTGCGGCGATGCCTTCATATGTCCTCTATTCCTGCCCGTGGCGCCAGAGCAGAGCGTGCGCGCCTCGAGCACGACGATCTGCCGGGTTTGCCCTTTGCGCAAGCATTCTTGGAGGATGGACCGCGCGACGGCAGCGCCGGTGATACCGGATCCGATGATGACAATGTCGGCTCGGGATGGTAAGGTGGGGGATTGGAGGTGGACCAGGTCCGGAAAGGGTGGGTCCTCGAGCCAGTAGGAGGGGGTGGGGTTGGGTACGGGGAGACCCGGAGGTGCCGAGGCGCGGGTGAGGACGTGGTTGAGGGTTTTGTTCAAGTCGAGGAGGTACTCAAGGCCGAAGTAGAGGGTTTTGAGCCTGGAGAGGAGATTTCCCATGGTTAAGAATGAAGTACCGGAGTAGTAATTTAATGCTCAAGTAGCTGATCAAGAGATGCGAAATTACACTGATGCTTTCAAGACAACAGGCGTCGTATTGGCAATGTTCCTGGTGCCGCAAGACTGATCAGGAATTGGAGATCTAGCCGTTAGTTGATTAATGCTTCCAGCCTCTGGGCTGTAGTGGAAAAGGTATCAGGCTGGACATAATGGACTCCAAGATGGTACGATGTTTGTGGTAGTAGCGGAAAGTGCTCATTCTGACAAACCTGTACTACGCACAAGGGGTAACTGCCACATAATTCTGTGCAATCGATGTAATCCAGAGTATACTTCATAGGAGATTATGAAATGTTTCTGAATGTGCAAGATCAACTTTGGAGTCATTGAGGTTGGATGTATGTATGAGACTGTGTGCGTTAGAGCAGCCGAGCACTGTGTTCCCAAGTGAGTGTAGAAACTTCACCCGCTCAGTGCATGAACTTCAACAACCTCGACAATCCACATTGCATAGAAGCATCTAGAAAGCCACAAAACCTCAAGAGTTATCTATTATTTTGACCATCGGTCGTCCAAGACGACAGATCACATACATACTGCAAATTGAATCAATTGGCTAGCTGCAAAAGAAACAGCGGGAATTACATCTCTTCTGCACCTTAATTGCACCCTAGGGAGCCTCATCTAATGCTCTCCCCACGACTCCTCCACCACATCCTGAGAACACGAAGCCCCGTTTTCACCTCAAAAGTCTCACCCTTCTTTAATCTCAGGACCATGTCCTCCACTCCCGCCCCTAACCTCCCACAAAAGGAGCCACAACAGTTCTCCCAACCAGCCGCCTCATCAACCACCACACCATCTCAACAACATCCCCCTCTCCCCCTTCCGGAACCGCCCAAAGAAGGAGAAACAACAACAACACTAAGCGTCGGCGGTGAAGGTGTCAAGTTAGATCACCTCGGTCCCCTAGTCGTCAACCAGGACGGCACCATGAGCCGCATCTCAAACTGGACCAAGATGAGTGCCATTGAACGGGAGAACACCCTAAGGATCCTGGGGAAACGAAACCAGTCGCGGCTTACGAAGTTGAGAGAAGCGGCCGCCGGAGCCACCGGGACGGGCGGGGCTGAGAAGGAGGGTTAGAAGAAGGCTGGACTTGTTTACCGGATGCGGAAGTTGTAAGATGCTTGTAGCGAAAAAGTGCTGTTTAGAAGAAATGCGGAATATATATGTTGTCATACTTATATAGTCTTGATAATAATCTAGGTGAACTGTCGTAAACGAACTGTCGTATTGTCGGCAGGAATTTGTAAGGTCAAGAGCAGGAGTTATTGATTTGATGCACCTAAATCATGTAACCGGGTTAATGAATATTTGCTATGCTACCTTTATGCCTATAGCAAAGTCACGACAACGCCGAATGCTACTCGTCTTCAAAAAAACTATTCACCCAAGTGTTGTAAAGTGTACATTGGTATCGAATCCACGAATCTGTATCATGTCCCATTTAATGTAGGGTTAAGCCCTCCTCCGAATATCGTTTCGTCATTGATAGCGTACAAGTGCTCCTAAAGCACCCACCATTGATATCACCTCCCCCCGGACCAATTGCAAACATAAACATAACCGCAACTCCCAATCGACTATTAAACACATGTCCATACTCCTTGTCATGCGGTGGGACACATGGCCAGCATATTCACAGGGATCCTAGAATTTTCATCTGTCTCGCCAGACGTGGCCTGGTGGACCCTGGACGAGATGGGCCTCGAAGATTGATAGCTTCGGTAGGTAAGGCGTGGAACAATAAGGTAATCGACCTTATCATATGTATCTGGTCGTAGCTGAACCTATTGAACCTCGAAACCGCGAGTTTATTCGACTTTCTCGGTGTCGCCTTTCTTCCTCCTTTCGGCCTTGGCTACCTTTTCCGACTCTGATTCGGAATCGGAGCCGGACGAGTCCTTGCCCATGGATTTTAAAAATGCCGCTAGTTTCGCGTCGAACTTGGAATCTTTGCCACCTGCCTTTTCCATAACGAGTCCTCGCAGCCATTTATTTTCGGTTTCCAGGTGTGTAATCCTGTTTTTCATCTGGCTAACTTCGTCGTTGAGCTGCTTGTTGGTCGTCTCCAGCGCAGCCTCGCGAGCCTTCTTCTTGACTCGAAAACGGGCACTGGCGGCAGTGTTTCGTCTTCGCTTGTCCTCCTCGGCGGCCAAGCGGGATTGGTCCTCCATGCTGAGCTGACGATGCGGACCAGCGTCCCGTTTCTCTCCCGGCTGAGAATGCGGAACACCATAATGACTTTGAGGGGTGCCGGCAGACTGGTAAACTGAGCCCGGGTTGGGCTGTAGTGGCTGTAGGTTGCCCAGGTTGTCCGGGAATGACGATACAGCAGGGCTCGGAAAGCCAAAGTCAAAGTTGTTGAACTCGTCTGTGGTCATGATGCGTTAGGAGAATTCGCCTTCGAGAAACGAAATGACAGTGTGGATTTTCATCGGGCAGGCACTTGGCATTCTCTGGAGACGACTTCGTCAACCAGACGGGACGGACACAAGGAGTTGTTGTGGTGAAAGCCCCGTCTTCGTGGGATCCCCAGACTCCAGTCTCATCACGGGATATGGCACCATCTATCCGCTGCATGACGACTGCGCCCTAGCTTCGGCTAATGTAATTGCTGCAAGGCTCGCAGGGACCCCATGCCCGACCAAATGCGACCTGAAAGAAACGTCATGCCAATCAGACCCAGAGCCAGCCCACGGGAGATGAATGTGCAGGCATATCGCGTGGGGTGTAGGCGTTCAAAATGGCGAGCATCCTCACAGGAATGGTGCAAGTCTTGAGTAGTGCGGGGAAGAAGGTGACAAGGAAGAATTGCGCAATAATCGTGGAACAACACGGGATAGCCATCGTCACTTTACAGGTTATTCGCCATGACCAAAGAGAAACAAGCTGCTTGATAAGGCTGCTGACTCATTTGGCAACCTGGCTGACTAACCAACAAAGACGGTGATGAATCCTATATTGTCTAGGGAGGCCAGAGTAATAACTTGAATTTAAAGGATCTGAAAACAGGACTGGACAAGACGAAGCTAAAGAGCGTAACTGACCTGGGTTGATGTTGAAATCGAGGCCAAGGTCCGCTACAACGGATTCGCCGGGTATAGCCGCACGTGCCTCGACGTCCTTCACTGGAGCCGGACCCTGAGTTTGACCCTGATCCCAATCGATAAACTGTGTGTTGGTGAACATGGCGAGATCATCGTCGACCGGCGTCTCCTCAAGCGATGGCTCATGGGTCGAAATAACGTTCAAATATTGCGAAAGATTGACGGACGACTGGCCACGACGGCTGGCGCTGAATGTCGACATCTTGGCTCGAGGCGACACAAGATGATCGCTAGACTTCGTGATTGGGTTATTGGTGCAGTTGCAAGGGCTCGTCGTCGTCTTCTTCAAAACGGACGTCGTGGTTGCGGGCAATGAGTCGGAATTGTTGCTAAAATTTGTGCCCCGTGGGTGGGTCGGTCTATGAAGCCAGAAGACGATGCCGGCGCCGTTCGAAGCAATGCTTGTTGTTCTTCGGCAGGTGTAATACAGACTCGCTCGCACGACCCGAGCTCGACGAGATTGTATCGATTAGTGAGGTGTGAAAGAGACAATCAGACAATGAGCAATGTATTACGAGAGTTCTCCAGAGTCGAAAATCTGATGATGGGGTCTCAGTCGACTCGCCGGGGTAGATAATGGAGAGAAACCTTGTCGCCGAGTCGTCGCCGAGGACATCAAACCACTCTTTCGCCTGACTGCAAGTGGACTGGTGGAACGGCCTCTTGTCACGATTTGTAAGAGCGTGGGTCGAACGCGACATGATTGGTGAAGTGGCGGGATTTGATCATTGCGTGCGGAGAATAGGCATAGTGAGCTTGCATCAGCCCAGAACAGACGAAGAGGAGGCTTGGCCAATTAACCTTTCAGAAGCCAGGAAACTTTCCGTTATTGCGGGACCTATGAGCTTTCACGGTTGTGATACCCAGCTACTCCAACGGTGGGCAAGTCCCTTCGTTAAGAACCACCTGTGATACGCAATGGGTTCTCTCCAAATACTCGTCTTGTCAGTGTCTGCGCCGTCAATCTGTTGCGTCGCTCACCAAAGGGCGCAGAAAGGCCCAACCTTGGATCCATGGCGAGATCGGATCCACCCGTATCGGGTACAGACGGATGTGGGCGGTGGATGGCCGCCTACCCTGTAATTCATCAGCACTGGCTTTACTAGGTGTTTTACCTTATGGTTTGCGTGAATTAAGGAAGTTTGCAACCGTAACCAATTTTGGCACTTTCACTAAGCTACTTTCGGAGTATGGGGAGGCATGCCCAATACCCGCCAGCTTGCAATACTTTGTAACTCATAGGGCTACTCGCTAGTGCGCTATAAGGCGATTTCCCAGCGCAGAGCTCTTATAATCCAGCGCCGACGAGGCTTGCGATAATCCAGTACGCAGTGTAGTGTTATGCGGAGGGACCTTGGCTGTGGGTGAAGTCCCAATAAAGTGGATGATGTACTGGAGTGTCATGGAGTGTTATGGAGTGTCATCATATTGCCAAGAGTGGTTTAGTGACCATGCTACAATCGGTTACGGTTTGCAACCATAGCGTAAAGTTCATGAGGGACTGTACGAGGTACTGCGATTATTGAATGCGATCATCCTATGGGTTCAGGTTTCTGATGCTGCAGCGGCATTTCCAAGTTCCAACCCGTCCACATTCACATGACTCGACAAACCACTGAAATCGACAAAGCACCATTGATACTTCATCAGCTGAGATGTAGTTGAGACGTATTCGCATTAATCTATCAAGAAAAGAACACTATCAGAAACAACTCACACTATTGTGACAGACTACCACGCAGTGAAACTGTTAGGAATTACTAGAGGGTGAAAGTTGGAAATGTGCAAGTGTCTTGGCATACGAAACCCCGCTAAGTCAAACTGATCGGAGATCGGGAAGTCGCATCGATGCTTACGCACAATGTCAAACTCGTCGCGTAAACTGCACTTTCCAGCCACGCGTCGGCTGGTAGCTATCCTACGGAGTACGTAACCGGAACCCTTGGAACAGAGGGGCATGCGATTGTGAGATAAAGTAGAAGCATCCAAGACATGGAACATGGCGCGCTTGTCAGTGCCAACTACGGCACGACTTCCATCATCTTTACGAGTCGATGCTTCTACAAGCGCTGTAACGAAGGTTCTCAACCGACTTTCCCGTGCGTCGCTCCTATCGCTCGTCGTCGACTGGCTTGGTGAGAGTAATCAGACACTATGCCCACCACTCTTGCGACGCGATAAGGAGGACGACGATGATGTGGACGAATTCTACCCGCTAGCGCAGTCGCTGGAGGAGCTGCGCGAGCTCTACGCCGATATGCAGGCTGCAAAAGGCAGCAAGAGGGAGGTCGTCGACCGCATCGTCGAGGGAGACTGGCGCATGGGCCTCAGCCTGTACCAGCTTGCCATGGCCGACATGCGCTACCTGTACGACCACCCAGGATCTCTCAAATGGATTGCATACAGGATACAACAGTTGAAGTCTCCCTTGAACGAAGCAGAGGCCGACGGCGCTGAGAAGCCGGACAAAGAGACACTGGCCATCCCCCGCTTCCACCCCTCGACGTTCCTTCAGAACCTGCAGGCGGAGGTGTTGCCCGACGTCAAGGCGCATTACAACTTCGACCGGCCCGAGGGTATGCCTCTTTGGCTACTACGCATATTCATTCTCGACTCGCCGTACAACACCACCCTGGCAGTCTCCAACCGTACTGGCGATCGGGCCACGACAAGCTTCGATGCCTCGAGGACATTATATATTGCGTTTCCGGATGCATCGCCACACATCTACATATCCAAGTCTCAGAGCACTGGGCCGGCCGCGCCGGGAGAATCAAGGAGCCTACATAGCCTCATAGTCGATGGCATCCCCAAAGCGCTGTCACGCCCGCGCGAGAGGTATACTTTGAACAAGACGAACCTCTCAACGAAGAACTTATCAGGACTGTTGCACATCAGGGGCGCAGGCCGGACGAATGCAGCAGGTGGCGGTTGGGGCATCTACTCCGAATTGAAGCCAACGGATTCGCCCCTGAATCCTATACTCCCAACCCCGCCGTTGTCGGAAGACTCCTCTTCTGAACCCATGATAGACAACAGACCAGTGAGTAGGACTCATAAACGCGCACTGGGCCCAGAAGAGTCGAGACGCGAACGTGCAATAAAGAGGGCGAAGATGGCAGCACAAGCTCGTTTCGGCAGCTCGGCGAAGGTAGACGATAGGAAAGGTATGGAGCGGCTGGACATCATGATTGAAGACCCATTTCCGAACACTCCGGGTGTCTCAGCACCGCAAAACGAGGCCGAAGCGGGCGAAGCGGAGGAATTGGAACGCTCGCAATCGTCGAAGTCAAAAGGACGGCGCAGCGGGCTTGAGCTCGAATTCGAGCAGGTTCGAGACCTTGCCGAAATTGCGGGTGAAGGCAGCAGGGAAGGAACGTGGAAGCCAAATGTTCGCCTTACGTTCCAAGGCTCCCATGTCTTTGCTGGTATCAGGCAACTTGTCGAGGCTGGTGTCATCAATGGAGGACGTATGCCAGGCTGGATGACAGGGGAAGAGGGCGTGAGCATTGGCGCTGTACGAGATGGGCGGATAAGGGGACACAAGGGATCTGGACTGTAGAATGTGATCAGGTGGCATTGCTGCTTGAGGATAGCATGGCGTTCGATATCGCTTTACGCTGTCGTAGTATATACCCCAAAGAAGAAGTTCCGAGCATGTCGGAAACATCGCAACGGAACTTGCAATGCATTTGCATCATTTCAGTCATTCCATTGAGACCGGTAAAATGTAAAACTGCCGCAAGCAAATGTTATTATTGTGTGCTTCTAATCATCTAGTCCGAATATCTTGGTAGTATTGCGCCACGCCGCCTCGCATACCTCCTCTACCTCAACCCCCTTAATACCAGCAACAACCTTGCCAACCCGCTCAATCATACAAGGTTCATTGCGCCCCTTAATCATCGCTCCCTCTCTCCATTTCTCCTTCTTCACAGCCGGCCAGCGCTCCGGGACACCCGTCTCCTTCTTCTGGGGTTTCTTAGTCTTCTGCGCCGGCTTCGTCGCCGCATCCGGAGTAGACGTCCCCGAAGCCGCCGGTGTTGTAGCACCCGACGCCATCTCACAGGGAGATTCCGTAGACGTACCGTTCTTTTCAACGAGATACTTCCACCCTTCATGCGTAGGTCTCACCTCACACCACGGCCCGTCCGTCTCCAGCATGAGCCGGTCCAGATGAATTCCCTTCACGACCTCGCAATTCTCCGCCGTCTTGAAGCTGCACCCGTTGGTGCCGATGTACAAACCGAGGTCCATGAGTTCCTGCATCTCCTCCACCGTGCCCGTGAAGCTGTGCACCACACCGCCCTTTTCGAGCCTCTCGAGCTTGGCGCCGAATTTGGCTTTCAAAAGCGAGACGAAGTCCTCATGAGCGGCACGCGAGTGCAGGAAGAGAGGGAGTTGGGGTGTCAGGGAGAGGACTAGATCAAGTTGTGCCGCGAAGGAGTGCAGTTGGACTTTCTTGGAGCAATAGTGCAGTCTATCATAGTCCAGGCCGAATTCACCAAATGCGACGAGGGCATTGGGACTTGCGCTGCGCGCGTCATCGATGAGTTTCCCGAGGTCTGAGATGACCTTCTCGGTCTTCTCTTGGTCGGGCTCGTGGTCTTCTGGTACGGGTTGAGTAGGGTCCGGGTCACATGGCATGGTATGACCATCCGTGCCTTCATGTGCATGGGCTGAGCTGAATATCGCACTGGAACATGGGTGTATGCCAGCGGTTGTGTACACAGTTCCAGCTACTTTGTGTCAGCTTTATCCGAGGGAATGAGTTAAGCCATTATAGACATACGGTATTCCTTGGCAAGCTCAAGGGCATGCCTTGAGCTTGTGAAGTCGGATCCAGTGACAATCAACTTGCTACATCCGACTTCTTGGGCTCTTGAGACCACTGCGCTCAAATCATCTGGGTGCCTCTCTTTGCCATAATATCTCCCTCGAAATATGGGATCTGCAAGATTGATACCAATCTTGAGGGGACTGTTAGTCAGCTAATAGAGACAAGAAGAACATTTGAGATGAGTGAAAGTCTATGAATGGGAATGTATTAAATGAGGATGACCGAAGATATCGATGAGGTAGTCAAGGATAGTAAAAACGACAAAGTGGAATTCAAGATAGCCTACATCAATGTATCGTGGCTTGTACGAGACATGATTTCCTTCGACCGGCGGTGCAGTAATTGGTGTCTCGGAAACCATCTTGAAGGTGGTGTAGATGGACCTCAGGCAGAGCCTTGTCGACTGCACCGTTGGAGTTGGTCTGAACTTGGTGAAATGTGCCAGCAAGAGGCTCCTTGGTTTCATCGAGTCACCACTAGCACCATCTATACAATGGTTGTGGTGGTAAGTCAGGGAAATGCTGACAAGTTTCTTGCCTCCTGCAGTGAGACTACCACGACTTCACGTGCAAGCGCGTTTCTGGTGATAGTGGGGTCGTAGAGCTAAACTACGGGTATCAAGCCTTCAGCCAGCGTTGTTTATATAAGTCGGTAAGATCCAGAACGCAATGCCATAATTATGAAGACAAAACTCTTGAATACGCCTCGATGTTCAAGCAATGACTTCATTTAACGAGTCAGGGAGCTTAAAGAGTCCTCATGGCGGGGCTGTTGAAAATGACCCAACACGATGAAGTTTCGAAAACCCAGCGAAAAGCTATCAGAATACACATATTCTCTACTTTCCATCAATTGATGGATTCTGACAGGCGAAATTTAGGGTAAGTGAGTATCTCATGCCGCAAGCAATACGAAGTAGTCGGTATCATGTCTCCTTTCTCTTTGATGAACAAATCTGCATGATGGGGGCTGGCCGCCTGGCTCTTGGACCTGGTTGGGCAGTGGGGCAAGACGCGACAGCCGAGCCATGAACTCGGAGCGCAAACGGAGTTCTGGCGCAATTGGGCCCGATATTCTCTTCAGGGAAATCAGGGAAATCAGAGAAACGCGAGTGAAACGGCGTGAAAAGAAATGATTTTTAAACTGCCTTGGAAGAGAAGATTGAAGCATTGTTGCTTAATTCCAGGACGTTGAGCTGTATGGACTAGGGACGTCAATTGGGATTTGAGACGGCAGTCTCGGCCAGAGACCCCGCGATCCCGGGGTATCCTTTTTGACGCGTTAAGTGGCAGGGAGGACCGCACCCAAGCTGATTAGTGAAGTAAAGAGTCTGCAGTTGCCTGCCTAATTCCTTGGCCCTAGCTTGTTTTTCGCGCTATCGGAGGCGCGTCGCGTCAAGTGTACTGGGAGACCGCGTAGCATTTTATAAGTCTCCAACCCAAAAACCTCTCTCATCCATCTTCCACTCTACATCCCATACAACAGACATCGTATCTACAAATTTTAGACATATGCTTGTGCATAAAGTCTATTGTGACTTCAATCTATCTTCTTGAAGTCTGCAGAACGATTGATTCCATCCTTTCCACATTCCTTGCGTCTCGACCTCCCCGCCGCTCTCCCTTCTTCGGGTTGTTCACCATCCGCCTTCACGATGTATGTCAAGAAGCGCGGTATGTATCCCTCCAATCGTTTCAAGATCTCTTCATAGACTGATAGCTGGCCAGATGGACGCCAGGAGCGTGTCCAGTTCGACAAGATCACTGCCCGTGTCTCGAGGCTCTGTTATGGTCTCGACGCAGACCATGTCGATCCGGTAGCTATCACCCAGAAGGTTATTTCCGGTGTGTATGGAGGTGTGACCACTGTGCAGCTGGATGATCTCGTGAGTCTTCCCCCATATTTCATCAAAGAAGATCGTCTCCTGACAACATGTGACTACAGGCTGCCGAGACTGCCGCCTACATGACCGTTACCCACCCAGACTATGCCATTCTTGCGGCCCGCATTGCCGTATCCAACCTTCACAAGCAAACAAAGAAGCAATGGTCTTCAGTCGTAAGCGATCTATACCACTATGTCAACCCCAAGAACAATAAGCCCTCGCCTATGATCTCCCAACAAACATATGACTCGGTCATGAAGCACAAGGAGGAACTTGACTCAGCCATTGTCTATGATCGAGATTTCAACTACCAATACTTTGGCTTCAAGACCCTGGAGCGATCATACCTCCTGAAGCTCAACGGCAAAATTGCTGAGCGGCCGCAGCATATGATTATGCGTGTTGCTGTTGGTATCTGGGGCGATGATGTCGAAAGGGTCATCGAGACGTACAACCTCATGTCTAGCAAGTACTTCACACATGCATCTCCCACACTCTTCAATGCTGGTACTCCTCAGGCCCAACTGTCTTCCTGCTTTCTGGTCGACATGAAGGAGGACAGCATCGAGGGTATCTATGACACCCTGAAGACCTGTGCCATGATCTCAAAGATGGCAGGTGGCATTGGCCTCAATGTTCATCGCATTCGTGCGACTGGTTCTTACATTGCTGGCACGAACGGAACATCAAACGGCATTGTCCCCATGCTGCGTGTCTTCAACAACACTGCGAGATACGTCGATCAGGGTGGCAACAAGCGTCCCGGTGCCTTCGCTATCTACCTTGAGCCATGGCACGCGGATGTCTTCGAGTTTCTTGATCTCCGTAAGAACCACGGCAAGGAGGAAGTCCGTGCTCGCGATCTTTTCCTCGCTCTTTGGATTCCTGATCTCTTCATGAAGCGAGTCGAGAGAAACGGCGACTGGACTTTAATGTGCCCCAATGAGTGCCCTGGTCTGGCTGATGTCTACGGCGATGAGTTCGAGGCTCTGTACGAGAAATACGAGGCCGAGGGACGCGGCAAGTCGATCAAGGCCCAGAAGCTCTGGTATGCCATCCTCGAGGCGCAGACCGAGACTGGTAACCCTTTTATGCTCTACAAGGATCACTGCAACCGCAAGAGCAACCAGAAGAACCTTGGCACCATCCGCAGCTCCAATCTTTGCACAGAGATCATCGAGTACTGCGCTCCTGATGAGGTTGCTGTGTGCAACCTGGCATCCATGGCTTTGCCCTCGTTCGTTGATTACAACTCGGGCACGTATGACTTTCAGAAGCTTCATGAGGTCACACAGGTCGTTGTTCGCAATCTGAACAAGATTATCGACGTCAACCACTACCCTGTACCTGAGGCACGGAACAGCAATATGCGACACCGACCTGTTGGTCTTGGTGTCCAGGGTCTTGCTGACGCTTTCTTGGCTCTCCGCATGCCCTTCGAGTCACCAGAGGCCAGACAGCTGAACAAGCAGATCTTCGAGACCCTCTACCATGCTGCATTGACGGCCTCCATGAACCTCGCCAAAGAGCAGGGTCCCTACTCCACCTACGAAGGCTCTCCTGTCTCCAAGGGTATCCTCCAGTATGACATGTGGAACGTTACTCCATCTGACCTCTGGGATTGGGAGTCACTGAAAGCTCAGATCAAGGAACATGGTATTCGCAACAGCTTGTTGATGGCGCCCATGCCTACTGCTTCCACCTCTCAGATCCTGGGCAACAATGAGTGCTTCGAGCCCTACACGTCCAACATTTACTCTCGTCGTGTTCTGGCTGGCGATTTCCAGGTTGTCAACCCCTGGCTCCTCAAGGACCTGGTCGACATGGGTCTCTGGTCTGACAACATGAAGAATCGTATTATTGCCGAGAACGGTTCCGTTCAGAACATCCCCAATATTCCCGCCGAAGTCAAGGCCCTGTACAAGACCGTTTGGGAAATCTCACAGAGGACCGTCGTTCAGATGGCCGCCGATCGTGGCGCCTTCATTGACCAGTCCCAGTCTCTGAACATCCACATGAAAGACCCCACCATGGGCAAGATCACCAGCATGCACTTCGCCGGCTGGAAGCTTGGACTGAAGACAGGCATGTACTACCTGAGAACCCAGGCTGCTGCTGCTCCTATCCAGTTCACCGTTGATCAGGAGGCATTGAAAGTACCTGGAGCGGAAGCATCAACAAGACCTTTCGGGGGACTGAAGAAGCGAGCGCCGCCCTCGGGCAGCTATGTTTCGTCACCTTCAGCCGTGCCTCGGGCCATTAGCAACAGCAATATCGTCAACAATGCTAATGGGATGCCGACGCCCAGCGCTACGCCCCCGCCTATGAGCCGTCCAGCTGCACCGCCGATGGAAGCGGCTCCTTTCAGGGCGGACATTGATGAGGGTGAAAGCCCAAAGGCTCTGGCCACCGAGCCCACTGAGAATGTGAAGGCGGAGAACCTACCAGAGCCAGTGCTTGATGGCAGCAACTCCCCGCGCCAGGAAGAGGATAAGACCACGGACAGCAAGGACCGTGAGTACGATATCTACAATGAGGCTGTCTTAGCCTGTGAGTTCCACCACTATCCCAACACGGAAAAATAATAACTAACAATATTCTAGGCAGCATTGAGAACCCTGAATCCTGCATAATGTGCAGTGGTTAAGGGGCCCATCATGCCGAGGCTGTGAAGCGATGACGATACGAGGGCCGATGACGGATGTTAAGGTGATGGGACATTTCCTCTACTGCGTATTCCCATGCTGCTTGGAGCATCTGTCTGACGGGCAGACGAGCTATGGCGGAAAGCAGATCAATGCATTTGTATTATGGGTTAGGGATCGTATTGTTTTCTGCTGGATTGGGGTTACGGGGTTTTGTCATGTGTTTTTTGCTCAATATTTCCCCCCAACTGCGCACATTTGTTTAAGTAGTTTTCTATAAGCCTACCAAAGTCCGGAGGCGGCTCTTGCTTCTCTGCAAGGTGAGATCGATGAATAAATCAGTGTTCAATGAGCGGTTGATGACTTGTTGAAAGTAACGTGGATCTGTGCGCATATTTGTCCACGGGTCAGGTATGCAGGACAATGAGACATGAAGTCGCACGCAGAATACGCTCGTATCCTCTGTTCCAAGTTCCTAATACGAAGAACTAGTCATAAAACGACATGTTCTCATCGGCCCCCTTCCCCTTCAAACATACTATGCTCGCCAGCCTTGGCCGTTTCCAAGGGCCGCGATTCGTCCACACGTCACTTAGCGTTAGGGTTACATTTCGTATCAACTAGCCTTGCTGCAGGTGTTGAGGTTATCTAGTCAAAACACCAGAGGGATGTGCAACAACATTACGGCCTTGCGCCGAGATGGTTACTACAGAGTTCATCTCAAGCAGAAGAAAACTGTTCTTGAACATCTGCATGGTCTGTCGGGAGCATGTAATTGAATTCATCAGGGGTTTTCACCTTCTGAACTGCTAGGCCGAACATACAAACTGTCCTCATGGTCCACCGTCCAAAGTCATGAACCCCGTCTCGGTAAGTTCCTGGATATATATTTTCTTGAGTTTTGATTTCTTCGCGACGTGATCTGACTCGTCGACGGTATCCCAGAGTGGCAATGGCCCAGAAGGGACGACACCTTGGCTTGTCGTTCCTGATTGCGACCCCACGAGATGGGATCAATATCCCTTGAACGTCTCGAACATCAGCTGTACATTGCATGGTGATTCCGACTGCCGGCGACGGGATAGACATGCTCGGTACAAGGAGTTAGGAGCACAGACAGCGCTGTAGTGTAGCTACCGCCGAGGAAAGAGGCAATCTCGAACGAGCCATATTTGCAGCCCCGGAATCGCGTGTCATAGACCTTCCCTATACACATGCTCCCATCGCTACAATAGGCATGCGCCAAATCATTGGAGGCCCAATTTTGAGTATTGTTTCAAGGGGTTAAACGGGAAAGTGTCAGAAGACGTACCCTAGATGCTGAATAAGCTTTCGGTATCGTCCTCGCAAAGTATCGTAAAAGAAGTCTAGGGGTTGTCACCAAATTCTTAACCTAGAAACGCAGGGGATGGCCGTCCGTTTGCAGAAGCTGTTACGGACTCAATTCTACTAGCCAGAAACCACGGGAAGGAGGGGGGTGGAATTCCGTCTGTTCTAGCATCTGTCAGCAACCTTAAGACGACCCTATTCTAGGGAAAGCCGTTATCCGCTGCAGCCACTGCCGCCATTCCAACTCTAATCAGTGCCGAAAGCTGCGCTAGAAGCACCAAATCGTTACGAGAAACGGTATGGCTGCAGTGGCACGGCTGCGGCTATACCTCGTACGCATAACAGTGTCTGTAAAAAGAATGCCACATCATTCAGGTGTTCTGCTACGCCGAGAAGCCGCGTAAGGTTGTTCCATGTGGGTATGCTCTTCGTACTGGTAGCACAATTGGGTCATCGTGACTGCCGCCGAAGGTTCGGTCAGAGGATAATGGAGTTGCATGCAGCAAATTTGCCGGACCGTTGCTCTCGACAGATTACGTAGGTACACATGGCACTGCCTCGTGGCAACTGGCCAGCTTGTAACAGCTCAGGCAATGCGCTCACAGCAGTCGCATCAGCGCCTAGTCAGAAGGCATCAACAGAGACAGCTGCTGGGCGCCGCGCGTTGGTGTAACTGAAGCGCCACATAGATCGACAATGCTGCAAAACCACTACCAGTATACTAGTCGTGACGATTATATGATGCTAGACCATGCAAGAAAAGGTGCCAGTCCAGTGAGTACTACTTATCGATCAGTTAGTGCTGCTCAGGTCGGGCCTCATGCAGCACTAAGTGCTTTGCCGAGTGATTGGCGAAGCTCGCTCGGGCATCTAGGTCGTACCAGTGGCCGTTTGTGTACAGCTGCTGCCGTTTCACTTGACGAGGAAGCAAGTTGTTTCCACGTTTCTCTGAATTTGTGTGGTTCCGAATGGGAAATTGGGATGGAACAGAGACAGCTGAAATGATGATTACCTCGGGGCTGGTCCACAGAAGCTGCGATGATAGACTCCGAAAGACGGAAAGATTGCCAGCTTGTTCCCCTGCTGTTAGGTATCACGGTATCCGACATCGAATACCGCCTGGAAACACATCACATATCAGGGAATCGGAAAATTGGAAAACCAGAAAAGAACTGTTCCAGACCCAGCCAGATCAAGTCGGAAACCGTGGCTTGTGCACCGCGCGGCCGTTCTAAAGTAGATGACTCGCAGCCAAAAAGCGACTTGTACACGGCACACACCAGCTGAAAAAGAGGCAAAGTGAGGCTGGGGGCGGCATCTCAAGATAACACGCTAGGCAGAGGGAGCCAGTGGAGCCTCTTGAGAACCGACTGCTGGATTCATCGGGCTGAAAATCATGAGACATTGACGGTATCCTCATCACTAGCTGCGAGCCGAAAAGACCAAGTCGGTTGATAATTACGCGTCCCGGAGCGGTGAACTATGTCGACATGTTGATAGACGGCTTCGGTGAATTTGGCTCGGTGGGTGTCAACAATCTTGCCAACTTGCCATCAAGAGTGGTGAACCTTTGGGGAGAGATCGCAAACCTTATTTCACCGGACGATTCGGTTGACAAGCATCGCTGGGGTTGTTTCAAGGAATGAGGAGCTGATGCACGGGGAATCAAAATGTAACTTTAGAGTATTATGTCTAGACGCCCCCAACATCGTAATGCCGGCCATTTCCCCGTGCCAAGAAAAAAAATATCAATTGGTTTCTGCTCGGGGGTATTTTGTCGCGAGTTCCTGAGTTTGGAAGGAAACAGTTGGCCGCTCTCAATGGTGATGCAATACAACAAGCCACTTCCTCATTATGAAGTTGTTTCCTGATCGTCATCTGAGCATCTTCCAAGATCTTCGTCGGCAGGCAAGGGTTCCAGATGCATACCGTGCTAAAGAGGTGCTCGAACCAGGTATTGGGCCCACGTGGAAAGGAATGACGTCAGATGGAGCCTTCTCGGCCGGGAACCCGAATTCTTGACGAGTTTATCAGCTTGAATCTGAGGGCGGGAGCTTCCAATAATTCCTCCTAGGTTTGAAATCAAATCATGATGGCGGGCGATCGCAAGTTGCCATAACATTCCTTGCTTACCGACAAGATCAGTCGGCAAAGACATCTCAAACTACTATCAAGAGCGTCGATGTTCGTGACTCCCATGCCAGCTGTTTCTGAGCCAACGCAACACCAATCTGGGCCGGCCACCCCAGCAAGCCGCAAAGTTGGATTGGCGGGGTTGCAGTGCGCCTATATGGGACCCTGACATACCCCAGTCAAACTTGTGGCCAATGGGCAGTTGCTAGCGGCAGAGCTGCAGACCTGCAAGCCACTTTTTCAACCTCATCCCATTGTCGATACACATTCAACTTGATCTCATGTTGCTACTGCATCTGCCTTGTTTTCTCTGCCCGTTGCCCAGACACAGTAACCATAATATCCTGCTAGCACTGCTAGCACTGCTAGCACTGCTAGCAGTGAGCATCATAGTGTAGATTGCTAGACCCGACGCTACCGGGTTTCTAGAAGGGATTTGCCACAGCACGACGTATCTGCGCGACCGACTGCTAATTTCGATGGCGGGACTGTACCAGGATTGTACCTGATCAGCTTAACATGAACCTGTGGCCAGCAGCAATCTGTGGAACATGCATGGGCACAGTTATCTCATTGAGAGGTCGGGAGACATTGAAGTCGGTGTAGCCATCCGCCAAACAACCTACGCGGGCGGCCTGGGGAAATGAGTAGCCCCTGGAGTCTGTGATGTCGATGGTGTTACAAAGGGCCAAGCGTCACAGCGGGCAAGTTGTATCTGCTGCAACTGCCAATGGATGTATGCTTCCCTCTAGCCCGAAACTTGCGGTTTGCAGAAATGCATCGGTAGGAATGTTTCCCTTGCCAAGAAGGCAGCTAGCTACAAATGCTCGGTTCATGTCACAGACCTTGCCGACTCAGGTGCCTATAAGTGAATGCTATGACTGACAGCTGCCAGGTAAACCTTGCTTTGCATGCGATACGAAGCGTCCGCGTGAATTGCCGTTTTTCGTCCCATTCCAAGACAGCATACAAGCTAGAAGAAGCGTTTGTACTTTCCCCCACAGCAGTTCTCACCTCTGCCAGCAAAATCGGGCAGCCCGGGGTTGCTGCTAGCTGGAAAGGTCAACTAGTGCGGTCCTGATTGCCAAGAAATTCAAGTATTGTAACCTGGGACAAGCACTTGGGAACAACAATATGAGGTGGTTGGAGAAGCAGAATACTACATATATACTACACTAGGTAAATGATCCCATGTACACCTGCATGTATTGTCGCCGTCGAACAAGTTTGGAATCAAATTTCCGTATGACCCAAATGCTGCACTGCTGCCAGCATAAAATTATTTAACTGCCGGCTGTCCTCCCAAACAATACCAAGTTTTCTCATAGTCATTCCAGCACCAAGCACCACAGCACCAATTTCCTTACAACTGTAAGGTATCCAGCTCTGCACCCAACTTCGAGGTATCAACATCCTGGTTAGTTTGATTGCAACTCTGGACATCGTCAATTCCCGTGCAGAATCCCGCAGCATCATCACCCTTTTGTAGTCGCACTTTCTCTTGATCTGTGAGGTATGTAGCAACATCTTCAGCAGAAGCCATCCGTGACTCCCAGTCACTTACCCTTACCAATCTGGTCATTTTATTCTCTGCCACTTTCCCATCGGTCCTACTTCGCATATCACACCTGGTACCTGCCCTACACGTTGTCACCCCCCAAATCCACTCCACGAAGTCCTCCTTCCACGCACTGGACAACCTGACCAAAAAAAAACTTCGTGTCATGCCTTCCTTATTTACATCGCCGTCACGCCTTCCCGCAAAGTAGACCAGGTAGCCCAAACACATAACCCCGCCCTCTTCGCCAACCTCAAAACGCGCCTCTTCTCTCTTCCCAAACTCATCCACATCCACAACACCCACATCCATCATCTTGCAAGCATCACCACCCAAGACAAGTTGTTCTCGGCGCATCTTCTCATTTTGCACGCTTTTTGAGCATCCATTTTTGGTCAGAGCAAATTCTTACTCGATTCTCCAGATACAACCAATCAATCAATCACCGGTCTTCAAGCAATTCAAGATGAAGTACTCCATCATCTTCATTGGCGCTTCCGTTGGCTTAACTGCGGCCCAAAACCTCCCCGACGGTTTCCCCCCCTGCGGTGTAAGTTGACAACTCTTCCCATCACTGCTGGCGCAAATCATCGACATGTCGTTACCATTGCAAGCTCAGGCTTCAGTGATGGAGTGATGGTTTCGATTCACTTGCTGCACAATGCTCCTATGCTGGACTTCCGAGCTCAAGACTGACAATATCTCTGCTTCGTCCAGACTACCTGCATTACCAACATGCTAGCAAAGGCTTCTGATCTGGGCTGCAGTAACACCGATGCTCAGTGCCTCTGCTCCAACCTTGACTTCCTGTACGGCGTTCGAGACTGTGCAGACCAAGCTTGCGGCAGCACCCAGGATGCCCAGACCGTCAAGGACTACGGCGTCAATTACTGTGCCAACGCTGGTATCGCCATCAGCGGTATCGGTGGGACTGCCGTGAGTTGATGTTTTTCCATGACAACGCTGACACCTTATACTGACAACTCGATTAGACGGGGACTGCCGCTGCCACTGCTACCATCACTGCGACAGCCAGTCCCACGACCGTCGCCACCGGAGGATCGGGTGGCTCTGACACCGGCTCTGGACCTTCTGTCACTACTTCGGGGATCCTGACGACCATCAGCTCGGGCGACACGGTCATCACTAGCACTGTTGGCTCAACCACGATCACTGGTGGTGTTGTGCCCATCACCACGTCGGATATCCTCTCGACCATCGTCTCCGGAGACACTACACTCGTCAGCACCGTCGGCGAAACCACTATTTTCTCAACTGTCGAAGGTGGTAGCGCTACGGTCCCCACCACGGTCGTTTCGGGTGGTACTACCCTCACAACCAATGTTTCGCCCACCATTACTACTACTTCTGGTGCCACCGGCGATAACAACCCATCTTCGACTGAGGGCAACCCAAGTGATGCCACCGGTACCCCGACTACCACCTCGTCTGGTGGAGGTGCCCCCCATCGCACTGCTGCCCCGCTTGGCTTTGTTGCCGCTGCCGGTCTGGCTCTCCTCCTGTGAGGGAGCACTTCCAAGTTCTATGGTGTTTGAGGTTTCGGGGTTTGCTTTCTGGTAGGGGCTGGTTGATGAATGGATGAGTCATGTATAAATGATTGAGGTCTGATGGGCAGACCTTCTAATACTGCATTATGATACCCATTGCGGGAGGGCAGTGGAGTTGCATCGTTGCTTTCATGAAAAAGCACTAATACTAAATTTTGTTGGTAGCAACCAAACATGTTTTCTGAACAAAACTCTTCCTATGCAAGTGTGAAATGACAATAAACCAATTGATCCATGAACCATCCAGAAACGGCTTGGTACATGTATTTTCCCGAGTATATTATTTACGATTGCCGTTTTAGGTCCCATGCACTACTGATATGTACTCGACGGAACGTCATGAAACTTGCATATCCTCTTGTATTCAAAGGCAACGATATCTCCAACTCTTGACCCATCAATATCTCATGCCATTCAAGCCAATGTGACAACCAGAAGCCCTGGAACTGTGAGCAATCTTGCTGCTCATGTGTAATGAGAGAGGAGGGAACAGGTCTTCCCGGGATCAACTGATATGAGCCTCGTGGCGGGTCGAGGGAAGAGATGCTTGACTTTGCTCGTCCTTGTGATATGCGTAGTGTTCTCCTGGACACGTTTGCTAATGACGGCAAGCTCTTGACAGTATTGGGTTTAAAGTGGGCTGCTTCGTGGTGGTAGTAGTCTGCTTTCATAATGTGGGGGGGAACAGTAACGCCGAGTTAAGGGGTGGTATTCAAACTTTGAAAGAGGTTGGCTTTTGGAGCAAAGTTATCTACTTGTCAAGTCATCACAGTTATGGTAGCTGAGGAAAAGGAGCGACGACAGATGGTTGATGACCGCCACTTTGGTAGTCGCCTTGTAGCATTGTTTTCAGGATATAATCCTACATAATAGGAATGACTGTAGCACCATGACTTCAGGTAAAACTACATTAATACCATTTTCATGCCCTTGTCGACATGTTGCTTTAACACTAAATGATCTGGATGACGGAACAAGTAGTGACGGCCGTTTAGCGATGCCAGTAACTGAACGTTAGCATCTAATCTAGAGTAATGTGATCAGACCGGGTTTGAAGATTACTATATGAATGGAGGGTTACGGATGAGCTTTTGCTAGGTCACCCCTTTTGGAGTGGTACCGGGTAGGTTCCTTCAGGAAGGGTGTAAATGGTGAATGAGGAACATGGAAAGTGCAAAGAAGACTTCAAGTCAGAATAAAGGCATAAAGAGATAGCATAACAGGAATATCTATGACCTGACCTTGATAACCTTTTTTTTACGATGAGGGAGCTTGACAATACCGCTCAATTGAGTTGGCAGTGACCAATTGCGCTGCAAGACGTCAAATCGAGGTGATATGGAGCCACACAGCACAGCCACACAAGCGAGCGAGCTAGCTCCAAGCACCAAGCAACATCACTGCTCTCCAGGCCTCGGCGGTGGGTGACGACAAGGCCGCCTCAACAACTACGTCGCCCGACAAGGAGCTTCATCAGCGCCATGATACCAAGATAAGCCCCGAATTGACTGCAAACATTACCATGGCCTTGCTTTTAGTACATAATGCCCCACCCATGCCGACGCGCATCTTCCACAGAGCTCCGAACTAACACGCGCCACAGTGGAAAGCATTCGACTTCTTTGAAGTCAGCCAGGTCAAGCTGGGCGATGACGATACCCGGTCCTTCTTCGAGAACAACGACATATCGAGTGTTTGTTCTGGCTCCGAAAGCCTGTTTCTGGGAACCCACGAGGGATATGTGCGAATAATTGGCCCGAGCTGGAAGATCATTCGGAGCTTCCAAGCACACGACACGGGGAGGATCACCCATATGCGCCAGGTTGAGGGGACAAGCTTTCTGGTCACAGTCGCTGTATGGACACCGTATCATACATAACAAGGTGGCCAACGGATGATAATAGCTGATTGGCAACAGGAAGATCTAAGCAACGAGCCCGTCTTGAAAGTTTGGGCCCTAGATAAACCGGTCAAGAAGACAGGGCTGCCGACGTGCTTGACCACCCTGAACATACACAATGGAAGGAAGCAGTTTCCCGTGAGTGTGCTTTCCGGGATGAGGATGCTTCTATGCGGAGCATCTATGCGGAGCATAGAGCTCACAGGATGCTAGATCTCCGCTTTTACGGCGCTTGATGACTTGTCGCAAGTTGCTGTGGGCTTCGCAAATGGAGCAGTTACGGTCATCCGAGGCGACCTGATCCATGACCGGGGTACGAGACAACGAGTAGTACACGAATCCGAGGAACCTATCACCGGTGTCGAGTTCATTGCAGACCCGCGAATCACTACTTTGTTTGTGGCAACGACAGCGCGACTTCTGAAACTCGTGATATCTGGGAAAGGCCAGGGACAACCGCCAAGGACGCTAGAGGATTCGGGATGCGCAGTTGGTTGCATGACGCTCAACAAGAATACAGGTGACATCATCGTTGTCAGGGACGATGCAGTGTACTACTACAACTTGGACGGTCGAGGGCTCTGTTTCGCAAATGATGGCACAACGACTCTAGCAGCAACATACCAAGATTATGTTGCTCTCGTTTCGCCTCCTTCCGCGTCAAGCAATGGCGACTCAAATAACATTCGACGCCGATTTGGAGGTGCCAATACTGAGGCTCTTTTCAATGCATCCACAGTTACCATGGTGGACCCAGTGCTACAAATAGTTGCCCACTCTGAGTCCTTGATATCCAAAGTTCAGGCTCTGTTTCAAGTCTGGGGAGACCTGTTCATATTGATGCAAAACGGGAAGGTAGGATAGTGATGTTCCAATATGGAGACCTTGAGACTAATAGGTGCCAGATCAATCGATACCACGAGAAGCCCCTCCAGCAGAGACTCGAACTGCTATACCAACGCAGCCTGTTCCCTCTGGCGCTTAAGTTGGCGGATAAATCTGGCATGGACGAACAACAACAGAATATTATCTACCGAAAGTATGGAGACCACCTCTACCAAAAGAGCGACTATGACAGCGCCATGTCCCAGTACATCAAAGCCATCGACAACACGGAACCGTCACAAGTTATCCGCAAGGTAATAAGACTTCCGTCCGCCCAATGTGTTATCAGTGACTGACAGAAGTAGTTTCTTGACACCCAAAGAGTAAATAACCTCATCATGTACCTAGAACAGCTCCACGAACACCACAAGGCAACTTCTGATCACACCACATTACTCCTCAACTGCTATGCCAAGCTCAAGGACGTCGAGAAGCTGGAGCACTTCATCAAGTCTGAAGACGATCTTAAGTTTGACTTAGACACGGCAATCACCATGTGCAGGCAAGGCGGCTACTTCGAACAAGCAGCGTACCTCGCGACGAAGCATGGCGAAAGTGATCTGGTCGTCGATATCCTCGTCGAAGACTCTAAGAACTACAACGATGCCCTTGATTTCATATGGCACCTTGATCCTGAAGCGGTCAGTATTGGAATCTCGTCATGAAGGCAGCAACTAATTTGCAACAGGCGTACCCAGCTTTGATGAAATACGCCCGAGTCCTCCTGGAACATTGCCCGAAAGACGCAACTCAGATCTTCATTGATTATTATACGGGCAAGTATAGGCCGAAAATCCACATGGTGAAAATTGACGAGGTTCCATCCGCAGCGGGCGGGAGATTCGGAGAACTAGCTGTAGGGACCGTGAGTGCCATGCAGAACCTGTCAAACCTGCTTCCCTTACCATACATGAACACCTCTGCTATAGCTAGCCCGGCTACACAGGGAAATGTTCAGACTGTCAGCGACTCCGAGGTGTTGGTAGATCCCGATTCACCGGGAGAATCGCCAAAATACAACCCACCTGCACCCCGCACAGCCTTTTCGTCATTCATTGACCATCCAGACGAATTCATCGTCTTCCTGGAAGCATGTCTGAAGGAAGAGTCCTTGAATGACACAGACAAGTCGGATTTATACACGACATTGTTCGAGATGTACCTCCACAAAGCGAGCAAGAAAAGCGAACAACGAGAGGAATGGGAGTTTAAAGCCAAGAAGCTCATCTCCGGCCGCGACCTTCCCATAGAGAACTCCAACGTCCTTCTCTTATCCCATCTATCCGACTTCCACGATGGCACAACCCTCGTCAAGGAGCAATCAGGTCTGCTCTTCGACATATTCCGCTCTTACACAAGCGCGAAAGACACGAGGGGCGCGATCAAAGCGCTGCGAAAATACGGCCCCGAAGAGCCACAACTGTACCCTGCGGCACTGGCGTACTTCACTTCCGACTCCAAGGTCCTTGAGGAAGCTGGGCCAGAAGAACTCTCCAAAGTCCTTAAGCGCATCGACGAGGATGGGCTCATGGCCCCCCTCCAAGTGATCCAGACCCTCGGCGCTAACGCAGTGGCAACCATGGGCATGATCAAACCGTACCTTCAAGAGACCATTTCCCGCGAGCGCAGCGAGATCGCCCGAAACCGCCGACAAATCAACTCGTTCCGCAAGGAAACGGAGCAGAAGCGCGCCGAGATCACCGAGCTGGGCTCCAAGCCGGCCGTCTTCCAAGCGCAGCGGTGTCCCGGATGCGGCGCCGCGCTCGAGCTGCCCGCCGTCCACTTCCTATGCAAGCACAGCTTCCACCAGCGGTGTTTGAAACCGGGAGGTGACGGAAGCGAACCTGAGTGCCCCGTTTGCTCTAATAGCAATGCGGCGGTAAGGGCCATGAAACAGAGCCAGGATGAGAGGGCGGGTCGGCATGATGTGTTTAAGGACGCGCTGGAGAAGGGTAAGGGGGATGACAGGTTTAAGACTGTGGCGCAGTGGTTCGGGCAGGGGGTTATGAGTGGTGGCGGCTCAGTTTTTGATTAGCGTGGGTCCTGTAGCAAAGACAGACTCACCCCCTATATGGGTTAGGCGGAATGGACATATTGACAGCATGCATACATACAATTAAAGCAATCCGAAGGTCAAGGGAATTCGAAATCGACAACTGTATCTGTTTGAGCTTCTCCCAAGAAGCGTAAGTGCCGTGGTTCGCGGCAGCAAAGGTGAGAAGGTAGGAAACCGTCGGAAACGACTTGCTCGACACCGAGGTAGTGAAAATAGAAGGACAGGAAAACACAGTAAACAAAAATAGAGTGAATAGAAGCCACATTTACAAGTGCCATGCGAAGAGAGGGTGTCAAACATACCAGGCATTTTAAGGGCGCTGCTTTCCAACAAACAAAGAAAGGCTGGTTAAGTCAGTGGTAGAGTAGTCGGCCTTAAGCGCCCAACGCTATACGCGGCATAGGGTGGTACGCAAGTCCCAGGTCTGGGTTCCTGGACCGGTTATCCCATCTTTTCTTTTTTTTCTTTTCTCTTTTCCCACCTTATTCCCAAATCCATTTTTGTAATTTGATTCCATTCCATACCTTGACTTATCTGTCTGGTTACTAAGTCGTAGACCGGTTTGTGCTGTTCGAATTTTGATCCTTGGTGTTTTAAGGCCATGTTCGGTTGGATTCACGGGACTGCTGGGCTCCTGTTATATGTAAATAACATTGACATATATCCGGCTGTCTATTACCCATGTTTACTTGCCGGCATGGTTCAGCTATATAATTCTTCTATGGGACAAGGACAGATACAGTGTGTGTATTGACGAGTTACGTCGAAAGGCTTCGTTATATCTTCTGTCGAGGAACCTGAGCTCCACGGTTTGCTCCTGAAACTGAACAAGGCCGGCAGATTTTCAGGGTACCAACGTCGGCTGGAAGGTGTATGTAAAGAGACTCGACTTAGGGTTCGTCCTGCTTCTACGGATACTCGGAGCTAGTAAAATAATTCATATTAATCTAAGGAAAGTCGGCACGGACGGGAAGGCAAGGGAAGGAGGGGAGGGGGCGACTCGAGTACAGATGACAATATGCGAGTTTCTAGTGACTGGCCTGCCTAGCTGTAAAATACTATAAATGATGAATGAAAAGACAAGCACTCACGTGAAGTTAGATGCCACGTATTATCATTTGTGTTTTATTTGGTATGTCGATAAGCTCCTACAGCTTGGTATGTACTGACAATTTCACAACAAAGAGTAATTGGTGCCTTGTCTGTACCGCATATAGCAGCCATCGGTCGATTTGGAAACTTCAACTTTGTATTTATTCAGTGCGCTAGATGGCAAGGAGTCAAATGTTTGATATCCGCCCGTGTACACCATGAGACGGGGGACCCTACCCTTGTACTGGCGAACCTTCCTTTACTACCTTGCAATGTCAACTTCATTACGCCACTCTTTTCTTTTCCATTTATTGGTATCAAGGATACTGAGAAACCCATCGGCGATTCCGATACCTGATTTGAGGTGTCATGTTTCTTTGTTCTTCCAGCAGGCACCCAACGTCTCGTTTACCATCCTGAGCACACTTAAGTGGCCAACCAACATGTTTACGCTTTCGAACCAACATAAGTGAACTGATAGGTAGAGGGATAGAGCCACACGGAATGGTCACTAGACGCCGAAACTCCCTACAGACTTCGTGGTGAATCAGGTACGTACCAAATGATGCACCAAACACAAGCATTTTATGTTACCTAGATGAACGTTAAGTATGTATACTGAAAGAACCCAAATTGCTGCCCCCTATTCACCCTCTCTAACTCACAAACCTAGCAGCCTAGATGAATATTTCAAGCCTTCATCCCCGTCCCACCCCCCTGCGCCACACCCCCATTCGCCGTTAACGTAAAGCTGTACTTAGGGTCATACGTAGCCGAACTATTCACCGCAATCGTGATCCACCCAAACAGCCCATCGGCCAGCTCATCCCCAACATACACATACTCAAACACCGGGTCCGACTCCGTCCCATCCGTCTCAGTGTAGAACACCCGATCATCGATATTCTCGGTAACAGCGATCGAATTCGTATTATACGGTGCCGTAGCCTCGACCGCCGTAATCAAATCCTGGTCCCAAAATAGCTGTCCCACATGCGCCACCGTCCCGCCCGTCAGCGTCCCGTTCTCGAGCACAGTGGCGTCGAGATGAGCGACGATGTGGTGGTGCGTCGCCCGACCGCTGTAATGGCCCGGGAAGATGGAATCGAACGTCACGACCCCGTACTCGTCGGCCTTGCCGATGCCGCGCAGGGCTGTGTTATCGAGGTTGCTCGCGTCGTTGCTGTTTCCGTTACCCATGGATTGGACCCCTGAGTAGACACCGGTGGAATTGCAGTTCCACACGTCCCACCATATTTCTGTGATGGGCTCGCATGTCTCGACGTCGATGAATTGGCCTTCGATGGTGATGGGAACCCCGGGCTCCCCGCCGGTGAGGTCTTCGCGGATCAGTTCCCCTTTAACGTAGAAGGGACCCGTTTCGCCTTCGGGGTTCAGGATGCAGGTGCCGTTGCTGGCGAAGAGGGTCGATTCAGGGGTATCAAAGGTGTAGCCAGCGGTCGACAGGTGAGACTTGGCGTCGACGTCGACAGCGTCACGTTTGTTGCTGTTGGACGGAAGAAGGCCGCGGCGGTGGCGGAGGGTCTCGACTTTGGCAGCCCGGCGGGAGGCGGCCTCGGTATGGTATCCGCGGGCCTCGAGCTTACCGGCGCAGGCTTCAAGGCCGCGGCGGGCGGCGACTTTGAACTCCCTCTTGGCCAGTTCGTGAATGTCGTTGCGGCTGTGGTGCTCGCCCGGGTGCGCTAGGGAAATGGTGGCTAGGCCGAGGATGGCAAATTGGGAGAGGTAAAGCATCGTTCCAGGCTGGTTGAACTGTTCGATTTCCGTTGAGTGAAGGCAGTATGGTGACAGCTTGAATGAAAGACCTGACACCGCCTGCTTGTGAACCGAAACCTCACCTATATACCCTCAAAGCTCGAGGTTTTCGCCAGCCGCGGCCCACTGGGTGCCGGACGCGCGTCCGGGTCGTAGGATAATATCCAATACCCGTCACCTCAGTGGTGGAAAAGCTTGACAAAGTCAAGTGTTAAGAAAGCTCGCGATAGCGCTAACACCTTCTCATCTGCTACAGGGCAGAAAGCTTCCCATTGAGACTCCAACCCGATGTGGGAGACGTCGGAATGTCCACGACTTCCCCTTTTAGAGCACGTGGGCTGAGTCAAATTCTGTCATATATTCGCCATGATAGATAGAGTCTGGGCAGATAGTATGCGATGGCAGGGAAAGGATTTGAGCCTAAAACTGCCGCTCAGGTACCACCAGTGCCTAATTGTAGTAGGCGATGAAATGTCTAGCCTCCGAGTGTGTACTGCCTGCCTGTAATGGTGACCAACACTGCGACTACCTGCCTATGCCAGTAGTTACAAACACTATGCTGCAAAGTCTCGATGATTTGGCCGCAGTCTGTGCATGTCACAACAGCTCTGGACAACTCGATGACTGCTGCATAAACATGCCAACCAACCAACCACACCAAATTCCCAATTACCCCGAGGCTAGTCGACGAACTTGCATACTGCCGTGTTTCTCGGCCCCATCAGACGAACGGAACCTGCTGTTATGCAAACCAACCGGCAAGCCATCCAATAGCGGACCTTGACTTTCCAAAATGCCCGGGTCGAGTCGAAATAGGCTTGCGTAAGCTGCCAAGTGTCGTTGCCTTGGGACCCCTGAAACCCCAGTATGTGCTAGACTAAGTTGAGTACGGAGTTGAAGACGGAGTTGAAGATTACGGGTAGTAAAGTGGGCTTGCGCATTTGTTGGATCTGATTGGTTATGTAGTCGTCCAACCCCTGGAAGTGGACAAGGGGGGACGCGGGGGGAAGTTGTCTTCGTTAGAAGTAAAGAGATGAACGAAAACGAAACCCCAGGAAAAGAGGCCGGCAAGCTCGATATTGGTGGAATGATCAAGGACATCGTTCGCACCTTTGATTTCTCTTGACTATGGGACGAGTTTAATATGAAAGCGGCCGACTTAGAGCATATGTCGTCAATGTACTTACGACGGACGCTGTGCCGTCTGTCAAGCTAGCGCAGAAGAAAATGCCCCATCGCAACCTGACGACATCCACAACATACAGCACGATAAGGTGCATAGGAACAACTTGATTCCAACTTGATGAGGCAACCACGCTCTTGATTAAAAATCCCAGTGGAACTCCGTCGAATGCCAACCAGTCTATCAGCGGGTATACCGCGCGCTAACACAAACTGCCACCCATAAACCAACTGTCCCGACCGACTTCTTTGCGGTTCACCAGTCCGGTTCGAGCATCAAAGGAGATCCCTGTCCGCGAAGGGAAATTCTCCGTCAACTCAGCAAATCCAAAGAACCGACCGACAATATGCTGATGATATCCATCTGAAGTTCTATGACGCCTGCTCGTGTGAAACGCAGCGTGGCCGAAAGCTTCGGGAACGAATCCATAGGATTGGCTACTGAGATAGTCTGCTCCGTTCCCAACCAGTCTTGTCCTGCCGGAGCCATGGTCAAGTTTGGATGACCACAGCATAGGCCCGCATACATTTCTCGTCCCATCATCATTCTCATCCCGATTCTGATCTCTCATCCTATCATTGCTCCGTTCCCACAATAATACTGACATGCCGAACAGAGCCCCCCGAAACAGAGAAGGGGGGTCCTTCGCTTGGTTTTTTTTTTTCAAAAAAAAAAGACTACTCAAATGTTTCCCAAAATAACTAGTGTGCAGAATTGTGACCATAGATTTCTAGACTTTGCCTCCCTGGCTAAGCCACATATGTGACAGTTTTTGAGCAGCATCTGATCTGCACACGTTCTTTCGAAGCTTCCAAAGCGAATGCATGCTGTCTTTGTTTTTTATATGTGCTGATCTTAAAATTGAAGATAAAAAGGAAAATGCTGTTGAAAATGCGCAAACTGCCGCCGATAAGCAAATGAAATGGTGCACGAGTTCCAAGTGGAGTTCTATCATTGGAGACGGACGTGTCTAGTCACTTCTCATGATAATCTTCTTTGCTGTTTCTGTACTGCTGACACTTGTTTGGGTGTCTCTCCGCCTCGGTATCGTGATGTTACTTAGATCCTTAGGTGGCGCAACCCGTTTAGGCTTCGCCATGACCAAGCCTTCATCGCTGTCGCTATCGTCATCATCGTCCTCCACAGCTCTAGAGGAATAGATGGAAGACGGCCCAAGTCCATGTGGCGACTGGTTCAGTCGCAGACGAAGCGTGTGCTCCATCTCCAAGTCTTCGACCAGCGGAAATTCATTGGCAGGCTCTTTAGCAAGTGCCGGAGGCGTCAGGGAGTCGGTTGTATCGAGGAGGGAAGAGCGATCGACAAGGCCTGGGAGGAGAAGAAAGTCGCCCTCGGCATCCGCAGAGACTGAACTAGCACCGCTCAGCAGAGCGGGTAAAGATGGGTCCGAACGGAATATTTGTGAGCCGTCCTGTTTACTGCTGAGGTTTGCTATGCTAATCGGGCTCATCACATCACTGGGACTGGTCAGGGGAGTCACAATGTTGTCGAAAGACGCGGGGCTAGTTGTGATGACCGTTCTGCCAGTATCACACCTGGTCGGTGTTGGTGGCCTATGCTTAGTCGAGTCATCGTCGGGAGAAGGGGGACAGGGGATGTAAGCAGGATCCAGATCCGGGCGAGATGAGAGCAGTTGCTGTCGTTTCTTGCGCTCCTCGTCTTCGCGATGCTGACGACGCATCATCTGTTCGCGTGCTCGAGCAAATGATTCAGGGGTTGATGAATTGTACACCCGCGGCGGTGGGGTCCTACCCTCCATCTGCTGGACACGATGTGCTGTCAGGGGGCGGTTGTCGAGATCCGGAGATTCATATTGCCGGTCCAGGAAATTAGGCTCCGATTTTGGGAGACCATGCTGATAGGTTCGAATAGCTTTGGGGGAGAAGAAAACGGGCGATGTACGAGCTTCCTCCTCATCAAACTCTATGGCGGCATGACTCGAACCGCGGATATGAATCGTTCTCCTAGGTGATTCCACATTACCCGGGGCGATGGCCGTGCTCAGGGCGACCTTCGGTTCGGCTCTCTTATCGGAGCTTGCGAAGAGTCCACGATCCACCGACCGAGAGCGTGATGCATCACTCATGTCCTGGGCCTTTCGCAGGGCAGCGATCGGGTCGTCGTAGAGAGAAGGGCCGAGAGCCGGCGTGGAAGGGCTGGTGCGCGATTCTGGGAAGGCCGGCGTTAGTGCAAGAAAGGCGTTAGTTATCGATTGCGTGCGCGTGTGGCGTAGGGGGATGGCTTTCCCAGATGATGTAGACGTCCTCGATGGCGGCCGATCTGTAAGTTCAGGGTGTGAGTGAAGTTCACTGGCACTTGCAGATCCGCTGGGTCGGTTTATGTCTCCGCCTACCGAAACCGACTCTTCTTGGTCGTCATCCAAGGGGGACCATTGCGGGCTGGCAGTCACGCTCTGCGAGAGGGGATGTTCCCCGGCGTTGGACCCTTCCCGGAGGTTTGCAAAGTAGTCGTCGCCTCGGATACTCTTTCTTCGAGCGTCCCGAGGGTGCGGCGTCGAGGCCCCATACCAGGGAAGGTCCACGGTGGAGCTGGCTGCGCTGCTAGTAGCCCGTATTCTCGAATGACTCTCCATCCTCTCAGCACGGGGATGAATCACCTTGCCAACAGCCTTCTTCACGGCAGACCGAGCTCTTTCCAGGAACGTAAGTGGTACCACGGCGTGCGAAACCTCTTTTTCGTCGACCTGAATTTTCCTGCCTTCCGTACGTCGTGATGGGTCTGTATCGTCAATCCAAGCAAGGACGTGAGGGATGCCATAGGTGACCCACGGGTGGCGCTTCACGGCCCTCAGTCTGATGCGTTTCTCAGGGTCTTTGGTGAGCATTTGGGTCAGAAGATCACGCAGGGAATCATCGATATCCTCGTACACAAGATCGCTATCATCGCGGTACGGTGCACTGTTCACACGTTTGTAGAGCGAGATGGATGATGGGTATGTCTGGGGATCAACGGGTCGGAGGCGGCGGCGCGGGATGAAGACCTCCTCCTTGGCGATCTTCCTAAACATTTGGAACTCGTCCTCGGCCATGAAAGGGATGCGAGCAAATATCAGGCAGTACAACGTTACACCTAGCGACCATACATCAATCTGCTCCGATATCTTGGGTTGTTCCCCGTCAAGGTCTGTATAGCAAAGCTCGGGAGCGAAAAATGCGGGGGTGCCGACAGTCTTGGCAAGTTCAAGATCGTCGTCGAAGTCGCGAGCTTCCGACTCGGAAACAAATTCATCAAGTTCACCATCCCGCATTGGCCTGCCGAAATAGGATACGCCAAAGTCGGAAATCTTGACACGGTGGTCCTTGGTCCATAACAGATTCGCGGGCTTGATGTCACGATGAACGACACCTTCGTAATGAAGATATTCCAGGCCCAAGACAGTATCGCGGAAGGTATCACGTGCATCATCGATGGTAAAGCAGGGCACATAAGAGAAGTCGTCGGCAAAGGGGTCGTGTGGCTGGGGGTTGAAGTCCACCGACGACATGTGCGATATGATGGAATCGGCCATGCTGGGTGACCGACCACGAAACGCTGGATCCTCGGCGTAGGCCCCGTACATAGTCCCCTCGAGAACGGTTGACGAACCCGGCACTGATCTTAGGGGTCCAGGAGTCTCAATATCGCTTCCACCGTCAGCAATCACTGACGAGATGTCAGGCTCGGAGGGTATCGGGGTCGCAGCTCGGGAACTGGACCCCACAGACTGATCTTGGGAGAAGCTCTCTCTCCGGTCTAGAAATCCGCAGAACGAAGAAAATGCCCCATCGCCATCTCTAGCCAGCCAAGTTGAGAAGGCGTCGTCTTCGGCGGCACCGTGCTCAATACTCCAGAGGTCTGGGCCATGCTGCTTTTGCTGCATATTTGCCCTCTTCACCTCGTTGATGGCGTGTTTCCGCTTCAGGGTCTGCGCATATTGCTCTTCCTCTTCGCTGAGCTGCTCCCCTCTCATCTCCTTCTCGATACGCAATCTCTCGACATTGCAGATGTAGGGGAGCCCTTTCTTACGCCAAACCACTTCGCCCAGCTCAACATGCTCGAGGACCATATAAATCTTCTTAAGTTCCGGGTCGTCAATGATTTCAAGCAGGGCAACCACATTGGGGTGGCGAATCTTCTTCAGAATGGCGATCTCCTTCTTCGTCTTGTCTTGAGGGGACATGGCCATGACCTTGCCCAAGCGGCGCTTCTTGGAAAACCGGGGAACGATTTTGATGGCCACATTCTCGCTGTTTTCCAGGTTCCGTGCCAGCTTGACCTTGCCGTGCATGCCACGGCCGATCTCTTCGATAACCTCATATTGGTTGATGAGTTTCCGCCCTGTCATCATGTCGAGGTCGACGAGTGCTTTGTGGGTCCTACAGGAGAAGTCAGTCTCTAATGCCCCTTGGGACTGCACGTCCGTAGGCAACATGGACAGCCAAAAAAAATTGCCGGGCTTACTCACTCTCGGACCTTGTGACCTTGCAACGGGTGCAGATACGGGCTGCTCAAGGCCGCCGCCGGCGTAGAGGCATCGGACGCAGCGTGGATGGGAAGGGCCATGCTTGGACGGGGGTTCGAGGGGCTAAAAAGTCCCGGCGAGGACATTGGAGTACTATTAGCAGTCCGGGGAGTCAGGTAAGGAGGGATGTCGGTGGTGAGTTGGTGAGGGTTCGGGTGAGGTTGTTTGGGTGGTTGCGCATCCATATTGGCGGCGGTCGAGGGTTAGTCGAGTTGGTCCCGTCATGTCATGCTGGGGGTCGCCGGAACATCTCGAGGTCTCGCGTCGGGGCACGAGGCGGGTAGTTGAGGCTTCGAGTCTGGGAGAGCGGCAGACGGACAATTCAGAATATCGTTGCCGCGAGAAGCAAGTTGGGGGAAAGCGGTGGACGAAGCCTGAAACGGCGCCAGTTGTGCTGCAGCGATATGTGACAATGGACGTGGTTTGGAAGAAGTAGCTCAGGCGTGGACGTGGACGTGGGCGTGGGCGCCGGCGAGTTTGAATGTTGGTGGTGGTAGGTGGGACGACGGATGGAGAGAGGAATGGTGGCACGAATGAACGAAAGAGCGACCGTTCTGCAGCCCACTGAGATTCTGGCGCGGTGGAGCCCTGACGCTTGGCCTCTGGGAGGTTTTTGGCTGCGGCGGGCTAATGATCCGGTGCTATGTACTATGGTAAGGTGTGTTTGACTGGGGCCCACCTTCCACCACCTACCCAAGACCCAACTGGAAGACCCCAGCACAAGTGCGGCACTGTGCGCCGGATTCAATTGCTGCGGTTTGGCGTAGCCTCTCATAGCACGGGTTATATCACCCTACTCCTATATCTACGGTACTACTGTATCTATAATAATACAATGCTATTGGCTAAGCAGTATAATAAAAAGTTATTTACTACTATTGTACCCTACGCTAGTATGCCGTAAGGCTGTAAACTAGTATAATATGGTATATTATCTAAAGTTAGTATATAATATTATATTTATGCTAATACAGTTGCCACGACTACTACTAACTCAGCACCTCGAAAGTAGATGTATCTCTAAATTACTAGAAAGGGCTTAGCTATGGTTCTAGTGTAGAAAACCACCATGCTATTATAGGTTTCGAGAACTATTCAAGCTACTTATCAAGTTCACATCTCACCAACTTGTGCTTGGTACATATGGACATGAGCGTCTGATAAGAAACCACTCCAATGTGACTGTAGCAGTGATGGGGTCCTTAATGCAGATTCTGTTGGTGTCTGGTATAGATACTTTGGAAAGCCCTGCACTTGTCATGCTTCGTACAGGGCAAAATGCAGATTCTATCGAGATTGTGCAGATCCACGTACGGTCGCTACGGCGCAGGGCTGTTGCACCAGGCGTACTTCACGATGAACGGGCCAGAGATTTGTGTTTCTGAGTAAATCGAGCACATTCCATCAACGTTGCTGTCGAAAGTTCAAGAAGCACGACGGCATGATCCATGCGCTCCCACAGTGTGGCTTCTGGCCACGACGACCGACTACACGAACAGACACGAACGGGAGTCTCCTACGCTGTCGAGTGCTGAGTCGCAAGCTCGGACGATGGGGATACTTGACGTCGACGGAGGGGTCTTTCGTTGGTGCGAACAAGGATGGATGGGGTCGGCCATGCAATCGCAAAGGGCTCCACGGAAATGGAGATCACTGGTTAGGACTCTGAGTGCCTAGCGCGCCGAGCGTCGACAATAGTGCAAAATAAAGTGGTTGAGAACGTTACAACAACACCAGGGCCTGGGCAGCTTATCGTGGTGTGGGCCCGTGGGCTACCGTGACCTTGATTGGACGTGGCTTGGAGGTCTTGGAAAGGCCAATGTTGTGTTGGACGGAGAACATCACTAAACACTGATTTTTATTATGCTGGGTAGGTACATATAGAGAGAGCAATATATAACCCCTCCTCGAGCATGAGTGATGACCGCAGCACGACCAAAATTCCCAGACGCAGCGGAGGCAAATCGTCGCGGGCTCCAAGGTATGCAGCACCCGGAAGAAATTTCAACATGCATGCATGCATCACTCACTGGTACCGTGGACCGGTTTTGGGTGCTGCTGCAATAGTCCCACTCTTTCAGACAGAAGCATCTCGGTACTCGTACATAACACGCGGGTTCCTAACCTTACATTGCCCCCAAAGGAATTGGCCGTCTGCCGTACATCATCAGGCTGGAAGACGTGTCCTTGGGTCGGCGTCCGCACCAGGGAGAGAAGGTTGGGCTAGGGAAAGTGACATGACAAACTTGCCTCTTCGTCCTTTGTTCGGCTGCCAGCGGCGTCTGTTAGTGCCATGTCGGCCGACATGGGACTGACGAAAAAATAAGACCACTCACGTCGTACAAGAATGGCTAAGGTTCAGAAGCCGTCACAATATCGGATTGCTATCTCACAGTGCCTCAGGGTTGGTGGCGTCTGACTTTCTGAAGCCTGACACAGTGACGCCGTCCAGCCAGCGTGTTACACGGTACAACCGGGACCTTCTTTAACATGGCACAAGAGTTGGCTACAGCGCGTCTCTTATACTTGTACTAGCATTTGAAACGACACCGCGGTACCGGTCAATAGCACTAGAGCATTGGACCATGTCGACTTTCTATACTACGATAAGTACGGCGGGACTCGACTCAGCTCAGTCCACCTTCGACTAGGACTAGTATACTCCGTTCATTATTCAAGCACACCCTGAACTTCAATTGACGGTGGACGGAAATGACTTTCAAAGTTGGGACGGAAAGCCAGCTGCTTAACCGATCATTCGCTTGGTAAATTTCTAGAAAATAAATTCCGTGTTCTGGGGAACATCATACCATTTTCGGGGACATGCGGTGCAGTGGCAAACGCTCTGTCGACATCACTCACCGTCGTCTGATTGCTCTGCATAGAAAGAAAAAATCGAGCTCACGATGCCTTGGAAAGGCTGCATGTGCGTCATGGACCCAGGCCTGGACCCATTGACTTCGGCTTGCCCAATGCAGGATTGTGAGGTCTGGGCTCCACTTGTCACGATACCCCCGTTGCTGGAGTGGCCGTAGCATCGTCAGGTCGTCCAGGTCCACTAGCAACGAAGCATCGTGGCCTCATCAATCCACGTTCCCAGAAGCAGCCAATCTGTCTGTCGTGTCCCGCGCGGGCCAACGGTCCAATCCTCTTGGCGCAAGCGTCCGGCCAGGTTGGAAAGGGAACCTGCCAAAGAGACGTTACCGACTCCCAGAGCAACCAAATATGCGTATGCGTATGCAGTAATCAAGGAACAATCGACTTGAGGACATGAAACAATTCTTGTCAATGGTCCGAGGCACAGAACAATGGTCAAGTCAGTCTCGTGCGAGAGAGCCGAAAGGCCGGGGTGGGTGACTTCTCCACACGACGCCTTTCCATTTTCAGTTGCGGCTGCATCCCGCTCTAGACTCCTTTCGAATTGCAGGAAATCCAGGGACAACTTTCCGCATCGGCAATACGTTTAGAGCAGCCGGCTCGACAACGTTATTGTCGCCGCTCGTGAATGGAAGATAGGGCTGCTGGGCTCTCCAATGGCGCTTTGCTGGCGCCTCGGACTTCCCAAGCAGTTTGGCCACAGTAGACCGGTTTCACCGATACAACATGGGTTCGTCGACGACGACTACCTCGGAGTCAATCGATTGTAGAGTGCCACATATTTTCGCATTGCAGGACGCATGATAGACGTGCCTGAGCATCGACATTTGGCAGCACGATCTACCAGAACCTGCACAACTTGCGACTTTATGGACCCAGCCACTTCGTTCAGCCTCCTCGTCCTCTTGAAATCCTTCTTGAAATCCTGATGAAGGCCGGTTTCAACCTTGCTCCCATCCGAGACTATCGTCTATTGATATGAACATGGCACGAGCAATTTGTTGCCGCACGGGCAGTACCCCACTGGTTTGCTCTTAGCCTCTAAGGGAACCCATTTTCCGCCGCAAGCGCTTGCGATGCATGCGGCTTCTTTCATATGATGGCCAATGATATCAACTTCGTCGTTGTACACTCGTACGCAGGCTCAAAACGATGTCCAAGACTTGGTGATAGATACATCTTGTGGTTTCATGTACAGGAATTGCCCCACGTATACCATGCATTTATCACCGGAGTGTGTACGACTCTGCAACTTCGAGGTTCTTTAACCTTTCTCGGTGGTATCGAGACTGCTGCGTACATCCGAGTTCCCAAGTCATGGCGCAGGCCTCCTCTATAATTCTAGCCGCTTGGGATTCCATCTTAGTACACCAGCAAACCCGTTATTCCTGCGATCTGACATCCTTTCTCAATCACTTGCGTACAATCCTTGTCTTCGGTTGTCTTCGGCGTGTGGTAAGTTGATTTCCACTGTACGAACTCCTGGTCAAGAACTGTACACCGTGCCCAAGTTGGCTGTTCTGGCCTTCTCATAGTCATATTTCAGCTCTGTTACGAAGCACAACCCTTGCATCTCTCATTCTGTTAGTCACCGAACATATGATCTATCATCTCAACTGAGCCCTAGTTGGACTCCTTTCCGCTACAAGATAGCATACTCGATGCAGGCCGTTACGAATGTGCTGCTTTGCCCTGCGTGTTCAAATGTCCGAAAAAAATAATGTGTGAAGATCTGCCCGAGTCAGTTTGCGGTAGAAACATGCCTGCCCAGTCCTGCACCACCAGGAAGCGAACCAGGAAGCGAAGCCGCATCCAAATGAGATGTGAGATTCACCTCAACACAAAGCGGTACCGTCGGCTGGAATCGCCGTGTCTTTCGCGTCCAGTTCCGCGTCTTCATGGTAACTACTTAATACATTCTGACCTCGCAAGGCAGTTTCTCGCGAAAGCCCGCGAGCGGCTATTCTTGGCCGAAACCATAAAAAGGCATTTCTCCATCAAGTTTCAAGCTTTAAGAAACTGACAAATGATCTTCACAGTCATGCCACCGCTGTATCTCGTACTCGCGTATCGGCCAAGTATGGGGCCCCAGACGGACGGAGGGCCAGAACGAGTACATCGCAAAATGCGGAGGTGAGTGAGCATGGCTTTCACATTCTCCCTTGCTGCATGCATGGCAGCCGCGCGAGAGATATGACCGTCGTCCACTACCACATAGACCGCTCTGCTTCAAAAGGAATCGCGCCGATTTGGTGCTGACCCTCCCCTTCAAGAGTCCCTTCAGGAGTCCCTTTTCGACCCAAATCCTGCTCTTGACATCGGGGTGAATTGATGATTGGCCAGGACATTCCCATGATCCAATAGAGTTCCGCGCCTCTTCCATCCCTGCTCGCTCAACCGATGTCACCCTCTTTTGCTGCCCCTCCATCACAGTGTGCACGCTATTTCACCCCTAATAAAGAAGATGATCCAGAGGAGAAGCAGGTCGCTCGAGGTGTTGACATCTGCTCAGTCATGATATGATCTCGTATGATAAGTTATTCTTTGATCCCGTTGACACCTGCTGGGGCTCATGTGAGATGAATGAGATTACGATTTTATCTTGGGTACGAAAACGAGTACCATATGTCGGGCAGGCTCTTATCCAAATGAGCGCCAACAGTGTAGTGCAGGCGCTTCTGTACTATGCATGCCATCTCACATCGGCCGAAGTCTGCGCTGATTTAGAGGTGTGTTAACCAATGCAAGACGGCAAGTTTGGAGAAGAGTCCTCCATCCCAGTCAACTGAATCGACTGAATCCTGTATACTGCTTGTTCAGCTCACATTACCACTTACACTCACCAGGCCCACCACTTGCTCTATCTGTAAGTCAGCGTATCCACACGAGGTTAACTACTGGGGATGCTCCTACATCTATCATGTGATTCATGTGATAGTCTCACCATGACAGCCCATTGTGATTCGCCGGCATTGCAAAACATACGAGCCACACCGTTCGTGCCAGATAGGGTCATGTACTCGTCTTATTCCTGGCTTCGGTACCAAATACGTCATACATCTTCTTCATCTACAACACCAGCCACACCTCTCGAATGAACGCAAACCTGCTGGACTTCCGTTGTTACATCAGAAAGCTTGCCCACCACCACTAGTAGCCCTCCCTCTCACTTCACGCCCCACAAGACGATTCTCTCCACGAGAATCGCCACTTGGCGGGGGAAGGGATTGATCAAAATCTAACTCGCTACAGTTACACCTTGTTTTTGATCCTGACAAAGGGCAGACAGCTTGATTGGCTTCGAGACACACATAGAAAATCATGACCATCCCATCATCATCACACTGGCGTCAAAGCCAATGCAGAGTGGCGTCCACGCCGGCATTGGCGGCTTTCGCGCCCAACTACTGGACGGACGTCTTCAATCACTCACTCAACTCACCTACTTACTTGGTCGTAAACTCTATCCTATCATTGGGTTCACCACAAAAAAGCATGGGGAGCATAGGAAGTAACATCAGATGCAAGATAAGGCTTTTCGGAAATCGTCAGTCCCGCAGGCCGCATGGTTCCCGGCGGTACACTACATATCTCAGTGTGGACAAGATGTCTGTTTCAACCCCAACCCAGAAAGTATCATTGACACTGGCAGCCTTCGGATAAGGTATAGAGTTTCGTGCTCCTCCACAAATGTCACAGTGGTCAGGGTTTGTAGTGCAAATGCTGTTTGGAATGTCGGGTATCTCGGGATGCCTGACTTCGCTTATTTTGCTCCAAGAGGGCCGGGAAATACACTTCAGTGACTCAAGGTCATGGACATTGTCCCTTGGCTACTATGCTTGAGTGGACTCGCCAAGAGTGATCCGCTCCGGGTATACAGGCACAGAGATGAGCCGAGAGATTTCCCAAGAAGTGTCGTTTCGAACCATAAGAGCTTGGTTGCAGAACTAAGTTGTGTCATCTCAGACAGACTCCAACAAAACGCCTGTCACCTCACAGGGCACCTGACGATAATGCACTCCACTTGAAACATATCGTCGGCTGACGGTATATTGGGAACCTCAACCCCATCCATTCTGTGATTGGCTCCTCAAATCAGAGATAGTGAATGTTGTGCGGGAGATTGCATAAAGCAGTTTTGCCCCCACACCATATTCCCACCCCTATACCCCTTCGTACGACGTATGGTCCCTCTTCCACATTGCCTCATATTACCTCACACTGACTCTTGCACCTGCAACCCTACAGAACATACAGTCACAACCTCAGTAATGCTCTTCTCAATAATACCTCCTGACATAATACCCATGCTGCAGCAACTCTAACGCATTCCGCCTCCCCTGCGCTGCAATCTCATTCCTCACCCTAGTGGCCTCCATGCTCTCACTTGCCGTTCTCTGACTGCGCACACTCGCCTTGTCAATCCTGTCCTGTACCTCCGCCGGCCTTGCCCTCAATAACGCATCCCTCGGCAGGGGAACCAAAGCCGGCCACACGCCGTAGTATCGCAATGCAGCATTGAGCCACTGGGTTGACTGGTCCGGGTCTGCAGCGTATTCAACGGCCATCATGTCGGTGAGTCCGCGGAGACTGAGCAGCGGCATTCCGCCGTAAGGGAGTTGCGGGCGGCCTGGACTGCGGACGACGACGGTGTGGTCGAAGGACCAAGCTTCGCAGGCGGCTTTAAGTTTGAAGTCGGCGATGTCTTCGGCGGTATACATGCCCAGGGTATTGGGCTTGTGGTTTGCTTTCCCTGATTATACATTCGTCAGTTATAGCTTTCTAACTTATGATTGCCCCCTCCCCCTTTTCCTGTCTTGTCTTCTTCTTTCTTTCGTACAGGTGAGAACATGGCGAACGTGAGTGAGGTGAAGTCATGTGAGATGGTGTAGCATTTACAGGTATTGTTCTCCAGGAGGAAACCTTGCACATCAAGGAACGCCGAAAATACCTCGGGCGTGATATGCCCGGTTCGACCGGAATCTAAGTGCTTCCATATGTCGGCTGTGAGTGCTTCAAAAAGAGGCGTTGGCGTGCCGTCTGGGTGAAATAGAGGCGTCCATTGAGATGGTTGGGAGGCATTGGATAACGGGTTTTGTGGTTGCCATTGAGGTAACTGGTTGAATGTACTCTGTTGGGACTGAGGGTGTTGAGCCGGAGATGGTGGTGGTGGTGGTAGGTAGCTTTGTTGCTGCTGTAACTTCTGTTTCGATGGGCGGGCAGGTAATGGTGGGTTCGCCAGAGTCTTGAGCTCGTAGCCCGGTGGGCGCGGAGGGATGGGAGGTGTGATGCCCATAATAGTTTAGTTAGATACAAGAAGGCATCTGAAAACATGGATGATTTCTCTCATGGTAACCGATGTCAGCAAAAGATCTCCCTTCTTCCATGCTTACATTTATAAATACAAACCATGGTATCACTGAGTGGTAAGTTGTCAAGGTTTCTCTCAGCCGCACTGCAAGTCTACCCAATTCGTCCATGGTCGCAAAGCCGAGGGTGGTTATTGCAGCTGAACATGCCTAAGCTGCGCTGCACCAAGATACAATTATTGAACCGTCTCGAAGCTAGCTAGTTCTATTCTCGATGTTGGACAACATGCATGATAGGCCCCCTCTGCGAAACTAGGTCACTTTGAAATAGCCGATACATATAGCTGAAAGAAGCTGTTTGGAATGGCGACACAGTTTTCTCGGTGTCAGCAATTACGAGAATATGGCTACGACTTCACTCGGCTCGACAGCTACTAAATGTGCCTAATTGACATATAGCTGGCGGACATATTGCTGGTCATTCCAAAGCAAGACTCTCTGTATACCACCAAAGCATAGTAAAAACACTGTTTTCTGAGTCAACATCGCTGGTGATAATTATATGGCTTTAGTTTAAGGGATACAGACTTCAGAGGCATGGAGTGAAGTATAGTGAAGACATAGTAGAAAAGGAGATATGGTACATATTCTGTCTGATTTTTAGAGGGGAATTGGTCAAACATCGGTACAGGAGTCATTGCATGAACTGTCTTTTTAAATCCCGGCCCGCACGATCGATATTTACATGTCGAACAAGACCGGCGCCATTTATAACACAATGCAACACTCACGTCTCCTTATGCTTTGGGCTCAACAGTTGCGTCAGGTCGTGTTGATCCAAAAACCTCGTGGAACGTCCATCGGTTGTGACGGACACCCACTATCTTTCCTTCGTGAGCAACGACGCAAGCCGAAGCATCTGGGAAAAGTCAAATGGTCCCTGTGAGACCCGTTTCTTTCCCCTTGACTTTAGACTTTGCTGAGTTCCGCCGCCTGTCTTCCAACCCCTGCCGCAATTCGAGGTACATTTGGTCATCTACATTTCCCCGGGACCTTTGGACTGGATATTGGTGAGCTACATATCCTAATGTAATGTTAATATACGGAAAATACGTACGTAAATAAAGCTCTGAGAACTTCGACTTATTGAGCCTCGCAGTCAGTTCACCTTGGATCATCGCCTTGGTTGTATGTCCCGCTCTGTTTGGCAGAAAAGTAGCTACTAAAGGGCAAACGCTCAGGATCGCCGCTGATATGTTAAAAAGTCGTCATACATAATATTCGTGTCATAATATCTGCTATAGTTGTGTTGTTTTAGTATAGGCTCCAAACAACTAATGTAAGAGACTCATGTCAGCATTCACGGTTACAGAAGTTATAATGGACTCGCCAAATCGGTGATATTTCTCCCTATTGGCCACATAAAGTAACCTCATCCGCTCCTGTAACGGGCCGAAAATGAAGATACACTCACGACAACAGTGTCTTTTCAACTGATCAATCTGGTTCATGACGTGCATGTCACGCTCTCGGGTAGCCTTCATCACGTTGGCTATTAGTTCGATTCTGACCTCGGGGTAAAGTCTGGAGGAGGATAGCCGAGTATTGCAATCTGCCATAGTCAAGTAGGGAGGATATGAGAAGCTGAAAACGAGCCTGTGGTCACCCCCAAGACGCTCGAGACTGTCCTGGTTCTTGTTTGCCAGGACTTCGTGGCGATGGTCCAAGAATCTTGTCAGACAGGTAATATTGAAGACGTTTTTGGCGAGTTTTTCTGAAACAAGTAGTGAGGATTTGTCTTGAATTGGAGTTGTTGCACTCAACAGTGGCAGCCCCGGTTGATGGCTTGTGTAGCCTTCGCGAAAGTTTTCCAGAGTACATTCCATGTTTTCAGGGACCAGCTCGGCTTTCATGTTCGTACCATAGCGGATCCATTGGATCAGTGTGGCAGGATCTGATGCCTTATCAGGCATAATTCAGTACCTTGACGGCGGTATCTCCTCCTGGCTATGTCCGTTGCAAGTAGGAAGCCCGGATTGTTGGTTTAGCCGCCAAGCACGGAGCTGGTTATCACATCCCATAGCCACCTCTGGGGTCCTGACGTGCCCCTCTGTCGATAGCTCCAAGAATTTAATGGCACAATTGGTAACAATCGATGGCAATGTCCGTTCGCTGAGCCCAAAGAAATCTATGAATCTGTAAGCTCCTAGAAACATTACTTTTCTGGGAAAGGATATTGAAGTATCTCTGATAGGCTTGCGCACATATAAGGCAGACTCATCCGACGGTTGGCATATTTCCCATGCTAGCATGAGACCCCGAGCACTCACTAATGGGATTGGTGAAGTGAGTTCTGCAATGTTCGGAACACGGAGACGACGGGCCCAGACCACTCTTGAATGGGCAGAAGAGGCTATCGGAAGGGTAAGTCAATGGTTTTTTACTGTATTTCATTCTACACGGTATGCAAGCCATTGACGCATTTGTATAGGCTGAGAACGATGGTGTCAGTTGTCGATCTGGATGTTGCAAAGAACTATCTGATCTTTTAGGCGCCGTAGACGCTCTTTTGGCCGAATAGTCTCGTTTTCTTATACTGATATGAATGGCGCGAGTGGAGAAGAGATTCGTATTGCTGCTTTGCCTCCTGTTGAGGGCTTCTTCAGGGCTAACGTGGATGAAGTTGTCTTCATTGCCGTCGTGTATAGATATGCCTTCCGGTATTTCAGGAGGCCAGAAAGATGGAGTTCCTTGACTGATCTCTCGAACTCCGGCTTCTTGGTTGACGCGGTGTCGTAGTATCGTAGCTGGCATTAGATGTTCGATCGTAGCTCTTCTCACGAAGCCATTCTTTTGCACATTTGCACGCAACGTCGCAAGGCATATTACCGTGCATCCACCGGACTATAGGTATGCCTTGGCAAATCTCTTGATGATATAATCCGGTAGAGCCTGGCAAATAGTCATTGGAGTCTTGTAGTTGTCCTTAGCATTGCAGAAGCTGAAAATGGATTCAAATGCCCGGGCGCATCTTCCAGGTCTAAATAATCATGATATATAGTGATACCCAGGTCGAGAAGGTCCGGTAAGGGCCCAGATGTTGAGTGTCCTGCAACCAAAGGTTTGTATCCAAGTCGGGTATCGCCTGGTGCGAGACAGTTGGAGGTTGGAAGTTCTCTCTGTTACCCCTATTTTCACGCCTCATCCAGCGATAGAGGTATCTGCTTGGTCTTACCAACTGGCAGGGCCCGATGTAAGAACAGTGCAGCCCAACGTACTATCTTGAAATATGGATGCCAGCTTGTTGAAGGCGTTTTGAGGCAATACTGATGGTGGAGATTGAGACCCACTTGGAGGCTGCGGGAGCCCCTGTGGAAAGAAGTTTGACTGACCAAAGTTCAAGTAAGATTCTTGATTTGAATGACCAATGGTGCGATTGACGGTGCCACAGAAGTCCAGTGTGGCACCACTATCATTGGCACTGCTGTTGAAAAGCGTGTAATTATGGTTATGTTCGGAAGTGATCTCATGCTGAGGCTCCTATATTTAGGGATAGCTCGATGGAGAAGAGCCGAAGGGGTTGAACGAGGCTGGATCTGTGACCTAACCAGCTGGCGCTATTTGGTCCGACAGCTCATCCTCAGTCAAAATTGTAAAAGTTGAAAAATCATCCAAAGAGAACGACTGTTGTTCATCGGATGAAAGGTGGCTTGGTCGTGGAAAGACCCCTTAAAAAGTGCAGTAGGGATCACTAAACCCTTTCGGGATATTATTGCGCGGTGCTTTCCCGAATGCGCTATGCAGCAAAACTACATGTGGTCGGTTGGGTGGGCTGATGGCTTCTAGTACCTTGGCCAGTACACGAAGCCTTATCACCACCATTAGTCAATTTTGAAATAAAAAATAAATGAAATTGGTGGTGCTGGTCTAAGCATGTGAGGTTCGTGGAACTGGCGGCAGCCAACACATAACGACAGTCCAACGGAATGCAACATCACACCATCATAGTCCTTGCACTTGTCTATAACTTGATCCTCATTGACTATCAAGGCAAGACAACCTCTCATGAGCGTGGCAGACCTCGCTGTCGCAATTTCCATACCTGCCGACATAATCAGGTGCCCGTCAGTCACAGACACATGGCCATCCAAGATACGCTCGAGAATTTCATTTCTTGGAACCAACCGAGCTTGGAACCTTGCCAGACTTGTCGTTGGCCTTCTTCTTGTTGAGGTTGCTGGACTTGGAGCCGCTGGTATTGACGTCAACCGAGTAGTGAATCCTGACCGTTTTCCCATTGCCGCCGATATGTGCTTCGGCGATCCAGAACATGTCACCAAATTCACCTGCGTTGATAAGCATAAGTTACGGTTACTTGAAGTCACTGCTGTACTTGCCGTTGTTTTTAATCAGCTCGATGTAGCGGTTGATGCTGTCTTGGCTCGAATTTGCCATGTTGATAAGGGGCCTGTTTTGTTCCTGGATGGGCGAGGACGAGCTTGGGAAGTCTGTCTTGTAGATTTTGTATTTACTCGGTAGATTTGAAAGTGACCCAGGAGTCGACTCCAGCTTTTTAAGTAGCTGATAATGGGGAGGCGTAATGTTCCTAGTTTCAAGACATTACTTAATATTGCATCCGGAACTCGACGTCGGAACTCTTTCCGGGAGTCTCAGGAAGTGATAGGCATAAACTTGTGGTTATATGGTCTGCTCTTAGACGAGCCGTGTGACTGGGGTATTTACGCCGGTCTGTTTCTAGATACCGAGGTAAGCCACACGGGCCGCCCAAGTAGTCTATCCCCTGACTCCAGATACCGCATCGATATGTTGGGCGTTTGATGATCAATTACAGGAATGAGCACTAGTACCAGACTAATGAGGTACTTACCCCTACCAGAACAGGTTTTGCATTCTCGAAGCTATGAAATAGAAAATCTGAAAAACACATTTTAAGACTTCTCATCCATAATTGTCGTCAACCAGTATGGGGCTGTACCTGACGGGGAATCGATCAAGAAGCACTGAGGAGCACTCCTGCTAAAGGTTACTTGTGAATCGAGCTGGCCAACTCATATCGGGACGATCAGGCCCATTTCGGCGCTCAGCTATAGAAGTATAGATGTTGTTCATCGAGCAACTAAGAGTACGGAATTGAGATATTTATATGCCACTAAAAGACTCCTGCACATACGTAATGTCGAATGCGCCACTGCCGAAGCCTCGAGTTCTCCCATTTCCATCGTCAACTCATCAAAGACAAGAAGGCTTCATTCCACTGCAGTACACCGGGCTGCGGTAAGATTTTCACCCGTCTAGATAATTTGAAGAGGCACGTGTGGAGAATGCACAACTCGGCTAGCCAGGAAAGAGTTCATTTTGATACTCACAATGAACAAGAGCAAGTACAGGAAAAGGAAGTGGAAGATAATGTCAGGTTGAAGCCCCAGGATGGTCAAGCATTTATTTGTGACGTGGAACCACTTGCAAGCGACCCAGAAGAACTTCTAGGCGAGACTCTCTCCCAGACTGTAATTTCCACGGGTTCTCTACGGGGCGAACCGCACACCAAGGAGGTTGTTCATCAAAACTCTGTTTATGCAGGATCTCCTATATGTTCAATACTTATTCCATTCGACCTAACGAAGAACTTTTCTCTCATGTAACTGAAACATAGAAAATTAGCCATTGAGTGCCTCACATGAAATATTGGTGCTAATTTTGTAGTCAAATCGTTAGTACCCGGATACTTGGCCTCAATATGACAACTTATATAAGGAGAGAGCCGAAGAGGAATCTATTATAAGTCATTTACCAATGCCCATGGCACTAGCACCGGCTGTGAGCTACCTCCAAACACCATACGCTATCAAGATTGAGAGGATCAGAGAGGAGGCTTACCAGGCGGGGAGGGACAGCAAGAAACAACAGCAAATAAATAAATAATATTAAATACGCCGTAGGTGTTAACCCTCGGTACCTCTACAAGTACTCCCTTAAGGGGCTATAGATGATATAGCGGGCCCTTAAGCCGCGTCGGGCGGTTATACAGGTAAACTTGTAGCCAAACGACTACTAAACCTCCTGTCCCTCCCTAAGTCTGTGCTACAACCCCTGCCTGAACTACCGATAAGTGTGGTAACGTGGCACTTAAATTCGTCCTCAGGGGTGGGATGCTGCTGATGTGCAGAAGATGCTCGACTATTTTTTTTGTCGCGACAAGTCGTAGTATCTGCTAATTGGGGTTCTCGTCGAGCGTATACATCTCAACCATACGCTCAAGTGGATAGACCGTAACGTGGTCTAGACGCTCGCAAGAATCGCGGCGAGAGGGCGTGCTGCGCGCCTTCTATCGTGAGGGGACGGGTTCGCCGACGAGCGTTATCGGATAGGCGAGGTCCGATAAGGGGCCGGATTAACGATTCGAATTCTGGACCGGCTGTCGAGTTATATTCCGCCGACGTAGTGCTTGACGGTCGACTGGCTAGGATGCTCGTAATCCTAAACTGCACCAATCTCCCTATTATCGCTAGGTAGGCGAAGTCAACAAGGTGGGCAGCGCGCCATAAGGGTTGACTAAACCCCCTTGTGTGTCAGCTGCAGGATTCGAACCCGCGACTCGTCACCGACGCAAGTGGGCGAGGCTCAAATCGGGACTTATCTACCAGCGAAGTGACCAACTACACCAGCCGACAACAGCAAATAAAGCATGAAGAACTCGTAACACGCCTAAGGCAATTTCCACTCCCACCATCGCGGCCTCCATGCCCACGGCCTCAAATTGACCAGCTGCCGCCTTGGGTTCATAGAGTTCCAGTTGATACTGGGGCTATACGCTGTCCTAGGTACAGAGATAACCCGAGGCTCGCAGATGATGGACTTCGCTTCGATACGTTGTCTTTCGACGGCTCTGAGTATGAGCGAGAGCTTCGCCGTCGTGATGAGGCTCATCGTCGTAACTTAGACTTACAATGAGATTTTTTCGAGGGAGATGTTAAAGATTTTGTCCCAGAGAGCGCGAACGAATTACATGGGCGCTCGTAAGAAACCCCAATTTGCGCAGTCGATAAGAGACCCAACACGTGGCCAGACACAGCCTCCCGACACTACGGGAGCAACAGATAGGGATATAGGTCTGGAAAATCATCCATTATTATGGTGAAGCCACCTGTTGACTCTTACAATTCAGTATCTAGTCGTACAATCCAACATACGCCCCCTATAATCCCACATTTATCTGGGAACCAAAGCCAGAGCCAGAAATGTCTGCCCCTTTAAACTTTTAGCCTCCCTGGACTCGGACCCAGTGCCTCTGAATATTCAATTTTCCTTTTCTTTGCGGCCCAAAAGCAGCCATTTATACCCCTGAACCAGAACCAGTCGTCCGTCCAACAAGCCCATGTAATGCCAATCGAGTTCTTGATCCACTCATGGGAAAGTGAGACTCGACGGGCGTGTAAACCTTTATAAGCCTTCCAACGAGTGTCCTTACAGCCAAGGGTTGATGAATCGTTCTCGTACTCGAACAACCACCCGTCAAACTCCTCAAAACGTCTCTGACTCCGCATCCAACCCTCCTCGCGTAGGTGAAGGCTTCTCGGGCGACTCATCCACATACCTCGCAAACGGATTCGCCTCGTTTACCTTCACTCCATTTATATTCCCTCCAGAGCCCGAAGGCGACTGTCCTCTCACAACGCCATCTCCATCCTGAAGTCGTCCCTCAACCCGAGCAAGCTCCTCATATACCTCCTCAGGCGAGATCTTCCCAATCTCAAAACAAATCTCAAATAAATCCATCTCCAACGCCCCAATGACGCCCTCATTCTTCATCACCTTCTCCCTCTCCCCCTCAACCCTCTCACACGACCGCTCGTGCTCCCAATCCACCTCTCTCACATGATTCGCCACATGGTCGCGGATTCGCTTTTTCTTCTTCTCTTTTCTCTTCTCCTGCTGCTCGAGCAAGTTAAGCTCATGGCGTTTGTGCTTGAGATACGCGATGGCGGCTCGGACGTCGTCCTTTTGCTGCTCTAGGTCGCGGATCTTGATAGTTTGCTCTCGGAGGAGGGTGATGAGATGCATCGAGGCACGGTCGTTGAGGGCGATGGTGTTGTACTTGCGGCCGAGGTGAGAGTTAATTTCTTCAGGGCCGGCGACCGGGCCGTCTGGGAGGGGGCAGCAGTTGAGGCGGAGGTTGGCGAGGGGAGATTGCGTGATGGCGGCTTCTACTTCGGACTGGGGGCGCTGTGGGTTAGTTAAAAGCTGATTCTTTCCCTTCGATCCCGCAGCCTTGATGGCGGATTTGGGAAAAGGGGGGAAACTCACATAAGTATACCGATCGTGCTCACCCGTCGGACTGGTAGTCTCTTGCATATTGCCCTGATGTCGTAATTCATGTAGCTTTCGGCCGGCGATGGGATCCATACGGCTGTACTTGTGATCGAAGCCGACGTTGTCGACGCGGTCCGTATCAATGCCTTCAGCCGTCCAGAGGATAGAAGGCTCCCAGGGCACGGGATAGCAAGGCGACATTTCGACACCAGTCTCGATATCATATTGGCGGTTTCCCCACGGAGGGTAGCGATTGGATCGCGGTCGCGCGGGAGGCGTGTCGGATACCTCAGGGGTAGGGGGTCGCTGACGGGCGGCGTTCTAGGTCCCAAAAGATTAATCCACCACTCTACAGGATTGGTCATATCAGAAGAGTGAGCAACGAACCTCATCAGTAGGAACCTTAATGGCATTATCTTCCCAACGTGTGCAGTCCTTGGCCCAGGCAAGAAAGGTGCACGGCGAGATGCGGCCACTAGGCACATGAGCCTCCTCATCATCCGAATCCTCTTCAAATTCGAAGTCACCACAGCAAGCACTCATTGCTTGCAGAGAAAGATCCATGCCAGCCGGGGGACAAATGTGGTCGATAGCAGGGCGTTCGATCGCGAAGATGGCATCGCGAGGCGAGTTGCCATCGGGGTTCTCCGATTCGAGCACATGATCGATCTTAGCCAGCATTCTGTACACAGTCAATTACATGTTTGTTTCAATATAGAGTTGTAAGTTTTTGAAGCGCTCAACTCACCGACTAATGTCTTTTCTATCCCCAGGAGGCGGGTTGCGCTCTTGCAGGTCTTCTCGAAGTCGAATCCATTCAAAAAGGGGATCCTCCGCACCACCCAAGCAAGGCCCACGCATCTTAGTATAGGCTTTCATCATGGCGTTGGAAATCATCACCGTTTTGGACTGACGTTGACCACCAGAGCATCCCGGGAGAAAGCGCCCATGAGGCCCTAGGACGTGTTCGTCAGTACTGTCAGAGGCTCCTTCCGGGCAATGGAGCAGGATTGGATGTTGCTTACCTAGTAGGACATGCTGGGCAACAGGGCTTGAATCAGACCCCAAGATTGTCATGGCTGCCTTGCGAGTGCGTCTCTAGGTAGGAAGAAAAGAGTGTGGTAGAGACACCAGTGCCGTCAAGCAGAGTGCCCAATGGTGATATTAGAACAAGACAAAATAAAAGAGTATTAATATGCTAAAATTGGGAAGGAGACAATGACGGACAACTAGGACATGAAAGAGTGTGGGGTTGAGTTATAGAGACGTGCTTGCCACGTCTAGAAATATTCTAGGCGTGACCTGGGGTATCATCAATCGGCCGGGCGACGATGATGTGAAAGCAAAGAAAAATGGCAAGTTATAACAGAAAAGGCTCCACAGAGGGAGCTCAAGCATCAATAGCAAAGGAGGGGAGAAACTTGGGTCAAACCACCTAAAGTAGATTAACCCTCAGCGTTATGACTTGGTCAACAATTCTTGCCTCAAAAGTCATCAATGGGGCCCTAGTATTGTTTACTTTACCAAACGAATGTTCTATTACAGCCTTCCTAACTTGGTGCTTTTGCAGCTACTGCCCTGGGGCCCGTTCCAAGAAAGCCATTTATTTATGCACAATATCCATGCTTACATCACTTCTTCGCCTTGCCCTTGGCAGCACTAGATCTGTTACGTGCCTTCGGCTTGGGTTTTTCATCCTCGTCGTCATCGGCTATCTTCGCGGCCTTCTTCGTAGCTTTCTTTGGCTTGGCCTTGGGCTGCTTGATGTATTTGTCGCCTTTGATATCTTCCTCGTCATCAGCAGCTTCGACAGGCTCAACGATCTCAGCCTCGTCTTCCTCCTCGATCGCCTCCTCGAGGTCGGGCACATCTTTTGCGGCTTTCTTGGGCGCGAGCACGTTGCTAGCCTTCATGAAGGGAACGGGATGAGACATTTGGTTGTAACTACACAAGTTAGTCAAAATTTGCGGATTGGGAAGGAATAAACGTACAGTCTTGTGAATGCAGACTTTGTCTGTGCCTCAATCTCCACTTTGTCCTCGTCTTGAGGTCCAACACCCAACTCCTTTATGGAGTCGAAGTCTTCTCTGGTAAGGTAGTAGCTGTCCATAAGCTCTATTACGTCCTCAACAGCTTCTTTGCCGTCAGCAGCCAAGCGCTGGATGATTCGTGTCCATAGTACTGGCAAGTACTGCTGTCGAACCTCGTTATGGTCCCCGGAGGACTTGAGTCGCATGTGCGAGTGGAGTTCGCGAATGTATCGACCCAGCTTTCCGTACTTGCTATTGTTTCCAAGCCATGAGGTGAAATTGGAACCCATCAGTTGCCCAGCCACAAAGCTGGAAGGTCTCACGGTGCTGAAGATCGCATGCGTGGGCATCAAGCTCCAATGCTGCTGGGGGCCATGAATCATCCGATCGACCAGGTCACCATCACTGATGCTTTCCGCGGCCATATCGACAAGCTCCAATGCCTTGAGGTTTTGTTCCCGTTTATTGTACGAGTTCGCGTTCAACGCCATCGGTTTTGTGCGTAGGTAGTTCTCTTGGATCATCAGGTAGCTGAACTCATGATCATTGAAGTAGAGCTCGATTTTATCATTGAGTGTGGACTTGCTTGCCGGCGCGAATAACCCACCAGCGAGCATCTTCTGGCAAATGTCCCAAGGCTTCAGAACAATCGACTTCTCCCACGCCTTCGACATGTTCTTGCTTTGGTCAAAATCCATAGAGGTCTGGTCGAGCTTGACAGTCGACATCATGTTGATAGTTTGTCTGATATCTCTGTCACTGCCTTCAATGAGGGCGTCAAGAACTTGAGCGGACAACTTCAACCCTTCCCGGTGGCAAATTGTCATCATCCTAGATCGTATTTGATCGACCGTAGGTCTCTGGAATTTAATGTCGCCGGTGACAAAGTCAAATGGCTTCATCTTGGGTAATTTGCGCTCATTGCAAATGAGAATCAAGGGGACATCGGTCTTCTTGCAAAACTTGGCCAGGGCGCCAACACCACCACGGTCACCGGCTGACATGCCGTCGACCTCGTCCATGATGAGTGCGATCTTCTTCTTAGTTGCGTCCACTTTTTTCCCGTCACCTGCAAAATAACCGTTCAGGGAAGTGTTGTTCATGACGTCGCTGACACCAAGCTCGACCAGCTTTTTGCTGCGGCTGTCGCTGGCGTTTTGTTCGATGATATCATAACCTTCAAGTTTGGCAGCAAGATGAGCTGCAGTCGTCTTGCCGATACCAGGAGGGCCTGATAGTATTATGGCACGGTGGCCACCCATCCCATCTGCACCCCGCTTCTGGAAGTCATACTTGCGGTTCTTCGACCAGTTTCTTAAAAAGTTCTGGATCTTCTCCACGGCGGCCTTATTCCCACATATGTGACTCGGCTGTGTCGGAGCGTATTTCACAGTCCAGAGTTGTGAGGTTAGAGCGGTAGCAGCCCGAGCAGGTCCTGCAGCCCCTCGAGCCGCAGCGAGGTCGCGTGCTTTCCCAGCTTCTATTTTCCGAGCTTTCTCTTCCTTCTCGATCTCAGCGGCCTGCTGTTTTATCTTTTCTTCTTCTTTCTCGCGCTTCTGTCGCAGTTTTTCGGCGCCCTTGCTGCTTCCACCACCGGCGGGGAGCCGACGGACAAGCTCGAACAAGCCCTGTTCATTGATTGTCTTGATCCCATGCTCCTGGATCTTTTTCAGCTTACTGGGACCGGCATCGCCGCCCAACACGACGTAACTCGTCTTGCTGCTGGGCTGACCCGTTACTTTTCCACCATACCGTTTGACCAGTGCCTGAGCATCTTCCCGCGCGATGGACGTGAGTTGTCCAGTGAATACGAAGGTGAGGCCCGCAAGACAATCCTCCTCTCCCTCGGGCAATTCTTCAGAGGTTGGGTTAGGAGGTGGACCGGAGTTAGCTCCGCCACCTTGGGCCTTTCTCCAGTCGAACTTCGCATCGGGGTCCCTCGCAGGTGGTGTTGGTGGTCTGACTGTCGGAATATTGTCAAAGATGGCTTGTATGGATGCATCCTCGGGCTCGTCGACCTTCACTTTTGGTGCCCTTGGTTTCTTCGGTGCTGGTTTCTTGTGAGGGGGCAGTTCATCATCTTCATGGTCGTCTGGTTCTGCTTCGGGGGACTTCCTCTTCTTGCCGGCGGCGGAGGACTTGGCGGGTTTGGCAAGCTTGGCCACGATGGGCTCGTCGTGATCATCGTCATCATCAGACCACGCTATCGTCTTGCCACGTTTAGCAACTCGCTTCGGTTTTGGAAGAAACTCTTCCTCGCTCTCTTCCTCAACGTAATCATCGTTCTTTCGCTTGCTACGATCCCGGATATCAGCTGCAAATATGTCATCTCCACCATCGACATCATCGTCCATGAATGCATCTTCATCGTTGATATGCAACGTCTTGGCAGTTGTCGTAGAGCGTTTCTTCGCAGTCGTCTCGCGAATTTTCAGCGGAGTCGACTCCTGTTTCGTGGCTGGTGCCTTCTTATTGGTCCTTGGACTTGACCGTGGCTCTACTTTGGACTCGGGTTTCGCAGCAGATTTTGCGGCAGGTTTGTCCTTAGATTTGGTGGATGCAAAATAAGAACTCGCTGTAGTTTCTATTCCTTGGACCTCTTTCTCACTGCACAAAACATCAAGATCAATTTTACAACATAGCACGTCGAGTAACATACGCTGCTTTTTTCTTTGGTGTAGATCTAGTCGCGGGCTTCTGGGGTCTAGCTGGTCTCAGCATACTCAATTGCGAGTCAAGTGTAGCAGAGCTTACTGGGCGGCAATCACTTCATCGTCGCTGTCGTCCTCGATAACCTTGCGAGCTCTACTGCGTCGCTTCGAAGAATCGTCATCGGTCTTCTTCGGTACTGGCTTCGGAACTGTCCTCGGCGGTGCGGCGCCTCCTTTAGGGCCAAAGAATGAGCGAATGTCTGGCGGCATCTTGCTCTCTTCGCAGGATATGTCGGGTTTTACAGACTTAAGGGAGTAATTTCGTGTTTTGAGGGCGAATTTGCGACCCTAAAAGTGGCGGCTACACAAGCACGCTCAAGGTCTGCAGTTGACTTAGAAGTTCGAGATACGCGACATCATGACGCGCTCTGCGCTTAATCGGCGCGGACGCCTGCTAGGCTCCAAGTGATGGCCTGTGCGCACGCGATGGCCCCGAGCCAGGCATGAACGGCCCGGAATAGACCGGCAATTTTAGGTACGTACCTGTGAGGTAGAACTGAAGTAGCTTCAAGTTGGAAATTTCAAGCTTCGTGAGTGATAGAGTTGCGACGAGCAGCTTCACTCGCCCCACGACATCACGGTTAGAATGAGAGCCGGCACTTCCTTGAGCTTTCTGGGCGCCTTCAGGAACTTGACTTTGACGTCAAGTTCAACAACTCAGCAGTCTCTGAGACCCTGCCTTGCGACTGCGACTCGACAGATCCCGATCATTCACCATGTCAGGCCCTTCTCAGCAACCGCAACAATGGCCGGCAATTGGCTGGAGCCTCGGTTGGATCGAAAGAAAAAGATGATGAAGGGACGAGCCAGAGTCGCAACGGGTGGATCTACGAAGGGAACAACTGTGGTCTGGGGTGATTATGGACTGCGAATGATCGACCACCACCGAAGGATCAGTGCCGCGCAACTGCAGCTTGCCGAAAACACTATTAAGCAACGATTGCGCGGTGAGAAATATCGAATATATAAGAGAGTTGCTTGTAACGTGGGTGTATTCGTAAGCGGTAACGAAGTAAGTAGCTCAGCAAACTCGGATGCAGACTTAACAGGGTGCTGATGTTGCATCAGATTCGTATGGGTAAGGGAAAGGGATCTTTCGACCATTGGGCGACGCGAATGGCAGTCAACCAGATTGTGTTGGAACTGAAGGGAATGGTGCACGAGCAGGTTGTCCGCGACGCTTTCCGGCTGGCAGGACATAAGCTCCCTGGTAAGCAACATTTACGGTTCTTGAAGCGCCCGTCTATCTAACCTGGCTTTAGGTCAATGGGAGTTTGTCAAGAAGGGAGAGCCACCAGTTGTTGGTATCACAAAGCTGACCGATGGGGTGACATTAGAGGGACTGAAGAGGCCAAGGAGGAAGATCGAGGCAGAGAAAGTGCAACCTGTCCCTCCACCAAAGTCCGAAGCAGAGGGTAAGGGAATACCTTCTGATCTCCCCTAAACAACCTCTGAGGAGCGATGTAATATCTGTATGTACAATTCCGTTGCAAAAATGGTAAATCTGCGACTACCCCCTGATATCCCGTGAATTTCGACTGTTTGTGGTTGAGTAGCGATGATGAATCTACCGTGTGAGGGAAGTTAGGATTGCCTAAACTCCCCAAGTGCTATTTTGCAAGGTCCCTTGCTATACTACATTTTGCCACGATTGATCGACCCAGAGGTATCAGCCTCCGTGCCATTCATGGTCATGGCAACAGAATCAAGGTCCTTACTTACCTTACATACGTACTTTCAAGTCCCTTGGCCAATTCAGATATGTGGACTTTGACTGCATACTATGCCTAACCATCTTTGAAGTTGAACTAAAGCGGATGTTGCAGGTGGGTCAGTCAGTCTACCAACGAGTCTCCGAAGGCAGGCACGAACCTTCCTCTCCAGGTGCCTCCCTAAATCACTCGCCTGCCTCGCAGAAACTTCAAATTCGAGATTTCCACTCTCAAGCCAGTAAATCTTACGCAACTCCTTTTTCAGGCGGGTCTCTGGCGCCCCCATTGTCATGAATTTATCTTTGTCAATATCCGCATATCCCGCTCGTCCTACGTTGGTCCGGAGTTATGACGGCCGGCCATGGGAGATTCAGTCAAATTGAAAGATTTCAAAATATCCATCGCGGCTTCGGGTTTATCATTATCTGTTTCTTCTCGGTTATATGCTTCGGAACAGTCCGTATGCCAGTTGGCTTGCGGAGACATCAAAGATCTCGTGGACTCTGGCCGCTTGTGGTTTCTCTCGCCCAGGATTTGTCACATCCAAATCAATGTGCGGTTCAACAACTGTTCCGTGAACGAATCGCAACGTGAAAGCAAGATCTTGGAATTCATTGCTGGCTCGATATGCCAAATGCCTGTTGGTTGAAGTTCGTCCTTACTTGCAATGCCATTACTGACACCACGCAGTTGTGGCAATCCCTTGGCCTGTCTATTGAACTTGTGGAAGTTGACTACGACGCTGGAGAAGATGGCCCCAACTTATACTTTGAAGTAGAGCATCCCGACAAATCAGCCGCACTGTTATCTCCCACGCATGTCCGTACAAGCAATATTGAAGGTGTTTCATATGTATTCAGTTACTACTCTTCTGGTCATTCCTCTCAGTCGGAGCAACGCAGATCGTCAAGATTGTCAGGCACTGAACGCCATTTCTCGCCATCTACTCATGAGCTGATAAGAAACCAAAGTTATGGCGATAATTTTATACCTGCTTGGGGTATTGACGAGAGAGGTATGGACGTAGCAGCCGCTGAAGATTTTCGTCAACGTCGCCAGAGAACCATTGATCTAGCCGCCGCTGCTTTGCACAAGGTCATCGGCATCAGAACAGTGGTCCCTGGCACTCAACAGGTTATTAATCCAATGACTGCGTCATTGCTTCGGTTGGCCCCAAGCGTGTGGAACGCCTATTACGAACAGGTCAGTCGTACACGACAAGCAGCTGATATTGATAGGCTAATATGGAATGCAGAGGATCGTTGCCTACGCTAGGAACTTCCCGATCATATCTTCCATCGTTTCATCTGCCCACGGTTGGCAGTCTGCTTCCCTTGTCCGAAAAGTTGCAGAGCTACTGAAAAATGACCAGCCTCATCCCATTGACACGAATCTCAACGATGGAAACGATGAATTTCAACACACGATTCAGTCATCAGTGAACCGGATACTCTGGAAGTTATTACGGACAAGGCTGAAAGTCACAACTGGTACACAAACAGCCGGGAGAATTATGGACCAGGATTCTCGAACAGCCATGTTTGAAGACTTCGACATACACCTTTTCGCAAATGAAAGAGAAGAGCTGTGCAATGACAAATGCTACGACTACGTCGACGTTGTTAATAGCAACGGACGAGAAGAGTTCGATGAAGAATATGGCTACAAAGCCGATTGCACAGACGAAAACAACGACTACATTGGTAGCTATGTCGACGAAGGTGGTACCTATGAACAAGACGAACAATTTGATCCAAGCCATGTCTATGATGATCACTATTTTGATGAGGCTGAGGTAGAAGAACATTACCCCGATGAGGATTTGGAATATGATTTGCCGCCAATACACACATATCGAGATCATCAAGAGCCTCACATTAATGTCAGAACAGGCGACTCTATAGCTGTGATGCGGGAGGAAGAGTACTCTGCACAGTCCACGGTCTACGAGGGTTGGGAGAACAGGACACAACACATCGAATCAGATGCAACCCTGCTGGCGTTCGACAGCGACGCGACCATGCAGCTACGAGACCAATATGATGATTCGATCATGTCAGATTTGATACCGCACAACCTTAACCTCCCTCAACAACTCTCAGACAACGATTTCCATGCTGGCGAACATATTTGTCAATCAAATTATACTACCCCTGACGACGAATCCCTATATGATGAAGTACACAATGATTGGATTAGCAACCAATTTCACAATCATAATCATGAGGACCTGGATTGTGAGCATCCAATAGAGTATTGTGCGGCAGAAACTCAGGCACAAGCAGAATTCCCGCAAGCTTTTCAGGGGTCAGATTTAGTCACTGGGTACCGAGGCGTCATCTGGCAGGGCGCCCCAGGTTGAGTGAAGGAAATTTCGGAGAGGATCTCGAAGACGAAATAGAGATGTGGGACGCTGAAAACATGACGGACCGAGAAGCTGGTCTGTATTGATAATTTAATTGCGAACGAAGTAAAAAACAAGTTTGCTGATTAGAACTTCCAGATGCAGCCTGCGGTCATCCAGGCACTCGAAGCGTGTTGTGTCCCGTCTAAACGGTTCCTTCTTCCAACGCCAAAAGTCACAATGCGCATGCCACCACCATCAACATGACGCATTCCTCTTCCATATCGCCATGACTGCTCACGGCATCCCCCTATCCCTAATTCAACCACCACATGCGGAAGTGCTTCATCCGGTTCGCGGGCTACCATATCGCCTTGTGTTGACGCATGCTCACTGAAGTGATGATGCGCAAATCGAACAGAGGTGGCTATGTGATCGTCGAATCCTCCACCGGCACCTATTTCTTCGCAGGCGGCTTCTTCTCTTCCTTCTTCTTCTTTTGCTCTGGCTTCATAGTCGCGTAGTGTATGTACCAGATGAGCACGCTTTCGAGGATCAGAGAGACGAGGACGACGAGCAAGATGGTGAACAGGTACGGCTGGTCGTTCAACACGGCAACGGCCTGCGGCGTAGCGCCGATCTTGGAGAACCAGTCGAATTGACCCATGGTGTTGGCTTATTATATATTGACGTATGGGTGTGTTTTTGCGACGTTCCTGATGTTCGTTGCCTGACGTAGACTATTGATTTCGGGTATCGCAGCGAGATGGAGCAGTGGAAGCTGGACTGTTTTAATTGTCGAGATCAAGACGATGTGAAAAAGGAGCGTAGTAGGGGGATTAATGGTGCACCAGTCACGAGTGAAGACAACTGAAATAGATTGTAGTTGGACGGGCACAGCCTGACGATAGAAGAAACAGAGAAGCGAGAAAAGGAAGGTTCACTTGTAGTTTGCAAGGTCACTTGGCTGGCAAGAAGTACTAAGCTGACTCGAAACCAGCGTCGTCAGAATCGAGGCTTCACGACCCCGTCCGTGACAGGCAAGACAGGCTAGCCTAGGGTGACGGGCGCCTCGTACGGTTGCGGTGGGTGATCCTTGCGAAACTCTTGCGTTTCAAACTTGCGGCAGAGTCGACTGATTTTGGGCCGTCGCCTGATTGGTCGGTATTGGTTGCACTACTTAGCAAGGACGTTATGCAAATCTGATAAAGATTCTACCGACCGAGATACAGATGTCTGGGGATATCATGATTTGCAATAATTCTGGCTGCTGGAGGAGCGGACTACAAAATATGCGATGTGAAGTCTATAGGAGTCTTGGATGCGAAACCAGGGAATTCTTGACCCCTGCCATGGAATTGGAGACTGGGGTCTTTTGATAGGTCCAAGCTTCTAAAACAGGTTGGGAACCGAGAAACCCCCTCCTCCCTCCTGGCGGCCGCAAGAATAGTAATTCCGATAGCTACCAAGGAACTCGAAAATTTGTCTAAGCAAGCCACAAGACACCTGACGCGAGCGAGCGAGGCTGTCACTATCGGATAGCCATTCCCACGTTTCTGCCGCCGACGATGAGATGAGTGCGGCACGACCAATGCGACGTCTGCTGTCAAGGCGGTTGGCCGCCGCAGCCAAGCCAGCAGCACCACAATGTCATACCTCGTTTCAAAGCTCCTTTCACAACTCGGCGCGACTGCAGGCGCGAAGGAAACCGCGTTTCAAGAGCATACGAGCTGAGGAGATGGGTCTCACGACGCCGGAAAAGATTCAGGAATTTACCGAGGAACAGTTCAAGCCGTACACGCCCGAGGAGATAGAGGTCCTGAGGAAGCATTATACGCCCGAGCAGATGGAAGCCCTCGAAGCCGGTGAAGCGGCCATAGACCCGAAAGACCTCACGATACAGGCCCGTCTTCGCAAGGACCCTTACAAACTTCCCTACCTAGACGACTTCAGCCGCGTCCTGCCCGTCATCGACAAGCGTCCCAAGAAGCATACGCCCCCGAACCCGAAGACGAAGTGGCTGAGCGAGGAGGGTATGATGGTGGACATGGACAAGTTCTTTAAACAGAAACTTGCGGAGAAAGTCCCTGAGGTTAATTGGGCAGAGCTGTCCGGCCCCGAATTAGACCAGGCCATTGCGCAGCACGGAGGCAAGATTGAATTGAATGAAATGGACTTGAACGAGTTCTGGGCAGAACGCTCCGCCTTGGATGACAATAATGCGCCTTCGAATACGGCATTGGCTCCGGCATTAGGCAGGGACATTCCCGGGGTCTCAGGCATGTACAAGAGCCCGGTCGATCCCGAGGATCAAGGCTTGGACGATGAGGGTATATACCAAGACCTGAAGAAGCGGACGGGTTTGACAGTGGGGGAGATTTTGAAGATCACGTGCAAGATCCTCGTCGTGCGACTTGTCCATAACCAGACGCGTTTGGGAAAGGTCAGAAGCGTGTGGGTTCTGGCGATTGCCGGCAATGGAAATGGGCGGTTGGGAATTGGTGAAGCAAAGTCGGTGGAAAACGGTACCGCGGTCCAGAAGGCCAAGTTGGAGGCCATCAGGAACATGACGCCCATACCTAGATACGAGCACCGGACAATATACGGGTCAACAGAGGCCAAGGTCGGTGCGACAATAGTGAAGTTAGACGCACGACCACCTGGTAAGGCCCCTTTTTACACGTGGACCGGATTATGAATTCTTTACTGAGACGAGAATCATAGGTTTTGGTCTCCGGGCATCGCACCGAATGTTCGAGATGTTCCGCGCCGTCGGCATCCACGACATCGCAGCCAAGATGCCTCGATCTCGAAATCCGATGAACTCGGTCAAGGCGTGCTTCCAGGCCCTGCTCAACCAGAAGGATCCGAATGAGATCGCGATAGGCAGGGGAAAGAAGCTTGTAGATGTACGAAAGGTGTACTTTGGCGGCAATGTGTTATAACCGCCTGTATAAGAACAAAGAATCTGTAGACAAGAAGGTCCCCTAGCCATGGCAAAAGCATGTCGCTGAGCAGCGCCTCCTGTGTATATTTGTGTATGTTCATCATGCTCGTCAACTCCGGGCATCATTCTTCCAGTTGCTGTGTCGTGCTATGTCATTCCATGTTTACTTCACGCTCTTAGCTTTTCCATCTAAATGCATTTGCTTTGTCTTCGTAGCCGCCATTCCGCTCCAGCCCCCGTTCCGCAGCAACTTCGCATCCACATTTCTACCCCTTAATGCCGTGCCTGATCACCCCAGTCGATCTCCTGCTGCAGTACAATGCTGTACACGCTCGCCTTCAGCAGGGTAAATACCAAGCTCGTCTTGCGCTCGAGTTCGCGCAGCCCGTCGAGGATTTCCGTCGTTGGTTGACCGGCCATGGAGTCGAGAACTGTCGCCAACTGTTCTCGCGTCCATCTGTTAGCGTTTTCCTTCTTTCTATAATAATTGGCACGAGCCTGTCGCTCTGACGGTCTGTATGTGGGATAGCGGGGGAGGTGCTGGCTAGCCTTCTTCATGTTTTCTGCCAACCGCTCATACTCATCTATCACCTCTTGCTCGAGGGGCGTGAGCTCTGGCGGTGATAGTAACGGATTAGCTGATGGCTGGGCCATTTTTGGGGAGTTTGGACGCGGTTGGAGGCGTAATTACCAAACTCCTCAAAATGTGAGGGAAGACGCGCTTGGTCGCGATAATGGAATGCGGACTTCAAACTCAATTCGAGCCCCGCCACCACAGTAGGTACGTACCGCACCTCTGGGTAAGGTGCCGCAGTAACTAGAAATATCACTTCGAATTCCCGCCTGCTGCTGCATTACATCCATTGGATCAATCAGAACTGCTCATACAAATACTGGGTATCTACCTTCAAATTTACTTGCATACCTAGGCCATCATTTGGTTACCAGTACAATCTTATCAGACGTTGTTACCAGTATGGCATCCCAACCAGCCAATAGATAGAAAATGTGCAACCGGGGCCGGCTCTCTGGCCAACCAGTCGCGCGGGTGAGCAGCGCCGCCTTTGAACGCGCGATGCCGCACGACGCTGCGGCGCGACGCTGCGGGCCCTGGGTGAGCCAGGCAGCTCTGCATAAAGGGATGGACGGGATTTCGGCCAGGGATTTATCCGCTAATAGTCCCTACATACCTATGCGTAGCGACCAATTACCTATTGACATCGTAGGTTAGTTGACCATCAAGGTCCTCCCCATCTGGCAACTTTGGTGCAGTAGCCTTTGAGTATCCGACAACAGCCGCGATATGTTGCTTCCATGGTTCAACAGATACAGTGAGGGATTTTCGTCTCCTTAGCTATATGCCCCAGTCCTATCTCGGAGTATCTATCAATAGTTGACACTAGCGGCTGCAATCCTAGCCACTGTGCCACCATACCAGGTGTCTTCACCAAAAGACACCAATACCAAAGTCCCTGACTTTGGTATCTGCAACCACGTATCAATCTTTTCAGACCAGTCTCGGTCAATCACGTGACAATCGTCACATTACGCTCTTAATGCACAAGGACAGTATAATTATGTAGCTGCTTATTAGTTCTGCTCAGGTCAAGTACTCAGGTCTATCACTACTTAGATTTATATACATGCCTTATCTATGATAGATGTAAACTTGGAAGATGATATACTAGGAACAGTACCTTGATACTCAATTGAACGTATCTTGAAATGTTACCTCTTGCAATTCAATAAAGCTGACAGCAACCCCTGAATTACACCCCTGGCCAGCAGCTTTAACCACTCACATGTCTCCGAATAGTATCCGGAGAGAAGCGCGATCCTCGAGCGCTCTAGTGTCCGGTCTCACGTCAGAGGATCCGTTGCTGTCGCCATAGCCACTTCAATTGAGTAACCTTTGGAGTACTTGAGTATTGTTTCCGAGTCACCGGTGGGTACTTTCTATAAGACGGCTTAAGAGCGTAGTTTGACATAGCTACCAAGTTGTGACAACTTATCCGGCGCCTTTTAATTGGATATAATCTCCAAAGCAATTATCAATAGCTTATTCACAATCCCTACCCTGATTATCGGTGTTCTTGCTGAAGTGAATAAGGTTTCTCTGGCCATCAATTGGTTATTTGCGCCTAACCTCTGCTATAACTTCATGGGCATCACTGTTGATAAGGGAGGCATTATGGCCGGCTATGGTAAGTAGTTATTATTTTTTACGCTTGTTTATTGACCTTTTAGCTAATTAACGCTATAAATAGAGCTCGATGGGCTTATAATTGGCAGCTGTGACCGCAGTAAAAAGGCTATAATCAAGAGTTAACAGGGCCGCAGTTGGACCACATTTATTGAAGCCACAACCGCCGATAGCCGCCTCTTAGAGCTAGCAATAATCTTTAAGGGAAAAGAGCTCCAAAAGCAGAGGTTCTTAGACCGATTGCGAGAGATCTGCCCCTACTAGCGCTATATAACTTCTCCAAATAGCTGGATAGATAACTACTGACGTGGGGTTAGGGTTTTTGGGTGCTCGTTTTCGTTTTTTTTCGGTTTCAGACGAATTATGTAAGCGCGTTCTTGAAGGGCATTTAAGACCTTACGTAGTCACTCTCTTGAGAAAAAGATAAAAAAATCAAGCGGCCTTTTCCACAGTAATCTGAACCAATTTCTCTTTACTTGGACAGGCATTCAATGTCTGACATACCTGTTGAGGTACTTATTGTTCCCCTATAGATTTGATTGTGCCTGTTGAGGCCATTGTTCCCATCTTTCGCCTGTTGAGGTTCCTTTTCTTCCCCAGCTGTTAGTACCTGTTGAGGTACTTGTTGTTCCGATCAGGGCTAAGAGCTCTTGATCTTGTTATTTCTCTTTCCACCTCCAGGACAGTAAGGTCTTGTTGAGGATCTTGTTGTCCGTTGCCATCATCATCACACCTTGAACCTGCGGGTGATTTCACTGCCCGTCGTCACTACATCGGCCACTAGTGGCTAATTGACGTATACCTACTCCAAACCGCCCCTAACGACCCCTCCGATTCAAGGATGGTTATACTGGACGGCTATAGATCTCACGCTTCTGTAAGTTAACCAGTGAATACAGTATAATAGCGCTAATAGCCGTAGGATGAGTGGATAGCTACGTGTTTTATGCACAATGTATACTATTGTTACCTGCTGGTACACACTTCCTATAGCCTACAGCTAAAAGAAAATGGACCCTTTAACGTATTAAAGTCAGCTTATAGGGATAAGGTTAGAAAATTGGATAGAATGACGGATGTAGCGCTAGTCGACAAGGTTAACTTTATCCGGCGTTATGCCAACGCACGCAAGGCTATAACCGAAAGGATCCTCAAATCCGGTTAGCGAATAACTGGAAACTGGCCAATTTCAAGGGCTAAGGCACTGAGGCACCCCGAGATACAACCAGACCTTGAAAATCGCACTACCCCTGAGCCTATAGCGGCCGAGGAGTCTGACAGTGATTCAACCCCCCCGTACTAGCCGCCAGATCCGCGATCTAACCAAACAAATCGACCCAAAATAGCCGCTATAGGCTACAGAGGGTAGCCAAGGGGTTTGAGGCTATGGAAGCCGATTTAGTGGCGGAACTTACGAAATCTACTGCATTGTAGGAAGAACTTGACCGGTTAAAAAGGGGCAAAAAGCGTAAAGGATTACCTAACCCTAATAGGCGCTTTAGGATTATATCAGAAGCACTGGCAGCTGGTGAGCTAATTCCGCCCAAACAGGGTCAGAAACTAGACAATAATAGTAAAGTTATTGTGGTTAGGGGGAGGGGGGAAGGAGAGTAATTCTTCAGAATCAGACCATTTGGCCGAGGATTTACTAGCCCCTATCGTCACCTAAAGTAGCCATATGGTAAGGAAAAGGCATTATTCCTAGATTTAAGTAAAAGGGTTATATAAAGGTGTACTTTTCTTGTAAATAGCTTCAGTAACGGTGGGACTATATATAAGTTAACAAGTAGTGTTTTTGCAGTGTTGTACTCAATTACGGTTACCGGTGTGCCGGTGGGGGATAGTACCACCTACTACCTGGAATCATCGAGAGCGATGGTAAATTTGAGATCAAGGGAGTTAATGACTATCTTGAAAAGAAGAAGTATGTGAAGGTTGAGCCCTCTGCCCCTTATTCACAAGCCCAGAATGGAGGAGCAGAGCGCTCGGGGGGTAGTATCAAGCAGAAAGCTCGATGTATGCGTATCAGAGAAAATTTACCGCCAAATATGTGGCAGGAGATCACTGCTGTCGCTTTATACCTACATGACAGAACCCCTACGCGAGTTCATGGCTGGAAGACCCCATATGATCGGTTTCACGCCTACTTAGCACACAGAGATGGAGCTGTCACAGAACACCGCAAACCATATCTTGCACACGTAAGAGTCTTCGGCTGTAAAGCATTCGCAATAATAGCAGAGGCTTACGAAAGAAGAAGCGAAGGCAGAGGCTGAACCCACGAGCGTGGATCGGATACTTGGTTGAATATTCGTTGTCCAACATCTACCGTATCTGGAATTCCGTGCTTAACGAGATCAAATCTGTCAGAACTGTTATTTTAGATGAGTTGACCATATATCCAATCACTATTAAACATTTGAGAGAAGACGTCATCCTGACAACTAATGAGATCGCAGCTCTTCTGAAGCAATCGGCCTTCGAGCCATCCGCCTTTGAGAAATTTGAAGATGAACACGTCTATCCACAACCTAAAGACAGTGCGGGACCAAGGAACGCTAGCGACACAGGGACTTTGTGAACAGATTCTGCAGCTGCTGAGAGCACTGGAATCCCTAGTGGTACTGGACTTGATCAACCCATGTACACAGAGGCTCGGTTTGAGCCATATCCGACTCCAGAACGCTCTCCCCCGCCGCGCTCGCTCCTGGCGGCATCTATTCAGTCCTGTACTGTTTCAAGCGCATATGTCTTGCTACTAACCTGAGGTTGTATGGTCTGGTGATACACGAGAGGTAAAGGTGTGTCCGGCTGCCAAGGTGCGAAGGCCTCCCCGTGTACCGGTTGATGATGCTGGTTTCAGTGTCCAACTAGCAGCGAATGACCGTGGCGGCCCCTAGGAAGCAGCACTCAATGCTGGCAGGTTGGTTAGTTCTGTAGTTTCGATAGCTGGCCAACCAGTGAGCAAAGCGAAGTTCCGTCGGATGAGCCACTTCCCTCATACGGGGTCCTTCACTCACAATGAAAAACAGACAAGTGGAAACCCAGGCCTGTCTTGAGCAGTCTATGACGATGTTGGCGGATGTCTACGAGCTGGCAACAGGGTCCACAGGAGAGAGCTTCCGCCTGCTCCCAAGTCACACACCCAAGTGAAAACACATCCCCTTAGAGATGAACTCCATGCGGCCGAGAAGGATCATCTTCGTGGTCATAAAGAGATGCAGTCGTGGACTGAGGTTCTCCGCCGAGAAATTCTATCCGGATACCAAGTCCTGTGTCTTATCAGTTATTGGGCATCTCTGTGTCAATTGTGTTTTCTTCTCTGTCTGTAAACGGTCACCAGAAGGCCCTATATACACCAAAATGACAGTAGTCGACTGTTCTAACCCCTCTTCTAGACACGTTATGTATGAACGAGTGTCACAGAATCTTTTGCTGAAACCCTGTAGTTTATGCCGAAATACTATAGTGGCCCCTTTATGCGTAATTGCCTTGAGGATCAAACAACGGTCTAGACAAGGCTAGAACCAACCATAAATACCATCAATAGTTGACAAGTCCTAGGGTGTATGTGGGTGTATGTGTACAAATTCGACAATCATGGTTTCTTCCTTAAGTGTAAGACTTTGTAAGGGGAGACCAATAAGCTAAGTCTATCTAAGAAGATACCCATGCATCTACATTGGCCGGAAGATCATTCCGTACGCTTTTGCAATAGCTGCCAGATTTGATCTTGAACTGGTTCAATACGATGCGGTTAACGCATTCGTTAACGCCAGACTAAAGAACCAGTCTACATGCAGATGCCACAAGGGTATCGTAAGCTAGAGACTGTACTCCAGTTGAACAAGGCACTCTAATGAGGGAGTCACCACTACTGTGGCAGGATGTTCACGCGGACTCTGGAGCAGCTAGGCTTTCAACCAGTGACCCATGAGCCAAGAAGTTGAACGCTGGATCAGAACGCTGGTTCTATATCATAAAGCCGCAAAATATTGTCTTTTCCAGAAGCGCATCCAATCACTATGATAGAACCTATGGTAAAACCAGACATAGCTGAAGAAACTGGTGAGAATCTGCTGTTGACCAAAACATATTTTCACCGTGTAGAGTTATCCAGCAACGATCAGTGCGGTACGACTTCAACTCTTTGTAAGCTTTTTCGCCCGTCGCCGCCGACCAGAGCCGGACCGTCGTGTCGTCCAAGGCTGAGGGCAGCCTAGTTTGGGACAGGATTTATCAGTTGTTCCACATAACCTAACAAGTCGGCGTGCATAAGCTGAAGGCTCAACACCTTCCTTTCAGTCTACCCAATCACATAAGGGAGTCATACAGGCAGTGCCAAGATTTGTGCCGAATAATTGCGTTGCACGCCTCCCCAATGCGCAGACGAACCTCCTATTGCATTGACCGATGACGCATGCTGCCCTGCCTCATCATTATGGTTGCTTCTGCCTTCACTTGCAGGAATATTGATAACACAATGGCCTTAGTGGCTGTTGGCGCCATTCTGCCTTATCGCCCTGGCTCGTTATCTGGCCAGACCACAGCCATTACAACCCTCCATTATGTCGTGGCGAATTACCTCGGGAAGCAGATCAGCATTTCTCGAGTTCCTCAATGCCAATCTGCATTGATCTCTTTCGGCTGACTCCAGACTGAACTCGAGTATACTTCTGCGGAAAAATGCATGGCGCAAAGCTACAGTAAAACATGAACGAGCTAGGCAGAAGAACAAATATTTTATGAGGATTCGTAGAGTCATATTGATCGTCGGACAGTGAAGGAGTTGAGGCGCTGTTTTAATGTAGTTAATCAATGTTGGGGGACACTTTTTCCGAGGAATCCTGGCTCGGAAAAAGTTGTAAGACGTGAAATCCGGACCCAAGAATCAGGACTGTGAAATACAGTTCGTCTTCGGCTTGGTTTTGGAATGTGAATTTGAATATTTGGTTGTCCGGGAACGGGCTGTGTTTAGGGTCGCCTTCTGTTTCTAAAACCACCTCAAATGGCGGGGTATCTTGAGACGCCTCATTCCGAAGGCTCAGGATTTGTTCGAAACGGAAAAGGTGTGTCAGTGCAACAGCTGAGTCTATGGCTTTCTCGTCATCGCTTTTGCTCTTGATTTCCAAGCCCCGTACAGGTCCTTGATACCCGAGCAACGGCGCGGGGCCGAAGAGGTCGGTGGTGCCGTGCTTCCCTGCCTTAAGCCAAAACCAAAAGGCGTCAGCATCGTGGTCTTTCCCCAGCTCGGCGCACTCAATGACCTCAATATCACCAACAAGTCTGTCCACCAGGCCGTCATACAGTCGCTTCTGAAATCCATGTCCCAAAGTCGGCTCGACAAAAACCTTCAGAATCTCTTTCGAGCTCCACCGGAATGGGATAATCTCCGTGTGTTGCGGCAGAGCTTGTGGGGAACCCCGCAATATCTCTGCTTTGCTCTCGGAATCGCTAACCTCATATACCGACAGAATAACCTCAGATGTAGGTGAACAAGTAGTGAACTCTGCGCCCTTCTTGATGCAGTGCACCTTTCCAACGGGAAGAGTAATATGGTTCTCCCTAATCTCACGTGGGAAAATGCACGTTCTAGCGTCACGCCGTCCCGATGCAGCTGTGAAGCTCCGCACAGGATGAACAGGTATTTGGCAGTCCAACGGAGAGAAGCCACAGTGTCCTAGTGGAGGCTACCAATATGAGCAAGCTTATGCGTATGAAACGTCTACATGCCGAGTATTCGGGCTCTAACTCCTATAAGCCCGAGCTTCTACCTGGCTAAACGATATTACAGACCACGATGAGCTTTAGGTGTACGCTGATGGAGTCCATGAGGCGCTGAAAAGTGCGTGGGCGCGCGCTTACGAGACAGACTGCTCGCATCTGGCATTACTCTGTTCAGCCAGCTTGGAGCACTTGATGGACAAATCTGGATGTCAGGCTATAATATTCGAAACACATTCGAACCGTCAATTCGGAACAGCGCGGTTGGACAGAATCAACTCGACCGGTTTATCACGGCGAATCTCAATCGACCCTCCAACCTCTCGACCGTGCCGCACCAGTTGGTGCACCTCTGGTTTTCTTCAGCTTGTAAATCTGTAGAATGGTCTTCCCTGCTCCCAGCCAACCGAGTTCTTCCTTCTTCCATTGGCCATGAGAAGCATGGCCAAATCGTTGGTGGACTACTAGTTCTGGTTCCGACTGCCTCTCAGGTATCTCATCGTTCGCTAGCGCTTCATCGACACGGTTTTCGATGGGAGTTGACTCATTGTAACTGAATTGAATCGCCTGTTCAAGCTGGGGGGTTGTTATTCTCGCTATTCTCGGCTGCAGGTTCATTCCTGGCTTTGGGCCCGGTGAGACGTCAGTGTTCGGATTACTTCCTTGGTCACCGACTGCTACTTCGATCCACACTTCTGCTTTGCGAATGGAGTCGGCGTAGATAATGAGCAGCGTGAGAAGCGTTAGCGGCATTGCCACGGCCCAAAATACGAAGAATTTGTCTCCGTATGGACCAAAGGTGTCACCCATCGACAGAATGCCGGAGACAATAGAGATCGGGAGCAAGATGCCGCCCAAATAGCTCACGCGATCCAAACTTTGTTGATTCGCTTTGGAATCCGAGCTCCCATATTTCTCGGTGCTGTCTCCCTTTTTTGGTTGCTTTGGCGTTTTCAAGTCTCGCATAGGAACTCTAACTGTGGTGACGGTTGGATTTAGTTGAATCATCAGCTTCGCCGTCCTTTCTACTCGGTCAAGCAGTGCTTTCCAGTCAGGCTGTGCGTAGTCTCGTAGAGCACTCGACGTTTCCCAGAAGCTGCAAGCATACAGATTCGATTCGAGAGAGCGCTGCATTTGCCAGAATAAGGCGGGCAGGTCAGACGAGCCACGCTGTGTCTCGAAAGACACCACTTCGAGGAGCTCGATCCAGTGGTCGAAAGCGATTCTGGAGAGACATTCAACAAGATTGGCTCTTGGCAATATCTCTTCGCCTAAGGCGTCCCAGAGGCGATGCTGCAAGCTATCGACGTCCTTGCCACCAGGTACGAAATCGAGATGCCAGGCACGCTGCTTACTCGATGTGCATTCGCAAGGTCTAGTCACGGAAAATGGCTGTCGCGCTTTGACGATCAGTGATGAAGGCTCTCTCCACAATGGCCGATCCAAAAACAGGACTGGAAAGAGGTTAGAAGAAAGTAAAATGGATTTTTACATACACCTACCGTTTGTCGTCTCGCTAATCCACAGCGAAGCGCGGCAGAATACAGCCTCATCGCCTGATTTGGATATGGCACACTTTGGCGCATTTCCCATTACATCGGCTTCTGCCGTATCTGAGAGCCGCCGTCCTTCGTTCGACACTGTCGGTTGCAATCCCGTACTCGTGACAAGCTCGGGATAGTCAAAGCTGACACTCCGAATCTTTGCCGCCCGCCTCGACGGACGGTAACTCCGCCTTCTCGCATGGGCTTCAATGAACTCGGCGTCAATATCTAGCTCGCCGCGGAGAACTTCAACATAATTCAGGGGCAACCCGTGTACCACGATCAGGCGCTGGCTGTCTGTTATTTTGCCTGCGTCTAATCTGGCCTGCAGCTCTGCAGCACTCCGGAAGGCCTCTCGAGTGCATGCGTCTTGAGTCCGTTCTATCAAGTAGATGGTGGCGGTCTCGAGTATTTGCTGGGCAAGGCGGTCAGCGTTCTCGTATGGTTCCGAGTCTTGTATCCAAATTTCTGGTGCAGTGGCGACTATGTTCGTCGCCGTCTTCCGGTCGCCTGAGTGAGACCCCAGCTCTGCATTCATCTTCGCCGATGTCGAACGTGACACCCGCCTGCAATTTGTGTTGTGGCTACCGCGATGTGAAGTCCAAAAACCTGAGATCAAAACCAATTATACCACCCAAGTGTCGACAACAACTTGCAGCAGTTAGAAGCCATACATCGAGATGCCACCCGTCTACTGGGCGAAGGACCTTGTAAGTCTGAGGCTAAAGACAGCGACTTATGTGCCTCCATTACACAAAACGCCCCATTCAGAAACATGCTCGGAGAGAAATGCTCTCATGTCCGCCAAAAGCGCGAGTCGTAGTTGCAGTTGCTGGCTAGTGCCGCTCTAGCGTGGGATGGCAGACGCAGATCACCAGCCCGCCCGTCTGTTTCTGGGCCAGCTGATGTGACTTGTCACAAGACGACGCAGTTGTCTTGAGGTCTGGGCACCAAACAGTGCTTCGAGCAAATAAAATGACCTATTGGCGAGGTTCTGATGTTTGGGGAACTAGAAGGTAAGGGTGCGTGCATGTAGCTCAACCAGTGTGATAACAAGTTACTCGTTACACAATAGTTAACCGAGAATCAAATTACGAGGTTTGTCTCTAGTGAAAGTTTAGATGGTTTGGTTTATCTGCCACATGCAACCATCGTCCCAGTGTTCCAATGGCCAAACTGGAAGGAGAAGTGCTGTTTCATTTGGGATTTTAGCACACATATTGGGAAGTAGCTACGTAGTGAGACATGGGTTTCTGCGCTGAGGCGGCTCTAGTGCCGCTCCGGGTTGGGATAAGCGACTGCGCATATCGTCATGGTGCGGAACAGTGTAGGATGGTCGACTCACATGACTCGAAGCGATCAACTTACACCATCACATGATGCCCTGGGCGTCTCCCTGTGTCGTTCATCACACCTTTTGCCAGGAGTTCACCGGTTCCTAAGGAGTTGGGTGCCGTGATACCTTCTTGTCGGTCTTGTGTTCATATTCTGCATGGACATTGGCAAAGACACAATGATAATACCAAGGTCATTCTTTCGTGTTTCATTCCCCGTAAGCGATGTGCGTAATATCTTGATACAGACTCCAGAACTGTACGATTTACCCAAGTACCCATTCCCTTTAAATGAATCTGTAGTTTTGTCTCTAGTCTCCATGTCCCTGATCTGGTTCCAAACTCCTAAAGTTAATATGAATCCCCTCATTCCCCTTACTAAATCTCCTCGTTAAAGTTGCCATCAGACGTGCCTTCAACAAAATAGCTGCTTATCCCCTTCACCCTGCTCACCCCCGATCTTCTCGAAGATCGGCCCTAACATGGGATACCGGAGACCTCTGTCTTGTCTCCTGGGTATTACCCAAAATCCCAACAAGTTGCCTGCACCTGCATATTCTGGGACTTCAATGACCCCTCTGGTTCTGGCGGTAGGATTCTCGCCCGCCTGGGGCCGTCGGAGGCGGTGGCTCTCTCTGCTGTGGATAGCGAGACCAGCTATCTTGTCCGGGTCATAAGCGAACTCCAGCGACCGGTTTTGGCTCGTCTTGAACTGTGCCGGGTTAGGGACCAGTTTCATGAGAAACATTCAAAGTGGGACATACAATCATGAAGCCGATCCTGTTGCCCCGAAGAACACCGATTTCCATTGCTGTCAGCTCCTCACCGGCTTGAAGGCTAATGGGATTCGGTTTCTCTCCTCGGTGGCCGATGGTATGCGTCTTTCCGGATTCGTATGTGAAAGTCATTCCAGCTGGCTCGCTACTGAGGTACTTGTATGATACCTCGATGACAGAAACAGAGTCGGAACTCCCGTCTGCATTGAGATCATCTAGGAAGAGCTTCTCCCGCACAGCCCACTCAGGGACAATCCGAGTCACGGGGCCAAAAACCATGCCTGTATTGGGCTTACCATCACGAGGTGAACAGAGAACTCTAACATGATCCCACTGACGGTTAAAGCCCCAAATGATTCCATTCTACGCCAGTCAGCAAGGTCAATGAACTATGGTACATCTGTGAACGACATACCAGTTTCTCGTACGGATTCTCCCGATACTGCAAACACACCTTACCCTCGACACTCTGCCCTAAAACCTCTTTCTTCAAACCCTTGGACGTGACTAGGCTAATACCGACGATGGGGCCGAATTTGACACGGCTGAAACGGTTAGTAAAGTCGTGCCAAGTTGTCACCTCAACCAGTCGTTCATCATCGTGCATTTCCAAGACCGCGCATTCTGTGATCCACTGTCCGAGTATGAGAGGCACATCAGAGTCCTCGTAGTCAATCCACAGACCCGATATATGTTTCGGTCCACGGGAGTATCCGTTTCTGCCAGCTGAAACACGGATTCGTCGAATACGGGAAAAATTTGCAGACGTGAAGGCGAATCCACCAGCGTGGGCCAGCATTTCCACGGCCGACTTCATAGAATCAGATGTCAATGGTATATGGTGCGAGCTTTCATCCCGGAGAGCCTCTACTTTCACGGCTCCAAGGGTTGCAACCGAACTCCCACCAGTCAAGTCTCGGAAGTAGAATTTTGGTGACTGTTGTGGTCAGTTGTTCATAAAGCTTAATTTGCACACGTTAGAAACATAGGCCCACTGACTTGAATCTTGCTGTACAGAGCTGTGAAGGCATGGTCAGATGGGAGCTGTTTGATTGATCTTGTCAAGTCACGTTCATCGAAACCATTCATCCCCCATAGCAGGAAATTGTGCCTTCTACCAAAATTTGTTGAAACCTGTGGTCAGATGTTAGTTTTGAAGGAGTCCTTGGACGGTATGCGTCGACAGATGCGTTGCGTGGCCAGGGGATTCTAGTAAACTCACTGTGATCTCCGTGATGGTATCATATCTGGTGCTGTGTGCGGTTTCGAGCCTGTTGATGAGCTCTCCTCGGGCTCCCGCGAGTACGAAGGAGTTTGCAACACAGCTGCGGAGTTTACCGCCTCGAGTTGCATATTCTCTGCGTCCATATAATTGCTCTGTACCATCGCTATAGAAGAAAGACATGCCTAAGAAGACGGCTGGGAAATCACCCATCCAAGCAACGACTCTGGTGAGTTGAGCGAGTCGAACTCCATCGTGACCACCGAAGTCCATATTCAAACATAAGTGGAAGAACTGGCGGTGGGATGCCTCAGGGTGCTGCCAGTCAGGACGATCAGAAGGCATGTTTGGATTCCAAATCTCAGCCGACTGTAAGTCGTTTGTCCGCGCAGAAAGAGATGTGCGAGCTACCTTCACGTCACTGGGCTCTTCAAGAATCTGTATAGAGACTAGCTTCCACGCCTGGGTATGCAAGGGTCAGTCATCAGTTCCAAGATATGGGCTGTATAACCACGGATTTCCAGTGCAACAACTTACATCAAGCCCAACGAGAAGTCCAACGCAATGCATGTTGGGGGCTAGAATAAGCTTTGCGAGACCACTCTCCGTGTCGACCATTTCTAAGTTTCCGGTTGTGCATGACCGCGCGCCTTTGGGGCCGTTCAAGTCAAAACGCAAACCGACGATACCTGTAATAGACATGTTCACAGTCAATGCCTCTATAACTTCCCCTGGATGCAAGTCAAAGCTTTGTTCGCTTGACAAGCGTACAAGTCCGGCTCTCGCAACTTCAGCCTCCTGGCTGAGTTCTTCCAGCAGGGAAAGGCGCAATCCGGTGATATAAGTCATGGTTCCCATATGCGCAAAGGAAACTCCAATCCGCGCGGCTTTATGCTCTGAACCGGCGGGCCAGGCGAGCTTCTGTTTCTCGAACAAACGGCATCCGGCGTCAAGCTCGGTTTTAGCTGAAGTCTCGCGGAATGGCGCACCGCCGTGCTCGAAAGTCAGCTCACCCGAGACAGTGTTCCCCGGTATACTACCATCTGATAGTGTGGTCGTAAACGAGCCACGATATGGAGCCTTTGCCAACGATTCCTCATTTTCTAGCCGCAGAGACAGAGCAGGAATCAAGCGACTTAACACATCCCAAATTCGGTGCCTATTTTGGAAGCCTGGATATGCCCTCGGATCCTTCAGCATGGCCTTGGCTTTGGTGTAAAGCTCGCGCCAGTTGACGGGCTCGGGTGGCAGGCAGTATGTACGGTTGGCGAAGACAAAGGACATTTCGTGACTGCCTGCGAACCTGCTGGACCAGAAGGCTTGCGTGAGGAGCGATGGCTGTGAGAGGATGGCGACGTGTCTAGAGGCTAGACGAAGATTGCAGACGTCAGCGGACGGCATGTATTCCAAAACAATCATGGCTATCTCGCTTGGAAAACTGTACAGGGGATCTAAAGAGTGGCGGTCCTCAATGCTGATCATGTTCAAGGCCGGCAGGCTCAGCATGATATCCGACAGAGGCTCTGCGTCGTAGTCGAATTTGTCCCTTGGATCATGGCTGAGATAGAAATACTCGGAATGATACATATGCGTCACCACATCGTGCTCGTCGGGGTTTTGGAACCTCAATGCCCCACCGTAGTCATGCCCAGGGATTAGTACACCCTGGCCATCAGTTGGCGTATTGTACAAGAGAGCGAATAGGTGAGACGCAAGCTTGCTGGGCGCGAGGTCACCATCGGGGTCTACACGACACCTAAGAAGACTCCAGCACACATCGTGAACAGCGAAGCACCAGTACCGACCTGATTCATACCGTAGCTGGTGGGCCGACAGGTTCGTATCTGAATCCAGGTACGAGACGGCCTCATCCGGGTCAGCAATGACCTCGCGGTGGAAATTGAGATACCCGACACCCGTCACAAAGGGCTCATGAACGTATCTCTTTGTTCCAACTAGCGACTGAAGGTAAGCAAAACTCGAAGTTCTGGCCTGGAAACCCGTTACCTACTGCCTCGCACTTCGAAATTCCACAGGAGAGGCTCGTCAACGGTTACGGGCCCACCAAAATGCGGGTCGACCAGCACGCCGCAAAGCGCACAGAATGTGTTGCTCATTGTAGCGTTCGCGGTATTGTTGCCACGGCCTCCAAACCGACGGAGCTGCGAAGGCACCGCAATCTCTGAGAAGTTGACGGGCGTCGAATGTCGGTGTCAACAAGTCGCGGTGCAGCGCGCCCTTGCAGTTGCCTACATGGTCCCGCCCCGCTTCTCCGCCGCCGCCCCTGACCCCAACCAGCCACAGCAGCTGCTTGTAGTCTGCTAGGGCGTTCACTTGTACGGGGAGGAACTAACCACAGGCAACAATCTCCTCCAGTGAGAACATGAGCACTCCTGCGCTTCGCCATGTGTCGGTGACGTCGACTTGTCTTCGTCGCGGGTAACTGAGTCCACTAGAATTATAAATCGTTACCGAAACGAACGTTATTTAGATTGATAGTCACATGCCAAGTTTGGGAAAATGCAGGCTACGCAACATCCCTGTATTCTTTGTCGTGTTTCCTGGACCGAACCTCGAAACATTTCCAAGTGTTTTCCGGGTCTTACAAGAAACCCGTAGGCCACAACTCCTTGAAAATGGCAAGCCCGACAACCACCCCTCATACTGGGCAACGCCGTGGGATTTGAGACAATCAGCGGCAGAAGAATCTACTGGAAATATTCGTCCTTCCTTTGATTCTATGGTCATGGAAGGGGATTCGTTATATTGTTGCATGACGGAATAGGTTAGGCTCATGGGACGATGAAGTGGTTGTGGCTCAGACTCAAGTGTGGTGCGAGAATGAGCAAGCAGAGTGGGAACAAAGAATGCGGGACGGAAGAGATGGTTTATTATTAGATCTCCAGTCGGTGGTTAGGAGTCATTACGGAACGTGCGCTCCTTCTAATTTCGGCTCCTTTGCTGTTTCTGTAAACCCAATACAAAATGTATTGGCAGCAGCTACCATCATTCGATCTGAGAACGTATACTTACGGGCACCACCACAGCATTCTATTCATGCGGTCTGGCTAACCTGAGTAAGATGAGGACTGGGGCTTTGACGAACGGCCGGATCAGCAACACCGGATCTTCCGGCATCTAGCAATGGTCGCATCAAGTACAGAAATCTCGCCGCAGGCCTTCCTAAGATTGTATATCAAGGCACATACCACCGCGGCTCGGTATCTTCCAGAGCCATTCGCCCGCCCTTCTACGTCTTCAAATACTGGGTGAGGAACCAATCCCCACGTGCTTGTCAGATGCTGTGATCCCTTTCAAGAAAACGGCTGCCTCATGATCTACCCGAAGGGCTTGGAGACCCGTAAGTCGTTTGTTCGTGATGAAACACACAGTCTAGTATGAAACAATTCAGCAGAATCAATTGAAATATAGAAGAATCTGTTCAGCATGTATCATCAGTCCTAACCTCCTTGTCCAGAACCTTCCCGATAGTCACACGGGCCGACCTATACACAAAATCTTCACAGCGGCAGGCCCTGCGCGAAGGCGCAAGATTGTGGTTTTGACATCGGGACGGTCGATCAAAAACCTTCAAGCCAAATCTGTCTTATAGCCATGCCCTTTCAGCACCAGATTCCAACACTACCACAAAGCCATTGTGTGACTGACAACGTGGGCGAGACAATGAGATCACCCTCTCCATCTCCATGACGCCCTCCTCAAGACCGAGACGCCTTGCCTGCCACATGGTCAAAGGCGATATGATCTCATAAGACAGTCTGGAACCCAACATATCATCATCGTCACCCACCGACATATCAGCCGATTACTTTCCCTCCTTTAATAACCCCGGCCCCGCAAAACCCACCGCAGACTACCAGCTTCACCCCGTGAAACTTTGCACTCGTTCCGGCTTCGCGGAAAAAATGCATCTAGTCCGGCTTCTGTGCGGGGTACTTTTCTTCTACAACAAGCTCCGAGTCGGCAATGACGCAGTCAAGATCCTCGCCGGCCTATTGTACCTTGCTTCCGGCGGGCCGGTTGTCTCGGTTCCGGCGAACCAGATCATCGTTGACGGGGTGGCTCATCAGCTAAAGCCGAGATGCAATGAGGCTATTCATGATGTGCTGGGCTTTTTAGAGCAGGACGTGGACGCTCATTGGGTGGTGACGTCCGATGGATGAGTGGCTATTTGGATAACGCGTTCCTGATGAGTAGATACTAGACGGGTTCCATCGGAAGTTGTTGGGGGTTGTGTAGAATATAGTGGCTATTACTTCAAAGTTACAGGGCGTTTAATGCATAGGCTGTGTGACGGAGTAAATCAGCGTCCAGTTTTCTGATGGAGTAAAGTTTCAGGATGAAGTCAACATCTGAAGACCGTTTTCCCAATGACCAGCTCCGCTGAGCCTTGTCCTGAAGTGAGCTGATAGTATTGAAGTTGGCCTGTCTCCTTCAAGAACGAAATCAGGGGTCAAATCCAGCATGTAATTCTTTACACTAAAAACTTCAAGGTCATGATCACTGCGCTTCTGGGTTCATAGTATTCTATCACACAATTTGCAGTGTTCCCAAGTCGGGATTCTTATCTCATGGACGACACCATAGCTACCAAGTGTCAAGGGGCTTGCTCATTAGCAAAGTGCACACTAACCCCCTTTCCACCCCAATGACTTCAAGTGTCCCAACTCCCAAATCCTAACATAAAGTCATCAAAACCTCCTTTCCTCCACCATCCGCCAAAATAAAAAAAGTTGTTCATCCCCTCAAATCAAATAGTGCAGTCGCGTCTAGCCAGCTTGGACTCCTTCCTGCCAGTGGCCGCAAGGACCGGCGAAGATTGTACCTGCCGCTTAGAAGCCGCAAGTCCCAAGTCGAACTCCAAACCCTTTCGTATGATACTCTCCGCGGATTCTAACGACGTGGAGCTAGATAAGCTGGCCTCTATCATGACACGCAGGGGTCGGATGTAAAATGAAAAAGACGAGAGTAAACACGAGAAAAAGGTTTTCATAATTATATATACATTATTCTCGGCTTTGATATCACAATGATTGCGTATCCTAGAATATACAGCGCAGTCTGGTAACCCGCCCGAAATTGGTTACCGAACTGGCATGTTTGAGAGTTGGATGCCGCAATTTTACTCCTACAGATGCGCATACCTGCAGTGGAGAGATGTTTGCTGCCTGGTATCCTCATCTTTCCGGCTCGAAGAAAGGACTCCTAGAATTCATGTGCCTGATACTCCATCCCACGGATGTTGTCACGGTTTTAAAAATTAGACTTCATTGACCAGGGGAAAAAAGGAGACATCACATCAATCAGCCTGCTGATCAAAGAGAATAAGATTCCCCTTTCCTAAATTGGCAGGGATCTCAAGTTCAGTTATCAGTTGACTGCTGATCAATGTGTTTCTAGATTTCTATCTGCTTGAAGTCTCATCCATCGTGATACAAAGTCCATGATTAATTACAACTGGGACAGGGCTTCAATAGTCCAGTACCCAATCATAAAACCAATCATACAGTATACATGACACCATGGAATACCCACAAATACCTGATCTGTAGTGAGGCATGTTAGTAGCACCACCTTGTCCTCCATTGCCACCTGTAGCCGTCAGTCATTAAACCCCCTCATGAAAAAAATCGACAACAAAACCCATCTCTCAGTGATCAGTCACTCACCTCCCGGGAAACAGTCACCCATCTTGCCGTGTGTGCAGAGCCTCTAGGTCCGTGGACAAGTCGGCATACCCCTTCGTCTCATTTCCAACAAGCTCTCGTCGAATTCATGATGGCAAGTATGACTGCCTCTGAAGTCATTTCCCTGTTTTCGGTTGGATCAGAGCCAGAGCGTTTACACATTTCAGTCAGCCGTTGTCACCAAAACACCCGCCAACAAGTCTCATCCACGAGTTGCGTAAACTTTATCATTTATGACGCTTTAGGTACAGAGTTCAGCGACATTGCCACAACGGTGTGTTCTTATACCTCTCTCTTCCCTAACAAAATCGGAAGACTGCCTCACCTCCATGAAACTCCTAGTCCATCAAACGCCGTTGTTAAATGCATGAACGATGCTCTCTTCCTGTGCTGTTCCGCCCCTTAATCCCTTGTATCCACCGTCACATTTCGCTTTGGGAATGAATGATAGAAGTGAAAAAGCTGCAAATGCAACATTTTTTTTTTGGTTGTGTCGGTCGTAATACAATCCACATCATCTTAAAAAAACAGCGTTGAACATCTAGATGTGTGAGTGACGACGGTGACGGGAGGATTAAAGACGGTTAATCGATGCCCGTAGCAGATTCGGGAAGGGTCAAATGTAAAGGCCGCATATACTTGACGGTGAATATCACTGCTACGAGTCGTATGCAGTTGAGCTTTGACTGTCATAATGATCGTCGCCTTCGTGGTGTAGCGTCACACTGTTGAACTCCTCGAAAGGATCGACGGCGGGTGAGTCGGCACCCGGAGTTGCGAGTCCACTATCGAGAGGAACACCTTTCAAGTTCATGTTCCTCGACCCGCTGATGTCACAGCTCTCGCTCTCCTTTACATTGCGGAAGTTGACCGTGTCGGAATCACGGCTGGTGTGGGGAATAATGGGCGGCTTCATGTGACGAATCAGAGCCCATTGTGTCGTGCGGAAGAAAGGATGTCCCTTTATGTCGGACGCCCCTGCTCGAGCTCCCAGCCTCCGAGTCTCATCTTTGATAAGCAATTTTCGAATCAGGGATTTACAAAGACTGATTCTTGTCAGTGGTTGCTGTCATGGCTTCGCCCCGAAATTTGACTTACTTGGAAATCTGGGGGGCACCAGAATGTTCGGGAAATGGAATTTCTTCCCGCAGAATATTTGCAAATGTAGCATTTCGGTTCTTGCCTTTGAAGGGTGTGGTGCCGTAGAGCATTTCGTAGACGAGGATTCCGAGGGTCCACCAATCCACCGCGCTGGTATGCCCGCTGCCTTTGATGACTTCGGGCGCAATGTATTCTTCGGTTCCCACGAACGAGTTCGTCCGGAAGTTCGCAATACATGACTTCGTGTCTATCGTGGGTAACGAAGAGGTGCTGGCGCCGTTCTTGCCCATGATCATCGTGGGCTTACCACCCGGGTCTGACTGTTTCGACAAGTCGAAGTCCGAAAGCATAATGTGTCCAGACTGGTGAAGCAGAATGTCTGGTGAGATGTTAGTGTCGTCTGTCAAATCGCCTCTCAACTCTTTGCGACTTACTCTCTGGCTTCAAATCCCGATAAATGAATCCCATCAGATGTAAATACTCGAGCGCCGCTGTGACTTCAGCTGCGTAAAACCGTGCATCGTCTTCGGGAATGCATTTGCCTGGACGTGTCTGTAGGGCTCGGAAGAACTCTCCACCACTACAATACTCCATGCAGAGATATAAATAATCTTCCGACTGGAACGAGTGATACAGTGTTACAATGAAGGGGTGGTTGCTCGTCGCGAGGATTTCCTGCTCGGCCAGAGCTCGCTTGATTTTATTGCGCTTAATCATCTCCTTCTTGCTTAGCACTGGATGAAGTCAGTGTGGTCACTCCTGGCGTCCAATCGCGAGCTGGCTTACCCTTCATGGCATAGAGCCTTGTGCTCTTCTTCTCCCTGACGAGATATACCTTGCCTACATCGCCCTTTCCGATAAGCTTGATCTTGTCGAAGCTGGCGGGCCCTACCTCAACGTTGCGAACCTTGATCGAGTTGGAGCTGTACGTCCTTCGGAAGGCAAGAGGACTCTTGGGGGAAGGCAATGCGCCGAGCCCGTCTCTATCGGGCACAGCTAGGCCTCCGGCATCGTGTGGCGTCTTATTGTCTGCAAAGCCGAGACTTGCAGTGTCATCATTTCCAACAACTAAAGGTTCTTTACCCAGTTCTGCCGTAGCTGGTCGCTCACCGCTGCCGTTACTCTTGGAGAAGAGGCCTTGTGCGTTCGGAGCGCTGGCAACCCTGCGCAGTTTCCTGGCGAGTTCTTCTTTGGTCGCATTCGTCGTGGCTTCAGCTTGTGACCCGTCAGGCCCGTCAATTTTCAAAGTGGGAGTTTCTGGTGGACTGGGGGGCACCGAACCCTCATTGTGATGTCGCAGGCCGGGCTGGCCTTGGAGTGCATAATACGGGTTCGCATGGGCCGTCGGGCTCATGGCCTCGTCGAGGGGGTTGCCTTCGCTCGCCGTCGTGGTCGCGCGGAGTCGGCCGACGGAGCTGAAAAACTTTGTGTTGCGGAAGCCATTGCTCTTGCTATCGTTGTTTTTTAATGAGCCATCAAGGCCCTTCTCGGAGCTGTGAGACTTGGAATCGCTGGTGCTAATGCGGAAGAAGTTCTTCAGCTTCTGGTTGAAGTTGCCGTTGGGCGTCTTGATGGATGGCATCTTGGTTTCGGTCGCAGGGTCATGCGAGTGCCATGTTGCGAACCTGTTCTTGAAAGGGAAATGGCTGCGACGACGGACCGGATGGTTGATGGGTGGTGAGACCGGCGGAGGTTGTGTCGGCGAAGAGGGATTGGAGTTGGACATGGCCACGGCTCCCTGGTCAATTGCTCACGAAAGCTCCTGGTCCTCGTTTAGCGGTGCACGACACGATTGGTAATCGGTGCCTTGGGTGCCTTGGGTGCCTTGGGCGGTAGATGCTGGGCTTGCTGGGTCTGGGCTTCGCCTGAACAGACTCGCGTTTGGACCTATTCTGGTTAGGCAATTGGGTGGGCTGGCGCGTTCGCGGAATCTGCCACCGACCTCCGAACCTTTCAGGTCGCCTCTCTCTCTCAAAATGCCGTCTCCTCAATGAATGAGGGGGGAGGGGTGGTGCGGTTGAGCACCGGCTTATTGCAAGTACATCGTCGGTACCCGGAAAGACGTATCGTTGTCGGAGGGGGTCTCAGAGGCAGGGAGATGCAAGCGACAACGATCCACAGTGTCCCGACGCGCGGGATAGGGGTCAATGGGGGAACAAAATACGTATGACTAGAGAAAGGCTTTATGCAGCGTGCTGTGGTGTTTCAAGACGATCAAATGTTGGTGATGGGTTGCAGAAACACATTGAACTAACTCATTCGCCAAAGAAGGTGCATCTGCCATTTGCCATTTGCTGCTGGGGTAAGCACCACTTGAATCACCCCATTACTCGATCGGATTCCACGATTTCAAAGTGGAACACCCTTAACAATAATAGAATTTCCATACAGAGCTATTGATCATCTCGTTTGGTGTCACTGAACAATGGGCGTATTATCCTCGGCAATAACACTCGCTGGCGGGCTCCAAGTGTTGTCCCGACACGCCACAATTCCACACAGCCCCCTTTGTTTTGTCACGTTTAAACACCCCTTGCCACGACTCCCCATCCTCATTACTTCATCACTCAGCCTGACTAAAAACAATGCAAAAGAGGGATCAGTGTCCTGCATCATTAGTCGGTAACTCATGATACTTGGTCAACAAACACGTTGTACCTGGCATCTTGAATCATTCCCAGACTAAGGTCCCATAGCATCCGCTTGGCCCGCCTGTCAAAGTGGATGAAGCCAGCCGCCTGGCCCAAAGCCTGTCGCCACTTCGCCAGCTGCCTTGTCTTGGTACTAGACCTTCCTATTTTGGAATTGTAGTTACTAGAGCCCTATTGTCACCAAACTGGTAGAAACTGCTCATTGCCTGTTAAATTTGCATTCAACTTGGCAAGGACACGGCGTGTCTTACTCACCTCATTGACAACTGTCTCACTAATCCGGTTCGGTGCTTTTAGCGTTTTCTCATAAACTCCTACCTTCCTAGATGCAAGACAGTTAGCTTAGAATATCTGGATTCAATGGCATCTGCACCTTATAGGGTTTGGCAAATAGTGAAAGAGATTACGGGCATTAAATTTAGCAAGGTTTGGCGGGTTGTCTGAAGTTCAGCTTCGGCTTTCCCTCCATCCATTACAAGAGATCCAATTGGACTAATGACTCAGCTCAACAGGTCATTTGCAGATAAGACTGCTAATCTCATCAATGGCGGAACGTCACCGTTGTGTCTTGGAATAAGTTCATATGTAATTCTGTTTGATCTGTGTCTTTTGCCTCAGGCACAGAAGGACGCTCCAACCGATGAACGTCATTGCGTCATCGGTGAATAGTGGTGGTTTGTTGCACCAGCTTCTTGAGAATTTCAGGCTATCTCTTCTCAAGAGGGTGTTCACTGAGTGTATTCTGCCGCCAATTGCTGTTGTAGCAGAAGCACCGTCGACGGACTCAGTCGTAAGACGATTAATTACGACCAGACCGCTCACCATGGACCTCCAGACACTTGTGTGGCTGCAGGTACAGGCAGATGTCAGTGGTTGGTATGGGTGATGGTCGATGTGCGTGAAACAGAAACGACCGACCACCCATAAGAGTCATACCACTGGAACCCCTTGCAGGGATACAGTGGATAACTAGCACCCTTCGCTGTTCCCTGCCTTTGGAGCTGGTGTTTTAAGATGGGCGTTGGGAGTCGCGAGGATCAGCCGTGAGGATCAGCCGTGGCCACGAACGTCTTGTACGTTAGTGACCAGGAAATATAGGCATGCCAGATCTCAGATCTCCGATCGAGATATGCTGTTATTTTGTCCCCCTTCACCAGTGCCGAGCAGCTGCGCCTTCCACTCGTTCTCATCGGGCGCATTCTCATCAGCCTGACGTCTGATCTCACGTAGCTTCCGTTTCCTCTCCAACATCCCCTTGGTATCCTCCAACAGCTGGTCCTTGACCGACGGTGTGACCTGCTTCCCATCCTTGTCGAACAGATGAGAGGGCAGCTTGTTCCGATCATTCTTCAGCGTCCATATGCCTTTGTTCTGAGGCCCATCGCCCGCATGCCATGCGTAGGGCACGAGATGCGCCTTCTCCACGTGCTTTCGGAACTCTTCCTTAACCACAAACTCGGGCGGTGTCTTCTGCTGGCCGCACTTTCCCCAGAAACAGACTAGTGGTTCTGCATCTCCGTGGATAAAGTAAACGTGTTTCCGTAAGGTCTCCATGTTTTGTAGCTCGGCGGGACACCTTTTGTTCGTGGATTCCTGCCATTCGCAGCCGAAGGACAGATAGCCCGGCTTGGACCGCAGATACCGTTGTTTGATAGCAAGACCGGTTGCCTGTGGCTGCCGGCCACGCCTCCTAGTTTCCGTCCCGTAATTCCTAGAGGCGGCCTGTTTGGGCCTGTCCTTGCTCCAGTCCTTCGGCGTCGGGTTCCCTCGCATTGCCGCGTACGACATACCTGGCTTCCATCCCTTTGGACGGCCACGTTTTGTGGAAGTGCCTGATTTACTAGTCTTAGCATTGCTGGAATCCACAGCAATTGCCGCCAAGCCTCCTGCGCGTGGAAATGGCGTTGATAGTGTCCCATTTCGAGAGCCACAAACCAAGTCTGGTGACTCTGTTCCTTCATTCCGTGAATAAAACTTCGGTGTTTGTGGTGCCGCTGATGACTTGATGACCACTTCTAGACGCGACCTGGCTGGCGATGCCTGCACAACTTGAGATGCATGTGATTCTGGCTGAAGGGAATTGGTTCGTGGGGACTTCGAAATGTCCGAAACAACAGGCATAGCCATGCTGACTTCTTTAACTTCCTCCATATCGTCCTCGGAGGAATTTTCTGTGATCTCGTTCTTGCCTGCATAGTCGTCCAGAATCATTTCGTGGTCACCCACAAGATCCCCATTAAAAGGCATTGCGTTGGGACTGCCAGACGGATTAATTAGAGAGAAAGCCACCTTGCGTAGAGTAGAACCTTAATGTGAGCATTAATAGAGATGTCTACTACGGAGTCGTCCTATCCCCATTGATTGTTAAGGTAGATGCTTAAAAAGTAGAGTCGTAGGTGAGAGGTGCCTTACGGAACGCGCCAACACGCTTGTACAATCAAACTTTACTGCTTAGTGGCAGGTAACAAAGTAATTATATGTTACCGGGTAGCTGGCTACGCCGGATAAACTCTAGGGGGTTAACAAATCTAAGGTACAGTCAGGCTCCGTAAGTGTGGGGACCACTTTACGCTAACACGAAAATTCGCGCACACGTCTACGATCACCACATAACTTCCTCCCTCAAAGGTATCAAAATGGACTCAAATTGGACTCAAATTGGACCGAGTTTATCGCAGAGCTGATGGCAGACTATCAAAAGGCACTGTGCTTCGTGTCGTTCAATACGCGGCCCCAATTACTACTCTAACCGCATTGACCACCTTTTTGCATGCACCCCCATTTTGCAGGGAATTTCTACGCCTCAACAACACGACGTCTCTCAATTTACCTCGCAATTGCTCCCTATCTACGTACAAAATGGCTAATCCAGTGGAGAATAGTCTGGACGATTTTGAGCAGCGAATCTAACGCGCTAAAGAGCTTGTCCGTCAGGGCTCTTCCCAGGCCGTAGCAGCTCATCGGTACGGTATTAAGGGGACTACACTGTCCTACCGTATTCGTCACGGTAATTCGCATCGCGACGCGGCCTCCAGGCAACAAAAGTTGACTCCAGAGCAAGAGGAGGTTATCGTGAACTGGATCCTACACGAAGAAGTGTGTGGACGGGCTCCTAGCAAGCGTTATGTGGCCGACTTCGCTGCCGAAATCCTCCTTGCTCAAGGGGATAACAATACACTCGGCCAACACTGGGTGGATCACTTCGTTAGCCGCCATCCACAGATACGTACCAAAATTGGGCGCGTCGTAGATGCTAGCCGAGTTAGAGCGTCCGATTCGAACAAGATCCGAGACTTCTACACCCTCCTCGAACGCTTACGTACGAAGTATCGTATGAAACCCGACAACGAGTATAATATGGATGGGACAGGTGTCCAAGAGGGGGAATCTGGGCATGGTACGGTTATTGGGACGTCTAATTCACGCTGGGTACGCGTATCAAAGTCGGACGCTTCGTCGTGGTGCTCCTGGTTAGAGTACATTTCGCATACCCAACGGGGTACACCTGTCTGCGTATTTTCCGGCAAGAGAGTCCAAGCACAGTGGTTCCCAGACCAAAATATCCCTGAGTGGGAATACACCGCGACGAGTAAGGGCTGGAGTAATAAAGTTATCGCAAACAGGTGGTTAGATCAGGTTTTTCTCCCCGAGACGAAGCCTAGGGGTACCGAATGGCGACACCTTATCCTCGACGGCCACCAGATACATATTCATGCCGAATTTATGTGGAAAGCCTACTCGAATAGAGTCGCCGTGCTGTATTTACCTCACACTGCAGTGACGATCTCCAGCCGTGCGATGTCGGGCCTGTCACGCCGCGCTAGGGGTTGCAATCCTTGCCACTACGCCACCGTACCAGGTGTCTTCACCAAAAGAGACCAATACCAAAGTCCCTGACTTTGGTATCTGCAACCACTTATCAATCTGTTCAGACCAGTGTGGGTCAATCACGTGACAACCGTCACAATAAATAGTCTAGGATTAGAGTTTAGTAAGTCGATTATACGTCGCTATCTTAAAGCTTATACAATATGTAAATATTTATTATTAAATACGCCGTAGGCTCGAAGCCCCTGGTACCTCTACAAGTGCTCCCGTATGTCAAACCGTGCCCTAATGGCTGGACTAAATACATACGCTGCTACGTAGGTTCGCTCTATTAGCGACTGCGTTACGTCCACCACAATACTGTGTTAGTTCTCACCCTACTAACAAAGTCCCCCTGAGAAAATATGTAAATAAATATCATAGAAGCGCATTTTGCCTGTAAAAGAGAAAGTAAAAGATCATTACAAGTATACTTATTATGGCTTAAAAATATCGAAGAATTAGTAACAGTAAGACCTCTAGCGTAAGTAGAAATCCCTTACTAATTAAGGCCTTAAATAATATTTTAGGACGAGTCCTCTATTTAAAGTTGAGAGAGAGAATCAAGCCCCTCGGTGTCATAGCGCTGGCGATTACAGAGCCACAGACTGCTGTATGTAGCAGTTAGTGGGACTAAATGTCAGTGATCTGGCAAAGCCCACAAAGGTTGCCTAACAGTAGCTAACTATAGTGTCCTTTAGCAGTTTGATGTTTTAGCGGGGTGGTCCCTAGACTTCTGGAACATGACTGTGCTTACGTCAAGTGCTACAGAGTGTGAAGGTCAACCCTCGCAGACTCACTACAACCAGGTGACTTACAGCTGGAACACCTGCCTTGGCAGTGCCAGATGGGAAGCCAATCATAACCCCTGCAGGAGCCCCGCCAAGCGTGGACGACTCAGTCGCGCTCCCTCAAACCTAAGTTTGTGATCTTCTTTCCGGCGCTCCTTAGAGTAGAATCTTCGTCGATAGCACCTAATCGAGGTCTCTACCAATGCGATGCAACCCAGGTCGTGACACAGAGTAACCAAGCACTACGCCTTGAATTTTCCAACCTCACTTCCAGGTAGTGTCGCTGCTTGTGACGTGGACATGGGCAGCTTTCTCTGTATCTTCATTTTAAAGATGCAGTTCATGATCAATTCTCTTCGTAATTATCCTCGTAACAGGAATCAAATTGAACCGCTCTCCAGATTCATGTCCCTTGAATGAACCGGGTTAAATTGTTAAGTCAAGCATTCAACGGGCTTCGCGCCTTCGGAGTCCGACATTGATGTCATTTATAATCTTCCACATGGCTTCACCACAGCTCAAACGTATTATAAATCATAACTTGCTCACTTGGGACCAGTGAAGCGATCGGTGGTTCAGGGTCAGGTGCATTAGATGAATCGAAGGCGCAAACTCATTTTTTGCGTATAATAAACCTCGACTGGTAATCTATCTGTCAATTTCCAGTCTCTACCCCTGTCAGTGATTCAGAAACTCACTCGTTTCCATTATCCACGACCCCCGACTTTAATAACAATGTCTTCCAAGCTCTTCGCAATTGTCATTGGCGCTGGCACGGGTACAGGTCAGTAACCAATATCAAACTTACGCTATCCAATCTCTTCGCTACAGCTTACATAATGTCCAGGCCGCTCATGCGCTCTTCGCTTCGCTAAAGCCTACCCAGTAGTCCTCATGGCACGCACGCCGACCTCCTATCAAGACACCGTGAACGAGATCAACTCGTCAGGCGGCAAGGCCATCGGCATCAGCGCAGATGCTGCCGACGTCGCGTCTATGGACTCGGCCTTCGAATCCATCAAGACCGACATGGCCGGCTTGAGGCTCGCGGCTGCAGTTTATAATGTGTCGGCCGGATATGGCGTAAAGGCGTTTCTCGAGACCAAAGTTGAGGATTTTGATGCTAGTGTGACGGGAAATGCGTAAGTCCAAGTACCTAACTACCTATCTTAATTTATTCTAGGCTTGCCTGTCTTCATGGGAGACCGGAGTCTGACATGTTGATGCAACAAAGTGGAAAGCTCACCATGACCATGAACACAGACGAGGGTTTTTCCTCTTCGCCCAGAAGACAATGCCACTTCTCCTGGATGCCGTCGGAGCAGGACAGTACCCACCGACCTTGATAGCCACCGGGGCGACAGCCGCAGTTCGTGGCTCGGCCAAGTTCAGCGCCATGGCCTCGGGAATGTTTGCTAGACGGGCGCTCAGTCAATCGCTTGCGCGCGAGTTCGGGCCCCAGGGAGTACACGTTGCTCACGCCATCATCGACGGTGGGATTGATGTGCCGAGATCTAAGGGATATGTCATGAATAACGGGGTGGTGGACGGCAAGCTCTCTCCGGACGCTGTAAGTCTTCACAAGTGGCAATCGAGCCGGTTGAGATGACTGACAAGGCTAGATCGCTGAGAGCTACTGGCACTTACATACGCAGCATCGCTCGGCTTTCACTCAAGAACTCGATATGCGGCCATTTGTCGAGAAGTTTTGAGTGACGAGGTGTGTGACGGGGCGCCTTACACATTTGGGTTCTTCGCAGAGGCAAACGTGGAATAGGAGCGAATGGTGCCAGACGTGGCTAGTTGACTTGTACGACCTATGTAAATTCGATTCAATCTGAGCCCACTTCTCTGGCGACCTGCCCGTTATACTGCCCAGCTCGCATTGAGGGGCGACGGGAGGCGCTGGGATGCATACCGTCACATTTGTGTTGCATAGACTTTACCCCTTGTACAGGGCGAAGTGAAGACCCGCCCCTTGGCGCGTCTCTTATCGTGCCTCATTTCCAAGTCAGATGCTATCGGCTTGGGAAAGCCGAAGCTGGCGCGGGAAGACATCAAGAGCCTGAAGCCTTCGCGGCGCCGTCTCCAGTATCTGGAGGAACGGTGGGCTCCGTGTAGCCGTTCGCAATACCTAATCGCTCTTCCTCCCTCTTTAGACGCAGAGCCTCGGTCTCTCTCCGCATCTTCTCTAGATTCCAGATGCCGTCGTCTTCGTCATCATCTCCCTCATCATCAGAAGCAGCCTCCTCGGTAAATCTCCAATTGCCACTCTCGAAAAGTGCACGACCAGTAGCCTCCTTGGCCTTTCGGGCTTGCTCTTCAGCAGCCTTTTTGTCTAGACGATCCTGCTTCCACTTGGCAAAGCTCTCTGGTGTCACGGGTGTGAGGGTTCCGGTGAGCTTGTGCCTCTCGGACTCCAAAAACTCTTCGAGCGTTAGCGTCTTTAGGGGGGACTTATCCATAAGAGCTTTCTCAGCGGCCCGCTGTTCTTTGGTCTTGAGAACGAAGCTAACGACACATTTTAGCAATAGTATCACAACATAGTAGTGTGATGAGCTTACCCTGGTGGAAGAGCATGTTTGTATTTGCACTTGTCGCCTCCGTTTGGACATATCCAGAACCAACCGTATTTGCCATTCTCGATGGCGTCGATGAAGAACTTGCAGACCTTGTCGGTAGAAGTCTGCTGGTTTCCCTTCTTAGACAGGACAACTGTCCGCAGTTTCTCTTCGTCCCAATCCTCAGATGTCTCTTGCTTTTTCTTCTCCTCTTCCTCAGCTCTGCCATCTGTGTACAGGTTTCGCTTCTCCGTCTTGCGCTCCAAGCTCAGGTCGTGGGCGAACTTGCATTTCTTCCCCTTCTCACAGTTGCCTTTCTTGAAGAAAATACAGACAACTGTCTTGGGGTCGACGCCGAAGGGGACCTTTTGGATCTGGGCCGGCTTGTTCATCAACTCATCCGCCTCCTTCTTGGCATCTTCGGCGGCCTTCTTCTCTCGCGCCTTCTGCTCCTTCAATTCCTGCTTGCGCTTCTCGTCGGCACTGGCCGACAGAGATGAGGATATTTGCTTAATCTGTCTCTGTGCGGCGGATCCTTTTTTGTTCTTCATGCCGAAGGTCCGGTCCTCGACTTGCTTGGACGCCGCGGGCTTCTTGCCCTTGCCCTCATCCTTCTTCCCTTTGGGCGGCATGGTGACTGTTGCGCTCGAATTTTTGGTGTGTGTGAAGTTCGAGTTATGTGATGGTATTTACTGTAGTAGAATGAAGTTGTCAAATTCTGCGAGGAGTTGCCTCCTGGGGAGTATTCGCACTGAATAGACTGGTGGGTTGTGGGGCACGGTCTTGACTTCAGTGACCTCAGTCTTCAAATTGGTTCGGTTCGTCTTGCTTGGGGGGGTCAAAGTTTGAGTCGCATTGCTTTGCCACAACTGGGAAACAGTGGCTCAAATGTGGCTCCCTGACCATCTAATGCTCAACTTGTCCTCTGCGACGCGCAATCCAACCAAGCAATCAACTAAAGCTTCACAACGTCCATCTGGGTTTCCTTTAGTCCACAAGGTGTGTTTCTCGCAAGCTAGCCACCCTGCTATTTCCCAAATAATTAATTGATCATTTTTGTTCCAGGCTCAGCGCATCGCATAAATCCGACTGCACAATCTCAGAGCTCCTTTCAGCAGAGCTGCGAACCGCAATCATGATTTCCGACGACGACCTCTACCGCCTTGCCATCTTCCTTGGTTCGGTGGCCATGGTTCTCATTGTTGTCTATCATTTCTTTGAAGTCAACTCGGAGGATAGCGCGCTGGCCGAGAAAGCTGTCAAAGTACAGCCTGCGCAACAAGCCCCGGCCGTGGGAAAGCAGTCGAACGTGGCAAAATGACCAATTGAGTAGGAGGAAACCTTGCACATCACTCAATCGGGCGAATTTAGGAGACGTTGCGCTGTGAAGGACAGCTTTAATCATCTACTGGCTACTATCCGATGGAAGCGAGAGACGGTTACGGGATATGAAGGCTAGCACGATACCCCGGACCAACACTTCCATATCATTCACACAAAATGGTTATATGGATACCCCAAAACGTACCTATGGAACAGCACCCAAATCAAGCTCGAGAGAGTCCCTGCTCTGGAATGTAAACTCTGCGCTCGGATCGTGAAGAGCTTTTCGGGGACCGACCTGACATAAATATCATAGAACAATGTCTGCAACGACTACATTCAAGAATTGTCTGTGATTAAAGAGGAATACGCTGGTGCATTGTTAAAGAGGTGGCCCTTGCTGTTCTTAGCAGTCTCGATGTGCCATATTCACGCGGAACAAGAAATGTCCCACCACACCTACTCTCCAAATCTATGACAGCTTTAGGCCGGACCTTGATACAAGAGAAATGTTAAGACCTTCAATGCTTCCGATCATATAGCTAGACTGCCTAAAAGATACCGTATGCTGAAGGATATTTTTCGTCTGGAATAACTTGCGGATTTGCTGGGTCTCGATGTGTGACTGCCATATGAACATAAGTCGAATGTCCTCGTCTTCAGTTATATTACCAAAGCACTAGAATCAGCAGCCACAGTTCAACTTATCCAAAACCACCTGAACCAACCCCCTCTGTCAACGGTGGCTTTCCTCCCAAAAAGCCTTTTGTCTCTTCGAAATCATTCACAATGCCTTTCATCAACGTCACCGCTATTACGGCCTTGCTTATCCCAGTTTTGGGCGTGAACCCAAACCAGTTCACGAGACCCGGCTGCAAGGCAACCAGCGATTCTACAAAGCCACCCCGGACGAGGTCCAGGCCTATGAGATTGTTACGCTCGCTGATCTTGAAAAGGGATAATTCGTCAACATTGGACTAAGTCACAGGCTGGTACGACAGTTACTTCATCTCAGGAGGATGAAGTGGGGGTAGAGGAGTGCTATCAGCAATGCATCTAGGTGAAATTGAGGTTGTATCTCGTCAACACAAATCATACCGTGGTATTCTACCTCTGTTATGCCGTTCATTTCGCTACTAACCTGTAAGTAATCGCTTGCTTAGTAGAGGATGATGTCAGCAGAAATGGGGAATAATGTAGGATAGTCTGATTTTCCAGTGTAGTTAGTAGAAAGAAGTAACCTGGCTATTTGGTTACTACGTAATCTTTGTGACTGCCTACTTTAAGTGGACCCCGCCATGGCCAATCCGGTTTGGGATTAATGCACAGCCCCTGGCGACCTCAGGAAGGTACGGTGCGCTCATTGTCCCATTCCCTCAATTTCCTTCGCGACTTCTGCTTCTGCCTTCTCATCGCATCCCCCATCACCAACAACATCAACCCACAACTGAAGATCCGTCGTCAACTCTGATAAAACTACTTTTCTTCTTACACTGGCTACACCCAACTTCGATAGCCGAACTAACATATTCTGTTTTAATCCAACTTTGCCGACGAGACGACTTTGACTTCGTCTTCGCTGCTGCCTGACTCGACGCGCAGCAAACATCACATACATTGCCATCAACTCATTTAACGCTTCTCTTCCGCGCACAGCTTCACGAAGAGTTCACCTCGCCGCCATCATCATTCTTCCCATCCATCAAACACCATCCAAAACCAATCCCACCACAATCACGATGTCTGGAAAGCTCAATCAGTCCCTTGACGAGATCGTCTCGACCTCGCGACGCCAAAGCAGTCGCCGCGGCGGTAGAGCTACACGCCGCTCCATTGGACGTCCCACCACCACTGCTCCGGTTGGTGGTGTGCAGAAGATCACTCGCCCACCCCGAGGCGCTGCTCCCAAGCAGGCTCCTGCGAAGGCAATCGGAGGAAATGGAGAAAGTAAGGTTGTTGTCAGCAACCTGGTAAGTCATCATCACGTCCACTTCATTTGATCGCACACGCTGACAACCTGTCAATCAGCCTAAGGATGTGAACGAGGGCCAGATCAAGGTATGTTTCCGCTGAGGCTTATCAAGCCGGTGGAATTTCATCGACATCTCCCATGAAACGCGCGCGCGTATTCTAAACGAACGCACGACCGACGTCGTGATGTGATCCGTTCTCGCAAGAGAAGTGTTCTACAACCAGCCGAACAGGCTCTGTCGCGTAGCCCAGTCTCCTTCCTTCACAAACGCGCTCGCATACAGCGATGTTTTCTAGTCGGAAGTTGAGCAGGTCCTTGTAATAAGCACAAAAGTGTCGTCTCCTGGAAGGCTTGGCAACCTCCATCGCAGACGGCAAAGTGCAGACAAGTTGACTATGGCGCTATTTGACATGCAAGACCTGTGGCTGAGGTCCATGACTTCCCCTTCCGGATGAATTCGCCGATGGTCCGATTATGCAATACTTGCAACCAACAGCGAGCACAGCAGTGAGCAGCAGCACGAAGAATTTTATACGCTAGTGGGTCATGATTGGTGGTTCTTTCAGAAAGCGCGGTGGTGGTGTATGGTGCTTTTGATACCCAGAAGAGGTTGCTTCCATGACAGCACCTCAAACATGACCGGCAACGAGATGCTGGGATATACCGAACAGCGTACAGCCTTTCTAGGGCTGACGCAGTATCAATATCTTCAAACCAGTTGGTCTCGCGGGCTTTGGGGTTGCTTTCAAAATATGTCGGATGGATTCTCGAGAGAGTGGCTGGGGATCTCTTTGGGGTTCATACCGTCTGTCTCTTGTGCAGGGACACCGCTGCTGACGGCTCTACTAACGCTCACTGTGTGCTCGTTGATGGTATTCCTGATATGTGTACGGCTTGGGATGACTGGTTTTGGCTACGTCGGTCGAGGTCCGAAACTCAAAGTTCGAAGCGATTTACTGCGGCGCTACTATCACCGATGGATATTCAGATCACTAACATTACATTTCCCTCGATAGGAGTACTTTAACAGCTCGGTCGGTCATATCAAGCGAGTTGAGCTGTCGTACGGCCCTAACGGCGTGAGCCGTGGTATTGCCTCTGTCACCTTCGTTAAGGCAGATGGTGCTCAAAATGCGTTCACCGCTTTGAATGGCCTTCTAGTCGACAACCGACCCATCAAAATTGAGATTGTTGTCAGCGCGGCCAAGGCTGCGGAGATAATTCCTCCCACCAAGACCCTTGCTGAACGTACCTCTCAACCGAAGTCACAGCCTAAGTCGGCCGCTCCGAACAGAAAGAAGGAGACTGCCGTCAGGGGTGGTGGCGCTAGCGGTGCACGCGGTGGACGTGGCGGCAAGAAAGAGGCACGACCCCGCAACGGTCGACCTGCGAAGAAGACCGCTGAGGAACTCGATTCCGAGATGGCCGACTACTTCGATTCAGCAGCTAACCAGAATGAGAACACCAATGGTGCCGCCCCCGCTACCAATGGCGATGCCCCCATGGATGATGGAATCATGTGAACGGAATGCGAACGGTTCTCCAGCAAACGGCGTCGATAATGATTCTACGGGGTGGACGGCAGGGTCTGTATCTACCGGATCTGGGTTGTGCAATCCGGATCATTTTCTCATTCCTTTCACAACTAGTTACACGCGACTGTTCTTCCCTTTTTCAGATTGAAGTGGACGAGGAAAACTAGGAACGATGGATGAGCTTTCCATTTGGAGTTGGTTCTGGTCACACGCTTAGGATTCAGGCACTCGTAGATAGTGACGGATAATGTGCATGAAGATACCACTGATACCACAATGCGGCCCTCTCTTGTGTGTAATAGAATGCGATGCCGCTCGCTGTCGATGCCCTTCTTTTCGTTGTTTGATTTACTGATCTTGCTTAACATATACTGTCCCTCCCATTCGCTGCCGCCTGAAGCTTGCAGAATACAGACCACAATACCTGGATTTCCACCCACTCCTACCACTTATCGACACGAACCCGTATGAAGCCAATCTTGTGCCATCTTTTACAAGTTCGCTATGAGCATATTCAATTTCAAAGGCCATAGTAAATGCAGCAAGATCAGATTTCTATGAAACGGCCTTTGCCAAACTAACAGTCGGCTGATCCAGAATGCCAAATAGAAGGGGAGGCTCTCCCGGAATGGCTTACATCACACACCACTAAAGGATGCACACAAAACCCAAGCCGCGTAAGAATAGGAGAGGATGAAGGCCATAGAAACACTATTTATTCTTATACCAAATCTATTACCGTGTCCAGTAATCCGTATCTACAGCCCGGCACTGTGTTCTCAAGCCTACAAATGCCATCATCAGGTGTACATCAGATTTCATGGTCAAAATACTCTCCGATTCGTGTGCGTCATCCATGTATGAAACAAGTCCATTCGCCTTAACGTTTTCAACAAAATCGCTGTAACCGCAACCTAGTACTAGCTATAAGCCCGTGTCAGCTTTCTGGTTCGCGTACGATAGGTAAGACGATCATCTATTTTATGCTTGCCATCAGCCGGTGGTCTCCTTACTTCTAACATCATCTCTGCACCGGGCGTACTACTTACTAGCATCACGAGGATGGATGAAACCCTCAGTCCATCGCTTGCCGTAAGCAAAGGGGTCCTTCCCGTAGAAGAAGCATTCAACGGGCTGCTGATACTAGCCTCCGATTGCAGGCATCAGGTAGGTTCGGGTGGACAACTTCTTCACAACGTGCCATGGTGAGATTTAATGACGCTTCGAATGCGGCGTCCCGGGATTTGATATCAGACAGAATCCAGTATACGGTTTTTTTCCGATGAATTTGAGCATAGTCTTGCGCAAGGTGTCCAACTGACTCTTGTGTGCACTGTATGCTGGACCATGATGATGAACTAGCTTTGATTTACGAAGTTCGTCTTCTGCTTGGCCTTAATATAGGCGATCTGCATATCCCTTGCGAGTTTTCTGAGATATTTGTTGAGACGATTCAGGATGGTGTATCAGAGGCCCATCTGGTTGAAGAAATAGGCGGTTTTGTACAGATCAACGCAGCCGTCGAAGAGGACAGTGCCATCAGCATCAAACCTGGTGCGTTCCAGTTCTTTCACCAGACTCAATATCTTATTCACCAAAATGGAAACCAAGAAGAAGTGTGAACAACACACCTCGGGTACATAGCCATTTGATTATCTAGTCAAGAACCTCTGCATTCTAGCTTTGAAAGTCCACAATGCCCTTCTTAGCTTCCTAAAATAGCCTCGTACAGGACCGTTAATTTATCACGATGCAGTGCTTGGCAAGACAAATACATAGCTCGAATCCGTCAGCAAGCGCCGGGATGAGAAACTTGGACCGACTACAGAGAACCGCCTTGTCAAGTTTCCATTAGGCCGTCCGCACTTCATAATGACATCTGAAAAGAGTCCAGACTGAAGCAGGTCCCTAAATCCATCTTATCACGCCCTCGTGATTGTGACGATCAGCTTGGTTCGGGTGAAAGTGTGGTGATGGTGATTGGCACTCGTCCACCTTCAGCGGGTAAAGACAATGGTGATTGGTTTCAGAACTGGAAAGGCTCGTGGTGAATATTGAATATACAGAATCAGTCGAGCAACTAGTTTACAGTACCACCAGTCCTCTAGGAAAATGGCAATAATGGAGAATTGAGAGAATTAGGAAGATGATGGGTGAACGTTACAACCAAATAAAAGGAGTTGAAGGTGTGATTCCAACATATGCGCGTGCTTGCTCAAGATGAATTATTTCAATGGAGGTCACGGCAATAAGGGGTAGCTTTACTCGATCACGAAAAGATAAATGGACAGGGTAATTGTGGGATTCTCTGGGATGATGCTTCGATTGAACAGATAATTCTAGGTTCGATAAAGAAGAAGTAAGAGTTTACGCATCCCTACAAAAAGGGTCACCTAGGTCTCCATTGAGTACAGCTTGCAGAGAACGAGCGAGACTCGCTGAATTAGAGAGACCAATAATACAAGTATCATGCCCTATTCTAAAGGTGAATTAGCTATGAACAATGAAGATTCATGCTCTAAGTATTAACGTATGCATGACCACGCGCTGTGTTACTGGGTCCTGTCAGATTTGTCGGACGAGATATATCTGTCACGCATGCCTCTATCCTTGACCCCCTGCCTCAACTTGGCAGGACGCATGTTGAACCTACTAAAGTTGTTTGGTGAAAGCCACAGCTAACTGCTTTACACAACTCTTTCTTCAAGCTAGTGGTTTATGCTCTCGTGACAAGTTGTGAGCCCAACTGCTATCTGCAATCACTGTTGCGTTACCGCCTATCTTCCTTTCTTTTATCCTGGCAAAGCTTCAGCAACTTCGACGTCAAATCATTTGAAAATTCACGAACCCTCCTTCCTCTATAAAATCACTAGCCACCGTCAAGACACCGCACCACCTTGTTCTTTCCATTATGGTCAGCATCGGTGACCAGGACATGAGGTAAGCGCAGCATGTCGGAGTATATTTCAGAGCTCTCACTCATACAGTACATCCCAAGTCTTTCGACTCAGGCATCTTCGCTGAAATGACTTTCAAATGTGGTGAATGTACATAGAAGCTGCATAAGATCATTCTGTGGTATCGATCTGAGTGGTTCGCGAAAGCACTCACTGGTGGCTTCAAGATAAGCATATTTTACTTTCTGTGGGCTTTGATTTGATTTTTTCCCTTTCCTCTTTTGTGGCATATGGCTAAATGAAGTTCCCAGGAGACCAAGACAGGAGAGGTGGTCTTGCGAGAGCGAAATGCTGATGTGGTGGATTGGATAATTCGATGGATCTCTACACGAAATAAACTCAATGGAGACTTATACTTCCGCGACTGCACACTGACTAATACTAGTAGTCCTGGAATTCTCTCAGTCCAAATGTGACGAGGAAATATTTGTGTCTTTAGTTGAGCTCCGAGTTAGCTGCTTTGAGGACTTGTGTGCTTATTGTCAGCAGAAGACCAAGGAAGTACGTACAAACAGCCTATTGCAAAGCAAAGGACAAGAAACAATTCTCAACGAGAAGACTATTCGCGTTTCTCGTTGAAGGGTTTGACGGGCCTATTGAAGACCTGCGAGTCCAGGTCGTCGAGGTCGTCGAAGGCGCACTACGGTATATTTAAGAAGGATTGAGCAAGACAGATTTCACGATTGGCTTGGTAAGATATCAACATATCTTCTCAAATCGCAGAGCTGAGACGTGGACAGACTGGATCACAAGTCGACTCTGAGCTTATTGTTTTGCTACGATGCGTATATAGCAAATAACGTACACACTAGCTAGATCAGTTCGATTCATATAAAAGCTACGTGAGACCACGGTATTTCCGGGCACATTCTACCTTTGGTGATTCACTACATCCAGAGTGTAATGGCTTAGCATGTGGAGGAAATGATGTGACTAGTTTCATCCCACCGTCTACCTTTGACTGAAGTTTGTATATAAGATATTAACCGAGTTAGAACTTTGCAAAGTAATTTGGACTAATAAAGTTTGATACACTGGTGGAATACAATGTCGTGGAATTACTGTGACAGTACCAGTTGCAGACAAGTCCCAGACAAGTCCAACTCTCGAGCAACTAAACCTAAGAAGAAGCCTCGCCATGTTCTCTTCAGGTTTGAGATAAGAACAAACTTACCTAGTACGCAGGAGAGATTCTTTCACAATCGCCCATCCGTCTCATGGAACTTGGACACATCAGATACGGTCACCCAACCTAACAAGACCTAGAAAACAGCCTGGTTCCTAATTTCAAGACATGGCTGCTGTGTGAAGCTGTGGCCTCAGGTATGGAGGGTTACAAAGCAGGAAGGCACGGATTGAAGTGTTTAGGGGGTCCCTCGCGGCCAACTTGGGATTGGTCCCCCACGTATCTTCGTAGCACTAACACAGCCTCCGGTGGTTGGAATCCGACAGCTACGAGTAAATTCTAGTAGACCTACACTTTAGGAAAACTACTCTAGGAGAACGAGTACCAAGAACAAGGAAAAGAAACACTTCATTAAAACATAGGGGGCCATAGACTGAATGGAAGATGCGAACCTGAAAGTTTATCCAAACCATTGAGGTATTTTGGATTCTGCCGCTGTTGGTATTTTTTTTTGGTTTTGTTTGCAATGAAGTCACGTCGACATGGCCCCTTTGTTTGGCTGTGGAACGTGTACATGGGAAGTAGTGAGCTAGGCAGATACACATCACATAGATTCGAGTGGATTGAAACCGGTGATTTTGAATCGTTATAATATACTCTCCGTCATAGCATGTGTCATATGCTTTACGAATTTGCGGGCATCCAGCAGGCTGGGGGTCCTCAAGTGACTAAGGTCAAGGGGCTAATATACCACCCTTCATCGGCAATAGGGGTTGGCTGCATTGTAAGTACGAAGGTGGATAGGTGATAATTCCCAACTTGCCCACACCCCTAAAATGGTAGCATGCATCATCGTAAAGCTCGTCGGCATTAGGAGTCGTCGCAGGGCCCCTTTATCAGACTCGCTGTCCGTCAGGCCTCATCCGTCGAGAGAAGGGAAGTCCTGTATTCCAGGCAACGCGTTAGTCGCACAAGAGGGGGAACCCGGTTGGTCAGATAAGCTGATCGTCAGCTACGATGACAACGAGCCCACCCCGAATTATATATCCCGGAGAAGAAGAACGCGCAAAGCAGGACAAAAGAAGCCAACGAGGAACTGGTCACTAGAGACATCAAAATCTGAAGTCATCCCTGAAGTCAAGTCACGAAGCCACCGGCAAGGTCAATAATAGCCGAGGGCGCCCTCAAAGGGCATGAGGGCATGTGTGAGCTTAGGTATAGAGGGGTACACGCCCGCCAGGCACGGGCTTTTGCATTTGGGGATCCCCAGGGGGCCAAATTGGGAATTATCCCCTGCGTGCCTTCGCCGTTGCAACGCAGCCACACCCCTACTGGAGGCAACCTCCATGTGTATAGTTGGGACTGCCTCCCTAGCATCTTGCAAAGGTCACTTGGTCCTGAGAACTGCCAAGTCGTACTGGGCATTCCATGTGTCTTTCGCAGTGTTACCGTTGAAAACTAAAGAAAAAGAAATGCATAACAGGACTTTTGAAGGTCCTGTTCTGCGTTTTGTGAGAAAAACACCATAAATTATGTGTAAATCTTGCATTGAGGGTAGCAAAGTGCGACAACTGGAACAACTTCAAGTATGTCAGTGGCTGTGCATCAGACATTTACTCTAGTAGACCTTTGGGAACAGTCACCTAATATGTCGTCTGTGTACAAAGGAGCTCGAGCATTAAAGTATGTTTCAGGGTCAGATCTTTGTGAGATATTTGTTAGGAAATTGACTTGGTAAGAACTCAAATGCGTAACTCGCAAGTTAATATCCTAACATCACTTTGCTCGTTCCGTTAATCAATCATGTTCTCTTATGCTCCCAGGCCATGTATCCCAGATCGCCCCCCGCACCGTATGAGGGTTAGTCTAGATTCCCTGTGCTCTAATTCACAAGCTTCTTAAACCTATTGATTTGGGTGTTAGTGTTGATCAAATCAAGACCTCAGCACTTCTAGGGACGGCGTGGTACGTACTTCATGACGACTCTCTCGATGCCGTCGCAACCCAGCTCGAGGACTTCCATTCTCGGTCCGTAGGAGAATCGTACGACTGAATCATAGTTAGCGACATATGCAAATCAGAGATCCTTGTATAAGGACCCAGAACGAGGGGGGAAACTTACAGTGATGGCAAGGACTGTCGAACAAATCTCTTCGCCGGGCGGGGTTCAAGTCAAAGAAGATACCGGGAACGACGATGACCTTTTCCTCAAGACAGGCCTGGAAGAAGTTCAAACCATCCGAGATCGGGCCAGGCAGACCCTCGAGGTTTAGCCACAGGTAGAAGGTGCTATCAGGCACGTACTTGATGACGAAGCCCATGTCTCGGAGGCGCTTGACAACGTAGTCACGTTTGTCCTACCAGAAGTTGTCAGCATGGATTTCTAACAACACGAAGACCCGAAATGCTCACGCGGAAATGTCTCTGTAGTGCAATCATCTCCTTTTGCACGAGCGAGGGTTCGAGCATGGGGATGGCGGCCTCCTGGAAGGGGGCATTGGCTCCTCCATCGAGATACGAACCGCAAGAGCCGATGCTAATAGAATCAACGTTAGAAATGCATTTTTAAACTTAATGAAACTATTCACGGAGGTATTGGTGACATACGCCTTGATGAATTCCTTTGGTCCCAGGATCCACGCAATACGCCATCCAGGCAATCGGAAGCGCTTCGTAAGTCCGTCAATGATGAGAACATCGTCTTCGTCTACATCTTCGACGTTCTCGGCGGCAGAGATCGTGCTACCGTCGCAGTTGCTGGTGTAGTTGTATCCGGAGTAGAATTCATCACTGACAAGAGTGGCTCGTCCACGACAGATATCCTGGATCTCAGCCAACTCGGGATTGGCCACGACCCGGCCTGTGGGGTTTCTCGGGTTCGAGGTCAGAATGACAGAGGTACCTCGAGCAATTTCAGTGGCGATCTTGTCTGGGTGGATGTGATAACCGTCCGCCTCGCTCAAGGGCGTGGGAATAGCTGCGAAGTTCTTGAATAAAGACAGCATTTCACTGTACGCCGTGTCTGTTTAACTCCTAATATTAGTAAAAGCTGCGCAAATTTGTCCCAGGGGGTACAATTCCTTTGTACGGAGTATAAGACACCCCCAAGACACCAGAGGGAAAGGAAACAGGGGCCAGAACAGTCAGGAATGAAGAAGCCGACGTAGGCGTTTCCCAAGACAGCAGCAATGCGGGTCAGACCAGAACGGCCACCAGGCACAATACAAACGTTCTCCCACGTGTAGAGGGAGCTCTTGCCCTTCCTATGCGTCTCGTTGTATAGGTGAGCTACTGCCTCCCGCATCGGCTTGATACCCGCCGTCGGGCCATATTCTCGTGCGGCACTTGAAACATCGATCGAGGTGGGTCGAAGGAAGGATCCATCTATCCCATCCTGTTCAATCATCGGTGTTAGTAGTTTATCTCAAGAGGGCAAGGTTATTCTCAGGAGGTAAGACTGCTTTTTTCAATCCACCCGCGAGGCACTACATGGACAAGGAAAAGGAGAACAAACTTCAGCTTCCGGTGCTCCCTGTCCAAGATTAGCCCATTTATCAGGCTCCTCGAGGAAGCCGTATTCGCTGGCTCGTTCCGTACACCAAACAACCCCGGTGCTGGCCCTCGTGGCGTCAAGTCCGGCATGGGGGAGGTGGCCTTCGTGTGCAGCACGGAACTGCCGATGAATCTTGGATCCTGCCTCTGTTTGGACATATAACGTTAGCTGGAAGAACGTGTGGTGCTTATTGTTCGTGGGTTTCCTTTTGTTTGGTTTTGTCCTCTTCCTTTTGGTCCTATGCATCAAACCACAAACAAAGCAAACTATCGGGACTCGAATCATCTGAACTTCCAAACAAGCTTTTTGGCAGGTGGTACTGCTTGTTTCCCACGGATCTTTGCACTATGGGGTAGACCTATACTGACCACTGGTGTTTGGCTCCGTCACGCTGAACCTTCTCTTCGGCTCGCCCGTATTGCGGTTGATCGAGAACTTGCGATTGTTGAACATCTTGGCAAGAGTATTGTCGAGATCAACTGCCCAGATTGTCGTGTTTGGTCCGTGGAAAATATGATGTTTGAAGCTACCTTGAGCTTGCGCTTCAGGATGATGTCGTACTGTATGTCAACTTCTCAATTATGACAAGAGATTGGATAACACTCGGAATGTTTGCCTTTTGGCTGAAGATAGCCAGAGCCGTGAGGTGGGAGAAAGCAAAGAGATAAACAATCTCGCCATCCTTCCTGAATCATTGCTGGCTTGGCTGGGGTTTTAGTCGTAAAGTGGGGGAGTTCAAACAAGTCGCTCTTGAAGGTGGGACAGAACGCATCTGGGGGGACCAATGAGCAATACATCGATAATCACCGACATTTCACAATGGCTAGCAAGGCAGCTGCTCCAGTTCTTGAAGATCGATCGTACAAAGTGTCTCTGAAATCATGATTTTCGCCCAGTACCAGCTATTGATGCTGGCAAGGACAAATAATCTCGTCTTCAAGGTGCATGAGTAGCGAAGCTTTGCCTTTCAAATCTAACGGAGCAAAGCTTTCTACTACTATATCCAACACAGGAGGGGAATATAAGACCTAAAATTCTAGGCTCCCAGGCGAATGCTAAATTCTGATTAGTCCGATGGACACAGTTGCACAGCCCCTCGGCAGCCAACCGGCAAGTCCCGGCGGGAAGACGATCAAGGTCCTACGGCTATGAGGAAACATTTCGTCTCGCGAGGCACGAAGTTGAGAAAGGTTCCCTGAATACAGTTGAGGGAGGCGGCGTCCCCGAAGATGTATCGGTGTCTCAAGAGCTGTTCAATCTCATCAATGACTCTTGGAAGGACCACGGCGTTGATTTCAACTGAAGCAACGCCAGCCCAAGTTGCTCCTCAATTTGGGAGAGAGTCCGCAGGCAAGCAGGTGACTTTCCACTTTTAGGTTGGGATAACCAAGTCATTCCTGGTTTACTATCCTAGAATACCAAGCTATGACACATTATTCCACCCATATTGTGCCCATTAGTTTTGTTGTTCACTAGCAGATATGAAGAGTGATGCCCCGCGATCATGAATTCGTGCTTGTCCCAAAGCAGTAAAGTGCTTCGATCCCGGTCGCGTCTCGCAAACCCATTAACGCGTACGCTGGGAAAGTTGTCTTGGCGTAGCGTTCTTCAAGCAGCATCACGACTGACAAAACGCCAGATCATACATAATAACCTCTCGTCAGACCGTTGTAACATCCAAAAATGGCGCTTATCGTTGACAAGCACCGGCCACGCTCTCTCGACGCCCTGACTTATCACGGGGAGCTCTCCGCGCGATTGCGTTCTCTGGTGAGGGACCTCATCAGGCTTTGATTCTCAGCACCTGCCTCTAACAGATTCGTCCCAGGCGCAAAGCGGCGATTTCCCACATCTCCTCGTCTACGGCCCCTCGGGAGCAGGAAAGAAGACGCGAATCGTAGCAACTCTAAAAGAACTGTACGGGCCCGGTGTCGAGAAGATAAAGATCGACGCCCGCGTCTTCCAAACGAGCAGCAACCGCAAGCTCGAATTTAACATTGTCTCCTCCGTATATCACCTCGAGATCACGCCCTCCGATGTCGGAAACTATGACCGCGTTGTCGTCCAGGATCTGCTCAAGGAGGTCGCGCAAACACAACAGGTGGACCAGTCGGCGAAGCAGAAGTTCAAGGTCGTGGTCATCAACGAGGCAGATCATCTGACGCGCGATGCCCAGGCTGCCCTGAGACGGACAATGGAGAAGTACAGTACAAACCTGCGACTGATTCTCCTGGCGAATAGCACAGCGAATATCATTGCCCCGATTCGGAGTAGAACGTTGTTGGTGCGGGTTGCAGCGCCGACGATTCAGGAGATCTCAGCGGTGTTAGCAGAGTCGGCAAAGAAGGAGGGCTGGCCATCTGTAAAGGGGCTGCACAAGAGAATTGCTGAGGAGAGTGGACGGAATCTGCGGCGGGCGTTGTTGATGTACGAGGCGGTGCATGCTCAGAAGTACGCCCTTCCGTTCTCTATGATCTACGGATCCCCGAGCTTGCGCTTTCAATTTACTAATAACTTCTTCAGTGAGAAAGTTGCAGACGATACCCCCATCCCCCCGCCGGACTGGGAAGCCTTGATCAGCCAGATCGCAAAAGACATCATGGAAGAGCACACGCCCGCACGCATTCTGCAAGTCCGATCGAAGCTGTACGACCTGCTCACACACTGCATACCGCCAACGACCATCTTGAAAACCCTCACATTCAAGCTCATCCCTCTAATCGACGACGATTTGAAATGCGAGGTGATCAAGTGGTCGGCCTTTTACGAACATCGCATAAAGATGGGATCCAAGGTGATCTTCCACCTCGAGGCGTTCGTTGCGAAGTTTATGCGAATCCTGGAGATGTACCTCATGCAAATGGACCTGTAAAGTTCTTGGTATCGGTCAGGCGTTGGTATGGTTATGTGCATTGGGAGTTGGCTCGGTAGGGTGGACGACAACAGTATGATGCAAGCATGGCGGCTTGCTGATATCTGCAGTGATTCGGGCTCGCAGATCGATGGCACATCAATGTCACGACATCGGAACGATTGCTTTCAGATGAAGTCATGTATGCCCGTCTTTTGGTGTACTCGAACTTATGGGCTGTCAAGCTTCATGTCCTGGTCAGACAATACGGCCCAACGTTGATTTGCATGTTCGGTCCAAACCAGAGTGCGTCACCAGTGTTCTTTTATCCGAAGTAGACCAGTACTGGCCAAGGCGAGGTTATCTTTGGAGAGTACCATGTGGGTCACAAGAATCGTACGACAGCCGAGCTGTTCATTGAACCTCACGTGCTTCTGATAGATCCGAGGACTTGGAGAACGAGGGGCTAGAGAAGCAACAAGACGCGATTTCGTCCGGCTCCGGCGGCCCAGATGCGGAGAAAACATGGTGTTAAGACTTGGGGTCATAGGAACAAGGGCGGTTATAGAAGTCACTAGGCGAAACTTTACTCTCGGTATAGGACCCGGCCAAACGGAAGATGTCACCAGGTCTTGGGTGTTTCCCGGTAACGACAACAAATAATTTCCAGGAGTTTATTGCTCTTGATTCAAGCAACGTATAAAGTGAATTGTCGGTGCTCTTGATCAGAAATATAGATTCCAACGAGGTATGCTTCCGGGTAAAGTACACGACATGCCTGAGGGTCGGTTGACCGTCCAATCTCAATTCAGATCCGAAGCGGAGGCCTATTCGAATATGAAAAAGGGAGATCCTACGACCCGAGGATATATCACGCCGTGCAAGCTTTCTATTGAATTCATTATACGCAATGTAGGGCCGAAGTTCTAGGTCAATAGTCCATTGCAGGGATGATGGAGATCGATAAATCGCGCTATTGGAAACTTGCCGAATAGCGAACCCCAACGAATGGGCAAATGGGCCGTTGGGGATTCAAAGTATCGAAGGCCTCATCAATATGTCCTAAAACAATTTGGACGAGCGACAAGAAAGGGAGATGGTTTCTTCTAGATGTAGGCACCTGCCGGCTAAGTGTAAGCCAGTATTACTTAGTTCATGACATGAAACTCATCCAGCTCGAAGTGGGAAGCCGCTGTCGGAATTAGATCCGAATCTGCCGCGCCCTACGAAGAATAGAGAGACACATGCAGAAAGCGAGTCTACAGAACCATTTGGCTGAAATCCCCACAATAAGGCCGGCCCTGGGGCATCATTTGCAGTGGACATGGCATATGGAGAGGTACCTATGAGGTACTTGCACCAAGCGTCATATTGGAACATGATTGGCTGAATGGCACTTGACACCAAAAACCTCAACACCAAAATACGCATAGCCATTCACCACATGACTTCCATCACAAGCATTGAACTCTAACTTCCATCCTGAAAAGCCAATGACCAGCTCAGTTATATCTACCTCGCGTGAGAAGCGCCTATCGTCACGGTGTGGGGTTCCGAGAATGACGGAAACCTGGGGTGCCCAGACACATGATGCGGGGTTGAGGGGAAAGGATTCGGGGGAGGTGCCTTTCTGGGGCAAGGAGACAAGGGACGTCGAGTTAGTGGCAGAATGAGGGACTCTAAGGACTTCCTGGTCGTGATTTCTACAAAAAACGGCCCAGAGTCTCAGGGCGCTGGATGGGTGCAAGGCAAACTGCATGGAGGGTCGTATTATTCTTATGGATTTGAAACGAACCAAGCCGAAGTCTCGGGTTCATCTTGGAGCACTTGTATACACTAGTCTACATGTGTTTAGGTGTGTGCCATCTTGGGGAGTATTTTGCGTGAGGCCCATCCTACTCTGCGGAAGCAGGCTCCAAACAACTTGACAAGCCAAATATCAAGCTAATTTGCTTGACAGCGCCCAGGCTCCACCGTCTTGTCTATTCGATATTATTGAAATGGAATGCTTTGGCACACCCAGTGGCATCCAATAGGCCATGCTGCACACGATGGAGGTTACTCACTCAGACGGTTTCTCAGATCTGCGACTTACACCATCTAGTATGTGTGCCAGACTGAGGAACACAGGCGAAAGTAGGGTAGCAAGGTAGTCCCAGCGCCTCATGGGACGACCTCGAGAAGACGGCTGGACCGATGGAAGTTGATGAAGGTCACAAAAATAAATGCCAGGTGGTTATTTGAAGGTGACTTGGCCCTGTTGAGATGGATTTCTCATGGTAGCTTCCAGCGGGCGAGCGGAACCAAACCCCGGCTCTAGCAAGGTCCCAAGGCCGCACCACCGTACCAAGGTACCCGGGAGTACTTCACCGCATGCAGGGTCAACGGAACCCATTTGATTGGAACCCATTTGATTGGATACCATCTGATTTGACATTCACCACCACCTCTCATGATTTTGCCGTAATAAAAAGTCCCCCTCGTTGAGTTGTCGGATTTGTTTATTACTTCCCATCCTTTCCTTTCCACTCCTCTCGATTGTGCCTGGCCCTGTTCCTTACGATACGCAGCTGTTTGTGTGCCAATTCTGTAAAACCTACTCCTCGACCCTTTGGAAAGTGATTTACCTTTCCCTTGCTACTCCCGACAACAGACTTCACCATCTGCAAGTAGTAGTAATACTGAGCTCTCGACGAAGCTACCCCGCAAACCCAACCTTCGGCCAGCATCGCCAACATGGCTGACGGCAAAACTCCTGTGGTCGCTGAGGCCCATCAGGTGGACACTTTCCGTAGGTTTAGAAACTCACACGATATGGCGGCGCAATTATTGACAATGACTCACTAGACCCTCCGCAAAAGATGCTTGACAGTACGTCTCCTCAGTCGTTGCATTGGACGTACTGTAGTGGTACGAGCGAGGCTGACATAGAATAACCAGAGCATCCTAGCAAGCCCCATATCGGTAGTGAGTTTAACGTGACTACTCACTATGTATGCGATGGGGTATTGACCGGCTTCTAGGTGTGGAGGAGTACCAACAGATGTACAAGGAGTCCATCACGGAACCTGACAAGTTTTGGGGCCGAATGGGCAGAGACCTTCTGAGCTGGCAGCGCGACTTCGATACTGTCCGTGTCGGATCCTTGCAAAACGGTGACAGTGCTTGGTTCGTTGAGGGCCAGCTCAATGCCTCTTATAACTGCGTCGATCGTCATGCTATTAAGAACCCTAACAAAGTGGCAATCATATACGAGGCCGATGAGCCCAACGAGGGACGCAACTTGACGTATGGTGAACTTCTGCGCGAAGTAAGCAAGACGGCCTGGACTTTGAAGAAGATGGGGGTCCAAAAGGGGGATACCGTTGCTGTCTACCTCCCCATGATCCCCGAGGCTATCGTGACCCTGCTCGCTATTGTCCGTATCGGCGCAGTTCACTCGGTTGTTTTCGCTGGCTTCTCGGCTGACTCGCTGCGTGACCGTGTCATCGATGGCCGCTCCAAGGTTGTCGTCACTACTGATGAGGGCAAGCGAGGCGGGAAATTGATTGGCACCAAGAAGATCGTCGACGAGGCCCTCAGACAGTGCCCGGACGTTGCACATGTGCTTGTCTACAAGCGAACGGGTGCCGACATTCCCTGGACGGCTGGTCGAGATTACTGGTGGCACGAGGAGGTCGAAAAGTGGCCGTCCTACATTGCCCCTGAGATTATGAACGCGGAAGATCCCCTGTTCCTGCTCTACACGTCTGGTTCAACTGGAAAGCCGAAGGGAGTCATGCACACAACTGCCGGTTACCTCCTTGGCGCTGCCATGACGGGCAAATACGTCTTCGATATACACGACGACGACCGCTACTTCTGCGGTGGTGATGTGGGTTGGATTACTGGCCATACCTATGTCGTCTATGCGCCCCTTCTTCTCGGTGTCTCCACAGTGGTATTCGAGGGAACACCAGCATATCCCAACTTCTCCCGATATTGGGACATCATCGACCAGCAAAAGATCACTCATTTCTACGTGGCGCCCACGGCCTTGCGATTGCTCAAGCGTGCCGGTGACGACTTTGTCAAGACCAAGATGTCGCACCTGAGAGTCCTGGGATCCGTGGGTGAGCCCATCGCCGCTGAAGTATGGAAGTGGTACTTCGAAGTTGTCGGCAGGGAGGAGGCTCATGTGGTGGATGTAAGTCGGATCGTTCATTTTCCCCCTCGAAGAAAACCCGGCTAACAGGTGAAGACCTACTGGCAAACCGAGACGGGCTCCAATGTCATTACACCCCTTGCCGGCGTCACACCAACAAAGCCGGGAAGTGCGTCGCTGCCATTCTTCGGCATCGAGCCGGCGATTATTGATCCAGTTTCTGGTGATGAAATCCACGGCAACGACGTCGAGGGCGTGCTAGCCTTCAAACAACCATGGCCCAGTATGGCTCGAACCGTTTATGGTGCACACAAGAGATATATGGAGACTTACTTCAACGTGTACAAGGGCTACTACGTGAGACCACAGCTCTGGTATCAACATGAGATTATGCTAACATGTGTCATAGTTCACTGGGGATGGTGCCGGCCGTGACCACGAGGGCTTCTACTGGATCCGGGGCCGAGTTGACGACGTAGTGAACGTCAGCGGCCACCGTTTATCAACAGCCGAAATCGAGGCCGCTCTGATTGAGCATCACGCTGTTGCGGAGGCGGCGGTGGTCGGAGTAAGTGACGAGTTGACTGGCCAAGCTGTAAACGCTTTCGTGGCCATCAAGGATGGCAACGATGTCAATGATGCGCTACGCAAGGACTTGATCCTGCAAGTAAGGAAGAGCATCGGGCCATTTGCTGCCCCGAAGGCGGTGTACATTGTCCCGGATCTGCCCAAGACCCGAAGTGGCAAGATTATGCGCCGCATCTTGAGAAAGATTCTAGCAGGTGAGGAGGACCAGCTTGGCGATGTGACGACGGTAAGTGCTTGTACAGCCTGTGATTACGGGGTTCAATCACTAACATTACTCTCTATAGCTCTCGGATCCAACGGTTGTAGAGAAGATAAATCGTGTTGTTCATGACGCACGCAAAAAGTAAGCAGCAGGACTTTTGATTTAGGGAGCTTCTGATACCAATGGATTTTCGGCTTTGATAAGGGGTCTTTGGGAGTAATACGTAGCATAGAATTCTATGGGCTTGCGACATAAGAGAATGCCATTTGGATTCAACCACGCTGAAACCGTATAGGGGCACGAGCCCTCACAGCGAAAGTCCGAAGAGTGTGATTTGATCCTCCAGGACTCTGTGAGTTCAGCAAACCTGCTCCGTTCGTGGATCTTTTCAAGCCCTTCTTGGCAACGTGGCTTGGACTCCCAAGACTCGTCATGTCCGCCGTTGACTTACGGATGATGAAAAGCCTCGTTGGACCAATGATAGCTGCTCGGACTTAAGAGCTTCTCGCCGAAAGGTATAGTCTCTCTCCACACCGTCAAGATAGAGTGGGCCGAGTCAAATGAAGTAAACGTATCAGAAGATGGAGACGATGCAACATGAGTTGTTCACTCTGCTTGGCTCACATCCACGGAACGGTGAACACAGCCAGTATCATGACGACAAGGCTTCGCCTTGTTGCAAGAGCTGGAACACGTTTCATTCTCACAGATCTGGGGAGTTTGGCTCCTTAGAAACTAACGTAGCCGCACCCGCACACATCTGCAAAGCCTGTATGACATTTGACATCTGTCTGTGCTGGTGTTCTAGTTGGTCAAAACGTGCAGATACACCAGTCGTGGCTGCTGATGGATAGAGAGGGCGACGTAATGACAATGAGCCTTTTCGGGAATTGGCTGCTTGGCACATGGTCGATGTATCATACGACACCCACCGAACTGGAAATACCGGGACTAGGATTCACTCGCAACAAACCCGACTGAAAACACAGTCAGAGATCAAACACGAATCCTGATTGGTGGGAAGCTCTGGGAGGTGGTGTTCTTGCAGTGCTGATCATAGTGAGACGGGCAAGACGGGCAGATCTACTACGTAGATCCTCGAGGCTAATCATTGAAGGTAGGCTGTGCATTTCACGCCTTCATGACGAAGGTCGGGCCCGCGATTTCCGCGCTGCACTGCAGCACACACACCTTACGTATCGCCTATTACATAGTATTGAGGGTTCATCTCTCTGGCGCATCCACTTTCCCCTCGTTTTAAGCTTCTTGAGAAAACTTGCCAGGAGAACCCTGAATATACCCACCTCATTCCATCTGGAAGTATATCTCCAGTGATCACAGGCATGAATCGCGAGCCGATCTACGGGGGATCTTAATTCGACGTCAATAGTTGCGCCCGACATTCGACGATCTGCTGGACACGTTTCTCATACGGATAGCAAGTAGCACTTGAACGGTACACAGCATCATCAGCCTTGCTTCTGGTGTCACTGTTCTAGACTCAGTCTGCTCGTCTGGCTAAACACCGACTTCTACCAGCATAGTAATTTTCTTCAGCCCATCGCAAGACATTTGGCCCGCCTGCAAGGTAGTTCTCGAAACATTTTTTGGACACGGGACTCTTTTTTAGTGTTCATCCAGTGGGCTTCGATTCCTTACCAAGTAGATGCCGCTCCGGCTTCCATCAAACCTCAATCCAGCGCCTAGCCCTGCTAACGCCTGTCCCGGGCCAACCTCCCAGACGTGCCCAGCAGATCCCTGGTCTCTGACTGTGCCGTAACACCAGCGACTTTTGCTTCCCCTTGGCAACCTTGGAATTGGCAACGTTGGTCTGCGCCGAACTGGCCCCCATCCTTTTTTTTTTTTGGCTCAGCGTTCCACGGCTCTGCATCCGCAACCAGACGGATTCCATATACATACCTTCATACGCGCAGCCACCGTCAGCCGTTCTATTCTCTTCCCTTTCCCCCCCAACATTACCCACCCCTTGACGGCCTCGAGTCTTTTGCTTCAGCTTGTACTAATAATTCCCTGCTCTTCTTCGTCGACCATTCGACCAGCTTGAATTGTACCTGTCCGCGCCACCATTGAGCCAGGACTGTGGAAACAAACAGCACCTGCGGCACTACGGCACGGAAACTACAAGCCTCACAAGTGCCGCTCGGCTTCGTCACCAGTCTCACTACGCACTCCGTTATTTCCTCCGCTCGCATACGTCGCCTCCTCATCAATTTGCAAGGAACAAATTGATATTTCCGTTGGGCATTTCCCTTTGGCGGTAGCGACGACGGTTGGATAATAAGCTGTCATTGTTTCGACAATAGACATTTGTGCGACATTGGATGCAGTGCTAACTTCACAGCGTTGTCCCCTTTTCGGGACTCACCTTCCGTTCGTTATGCGCGGCATTCTTAACACAGCCGTCGCCTTCCTTTTAATATTGTCGCATTCTGCGCAGGCACATTCAGTTCGGCGGAATGCCTTGAATTATATAAGCCGGGTCGACGAGCCGGTCCTTCACTCACCATCGCATCGCGTGCACGCCTACTCGACGTTCGATGCTACCTTTTTGCTACACAATAAGCAAGACAAGGTTCGATTGTCACTACAACCTAATCATGATGTATTGTCAGAAACGGCGACCGTCAAGTACCTTTCGGCGGATGGCACCCTGCGGCGCGAGGAAGTCATTACCCGGTCGGATCACAAGGTGTTCAAAGGCGATGCATTTGTGCAACACACAGGCAGCTCGGAGTGGGTGAACGCAGGTTGGGCGCGAATAACGGTCTACCGTGATGGACTGCATCCCATTTTCGAGGGCGCTTTCCGGATCGACGGCAATCATCACCATGTACAGACGAGCACCAACTACCGAAGGACGCAACATCACGACGATCCTGTGGTGGACTTCGCCGAGGACGAGTACATGGTCGTCTGGAGGGACTCAGATGTCACGCCTAACCCCCACGATTTCCACGAGGAATTGAGACGGGACTTTGGCGGAGTGTCGACCTGTTCCTCGGACGGACTCAATTTCAATCTTGAGAATAACCACCCCGTCTACAAGGGCCTCGATCTCCGCGACACAGCGGTTGGAGCCCGCTCGTTGTTTGGCCGTCAAATTGATGACGGAACCACGGGCGGAAATGGAGCCGGAGTGAATCTTACCAGCACCATCGGTTCAACCAACGGCTGTCCAACCACGCGTAAGGTCGCTTTGGTTGGTATTGCCACGGATTGCACTTACACCGCTGAGTTCAATTCGACTTCCTCCGTGCGCTCCAACATCATCACCCAGGTGAACTCGGCTTCAGCTCTCTATGAAAGCACCTTCAACATTTCCCTCGGTATCCAGAATTTGACCATCAGTGACGCAACCTGCCCTGGAACCGCCCCATCCACCAACCCCTGGAATGTTGACTGTAGTGACAGTGTCACCATCACGGATCGTCTGAATCTCTTCTCGGCATGGCGAGGGCAGTACAATGACACCAACGCATACTGGACCTTGTTGAGTACTTGCAACACGGACGCTGCTGTTGGCCTCGCCTGGCTTGGTCAAGTTTGTACCACAGGCTCCCAGACATCCGGGTCAAGCGATGGGAACGAGACGATTGCAGGTGCCAATGTTGTCGTACGCACTTCAACCGAGTGGCAGGTTTTTGCGCACGAGACAGGTCACACATTCGGAGCAGTCCACGACTGCACATCTTCGACATGTTCCGATGGGACGGCTTCTGTGCAGAAGTGCTGCCCTGTTAGCGCCTCCAGTTGCGACGCTCAAGGCGCATACATCATGAATCCCTCCACCGGCAGCGGAATCACCAACTTCTCACCTTGCAGCATTGGTAATATATGCTCCGCCATGGACCGAAACAGCATCAAGACTCAATGTCTCACCAATAACCGCGACGTCGTTACCATAACAGGCCAGCAGTGTGGCAATGGAATTGTCGAGGCTGGGGAAGATTGTGACTGCGGAGGTGAAAGCGGCTGTAACGATAATGCTTGCTGCAATCCTACGACGTGCAAGTTCCAGTCGGGCGCCGTCTGCGATCCCTCCAACGAAGATTGTTGTAACGACACTTGCCAATTTGCATCGAACGGAACTGTCTGCCGATCCAGCACTGGCACCTGTGATCCCCAGGAAGTATGCAGTGGAAGCTCGGCTGTTTGCCCAGCCGACGTCACGACTCCTGATGGCGAGTCCTGTGGTGCCTCGGGGGCTGATCTCACTTGCGCTTCTGGACAGTGTACATCGCGCGATCTGCAGTGCAAGACGCTCATGGGCAGTCTGAGTTCTAATAATGACACCTACGCCTGCAACTCCCAGGGCTGTCTCCTGTCGTGTGCCTCATCGTCCCTTGCGGCCAACACTTGCTACAATATGAACCAATATTTCCTGGACGGCACGCCTTGTCAGGGAGGCGGCAAGTGTAGCAACGGTCAATGTGAAGGTTCCACCGTTGCAAACGAGGTGGGCAGTTGGATCAGCGACAACAAGAACATCGTGATCCCGGTAGCCTCAGTCGTCGGGGGTCTCATTGTCGTCGCCATTCTTAGCTGTTGCATCACCTCGTGTCGAAGAAGGAGAGCTAGAAAGAACATGAAGCCGACCAAGCATAGTGGTAATTATGGCGATAATGCGTGGAACGCTGCAAATGTGGCTCGGCCCGCGGCGGTGGCGAGGGGGCCACCACCGGGGTATTCTCCGTATCATGAACAGCAGCAGTGGGGACACAGACCGCGGGTACCGATCACACGTTACGCGTAGCGGATTTCATTGCAGATTTCATGTATTGCCTTTTATACAGTGATGGGCACGAGGGAGAAACATGCCCATTGTTATGAGGGAACTGGCTGTCTACATATTGGGAGGCGCAGGGAATTCTGCAACAAAGACAAGCTATAGGGATATTGGACACTGAGAGACCATGGCATGACCATGGTAAGGACTGAGTGAGGATTCCTTTACGACCTGACCCACATCATCATAAGTGGCGTTTGGGAGTTTGGACTGCGACAGAAATAAGTACAGGGGTAGGTAGCCTTGTGGTGGCACAAACTTTACTCGACGTACATTGCATACTGGTTATGATATTTTTTGTTTCAAGTATAGAGCCTCCACGGCAAATGGGACGGGGATTATGTAGTGTGTATACTGCGGGGACCTATAGGGACATTGTGCAAATAAGACACTCTCACGCGTCTGTGTGAATACTGAATACTACATGCGATCTATGACATTGTTGTGTTGGTTGGCCTCTGATGTGAACGAGCTCTTTGTCAATTGCGATTCGTGTAACCTGAGTTACAAAGAAGCCTGAGATTATCTCAATCTACAGTGTCTGCACATTCGTCGAGTGACAACGATCTGCTAACAAGAGCTGAGCTCTACGCGGCGACCAGACTGAAGCATGGTGTGAATTTGTTATAATTTCGATCACTCGTGTCCCTTGGGCGAGTACTGGGCGTCTCTGTTCGTGAGTTCAATCACCTCGGGTTAGAACTCTGACTTCTGGGACACCTAGCCCGTATGTGCTCCATAGTGATCACGCAACGAAACTATGTTGTCCTGCAGGCTTGGGGTTGTTTTGCGCGCATGGTCAGGAGTGGAGTTAAATCTTACCGTGTTTTAGACTCCCGTTTTCTTTTGAGAGTATCGCAAGTTGACGGTTGGACGTTGAGTGACACTGGTATTTTGACTTGGCGCTTTCTTTTTCCTTTTCTTTTCTTCGTCTGCTGCCCCTGAGACTATGTGATCGACTTGCCGTTATACGGCTTGAAAAGGATTAAGACCCTGGAAACTTTGCAAATAAGCATCCTTAGCCCCGTAGAGAGAAGAACCATCGTTACTGTTTGTCGACGAAATGGCAACTAGTTACGCAGGTAGGCATGTTGTTTCATGCGGGAATGAACTCATTGTTGTTTGCTTAATGATTATGGTTCCAATATACACCCGTATGAACAACACATCGTTGGTTTCCAGACCGGTCAACGCCATATCCACACACTGAGTCCCTGCAGTGAATTACATCAAACACGGCAATGGGAAGTGCCTTGAACAAATGGGCGGCAGAAGGCTCGACCCCTCAATGCCAGAGGCAATTGACT